TATTTGATTAATTAAATCGATTTCCAATTTTTTAATTGCTCTCCTTTTCTCTCTTTATTTTTTTTATATGTTACCTAATCTTTAGGAAAAGATGATTATTTTGTTTACAGGTTTCTTTATTAGTTTTGTCTGTCTGTTTCTTTTTATCTTTTATTAAAATAAATATAAGTAACATGTCATAAACACCTGCTTTGGATATTTGCTACCAATATAATCGTTTTAACTCGAGAATAACGATAAATATAGCGGAAACTCACTACTATTACAACTATATACATACATGTAAAAATCTAACTGTATGTATAGGTAGTAGTAGTAATACTACACCAAAGAAAAATTGTCTCAGAGTTTTCAAATACACTGCAAAACCTGAATTAAAAGTAACCTAATAATATAAAATATTTCTATGCTGAAGTGTAAAATAGACGAAGAGAATAAGAGAATAGAAGATAGAGGGAAGTCTTCATTAGGAAAGGGAAAAATCTATATATCTTATATATTAAATATATGACAAAAATCATACTGCCTTGTTGCCCTTAATAGCGGCTCTTCTTTGTATAACTTTTCTATATGCAATCATTAATTGAACGTTAAAAACAATTAGCAGCAGAAGTGGCAGAACAAAGCTGAATACCGAGTATAATACATTTCCATAAATTTTCGCATACATTTCATTTGCTACAAGCCATTTATCATATCGTCCATCTACCGATATTTTTATGTGAAAAAATCGTGGCACATTATAAAAGAAACTATTATTTTTAAACAGGGAGGTCGATAATTTATTACAGTAGTTATTCACTCTTCTCTTCAGCACAAACGACGTTCAAGAGGAGAGCAGTGATTCTATTTAAAATCTCTGTTTTTTCCTTGGATCTCCTATCAATTATATAGTTTAAACATAAATAGATAATTGCTTTTCCACAAATCTATATAAATATATATACATATATGCTGTAAATATATATATATATATATATATATATATATGTATTTATAGATTTTTTTCCCTATCTTGTTCCTCTTTACTTCATCTCTTCCCTGTCTTCTTATATTCTCTCTCTATATTCTCCCTCCTTCTCACTTTCTAATTCTTATCTTTTCTTGTAAAGGTATACAAATCTTTCAATAATATTTTATACTTATGCTTAAAATACGCAAACCAAATATAAGAGATATTACAATGAAAAATCAAAAGACTTCCCATCCCATACAAATCAATCCCCATTATGTCTTTAGAAATTCAATAAGATTTCTATATTTTGTATAAAATACTTTCAAATTTTTCTACAATATGAAGTATTTAAAAGCAGTTGTAGTGAGATAATTAATTAATTCAACTTAGAAAATGGGAGAGTAAGGAAAGAAGAGGGAAATAAAAAGAATCCTAATTGTTATGAAATCGTTATTCCCCCCCTCCCCCTCTCTCTCTCTCTCTCCTTCACTCCCTCCCCCCCCCACACACACGCAAATATATATATGTATATATATATATACAATCACGCTCTCCTTCAATAACTTTCTATCTATTTTATCTTTTCCATTCAAAAAGGAAAATAGGTCATATGATATTTTCAAGATCATAAAATGAAATATATAAACGTGCTGTCTTTTTTGTCTGTTCGCGAGAAACAGGAGTATATATATATATATATATATATTGTGCATATAACGATAAAAATTATTCACTATTTGGATCAATTTATGTTTTTACAATAAAGATATGGTTTTATAAAATACTATCCAAGATCATTATAGAACTACTCAGTGCTTTAAAAGAGAAAAAAAAGTAAAAGGAGAAGATGAGTGAAGGGATTAGAGATCTATATGTATATACTTAATTTAGGAAGCATGAGCTTCCGTTATTTCTCCTGTCCTGCTCATCAGTTTTAGATAAGTATGTCAACTAAACATAAATGTTATAGTAATTTTTTGTTAATTATTAGTTGAAGACATGAAAGGGGTAAAAATGATAGAAAATTTTTTCTATACAGAGAATAAACTTATCGTTAAGGGAGAGAAGCTAACATAACGAAATTATTAATTGTAAAATGATCACTCGGTTTTTTTTTTATAAAAACATTCCAATAATTTAATAAAAAGACTTTGACAATCGTCACATTAGCAACTAATTTGATAGGGAGAAAACTTTCAATAAGTATTATCGACCCTTTACCACCCACTTTACCTCACTATTTGCTTTCTTACAAAAACTATTAAATCTTCTTTAATAAGCCTTTAAAAGGGTTTGTTGATAATTCCTAAACGTTTATAGCATATACTATATATACAGTATATATACTGAATATATCTAAGGTCTTTATTCTTGAAACGTACATATTGTATAATAAAAAAGAGAAGAATTAAATGCTCTCTAGAACAAAGAGATAGCATCAAAGAAAAACCTAGATTTGAACCCTACAGTTGCCAAATCTTTTATTATACTCAATTTTTTTGTCAAGAGGAAAATCAAAGACAAAGAACAAAAGGCTGATGGAAGAATATGTCAAAGTCTTTTAAAAAAGAGTCATTTATACCCGTTATTTCTTTTTTATCTTTCGTCTGTTTTCCTTCCTCACTCATCTTGTTATTTTATTTTTTGGCTGTTATGGTTTTATTCTTTTTATTAAAACAAAGATGGAGTTCAAGAGATTAGAACTTACAGATTAATTAGACAGTTTATAAAGTATTAGTATATGTATATTAAATTATTACAATTGAATAAAAGTTATTAATATTATGTAACTAATTTCAAAAGTAAGCTGTTGTCTTATTACTATTGTTATCATTATTAATTAAACTTTTACTTTTGGCATATATTTACATATGGAACTGGAATGTTTCTTATGTAAATAGTAATAATTCTATGTAAAGTATAACAATAAAAAGAAAATAATAATTTTTCTGTTACTTTTTTTTTTTAAAAAAACTAGCTTATTTTTCTATAATTAATACTTTTATCTGTAAAAGTTAAGAGAGAAAGAGTGAGAGAGAGAGAGAGAGAGAGAGAGAGAGAGAGAGAGAGAGAGAAATTCTTTTTTCTCTTTTTATATCATATAAACAGAGAAAAAACACTTTTACCTTTAATATAAAATATATTTTATGTATCTTTACATATTTATATATACTTTATTGCTATAAATAAAAAAAAACTGCCTGATTTTTAACATAAATCGTTAATCATTGAAGGAGAGAATCAATAATTTGTGAGTGGTGTAAAAAAAAAAAGGAAAAAAAAATGGTTAAGAAAGGTATTCACACTTAAGTCTTATGGATTTAGAAAAGAAAAATAAAGGAGGGTGGGAGAGAGACAGCTAGACATTTAGACAGAGAAAGGAAAAGATGAAAAATATTAAGTGGAGACAGAGAAGAGAGAGAGAAGGAGAGAGAAAGATAAAAAAAAGAGATTGAAAGAGAACGGAAAAAAGTTTAGAGATTCAATATTTTTACTATTATTAAATACTTTAATACTCGACATCCCTGAATAATAAAACTATAACCGTTAATATTTTGGTATTTCTCATGCTGAACCATTCAGCTGCTTTATAAGGTGTTTTTACAGCGACAAACCTGGAAACGGCAATTAATACCGTCATATACATGGTAGCCATTTGACTGACGAATAGCAATGGATAGGTATAGTTTCTAAAGTAGGCCCAACTCAAATCTTTGGAGTGTACTTGAAAATCTTCAGTAGCAACGTAAAGGATGTCCCGAACAAGTATATGAATAAACGCCAGAATTAAGCATGAATTGTCCACTATAGCCAAGACCCGTAGCAAGAAAGATGCAACGGGGCTTAGGTTATCTCTTCCTAAGATGTAGAAAGCTGCCATATTTCCGATAATTCCGAGTACACTCGTTGCACCGATAACTACTATATTTATATGTAACCTCAACCAGACGCATTCCCATTTCTGGGTGTCGTTCAAGGAGTTGTTAGTCATGACTGATTGCCGCCTGTAGTGGAAAGATAGGCAGTGACGCCTAGCGGAACGCCGTGAAGCTTAATTGGTTTGATCAAGTCCCCGCTTCGCCTTCTTTTTTTTATATTATTGATCGTAAAGGCCTATTTCATAAAGATTGAAAATAGATATTATAAGGTAGTCATTAGCTTGTGTAAATTTACGATCATAATAGAAAATATTTATTAACAATTGTTTTGTTACTTGAATTAAAAAGAGATACATGAATGACGTTCAAAAGTAACAATTGTGTAGATATTAGGCTAAAAATCACAATAAGTGAATAAAAATAGAGAACTTGTTTACTCCAAATAAGTTATATAGACGGCTTTATCTTTTAAAATAATATATTTCTGTTTTCTATAGGAAGCGATAAGATACGCTACACGTTTCTTATATATTTTTCAAAATTAACTATTCGAAACTAATATACCGTATGTTGTAAATACTAAAAACTATATAGATGGAAGAAGAAGAAGAAGAAGAAGAAGAAGAAGAAGAAGAGAGAGACGCATGGCGAGCGAAAGAAAGAGAGAAATGAGAACAAACTAATTACTTTAAAAACCAATAATATACGTAATAACGTGCGGTTTATATGCTTTAGGTTTAACCATTAACTCATCATATTCAAATTAAGATAATATTTCATCCAATTAAATAAACAACTCTTCTTCTTATTTTATTTATATTTCTACAATTGGAAATATATTTCAATCGGATTAGGTGTAACATTAGGAACCTCCTTACCTATAACCTTGAAGGAAAAGCATGACTAAGTCATAAGCAAGTCAAATATTCAATTTAATCATTATGATACAGATTTTACTGACGTTGGTGGAATCAGAAAAATGGTATAGTCAAATTCACAGTAGATGGCATTGTAGTATGATAAAGATGGAGAGGACAAGCTAATATAATGCACAGAAAGAGTATTATAGATTGTGTTATATCTATGTTAAATTACCCTTCACAATATAATTCTTTAAGTGTTAAAACATGTATATAATTTATACTGTATATTGGGGGAGAAGGGGGAGGGAAAAGGCGTGGTGAGGTCAAGTTGTGCTTTAAAAAAGTTTTTTATAAATTCATTGATCGATATAAGATGTTTTTAGCGTAAATTTCAATGAAATTTTCATATAAATCGATCATAATTCCACTTAATTTGTCAATATCATAATTTGTAACATTTTACAAGCTTTCTTTTATTCGTTTTCTCTCTCTCTCTCTCTCTTCCCCCCTCCCTCTCATTCTCTTTCATTTTCTCGCCTTTGAGTCCCTTGTATTATTAATTCACCTTTCACTCAACGCTGCATTCCCAGTCTTCTCCTCCTCCTATGTTTTTTTCCCTTTGGTCCTAGAAGCTGCTTTTAGAATAATAAAGAGAAATAGAGAGGGCATGGGAAACACAGGAAAAGAATAAGAGCGGGAGAGTAAGTGAAAGTATTGTCATAATCGGCTAACGTATATAATAATTCTTTCAGATGATGTTAAAACCTGAAAATATTTTTGTTGCTATTGGTTTACATGCTATTTATTAACTTGGATTTAATTTACATAATTCTAGATTGCAAGATCCTCTTCTTGTTTTTTTTTAATTGATTTAGACGTTTATATGTACACAATGGACACTAATTAAATCAACAATCTTCTCTGCTAACTCCCTTCCTGTCTGTTTTCTCGCTCTCTCTCTCTCTCTCTCTCTCTCTCTCTCTCTCTCTCTATCCTGTTCTATCCTAAGAAAAAGACTCGTGGCGACATCTATCGCCTCTTCAGAGGGTAACAAAAATATCAATGTTTAAGGAAATAGTGGAAAAAAGCACGATTGATTATCTACAATCCTAAAGTTTGCAATTTCCTTCACCCTCTCGTCAAAGATCTAGAAGAGGAAGGAAAGCGACAAGCAACATCAATACATACAGCGGATGTTAATAGATGTCGCTGTCGTTGGATAGATGAATAAAAAACGAAATACATATTTGTTATAATAATAAAATATTTGTATTTTTTTTAACGAAACTTAGAATATTTCGGTCTCTGAATAGTTTTTATCATTGTTTACGATTTGCTTATCAACATTTAAATTAGCATTTGCTTTTTTCACTTTATGGTAATTCTGATGATAAATTTGATTGAGCAGCTCTTCGTTCTTTTCAGGAACAGCAGGTGGAGTCCGTTTTTTAACAGTTGAATACAAGGATTCGTTCTCTTCTTCACTCATTAGTTTTGATGTTCGCCTTGGGGGCGGAGGAGGCGGTACTTTCCTTAGCACTCGCCATTCAACAACTGAACCCTCTTGACTAATTTCAGTGACAGCGGGATTAAAAGTCACATGCCCTTTGCAGGATTTTGTAGACGAATCGGGTGTCGTCTCCTCTTGAATATTCTGAACGCTAAATGTTTGACGTATATGACAGAGCCTCTTGGAGACGCTTGCCAACGAATAACCAATTGTTGTTATATCACAATCGTCAGAAGAACAATCGTGCTCGTCGACTTCTCTCTTTAAACGTTCGACAAATCTTTCGAGATTGAGAATTTCATCAACGAAGGAAGAAGGATTGGACGGCACATTTCGAATTGACTTTTGATAAGATTCTACAAATTCTTTGAACTTTTTGAATGATTCAAAAATGCCTTCACGAAGATCGTTTGCATTAGTTAAATGAATTCTTCTTAATTGTTTCTGTTCATTCTGCAGGGTTTTTACGGCATGTAAGATGTTCTTCATCGTCCTTAAACCGTTGTTTTGCTTTAGGAAATGAGAATACGTCGTAAACAAGAGATGAAAAGATTTTTTCAGTTTACTATAATAAAGAAGTAAGGCCAATGCCATTTCTTAAGGACATAAATTAAAGAAAAAATATTACATTCATTTGGGGGAAAGGGGATTGAGTAAAATGATGAAATTTCTATGGCTCTTATCTAGAACAGATAGGATAGGCCTGGAAAAAATTGTATAGCTAATTACCTGCATAGGCTGAGGGGATTCATCTGAAGCAATTGAACTACCAGGTGATCTGTCCTTAGTTACAGCCGTTTGAACCCAGGCTGTTAAGTTAGCCAATTGAGCCTCCATACTAGCCATTCTATTTTGAGTTTCTATACCAGATGTAGGTGTTGCACTTCCCGATCTAGAACTTGTTGGCGATGTTGATGAGCAGACTGTTTGACAACTGGAAGTCGATTCAACAACTTTTAATACGCTACGGTCCTTAACATCTTGAACATTCTCTAATTCATAATAAACGTTAGTTGCATCATCTAATATATAGATTTTCCTAGTTAGCCAGCAACTTGGTGACATGCTCAACGTATCCGAAAACGACCGAACAAAAAGTGCTTTAACCGTATCTAACGACGTCACCTCATTTGGTAGGGTAGATCTTTTTGTTTCCGATCTCCAAGTTAATAAAACCAAGCCCATAGGTTTCTCTAAAGTCCTATTGGGATCCCTCACAATAGGTAAGGTCGATTTAACGCTTATGTTGGCTTTTATTTGCTTATCCGCCTATGAGAGATTATTAAGAGAGAGAAAAAAGATTATTTTAATAAGAAAACAAAAGAACAAAACGAAATTATAAAAAAAATAGATGAAAAAGATGACTATTAATTACGCAGTTAATTTAACAATTTATTTCTAAAATGAGGTTTTTTCTTCCTTTAAATTAACCCAACTATTCGACATGGAAATTAGATTTTTTTATCTCTTTCTGTTCTATAGTATTTTCAAAGTTCTCTCTGTCTCTATTTTGGTTCTATTCCCTTTCTTTCTTTCTTTCTTTCCCTCTTTCTTTCTTCCTAGCTCCCATTCCCCTTTATATCTATTTATGTTTAAATATGTACATATACTATATATATTCTTGTCATTCCCTGTATTTTCTCCGACTGTTTAATGTTCTTTACATAATATATAATATTCAACTATCCAACATGGTATTATTTAACAATCTAACTGTAGGGAGAAATTTATAATCCTCCACAGTTTCATAATGCCGTTGATTATTAATGAAAGGATCGGATAATGAAGGGGAAACTCGAATTACGATTGGAAAAGGAAAAAAGGAAAAATAAGACTAATGTTTTGTTTTCTTCTTTTAAGGTTCAATTAATCATTCTTAGATGTAAATTTTCTTCTTTCTGTTTTTTGTTGGACTATCTTCTCCGTCCATCAAACATTCCTTTATAGATATTTATAGATTTTGATAATAAAAAAAGATTCAGCGGACATTGGCAAGAGGAAAGGAGTTATCAACTAATTACAACATGAACACAGAGAGCTTGGTAAAAATTCTGTTTTTTTCACACTCTATACGGTTAAGCCTATATATAGATGTTTAACGTCACATGGACGGTTTTTTTTTCTCTTCCTTCAAGTATAAGAGTAAAAAGAGCATTTTATGTCTTTGGGCTTATTGAAAAATCCTTAAGAAATACTTCTATTTTGTAGACAGTATACTATTCTTTACATTTTGTAAAAATTTCTAGGTCAGTAAATTACTTTTAATTAAATGTTTCTATTTATGCCATAATTATTGATATTTGTATTTAAGGCAATCTTTTACTAATACCAATATTACTACTGCTCCTACTACAACTACTATTGCTTGTACTATCATTACTACTCTTATTATAGTTACAAGTGGAAAAAAAAAGCCATTTGAATGGATAAGCCTTTATTGACTGTAAGGAATATACTCGGCTGTACGCCACCGAAAAATACTCGTTTCGAGTCATTAGTCTTGTTTTTCCTCTTCTTTATAATGATGAAGGAATAGAGCATTTGTTCGCTCATCCTTCTTGACTGAAAGAAAACATCTGAGAAAGTGGCACCTCATTTCTCTATCGATTTTTGTTTTTGAATTGTTCATACTGAATTTTATGTTTTAGTATGTTTGACGTTCGACAATCGAATAGAAATAGTTAAAAAGAAAAGGGCCAAAATCGAAAAAATTCAGTCTTTTACTTAAATGAAAAAAGAGAAAAGCAGAATATTTAAAAAAACGAGAGAAAACAAACGAAAATTGTCCGCTTCAACGAATATATCGATATGTACGATTTGATAGAACACGTAGCTTTTAAACTAATGCTTAGAATGTACATAAAAAAATATCAATTTTTTTTTTTGGGGTAAAAGAGACGTCTTATTGATCCATCTGTCAAAATATAAAGAAAGATAAAAAAAGAAGGAAAAGTATGATGTTAATTAGAAAGGAGAGAAGGAATAGTTATAGAAGAGACGCTAATTTTCTTTTTAAAAATAAGAGAATAAAAGAAGAGAGATTGAATAAGGAAAGCATTTGTAAATCCACATATAGATGACAAACTGCCAAGGAGAGAGAGAAAGAGAAAGGGAGAGGAATAGAGAGAGAGAGAGAGAGAGAGAGAGAGAGAGAGAGAGAGAGAGATGACTTTAACTGATTTTTTATCGTTTTTGTAATGTAAAGATGAAAAGGAAGAAGACAATAGAATACATAAAGAGTACACAGCTTATACATGCATATACTGCATATTAATAAATATTTCTCTTATATACTGCTTGTACAATATACAATATATCCCGCAAATATATGTAATATATTGAAAGAGAGAGAGAGAGAGAGAGAGAGAGAGATTGGGAGAGGGAGAAGAAGTGAAATTGGCATAAAAAGTAATATTTTGTTAATCGTCATATTGATTATGTTCGGATCAGTGCTATAAATGATATAACTATTTACGTTATGAGCTAGATCTTATTTTACCTCTGACATTTTCCTTGAACAGCAGCAGGCCGTCAAAACGGACATATCCTACCATCACGTTTCGGTAACATCAAAAGAACTAATACTGAACAAGTGACGGCCTCGATCAATAAGGCGAGTTGCCCGTAGGGGGCGTTGCAAGAATTTTTTTTTAAGTAATCAATACGCATATTACATATATATATATTTATGTAAGTCTAAATTTATAAACAGAAAAAACTGCATATATGCATATATGTATGCATATAAAGTATATTAGTATATACATATATATATATACTGTATATTAGTATATATGCATATTCAAGAGGTCAATATTAATAGATGTTGCATATTATAGAGAAATAATGATCAGCGATAAATAAAATTTTACATACCGTAATCTTTTTCGGACCGTAAATCGCTTCCGAGTGGGCCGGAAATGACCTTGCAAGAACATCGTCTGAACTCTCATAGACACTCTGCATTGAGGAATGTATAGTAGAATTAGATCTCTTTATTACTTACTAAATAAAATTGTGACGAATCGTACTAAAACTCTCATAGTCACCCTCCCATACAACACCCCATATACTTAAAAACTTTTTCTTTTTGGACAATTGTAAACTATTTGCTTATGGGATAATCCCATTGAAAGTCCGATTTGCCACTAGATGACAGTGTTCTCTGTTAAAATAATACGTAGGCCTTTTAAAGAAAATATACTTATACGTACACCTTTACTGCTGTAGAGTGAATCGACGTCTGAACCGGAAACTGTAACTGTGTGACGCCTCCGCTCGTCAACTCTTTCGCATTCCTTAGATCCTGTTAAGACGTATATATGAAATCAATTTTTGTGCGTTTCTCTCTTATTTAATAAATTTTTGCCCTGGTGCAACTTTGGGAGTTATTGATGGTTTTATTATGGTTGAAAGAAAAACCTATAAAGATGAAACAAGTCTAACTTTAAACATAAAAGAAGAATAGATATACCAGTTTACAATAGCTTCATAAATTCTTATATATCTTTCGAAGTATATACAATTTATATATATTTATCAGTTTACCGTATATAGGATTATAGCTTTTTCGGTTAAATGTTGCTTAAAACTTTTATGTATAGGAAGATATTAAGGTTAACGATTCTAAACGTTAGCTTGGTAATCAAGTTATTTCTTAGAGAAATTCCTCGTGACAAATTGGCCAGATTTAATTTATCAATAATAAAGAAAAACCGATTGTCTTCTAGCTTCTCTTCTACCTTTTGTTCTACTTTTCTCCTATCCTCTCTTCTCTCTCCTTGCTTTCTTTTCGTATTGATGTCCTAATTTTCTGCCATTTAACAAAGTAAAAGGGAAAGAAAAGAAGAGTATGTTCGCCCTCTTGGAATTTAACCCAGACGAAGAAATGGTATAACTCTTATAACTAATAGTATAGGCTATTAAGTATAATTGTACTATACATCCGATAGCTCCCAATAGGATTTAGTGATTCCAAGTATATTTAAGCCTACTTTCTTTAGAAGATGCTCAATTTTGTGTAAAATTTTTTTATGAATCTGGTAATTTCAACTTTAATTGGTCTTGTTTCTAGCTTGCGTGACTCTATCTGATTTACGTCCACAAAGAAAGGAGAGAAGCCGATATTTAAAGATATGTTTTCTTTTTCTTCTCCTTCTTCCGTCTACTCTAATTCCAAAGAGAAGTGAAAAAGAGATCCAACTGCATTAAAGGTAAATCCATTAAGAGAAGAAGAATATAATATTCTCTTACACGAAATATTTAGTACTGCGTTTCGTTGCGTAAGGAATAACGGTAACTGTTTCTTTTTTAAAGAGAGGAGAAAGGAGAAAGTAATCACAAATCTATTTAAGCATGTTCATTTAAACGACTAAGACATCTCTTAAAAAGCCTTATCCATCAGACTATAAAATAATTAGCTAATGACATTTAAAAGTTTTTCGACGCTCTCTTAATTTCTTCTTCTATTTTCGATAAAATTGATTGAATTTTCTATAATTTATATGGAATAAATCGTAATGTTCCCAAACATGGAATTTTGCAGTTAAAAGTTTTAAATTAAACACTTTCCGTAGTCGACAATTAATTATGTAGTCATTGCTAATAAGTTAATTTCCTGTGTTCGTCTGTTTACTTTACAAGACGTAACTCATTGGAAAAAAAGCAGGAAAAGCAGAAGAAGAGACAAACTGTGAGTGTGTGTGAGAGAGAGAGGGGGGGAGAGGAAACAGGATAAGGAGAAAGATAAAGAAGGAAAATAAAGGAGACTTAAGTCTACAGTTTGCGTCTCCAAGATAAGGGAGAACAGAACGTAGTTCTAATTTATTGTTCTCTTTACAGAGTCCAGAATTTAGTGATAGTTATTTGGAAGAAACGAACAGTTTAAAATATATTATGTAGCAAAGGAGTTAACCATCTTTGTACAAAAGACACATTCTGCATATTCATTAGGCTGCCGTCACGAAACTTAAATATTAATGTGGACTTATCCGGAAATAGTGCCCTTGCCATATTTATAAGCTTATTGCCAATACAATTAATAAGAAACGTGACCACGACATACTTTAATCAAAAAGCATTCCATAGACGCGTTAGCACTTACTTAGGACATCTTAATTAATAGTAAAAAAAACATCTAGCTAAAGAATCCTTTACCGTCTTTCTTTTTGCTGATCATCTCTTCCTTAACATCCTCTTTCGATGGGGGTGTCATAGATTTACTCCTCTTCTTACCCATATTATCGCCAACTATGCATCATTACTCATCGATCCGGCGTCGTGAAATGGGGCGTCTAAACGAAAACGCCCTCTACATGTCACAACCAAAAATAACCATGGTAACACGCTGCAGAAAAAAGAAATAAATGAAAATATATTAATCTAATGGAACAAATTTTTCACTTTAATAACTGTTAATGATCTTATCGGCGTAATGTGTTAAAATAATAGCAACTAAGCAATATTCTATTTACAATTCATGCTTTATAAAGGAAATTCAAAATTGTTACTATACAGTTTTTTTTCCCTAATTTAAAGGAGAAAATTCCTTTAATTCTTCTTCTCTTTCCTCTCCTCCTTTTACTTTTTCTAGTATTAGATTCGATTTTTTTTTTACACTTAAACTCTCCTTTTTTTTTAAATTCCACAACAAAAATTAAAGAAACTTACAATTAATTAGTAGTCGAATCTTTTCTATTTATTTCCCTTCTCTCTCTCTCTCTCTCTCTCTCTCTCTTTCTATCTATCTATCTATATATTTATCTCCTTTCTCTTTTTTTCTGTCAGTCTATCTCGAAGAAGAAGAATTAGTCCTACTTTTTGGTGGACTTTCCTACTTCTCGCAGCACTCTTCTCTACCGTAAATAACGAATTCGTCTAAATTCAACGTTCGACTGATTTTTTATTAGCATCTGTTACATACTTATGTTTATGTGGCCAGAAAATGTGTTAATTTTACTTTTCACTGTTTTTTTTTTTTTAAATTGAAAGAAATAAAAATAATGGTAAAAAAAAACAACACACACACATACACACTTACAAACTCTGCTACAAAGGTTCGAATACATAATACAGTGTATTCTTCCTAAACTTTCTTTATTCCCAAGTCTCTTTTTCTCTCTTTCTCTTTCTCTTTCTCTTTATCTCTTTTGTTTCTTATTCTTAGTTTTTTCAATCTAACAACTGTGTGTAAGTAGAAAAGAAAGTGGCAAAAAAAAAAGATCAGAGAAGGTTAGAGTGCATATGCAAACGTGATAGATAGTGCAGGGGAGAAGATGAGGAGAGATGGGGAGGGGGAGGAATAAAAAATTGAGAGAAGGGTTTTCCAAAAGAGTAAAGGGTGGAGTTCTAAGACCACCCTTAATAACGTAAACATAAGAAATATCAAAAGTTCAATGAATATTAAAGAAAGAGAAGAAGAGAAACTTTAGGAATGCATAACTTTGGGAAAGTTGAAAAATATGCTAGAACTATAAAGATGATAAACTTGAAATTAGCAAAGCTTATAGAGTAAAATTGGAGATATATTGCAATATTAATATGACATATACCGAAATCAGATAGCGGATCCTTCTGTAAATATGTAAGATTGAGCAAACAAATAACTATTAAAGCTGTACTCTACGCCCTTTTCAACGTCTGATTTCTCAATTCTTCTCTTTTATATAATTCGGCGTTACTTTTTCACTTCATTAAACGCCTTTAGTATAAATCATTCCTTATTATAACCGAACAAAATTCTCTTTCTTTTATATTTTAAAGATGTAGTTATGTCAGCATACAGTATATATACAGTATATACAAGGAAACATCAATTGCTCCACTATATATTATATCGAAATGATCATTTACTATATATAGTGTAAAGAGAGAAAATGAGTAGGCAAGGCGAATAAAAAAAGAAACAAAAAGAAATTAGATAGTAGATTGCTAAATGTATATTTAATGTATATGCATGGTTCTGACTACAAATATGTGTAACATAAACAAAACGTAGGCGCTTTCTTTATTGAAAAACTAAACGTAGCTGATCAATAAATCTCAAGAGCGTCTATTTTTCATAAATTTATTTTCACACGTAGTATATTAGATGGATAATTATCAATTTTTACAATTAATTAATTATTCTTTTGAATAGTTTGTAAATGAAGAGAAATAAGAGTGCAACGGTGGGCTAGTAACGAGAATTTATGCATAGAATATTAATACCTACACACCAAAGCATCACAATTAGCTGGAATATATTCCTCAGACCTGTCACAGGTATATATACTGTATATATTAAATATATACAGTATATAGAATGACATCAATATTTCTCCTCTTTTTCCTTTTTCATTTTAGAAAAGCAAGAATATTTAAAAGGTCTTTCAATCAATTTTTTTTATACTTTTTCTCTCCTTTCTCTTTCTCTTTCCTTTTTCTTAAATTCCCATAAGGTTCAATAAGGATCATACTATTCCCTTTAGTTCTAAATACTTATTTCTAGTAACCAAGTGAATAGATATGTATCATTTATCCATATTCTAAATCCGACAGTCACTCGTCAATAATCTAATTGAGAATGTATAGAGTTTATCGGATAACATGAAATTTCATCGAGAGATAAAAGATTGTGATGGAAGAAATAATTTTCTTACTTACTATTTAACCCCTTTGTCAGCCTATATTCTAAATGTTTTAAAGCATCTATAATTTTATTCCACAATAAAAGATAACATATAGCCTAACAACGACCTTTTATATCTGGCATGACGTGATAATAACGTAGTAAGCCGTCGATATTAGAGAGTTCTACAGTATTAAGAGAAAATGGTAGAAGAGTCGATAACTAGACGAAAAAGAGCGAGAACGTAAAAAGATTTATTGCCTTTGCAGAGTACTGTATAGTGCGTTTGCTGTATAAGATTATACAATATATATATATATATATCTGCGTATGAAAGAGAGAGAGAGAGAGAGAGAGAGCGGGAGAGTACATATATTAATATATACAGTATATATATGGATGTATGTATGTATACGAGAAAAACAAATACAAATGGTAGATAGATAGATAGAAAGAGCGAATGAAAAGAGAAAAACATCTACAAACAAACATTGCAAACAAGTGGTATAAAAGAAGTAGACTTGCTTAACAAATACTACTTATTCATAAAAGTAAATATAAATCTTGGGATAGACATATACTCTTTTGTTTTTTTCTTTATCCTTTATCTTTCTCCTCTTTCTTTATCTGTCTCTCTCAGTCCTCTAAGTTTTCCAAATCTTTTAATCTGAATTTTATTTTTGAAGAAAATTCTTATGAGACAAAGAGCAAAAACATTCTCAGATACATGAGAGTGAGAGAGAAAGAGAGAGAGAGGAGGAGAGAGACTATTTTCTTGTTTAATAATAATAAGAAAAGAAGACAGTATGTGAAGCACGTTCTAATTAAGCGTATTTAAATATTATACTGTTTTACAGATTTAATTATAATAGTTGACGTTTATTAAGGTAAAGTTAACTGAATTTACGCCAAGTGTCACGTAAAGGCAAATGCGTTTTGAATGGAAAGTTAGAGGGGGGGATCGATTTTGAGAAGACTGTAAAAAGCAATTACATCAAATACGCATGGGCATATAAGGCAGTATAATACATTTTCTATATAGTATATTAGATATATATATATTACAGTTTAACAGGAAGTAATTTACCCCTTTGTCCTACTATTTTGCCCCTTGGACCCTTTTTTTCCCTATACTTTCTTACTTCATTTAAATGGACGGTTGATATCAGATAAAAATATTCTTACTTTCAATAAATTACTAATTTTTCATTCCAATAACATTAATTACTTCATTTAAAATACTTATCTGTTACTCGTTTAAAGGATAACATGATTATAAATTATACAGACGTTTCCTGTATACAATTTTTAACTAAGTAGAGAAATTTACTGGCTAGATTCTAATTAAGAGAATGTAAGCCTAGCCCTAGAACTTTTCTCCTCGTAATTAAAGGGTTAAGAGCGATTGAGAATGATAAATAGGTGTTAAAAGTAGGGTTAGTTATTTTTTTTATTCTATCCCATTATAGGCCTAAGGTTAAATGTAATAGTACACAAAGTATCCTTCGATTAGATTAACGATAAAAGGAAGAGCTTAAACGGTTGTAACGATTTAAGTCAGAGGCCATTAATCTTTTAGATAAACCGACAAAGTATAAGCTACCAGTTATCTCTATCTAATTAAATTAGTTGAAAAAAAAAACAAACATATTCACACGATATGTAAAATTAATGTAAATATTACCATTGTTATTAATAATAAAAGTAAATTTCTCTCTCTCCCCTAATATATCTCTTTTATTATATAATCCTGCTAAAATAAAGAACTCTTTAATAAACCATATAAAAAATATTAATATCAACCATCACAATTTTGTCAAGTTTGTCTCATTGCATCCAATATTTGGGACCAATGGGATTCATCTTGATTCATATGTCATGGAAAATGTTACGGTTCAACATCGAAAATTGACCTAAAAAAGGGAAAACTGATTCCTTTATTGGATAAATAAAATAGCGAAAAAGGGAACTGCAGTAATCAACGTCTGGTTAAAAAAAATTCTCGAAATTACAAACATTTAAGGTAATTTTTAAAATATAAAAGAATTATATTAAATTAAGTAATTTACATATTTATAAAGGTCAAGTTAATTAGCATAAAATTATTCAGCATCTATTCTTTCTGTGACATTCATATATATTTTGTTAGTATAAATTTGAAGGCGATAGATACAATTTTTTGAGTATATAACATATACGATACAAAAGAAACATTGTTGCATCTCGACATGTCCCTAGTCACCAGTTCTCTACACACATATACTCTCTCTCTCTCTCTCTCTCTCTCTCTCTCTCTCTCTCTCTCTCTCTCTCTATCTATCTTTGTTTACTTTTACCCACTATTGAAATAGTAATAAAATTTATTGTTTATTTACTTTTATTATTTCTTTTTTCATATTCCCTTTAAATAAACTTCTCTTTATGAATTTTTTCAACCATAAAGCGTAAAATAATCAATTTTTTACTGCAGACTTTTATTTAGTTACTGCAGCCAGGTTACAATTCAGAATTTTTACTGTACGTCCAATTTCTTTGAAAACTCCTGGGAGAAAGTCACATTGGTAATTGTTGTAGATAATGACCAGAGGGAAAAATACTACCAAGATTTAATAAATGACGTCAAAAAGGGTGAACAACAGATATTACATCATAAAAGAGGCTAGAATTAAATTTCAATAGGAGGAAAACAACCCTAGGATGTAATCCTTATACAATCTAATAAGAGAAAGTTCAGATTATCTAATGTTTTTATATACTTTTTTCTAAATAGTTGACAATGATATCTTAATGCATTCATCAACGATATAAAGAGACGAATTTGAACTCGTCATTCTATTACTATTTCAAAAAATTCAATTTCTCTACATTACATTCTTTATACAACGCCATCTATTTTTGATTGATGATATACTAATATATACTGTATTCGGTATACATTAGTATACATAAGAAGTTTTGTTTATGGTATATTCATGTATTACTCTTATAGTAATATAAGTATACAAGAATTTAGACAGTAGCAGATGACATTCCACCCTTAGGCTGATAAGAAAAAGGCGATGTTTCCAGATTTATCACTTTCACACTCTGTTTCTCTCTTTCTTTCTCTTTTTCTCTCACGTTTCTCTACCGTGTTAATTTGTTGTCAACAACGGACTAGAAAACGTCGAATGCAATAATCTACTCTACAATTTCCCCTTAACAAGGAAACGCCTTTTTCTTATAAAAAAAAGAGGAAAAGAAATATCCTCTAGAAGTATTATTATAAGAAATTTCTTCCATTTAAAGGTCTTAATACCATCTGCAAAACTTATAGAATATACTATTATTCTATAGGAAATTTATTCTTAAGGGAGTTCGCTAATTTACATAGTGTTATTATAGTTTTTGTAACCAATGGTAGTTTTTTTAGGACCCTTGATTTTTTCACCTTTCCCCTTCCCCCACTCTCCACTCTTGTCCTTCTCTCTCTATTCACTCTTAAAATAGTTGATTTTTTTTCACCCTTTCTTTCTATTATAAATATAACGGCAACAATATAAAGGAAATGCTATAACAATTATATTTCCCCCATTAGACCAGTGAAACATTAGTATACAAATGTAATTATTTAAATAAATTGATTGTAATTAAAAAAAAAAGGAAAGAAAAAGAGATTAAAAACGTTCCCTAGTACCTTTTTCTTTAAATTATATTATCAATTCAATATCTATTATTCACTAAAAATAGATGCGAAATATATCCATAAAAAAAATAGTTTTAATGTACTTTATATCCGCTAAATGGCGTGCAAGTCGATACATTTCCTTTAAGTATGTGAAATATGCAAGAATGCTTTTTGAAGAATAGGGATTTTGATAAGAAAGCTTAGATAACCTGTTAGTAAATAATATAATTATATTTATGTCAGTTTTTTTTATTAAAAATACTAATTGTCACGTGACCTAACAAAAAAAGAAAAGACTTCATAGTTAATAAAACCATTACCTAATTATAAAAAATTGCAAAGATAGAAAAAGAAAAATGAGTGATGACCTAACTGAGAAAAAGAGAGAGACAGAGAGAGAGAGAGAGAGTAAGAGGGTGGGATAGAAGAGAAGGACAATAAACTTTCCCCTTGAATAAGAAAAAATATACAATTGAAAGAGAAGAAGAGCAGGAAGGAGGAGGAGTGATTTTGTAGTAGTATTGTTAGTTAAAATTAATTAAAGATAAAAGATAATATAAATGTTAAACGTACGAATGTTAGTTGTTATAGATTTTTTATTAAAAAAAAAACAAACAGAAAGAAGAGATTTTTAATGGAAAGAAAGCTGATTGTACTTTCTTGTTAACTCATTGAAAAGTTTAACTAATTAGCATTTATTTAAAATGAAATTATAACAAGGTTCAATAAATATTACGATCCTTACTCCAAGAGCAAAGAGAAAGAGAAAGAGAGAGAAAGAAGGCAAAGAATGAGGACAAAAATAAGCGAACATGATGTCTTGAATAGGTTTGTTATTTTGCTAAACCCTCTGATAAACAAGTGGAAAGGGAAGAGAGAAGATAGGGAATAATAAAATTTTTAAACATGAATTAGAAACATTCGGTGAGTGAACAAAAGTTACTTCTCGAATGTATTGAAAAAAAATATTTCTTTATCGAATGAGAGGAAACTAAAGCACAAATTGTGAAAAAAAAAGATTAAGAGTGAATTCCTAGCTTTTGTTGAAGATATTTTGAAGTAACTTGTCTACCAGCATTACTAAGTATTCGATCTCCTTCATTTCTTGACCATTCTGATTCAAATTCGCATTCCAGAATTTCTGCTCCCTTCTTCCTAGTTAATCCAGTGTCTTCTAAGCTTAACTCACACATTTTCATATCATCAACGCCAGCAACTAAGAGAACGGCACTTTTCTCCGGATGAAGCTCCATTTGGCGAGCAATCCATTTGCCATCGAAATGAGCGTACCACCAACCTTTCTGCTTCGGTGCTCCATCTCCACGATTATTATCAGATGGTCTGAGAAAAGGAATTCTAAAGAAGCGTTGAGTTTCCATTCCTTTTGTTGGTTTAGATTGGGACAAGCCACTAATGGAATGACTTTCCAAAACAGCTTTAGGAGCCCGACCTGCATCCGGATTTTCCATAGCCTTTTGCTGTTTATTCTTTGTCTTCCAAGCATGGTACACCTTTAATCTTCTATGAAATTCCTCTTTACAGGCATCTAATAGCGCCATATCGCAGGAAGTATTTATCACATCTCTTAATTCGGCATATTTCATTTTAGTCAGGTCGTATTTACCAACCTGCTTTCCAGCACTATATCATTTTGTTGAAAGAAGAAAAAGAATGCATGTTTACTCTTTTGAATGGTGATAAGCAAGATAAAATGTAAATAAAAGAACTAAATAATAAAAAACAAATAACAATAACCATAGTAATAAAGAAAGAAAAAAAATACCCCAAAAAAAAAATACCACACATAATAACAAACAACTCACGTATTTGTAATTATTGGATCGAATTGTAAGGCGGCGGCTTTACTACTAGCCGCAACTAAACCTGTCTGCAGGTCGACTTCCATTTGACTAACCGCCTCCGCAGTCCTTTGCTGCTGTTGTTGCAACAACTGAGTCTGTTGCGGTCTAGAAAGATATTTCGAAAAAAGAGATCGACATGCGTTTAGAGTGCAGATGGTTAGTGAAGGGAATAAATTATTTTCTAATTAATTAAGTTAATTTAATATTTTCACCAAAAAAATAAAAACATTAAATTGTCAATTTTTTGTTTTTTTGGTTAATTTATCAAAATTTGTTTCTTTTTTTTCTTTAAAATTAACTCTAAATCTAACATCCTCACCGTTGTTGCTGCAGCGGTTGCCTTTGCTGATACTGTGGCTGTTGCTGCTGCATTTTAACTGTATCTTGCATTCGAGGTTGTTGAATATTATGATAACTCTTAACCTCTCCGTAAACGAAACGGCTGGAAATTGTTAATTATTTTTCTACACTGTTCATAATACTTTCTATTCGTAAGGTTATGGTTACTACAAAAAAATACATATGATTTATATCATATCTATTAAATCAATTCTCAGGTTGTATCTCTTCTCGTAGAACCAATTACGAATAGAATAGAATGAACAAAGATTTCAGCTACGAACCTTGGATCATCGTTCGGATCCATTTTGAACGATCGTACTCTGTTTTAATTAGTTATAAAAGATAGAACTGATCTAATAAATTGTTAAAAGCTAAGCAAAGCTTTAAAAATAAGAAAGAATATTTAAGCTGAAAGGACAATGGGAGAAGGATAGTAACACCCATAGTACTAATAAAAAGACCAATATCCAATAAAAGTTTCTATATTTTCTCCCTTCGTTTTAACTAATTTATGATTTTTGTACTTTTGAGGAGGGCGGAGCGGGTAGAAAAGCGGCGTGAATTCATACTTATATATATATATATATATATATATATATATATATTAGTATATATACTGTATATAAATATATATATACATGTTTGAAAGCAGTATAAAGTAACACTTTGCCTTACAAGATTGATTTTTTTCTCTTTTTTTTTTGCCTTCATAATGCTATAAGCGATTTGTTTGTTTGTTTGTTTGTTTTAACGAGAAAGACAAACAAAAATACTACAAATTCCAACAATATTTTAGGCATGCGGAGATTTTTCTCGTATAAAATGCAACGATAATAGTAATGTAAGGATGCAAAAAAAAGAATAAAAAACCACGCAATTCTGCTGATATTAACATTCCATAACAGCTACGTCTAACAAAGTGTAAGAATGCTTTTTTATATATACATACCTTGCAGTTGGAGCAGCTTCTTCAACGGCTCCCTGTTCTCCGTTAACTAGTGTTAATGCCAATTCACGATCTCTTCTTTCTTGTTCCAATCTTTCTTGGCTGATAGATTTTTAAAAAATTTTTAAATATTATTAATCTTCATTAATATTATATTCTTATAATAAATACTTTTTAGCAGCTTCTTCTTTTTCTTTTTGTATTTTACCGGCATTCTTTTCAGCCGCTTTTCTCTCTGCTTCTTCAGCTTTACGAGCAACTTCCTCTTCCTTCTTCCTCTTCAATTCCATTTCCGCTTTTAGACGTTTTTCTTCCTCTTCCGCTTTCTTCTTTCTTTCTTCTTCTTCTTTCAATTTCTTATTTTTCTCCATTTCTTCCTGTATCTTTCTTAACCTATCCGCTTCGTCGGCCGCCTTTTGCTTTTCGAGCAACTTTCTAATATCCATAACATTTTTATCAACTTCCTTAACCATTTCGCTATATGATTTTTCCAAATCTTTGGCAGCAACCAGTTTTCCTTGGCGTATTTTAGCGACAACCTCTCCAAGTCGTTCTTTGACCTTTTTAACTGATTTGGCTGCTGAATCTTTATCCTTTTTCAACTGCGGTATAATTGGCTCAACGGCAGATAATTGATCGTGCAAAGCCAGTATTCTACTAACAGCCTTGATACGTGGTCTATATTCCCTAACAGCCAACCACGATTTAATAGTCTTCTGTAAGAGAAGGAGTAGTTCCCTTCTATACAAAATCTTATTCTTGAGTTTTATTACAGAAAGTGTACACCATTGGGCTTTACGCCATCTGCTGCATATCAACCATTTTTTAACCTTTTTAATTAGTAGTGCTAGATTTTCAGGATCAGATCGCATAATTTGATCGAATTCCGCAAATTTTCCTGGCCTAAAAAATACTTTTGTTAGACCGAATTTGAAATCCATTTCGTTTAATCCAAGAGCTTTGAACAAAGCTTTACAAAATAATCTAGCGTCCAACCTAGCAATATCAGGAGGCATGTATTGTTTATACATGTTGTACAGTTCAGAAAATTGAGTTCTAGACGGGTAACCTTGCTGCATCAACTCCAAAACGGATGTCATTCCAGAACATTGAAGTTGTATAAGAATTGGCATACCCTCGAAACATTGCGAAATCATTTTATAATTGGGTTTTATGCAACGAATAAAGCTTGTTCCAGTTGAACGAAGCTTCTCCATAAGAGTTGATAATTGAGTTCTAAATTTCGATCCAACTGATATAAACGCAAGCTTTCCTTTTGTTTGAACCTTTTTAGCATTTGGATCTGGAGAGCAAATCTCCTTAACAAGAGGACTTTTACTCTCCGAGATAATCATCTCCAGAGAAAAGTGCAAAGCGTCGTTATTCTTTTCAATGAACTGCTTAGTGTGATAGCATACAGCACCTGCAAAGTGCCTAATAAGGAAGCCTTCATCGTCTCTAACTTCTCTATGAGCCTTTAATTTCGATTTTCTAGGTATAGACAAACGAAAGTGATTCTTATTTTTCGAATGAACTTCACTAGTAAAGTGATCCGGTTTTGGTTGAGGTAATTTACTCTCTTCGTCTAATACATCAAAAATACCAATCGATTTTTTTTCAATGAGATCGATGCAATCTTGATTATCAATATAGTTGATTTTCTTTACATTTAAACCTTCCTTTTCGTATAAAATTTGTTCTTCTTTTAAAATCCTTTCATTAAAGAATTGTTGTAATTTTTCATTACAATAATTGATACAAAACTGTTCAAAGCTGTTAACTTGAAAATACTCAAATCCAGCGATATCCAGAACACCAATATAGTTTTGAGAATTTTGAAACGGTAAAGCTTGATTAACACACTTTACTATATAATCGAATAGCTTTCCATAGATAAACTTGGCTAAAGCATCTCTTGCATTGTTTGCTTCGCTTTGACGAAGTGGGACTTTTATTACCGTTCCACTTTTACCAGCCTTCGCGGACTGCATAACTCTTGAAGTTAATTCTGATTTAAGATCTTTCTCGTCGACGCCCAAAAGTTGAGCGGCGTTTTGTAAAAAGCGTTCAGTGTCAGCTGTCACCTTACAACCACCTTTCTTATCATCATGATCATCTTCGAATGAAACATTTCCAAGATGAAGAATGCCAGCAACAACCGAATATATTAAGCTTCTAGTTTGATCCTCCATACCCATAGAAGAAAGCGCTTTATCAGTGACTGCAAAATCATTAATATCATTCATCACAGGATCATTCAAGCTTCCAGACTTGAGGAACTAAAAGAACATTTATAAATGAAATTAGCATTTGATAAATTAAAGTTTTTCTAGTTTTTTTTTAAAAAAAATTTGTATTATTATAATAATTCAGTCGGGTAAAATAATAAATTAAAGTCAAAAAAAAACAAACAAAACAAAAAAGATACAAAAAAAGGAGCAAAGAACAAAATAAATCCGATATTATAATACTTAAGTTAAAAGTAAAAAAGGATTATATTTCTTTTGTTCTTTGCTTTTATTCTCAATTCTAGAGAAAACCATATACGTACCTGTTGACTTTTCCTATTCGATGCCAAATCGGAGTTTGAAGAAAAGAATTGAGTGTTCCCACGATTCAGATACTGTTGTGCACATCACGACATAACAGTAATAATAATCATGCAAGAGATAAAGCTTTAGACGATAAAAATTTAAAAACTCTAAGTTTTTATCATGCTTTGGCTCATTAAAAAGACCTTTCTTTATTTTCTTTTGAACAGTGTTCAAGAGAAAACTAAGAAGAGCAGAGAAAAATTTGTTTAATTTTTTTTTTTCAATTTAAAGCTTCTTTTTCATATACACTATATATTGTATATATTAATATATATATATTATTATATATATATATATATATATATATACTATATATAGCTATAATATTATATAGACTACAAACTGTATATTTATACTTTATTACTTACCCTAAATTGATCTGGTGCAGCTAATTTAAGACTATTGTATAAAGTCTCTGGAGCTCCTGCACACATTCTGTAAAAAATGTGATAATTTCTCTCTTCAGGACTCTGCGTACAAATTCTACTCTTTTCTAATAGATAATGCGAGATATAACCGCCAGCTACAAGCATCTTCTTATCAAAGTGAATTTCGACAAATTTACCAAATCTTGATGAATTATTGTTGCGGACCGTTTTAGCGTTTCCAAATGCTTCTAGCAATGGATTAGATTCATTTATTCTATCCTCAATCGGTCCGGCGTGAGTGCCCCATGATTCAGTAAGATATTTTAGTATGTATTTTGTTGATTCAGTTTTTCCTGCACCTGATTCTCCCGAAACAATTATCGATTGACTTGCTCTCAAAGTTTTCATATCACGATAAGCTTTATCGGCAATTGCATATACATGAGGCGGAACAGTGCCAAGGGATTTACCCTGATAGTTCTTAATAGCGGCAGTCCCATACAAATGTGACACATCTTTGTATGGATTAACAGCAATTAAGATGTTAGCGACGTATGTATAGATGGCATCCTATAGGTAGAGGTGAAAAAATGAAATTTTCGTTTTAGAGCATGTAGTAACGCAACGTTTAGAATATTAATGAATTCAATTATAGGCTTAAAACCTTCTTGTAGCGAATCCGTAAATTATTTAGCAGTGTAGCTTCATTCAGGTACATTAAACTGCAATTGTCTTCAACATCCTTGTTATCGTATTCTTCAGCCGGAAATACTCTATCATATGGTGCACTTATTGCCTATAATAAAAAATCAGAAGTCTTAAACGAAGAGATAAAAAAAATTGTTGAATATTAAATTTGCTATAGTATATACTATATAATATAATATACTTATATCTAAATATTCAATATATAATGATATACTCCTACATACTGCATATAATTATATTACACATGTGTTTCTATTCAATATGCAACACTTGACAATTCATTATTGGAACCAGTAAAGATAGACAATCATATCAATAGGAAGAATTACTAATACTAATATTTCTAACAAGTATTAAAGTCTTGCGATATAGGTCTAACAAGCGAAACTGAAGCGACTTGAACAAAACAGAGCGCGAATGAAAAAAAATCGTTAGAATAAAAGAAGAACCAATAGGGTTAAGAGAGAAAATAATCGATATAAAATTTTCAGATTGCATAAAAAAGAATAGGGAGGGGTCTAGTTGGGGGTAAAATTTTGTGCTATTTATGTATACAGTATATTAAATATGTTTATATATTAGTAATATACAGTATATGATATATATATATATATATATACTGTATATAGCAATGATTTATGTAAACAGATTGTTTCTTACCTGGCCTGGTGTATCGAAAGGTTCAACAGAAATTGAATCAGAACCTAAATCGATTATCCGACCCAATTTGAAACCATCCGTCTGGTGTGGGACCCAAACTCTTTTATTGTCGTCCATATTCGGTTACCTATAATATTAACAAAGGCCTATAATATGAAACGCACCTGTAGAAATACACAAGCATACATACTGTATATACATTTATATATATATATTTAACATGGAATATAAGTATACATGCAGGTATAAATTTATATACAGTATGTATATAGAAATATCTGAATGAATACACTTTACAATTGATGTATAGAGTACACAATATAGATTTTTTTACTTTTGTTTTATTTTTAATTTTATTGATAAAAAAGAGTGAGAAAGAGAGAGAAACGAGTAATTCTTTTTCAGTACCTGACAAACACCTGTATAAAATGTTTAATAACAATTGTCACGGTTGTAGATCGTGTTTTATCTTCTGGATGTTTCTTTTACAATACAAGTATATATACTAAATATTAGGCTTAACCATATCTATCTAAACTATCACGCCTCTTCGATAATCTTTTCTTTAATTTTGATATTAGAATATTTCAAATTTTAACCGAAATTACGCCGATTCTTTCAATATTTTGAATGATATAATACAGGAAGTTAAAAGAAATACAAAGAAATATATATATATAATAGTATATGTATTATTTAAGATTCTTACACACTATATAATAGAATAGACGTGTCAAACGAAAATACAGTATAACCAATGAACAAGGATTACGAAGACAAATCAATTCGCCTCTTTCCTTCAATTTCAACATAACTCTATTTCTTTCCTTTTTTCTCTTTTTTTTACACTTATAGTGGTTTAATATTTTATATATATATATATATATATATATATATATATATATATATTAGTATATATAAACTCCTAGTCTGACAGTTAATCGTTTGGATTTGAACGTTTTAACTATGTACTAATTCCGGTTGTGACTAAAGTAAAAATGCTTAGCTATTCAGATAGTCTATATAACCAAGAAAAATTCTATACCTTTGACGTGTACGTGCCGGCGATCGAGGACGAATAACGCACAGGGTGGAGTACTTAAATACGCGAGGTAGTCAAGTCACGATCACTTTATATCTTAATTAAACACTATTCGAATATTAACGCCAAGCTTTTAAACGATCTTTTTAGTAAATGTCGGACGATATTACTCACCTAATTTAGTTGACTGGTCAAACACCTGTTATCTCAGTCGAAACATATAGGTGTTCCGGGATATCCTTGAATGTGACGTCAACAGGTGTTAAAAAATTCCCCTTTTTCCGGTTCCTGCGCAAAAATTTATTGGATAGAGGACACTAGTTGTTACTTTCGTTTCTCAAAAACTTCCATGTTTGGAAATGCATGCAATAGGAAAGAGGGTATATGGCGAAACCATATTATCCTGCAATAAATAAAGAATGCAACCATCTTAATGTTTCTTTTTTCCAGATCGATAATAAAAGATCAATAGAACTTGTATCTATTTTAAGGCATGGAACAAGTAAGATAGTGAAACCAGACTCAGGTAATTATTGATTTGTTCTTAATATCCAGCCTTTAAAGTTACTTTTAACCTATCTATTTTCTTGCTTTTTAGATGGTTATGTTCCAATTCAAGATCTATTGACCTTAAAATCATTTCGTGAATTCAATACGGACTCATTTTATCGATTAGCTGAAGAAGACAAAAAAAAACGGTACGAAATAAAAGAAAGTGGAGGTCAAGCATTTATAAAAGCTTGTCAAGGACATACTATAAGCATAAACAATACCTCCATCCAAAAAATTACGACTCAACAAGCCCAAAGTTACGGATTTATTATTCATGGAACAAATAACAAGTGTTGGCAAAAAATAAGACAAACTGTTATAAGACTAATAATAATAAATGTGTCATGAGTAAACATTACATTATTTTTTCAGGGTATTAATCGTATGAATCGTCAACATATTCATTTCGCTAGAGATGATGAGAACGCCATAAGCGGAATACCCAGTGGATGTACAGTCTTTCTCTATGTAGATATGGTTGGAGCAATTAACGGTAATATAAGATGCATAGAATTATTATCAAATTACAATACTTTAATTAAGTTTTCTTATTCTTTCTCTTTAAACAGATGGTTACGAATTCTTTCAATCGGCTAATGGAGTTATTGTTTCTCCTGGCGATTCCACTGGCTGTTTACCGCCTAAATATATTATTAAAGTGAAAACTGGATCATAATTGTTTTTCTTTAGCATCCAATTACTGATCATTTAACAATAGTTACTTTAACTATTTATAATACAAAGATTCTTGAATATTCAAAGATTTATTTTATATCCGAAATAAGAGATTTACAAAATGAAACTATAGATGGCGCCCTGTTAGTATCTTATGTCAACAATGGCGGCTAAAAAGATACCGGACGAAGAATGCCTTTTAAAGGGTACGAAATTATTGCTACGATGCGTTGACGGAAGGGAAAAAAGGGGTGAAGTAATGGCTTTTGACCCAACGAATGAAATTCTCATTTTAAGTAGGAATTCGCACGAAAATTTGCAATAATTCTGCACATCCAGTATAATCATATGATTTCTTATAGGAAGAAGAGCTAAGAGCGGCAAGCGAAAATTATACGATATTGACATGATAAATATGCAACATATACAAGAGTTAAAGGTAACAGAAGAACCGAGAAATGACTTTGAAGTTGCAATAAATTTCGTGGGTAAAGAAGAATTAGCAAAACGCACTCAAAACAATGTTGAGATGAAGAAAAATGAGTCCAGATATATAGGCTTTAACGTACCTCCCAAAGCCCAGAATTTATGTAATTTCATTAGGCAAACGTAAGTTATTTTATAAATATTAAATTACATAAAATATTAATAATTGGTATTTATCAGAAGATGTACATATATTGTATATTCTAATATCGATTATTACTTTTAGGATAGAAGAAGTTAGCTGGCAAGAAAAGTCTTTGGTTGTATTCGACGAAATTGTAATATCACCGCCGTACGGAACTGAAAACGTTGATAAACTAGCAAAATTAACTTCATCTAAGCCTAACGACCACCATGCTTTATCTCACGTGCGAAAAATTGTTGAGAAATTTCACAGGACTAGAACTCAAGACGATCAGTAAAAATTTTTATAGTTCAATTAAAAAATATATTACATTAAATATAGGAAAATAAGGGTATTGTTAAAAAAATAATAGTAATATAATAAGAGAGTAAGAACATAAAATATGGAATATCAAATGGAGAAAGTGATTTCGCAGTCTATAACCATCTTTCAAAGAGATATAATTACAACATAAAAACCTATATTTTCAGTCATATTCCTTCCAACTTAGAAGCTTATTCTTTTCGTTCGTTCAATATCTACCTCTCTGTTGTAGTCAGACAAGTATATACTCTTAGGTAATAAGTGATCTAAATAGTATATATATATAAATATACTGTATATACGTTAGTATATAAGACAATACTCATTTCAGTCTACATTATAATAATTCTGCAAGTTATAGACAAAAAGAAATGTTCGTTTACTTAGTTTTGCCATAGAAAAATGCAATTTTTCCCAACAATGACGTATCTAATTGTCAAATTCTTTCCCGATAAATTATTTAAGCACCATTGATATCTCAAAAGACCTTCTATTACCGTTATTCGTAATTTTTAATATCATAATTTACAAAAAGGAATACAATTTATTCTTTATTTGTCCATTTCTCTTTCATTTTTCCCATTCATTTTCGTTCCAGGTACCAAGTTCTAAGTTAGTAGCAACTACAAATGTTAGTAAATTGTAAATGAATTTAAGTGTATAGCTTGACTCATTTTTATAAATAAACAAATATCAGTTGTTTTATACCTATAGCAAAAAAGCGTCTAACAAATGTAAATCAATAACAGTAAAGAGATTATATACACATTTGTAATGCTACTTAAAATGCAAAGGAGAATAAGTGTATAAATTGTTCAAAGGTCATCTGGAAGTAATCTGATTACAACTCCTTCTCCGTCATTAAGCTTCAGATCTTTTAATCCAACTTTCTGATATAATTGATTGAAGGATTTACCAGTTGGATTCGTAACTGCCATTATTTCACCGCTCATGTAATTTGTAGATTCTGTAAAATCGATAGATTCTGTCTTTTCACCAAAATTCACAGCAACCAAGTAAGGAAGGAAACGCCTTGCGTAACGAACATATGAAAGTATAGAATTCGTTATAACAGCATAATTGAATTTTCCATTAAGAAAGGAATGTTCTTTTCTAAGATTAGATAGTCTTTCGAATGTTTTCAATGCGGAATCATCCTATCAAAGAAAATACAATACTTAGCAATAAGATCATGTTTAATAGAAAAGAACAAAAAACTAACTGATAAATTTCTTTGGATAAAAGCAGTTCCTGGAAGAGTCATAATTAATAAATCATGTAAAACGGAATGTTTTCCATCAAGCTGAAAAAAATAAAGTACTAATAGTTTTTAATGTTGCAAAGAGGATAAATATTCTGTTTTTGAAGTTCTTACACTTCTACAAGTCAATTAGATATTTATTATTTTTAGTTTATAATACCTAAAAACCTATGAATTCTGCTCCTTTGACAGTTTTTTTTTAGTAATCAATCAGCTAATAACTCTTTAATGAACTATAAAGTACAGTTCATTTTAAGCCACTATAGCTATTAAATAGTATTTTGCAAGTGCTGATTTAACAACTTTTAAAACAGAATATAAAATTTAAAAAAATCCTTACACCCCAAGAGGAGACTTTGTTTGATGGAACTTCGGTGATCCAACTGTCAATTTCTTGGTAAAAACACATGCTACCACACTTGGGAACAACATTAAATGTTTTTATTGGAGCGTCTATTCCAGTGTCAAAATATCGTGCTGATTCTGAGGGCATGTCAGGCTCCAGAAATTGACAGGAAATAAAACTGTTAGAGTAAAGATTTAATGTTATTTTAAGGATATACACATCAATTATTTATATACAGTTGAACGTTATTTTTTATCTGATAGGTATCAAACACTTCTCGCCATAGAGCTAATAAATCATAAACTTCGTGTCTGTTTCTTGTCAATTCTTTTGACGTATCAATCTTCTGTAAACAAAATAAAAAGCCATAAAAACTGCATTCGTGAATTTATTTATTTGAGTAAAACAAATACCAAAACAAACAATTAAAAACTTACAATAGTTTCTCCTTCCTCGTTTACTTCCACATCGTCTACTACTTCATCTACAGATAAATCTTCCTCTTCGTACAATAAATCAAGTTCGTCTAAAAGGAAGCCATCGATGCCTAATTTTAACCATTTTTTGAATATATTCTTAAGAAAAGAGATAAAACAAATTTAGTATATAACTGTCAATTTAAGTAGTGTTACATTTACATTTTAATCAAGAAACTTACTTTAAACTCGTTAATTACATTTACATTTCGAAAGTTTAAGTCGGCAAGTTTCCCACCTAATTGACTTAAATAGCATTGTTTTCTAACTTCACTATAATTCCATATTGATTCTCCTCTGTTATTTTTCTAATAAGATTATTGATTAGTTCATTATTGTGTAACCTTTTTAATAGTATCGTAAATATTTGACTTTACCCAGTTATTTGGGGGTTTACCAGGAGAACAGTCTGCCCATATATAGTAATCTTTTTCTTTACAATCTCCACATGTCTCGCTTAATACGAACCAATTATGAAGTTTGCTAGTTTGATTGGGTCTCACCCTTAATAAAACTCTTACACCTATAAAGTAATTGTTAAGATTACATAATAAAAAACAAGTGTTTGCTAAGGTTGGCTTACCAGATTCCTTCAATACTGAAATCATTTGCTTAAACTCTTCCAATCCGCCATATTTTGAGTGGGCATCGTAAAAATTTAATATTGCTCCAGATTCAGTTTGCGAGAAGGCATTTTCAATTAATATTGCATCGACCAATAGAGAGTTCAATAACTCAATTTTTGCAACGATTCCTTTATACAGCATAAAAATAATCAAAGGAAAAAGGTAAAGGATATTAGTGAAAAAAACAATATATAAATAGATTTTATAATGGTTACAGAAATTCAATTAACCTAAAAAATCCCCAACACCATCCTTGTTCGAATCAACAAACTGTCCAACATCAATCCTATAAATAAAAGCTTTTTGCCACCAAAATTCTTCATGCTTTACATTCATAGCGTATTCCTCTTTTATTTTTATTAATTGTCTTTCGTTGTATATAGTTAAGAAATACATAGATATACAAAGAGATAGGAAGAATACAAGAAATTGCCATTGTTGTTTTACATTAAATGAAAGTCTCTGTCCTTCCGTCCAAGAATTTTCAAAAGATAATGGGGGTACACTTTTATCATCATTATCGTCCAAGTTATCTTTGGCATAATCAAATCTAGCCTTACATTCTTCATATTCTTTTGTCTCAACTTTAGCCCCTTGGTTCTTCCGAAGACGGGCCTGGGTATTATTAATATTTTCATCCATTATCGTTCCTAAAGACCATTAATTGTAAAATATTCTCTCAGCATAAGAACAATATATTTTTTCGGAAGTGATTCCTTTTTTAGATACTTTCTCTATATCTCAACTTGAGAGATTGTAATGAGTTGTAGATATGACGAATGCTCGATTTAGAATGTTCCGCAATTTATCAGTTTGGCAACTACCAGTTTATTCACATCAGGCAATAAAACACACTATACTTCCATGTGCGCAGATTTAACTAGACAAAAAGTTAAATGAGAAGCATGCTTTAACGAGGTGGTTGTTGAACTTGTTACATAAATGAATTATAAATAATATGCAAGGTTTAAATCTGAAAATGGATGTAATTGAATCCGCTGCGCTCACTAAATGAGTTCTAAAAAATTATTTTAATAACAAAGAACTCAAGAAAGTTACGTTGAGAGATAATTTATTGGTTTGTTCTCACAAACCAGTAATATTGTTTTTGCTGTGAGAACGTCAAAACTGAAAAACTGTTGATAAAAAACAATGAGAAAAACTATGGGCATTAGATGGCGCTGACGCTCAACCGGTAACCGTTGGTCGTCGTCGGTCGATAGCATCGACAATGGCGGACGAGAAGATAGAAGACGAAGAGTGCCTGAGAAAGGGCACAAAAGTATCAGTTCGCTGTAGAGATGGAAGAGAGAAAACTGGGGAGGTAGTGGCATTTGATCCTCAAAATCAAATTCTCGTTTTAAGTGAGTTTTTAATCGATAATAACAACGATCTTATCCAAATTATTCACGTTATTGCTACTGTAGGAAGGAAAGCTCACAGTGGAAAGCAGCATCTCTTCGATATAGATATGATAAATATGCAGTTTCTTGAGAGTGTAAGTGTAGTAGAAGAAGCTAAAGGGGATTTTGATTTAACTATAGATTTCGCTGGGAAAGATGAAATTGATAAACGCATCCAAAGAAACGTTGAATACAAAAGAACGGAATCGAGGTATGTTGGATTGGATGTGACGCCAGTTGGTCAAAATCTGTGTAACTATATACGAAAAACGTAAGTTGCCTTTCTTCATATATTTACTTTCAATTTTTTGATTAGTTATTTGATTTTCTACTCTTTGAATTCTAAAGATTAGAGGATGTGAGTTGGCAGGAGAAATCATTATTAGTGTTTAACGGTGTTAAAATATCACCTCCTTATGGTCCAGAAAATGTTGGTATAATACCAACTAAAGCTGCTGCTACCTCAAAAGGTAATGACCATGCCTTATCCCATGTTCGGAAAATTGTTGAAAAATTTCATAAAGAGAAAATTTGTTAGAAACTTTGTTGTATGCATGATGAGTTTTTGATTTTTTTCAGAAACCGTGTTAAATACGTTTATTAAACAAAATATTGAAAAAGTTTTATATTTTTATTACAATTATTTTGTTTTAACCGCAACTCTATATAAAATTTTCTTTACATTTTTACCGTTTTTTTACAAACTAGTTTATAATGATCAGTTCTTGAATCCGAATTTATTGACATTTTTAAAATTAAATATTCAGATTCTAGAATTACACATTTAACGAAGCAATTCAGCTAATATCCAAAAAAAAAAAAAATCATAGATCTCTCTGATCCTCGATATAAATATGTATAGTATGTGAAAGTTAACAAAAGACATGCCTACACCTATCTAGCATAAGCTCTCCTACCTTATATACATATTTATACGCATACAGGTATAAGCGCATATATATACTGATACATAAATACAATATATATATATAAATTCATTTTAAAATTTCTCAATACGTTTATAAATATTTCATATATACATATATGGTATATATTGTATACTTTATATGTACGGACGTGGAACAGTTATGTATACAAGTATTAATATACACATAAAAATATATGTAGACATATTTTATGTATATATTACATATGCAATATGAAAAGGTTACGGCGGTTATCTTGACAAATCTATCACATAGCGATCAACAAAAAGGTAATACCTCTTCCTAACTGCAGCGCCAGTACGATAATCAACTTCATTATCGACAAAATCGTTTTAGCAGCAGAATAACAGTAATTAACAATCAAACTACATTTGTTACAATTCGAACATACTTTTGAAGTGCGGAAGGGAGACTTTCAATGTTATCTACGCTAAAACTGCTGCTAAACAGATGCGCGTGTATCTCTATGTGGTATAGTAGTATTACACGAACAAAAGATCGTTTATCACATTGTTTTAAGGATTTAGACACAATCATTTTCGAGGCGAGCAGCGTTTCTAAAAAAATAAACTTTTCATGAATACGACAATAATCTGTACAATTTAACCAAAACGCTGCATAGTTGTTATTCATTCAATAGTCATTATGTGGATAACAGAAGAGTACAGTTTTATGATATCAAGTCCAGTAAAAAGATTTTCTGCCAATAATATATGTTATCTTTATACATTAATCTACAGCATTTTACACACGCGCACACGCTGACGCACACTTAACTAAGGCACCGTAAAACAAAAGTGAACAATTACGTGGGAAGTGATAATAACATAACACCCACAGCTGCAGTACAGGATAAAAAAAGTCGACATACAATTTGAGCAGTTCGACTTGGAAAAGTTTAGCGCGAGCGCCATCGACTAGGAAAAAGCGTCGATTCTCTCATAGTACAAAATGTATGGTATCCGTGAACCCTGGTGCTGTTTGAAAACGTTACCTTTCGGCTGGCTACGAATTACTTCGTCGTCGGCTTTTAGCCAGCAATTTAATCCTTTATGATAGACATCGGCCGAGTAATGTCCACCCTGAGTTTGTTCTCCGTGGTGCCCGATAACGGCGAACAAATTATAGCGTCGAGAATTTGCTGATTGGTACTTCTGACGGACAGTTGATGATAAAAGTTCTGCAATATTATTTAACGTGTTTAATAAATTGAATAGCAACTATAAAAAAACAAATACCTTTACTGATCTCTAATGTGCAATCAAAATCCACATTTTTGCAAACTTTTACGCTTCCCCCGTTCTTTTGATAAACAAAAGCTTTTAGATGAAGTATAAGAATAGGAGGCAAATGTTCAAGCGTAGTCCGACGTGTAGCTTCAACTTGTTGATTTGTTTTCCCACTAGTCACATCAGTTAAGACTTCCTTAGAAGCCAGATGCTCCAAAGCATCGCGTACACTGTTTACATTTTCCGGTTGTATATCAAGTTGTAGAGTAAAAAATGGTTGTAAAGTAGCTGAATCTTTTTCGCCACTTTTACGAACAGCTGATCGAATAACACCTCCGAATAAGTCCATTATTGGACTTTGTTCAACTGTTGCATGACGAGTTATTATACTCTTATTCTTCGGCATCACTTGTTCCCAATTATTATTATCGGTAGCGTCCTCAGTTTCAGTTACCTCTTTGGCCAGCCCATTTTCAACTGGTTTCTTTCTTAATTTCATAGCCGCTAGAAATTCATCATGTAATTTATTTAGGACAAAGCTTAAGAATTCCTCAGCATCTTCTTGTCTTCCATCCTACAAAGTTTACCTGAATGTTATATATACCATAAATACTTTAGTAACATGACTAACCTTAAAAATCTGCTGGCTCTCACAGTCTCTTAACATCTCATAAATGGACTCGGGTTCAAACTTCACGCCTAAATTCAAATCTTGCGGAGTTGCTCTTGGATCTGTAAAAGAGTTCCAGTTTATATTGCTCAAATTTAGGAGATGTCAACTTACTCTTAAGTTTTATTTTATTTTCTACTAGTACTGCGGGTGACGAAAAGCTCTCAAAGTAACCCAAAAAGTCGATAAGAGAGTCCGCAATAGGTGTAGGTGAGACAGACCCTGTTGGACCACTGGACGGTATATTTTTGAGCAAACGAACAAACGCTGAACATGAGAGGAGCGCCTGTAGTGTTGCATTGACATAACACCAGTTGCTTTTGTTGCACAAACCACGCATGCGAAGTGGGTACGGTTGATAAGAGTGTTTGTAAGCCAATAGGGTATCGGCTACTTGAACAAGACGTTCTCGTTGCTCAGGACTAAAGTCATCCTTTTCGAATGAGTTTTCCTTTGGGCGGTCGGTTCCGTCGATGTTGTTGGGTTTTTGGAGACCACGATTCCTTTTAAATAAACCTGCCCAGCTTTTCGATGTTGACTCCTTTACTGCTGGCTTGGTTCCTGGAATACACGGAAAGTCTGTGTCTTTAACAGGACGCAAACGAGCATCTTCATCCGCTACGCTTTCTGCTTTAACAGCAGGATGATCCGGCGATGATGGCTTGGTGGAAGTCAATTCTTGGCTAATATTGTTTTCAATCTCTGCCTCTTCATTAACACAGTTGGAAATTGAAGCTGCATCAACATTTGTGATCAAGGTTGATTTTGGGCTAGCACCCTCTTTCGCATTATTATTATTGTTTGTTTTAACCAACAAACGCAATTCAGGTTCTAAATCTCCAAATTTCAATTCCATTTCAGTTTCGTTGGAACTGTTTTTTTCAGACATAGTTTGATGATTACATGCATCACAGGGATCAGATTTTTGAATCAAATTTTCAGTTTCACCATTTTCTTTTGCAGGGATTATTACTTCATTTATCTCTTGAACTTTACAGTTCTCTTCTGCAGCATTGACTGGGCTAGAACAGTTTTTATCAGCAGAAACGTTTGCCTCGATTGTGCTTTCGTCACTTGCATTTAAAGTTGCAGGTTGGTCTGCATTTACCGCATTGTTTAAGACGGTTACAATTTTGCTTTTTTTATCGTTACTCTTTTTTCTGAATTCTTTAATGCTCATCGGATCTGTGTTATTATCTTCGTAATAATACTGCATTGGGGGCGTTCCAGTGCTATCCGTGGATGATTTATACGAGGCAGAGTCGCAGCTTTGAGCATGGTGCTGACGTTTCACATGCTGTTGCTGAAAAGTGTGACCCTGTTGCTGCGGGTCTATGAAATTGGGTGGAGGTCGGTGGGGATCAAAACCCAGTGGTAGTCCCGCAGGCAAAGGCAAGTGGTAAGGGTGAGGATAATGCTGCGGTACTAACAATGGAGGTTGCGAGTGATGAAGAAAGGTTCCGACGCCATAATACGGCATAAACACAGGCTGGTGCCATGAGTCTGGTGACTGTCCGTCACTGACTGGATAACAAGGAATATATGGTGGCATATTATTAGGAAAATAAGGAGCTGGAAACGGTTCTTGAAGATCTGGAAATGCATGTCCGCTAACTAAGGAATCGTCCACATTCATTCCGGAATCGCAATCTCGGTCCAGGTGCGCTCTCTCGCCATGTCCTTTATATTCGTCTTCTACTAAAGAATTGTCGATTTTTTCTTCAAAAAGTTCATTATGCTGTTCAGACGATGTAACCGGCTAAAAAAATCTCGTTAATCGACCTTCGTGTGACACTTAATAGAGGTTACTTACAATACTAGTCATTTCCATAGCACCTTTCCCGCGTAAAATACCTGACAATTCATCCTTTTCGTCGTCATTCAAACCGTCGACATCAAGGAACGATAATGATAACTGTAGGAGGATATGACGCTTAATTAGAATTTTCATCACAAGTTATATTTGTCAATATAATATTTGTGCATAAAATTGAGGGGGTTAGGTGTGTATCAATCTTTTGTTGTAAAGAGTCCGAGGTTCGGTCTCTGTATAAGTCAGTGTTGACACATGGTTACTAATAAAGTCCCCATTTACGATAGAATGAGGTATCTTTTGCAGAAAATTTTTAAGTAGATTTAATCTATGTTTTTACCTTATCCTCACCCTCCATTACTGGTAAATTCACTGCTTTAATTGCTCGTTAATTCATTTTCAAAAACAATCATTCCTAAGAATCCTACAGTCGCTCCATCATGGTGGAAGTCGGATATGCGCTTGCGCACAAAAAAAAAATTTAACGTCACTTCCGGTTGCGTAATTTGGAAAAAATTAATAAAGAATTATCCTGTTAATTTAATCAAAGATTATAATTTTACAATAAATAAATAATTTTTTTTTTCCAAATATTTCTCTTACCTCGAAACTGAACTTGTAGATGGCGCTATAGGCGATTACCTGCGATTAGTGATCTCTGCTCAGGTGAATAAGATATAGCAGAACTGCAGTTTGTTACGTTATTTTAACAGGATCGTGTTTTAGATTGATAAACGGAACCAATGGAGAGATTTAAGAAGGGAGAAACTTTCCGATTTGGAATAGTTACAGCAGGGGCAGCTCTTATATTTGCTTTCGTCGTATTGCAAGAAGCAGTTGTTGTCCAATCTAAATCGCCCTATTCATGGGCTAAGTTTGATAAATTCGATGAAATTACACAAAGAATGGACGCTGTTAACGCTGAAAATTGTGCTTCCAAATCTAAAGAAGAACTTCATTTACCGGAGACAACCGTCGGTCAAGTACCTCAATTTAATCGACTTCTGTCCACTGTTATTTATCCGAATAGAACCAATCTTCTTCACTTGCACAATATGGCTTTAAATCGGGCTTTTTTCTACTCTTATGTTTTTCAAAAACTTAATGAAACTCATCATTTCAAATATCAACCTGGATTGATGTACTACTACTTTTCAGCAGCAGCAGACGTCAGTGCCAATGAATATAACATCAATGGGTCAGGAATATTTTTCGAGTTTAATAAGACCTATCCTAATTGGTATAGAAATATAGCTATAAATCATACCATGTTACTATTTGGACCCAGGGCATTTAGATTTGACGATTATAATGAACCTACAAATTTTTTAAGAGAGCCCACAAATCAAACTATAGACGTAGTTGATTACGGAGCTGGTCCACAAAACAATTATACTCGAGACACGTATAAATTAAATGAATGGTATTTTAAGTGGATGCCCGATGGGTGGGGTAAGAAAGGTTTGGATTCGATCAAGAAACATAATTATAATGTCGGTATAAAATATTCGAACGAAACTGGAAAATTTACTACTGACGAGTTTGAAGGAAAAACTTTCTATGGTCCACCTTTTCCAGGACAAAATCAGCAAAATCAAAAGCAAGTATTTCAACCTGTAGATTTTACCAGACCCTATTTCGATTGTGGAAGATCAAATAAATGGATTGTTTCGGCTTCTGCTCCTATAGTTGATCACTTGCCAAGATACTTGGAATGGTTTCATTTAAGAAGACATTGGTTCGTATTTGTTTTTTTTGTCTAGTTTAGAAATTAAATTACATAAGAGTGTACTATTTTATAGGATTACTGCAGCATCTGTACAAGATATAGACTTTTTGAGCGTTGATTTTAACCCATGTCCTGCTGGAATAGGAAATCCTAAATCATATCTGACCGATATATCTAGATGTAAAAAGTCCACTATGTGCGAGCCCTTGTATGGCTGGGGCTTTCGACGAGGAGGCTATCAATGCGTATGCCTTCCTGGTTACAGATATCCTCCTTGGCAAAGAGGCCCTTTCCAAGGATCTCAAATTGAAAGCGCAACTGAGGAAGAGTATGAAAGAGGATTTGAATGTTTACCTGTAGGCCTGAAACAAGTTATACCAATCATCCGTGGAAATGGGACTCTAGGTATTGGTCGCTCAAAACGCTCCGTCCAAAAAAAGCAATCAAAAATTGAAAAACGAGAAGCTAAAGGACCAGTTATAGATAAAGAAAAAGTTGAAAAACGTTCCATTAAGGCGTTAGACGGTCAAAGCAAAATATTGACAAAACAGCAGCGATTTTTGCGGTCAGTTGACTTAAAGGAACTGCAATATAGCTACAATAAAGCCCAAGAAATGATTGAGTCATCTCAGAGGAGAAAGAGAAAGGTCTTCGTTGCCCGATATAAACGCAGTACTAATGCTAAAAGTCGATCTAAAAGGGCCACCTTCGACAAAAAAGCTCATGAACGTATGCAGGACTTACTCCGTAAAAAGGAATCAGTAACTAGAGATAACTGTCATGAAAAATCAATGGATGACTTAGAATTACCCGGTGATGTTGCCTATGGCGTTCAAAAGCAATTTTCTAACCAAGCAAGAACAGCACTACGTTTATCACATTTTTTAAGTAATTTCCTTCAGAATATTGATATGTACGAAGAATATGGTAATTTAAGAGGTGATAAACTACTGAACATCGAATTATTGTTTGGAGAAGCTTTGGCAAATGTAATGGGAGATTTAAAATTGCATGGATCGGGAATATTCTTTGACCGAGATAAATATGTTGGTCCCGACGGCAAAACACGTCAGTTATTCGGTCCGTACGCCTGGCGCCATACTAAAAGAGGAGATGATGCTGATCAAGCAAATAAAAACTACAGAGCGCTAGACAAAGCTGGCTTGGATGAAGCTTATTTAGAAGAACGATGGTTTAGAGAAGTAAAAGAGCGTTGGCAATCTAATACATACGGCTTAACCAAATATACAGAGAAACCAATGATTCGATCGGATATAAATGGAACATCTTCTAAAAAATTTGAACTTTACCCCCTTTATTATCGAGCACCTGAGGAGGATGATGGCTGGTGGTCCCCGCCCTATTTTAGTTGCGGTGGAGAGAAGGAAGACAGTCTTGGTCACGTTAATGATTGGGTTGTGACGTATTCAGTTCCTTTCTTTGGAAAAAATTCGATTGGTACAGCTCTAGAATTTAAAGGAGTCGTTACGGTAGACGTTAAATTAGAAACCCTGGATTTGAATCAATGTCCAGCTGAATTCTATATTGCAAACGCTTTTAAGAATACTGCCCGTTGCCATTATGAGAGTACATACGTAAGTATCTGTTATTATCCTTTTCTTTGGAGTATGACTCCATCATGTAGTCCTAGTTTTTAGCTAATCGGACGCTTGGCACTGGCGGAATATTCACGGATTTATTAGATGTGAATACTCTCCTGTGCCATACGTTCTATTTGAGCTCGAGCAATCCGTAATCTAATCTTACGGGACCTTTAGTATAAGTGTTCATTTTCCATCTCTATCCTTAGAGTTAATTATCATTTTCCCTTCAGTGTGTCCCGATACCGTTATTGACACCCGGTAGAAAATTTCACCGAGGCGGGTACAAGTGTGAATGTCGTCAGGGTTTTGAATACCCATTTAATGATCGAGCGTGGTATTTTGATGGTCAAACAATGGAAGAAGAATATAGAAAAATGCTTAGTAACGAACAGAATAGGTAAGATTCCACTTCAAAGTTAAATACTCATAGTTAAGTTTGCCTCTTTCTTCCATTTTAGGTTTCATACTTTAAAATGTAGAATAGCTGCTGGAAGTAGTGCTATCAAAGCAGTATGGGTTAACATCTTCTTAGCAATGATTTTGTGGTTCTGCTCATAAAAAAACTAACTTAATGGGAGGAGAGTTAAGGATGTTTTTAGCACTATATAGTTTTTATTATACTTTTATATTTTTATTACGTTATTTTTTTTCTTGTTTCTTTAAATGTCCTTTTTATTAAAGTGCATTTTTATAAAACAGTTTTAATAAAATTTATACAATTTAATGTAATTATATTTATGAATATAAGAAAATAGTTTTTTAATATTTAATTTTGTTTCATTTTAACCTTTGACCTTTTTTATTGTCGGATAATTTTACAAGAGTTGAAGAATTGTCTGAAGAAGCATCTCCCTCCTTAAATATAATGGTAGAATATCTAGGTGGTTTTGGCTTAACAATCTGATTCGATGACCTTGAATATTTACGACTATCCTTCGAGTGTTCAATTTCTTGTAAAGAAGAATATCTTTGGCCTTTCCGACAACGATTACAAAAATTATATGCAAGAAATGTTATAATTGGACAGCACAACAAAGGCAGACCACCTATTAATAGAAACCAGTACCAAGCTAACCCTTTCTCTATACCTGCAATTTATTATATTTCTATCATTTGTGAGTATCTATTCGATACTAACGTAAAAGATTTCGCATCTTTTTATATCTCTTCAAAAATCCTGTATGTCAAAAGAAAATATACACAAAAAAAACCCGCTGCAGGTACCTACTCCTTGTGAGCATGATATCGCCTCCAGTTCTACCCTTAATGAATTGATGGCGATTCTTTTCTAGAATTGTCTTACCATACAAGAGAGCAATTAAGCCTATTTCTTTAGTTAAAACTATAATATTGGTTAAGAATAGTATTAGTTGGAAAAGACAAAACACTGTCACGAACCCTGTCCATAACACCTGCATAAGCCTTTGCATGCTTCAGCTGCATTTGCATTGTCCTTAACGCAGTCGTGTGTTTCTCTCCTCTTTCTTCCACAAAATTCCTCTGAGCCTTTACAGAATCTAGTTCTAAAGCATCTTCCCTTTCTACAATTTGTCCAAGAACTCCAAGTTCCAAGTTTATAATTATTTGGACACGGTTTTTTGCATTGACCCATATTAAACATTGAAATCCCGGGGCACAAACCCGGTCCATATTGACAAATGCGAAATCGTATCATTTGACCCATACCACAATCCTTATTAATGATCAAACTGCATTTGCTCCATCTTGTCCAAACAGTCATACCATTTAGTGAGGTATTAAAAAATGGATCATCGAATAACTGTCTTAAACGAGAGTTTTTTAGTAACTGTGGGTTAATTCCCGGTGGACAATGCTTTAAGTTTGTACAGTATTGGGTCTCTGTCGAATCTCCTTGACAAGGTTTACCTCTTATCAAACTATTCCAATCTGATAACAGTTGAGAAAGTAATTATTTCTGTCTCGTATTGAAAATGAAATTCAATAATAATAATAAAAAAAAAACACTTTACGCCTGTTTAAGTTGGTATTCTGTCTAAAGTCAAAGCTTGTATTATAATAGCAAAGTCTAACTCTTGTCTTGGTGGCCTGATTTCCACATATAAAACTACATTTGGTCCAATCTTTCCAAGTTGACCAAGTACCATCAATCTTACAAGGGAAAATATTGTCGCATCGTTCAATCTGTTCAGTTAATATTAAGGCTTGTTGCATTATATGGCAGTATTTTCCATCTTTTAGGGCGCAGCCGTTTCTCTGACGTTTTTTATATCTTTTTAGTTCTGGTCTAGTTGTACAATGTGGTTCACAAGGCCCCCATGGAAGCCACTCTGTTGCAGCCTCTAGATCACTACAGCCTAACAAAAGTTAAAAATAGTCAAATTGCTTTTCTTCTGTCGAAAAATGATAAAAAAAAATGAACTACTTATTTCGTCGGATAGCTCCAACGTATTTATTTCTAGAATGTTGGCACAAACACATTTTCCCTCTCGGCATTTTCTTCCTATTTCAGGCGGACAAACACTACTATCGCACACAGCTGAATATTTCTGGCGGCAATTAGGATCTTTCGATACTTTTTCATCGTGACGAAATCCATTATAGCATAAGCATCCGAAACTTTTAATAGCAAAGACGTGCAATTAATTTTAATAGATTAAACAATAAGAAAATAAGGGATTCAATCTAACAGCTTTTTTTCTTTGGTTTTACCTATCAGTACCAAGAATGGGTTTGCATTCACCTAATCTGCCGTCTTTCCCCATTCCTGGGTAGACTTCGATCATTTTTCCATCCTCAATGTCATATCCTCCACATAGCTGATTTCCAGGTTTCAGTTTTTTTTTATATCTCTCAATGCAAGCATTTCTTGGAGCCTCACATGTTCTACCAAAATGAGTTTCAGTGCATTTGCATACAAAACCAGTGCTAATCTTCGCTGCGTCTCTGACGCAAATTCCGTCGTTTTTACAAATACCTTCTGCTTCAGCACAAACCGCCTCCTCTATGCATTTTAATGAAGAACTACTCCACTCAAAATATTGTTGGCATAAACAGATAAATTGATTTTCTTGTGCTCCAGGGAACGCAATCTGACACGAATCATGAATTGCGTAATCTATACTCATGCAAGGTTTTTTTAGACAAGGGTTAGGACAATTTATTTCATGATGATAAATGAAAGAGGAAGATTTCGATCGTCTTTCTATGCATTCCAGAAAAGTTATTATAACGGATAATTCTTCATCGGAATAAGGTACACCCGATAGTTTTTGGGCCATAGAAGATTTGCCCCTTATATTATTGTATTCGTAATTATCTAATGCTTTTTTGGCGGAAGTCATTTCCCAAATGCAATTAGGATTGTTTGGCTCAATTTCAAAGCATTTTGTTGCAATTTGATTGAAAAAGTCAGCAAAATTGATAGTAATAACAATTTTACCCCAGTGACCACTTTTATAACCGGAGTAACCATCGTTAATTAAATCGCGAATGCTGTTGATTAGTACATTAAATGTCATATCTTTAGGAAATCCGTAGTGATACGACTGAAATACTTTATATTTGCAGTCTTTCAAGCGCGTTCTTTGTTGAATTTGAAGATCATTTTCGTTTAAGTCTTCATACATATCTAACAGGCTATTAATAAGAAATATTAGAATATATACTTATTTTTAAAAAGTTATGCAAATTCAACTGTGAAATTGCTTATAACTATATGAGAAGTGGGTTTTTACAGTGATAATATGTTTTGGATAAATTATTTCAATAGTTTCATTTATATAGAATAAATGTATATTTAATGAAAAAACAACTAATTGAAGATTATCATTTTACTCTATCAGAGAACTTTCCTTATTTGTAAGCACAAAGACATTGTTGTTGCTAGACGAGTTTCACTTATTGCTCACATTGTTATATCTATTAAAGCTTATTGCCTAAACAGTTTTTTTTAGAAAACATTTATTTCCTTATTGATAATAACGTATATCTAAAGATGTCTGTACATATAGCTGACATATTATTAACAATGATACCTATTCCATAGATGAATTTCACCTTCAGTTTTACACTTAATGGCATAGAATGCAATAATAGTCAACTGCACTAATAAATTGTTGATTATCATATCTTGTATTTCAAATTTTCAAACAAGTTCCAAAACAGATAAAATATGCAGAAAAATCGAATAGTAATAGAATATTTTATTGGCTTAAGCAAAAAGTTTTTAAATTTGTCTGGGAAGATAAATGTAATACTTTTATACTTAAAGCAATCGATCATTGTATATCAGTAGTAAAAAAAACTATTGGTGATATTTTTTGATTTGTCTACTTAAAGTTGAAATAGATACAAAATAAAGAAGGACCTGATAATATCAAGAACATGTGTTCTTTTTAAAAGTATCGATATAGAGTTTCAGGTTTACTTTTTTATCTTTTTACACACATAATAAAAATTTTTTAGTTCAATAGAAAGGAAGCAAGCAAAAAAAACACAAAATTCTTTATGTTAGCTTTATTGAACACGTGTTCTCATAGACTGGTTCCCTCGGTGCACCTCCGTTCTGCGCAATATCTAAAAAAAGGCTTCCGTTTTGCTCAGAAAATACCTTTTACCTTTTGCCCTTTTGCTGTACATCTTTTTTCTGACTATTCAATCGGAAAAAAGTAGTAAAATTAAATGTGAGTTGTTCATTTTTTCAAATAATCTGAGATATTCTGGAATTTCGGTTTATAGAATTTTTGATTAGAAAACACGTGCTCGCCATGCTGTTGATTGTATGCGACCAGAAACACTTGTTGAAGACAGTTATATTATACACCTAATTTCAATGACAAACATTTTATGTACTATTGTTTTATGTTAGAGCATTATTCAGTTACGTAATACTATATACCATAAGCTCGGATTGTTAAAAGGTATTCGGCCTTAGTATATAAGAAAAACTTTAAGTCGATTCCAACTACTCCTACTTTATATGCGTACATACGTACAAATTGTAGCTGTGTATTTGACAAGATATGGTATTTTCCAGGGCAGAATTAGTAAATAGACCAGTTGCTTCATTATATCTCAAAGATGGTTCCAAATTTAGTGGTACGACATTTGGAGCTGAGAGAAGTATTTCAGGAGAAGTGGGTAAGTTATAATAGGTATAAATATACTATAATATCTTAGTAAATTTGATTTTCATTTTGCTTGAAAAGTATTCCAAACTGGGATGGTTGGTTATCCTGAATCCCTTACCGATCCATCCTACAAAGATCAGATTCTCGTTCTCACTTATCCCATGATCGGTAATTACGGTATTCCGAATGAAAATGATAAGGATAACTTTGGAATATCGCTTTGGTTCGAATCGAATAAAGTACAAATTGCTGGACTTATAGTCGGCGAGGTATGATTAAAGACGAATATCAATTATTTTTAAAATTATATTGAAATTTTCCTTCCTTATTCCACCTTCCATCAATAGGTTACTGAAAATAAATTCAGCCATTGGTCAGCTGTTCAATCTCTTGGACATTGGTTGAAAAAGTATAATATTCCCGGATTAACTGGAGTCGATACCAGGGCTCTAACTAAACAGTTGCGTAACCATGGCAGCGTTCTAGGAAAAGTAATTTAAGCATTTATTACAAAGGTTTAATGATGCTTAATAATTTTCAATTTTAAGATTGTCCTGGATCGGGATGATATCTCTGCTATTGAATATCAAGATCCTAATCTTCGAAATTTATGTAAAGAGGTTTCAATACCACAACCAAAAGTTTATAATAAAGGTGGAAAATATAAGATAATTGCCGTTGACTGTGGTATGAAGCTGAATCAAATTCGATGCTTATGTTCGAGAAATGCAGAAGTTACTGTTGTGCCTTGGGATTATAAGTTTAGTGAGGTATCACAAGTAGATGGTTACTTTTTCTCCAATGGGCCTGGTGATCCGGGATTATGCTCTGATACAGTTAACGAATTAAAAAAGCTTATGAAAGGAAATAAACCTATTTTTGGAATTTGCCTTGGTCACCAGCTATTGTCTCTAGCTGCCGGAGGAAAGACTTATAAGATGAAATACGGACATAGAGGTCACAATCAACCATGCACTGTTGCAAAAGCATTGGGGCCCGTAGCTGCAGGGAGATGTTATATTACAACACAAAATCATGGGTTTGCTGTCGATTATAAATCGTTACCTGATGAATGGGAAGAATTATTTATAAATGAAAACGATGGGACCAACGAGGGTATCTTTCACCGAACAAAACCATTCTTTTCTGTTCAATTTCATCCTGAACATAAAGGAGGTCCTGAAGATATGGAGATGCTTTTTGACGTTTTTATTGATACCTTGAATAGTTCTAATTTGAAACAGAGTTTAACAACTAGATTAACGAAAACATCTAGAGAACAACCAATAGAAGTTGAAAGCCTCAAAATTAAACCCAGAAAAGTTCTTATTTTGGGATCTGGTGGTCTTAGTATAGGCCAAGCTGGTGAATTTGATTATTCGGGTTCTCAAGCCATAAAGGCTCTAAAGGAGGAGAATGTTCAGACTGTTTTGGTCAATCCTAATATTGCAACAGTACAAACGTCTCTCGCCGACAAAGCGTATTTTGTTCCATTAACTCCAGAATACGTTGAACAAGTTATTGCAAGTGAAAGACCAGATTCAGTCCTTTTGACTTTTGGTGGACAAACCGCTCTGAATTGCGGAGTAAAATTAAGAAATAATGATGTTTTTGACAAATATGGAGTAACTGTTCTTGGAACTCCAGTCTCATCCATTGAATCAACGGAAGATAGACAGATTTTTGCTGATAAGATGTCTGAAATTGGCGAATTTGTGGCGCCAAGCGAAGCAGCCTACAACGTTGATCAGGCTTTAGCAGCTGCCGAAAGAATTGGTTATCCTGTCATGATTAGAGCTGCATACGCTTTAGGAGGACTTGGATCTGGCTTTGCTTTCAATCCCGAAGAATTAAGATCTATTGTTACGACGGCTTTTGCTCATACTAACCAAGTTCTTGTTGATAAGTCAGTTAAAGGGTGGAAGGAAGTAGAATACGAAGTCGTTAGAGATGCTTATGATAATTGTGTGACTGTTTGTAACATGGAAAACGTTGATCCATTGGGTATTCATACCGGGGAATCAATAGTTATAGCTCCAAGCCAAACATTAACTAACAAAGAATATAACCTATTGCGTACGGCTGCCATTAAGATTGTAAGACATTTAGGTATTGTTGGAGAATGCAATGTTCAGTATGCCTTAGATCCAAAAAGTCTTCAATATTATATCATAGAAGTAAATGCTAGATTATCTAGATCATCCGCCTTAGCTAGCAAAGCTACAGGATATCCTTTGGCTTACGTGGCAGCCAAATTAGCTCTAGGATATTCTCTAGCAGCTTTGAGAAACAATGTAACAGGAGAAACTACAGCCTGTTTCGAACCATCGTTGGATTATTGTGTTGTTAAAGTTCCCAGATGGGATTTAAGTAAATTTCAAAGAGTATCCAAAAAGATAGGTAGTTCCATGAAATCTGTGGGAGAGGTTATGGCCATCGGAAGAACTTTTGAAGAGGCCCTTCAACGAGCTTTAAGAATGACCAACGCTTCCAATACTGGCTTTGATCCCAAGCTATTTGAGCCAAATGAACAAGAATTAAGGGAGCCCACAGACAGCCGTATGTTTGTTCTAGCTGCTGCTCTATATCATGGTTGGGATATTGAAAAACTTCATGAGCTTACAGCCATTGATTTGTGGTTTCTACATAAAATGGAAAATATAGTAATTATGCAAAAATTTTTAGAAGATATTGATGGACCAGAAAGTATTGATAAAGTTACTTTATTAAGAGCTAAACAACTCGGATTCTCAGATCGGCAAATTTCAAATTGTCTCAAAACATCAGAAACGAATGTGAGGGAAAGAAGGTTAGAATTAAGCATTAGACCCTTTGTGAAACAAATAGATACAGTGGCTGCTGAATGGCCAGCTAAGACTAATTACCTATACTTGACATACAACGGTAGCGAACATGACATTAATTTTAAAGAAAAGCATGTTATGGTTTTAGGATCCGGGGTTTATCACATTGGTTCTTCAGTTGAATTTGATTGGTGTGCTGTTGGTTGTATATGGCAGTTACAATCAATGGGCTATAAAACTATCATGCTAAATTTCAATCCTGAAACTGTTTCGACAGACTACGATATGTGTGATCGACTCTACTTTCATGAAATTTCCTTAGAGGCCGTTATGGATATTTACGAGATAGAAAATCCAACTGGTCTCATTTTATGTATGGGAGGACAATTACCAAATAATATCGCAGTACCATTATCGAGAGCAGGTGCTAAAATTTATGGATCATCTCCAGACACTGTTGATAATGCCGAAAATAGATTTAAATTCAGTAGAATGTTGGACTCTATTAAAATTTCACAACCAAGATGGAAAGAACTAAGCGATATAGAATCTGCAGAAAAGTTTTGTAACACTGTTGGATACCCTTGTTTAGTCAGACCTTCTTACGTTCTATCAGGAGCAGCTATGAATGTTGCTCACTCACATCAGGATCTCAGACAGTATCTGGAACAGGCAGCTCTTGTTTCAAAAGATTATCCCATTGTAATATCGAAATTTATTCTTGATGCTAAGGAAATTGACGTGGACGCTGTGGCAAAAAATGGACGTGTTATAGCCATGGCCGTTTCCGAGCATGTAGAAAATGCCGGAGTTCACTCTGGTGACGCTTCTTTGATAACTCCACCACGCGATTTGAACGATGAAACTTTGGAACAGATTAAAGCTATATGTCGAGCTATTGGTGAAGCATTAATTGTTAATGGACCATTTAACATTCAACTTATAGCTAAAGATAATCAATTAAAAGTTATCGAATGCAATGTCAGGGTATCAAGATCATTTCCCTTTATATCCAAAACTTTGGGTGTAGATTTAATTGCTCTTGCAACTAAAGTCGTGATGAATGAACATGTTGAAGAATTAGGCATGCTGACTGGAAGAGGTTTGGTTGGTGTTAAAGTTCCTGTCTTCTCATATTCTAGACTGGCAGGTGCAGATGTTCTATTGGGAGTTGAGATGGCTTCCACTGGAGAAGTTGCCTGTTTCGGAGAAAATCATCACGAGGCATATTTGAAAGCCCAGTTATCATCAGGCTTTAAATTCCCTAACAAGAATATTCTTTTATCAATTGGAAGTTATAAACACAAACAAGAACTTTTGCCCAGTGTTAAGCTATTAGAAAAAATGAATTTCAACCTATATGCTTCAATAGGCACAGCTGATTTTTATTCAACTCATAATGTTAAAATTGAGACTGTTGATTGGCCTTACGAAGACTCTGAAGAATCTCGCAGAAAGAGTGCTGTTAAACAAAGAAATATAGCGGATTATTTATCGGAAAAGAAATTCGATTTAGTTGTGAATTTGCCAATGAGAAACGGAGGTAGTCGAGCTGCTAGTGCATTTGTAACTCAGGGTTACAAAACAAGAAGGATGGCTGTTGATTATTCTGTTCCTTTGATAACAGATATCAAATGCGTAAAACTGCTTATTGCAGCTCTGGCTAAATGCGGCCATAAGCACCCACCGATTATGAGATCCCACTTTGATTATTTGTCTCATAAAAATATTATTCGCTTGCCAGGCCTGATTGACGTCCATGTTCACATGAGAGAGCCAGGTGGAGAGCATAAAGAAACATGGGAATCAGGAACTCAAGCAGCTCTTGCCGGCGGTATTACTATGTTACTCGCTATGCCTAATACCAATCCATCCATAGTTGATTTAGAAAGTTTTGCTATTGTGGAAGAAAGAGCTAAAAATAATGCTAGATGCGATTATGGTATTTTTGTAGGTGCCAGTGAAGAAAACTATAAGTTTGCTAAACAATTAGCATCAAAGGCTTGCGCTCTTAAGATGTATCTAAATCAAACTTTTACAACTTTAAGAATGGATAAAATGGATACTTGGGCGTCACATATGGCAAGTTGGCCAAAATCTTTACCCATATGTGCTCACGCAGAGAGTCGAACTACTGCTGCCATAATTCTCTTAGCTCAACTTTACGAGCGACCAATTCACATATGTCACGTCGCTTTAAGGGAGGAAATAGAAATTATTAAGAAAGCTAAAGAACGTGGTATAAAAGTGACCTGTGAAGTTGCGCCTCATCATTTATTCCTCTGCCAAGACGATATTGACTCAATTGGATTAAAGAGGAGCGATGTTCGTCCTAAATTAGCAACTAAAGATGATCAAAATGCTCTATGGGAAAATATGTCTGTAATTGATATATTTGCAACAGATCACGCTCCTCACACCTTAAGCGAAAAGCAATCGGACAATCCACCTCCAGGGTTCCCTGGTATGGAAACAATACTACCCCTTCTCTTAACAGCTGTTAAAAACGGCAGATTGACCATAGAAGATATAGAGATGAAAATGTACGAAAATCCAAGAAAAATTTTCAAGTTGCCATCACAACAAGAAACTTACGTTGAAGTTAATCTAGACGAAGAATGGACATTACCACAAACGAAGTATTTTACAAAAGCTGGATGGTCACCGTTTGCTGGACGAAAGGTGTCTGGAAAAGTTCTTAAAGTTGTCCTTAGGGGCGAAGTTGCATTTATTGATGGTGTGATAATGGCAAAACCTGGAAGTGGCAAAGATATTAAATCACTTTCCCGAACAATTCTTACTCCATCACCGCCACCCTCTCTTCAATCGGAAGCAACTGCTGCTATTTTATCACCTCCAAAGAGAGCAGCGAGGGACTCTCGCGAGGTTTCCTTCTCCGAAGTGCTAACGCCTACTGATCTGCCCAGTGTTCATGATCTTTCGCTTCATTCTCAAGTTATTCCAGGCATCACTGGCCAGAACATCTTATCTGTTATGAACTTCACAAGGGAGCAGTTTCATCATCTATTTAATCTAGCTCATGCTATGAAAAGTGCAGTTCAGAAAGAGAGGCCCCTCGATCACATTCTTAAAGGAAAAGTACTGGCATCAGTTTTTTATGAAGAGTCAACAAGAACTGCGTGTTCATTTTCTGCTGCCATGCAAAGATTAGGTGGCAGTGTAATATCTATTGACAAAATGAGTTCTTCTGCGATGAAAGGAGAAAGTCTTTCTGATTCGATTAGGATTATGGCTGGTTATTCCGATCTAGTAGTTTTAAGACATGGCCAGAATGATTTTGATTCGGTGGCAAAAGTTTCTCAAAAACCTGTAATCAATGCTGGAAATGGTGACGGTGAACATCCGACTCAAGCCCTTTTGGATGTTTTCACTATTCGTGAAGAAATCGGCACAGTAAATAACTTGGTTGTAACAATGTGTGGTGATCTACGTCACGGAAGAACTGTTCATTCTTTGGCTAAACTCCTGACTTTGTATAAAGTCTCATTAAGATTCGTTTCCTATGAAGATTATAAGATGCCAGATGAAATTCTTAGCTATATCGAGGCGAAAAAATGCGACTATCGCGAATGTGATTCTCTCGAAAGCGTCTTACCGGAAACTGATGTTTTATACATGACAAGATTTCAGACAGAACGAGCCGGCGGCATGAAACTTCAATATCCCGATTCTATGATTGTTACACCAAAATTAATGTCCAAAGCGAAAAGGAATATGATAGTTATGCATCCCCTACCGCGTAATAAAGAGATAAGTCATACTTTCGACACAGATATTCGAGCAGTTTATTTCAAACAAGCAGAATATGGAATGTACGTTAGAATGGCTCTATTGGCAAGTGTTCTTGCTAAGAATTAACATCTCTAAATTAGTTGTGTTTTGGAAAAAGCAGACTAAAAACAATAACTACTAGTTATGACTAAAGAGATGGGTGAATATTTAATTATACAATACCGGCCGTTTGTCATTGATATATTCTCTCTAGAATGATAAGATTTTCATTTTGTAACAGTGACTATTGGCAGTACTGTACAAACAGGCAAGCGATAATAACCCATAATTGCATTTATTATACTTCTTTGAATTTCAATTTCAACTGCTTTAAATTGAAATTCTTTAAATTTCTCTCAGCGTAACTAAACTATTAATTGTTAAAGTCTGCTTTAGTTTATCATATTTTGAATGCACAGTGCAGTTTACACCTTATCCTATCCAATATCATTTCTTTCGGGTGACTATTTTATATTTCTTGACAATCGTGCAGTTAATCTAGATTAGCAACTATTTTCTTATATTCTAGATTCTTACATACAGCGATTGACTAGAAACAAGATATTCACCTTAGACGATACAAAAGAACTGATAACTATTAGGTGATCCAACCTGCACAGTAGCTTTTTTTACAGTATAATCGTGTGTGTATTGTTTAACAAGTGTGACTTAAATTTCTTTCTTTTTGTTCAGGAGGGCTATATAATAATACATTACGCTATTTTGGTCTGGAGTAATTTTTGTACTTTTTATTATATATCTTTGTATTCAAGAAAAAAAGTAAATTCGAAAGAGAAAAAGTAAGAGAGAAGAACCTTTTGTACTTATTTTTTCTTCTCTTTTCTTTTATTTTTGTCATTATTTACATAAATTCTTATCAATTGAAAAATATAGTATTTTAGGCTTACGTAAATCGAAATTATGCCATTTTCTCTTTCTTTTTAACTTGTCTTGTAACCGAATACTTTTACGACATTTCGACTTGATTCAAGGAGTATTATCTTGGACGGTTGACGGTGAAGAATTTGAGTTGGAGCCCATATTCCATGCTCAGAGTGGTTAATTAATGATCTTACGAAACGGCTTGACGTAGTAAATAAAATTCTATGACCTTGCCAATCGGTAATCATAATTATACCTTGGTCATTTACCAGCAGGCTTGACGGGCGGCAATTGATTGGTATGTTGTTTAAATGGCGACCACTTGGTCCATAAACAAGTATTGATGATTTAGAGCTATCGCAAACGTAGAATTTTTGTTTTGAATGTAGAGAATAAATTGGTGTTTTTAGGTGTTCGGAAATGGTCAATTGATGTCTTCCATCGGTTGAATATACAAGAACTTTTGATTCGTTAGGACTTGATAGAACAACACAATTTTCCCTAGCCGTTACGTTTACTTGATTCTTTCCGTAAATTTTCCTCCAGAGTTCAATAACCCGACCGTTAAGTTCATGGACGCTTACGATTCCGTCGCTGTTATCGTAGGTTACGTAGACTTTATTATCTAACACGGCGACCCCGCTTACTTTCCATTTGCCCTCTCCTATTTCGGGCATAGGCCATTTGGTGATCTGTTGACCATCGCCCATATGATATACCTTAATACCGTCCTGCCTAGACGCAACATATAAACATTGTCCATAAACGTCTATCGCCGAAGCGTTTCCAACCCGAATTTCAGATTCCAAGCTAATGCCACCGAAAGAATATTTTTTTTCCAATGAATATTGACCATTCGGCAGGCCTCTTGGAACAACCTTACCGAATTCAGCTTCGAGGATCTCTTGAATCCGATTGAAAGAGCTACCTTTTTCAAATGATAAGTTAATTTCGTATAAATTCTCCAAATGGCGTTGAGTCTGTTGTTGTAAGCTAGACGCTTTCGAATGAAAATGATCACCAATAGTTTGCAAATCAAAAACTGTTCCCAAAGGAACTACGTGATCTTGTTGATTTCGTGTATCATTCAATTTCTTAAGCTTCGCATTAACACTTCCACCCAAATCAGCAATTCCATCGTTAATCTTTGCCAATTCGGATAATCTATCATTTTTAATTTTTTCAATGATATTCTTTAAACCATCTGCTTCTTGTTCAATTTTTTCTCTTGTACGATCAACCCTTCCTTGAATTCTCACCATTTCTTTTTCTACCAACTTTTCATTGTCGGAAATATAAAGTTCCAATTCTCGCCCATGTTTCCTTAAGTCTAAAGTATGCGATTTACGAACAGCTTGTAGATCTTTGATCTTGTGTCCTTTGTGCTCAGTTTCAATACATGCATCACAAACCGCTATTTGACAGGAATCGTCTACGCAAAAGAAAGTAACTGGTATGTTATTGTGTTGTTGGCATTTTTCAGCAAGTTCAGCAGATTCAAGTAATTCTTGAATCTTGCCACCAGAATATAGATCATTTAAGGTCATAACGTTATGATCTGCTAGTAGTTTTTCGTGATGTAATCGACATTTGGCACAGTAAAAATTACAGCAAGTGAGACACCTATGAGTTGCTTCGGCGACGCAATTGTCAAATTCAACACATAACTATTGAGAAAAAAATGGAAATCAATTATCAAGTACCTGTAAAGATTAAATAAAATACTCACATGTCTGTTTAAAGGATTTGGAATGATCTTTTGAACATTTATAACGTTCAAATTAAATGGATAATTCTCGAAATCTTCTTTCAAACTTGAGAAACTTTTCTTACAAATCGGACAATCAAGACTTTCACTCTTAGAGTTGTAGGCCTCTTTTAGACAAGGTTTCGAGCAGAGTGTATGGGAGCATGGTAAAATTCGCGGTTCGTTAAAATATTGGCCGCACCTTGGACATGTCAACACTTCGGAAAGAATACGTTTAACGACGCTTCCAATAGGTCTATGTCTGTTAATAAAAGAAAGTTAAACAAGCTTTTTACACAGTAATATAGCGAGAAAATACACAGTATATAGAAATATACACAAAAAAATTTCTATTTCGTATAATTAAGAATAATAATAGGTTATACAGAAATTTCTTCCATAGTCTATAAGACTATATATATACACTGTATATATATATATCCAACACATGTATGCTAAAATTCTTAAACTCTTACTTTTCGCTTTTCTCCACTTTAGACTGCTCCATACTCATTTTTTAACGTAACACCGTCAACTGATATCACTGAAAATGACTGTTTGCATTTCTACTTAACAAAACTACTGGTAGAAAAGAGTTTACTGCCTTCTCTGCGTTGTCCCGGATAATGGCTCTAATCAAATTGTCCTAGACGGATCAATCGTCAATGTCTACCTAAACTATAAATTTCAATAATTATTACTCTGATTTGCGCAAATTAGTGAACTTCATTAAAAAACTTTTCTGCTTCGAGTCTCAAATTCAATATTTTATTGTTTTTTTAAATTATTCTATAAACTTTATTATAACACAGTTGAAGTTAGTTTTTCACATATCTATTCAACCTTCTTCGTAATTAGGAATATACAGAACAAAATTGTATTCAATCCTATAATTTTTCCTCTATCGTCTTTTGTATCTGCTCTTTGAATTGAAATTCTTCCCTTTCTTCTTCATTGTCGTTTTGTTTTGACTCTTTCCTTCACTGTATCATAAAATAAAAAGAACAATCAAAAATCTATAAATCAATTTCAGTCATCCAGTTTTACGATAAAACAACTACTAGATCTATATACAGTATATATATATTATAATTATTAAGTTTTATTTTAACGACTCTTACCCATGTCGTAGTTGTTTGACGCTTCTATTGTCAATCTTTGTTAGATTTCTCGTGACGTTACTCTTAGAAGTCTTCTTTTTCTTTTTTGGCGGTTCACCTATTTAAATTAATTCATATTTATTTAAAATGAAAATTTGTTTTATTAGTTTGCAGTTAACGTACTTTCTACACAAGCGCGTATCCTCTTCTGCTTTCCGTCTCGTTTCGATTGTCTGATTGAATATGCTAAAGATAAATCAATTTCTTGTTTTACTCTGGTTTCGGGCTGAAAATAAATTTTCCATTATAGTTATTGTTTTAGTCGATGAAATAATTTGAAGCATATACTGGATACTTACTGTTGCTTTATCTTGATTTTTCATCATTTTCATCATTACTCTAGAGTTCTTTTTTGGTTCAGTAAGTCTCATTCTTGACTTTTCTTCTTGTCTCTCTTTATGAGTTTGGAACCAAGTTCTTTTTCTTTCGTCATCACCATCAAGAACTTTTTGCGCTTTATTCATTTTATTTTCAGTCGATCTAATTTCTCTCTCCTCATCTTCTTGTTCCAAGATATCTTTTATATCCCCTTCGAATGAAACCACTTTATCGCGATATTTTGCTATAACGTTAGCCGGAATAACACGATTCTTAACACCTTTTCTAGTTTTTTTAATGATTTCCTTAAGCAACTTTCTTTCACTCTCACCAACCAGGGAAACAGATCGTCCAATGTGACCAGCTCTAGCCGTTCGACCAACTCGATGAATATAATGAGGTAAACTATTGGGCATCGTGAAGTTTATGATAGTTTTTACACCAGCAATATCCAATCCTCTTGCAGCTACGTCTGTTGCTATAAGAACATCAACTTCGCCATGTTTAAATGTGGATAAAGATTCTAATCTTTGAGCCTGTGAAAGATTTCCATGAAGTTCGGCAACCTTGATACCGCTAAGACCAAGTAAAATATGCAATCGATGAGCCTGCTTCTTAGTTTGTACAAAGAGTATAACTTCCGAATGAAATGTTCTTTTGAGAAGGGCAATAATGATTGCCTCTCTATCGCCTAGAAATATAAAAAGAAAATTAGTTTATCGCGATTAGATAATTATAGAAATTCGTTTAGGATTATACCTTCACTCCCCTCTCTAATCCTTATAAATTCTTGTCTTAAATTAAACGCAACGTCCGTATTTTGATTGACAAAAACCTTAACGGGATCTTGCAAGGATACAGCCGCCAAGTCTTTGACAGCTTCTGTCATTGTGGCAGAAAATAGCATAGTTTGTCTAGTTTTGGAACACAATCTTATAACTTCTTTCATTTGTTCAGCGAAATATTCATCGAGCATCCTATCTGCTTCATCAAGAATGAGAACCTACAAAAAATTGAATTATTTTGGTATAAAAAGAAATAGTGTTGACCAACCTCTACAGAATTTAAATGAAAGTTAGGCGCGTTATGAAGATGATCTATTAAACGACCAGGTGTTGCTATAACGATATCTGGACCTAGTCTTAAGGCTGCTTCTTGAGCTTTAACATCCATACCACCAGCAGATAAAGATATATGAACATTTACATTGGCTGCTAATTGCTTCGAAACTTGATAAATTTGAACAGCTAATTCTCTCGTAGGTGCCAACACCAAAACCCTAGTTGTTGGAGTTTGGGTAGGCCTATACAGTAAACGCTCCAGTGTTGGAATCATGAAAGCTGCAGTTTTACCAGTACCGGTAGCGGCACAAGCGCATACATCTTTACCAAGAAGAGCAACAGGAATACAAGCAGTTTGAACGGGAGTTGGTTTATTGAAGTTCATTCCACTTAATGCCTATTTAAAATAATTTAAATATTTTATATATTTGAAAGTTATTTGTAATAGTAATAAAAATTATTAACTACCTTTAAAATAGGTCTAGATATATTCATATCGGAAAATCCTAAACTTCTATCATATTCATTAATTTCTTTAGAATATTGTATTTTATCCTGTTGAATTAAAGAAATTCTTGAATAACATATGATTGTTTTAATCAATTAGCAACTTACAATTTCTACTTCTGCCATTTCTTTTTTACGCTTCTTTGAAAGTTTCTTCTCCTTAAGCTTCAATTTATCTATTAAAATATTAATTATTTATAGATAATTAACTTGAAACATAAGCAGTAAATATGCTTGAAAACTTTTCAATAAGAATATATATATATATAATATTTTATAAATACAAACCAGGTTTTTGTTTTTCTACATCTGAATCACTACTCTCATCTAATTCATCTACCATTTCATCTTCATCATTGTCTTTAGTGTCATTTTTGTGTTTTTTCTTAGCATTTGCAATTTTTTCTTCTAGGCTAGTAATCTCTCTTTTCTTTTTTGCCCATTCAGTTGCAATATCCCGATCAAATTCAATCTTATCATTTTGTCCAAAGTTAAATTCGAATTCAGTATTAAATTCTGGAGCCTTATTTTTGTTATTTATCTTTGGTTTTTTTCGAGCATGTGTTGTCTGTATGAGCGATAAAATAATAGAAAGTTGATATTTTTAAAATACTTAAAAACAAATGTATTTCAAATAGTCTCAGTTACGCTACCTCATCTTCATCAGCAGATGACTCCGTTTCTATTGATATATTGTCATCATCTTCTATTGTTCCTATGAAATCGCTATCGTTTTTCTTAGGCATGCTTTATTATCCGGACTACGGACAGAACATGGAATGAATTCGGAAATTATTGCACATTTCTAATTAAAATTGTTTCGGGCCTTAAAAGTTTCTTTTAAAAGCATCCACTCTTGCGTAAATATATCTTTTTTCTTAATTAAAATCTACTTGAATTGTTTTGAGCATCAATAACATAAATAGAAGAACTATAAGAAATCAACTAGAAATAAACTTTCTAATAATATTGTTTTATCGCTCAAGATCTGATAAAATATTTAAACGTTTGAATTGTTCTTAAAAATAAGATAAAATTACAACGAAAATATATATTTAAAATCACTAAAGTTGAGAAAAATCCCATCCATTTAGTATACAAAGTATGACAGAAAATAAGAATTGTTATTAATCTTAAACTGGTTTACATTTCTCAAAAGCCATAAGACAATGTAGATTGCGTCCAGGTTTCTTAGCAGTTTGTAATGTTTGTAAACCTTTTTCAGATTTCCTTATATCAAAATATTCGGGGGATTCCGTATTCAAATCCATAACAATATCTTTCCATCTAATAAGAAAGGAACTTATGTTTTGATATAAAATGTTAACTAATAAACAAACTGTTTGCAATGCATTGAAGGATGCTTTCGGCTAGTATCACCAATTATTAACCAAGTTTCAAAATTATCATTATAATCGCGTCTATTAATTAAAAGAGAAAGGTTAAGATTAAAATACAATTAAAAGTAATATTTTACTAACGAATATGCTTTTTCAGATTCAATAGGAGTATCTTCATAACCAATAGGACACATATAGTGGTTATAACAGTGATAGATGATTGCACATCTAGGATTCTAAATATAGTAAATAAACAGAATAAAAGAGAATTTTTAAATATTGCGTAATATAAATTAATAATTTACCTTTAACGCTTCCTTTAATTTTTGAAGTCCAATTACTTCATCAATACCAGTTGTTGAATTCATTCCCTTTGGTTTATACATGAAATGACATCTTCCCCTAACTTTATAATAATCATTCAACTGCCTAAACCATCTAAATAATGTATGAATGAATAATTAAATAAACAATAGCTCATTCATTACAATGTAAATATAAACCTCATTAATGTAGCATTTCCAGTGAATGGACCAAACTTTATTTCTTCAAAAGGCGGTTTAAAACCAATAGCGAGTAAAGCCTCTTCCTGGGTGATTGGGCGCCGACTAGCAAATATTTATATAGTTTAGAGGATAATATATTTAATTAGTCAAAGGAAAAGTAAAGCTTACTCGCCGTGACCCAAAGTAGAGAATAAGAAATTCCAGCAAGAAATTAGCGAAGACATACCGCATGATTTTGAATACTGAGGTCGGCTAATACAATGCCTTGTTTAAATAGAAATTCCATATTAAATATAAATATGAATAAATTCTATTAGATTTACTATACAAACCATCTTGTCAAATCTAGTACCTTCCTCTGAGAGATATCTTTTGATGTACAAGTACAACGGGGAGCTACGTACTCCTCTACGCTATCTAATTTTGGCAAATATGCTTGTTGTTCTTCAACTTTGGAAATTACAGTCAAATAATAAATAACATGTTTAAAAATGATTTTTTTAAGTACCTTTTGCACTAGAATTTCCTGAGAAAGGTTTGATATCAATTTCCCATGATATAGGATAGTTTGTCATTGGTTGTGTTAAATTAGTATTTTCCGTTTTCCATCTATGGCTTATATTCAATTTTTCAAAGTGTTCATCTATCAAATTCTCTTCGAATGTAGCAATATTGGCAACATCAGAAGCGGGAAAAAGTTCTTGATTTTTCAATTTTGGCAACGTTGATGTCAATGGATGACTGTGTGCTCGCTTTTTGGCAAGGCTTTTAGAATTTGCACCCTTCTTTTGCGGTGCCGATGAAGGCCGATCTTTTTTGGCTGATGTTTGTTTGTTTCTTGTTCTGCTACTGCTCATTGCTGTTAGTATTGTTTCGGCATTCAGCTATGTTAATCCATCGAGAAGCTTGGCTGCCCGTAAGAATCAGAGAGCAGAGAATATTTGAGTTGGGCTATAAAGTGCACACAATTTTTTGTTAAGTAAATTTTATTATCCCTTAAATTTTTAGTTTCAATACCGGACGGTGACTATAAATAACAACGTCATTTCCGGAAGTTTGTCTACTTCCTATTTAAAATTTTGCTTCTGGTGAATATCTGGAATTATTTACGAATAATAAGTTAATTGTCTTTGGTTGCGTTACGTCAAGCAAAAATAATAAAATAGTTAACTGTCTATTGGAAGTGAGCTTTGATTTAGCAAGTATTTACTATATAAATTCTATCCGATGTTTATAATTTCGTGTAGTTCTTTATATTCGCGTTTCCCCTCAGACAACTTGAAAGTAATGGAGCCTATGCAGGTAGACGTGATCCCTGAAGAGAACGATAATGCAAACGCTTTAAATCATCTAGTTGAAAATGTAAATGTTGACCTAGAATCTTTAACATCAAATTTCTCAGGTCTGGCTAAAATTTACCGGCTGCAGTATATAGCTCAACACTGTCCTTCTATAAGACTTGAAGCTTTGAAACTGGCTCTAAATACATGTATGCAAACTTTCAATGTTCAATTATTCGAGCAAATTGTTCAGCAATTGGAGGTATCGTGCCCGAACATGGTTTCCGTTGATTACAATTGGCTTGAAATAACAACTAAAAAATCTGCTCTAAAATTGGAAAAACTAGATACTGATTTAAAAAATTATAAGTCAAATTCAATAAAAGAAAGTATTAGAAGAGGACTTGACGATTTGGGTGATCATTATTTGGATTGTGGAGATTTAAATAATGCTTTAAAATGCTATTCAAGAGCGAGAGATTTCTGTACGGCACCTTTACATATAATTTATATGTGCTTAAATGTTATTAAAGTTAGCGTATATCTTCAAAACTGGTCGCACGTATTAAGTTACGTAAATAAGGCTCAAACTTCTTTAAACGTTGAATTAGAGGATAGTCATCCGAATATTGTTACTCGTCTAAAATGTGCATCTGGTCTAGCTGAGCTCTCTCTTGGTAAATATAAATCAGCGGCTAAGGCTTTCCTTCAAGCGCAATTCGAATATTCTGACATTCCTGATATGACTAGCGCTAATAATATAGCTGTATTGGGAGTATTAACTTCATTAGCAACTTTTGATCGGCAGGAATTACAAAGAATGGTATTAAGTTCAGTTTCATTTAAACTGTTTCTCGAACTTGAACCTCAATTACGCGAAGTTTTATACGATTTCTATAATTCTAAATATGCCCAATGCCTGAAAACTCTGGATAAAATAAAAGATGCTTTACTACTCGATATCTACTTAGCTCCACATATTGAAATTCTCTACAACGAAATAAGGAAGAGAGCTCTAAAACAATATTTTAGACCATATACAAGTGCAAATATGCATAAAATGGCGGAGGCTTTCAATACAACAGTTTCGAATTTGGAAGATGAGCTAATGAAATTAATTCTTGATGGGCAAATTAATGCAAGAATCGATAGTAAATTGAAGGTAAAAAGTTCTATATTACTATATTTATGTAATGTTGCTCATTTGTTATTTCTTTAGATACTTTATGCAAAAAGAGTTGATGAAAAGAAGACAACTTTTGAAAAAGCTATTCAAGTTGGTAAAGATTACGAATGGAGAATGAAATCAATGTTATTTCGCAGTGCAGTTCTAAAAGCAGGTCTACAAGTTAAAAGCACAAATCAAGTAACGAGAGAATGTCCAATGAGAAATGAAGTTAATGCTACTGCGCGACATTAAAACTGAAAAACAAAGAAAGAAGAACGAAAGCGTTAAGATGTTAGAGACTAAAATTTTTTCGTCTATTTAAATATTCACTTTTATCATACTGTTTCGGCCATATTTTTGTTGTTGCGAAATCTGCAGCTACTTTAATAAGTTGAAGAAAAAGCGTTTAGTTAATAAAAGTACTTTGTGTTTTCTGTTAATTTTACATTTGAAGAGAACTAAAAAAAGATTGTTTTTCATATTTTTTTAATTGAGTTTATCTTGAAATTTAGTGAATATCAAGTGAAAAAAAAAACACACACCAAAAAACATTTAATCAAAAACAGTATTAAATACTGACTGGGAAACATGGCTAAAAAAATCAAGTAGAAAACACTATCGTTGGCAGAATTCTTCAGGAGTAAAATTTACCTTTAACGTCATAGAAATACAGAAATACCCTCTAAAGTTGTTAAATCATATCAAAAGCTGATGTATAGTGTATAGTCGGCAGTCCCAATTAGAATATTCAAAGAGATTTATTTATCTTGTAATCTTACTTCCCTCAATAGAAAGACTTTCAGAAAGTATATCAGCAGCTTTTGCTAGTGATTCAAAACTGATAATGGGACATAATTTACCTAAGTTGAGTGAAAGATAGTCTGACGTTAATTGGTCAACATTTTCTGGTGGTGACATTTGTTGTTATTTGATTTCTTAAAATATAATCAAGTAAACAAATACTCTAATATATGGACGAAAATAGAATTGCATAAGCTTTATATAACGAAAATAAAATAAACTAAAACAATGGGGTGAACACTTTAAGTTTCGCTTCTTTCAATTATCCCCATGCTGAAAAATTGCTTAATAATATTCCATTGTGTTAATATTTTTCTTCTTTTTATTCTTCTTCATATTTGCCGAAGCTGTTGGGAGCGATTCTAATCTTATCGGCTTCCTATCAATTCCGTCTCCCAACATTTGACCGTGAACTTCAGCGGCTCTTTTATCTTGAAAATTAAGCTCACCCCCCACTTGAGTATTCCCATTTGTTAGTAGTCCATTTGGGCTTTTGGATCGTCCTAAAACTAAAAACAAACACTATTTTTAATCAGATCAATTTAGTAGGTTATTCCATTATAATATACCTCTGTTTCTATCTTGTTGAGCATTTGATATGAGAGTATCCTGTCTCCGATTAGCAAAATAACTTGGAGACTCACTATTGCCTCTTTCTTGTAGTTTCATTAAATAAGCATCTTCAGCATTTCTATCTTCTTCAGAATAAACAGCAGTACCATTAACTCGCATTCGAGGATTCTCTTGTCTAGCAGTTGGTGTTATTCCTCCAGGTACGGAGGGCAAGACTGTTCTTTCAATAGTCATTTTGGGTAATATCCAAGTTTCACTTTCTTCATCCCATCTTATAAATTAATGATAAATATAATAAAGTTGATAAAATAGTTGTAATTACAAAAGAGGAATAAACTTATAATCTAAATTTAACTTACTTGCTTTGCGCTTTTATTCTATCAAGATTAGCATAATTACAATCTCGCCTTATTGTAGGAGATACTTTATCGAGTATAGACTGGATTAGTTTAAATTGTTGTTCTTGCTTTCTAATGGTATCGAGATAAGTACTGCGATCGAATTCAAATTCTGATTGTAAATCTGCAATTTCGCTTCTCAATGATATCATCTGAAAGTTAAATAAAGTTCTTAAGAGCTTTTCCACCTGAATAATATAATTATAAATATATTATTTACAGTATTCTGCGCTTTTCTTAATTGTTTATCTTTAATGCGAACTTCATCTTGCGCATTATCATATATTTGTAGCATAATATCATCTCCATCCATATTCTGAAGAGCCTCTGTACAATTATTAAATATTTTGTACTGTTGTGAAAACTATTGGAAATTCAATCATTTACCTGCTAATTTTTGTTTTCTTTCTTCAGCATGATGTTTTCTCTTTCTTCTACGCTCTTTGACTTCTTCATTATTTTTCATTTCACCTCCGACCATGGCTTGTTGAAGTTCAGCCAATCTAACAGATTGAAATAAGTAAAATCATTAATAATATAGATAACTAATTACACAAAAGTAAGTTGATGAACTCGTGATAAAAAAAACATTATTATACAAGTAAAATATATAATATATAAATAAATATGTGATATGTGAGTTATATAAGTTGTTCTGTGGTTTATTTCAAATTGAAAAATAAGGAATAGAGTGTTTTATAAAATGTAAATCACAATATAACATCAAGATTTGTTATTCAAAAAAGCTGAGCCAAAATAAAAGAGGAAAAGAAACAGAAAAAAAATTGACGTTTTAAAACGCCTTCGCTTTTAAAAGTGACCCAAATAATAATAAAATAAATATTTTCTCTTTGTGCAGTTTTATGCTCTACCTGTGTCGAGCTTCCGCTTCAATTTCCACTTTAGATGGTCTGTTTTTTATGTTTTCAAATAATCAATTAAGCTTTAGTTAAATCAATGAATAGATTAGACGCAATTTGTTAGGTTTAAACTTGGGCTCTTTTCCTGATAAATAAACCTTTTAACTATCTTACTAAGTTGAATTTAATAAGATGAAATCATGGATAGATTATCTCAGATAAGATCTAAAACTGGTATTTAGTTATTCATGCTTATGACTTATACCTTCTTTTCGCTTCTTCTTGAAGAATCTCTTCATCTCCTTCAACAATTCTAGTGGCTTTTTGAACTTGACGATCATCTGAGCCATTATAAGATTCATCCTCCTCACCAATCTGCAAAGAAAAGAAAATATTTAAGGTATAAGAAAATTCAAGATGGCACCACAATATAGTTGTAATATTTAAAGCATAATGGGGTATTGTTGAATAAATGACAAGAAATTTGGGTAAAAGAAGTTAATCTGTTACCTCTTCAATTTCATCTTGAAGAGTCGTTGACTTTGCTTTAGCTGTTAAAAAAAAATAATATGAAATGAATATATTTAACTAATAAATATTTCAAGGGTAAACCTTGTAAGAGAGTAAAATGAGAGAAAGAGAGAAACAGGTAGATAGATAATAAGGAAAGTTGAGAAGATAAAAAAAACACATAAAGATTTGTTAATTCATCAAAAACACCATCTGTGTTTTAGTTGTGCAGAATTAAAAAAAATTGATTTTTAACAAATAGAGGGAAGGAACAAATAGTATTTATATTTCTCTTAAGCTAATTAATTATATTGATACTTGTTAAATCCTGTATTTAATTTTATATTCGCTTCTAGAAAATTATTGGGATATTGTAGGGGGCTGGATTTTTTATTGAAAATAGACCGCCTCCAATATTAGTATATAACATTGATTCTATTACTCATAAGAAGTAATAAATAAAATAATTTTATAAAAGATTTCTTTAGCTTATTAATCCTTTTTACATAGTTGAGCTAAATATTCACCACGTTATTAAATTATTGCAAATTTGACGCTTGAGATAAAGTACTTTTATTGTAAGCATTCCTCTTTTTGTAAATGTTAGTTTGAAGTAGACTTGACCAATAAACGAAGAAATAGCGATATACAATAAATACTCCTACTTATCATTTAGTTTAAAGTTGATATTCATATCCTTCTACTACATATAGAATATAGCGGATAATAACCTGATAGTCTTGAAATAGGTTACATGACTCGAAATCGTCTTTAAAGAACTACACTTTTCCTATATGTTAACTTTCAACTATAGCATTTAAATGTTATTACTTGATCATATATATTACAATAATATTTCTCCTTTCTTTTCACTATTGGAAAGTTTCAGTTTGAAATGTTTAATTCACCATACTGTATTAAACAAGATCTTTATCCTTTCTGTTATTCTCTTATTATGAGTAAGAATGAATAGAAATATACGGCTCTTTCTTCTCTAATCTCCTTCACCCGCTACATTTGATTTTATTCTTCCCCTATGGTAATGAAACGAATAGCATAACTATTCCCTTCATCAACCCGACTTTTTTTTATGTAAACCAAATTAAACAACTAAAGACAATCCATATTAAATATTCGTGAACCATACAGTATTATTACCTTTCCTACTACGAGGACTTTTACCATTCTTTGATCCTTTAGTACCAGCAACTTAATTTTTCAAAAAACAACTTTTTTTAGCATTTTGTTAGAGATGATAGATTGAAAAATAAACGAATCATGAAAAAATAGAGTATATAAAAATAGAAGAATGAAATTAATCATTCTTAATGGAAAATAAATTTGCCTTCGTTCAATAAAACTAAGGAAATAGCAAGATAATAATAAGCATGAGATTTTTAAACTGTTTCTATTGGAAATAACTAGGTTAATCTGCTTTTAATCAGGTTAAAGAGAAATTCAATTAATTTTCAACCCTCTCACCATCCAGGGCTGCATAAAGCCTATCCATTCTATCGTCGGTTTCAAGAACAATGTTTTGATGGCTTTTTCTTCTATTTATTTTTGCTTTTAAAGCTATATTCTTTAAAGGTTCTCTACTCCTAGTAACACTTTCAGGTTCAAAATCCATTTCTTCCTCTTCCGGTACAAAATGTAAACTACCCGATGAAGTTATTCGAGGAGTTGACGACGGTTTAGCAAGACGAACTTAACGCCCCAAATAATAATTTATATAGTAAAAAAAAATTGAAAGATATCGCCTAATCTTGTATAACCCAAAAAAATGTGTGTTGAAAGTAAATACAGTATATTGTATATATGAACATAAATAATAAAATGCCATAATAGTGCTAAAGCCTTTGCCAAGAGATCCTATCTATGTTCTAATTATAGTCTTCGATAGAATTAAATAACGGAATAAAGGAATAAAGATATTGTAAAAACTTTGTTACCTGGTTCACCTAACTCTGCATCATTTGTATTAACACTCTCTATATCTGCCTCGTATTGACTTCTCAATCTATAAATAAATTAAATAGAATTAAGAATTAAAATTAAACAAAAAATTACTTTTCTAATTCATTTTCTCTTGCATCTGCACTAAGTTTTTGTTCTTCGTATGCTTTTTGTAATTTTTCAATCTTTTCCTCATATTCCTAACAATGTAAATAAAAAGTTAATATAAATATATCTAATTAATATTGAAATAAAAAAATATTAGAAGCAAATTTCTCTCTTAAAATATAAATGAGATAATTATTTGTGAAGAAGAATGAACAAAACATTAAATAATTAGTCTTTTTAATTTATAAATAAAACTAGATAATGACAGAATGAAACAGTAAAATCAAAGGATAAAAAAAAGTATTTTAGAAAGACTTTTCAGTATTTTTTTTATCAAATATTTGACAGAAAGTGCTTTCTAATATAATTTTTATTACATAAAGTTTTATATAATATTATCAAATTATTGATATACGATATCGTATGCAACAAAAAATCGTAATAAGCTTTACTACTAGACTAAACTAAATTAACTACTTAAAAGAAATATTAATTGTCTGAAGCATATTTTTAAATTATTTCAAGATGGAGAGATGGTAAAGGTAAGTAGAAGACAGAAAAACGATAGGTAAGGGGACAAAGGAAGATAGAAAGAGAAAAAAAAACAAATCTGATATATGATTAATGCTTTTTTTCTTGGTTTGATTTAGTTTAATTCTTAGATGTTATTACTATTTATATTCTTACCGTTGTGATTTTCTGTATAAGTGATTTTTCGATTGAAAAAAAAATAGATAAAAAATAAAAAATAAAATAAAAGGTGAGTTTAACTTAGTTAATAATAAATAAATTCATTTACATATTGCGGCTGCATAGGTCTATAAAACAAAGACCTTAATATAATTCGATTAATTGATTTAAAGTGTTTTATATTTGTTTTATTGATATTTTTTTCTTAAACATAAAGAAAGACAAATAAATTAGTAGAAAAAGTGCTTTTTTTAAGTGCCCGTTATTTTAGCTACTAATTTTAATCAATATGATAATAAGCTTGCTTGTTTCTCATTTTCTTTTTTATCTTATTCATTTACTTACAAAAAAATTGTTTAAGGCTTATTTAATAATTACGTAATACCTTGTAATAAAATACACCTACCTCTCTTAATTGGTTTCTTTCTTCTTCCTGCTCTTCTGTCCCATTAACGTATACAACTTTTTCAACGATTTTCTCTTTTATTTGAGGTGCTGGAGCATTAGCTTTGAAATTACCGCCTACTCCACCTTCTAACTGGGCTGGATCTACAGGTATTTCACCTCTCAACATAGCCTTTAGCTTAGCAATTTCGTCTGAGTATTCTCTTAGAAGAGCATCCTTAGGATCTTCATTAATTTTAGGCTTATTTTTTATATTTTTGGCTCTGTTCGCGTATCTTAGTGTTGACAATGTTTCATCGTAGTTGTTATCGGCGGGAGAAAGACAAGCAACCATAAGAGTTTTAGTGTTACCTCCCAAAGAATCTTGTAATAGCCTAGTTAATTTAGAATCTCTGTAAGGTATGTGCTTTGATTTTCCATCTACAAGTGCGGAAATAACGTTTCCAAGTGCCGAAAGTGATAAATTAATTTTAGTGGCTTCTTTAAGACGATCTCCTGTTGCCCCGGTTTTACCCTGTCTTTCTGAACCAGCTAAATCGACCAAGTTTAATTTACCCGCCCTAATATGTTCTTCTCCAGATTCATCTACTTCGCTCCTTTCTAAATGTATAGTAAATATTGAGTGACTCCTAGACGAATCCTTGTTCATCAGTGTTGCACCCACAGATCTATTATCCCAACCCTTTTCCATAATTTTTTGACAGTCTATAACACTTTTACAGGGATGTAAACTAAGACCTGCAACATAAACACCCTTCTCGGGATGCTCCTTTAAATCTAGTTTCTTTTTGGAGTCTTTACCAAGTAGATCTCTTATTTCTTCATTATAGATTTCAAGATACGAAGAATGGATTAAATATTTCGAGCCTTCCGTAACTTGTACAGTTTCGAAAATGTGGTCAAATGCCCTATTAAGAAAATCATTAAATGCAATTTATAATTTCTTCTTCGATATTTTAAGAACGATAGCTAAATCATTCTCATTTAATGACTAATAATGAATTGTTCACTGTTTTATACATAAACCATATATATAAGAATAAAAATTAAAGGTTAATAATTATAATAATATTGATAAAATACATAGCTAATTAAGGAATTGGTGTGGGGGAGAAGACAGTACAAGAATGTAGTGGTTTCAACTGGGAAACAAGATATATTTCAAATTTTTATATATGTAAAGACAAATATGTATTTATATTTATGTATAGATATATATATATAGTATATAAATTTCTATGTATATTTATAAAATAGAGCTATATGTGTATTCTTTTATATTTATAGGATATAAATATAACAAAATCGATAAGGAAATCTTCAAGTTATGGCGAACACCTAATGCACAATGACATTAGGATCGATTGAATAAAAATATTTATGCTTTTCACTTGGCGATCTTTCGATTCTCGGCTTTTTTTTTCTTTTTTACACCATTTTTCGAAGAGCTAAACATACTAATCTGCATTTTCCAAATATTAATGTTTTATATCTCTTCATATCAAGTTACAATTCTAATTGTTTAAACATTCTTTCTCTTTCTAAATTATATATTTGTATATATATATACATATGTAAAAATAGGCAAATAACTCTCTCTTCTTCTCTTTCTTCCTCTTTACCCCCCTCAAAGCACGATCTTTCTCGTGTTTAAGAAAATATATACTAGGCCTGTGTTAATTCTTAAATAATTGTAGATTAAAATTGAGTAATACATAACCAAATGAACGAATTTTTTGGTGAAGTTTAAGTGGAAATATCAAGCTTAAACTGTTATCTATACTATATATTAATAAATTAGTATATACATCTATATATATATATATATAAAATGTATGTATAAATTTATATATATACATATATATGAACTCAATAACACAGCACTTGATCAAGATTAAGAAATTAACTTCTTGCGTTTTAACTTTCAAATGACACGTATAATAGAAAGATTGTTTAAAACATTGTGAATAAAAAGATCAATAAATGAGTCGATTACGTAATAAGCAGCTTTAATAAGAATAGGAAAAATACGGGAATTGATAAGAGACACACAGTGAACAATTCAATTAGTCGTATTACAAAACATATTAGGATTGATAATAGAGTAAGAAAGAAGATTTCTTACCTTGGTATTATTCCCCTTTGCGTTGCTGGATTTGTTATACCCTGCATACTAAAACTTTTTCCACATCCTGTTTGCCCGTAGGCAAATATTGTACCATTATAGCCTTCAGTGACGCCCTATGTATTAGGAGTAAATAATAACTACTTGACGTTTTTTTCATATGTTCATTAATTATATAGTCAAAGGTGAACTAATAGTATTATTATAGTACGTTCATACAATACTCAAAATTTTTTTAAGACATTTACAAACTGTTGTACAGTTTAAGTGAAAACTTGATAATTCTTTATAAAATTTGAACTCACCTCTACTAAGGGATAGCCAATATCGTTGTAAATCTGTTCAGTGGTTGAATCGATAAAAAACGCTCCGTCAAAAGTAAAGGATTTTGGTGGTGCCTTTTTATCATTAGGATTGTTTATTGAACATTGTCCTATTTTACCATCCATTGATACCACACATTCGCAACGTAAATCTTTTTCTCTGGTGTTCATAGGCCTACACCTTACGATAACCTTTACAGCTTCAGCCATCTTTGCAGTCAATTAGTATACCTAAATGAATATTTGTCGTTGAAAAGTTAATAAATAAAGGAGGGAACATTCAAGATTTAAGATAACAAAAAGTAAATGCAGATCTTAAATGTAGCAGATAGGAAGGAAAAAAGACGTAGATTTTAATGTGTTCATAAAAATTTAAGGCTTTTTTCTTTTTGTTCTTTTGTTTTTTTTCTTTTTTTTGCAACGTAAATCTAGAAGTAAAAACATTCTGAATAGAACATTATAACTTACCAATTTTCACTTAAGTTATAGATATGAACGATTGATTCTTTTTTGATTTTATATTCTATATATATATATTGATATATACACTTAGAATTATATATATATATATATATATTTTCTATATATATCGCTATAAATTTCACTAATAAATATTTCTTTTCCGATTTTGATTGAATTATTCTCCTGAAAATATCCTTTTAAAAATTTGTATTTGATTTCTTCATGAAAAATTGTCCTCCTTTCAGGATTAGATATCACTTTCTCTCATTGTGGAAAGAAAATATTCGGACGAGAGAATTTTCCTGTCGAAACTGCCACTAAAACTAAAATGAACGGATTGGGGTACCTAATTTTTCCTGTTTACAGTATTGCTTAGCAACGAGATCGAAACATGTGCTGAGGCCTACTTATCTCCTGATTAATACATAAATTTCGTTCTCATAACAAATATATACAATATACAGTATAAACAACTGTTAACTTGTTGCTTTTTATTCCATTTAGGACGAAAACAATTATAAAATTATATTGCAGAAAAATTAGTAAAGCACAAGAACCATACTATTATAACAAGTTATTTTAAGAGAAATAACTGTAAATAGATAAAAGATTTGAGATTTACGACTTGCGGATAATAGGCTCAAATTGAAAATATATCACATATATATTTTAGCATAAATTTTTCATTAATCAATAACAATTACACTAGTTTTATCAATATTAAAATATTGATAAACTATCTATATATGTATATAAATGTATGCTTATTGCTCAGTAAAAACATGATAATAGATCCTACATCTATTTTATTGTCTTTTATTCGTTATACTATTATAGAAAATTTCTTCATAATTTTTTAAAATATTGGTTAAATATAACAAATTTAAAAAACAAAGTAAATAGTTGTAATTAAGAAAAGGCTATTGTTAATAAATTAGATTTTCTAAACCTAGTGCTCCCATTTTAAAGAAAAAAAATCAATATGGGAATACTAGACTAAGGATTAAATAACTTTTTAATAAATAACAAATAATTGTTAATATTAATCGAATAATTCAAACTAAATTTATACCTGTGTATTGCATGCATTACTGTTTTTCAACTTACGTTTCATTAAAATTGTAAAAAATGTCAAGTTTTACTGAGAAAACGAAATTTAATTACAAAAGTATTAATAATTTTTTTTATCATTATTAGTTTCCTTTTCCTATCTAAAAGTACATTTTCAAGTATACTTAAAACATATTTTCAGAATATGATAGCATTGATATAAATAGGCAAAGTGAACACAACACACGTCCTTTTTTCTTATTGAGGGTGACTTAAAAAAAATTAAGAGAACCGAATAAAAGAAACAAAACGGAAAAAATAGATAAAGAATAACAAAGGCAAAGAAGTGAAAAGATTTTTTTCTTATCGCACTTTTATAGAAAAGCACCAAAAAAATGTTTTTTTTTATCAGCTTCTTGACTAATTCAAGTATTTCCGACATTTTTTGGCATCACATAAACAGGGAATTTTCACATCTTCGAGTGGAAACTTGTAGTCGTAAGTTAGCTCTTCTCCTCTTTTCAAACTGTAACAATGCAAGAAAAAAGGATTATAGAAAATTAACTGTCTATCTTGCGAAATTATATAATTGCGCGAAGGTAACTAACCTCTTTTGTGCAAATATAACAATGCGTTTTTGATTATTTGTGTCTTTTATAATTTTTGAATAGCAATTAGGCTGTAGGAAAGAAATTTTTTTTTAATTCAAATTATTTATGGGCAACTATTGAAATTTCTCACCTCACAAGAATGATTAATAAATCGACCTGCATTACCACTCATAGTTGCATCAATAACGGTATCATGATCAACTCTGAACATATAGCATCCTATTCCCTTTCTTTCGTATTCCCTCTCTCTTTTATCGGCTAGGATTGCTCGGATAGATTCTCCTGCGTATTCTATAATCATTTCCTCCATTTCAATGTCTCTAAGACAGAATAACCCCCGACCGTGAATTGGAGATCTATGGACCGTTACAGCTTGCTTAGCCATATCTGGCAGATGTCTAAGTCTCATAACGAGCGGTAAATTTGATGCAGTTGCTCGAATTTGACTCTTCTGCAACATATGATGGGGAGCATCGTTTGAGAAGTGAGTTGTCGGAAATACTCGGTGTTTTGAAAGTAAAAAATTGAACATATCTTTTGCTTTTCTGTCCCTGTAAGGCTCGGCTCTGCAGCATCCTGAGGGATTAGAATATTCGGGAACAAAATCCACTGGAGAAACTTTACGTGTCTTAAAAGTATATTGGCGACAAAAAGTGTTGCCGAACAATTGTTCGGTAAGAAAAGTTACAGATTTTAAACCATATCCAGAAAATAAAGTAGGTTTACAAGATGAAAATGATAAGTGAGGTAAATTAGAATCTAACCGAACTTCGGCAACTTTCTTAAACAAAGTCATCCAGGCTTCTTTGACGGCTTTGCTCTCTACTAAAACTTTTCCCTCGCTTCTTATTTCGAAAAATAAATTAGGATCTTTACTCTATAAATAAGTTTACAGGTTAGATTTAATCAAAGCTAACAATTAAATATTTAAGAATAGCAATTAACCTTATCATGACTATTTTTTCCGTATAAATTTTGCAAATCTGTACTAGGTACATCTATTTCCTGAGTTGCTGGCGGAAGTCTAAGCTTTCTTCTTTCGGAATGTAACAATATACACGATTTATCAGGAGATTTCTCTATTGAAGTACTAGGTAAATCACATATTTTTCGTCGTTTTCCCTGTACTTCAAACGTTGCTCTTTCAACCTGATCATGCCCTGGTGTGTTTAATTTTATAATAGTTGGTCCTCTCTTCAACGAATTATTCGACGCAATATTTCTATAATGAGGTATTAATTTTTTCATCTCAACCATTTTCTTCATTTGATTGGCTATTAGTGACCGAATTTTTTTAACATCAATATCTAAGTTATGGCATTGCGCTTTTTTCAAAATAAAAGAGGATAAGCTACCATCCGCATCGTATGTAGATACTAATTGTTCATCACTCAAATTAGAAATTTCCTCCTCTGTAGGTAAACTATTGACATTGGACATGAAATCATTAGATATTGATTGAAAAAACAAATCTAGCTTCGTCATTGGCTGATTATTTAATGTTTTACAAACTACAATCTTTTGAGCGTTACAACTAATTTTTCGTTTGCTACTGAAAGAATTTTCACTATTCAGCTTTTCGTGAATCGGATCCATTGTAAAATTTTGAAAACGATAATTTTGTGAGGTTGTTGAAGTTAAATTAGAAGCAGAATTTTTACCAAAACAATGGATACTAGGAAGCTTCACTTTGTTATTTAACCCATTAGTATCCATTTTTTTAACATTATTACTGTTATCCATGGGACCATTTTGAAAGAAATCCACTTCCTCATCCGTATCAGTGTCATTTTTATCAACTTTGTTAGAATTTTTTTCCTTTTCATTATCTTTGAACGCACAACGTTTTTGATGAGAATCCTGAGCTTTTTGCGTTTTATAAACAACATAGCATTTTGAACAATACCAATAATCTCTCTTTTCCGTAGAATCAACGAGATTTTTTGGCCTGGAAAGTTGTCGTATTTGTTGAGCAGTCACTCGAACAAGTTTAACTGAACACTCTTTAATCTCTGGATGTAATTTTTCGTTTGAACTTTTCTTGTAATTTCCTTTTAAATATTCATTTGCTGCTACATCAGGAAGACGTAAAATTTTTACAAAACAATTTTTAATATTCGGATATTTCCCTTGAGTATTTGTTTTATCATTAGCACCATCAATTTGTGGTATAATTATCTTTTCGTCTTCATTAATTATTCTTATGTTATCTTGACTATATGATTCAAACTCTAAAGCAATATCTGCTTCATCAGCTCCGTTGTTAACAATAATATAGCAGTCACCATCATTATCGGAAGAAGGTAGGTCGTCCTGATTATCAGCATTAGTTAAATCTATGAGATTATTTGATACACTAAAATTATCACTATCGTTTGTCGGAAAGCCTAACAGCTTTAGTGTTTTTGGAGCTAAATTTCTATAATCGAAATCAGGTTTTTCCAAATCTAAATGAAATAGTTTTCTTTCCTTCTCTGAATTCTTATTACTGATATGAATTCCTTTTTCTTCATAATCTCTTAACACGTTAATATCGAAATCTGGATGATTTTCATCATGAACTATTCTTGTTTCCTTCACTTCAATTCTATCTATTGGTTGAACCAAATGTACTCTTAGAGAGTACGTTATCTTTTCTTTTATTGAATTATAAGACCAGTATTTTCGTTGCAACAGAAATTCATTCGGAAGAAGATGGTCAGGTTTGTCAGATAATGGTATTAGATGGCCAAGGCTATTTATAGTCAATGAACCAACTAGAACTTTCACTTCGTTTGGCAATACAGACTTGTATGACTTACGACTCTGAGAATTAACAAACACTCTTCTCAGAACTGGAAATGCTTGTAGAGATAAAATCTAATTGAACGAAGGAAAAAAGAGAGAAAAGAAGTTTAATAACTTGATAAAATATATAACAATATTCTTACTTGATTACTAATTGAATTGCGATGCTTAGAGCAAAACATCTTCTTATCAATTTGAAATACACATTCAACACTACGAGCGCACATAAAATGATAGTTGCTGGTACATCCTGGCTTACAACACCCAACAGTAGCGCCTCTGATACTGCATTTTTGACATTTCTTCAGAAAGTAATAAAAAACGATTTAGTTATCTATCTTGAAAATATAGAATTCTCTGTTTATTTCTTACCAATTGACTTCCTCTGCAAATGGCAGTTTGTATTTTGAATATTTGTCCATCATTGTTTTCGTATACTTCAGCGCTCCATAAGGCACAGTTTACGTGTACCCAATCATTAGGTCCAGCGTATAATAATCTACCTGCACTTTCAACAGGAGAATCTCCGACAACTTGACAAAAGCTGCATTTCCTCGAATCATTTTTATTTAAAATGTCCAAATTTGATGCGTCGCATAAATCAAAATTATTGTTTGATTTTGTAAATATCTCCCTACTGTCGTTCATCCATGATGCATATGTGTGATCTTCATTAGGTGGCATACAAGCATTTGGTAGCATACAGCTATATATAATAAAAAACAAGTAATAACAGAATTATTAGGAAGTGTATCAACAGAATTGAAACTATATAAAAAGAATATCATTAAACATACTCCGGAAAAATTTGACTAAATTCCCAAAATCTACATTTTCTTGAGTCAAACCAAGGGAAATTTTCATTCATTAACTAAAAAAAACATTCATTATGAGTAATTAAATTAAAGTGATTTTCAAAAAATGAAAGTAACCTCTAAAAATTTAACAACGCAATTTGTTATGTCCTGTTCTTTGTTCATTCGATTACGACAATTGTTTTGATTAAATCTTATAATTCTTACAATATCATCACAAAATGAATCCTGCATTAGAATGAAATCATTTAAAAGCGTATCAAAATATAAAAAAAAACATATTAATAAAACTACTTACGACGCTATAATCTTCTTTAATCATCTTTTCACTTATATCATCAAAAGTGTACGGATGGGTTTCTTTCGTAGAGCGATGTTTATTTAAGTTACTTTCAGTGCATAAAACCTAAAACAACATCAAAGAATATTTTAGTAAAATATTTACAGCTTTTAGAAGGTTGAATACCTACCAAGCTATCACGAGACAAGGGTTCTAAAACATTTTCAAATTCCTTCAACTTTTCCAGAATAGAAGTCATCCCACCACGAAGTTGATTATTACATTCTAAAAGCCAAATAGGTTCCTTATCTGGACAGCATTTCGAACAACGAAATGCTTGAGTCTCAGAAAGATTTGACATCATCTCATAAATATCATCTAATAATATAAAAAAGAAACAGTGAAACACCTTATCTATAAATTATAAACGGTATGTACCTGAAATATTCATGCAATTTGCATGAACCCAAACATCGCATTTGCTGCATTGTATTGTTTTTGTGTCGAAAATACTGTCACTATAGCAGTGTTTGCAAATAGGACAAAAATTTCCTTGGTTTAGTGATTTTGAACACTTATGACACATTGTAAAATCATTATACCACTTTCCAGACGATCCGGATGGTCTTTTGATACCGCAATTTTTACATTTAACACAGCGGCGACATATCCAAGACTTTTGAGGGCCGAAGGATAAATGATTTTGACCTGCACAATTAATATGATAACCGTCTTGACAAATTTTACATCTTTTTAATTCTTGCGACTTTTTTGAACCACCGCAAGCCCTGCAGTAGATGCATTTACGGCAAATCCACGTGTCCAAAGCACCTTTTATGGGTTTTTCACCTTTTTCTAAACAGAAAAAGTGAAACGGTTCGCAGCATACATTGCAAAATATCAAATTATGGTTGCCAATGGAGCCACATAGGTAGCACAGAACTGATGGAATTTTAGTATTTGCAGTTGTTATTACACTAAATCCCTCTGCCCAGCATTCTGATAGGGAAAGATTTGCATTAAAATCCAAATTTATGTAATCTTCCCCTGCGGATTGGGGCCACTTCAATCTTGGGATCAATTTTGGGTCAACTTTTGAATTATCTTCGCAAACTACGTTCTTTGTCCTTATTCTTCTCGGCTTTTCTTTGTTGCCTGGTTTTTCTTTTTTTTCTTCTACTTTCTTAATCGTTTTTGGTTGCTGAAATAAGACAAACATTTACTCTAAACTCCAAGTTCATTTTAAAATACCTTTGGAACAGGTGGAGCAGACGGCTTTTCTTGCTTTTCAGGTTTCTTAGGCAGTTTGCTGGATTTTAGCAATTTTAACCTTTGATTTTTCTTAATATCTCTATCTTTTTTATCATTAGTATCTGCTCTCTCAGTTGAAGAAGCAGTTATACTAGAAAAATTGCAATCTGAATAGCGAGCTTTAGGCTTAATATGCCTTCCTAGTCGCGTTGTAGTAGCATTATTTCGACTTCCGATATTATCTGGTGAAAGATTCCGTTTCATCAGACTTTCAGGTGGCACGCTATCGCTGGTACGAAAGAAATTCCTAATTTTCAAATTCTCTCCATTTTGATCAACTGAATTGGTGATAAATTTAAGCGATAATACAATTTTTTCAACGGCTGACAAAGACTATGCTTACTTTTTGATATTCGAGAAGTAGTCTCATCTTGTTCTTCCTCATTGGAAATACAATTCTTATCCGAATCATCGTCGGTAGTTGATAACTCACTATATTCATAGTCTTCTTCAAATGCTCTGTATCGCTTGCGACGAATAGACTCTCGACCCCTTAACTTTCCCAATTCAGATTCACTATCGATTACTGCCAAACAAACTCTCTCCCTGTACACGTAGAAATTTAATCGATAAGAAAAAATCTACGATAAGACTATTTTTGTAAAACTTACAAACAATCTAGTTTAACACGTCCTAGTTTTAGAGGCTCCCTAAAAATTAGATAAAAAAAATATTAGGTAAAGTACTAAATAAATGTCATATGATTGATCGTAATACAAACTTGCAATTAGGACAATTTCCACAATTTTTTCGTTTACAATTGGAACAGCGTCCGCATCGATTGGTTTTTTTTGTAGCATTAGGAGTAGGAGTACTCTTTTTACTGTTTGCAACTTCACCTATCATATCGTCAACGTTTAGTTCTTCTAAATCAGAATCACGAGCTAAGAATTTCCTTGCAATACGTTGTTTTTTGTTTGTTGGTAAGGCGCTAAGGCGAGGTGCAGGTGGTTCGTTTTCATCTTCAAAATTTGCTGATGGTAAACCAAATACGACAGACGCACTTCGACAAACGTGCTTAACTCTTGGACCATTTTGACCGCTAGCTTCGTCCTCACTACTTTCTTCCATTGACTTATCCTTTTTATTTCGAAAATAATGAATAAATCATTGAAATGAGTAGTTAATATATAAATACCATAGTATCTTTTTCTAAAGCAGTAGAATCAACGTTTGCTAAATGAGGCGTTGTACTCTTTTCACCCAATATAAATTTTCCTTGGCATTTGCTTCTCTGGAAGTTTAATTATTTGTATAAGAAAATGAAATAAAAATAGAAATATACTGAGCTTCACCTTTCGACCCTCTTCAAAGATATTATAACATTTCTGAGACAAACAATACCTACAACCGCCAAATTTGACAGGTTGAATGTCACACTTTCCTGTACAATTAACGTTTCTTCTAAATAATTTCTGCTTTCTGTTGGTTCTATTGTAATTGAACAAGTTTCGACATTTTGTACAGGATGAAACACCAAGATATTCTTTAACTATTGTTTTCCAATTGCAAACTTCACAAATAGCTTCGATATGAACATCAGGAGAAATTGAATCAATTTTGTTATCGGTGTCCTCGCTAATTGAATTCTTGGTTTGACTATTCTCTTCCTATAAAAAAATGTTATTAACTATAAGCAAACAGCAGAAATTAGTAGAGTTGTTAATAAAAACCTCTGATGGAACAGTCAAAGTAAAATCGCTATTTAATGACAAAAGTTCACAGAAACGTTGATAGCAGCAGGCGTCGCATTTTTCCAGATCACTAATTTTACATTCCTTTGCATAAGGACATTCAACTTGGGTTAATCCTTTCTGTACATTATCATACAAATTTTTACATTGTAGACAATAGGTTGTTGACTCTTTGAATGTGTTTTTCTTTTTTGCAGAAATTGACACTCCGCAGCAGGAACAAATAAGATGACTAAGATTAATTTCTTTACCTGCAGGCACACACCAGTTAGAATTAAGAATTAATTATTATTTGGGAATAAACTTACCTGGCGATTTATTTTTAACGTTCTTTTTCGTTTTAGAATATTTAATCGATTTTGCTACAGTCTTGGATTTATAAGGTAGCTTTCGAATGAGGGAAGTTGTAGTTTTCAATAAATTTTTTCGTTTAATTGAAATAGAACTATTTAGAAAGTCTCCACCGACAAACTTAGAATTTGGACGACGTTCCCGTCTATTTTCATTTGAGACTGTTCTTTCACGTTCAACGAGAGAATCTGTTTCATTATCGCTATGTTTTTTGTCTAAATTATCAGAGTGTCGTCTTCTTTTAGATAACTTTAATTTGTCAGTGGAAAATGTCACACTTTTGATGTGAAAATTGTCTTGTTTAACTTTTGAAGGAGTTGTTGATGCATTAGAATCGGATGAATGAGATTCGGATTCGCTTGATTTAGACGAAAATTCCTCATCAGAATCAAGTGGTTGAGTTTGCTTTAAATTGTACTCAGCATCCTCTAAGTCTGCGGAAGTGAAACCTTCGAAGTCTGCTTCATCTCCCTGAATAGTTTTGATAAAATTATGCATTACGCAAGAGCAGGATAGATAAAAGACAAGCTGGAGTTTTACTATTAAGGAAATTTTACTTACACCTTCATCCTCGTGAAATAAAGCAGAAAATTCTCGCACTGCTTTTTGAATATTTTCTGCAAAAGCTTCTACTTCACTAACATCACCAGTAGCTTGATCGCAATGTGTATATGTGATTAGTTCCCTACCAAAACGAGCATCAGGGCAGCCTGGAAATCTTGGCCGCGACATTTTTAAGCGAAATATTCCGCATGTAATCTGGTTACGGCGTCCGTAAGAACTAGTTTTTTTTAAAGTTAAGACTGTTTTCACTTTAAACCACCGTAAATAATTCAATATTTTACTTTTATTACCTCAAAATGTAATATACAACTTATACTATTAAATTTAATAGAAATATCAAAAAGTTATTTATCGTAAACGAACATTTCAAGCCGGCGCGGTTTCACTTTGAGCCTGTTGCTGTTGTTGTTGTTGTTGCTGTTGTTGTTGTCTTGTCTGATCTTGCTTACTTGTCTCAAGAGCGGTGTGGATAACTTTCATAAATGACGTCTTTTGCTGCGCCTCATCACTTTCATATACACTTTGCAGTTGATGAACAGAAACTGTTCCTTCGCTATCTCCAACTAAAACGCACTGTTAAGTAAAAAAAACAAACGAGTACAAAAGCAATTAGTAATGGAAAAAAGTGTCGCAAACTGTTTTTTTCTTTGAAGAATATTTACCTCTGAATTTTTACTAAACACAATAGAACTAAACTTCTCCTCTCCGACTGGTATAGTTTTTATACAAGGATCCAGTGTATTCTGGGCCAAATCCCAAATTTCTATGCCTCTTTCATTGACACAAGCAAATACACTACAACATTTAGGAGACCAACAAATATCCGGAATAGAGTTCTAGAGGGAAAGAATAATTAAAGTATATTTATAAGAAAATTTTATTTTCCAATCGGATTATCAGGAAAATTGATTTGGAAATATTGAAATAAAATATCTTACCATGGAAGATTGGCAACTTATTAGTGGGAATGTATACTCTTGGTGCCATAATTTAACTGTCCAATCAGCGCTACAACTTATGAAGATATCTTTGTGGGGGAGAGGAAAGTGTGATTTATATAAACGTAATTAAAAACTGAAGTAAAATAATTATGATTATCAACCTTTAAGGTGAGGTGCCCATTTAACTCTGTAAACTGGTCCCTAAAACAAAAAATCAAGGAGCTTTTATTATTTTTTTAATTACATTAGATAGTATTAATTACAGCATGGCCGGTATAAGTTTCCAGGAATTGTTCATTGTAAGAACAAGAACATTTATGAATGTAACCTTCTTCAGTTCCAGCTATATATCTGTTTCATTTATTGTATATTATATTTGATGTATAAGAAATACGTTAAAGAAAATATTTACATATTTGTATCGACAGGCCAAAAATCAAAGCATAATCCACCGGCTAATTTGGATATAAAGGCTTCTGTTCTTTTTTCTTTATTTCTTAAACCTTGGCATATAGGCTTTTGAGGCATTCTTTTCAATTTCATCAAATCTAATAACAGGAAAAAAAAAACCATCGGAATGTTAATGGTTCCTTATCATCAAAATTCTATTTATCAACCAACCATAACTTTCAAATCCTTTGCGTATTGACCATTGAATAACTCGCCCATCAGTGGCTATAGAAACAAGAACTTCAGATTTTTCGTTATCTTGTTCCCTATTCTTCTCTACCCAATTTACTCTCCAAACAGGAGCAATGTGTTTACCAGCCGATTCTCTGTAACAATGAAATTAATCTACATATCTTTAATTTTATTTAGAGATCGTCATGATGCAAATTAACAATATAAAATAATAAAAAATAAAAAAAATTAGGCGAACCGAACAACTTTTATTATCAAAAATTCCAGTGTATAAGCATTCGCTACATTCATTAAGAGTACTAATAAATAAAAAAGTGTGTTTGTTTGTTTGTTTTTTAAACATAAAACACCTATTTGTATAATAAACAGTTAATCATTCATTGTTAAAATTTAATAAAAAACAAGTGAACCATGCCTGTATACTTTTGTGTGAATAATATTAAAGACAATAAAACAACTATTGAACATTTTGTGCATACACCGTCTGAGCTTTATTCTTTGTTAAGATTCTGTAAAGGGTTTGTTTTTTTGGGAACGAGAGAGAAAAGGATTTTTCAGATATTTTTTTAGGTTAGGGGAGAGGGAGGGGGAGGGGGCAGAAGAACGAAGAAAAAAATCACTATTAGTTAGTTGTTAACATTATACCCGAATTGTTATTAAATATATATCTATATCTACATATATATATATAAACAGTATAAATATGAATAGTAATTAGGTGATAAAAATACTAATTATGGTTACCATTATATAAATATTCTTCACATATACACATGATTGATTATTAAATTAATTATAAATATTAATATGAAAACTGTAAAGCAATTAAAGTTATAATATTTTATTTTTAAATATTTTTTGCTGTGCTCATGCAAACCTCAACCTCTAAGTTATTTAATAATAATAATAATAAAAAACTTTACTACTTTATTTTTACTTACGTGTCGACCGTTCTCATATCCTTTCTAACATTTTGTTTTTTTTTTAATAAAAAAAAAGTAAAGAATAAAAGAGATAGTTGTTGAGGGAGTTTTTTTATAATAAAAGAAAAATGAAATGTTTTTTTTTTATAAAAAAAGATATTGAATTTTAAATGAATAAATGTTAATAAATATACTTACAAGGTATCCAAAACTGTTTCGTTACTAGTTGATTTTACGTTATATATTGCTACTGTGCCATCGTACATTCCAACCTAATGCCATTATTAATAAAAACTAGGTCATAAACAATATATTGAATAAACTTACGGCAAGATAACTTGGGTGTGCCTTGGAAAAGTCTAGAGCCGTTACTCCTTCGTGGCAATAATAAATCCTCTCAGGAAACTAAATCGTTTAAAACAAAACTAAAGTAGAAAATGACAAGAGATGTGTGATAAAAACCTCAGGATTTTTTAAAGACCAACAGCAAACAAGACCGGGTTTTTGCTTAGTGTATTCAAATTGACCATACCCAACAGCCAAAAGATCCTGAATAATGTATACATTAATCAATCTAAAACCTTTTAAATGATAAAGCGAATACGAACAAAATTACTCTTATTCCATGCAATACAGGAGACATTACGGCCCCTAGTTAATGGACATTGATACATCCATAGTCTTGTAAGTGTTGCCCCGGCATCCTGTATATTCTTAGACTGTGAAAGAATAAATCGGTTATATCGAGAAAAGAGTTTCTGTTATTATAAGTAAAATTATTTATTACCAAAATACTAGTCTCTGTTGGCTCCCTCTTTGGAATTGGAGTAGGAGTGCCCATAGTAAACGTTGTACCGTCTTTCGAAACATCAGGTTTTTCTGATAAGGATTCAACAATTTCTTCAATATCTATAATAAAAAAATAAATAAGAAAAAACTATAGTTTTTTAATAGTATAAATTAATAAATTTAGCTAACCTGGGGGAAATACTGGAAGGTCTCGGTAGGTAGCTAATTTTGGTTGATAAGTATTTAAATTGACAACTCTTTCCATAATCACTAAATCCCTTTTGAAATTTGGTAACTAAACAAATAGATAGCAAGCATAGTTTACTAGTAAATTGTTGAAACAAAGTGCAAGTAATGAAAATTTACTTTAGAAATTAGACCAAACTGTTTCTTTCTGTATTTATCTTTAGCTTCTTCGCTAAGTGTTTCAAATGTTCCTGCTCTTGCCTGAACAGACGCTGATTCAGATGTTATAGTTAGGCGACTCTCTGTTCAAATAATAAATGAGAATAAGCATATTTTATACAGTAATATAAGTATATAATATAATAGTTCAATATAATGAATTTCATATAAAATCTGAGGGATAAGAAATTTATATCATGTGCTTTTTAAATAAATAAAATATATTTAAGTGCATAGGAAAGCGAACACCTTTCCTTCTACTTTTTGATAGTAAATAAATTTAATAGAAAAGCCATAGGACAAATATTGAAAAGGTTGGAAATTGATATACCGAAAGATACTGTACCCCATATATTGTATATATATACGTGTATATGTAAACATGTTTTATGTGCAATATTATGTAAATATTATATATTCAAATAGTTTAATTGTAATATAGTTAATCAATTTATAACTTCTTTTACATGTATAAATATTTATATACGGCATACAGTAAATGAAGATATCTTTGTAATTAAATAGTAATCAGCAAAAATCGTGTGTTTTGAATCATGCTGTGAGGCTGCGTCTTTCTCCATATAGTTTTTTTTTTTGCAAACATAAATCAATTGCTTATAATAACGACGAACCTGTACCAGGACGAACTACAGTAGATTGCAGAGGTGCAAACATGCTGGACGTCATAGTGGTTGTGGCCATTGTCTTTGCTATAGTTATTTATACGGAAATATTTTATGTAGAACAGGAAAGAAAATAGTTTTTTTATTTTTTATTGTGAACGTAGTATTTAGCTTTTAATGTATTAAAGCTTTTTTCACGCTGTATATTTTTTGTATATATACAGTGTATATCCAAAAATTTCCCTTTTAAAGGGTGATAGAAGCAGTGGTTTGGATTAAAGTAATTGTTAGGATACAACGATATCTATTAATTGGTCAAGAATTCTGTAAAAGTAGGAAACGACTAACCTAAATTGGTTCTAACAGATAAATCGTCTTCAAATGTTGATACTCCTGTTTGTTGAGCCATAGAATCGCCTAACGACATTTCTGTATTACTCTTTCCAAATGGTTTTGAACCTGTTTGAGGCCTATCTAGTCTATCCAATTTTTCATCACCATCTAGACCTTCGTCTTCTTCATCAGTTTTTTCTATAAAGTGATTGAATTAAGTTGAAAGATAAACAAGGAGATGAATTTACAAAATTTATTAAACCTGGTGGAGGTTCAAGAGCTTTATACGTGTCATACATATCCCAAGTTGTAGCAGTAACCCCAATTTCCTGTTAAAATATAATTATAAAGAAGTTATTAATAAGTACATGGTTATTACGAATATCCTTACATTAAAAGTTCTTTTCATTGTTTGAACTGTTTTGTTCTTTGGATATTCGTTGAAAGTATTCATTTTTCTATCAACATAACGGTCGTTCCCAACTCGGCTCGTTTTCAACTGACCAAGAAGAAGGTAAAAGCATAAATAATTGATGATCTTATCAATTATAATAATGAATACAAACCTCCGCATATTTTTCATTCCTTTCTCTAATGAGATTGGCTTCTTCAGAATCTTGAGAAAAACATATAGGATGCAGTTCAAACATATCTATAGTCTCTGTTTCATATAAATCTAGCCTTATAGCTTTTTCTAAATCCTCTTCTGTTAAAGTATCTATCTTTTCTTCGACTTTTCTTGAAACTAATAAATAGCACAAAAATATTGGGAGTCATATGGGAGAGTTATGATTGATAATAATTACTAACAGACAAAGTTTGATTGATCTTCATTTGGGCCTTGAGTAGCAGTTAGATCATCGATTAACGACTCCTCCGGTGAATGAGATATTCCAGATTGGGATGCGCTGATTATTGATCTTGTAAATGGGCCTGCACCGAATGTACTTTGATGTGCCATATTGGATCCAGGTTGGGACATAAGATCCGTTGGCTAATATGGAACATTGTTTGATTAAAAATGATAATTCATATAAAAGTCAATAATTACCGTTCCATCCGAATGATCCCCCATAAGAAAACTCTGATTCCTCTTAACGTTAGGATCCATTGCATACAAAGGTAGAGGAGTAACATCGTCGCCAGATTCATTATAGACCTATTATAAGTTCAGATAAACTTTTGATAAAAGGATTACTATTACAGTTTAGTTTACTTACCCTACACTTTGGTTTCCATAATTCTGTATTAGTCTTATCTAAAACAAGATTTTTCCTAGATGTTGCTGACAGTACGCTAGATCCGCCGAATTGAGAGCGTTGATTACTCCATTTCGTTGATTTTTGACTATACTTGGTTCGGTTTGAGTGAATGTTAGACCTAAAGACAGAGATAAGTAAAAGAATTTCAAAACAATAGTTCATATAATTTTACCCTCCAAACTTTGTCTTCTTTTGCAAATGAGTAGAAGAATTGGCCGACATTTTACTCTTGAAAAAGAATATAAATGTTCAGAAAAATCAGCGGGTGTTTACGCCGTTGTCATTGGCGAAAACAGAATGTAGTTCCAAATATATTCCAGTGTCCATGTGTATTGAGAACGCTATCAGTGTTCTATTTTTGTACATAAACTCTTCCCGTATTCTTCTATTTTCTGATAGATTGAGGTAGTATTGGCTTTCTAATAAACATTGGCGTCGTGCATAACAATAAATCATATAGTAAATAATAGTGTAAAACTTTTCTCTAAAAAAATCATGATAAAAATTCTTAAAAAATATTTCAACAAATGCAACAATAAAATGTAAAAGAAGCTTTTAAAATTCACCCAACAAAGAGAAACAAAGAGATCGCTTAGAGAAAGCAAATAATTTAATGAAGTGTTACAATAAATTTTTTGTTTATTATTTTTCTTTTGAAAAAAAAAAACAGATAAGAAGATAAGAGTGATGGAAAGTAGAAAATAAGGAAGGAAATATAACATATTCAGTTTAATTATGGTTTCTTTCATGTCTGTAAGTCTGTATAAGTAAACAAATTTTTGATATATGGGATGTTACGTTGTGATTAAGATGATGTTAAATCCTGAAATCTAATCTCTGTATAATACTGTTCGTGATGTATGGTTTTTTTTTTATTTCTGCTTAGCTTGTATAAAAGGAAGGCTGGTTAACGAAAAGTCTTAAATATTTATATTATTCAGGCCTTTTCTTATTTTACTTTCAGAAGTAAAGAACATGAATACAGAAAATGAGGATCTCTATCAAATTTATAGATTAAAGGATACGGATAAATCTATTAAGAAAGCTAAAGATCACAGAAATGAATTTTGTGTTGATATACATTGCAATAATACTGAAAATCCTCTGATTAATTGTCCTCAATGTATGGTTAAACTGCACGATTGGAAATTAGAAGATCATTTGATTATTTGCTTAGAGAATAAAATACCCTGTATAAATGCTGTCTATGGTTGCCCATCTTTCATGAGCCGCCGACAAATAGCTTCCCATCTTCCCCATTGCCCCGCTAATATAGTGTTTTGTAAAAGGGTTTGGTGCCGTTGGCCAATTGAGGTATTTTTGCTTTCACCTCTTTGAAATCATAAATTCAACAGATGATTAATACGTAAAAATCATAGGGAATAGGATACTAGTCTTATCAGCAAGTATAAAAAGTAATATTTCTTAATAGAAAGACAATATAGAGATGTTTACTTATAAATGCTATATATATAGTAGTATTTTCTGTATCTAAAAGTACAGTAAAAATACCAAAAATATTAATCAACAAATTGTTTTCTTTATCTCTATTTATATAGGAAAAACAGGTTCGATGCGGCTTTAAGAATTACCATGTTCGCTTTAGTCAATTAGATGTTGCCCTTGCTGTTAGAGATGACCATCTTCTCAGGCAAAAGGAAAACTCATCACCAAGCTGTATTGAATTATGCTCATGGAATGGAGCTACTAAGAATTTTTCTAGAAATTCAAATCGACGTTCAAGCATTGGATCTGATACTCCAAGGCAATTCAAGTTTGATGATGATAGATGTAATTCTGTTTGGAATAAAAAGAAGTATCCACCTGGTTTAAAGTCAAGCATTATACAAAATCTCTTATCAACAACTCAGACTGTGAAAGATCATGCTCAAATAAACAGTTCTATAACTCAAGAAGAAATGGATAATTCTGAAGAGGTAAAGCTCAAAGATATTGTCAAACTGGATCTCCAGATTGAGTTCCCATTCGCATACTCAATATCTTCAATTGACAATATCCTCCTCTGTAATAAACGTTTTCGTCGCGATGAAATTCATTCACATTACGAAGATGTTCACAACGAAGTCCAATCCAATATCAATGGATGGTATCAGATAAGGTGTCCCCTGGCTTATGCTGGCTGTAACTGGCATACTTATAGATTCGCACCCGGAATCAATTCTCAAATGCACTATGATTTTGAGCTTGATGCTTTCATACCGTCATTGAACAATTGCAAAAAAAATGATGAAAACAAACAGACAGTTGTTGATATTCATATGCATAAAACAAGAGAAGGAACCCCTGAAATATATACTTCTTGCGATTATAACTCGAATGTCACTGCAAATGATTTATCAACACCCGCTAGAGATCGTTGTCGCTCATCAACCCCTAAAGAGATAGCATCATCCAACGTTTTTTGTCAGTCTCAGCTGTTAAGTCTGCCAATAGAGCTTCTTTTAATCATCATGAGCTACCTGGATTCATCGTCTCTATGGAGATTATCATCAACTTGCCATCAACTACATGAATTATGTGAACCTGTAGTAAAAAAGAGAGGTATAATCGATCTTACATGGGAAAAAGATGCAAAAAGTTGCTGGAAAGTTACAAAAAAGACTTGGCATTTTACAACGGCTTTTTCAAAAGTTAATTGGATTTCTATGGATAGGCCTAAAGTTACTGAACACTTAAAAATCTGCAAGTTCTATAAGAAAAATGTCAGAGAACAACCTTTTAAAATCTTATCGGAATAAAGGATCTCGCTTTGACAGTATTCTCAGAATAATAACTTTTCTAAATAATTGTTTTTCTCGTTTCAATTGTATTAAAGGCGAAATTAACATTCAGCAAAATAAATGGTTAATTCATAAAATCTTATGTAACATAGTAACAAATATCTAGTTACGAATAAGAAACAAGGAAATATTGAACTGTTACGGAGACAAAAATCTTTGATTCGTTGTTTTGGTAAATTTCAAAAAAAAAAAAAACAAAAAAAAAGAGACAGTGAAAGATTTTAATAGACAGATAGGGAAAATTTAAAAGAAAGCACTTTCTAATGAGTAATAATATGCATCAAGGTAGTTGGAATGAAATTTGCCCTTCATGAATGACAAAATAAAGTATAATTTGTATAAAAGAGACAAAAGATATGAAATGGATAATAAGCACAGAACAAAAAAGCAAACCAGTTAAAAGTAATGGGAAATTTTTAACGAAAGCTATGTTTTTCTCTTTTCTTTTAACAGAACGTTTGGCAGTAAGAAAGTTTAGTAATGAGATTCTAACAAGCACAAGAAGGAAAAAAAGAGAAATAAAAAATACAAAGATCTGTTTTTTTACAGATTATCTCGGATCATGCCTGCAAAGATGCCTCCTTCCCTAGTTTTTAAATCATCGGGTGAACCAGTCTCAATAACATCGCCGTTTTGTAAAACGACTATGGTATCATAGTTTAGAATTGATGCCACTCTATGGGCGATTGTTAAAACTGTCCTATCTTTGAAATGATGCTTGATAACTTCTTGAACAATTCTATCTGTAACCATATCAACTGATGCAGTAGCTTCATCCATAATTAAGATGTTAGAATTACGTAATAAAGCCCGAGCCAAACAGAATAACTGTCGTTGACCTAAACTGAAATTTTCGCCTCCTTCTGAAACAGCTAATTCTAAGCCTTGACCTTCTTTTTGAATAGTTGGTGATAATTGAGAAATTTCCAAAGCCTTCCAAATAGCCTGATCTGTATACTTGTGGGCTGGATCTAGATTAAACCTCACTGTACCTGCGAACAATACAGGGTCTTGTGGAATAATAGCTAGTCTAGATCTTAATTGTCTTAATGGAACTCTGCTGATATCAAGTCCATCGATTTCTGTTTTTCCATTTGATGTATCTATCAATCGGAATAGTCCCAACATAAGTGAAGATTTTCCACTGCCAGTTCTACCACAAATTCCAACCTTATCTCCGCCGCTAATGTTCAGATTAAGACTCTTTACAACGTTGTTTAGACTCTCATCATATCTTAGAGATAAATCGTTCAGAGCAATGACACCCTTTTCTGGCCAAGAATCTCTTGGAGCTTCTCCATCTTCAAAATTTTCATTTTTAATTGTTGTGTAATGACAAATTCTTTCGACCGCGTTGAAATACATTTCAGTTTCTGACATCGCTTTCATCATCCAATTCAAGTTTGCAGAAATCATCAAAGAATACGTTATACATAAACCAACGACACCTTCCGTAATTCCTCCATTTAAAGCTGAAACCAAACTACATACAGTTGCTGCAAATACAGTGAATGATCCGACAAAGTCCAATCTGATTCCCATCCATAAAATTGCAGTTTGTAAGTTAAGGAATGCTTTGTTATTATTGTCAACTACTTCGAAATTCTTTTCCAAAAACGCTTCTTGTCTATCATATGCCCTAATAGTAGCTAGGCCACCGATAGTTTCACTGAAGTGGGATAATACGGGAGATTTACTAAGACTATCAAGTCTCTGTAAATCTCGGCAAGATGCAATATAAAAACGTTGGACAGCTATATATACAGCGGCAAGCGGTACGACGGCTATCAGAAAGTAAAAACTTGAAGAAGCGATAACTACCAGACCACCAATTGAAAAGAAAGTACAGTAAAGAAAGGCATCCAAAATTTGCGCAAGTCGTTCATCAACAACCATTGTATCACCTGTAAACCTGTTTACGATTCTGCCCAAAGGTGTTGTATCGAAGAAACGCATGGGAGCATCAACAATTCTCCAAAGCATAGACGAATGTAGAAATTTAGCAGCTTTCAAGCATGAAAATTCAATAGTAAATCCACAGACCATACAGAAAAGAACAAATCCAGAGCATATCAAACCATAAACCAACATCAGATTTGAGACAGATTTATGATGATATTCGTCTAAAGTTATATTATGAAGATGAGGAACTTCTTTCGATGCTTCCGTCCAATGAGCCAACCAATAATCAGAACCAATTCTTAGGGCTTGCCTAATAAAGTAAGCCATGAATGTTCCAATTGATGCAGGAATGCCAGCAGCTAAAAAGAATTGTTTATAAACATTTAGAGATACTGCTCCTTCTTCTCTCTCTTCTTCATTAATCAATTTTCCAGCTTCATCATCAGTTTTTTTCTCATCAATAATAGTCTTCTGTTTTCGTGTTGTTTCAACGTCCTCCGAATTATCAAGATCATTTCCAACTAAATGAAGAGTAGCAATACTTCCTGAGCGAGAAATACTCTGGGCGAATTTACTGCTCCAAACTAGATCGGTTTCGGAACCTGTTAATGAACGACGTTTTTCGAGAGACTTTTTTTCTTCTTTTTCAGACGATCCTTTTTCCCATGATGCAATCAATTCTGGGTGGTTTTCACTCAAATCCTCATAAGTTCCCTTAGCAATAATTTTTCCTTTACTCATACCAATAATGTTATCCGCCTTCGGTAGATATTGCATTTGATGAGTAATCAGAATAACAGTTCGACCCAATTCCTTTATAAGATATTTATAAATCGCTTCGTCAAATATATGCCTTCCAACATGAACATCCAATGCCGACATAGGATCATCAAAGAGAATTATATCAGAGTTTGAATATAAAGTTCTGGCAATACTGATTCGTTGTTTTTGCCCTCCACTCAAGTTTATACCTCTTTCACCAATTTCAGTTTGATCTCCTGCAGGTAATATATCAATATCCTGTTTCAAGGCAGAGCACTCAATAACTTTCCGATACTTATAATCATCGTAAGGAGAACCAAACACGATATTATCCTTTAAAGTGGCATTCATTAACCAAGCTCTTTGCGATCCATAGGCCACCTTAGCTCCTTTTTGCCATTTAACTGATCCAGAAATTGTAGTCATTTCTCCTAGGATGGCTGATAGTAGTGATGATTTTCCACTTCCTATTGGACCAGCAACAATAGTCAAACTTCCTTCCGGTATCGACAGGTTGATATCACTCAAATGCTTTTCAATTTCCTCGTTGTCATCTTCCACTGATACTTTCCAGCTGAAATTACCATCTGCAACTTGTACAGCCGTTGCTTGATGATCAGCATTAGAGAAGGATGTCATTGCCTTTTCAACTTCGTTCATTTCAAGAAAATCGTTAATTCTTCTACAACTAACTTTTGCATGACTTATTGCTCCAACAATCATTGTCACTACAACCAACGGTATAAGAAGTAAATTGAACAGAGCCACACCTGAGAATACTTTATTAGCAGTCAGATATTCTCCAGACATTTGAGAGTAGAGAAGAAATGTTACCATAATAGCTAATATTGGTGCACTCTCTGTAAGAACAAGTGAAATAGCTCTCATACACGCTGCTTTCAGCATCATTCTTAATTCCTGATAATAAAGAAATAATGAATATCTATCAAGAGAATAATACAGTATCTGAAATACAATACCTTCATTCTCGTGACTTCTAATTTATCCCTAAAAACCAACTCCCATGCATAAAGTTTCAGTAATTTAATGCTTTGTAGTAGTTCGTTACATTGTTTAATACGTTTATCAGTGTAGCGCATGGCCTTCTTTTGGAATTTCGACATCACACCTCCAACAGTTATTTGTAGAGGGAGAATTAAAATAAGGAAAATAGCTCCAATGATAGCGGAAACACCCAATTGTTGATATAATAAGAAAATTGTAACACCAACTTGAATTGGAACTGTCCACGAGCAGTTACCAAGATAGAACAAGAAATACATATGATAAGCATCAAGCGACATGTGATTGAGGATTTTTCCGCTGAATTCATCGTCATTTAGTGAAAATAAAGTTAACCTCAAACTCTTTTGATAAATAAGACCTTGTAAGGAGCCTTTACAGCGAATACCTTCTCGGATAGCAAGGAAAAAATGATTTTGCCATAAAATATTTTGAATAAGTTGTACTCCAAGGGCAAGAACAGCAAGAAAAAATCCATTTTGCATCAATAAATCCCAAGTAGGATAAACAGGTTTTTGAGGTGGAATGTAATTAGTAATAAAGTCTTCGGTAGTATTGTATTCATTGCTATAATTTCTATGGAAAGAAATTGGATAGGACATTGAATAATTTCCCAAGAAATTTTTATTTTCAGAATACAATCCAGCATGAATAACGACTCTATTTAGTACAAATGGGCCAAAGAATAATAACATATCAGCAATCAGTTTGCATAAACCACTTAAATAAAAAAAAGTAATAAATTAGAAAAATGTAATAAGCAATAAACGAATAATTTAAATACCTCAATGCAAAATATTTTCCATGGCATTTAATTATCAATTTCCATAAATTAATTTTGCCGCCATTTTTGTAACTTTGTTTCATCATTTCTTCATTCATTCTTTGAGAATTTGATTCAGATTGTTCGGTGGGATAAAATTGACCAAGATCTTCTAGATTTAATTTCTTGCTAAAACCTCCAGCTAGTAAAGGTGTTATCCAATTCCACGTTAACCTTGACAAAAAGTTTGCATGATAATGTTCGTGACCTTTTATCTTATCGAAAAATGATTTTTCCCTTTTAAATCTACAACAGATGTATTTCTCCCGTATAAAGAGATAAACCTCCCAGATTCCAGCATAATATCGTAATAAGGTTGACGCAAAAACTAGACAGCACCTCACATTTTTAACAGTGAGATTTAACTTCAATAATTCTATGGCTCGCAATGTATTTAGCGCACTAGTTGTCGGCCAATAGCATAGCAAAAAAAAGAGGAAACCTCTAGCTCTGTTCACCTCTATTTGATTGTAGTAAATAAGAGACAAAATGACCGAAACAATCGATAAAGACGTCGTCAAGTGCAAATGTGTCTGACGTCCAGGAAATTCTAAATCGGCTATTATTCCCTCAACCAATTCCAAAACATGAATATATATCAAAGCAATGGTACATATATAGCGGGAAGTGTGGGAGAATGGCCGCCACGCTTCACCAAGTCGTTTATTCCAATTTTTCCAGATCAAGTAACATGTTCCAAGCAGAAATATACCACTAAACACTAAATGGACTAAAAAACTATAGATATCAAACTTGCACAATCTCCGGCTTCCGTCAGTAGCTGTATTATTGCAGAAAAACATTCTCCTTATGGTTCTTTTTCAGCTGGTCAATACAATATAACTAATAGCATCCTTTTATAAATCCTACTTTATCTTAAATGGTTTATATTAGCATAAATGAGATATTTATAATTTGGAAAAACTCTGCGACAGCTTGGGGCGTGTTTAACGATATTTCAACCTAGAAGCGACCCCTATCGGTACCCCTAATTGCTGAAAGCTACTGCCCCCAACTTTACACATAAGCTAGGCATGTCTTCTATATATGTAAATATATATATATATATAAAAGTTACATTGAGCTGATACTTTTATCCCATAATAAAAAACTAAACATAAAGAAGATATTGACCTCTTAAAACTAATAATAATATTTTGATTACCAATTAAAATTAACTTTAAGTTTATTAATTTATTCAAAAATTCTCTCTTCACAGTTTTTAAATTAACCGTTTTAAAAATGTTTAATAAATTAAAATCAATTTGATCTTTTTTAGAATATAGATAAAATAAAGGAAATTACATCTATTTACATTGTATCGACGTTCGTAATTAAGAATAACGAAGAGAAAACACAAGGCTATACTCCAATATTCGTTTTAAATGAAAAATTTCATAAACAATTTCAATGAGTTGTCGTTAGTTTTTCACTTTCATCCATGAATTACAATTGTTAAGTGTACTACTAATAGAAATCATAGACATTTTATTATCCCACTTCGTTATTCTCGACCTATTTATGTAGGCCTATTAAACCTATAATATAAAATTTATAACTGTACAAAACACAAGATTTTTTCTCTGTTTTTTTTGTGCTATTAAGTTATCTTTCGAAATTTGCTGAGACTCTATCTTCAAGTTTCTTTTTTTATGTTGTTATCTTATCGAAGTTAATCATACTTTTGCGCCCTCTCTCTCTCTCTCTGTTGCTTGCTAAGATACTTCCCCACCATGGTTCAAAAACCGTAACATTTCGAATTGTAATTTATATATCTATATATATTCATAAAAATTCTTCTCAATGACTGTTTTTAGTACGTCATTATCCCTAGATTCTTTTCAATTTTTGTCATTTCTTTGTAGTAAAGTTTTGAATTATTAGCTTTAAATATATTGACAATTTCCACGGAATTTTCTGTTTGTTTGATTTAGGCCTCACTGTAAAAGATCTTTTTTATGAGTTTAAGAAGAATTTTTACGTCTTTAGTTAATAACCTAAACACGATTTTTATGGTTTAATAAGGAATGCCATAGTTTTGTTGAAAATATTGAACAAACTTATAACAAACCAAACTAAAACCCATTGAGAGATTGAATTTGTAATATATTGATCATTAGATTGGGTATTTATAGCATGCAAATAGATATGTGTTTCTGATGATAGTTTTATAGCTTCTGCTTTCGATCACCATACTCCTTTGTACGCTCTGCTATTTAGGAATAACCTTTTAAAAATAACAGGTAGAAAATATATTTTGCAATTCCAACGAATAGTAGGGTATATACTTTAGAGTACCATAATACTCGCAATGACGGATGTTCACCTTGATGACAGTAATTATGGAATAAAGAAGAAATTTATAGCTCCTTCTAAACATCCTCCATCCAAATTTAGAGATGAGGCAAAAGTATAAGATTAGAATTTGAAAGAGAGCCCTTTGTAATAATCAGCTACTTTTCCAGGTTACATTCCATTATGTTGTCCGTCTATGCGATGATGATCACACCGTTATAGACGATAGTAGAAAAGACAATGGAAAACCGATGGAGCTCATTATGGGTCATAGCTTTAAAATTGAATCTTGGGAAGTATGTTTAAAAAGTATGGGTGTTGGAGAAGTATCTTCGTTTACCGTGGATAAGAGTTTGTTATTTAGTTTTCCCATGGCAATGAAGCAATTGAGAGATATCAGGTACAATATACAATCTCTTAATTAAAATTATTAAAATATATTTAAAAAATAGTATCATTTTTGCCAAATTTTTAGAGCTGGAAAACCAGTTACTAAAACGTCTATCTGTTGCGGTGGTCTTCAAAATCTGCAATTAGGTTACGATGATTTGGATAAATTACTAAAAGAACCTCAAGACTTGGAATTTATTTTTGAATTGCTGACTTACACGGATCAAGAAGACTATGAAAGGGAAAATTGGACATTAAATAGCAGCGAAAAGGAGGCGCTAATCCCACGTCTTAAGGAACAAGGAAATGAACTTTACAAATGCGGTTGTAATAAGGAAGCAGGTGCAAAGTATGAAGAAGCCCTCGACATTCTGGAAAATTTAACTTTAAAAGAAAAGCCAAGAGAAGTAGAATGGATAAAGTTAGATAATCAAAAGATACCCTTTTTTCTCAATTTATCGCAATGCCAGTTAAATATAGGAAACTACTACAAAGCTATAACGTTTGCTTCCGAAGTTCTCGACCGTGAGCCAGGTAGAGCAAAAGCTCTATGATAACATCTCTATTATTATACATATATTTTCTCTTGCTATTTAGATAACGTTAAAGCTCTCTTCCGCCGAGCCAAAGCCAACGTTGGTGCGTGGAATCCTAAAGAAGCTAGAGCTGACTTTGAGAGAGTGGCAAAACTCGATAGCAGCCTCGAAAAAACTGTACGTATCCAATTAGCTAAATTAACTCAGCTAGAGAAGGAAAAGACGGACGAGGATAAAAAACGACTAGAGGGAAAATTGCTTGGGTCAATATAAATAAAGTATTCAATGTTATAGGTATTATTTTTTGTGGAAAGTCAACTTGTAGTCAAATAATAAATAAAGAATATGTTTTACAAAGACTTTGTTATAAACGAATATTATCAGTATCTTTATATTGTATTTCACATAAATTATCGAATTTACTAGAAAGAATCTATATCCACTGGAGTATATTGCTAAATGTCATATCTAGGACATTTGCTAAACCTTATAATTTATAAGTAGCATATCAGAACTTATTTTCAAACGGTAGACAAACGTAAATGTGGATAGAGTGTGGTAACTGGCCAAAAACACGGGTGAGACATAGGAGCAATAAGAAAGCGAAATTGTTGACAAAGAGTGTTACTAGTTAGAGTTTTACACCTTTCATGACTTCTCCGATAGCATCGGCAGACTTTTGCAGCTTACTCTGCTCCTCAGCGTTCAATCTCAACTTGAAAATTTGTTCAATTCCATTCTCGCCAATAACACATGGATTGCTCAAGAACATATCCTCTTTAATACCATAAAGCCCTTTTACATTTATTGACAATGGCAAAACTGAGTGGGTATTCTTCAAAATGTTGTGTACCAAATGCGAAATGGTTGTTCCAATAGCCCAACTGGTATACCCCTTTTTCTTAATAATTGTTCCAGCACTTTCTACAACATCCTTGTGAATTAAGTTCCAATTCTCGTCATCCTTTTCAGTTCCAATGTCTGGGTTTGCTTCCACAATTCTTGTGCCTCCAACGTTCAATCCGCTCCACACTGGTACACTGGAATCCCCATGCTCTCCGATAATATAGCCGTGGACACTATTTGGTGAAACCCCCAGCTTATCGCTGACGTAATAGCGAAATCTAGAAGAATCCAGCATAGTTCCAGTACCAATTACCCTTTGCCAAGGTAGTTTGCTTATCTTCCAAGCTAGCCAGGTCAGAACATCAACTGGATTGCTAACTATTATCAGAGTACAATCTGGACTGTATTTGACAAGTTCAGGTATAATTTCTGAAAGGTAAAGCAAAAGATTTTATAACCATAATTAAAAAATTATGAAATATCTTTACTTTTAAATAATTGTGCATTTCCCTGAATAAGCTCCAATCTAGTTTGTCCTTCTTTTTGTCTCAATCCAGCTGTAACAACACAAACTTTAGATCCTGCAGTCTTGGAATAATCAGATCCTCCAACTATGTTAACATTTCTGCAGAAAGTCATTCCATGTTGTAAGTCCATCACTTCACCTTCCAGTTTGTCAGTCATATGTTCAGCTTCAATAAGAACTAATTCAGATGCTACACCCTGTATCATCATGCCATATGTTCCGGCCATACCAACTGCTCCAAGTCCTACAACAGTTACTTTTGCATGAGGTGTGCTGTGGATCTCAGAAGCCTTCAACATCAATTCTTTCCTGGTTTTTTCCGGGTTTACTGAAGTCATTTTCTGTGTTTGGATACAAATATAAGCTCGACTATCAGAGATATTTAAATTAAAAAGACGTCACTAATTTCTTTTGCAAATAATTACTTGTTAGTGTCTACTTTCTCTCAAGATTTACTCTTCACAAAGATTGCAAAATTGACCTTGTGTGGTTCACCTTGAATTGATCTATGCTACAAACCGGTTGTATATTAATAAAAGGGGCGCTTACCAAATCGAAGATAGTTTTCTTAGACATTTTGTGTTTTTATTAATTCGAAAGAGCAAAGTATCAATGGCCTAAAATTTCAATTTCAAAATAAGCCTACTTATCTTATCTCTTAAAATTAGTTGTAAAATATTGGGAATCTATGATAAAAGTACTAACCCATTTTTCGCCGTAGCCTTTTTTTTCGTTGGAATCAATTAACTGTTGTATGTTTTCAATAAACAACAGCATTTCGCTCCGTGGAGCATATTTTGTATTAAAATACAAATAAGTATTGTTTTGTTTTCCAACTGCATTTAAAGTTTTAGTATATTCAAAGAATATGGATCAGGGGATTCTTAAATTAATAGGTAGTCATTAAAAATTTTGTTATATTTTTTATAAAAGAAGAAAACAATAACTAAAAATTTGCCAATATATAAATTGTTTGAATTTAAGTTATTGTAAATATTTTATGAAAAGGAACATTCGACTTTTGATGTAGAGCTATACAAGGACAATCCAAAGCCATAGGTGTTGGTATTGAAGAAAATAAATGATTAAGTCTATTGTTGTCTTTAACTTCATTTAATACTTCTTCCAATATATTTTCGCAAGAAGTTATATCAAGAACTCGTAATGAATGAACAGTTATTAGATAACGTAAACAATCACCAGTTATTTCAGTTGCCATTAAATTGATTTCTCTAATTCTATAGGAATTTTTAACTAAATGTAAAACTCCTTCGTCAGTTATATTCGTATGACTTAGTTTTATAACTGTTAATAATTTATAACAGGTCGATTGAAACCATGAATTAGATAATTTACAGAATGCTATATTCAAATATTCAAGCTTTTTTAATTTGGCAACGTCTTCTAAAGCAGTCTCGTCTTTTTTCAATTTCTGTAGGCTTAGAGCTCGTAAATTTCTACAGAAGATATGAACGTCAATCAAACATTGAAAGGTTAATGAGAAACAATGATCCAAGAATAATGTTTCCAATTTTGGTAAACATTTTACCAGTTCATTTACATCTTCGTTGTTGATATTAGAAGTTCCGCTTATATTTAAATGAGATAATAAGGAACAATTTGTTCGTAATATTTTCAATGTTGATGAGGTAATTGTAGAAAATGACGCAACGTCAAGACATTTAAGTAATGTTAAACTGGAAAGCGATTTATCTAATTCTCCTGAATTGTTAGATATATGTAATTCCTTTAACTGTGTAACTTTCTTAAGAATATTCCAATCAATTCTCAAACCTGGTGTAGCTAACTTGAGAAACTTTAGTTGAGATGCTAACTTAAAAAGAAGCATCAATGAAAGATCCCCTGTTAATCCCGTTCCACTAATAGTTAGTTTTTCTAAAACTTCATTTGAATATGGAAGAAAGGCGTTCGTTAAAGTTCCGCTTTGTTTAAATACTTTCAAATGATTAATACCATTTTCGAATAGGTTTATTAAATCTCTATTCTCTTCTACAATCCTTTCAAAGTGAACTCCTTCTAATGACTTTGAATTTCGAATGAAGTTGTCCACAGAAGAATTATAATGGCTTTGATGAAAGGTTAAATGTTTCAGAGAAGATGCTTTGCTAAGGACTTTTCCCAAATCAAATGAACATAGGCTACCAATATGTAATATTTTCAGATGATGCAATGGAATATTTGGAAAGGAAGATGCTGAGCAAGATGTCAGATCTAAATGCTCTAGCTCTTTTATATTTTTTAGGAAATTAACTAGTGATTCCCAGTTAATAGCACAAGCTATTTTTAGACCTTTAACCCGGTTTGCATATGGAAGAAGTTGATTAATGTTAATGTCAGCATCATATAGAGCGATATTATATCTATTAGAAACTTTTGGTACATTGATATCCTTATGAATTATTATCCATCCATCATCGCCCAATAAAGCAGCAAGCAATGTATTCCATTTTTTACAGACAAATCTATTATAGTATCGATTTTTCACATTTAAATAGCTAAATATAATTGATAAGATCTGCAAAAGTTTTCATTACAATACGCTTTTTATTTTAAATACAATCTTTTTATAGAATTTGATATTCTAATACTAACTTCATTAGGTAAATCATTAATATTCATTTTAGAAAATCCGTTTTGCTAATTAAATGCTAAATCCATTTCAGTATTGCAGTCTTCTTGACGAACATGGCGTTTCTTAATTATGTCGTCTGCTAACTGCCCTAGAAACACATAACAGTTGATTTTAAGTTAATTAAAGTCTTATTAAATAAAGCTTACAATCAATATAATTCGAATAACAAGCAATTTATTTATTTAAGGGAATATATTTAATCAAATTCGTTTAAAAAATTTCAAATTAATTATAATAATGAAAACCATAAAGAAAACAATAAAACATTAAAGAAAATATGAACAAGTTGGATTTTTTATTCGATAAATTAAGCAAATCGTATTCAATTCTAAGTGATAAGACGCTTTTAAGTGAAAGAGATTATTTGTTTACATTAAAAGCAACTTTAGAAGCTAAAGCTGATATAATGCAAGGAGAAATTTGTAAATTATCAGCAAAGTTACAAATTCTTAAGGCAAGTTGCGAAAGTTTAGATCAAAAATACAGGAACAACGTGTTAGAATACGAAAATCTTAAAACGGCCTTGGATAACTATAAGAGTGAATTAAATTATCTAAAAAAGGAAGAAGCTCTTGTAAAACGGAAGAATTTTCAATTAAATACAGAAAATCTAGTAAGATTAATAAATTAATTAAATTTTTAATTAACTCTCTTATTAATTCAGGGTTTGAAATCTTTAGTTAGAATTGCCAAAGCTCAAGAAAATAGCGAATAGATACTATTAATAGATAAGAGAAACTAGATTTATAACACTACTATTAGTTGTCAATATAGGTCATGAGTTTTATAGTAATAAATAATAATTTAACGCTTTATGAAATATATTTTATTAGACAGTAGACAACAAATTTTCTTTGATTAGTCAACAAAAGTAGGAATTTAAATATCACAATGACGAATCGATAACTTCTACAACGACATTTTCTATTATCACATGCTCATCAGAAGAAGTGGGAGTCTATTAACTGATAAGTGAAAAAAAAACATGGCAGCTAATGAAGTAGTAATAAAAAACAGGGGTATATCTGTGACAAGTCAAAGTGGAAAGAATAGTGAAGATGCTAAGAAGGTAATCTTTTCAAAGTTTGATGGAAATCTTTTTACTTCGGTCGACTCTTCGCTTCACGTTATAGTACCAGAGACAGAAGAGACCGAAGAGAAAGAATTTAAGAGGAAAGAAGGCGGATGGGGATGGGCAGTTGCCTTTGGAAGTTTTTTGATGTTTGCCTCCTATACATCTTTTTTGAGAATTTACCCAATTTTATATGAAGAAATTAGAGAAAGGTTTCAATCGTCAGCTCAGAGTACGGCATGGCTATCGGCAACTCATAACCTTATTAGATTTTCCTTGGGTGAGCATACTATATTCGGATAGAAACTTTCGCTCAGTACAGTATTCCATTATCTACAAAATTTTAAATAAAAATAAGGCGTTTGCATATAATATTAAGAAATACAGAAGAGAATACAAATACTGAGGAAAGTGAATAATTTTACTTCGAATCTCCTACTTAAAATGTAACGCATGTTCAAAAAGTTTCTAGGAAACAATAGTTTTCTTGTGGATAAAACAGGAATTATAGTTGCTGGCTTGTTGAAAATGATTTCGGCAAGGAAGCTAACTATAATTGGAACCTTTATCTACTCTACTGGAATAATCGTCACTGCCTTCGCATCGTGTCTGAAAGTAGTTTTTTTTGGTTTCAGTATACTTGGAGGTAATTAAATATCCTTTTAATTTCTATGTTAGATAAAGTTTTAGCTTTTCATTTGTATTCTGTTTAGCTGTTGGTGCTGCTCTATTTCAAATATCTTCTCTCGTTACCGTATCTGAATACTTCGATAAACAAAAAGGAAAAGCCATGGCAATTACTTTTTGTGGTCCACCAGTTGGCGGTATTTTGGGATCTCTTGTTATTGCCAAACTGTTTGATCGGTACTCATTTTCTGGTACTCTATTAATTTTGGCTGGTATCAGTCTAAATGTTTGTATCTCTGGTATGTTATTTCGACCAAAAGAACCATTAGATAAGGGAGATAAAGAAACTCCTATGGAAAAAAAAAGTCTTTTTCATTCTTTTAAAGATATTGTAAAAAGCTCCAGCGTTGATATAAGCCTATTTAAAGATGTTCAATTTACATTATTTCTGGTATTCCTATTCCTAGTGGAAATCATTATGTCGGGAACTAATTTATTCAGCTATGGATTAGCTAAAGAATTAAATATTGAGAGGTCAACGATGGCTAATTTAATCTTAATAACTTGTCCTCCTGATGTTATTACTAGACTTGTTGTTGGTTTCATTATGGATAGAAAATCCATAAGAAGATATAGAACCTTACTTTACGTATCTTTCGTTGGTTGTTCTGGAATCTTACTTACTTTTATGGGATATTCTACAAGTAGAATCTACTTTTTTTCAATCTTTATTGCAAGAAGTCTAGTAAATAGTATGATATATTCTCAAATGGTCACAGTTACAACTGATAAAGTTGATCGAACCAAAGTCAAAGACGCTATTGGCATTTACAGATTTACAAATAGTTTTCCACTACTTATTGGTCCTACCGTTGGAGGTAACCTATAAATATTACTATTGTTTTTTATACATTTCATACTCGTAACTACTTTTATCCAATCTTAGGTAAAATCAGAGATATTACTGGCACGTATAGGTATAATTTTATAATAGGTGGTTACCTTTTAGTGAGCTATGCAGCTATTTATGCAATCATTAACATTACTTCATTGATATTAAATAAGAAAGGGAGAAAAGAAAAGGAGACTGAAGTTGTAATGGATGTTAAAGTCTAAGAATATTGCCATATTTTTCTTGGAATCTTTTGCATAAGACTGCAGAAAAATTTGTATTATATTAAAAAGAACTCTTTATATGCTCATTTATTTTTATAAAAGGAGTCATCTTCAAATGATATCCATAATGTGTAATAATTTTCCTAGGAAGAAAAGTATAAATCCTTTACAGACAGAACTGTACAATACGGAGTTGGTTAAAGGAGATAGAGACACTTAACTAAGACAAACAACATCGGCTTCTTTCTCTGATCTTTCTTTAACTTCTTGAATATCATCATCGTCGTCGTCGTCATTATCATCTTCATCATCAATTTCAACAATATCCTCGTCATCTGCTTTTCTGTTTTTTCTAAGTTTACGTCTTTCCTGAACGCCTAGATTCTGTTCGTCATTATTTTCCTCTTCTTCATTTTCGCTATCATTATTTGTAACCTTACTCAGACGTTCAATTAATTCTGAATAGTTAAATAAAAAGAGAGGCTCTTTAGTAAAATGATACAATTTGGCAATTAATAATTTAAAGAATCTACCTTTAGCTGGATTAAATATTCCAAAAGTTTGTTGATTACAAACAAAGCATCTTTTACTCTTTCTATAATGTTTTAGGGCGCATTGTTCGCAAAAGTAATGTTTACATTTAGTAACAATAGGATTCTTAAAAGAATCTCTGCATAGAAAGCATTTAAATGGCAAATCCTCTTCATCACTAGAAATTTCGTATTTAGTTACATCTTCATCGGGTTCTTCCTGTAAAATGACATTGAATAAAAATGGAATTTTGTTAATATTCTTAATAAATATAACAAATCAAAAATTAAAAGCGAATTCGTTCTTTGTTTATGTTTACCTTTTGTTCTTCAAGTTCTAATTGCCAACCGTGCTTATAATCACTTCGATCGTGAAGAAATTTACACGAATCGCCAAATCCACAAAATCCAGTTTCTTTATAATCTTTACAAATATCTGGTTGATAATCCCATCTTACTGTTGATCTGATATTTGCGGGAGCTCTCATCGGTCCTTTTCTATATAAGTTTATTGAAGAAGAATTAGTAATCAAATTGAATTATATCAAAATCTCATTTTTATCTACCTGACATGTCCACTAGACGCATTACCCTGAGCAGTATCCTTCTTTTTAATATAAGTAGCATAATTGTTGATTCCTCTATAAATTTTATCGTCTTCCTTTCCTTCTAGTTCTTCATTTACTTTTTGTTTTCTTTCAAAAATTGCCTGAGCATCCACATTCTTCTCCGTATCAAGATTATATTCTCTCGTAGCTCCCATATCCTCTGGACCTTCTCTTTTCTGAATAAAATTTGGTAATTCAAGTCAATTTTCTTAACAATTATTAATAATTAATATATTTTAAACTTACTCCTGTCCTACTCGATTTATAGCCGCTAACTATAGACTCATCAACTCTATCATCAGTTTTTTCTCTATGGCCTTTGATTTTCGTTGCCTGTATCATAGGATTGACTTTCTTTTTTCTCTCCGGTCTATACACTTCAGTTTCATCTTCGCTGCTCTCACTATCTGAAATTTTTACAACATTTATAATTAATCCTATAGATCTATTCTCTTCCACCTACCTTTATCTACTACTCTGGTGCGCTTTGTAAAAGTATTAGGTCTTTTCTTAAACGAAAATGCGCTTGATTTCGTTTTTACTTCGTCGAGATCAGCCATGCTTGTTTATGTCACGTGATAAAGTAAAACATTCAATAGTGCGCAAAACTTGAAAATATTAGGAAATATAATTATTTATGCCGTAATAGGATATTAGTTTTTAATAGCAATAGGAATATTTGTAATCATTTAAATGATTCATAAGAAAACTTATTTACACCAAATAATCCAATTGAAAGTGACATCTGGTATAGAAATTCAAAAATGAAAATCTTAATAAGTAAACTAAATACGTTAATTTGTAGCTGATTGTATAAAATGTGTTAATTTTCATTAAATAAAATATGTTAATTATACTATTTTCTTTCAATTTTATGATTTTAGCATTAAATATTTTTTGAAAAATTGAATACAATTCATCTATCTTAGATAATTTACAACCAAAGATATTTAGGTATTAAATAGTTTTATGAATCAAAATTTTGAAACCAATCATATTCAATGGGAATTCCTCATCGACTTTACCCACAGTAGTTATAACGACCAAGGTACTATTAAGATATAATTAGTACTATAAATTTATTAATTAAGAAACTATCCTTTTAGTGTTTTTACAATAGAATATCTAAATATCTTTGTATGTTCATTGTTTCGCTTTCATTATATGTGAAGAAGGAAATATGTTAATGAACAGTACCAATTTTTTTTTCAGAAAGTAATATTCATTACAATTTGTAAGTAAAGCATTAAATTCAATGAACAAATAAGAAAAAATTGATTTTTTTTTTCATTAAATTCTTCACATTCAAAATCAAATAAGAACAACTCAATAGATTTTTATATACTGTATTTTATCTATCTATTTAATAAAAGGTTAATTAATGAATTTGTAAATCTTCTTTATTAGTAATAAAAAAAACCTATACATGTAATATAAAGTACATATCAAAATTATTGAAAGGCTTGTTTATCACTGATTTATTTTTTTTTTAAACTGGATATTTATTCAGTAGTTATGACAACAGCGGATTTTGAATGTGAATATAATTAATTTTGAAGTTATGTATGTATTCATATTTAAAAATCACTTTCTATTTCTTCCTTCCTGTATACACTAGCTTACTTATGAGACATACTTTCAAAATATGTTATTTAATTAATGGATTATTTAATAGATACCAATTATAAATGTCTCCATAAATAAATGTATTTATTCTATGTAATTGTTTACTAATGTTATTAATAATTAAATAGGCTTTACTCCTAAAATGTTTCTTGTTAATACTTATTTCCTGTTGTCGATAGGACATTCTGCTTTCATTCTCTCTCTCTCTCTTCCCTCTCTTAGGTATAAATTACAATTCAATCACACTATTAAATAATATCTATTGTAGTAAAAAAAGTAGCTGAAAGCCTATAATTGTTTTTTTCAGATTTATTTTTGTATCTGGTCAGAGAATTTTCAGGCTTTTGAACTTTCACTTCCGCCTGTTATAATTTATTTCCGCTGAATGAAATCATAAAATGCTAAATGTTTAAATAGAAGCAATCAATAAGATTATTTTACTTCTATCATTTATTGTTTGTTTCTTTTACCTCAGAATTAAGTACTTTTTGAAAATATAACAAAAAATGACTGTTTAAAGAATTATTATAGCTACATCACCTATTTAAACTTTCTTTTTAATTAGTTTCCTCTCATTAATTACTTCACTTGGAATCTCTGTATTTAAATTTATATACTGTATTTCTATATTTACCTTAGTTTTTCTATTGAAACACTTTATAGTCTTTAACACAAAAACATCCTAAAATTTTGAAAAATACCTACAGATTATGATTTTAGCCTATCATTTAACGATTTGAGGCTTGGTTAGGTTTCACTGATATCTACTTTTGGGTTGAGTTCTTCAAAGTCTAGCCGAACATTTCTAATCCAAGACATTGCTAGAAACCGCATGAACGTTACTATGGCGTCTACTATCGCCAAGCAACAAACAGTACGTTCACTACTTCAATCGAGTCTCGTCAGTCTCAGTACGAGCATTAAGCATTTCAAATTTTATTTTACTTTTGAAAAGTCTAAAAAGCATCAAGTTTGCTACTTTTAAACAAGAAAATGAACATGTATGGCTGTAAACCCGGACCTTGTTCCGATGCTGCTCAGGTTACGGACTCAATGAAAGGAAATTTACAATGTCTAAACGACAGACTAACTAATTATCTAAATAATGTCCGCCAAATGAAAGCAGGAGGTAACGCTTGCGAACCAGCTTATCTGGAGTCGATTAGAGGCTTGGAAAGAGATTTGGAAAACTTAAAATGCCACTACGAAAACGAGTTAACAAGATTGAGAGACGAGTTGGATAAGTGCAGACAGATGAACGGTGCCTTATCGGCTGATCTGGAAAATAAGAATCGGGCTCTTGCTCAGCTTCAGAGTCAGCTTCAAGATCAATGTCAAAAGTATAAGGCATGTATGCAAGAACTAGACGACTTGAGAAGATTGTTGGCAGATAGAGATAGACAAATTGCCGAATTGAAGGCAGCTTTGGCCTCTTGTGATACGCAAGTAACATCTCTTAGACCCCAATTGGAAAAATGCTGCAGAGAATTAGACGAAGCGAGAAAGAGAGCCGATTGTGAAGCAACAAATAGGGCTCAGCTTGAACAGGTTGGTAACTAAGCATTCAATCCCTTAATTCAATAAACTTAATACATTTTAAAAAAATCATTATCTCTCCAGCGCTGCAAACAACTTGTTGATGAACTAAACCACGCTCAACAAAAGAATCAAAGAGATGCTCAAGAGGCAGCAGATAGAATAAGATCACAACAAGAGATTATTAGTTGTTTAGAGAGACGTATAACGGAGCTTAGCAAACCAGCTAACGATGAGTTGGGTCCTATACTGCAAAAACTTAGAGATGCTAATGCCGAAGAAATGAGACGATACAAAGCGCAAATGGACGAAGCATTAGCAAGATCTGGACAAGAGGCTGCCGCTCAAAGGGAGGCTGATGCACGAGAAAGAGATGCTCTACGCCAGGAGAATATGAGCTTAAAATCGGCAATTCAAGAACTGCAGAGACGTGAGGCTGAACTGCTAGCCCAACTTCAAGCTTGTAGAGCTGAGAATGAAAATCTTAGGAGAGCGCTTGAACAGGAAAGAGCTAGATGTGCCGAGAAGATAGCTGAACTGGAAAGGAAGCTTACTCAACTTCAGGAAGAATTAATGTGTAAACTTCGAGAATGTAACGCGGCAAAGGAGGCTCAGGCAACTTTGAAACACGAGATTGATACGTACCGCGCTCTATTGGAAAATGAAGAAAAACGGTAGATGGCGTTTTAATACGTTACCATGAGTAAACTAAACAAACGACTTTTAATTTTTTGTTTGTAGCTTGTCTAGTAAGCCCGTTGTCGTAACTGAAACAATCAAGTACGCACCAAGGGTATCGGATTGCGTACCAATTAAAAGAGATATGACCAACTACTGCAAAACTACTCCATGTGGCCAGCCCCCACTATACCAAAGCACAGCAACGGCGCTACCCAAAGCAGGTTGCCCTTGCGGTGGATCAGCTGGTAGATGCTCTTGCTCGAATCACGGCGTGAGCAGCTCGGTAAACTTTTCGTCTTGCTCTCCTGCCAATATGGCTGCATTGCACCGAGAGAAGATGCTTCCCAACATTGGACCTTCTGGTTACGCTTCCATGCAAAGAGGACAAAACAACTGGGGTAGTTCTACCACAAGAAATATAGCTCATAATTCGAGACAAAGCTACCCAATGCCTCGTAACTAATTTTATGGAAAGAAGAATAAGAGAAATGGAATAAAACCCATCTTTTCCCGCTTTTAAGAAATAGATGCTATATATATACATTATATAATAATAAGGATAATTGATTCAACTCATTGTCTGTCTTATTCTTTTTTAAAAAATTTCATTAAATAAAGAAATTAATTGAAGAAAACAGAAAAAAGAAACATTTACATCTTTTAAGAAAATGTTCTATTTTCTCTCAAGATAGGCCTATATGTTCCATTATTCCTTAGAATTTTTTCTTTATAAGCTCATAATTTAATGTAGTTGTATATATATATATTTTCTTATAGAAGCCTATTTATAAAATAAAATTATATATTAATGTTTGAGATTATTCATTGTTTTTTTTCACTCTTTAGAGAAAAAAATGCATTATATAGATTGCAGATAACTGCTCTTATTGGTGACTGATCATTTAATGGATTTTCCAAGTAGTCTTCAGCATTCGCAAAAAGAATTTAAAGCCATCCAAAACTCCGACCTCATGAGGGAAATTGATCATAAAAACCTGAGATATCCTCACTGTATCGTATGGACACCAATTCCTTGTCTAACGTAAATATTTTTTACCTAATTTCGTGAAGTGCATTTATTTCGATTTTTTTCTTTTCTTTCCCTCTCAGGTGGTTATTTCCATTTATTGGTCATATGGGTATAGCCTACACAGATGGAGTAATAAGAGATTTCGCTGGTCCCTATTACGTTTCTGTAAGTTTTGAAACAGATATAACACATATTTTTATCTTTGCATAATTCTATAGAGAGATGATATGGCTTTCGGAAATCCTACAAGATATTTGCAGTTACCGCTCTATAGAATGGGAGGATCACATGATACGTTTGATAAAGCTGTGGACGATGCATCTGAAGTTTATAAAGGACGTATTCACAACTTGTGTTGTGATAATTGTCATTCTCACGTAGCTATGGCACTGAATAAAATGGAATATGATGGAAGTCGCTCCTGGAATATGATAAAACTTTGCTTCTTAGTTTTCTTTAAAGCAAAATATGTCAGGTTGATAGGAATTTTTTAATTTATATAATCTATTATCAAAAAACTTATTAAACTTTATTTTTCTCTAGCCTTATCGGAGCTCTAAAACAGTGGTTACCATTCCTGATCCTTCTTATTGCTATAATTCTACTAGCAGTACTACTATAAATATCATTTGAAGGGTACGAACAGATTGTTAAAAAGTTAATCTTGATGAGAAAACACTTTTGGTGTTGTGAAAGCAGTAAATAAAAATTCGAGTTATTTTATCCTTGTCATATAAAATAAAAGCTAAACATTTTTTACTTTCTAAATCAAAGATCATACTTTATTGTTTCTTTTTTACTTTTACTAAATTTTACATTAATCAAGTAAATATTTATTGAGTTCTGTATTCATTTTTAAAAATGTAAATACAATTATTGATATAGAATGTTATTGCTCTTTTTTTGTTTTCCAGTTTTTATAAAAAGTTTTTTAAGCTATAAATTTATTTTATTTATAACTATGCAGTCTATACAAAGATCCAAATTTAATTAAATAAGGAATGTAGTGTGAATTATAGCTGAGAAATATTCTAAAATATATGAGCGATAATATGGATAATATGGGTTCTAAGTTAAATATTAAATACTAGCTGTATAAAGAATTGAAAAATCTTTTAAGTTGGTTAAAATGTATAATCAATACTTCAATAAGGTAAATTTTTTGGAAAGTATGAAATAAATCATAGCGGTTACTATTATTTTTGTGTTTAAAACCGCTAGTGTTTACGAACCAGACAAGATCGTCTGCAAAAACATCTGGTTTCCTAGCCTAACATATGCAGCATTTTACCAGCGACAGAGGACGAAAACTGGAACATAAAATTTTTAAAATAGTCTAAAAATGTCGAGTACGGAGATAGCAATTCCTAGAAGATTGCCGATTTTATCGGTTAATAAAGTACTTCTTCCAGGAACAAATATGCGTCTTCCTGTTCAATCAACAAAAAAGTAGGTCCTACCAACAAGGATTGTTTAAAATCCCTAATTTTGTTTTTACAACAATTCAGTTTAAACTTGGTGCAGAGCAAAATTCTTGGTAGGAATACATTGGCAAGCACAATTGTTGGAGTAGTACCTTCAGAGTACACTGATAATACCGTAAAGTTCTGAAACTTGAGACTAAACATCTTTAATTATATATTCAAAATACAGACCCAAACATCAGATGACCTTCTTTTACATCCTATCGGAGTTGCCGCAGTTGTTGTTCAGGTGACTGGTACAAACTGGCCACGAACTTCCTATACTCTATTAGTTCAAGGATTATGTAGATTCAAGATCGACTCCATTATTCAAGAAACACCCTATGTTGTCGCAGCAGTTACTCAACTAGATCATTTGCCCGAAGATCACGAAGTTCTCGAAGAAAACGTTACAAATCTTATAGAAGAATTAAGAAACAAGGCTAACACATTAGTTGATATGCTCAATTTATCCCCAAACGTTCTACAAAAAATGAAGGTATTTTTTATTTTTGTTTGTTATTATATACTATTTGACGGATATTTCAACAGAAAATTTTATCGGAAGTTCCAAACAACCAGTTACCAGATATAACAGCTAGTTTAAGCTTAGTTCAAGCATCTCACAATGAAAAATTAAGCATATTAGACGCCATTGATTTAAACAAAAGAATCAGTCGTTTACTTCCTCTTGTCCAAAAACAAATCGAAGCATTAGAATCAATAAAACGACCACCAAAAGACAAAGATTCTATAATTGCTATTCGAGGAGGGCGACGTATTGATACTAGATTACCAGGTCGATCAAATGATGAAGATGATACGGAAGACTTAGATGAGAAATTATCGTAAATATATATATTAATATATACATATATCTATACAATTTTAAGTACAAGTTTTCTTATACGAATTTAATTGTCCTAAAAAAATCTTCAGAAATGCAGGATTACCTGAAGCAGCAAAGAAAATTGCTGATAGGGAATTAAAGAGATTGAAGAAGATGCCTCCAGCAATGCCAGAACACGCAATGTTAAGGTAAAGCAAAAACGAAACATTATTTAGTACTGAAATCTCATCTCTTTTTTAAAAGAAATTACCTGGAATTAATGGCTGATCTACCCTGGAATAAGTCAACTACAGATTCTTTAAATATTGAAAAAGCAAAGTTATTCAAATAAAAATATATTTTCCTTTATTGCAATCAAATCAATACATTCTTTTTCATTATTCCCAATAGGATGGATTTAGATGAAGATCACTATGGCTTAGACGACTTAAAGAAGCGTGTTGTTGAATATTTGGCTGTCAGACGTTTAAAAAATTCATTAAGGGGTCCAATTTTGTGCTTTATTGGACCACCCGGTGTTGGCAAGACTAGTGTTGGTCAAAGCATAGCAAAAACTCTTGGAAGGAAATTTCATAGGTATACCTCTGTCGATTAAATTTTAGTGTTAAAAGTATTTAAAAATTTCACTCTAAAACTTCGTTTTGTTAAAATAAAGAATTGCTCTGGGAGGTTGTAGCGATCAATCTGATATTCGTGGTCATCGAAGAACTTATATCGGTTCTATGCCTGGCCGAATTATTCAAGGGATTAAACAAGCAGGGACCAAAAATCCAGTGATACTTTTGGATGAAATTGACAAATTGGGTCGAGGCATTCATGGTGATCCGGCTGCAGCGCTTCTTGAAGTTTTAGATCCGGCTCAAAATTTTTCTTTTACTGATCAGTATCCTTAGCCTATGTTATTCTCTTTATTTTTTTTTCTAACAATAACCTATAAAGGATTCCTTAACTCGTAAAGTTATGTTAATACCCCTTTTGACCTTTCTCAAGTGCTCTTTGTAGCAACAGCAAATCAACAGAGTACTATTCCAGGGCCGCTTCTTGATAGAATGGAAGTAATCACAGTACCAGGGTATACAAGAGATGATAAACTGCATATCTCCAAGAGACATCTCATAAAGAAACAGTTACAGGAACATGGATTAACCGATAAAAATCTTACATTTACAGATGAAGCCTTAATGGAAATAAGTAAGTTTCCGAAATGCTCATATATTAACTCATGTAATCAACTCTAATGCAAATTTTTAGTCAACAAGTACACCCTTGAAGCCGGCGTTAGGAACCTGGACAGGCAAATTGCAGCTGTTTGTCGCTCTATTGCGGTTAAAGTTGCAGAAAGTAAAAATCCTGAGGCATCTAATTTCACACTTGATGTGACAGAAATCAATCAAATATTGGGGGTAAATATTTCAAGCTTTTTACAATATCTTTCGGTAACAGCTATGATTTGTAGCCGGAGAATTTTGAATACGAGAAGTGGGAAAGCGTTACCCAACCTGGGGTTGCAATTGGATTGGCTTGGACATCAGTTGGTGGAAAAATAATGTATGTTGAGGCATCTCGTATCACTGGTACAGGAAAGCTAACTTTAACTGGGCAACTAGGAGATGTAATGAAGGAAAGTGCTACTCTAGCCCTAAACTGGCTAAAGTCACATGCTCCACTCTTGGATATTGTCACAGAAACAGTTGAAAAGAGTGACGTTCATATTCACTTTCCGGCAGGAGCTGTTCCGAAAGATGGACCATCTGCAGGAGTTACAATAGTAACAGTGCTCGTATCGCTCTTTACAGATAAAGTAGTTCGTTCCAGAACAGCCATGACCGGAGAATTAACTCTTCGAGGTTACGTTCTTCCCGTCGGCGGAATCAAAGAAAAAGTCATTGCTGCCCACCAAGCTGGAATTCGCCGAGTCATCTTACCAGAAAAGAATGAAAAGAATTTGGTAAAAGTACCACAAAGTGTAAAGGTGAGCTGAAAGTCTCTAATAATCTTGCTTTAATTTTGATCTATGCTTATTTTTGCAGGATGATATCGAGTTTGTTTTCGTTAAAAATGTCCGAGAGGTAATCCTATACGCTTTTGACCAAACTTTTCCTAAGTTGCAGAAAAGTGAAACACTAAGCGATTCAATTCTCAGTAAACTTTGATTTTTTTCTTGACCTTCTGTTTTAAGTTAAAGATAAACATGCAAAATTTGTTATGACTATTTTAATTAGAGATTCCACTTCCTAGATGGAAAATACATCTTTGATCGTGATTCGATTATTTTTACCAATGAGAGGAGTTATTTTATTCATTTAACATTAGCGTAGCTATGTGTCTTGATAAGTTAAAGACTGAACAAAACTTTTAATAAGAGCGGTTGAAAATGTTCTTGGTCTTAGGCTTCTTGACTTGTATGTTGTATACAAATAATCCTAGAGGGAGGGTAGTTGAAATACTGGATTACAATACTCTGCAGACTATGATTATTATCCTAATGAACATCGATATAACAAAAAAAAGAGGAAAACTTGTGCAAGCAAACAAAAGTCAAAGATACAAAGATCTGAATTCCCGTATTGCTCTTGAGAGTGTTTTAAAGTCTTGTGCGCTATAACATAAATAAAACACAAGTGTTATTAAGTAAATCAAAGAAGCTTAAACTTTCCTTACCTGATAAACTGAGTTTTAAAATCAACAACCTGTTCTTGTGTAACTGTAACACTTCCAGAAGAATTTGTGATGGGAAGAGATGATAAGGCATTTCCTATCCACTGAGTCATTAATTGTCGCTCGAGTTCAATTATATCGAAGAGAATTTCAGCTGTTCCTGCTATCATATAACTAGGGAAATCAAAGATACAAGCATGAATTACGTTCTGAACGTAGAAAGGTCCATGTTTGAGAAGTAGTTGCCTTGCTGCTGGCATACCACTGGATGCGCAATCGACTAATTGGCCAAAGAATTTACAAACGGAAGAATTAGCATCTCTATGATCCAATTTAGCTGCCACTGTTGCACAAGAAACAATCATTTCAGCAGCTTCACACCCAAAGAAAGCCTCAGGGACTTTTTGAACTAGTCGAAGGCACATACGAAAGAAATCGTCTACCGTATCGGGATTGTCTCTCAGAGCATTTTCTCCTTTACCCAACTGCTCCAAAGCTGAATTTGATAGAGCTGATACTAACCCGACCAATCCATGTGTATACTGCTCATTTGACCCCATCTCATCAATTAAAACTGAAGCCAAATACAAAAAACAGCTATGTTTATGACCGCCGTATAACTTCACCACAAGATTAGCTACGGACTCTCCTAACCATACTCCTGTCTGATGACCAATACATCGAACCATAAAACGAATACAACGGCAAGAAGTTTCACTTATTTTCACATTGGCGGCCCATTTTTCACAACATGCCGATATAATAGGCCAACACTGGCCAATTGCAGGACAAGCAGGATGTTCAAGACTATTAGGTTTAACACGAGTAGCTCGAAATAGAGTAGAAAGGCGATCTATATAAGAAGTTGGATCTGTTTTAACGTTAGGTTGCTCCACCAACTGTAACGTAAAATTGTTCACATTATTTTTTATATGAACGAGTGTAATTTATATGAAAATTATATAGAAAGTAACAAAGAGTACTTTTTGAAGTGGAATTAGTTGTTGTTCACACAAGATTAACAAAGCTTGTTTGATTTGCTCATGAGGTAGCTTGGATAAGACAGCCGCAGTTCCTGTTAGAATTTAATTGAGTTTTATCGACTTTTTTCAAATGGCTTTAAAGATAAGTATCAATATCTAATTTGTAAAACCTCTTAAAAGTGCTTCAGTTCCTTCAGTTGATAAATGTTGAGCAGGTAATGAGCTGGACAGTTGTAATAAGCCATCCATGTGCGGTACCATATGAGAACTACAATTTTCGCATAAATATTGCAAAGCTTGACAAGATACTGCCATTAGTTCTCTATTTTCCAGTGATGATAACAAAATTTGTACAACAGTTTCTAATTTAACGGGAAGAAAATTAAAAACATAATTAATAAATATTTATTCATTCTTACGTAGATATTCTGGATGCTTATTTAACCATTCGCCAATTTGACCAATAAATTGTAAACATACATATCTAAGTGCAATATGTATATCTTGGTTAAAGAGGTTTATGGCAAATTGTAAAATTGGTGGCATGATAACATTCTCCTTCCTGTTAAATTCGCTTTTCTTTAATCAACTATCCCTATATATAACAAACTTGACATCTCAATACTTACGGCACAATGTTACGAGCAATAGCCGACATAATAAAAATAGCTGATTCACAGATATTCCATTGACTTAAGTTGGAGGATTTTACGATATCAAACATCTGTTTAAAGATAGAAAACAAATATGATTAATTGAGAATAGTTAAAAATTGTTCAATCAATCAAAGTATACCAACTTGCATCATAACAGCGGAAGAAGAAACTATAAAAACAACATCCTTCACTAATTCAATAGTCTTTACTCGGAAATCACCAAAATCGCTCTTTTCTTCCAAAAGAGAATCCTTAAATTCAAATATTATAAGATAGTTAATTTCTTAGTTTAAACTAATTAAAAGCTTACATAATCCGAATCCATTTGACAATGCCTGCTAAGAGCCGTAATTAGCCTACCAATATACGGTTTAAAATGATTAATAACTTCATCGTCGTCTTTTTTATATAAACATTCGGCTAAACGAAACCAAAAATTATAGGTAATCAAGGCCACCTATTTATAAAACGATAATTATATTGTCATTCTTATTATATAATTCTAAATTACTTCATATTGATGATGACCGACACATAACAAAATTAGTTCTAAAGTTTGTAGAGAGCCAAAGCCCTGTAAAAGAAAGAAAACTTTTTTATAGAGTTAATATTGCTAGTTGAAAAAATAATATATTTAACCTTATTAGGTGAATGAACCATTTTCTCCATTAGTGTTTCACCCAATTCAGTAAATATTCTACAGAAATTCATTGACCTTCAATGGAGAAAATATTTAGTTTTTATTCAAAAGTATATAAAAAAATAGCTAACTTGTCATAATCTTCCCTGGCAACAGTCATGAGAAACGGTTGCATTAATTCCGAAACTCGATCAAATATTAAATTTACCAATTGCGACCGCCTTTCGACATCCTAAAAACAATTAAGTAGCATTTTTTACATGGCCACGTTTAATATTTTTTGTTCAAAATATAATACATACCTCGCACGAATACAGTGCCGAGCAGATACTATCAGCAGCCAGTTCGTGAAGAGATGACGGTGTACGTTCGTCGACAAGTGTGTGAAATGCAGCATGTAGTAGATTCTTTTGAACCACTTCTCTGTGAAACTTATCCCCAATAGAGAACCAACTGCCGATACATTTATATGTCAAGCCCAATTGCTTAGTATTATTGATTCTTATGCAAGTTGCCAAGTATTCAGCAACTCTTTCTGCACATTGATCAAACTCCTCCATCAGCTCATTTCGCCTATTGGCACCCAGTTTTAAATGCCTGCTAAATGTTAGCTAAAAGGATAAACAAAGTAGAAACATTATTGCAAACTTAAATACGCAGCTAATTTTCTAACCTCTTCCGGTAAAACAACTAAGAATTCCAATAAAAAATTCATATGCTGTTCTGCTGAATCGAACCTAGAAAGCATAATTGTTAAAAAAAACATTTTTGATTTATCGATTAAATGTCATCACTTATTCATAATTTCTGTCAAAGAATGGTTCCAAGACGGCATTTGTAAAACTAAATCTGCTAACGCTAAACACAACTGTAGCAATTAAAAATAATAAATATTAAATAATTGGGTAATAAAGAATATAATCAAAGCCTTACTTGAGTGTTTATGGCCGGAGGGGTTTCTGAACTTATTCTACTAACGTGTATTAGTAAAGACTCCTTAAGCGACTATAATATTGAATAATTAATATTAGTTTATCATTAAAATAGTTAATACGTACATTGTGAGATTCAGGAGGTAACTCGTGAAAAGCATATTGCATCTGGTTGATTGTTTGACTTGGATGAGAAAATTATCGAAAAAAAAAGAATTCTAACTTACTTTTGATCTCATTGTTTGAGAGGCAAAATAGCATGATTCAAGGTTACAATGGGTCTGCAAAAGTTGATCGGCCAGTTTCCAAGCATACACCTGAAGATTGCTAAATTCGGTATTGAGTTTGAGCGATAACAGGGTCACTTACAGATTTTTGAAGTTTTTCGAGCCAGCAATTGGCCTCTTCTTTCACAGAAGTGTCAGGGTTGTTATATAGTGCATTTAAAGCTTTAAGGGTGTCTTCTAAAGACGGCATAGACTCCATAGTTCAGCTAAATTTATACAAACATCCGAGATCACAAACAATTAAAAACTGGTAAGTTGATTTCTCAAAGCTTCGGAATATTTCGGGATTACAATTAAAAAAACTGTCATAGGATATTCACGTTTCATTGTTTAGTGGTTTATCGTATTTAAGTTAAACAAAGGGTTATTTTTTTCAAATTTAATAATATCTTAAACCTATAAAGAACATCATCATTTAAAATTTTCCTTATAAGCTTATATTTTTTGTTCACAAAGACTAATTTTTTTCTCCTTCAACAGTCGCTATGGCGGAACAAGAGAAACAGATAAAAATTGGAGATTGCAAAGGGCCTGAGGCCATGTTTGTCAAACTTATCTCCTCAGATGACCATGAATTTATCGTAAAACGAGAGCATGCGCTTACGTCTGGAACGATAAAGGCTATGTTATCTGGACCGGGTTGGCTACTTTTATGCTATTTTATATTTTAATATTATATATTATTTAAATATAATTCGTCTTCAGGAACCTTTGCCGAACATGAAACGAACGTGATTAATTTTAGAGAAATTCCGTCTCACGTTCTCGAGAAAGTTTGCATGTATTTCACCTATAAAATACGATACACGAATAGCTCAACGGAAATTCCAGAGTTCCCCATTGAACCAGAAATAGCTCTAGAACTACTGATGGCTGCTAATTTTCTAGATTGCTGAAGAAATTGTATTATCACCGCCTCATATTTTATAGGCTAAGTAAGGCAAATGTTTATCAACGTACCCAGTTTATTAAACTGATTTCTCAATTTGTATCGTTTGTATTTTTTTTTACCGTATCCTTAAAAACTATGTTTCTCTCTGGCTTTGAATATCATTTAAGATGATTAACAATTAATTATCTATCAATACTTTTTTTTGTTGTACTTTATGTCTAACAAGCACGAAATCATCCCAAAAAAATATGTCTTTGTATGTCTTGTCTTATATATGTCGAGTGTAATGTATTGAGTAAGATGTTTTGCTGCCATAATACCTCTTTAGTTTGATGCAAATAATACTTGTCCTAAAATCAAATATCAGAATTATATATGTATGGAGCGCTTGAAAACTTTTGATCTTTTTTTGTTAATTAAACGCAACAAACATTTTTTATTGTGTCAATGCGAATTGAATTCTAATATGTTTAAGAGGCTAAGAGGCTTAGCGAACATTTTTTTTTTAAGCTTGAAAAAAAAACAGCATTTCCTTTTTAATTTACAAAAACAAAGATTCAACAGTCTAATAATACAATTCTCCCATAAGGTTTATCACTAGACTTGACCAACCGGTAAAAGGATGACATCCTTTTCCGACCCCAGTTGCATCATCATAATTTTCCCAAACAAAGCCACTTCGGTCGTATTGCTTGAAGATATTATCTATCAAATTCTTACGTAATTCAGAATACAATTTTTTAGAAGAATCCTGGTATGGTCCTTCAATTTTTGAATAATGATGTAAAGCATTCACAACCATATAATTCATGTTTATCCAAATGGCACCCCTCCAATATGGTGGATCGTGTTCTGTATTATACTTCTTATACAATGGAGATGACTTCGCAAGAGATCTCAATCCGTATTTGGTCCATAGCAAATTCTCATCTCGTAAATCTCTCAATATCCATTGTAACTTATCTGAATCTGGTTTAAACATTTTCATTGCGAATGGAAATAAGCTTAAATAGCCAAAGGTTTTATCAACGTATTGATTTTTAGGCTCAGATTTGAAGACTCTTTCTTTTTCAAGTCGTACATGAGGATTGGGTTGTTTTGGCTTAGGTCGAACTAAAGTCACTCTATCACTATGTAAACCGTAATCAGCATATCTTTTCATTTTATCACTCCAGTGTAAATTGTTTAGCAGATCTTCATCCATCAAATAATCGTACGTTGCCTTATAGTGCTTTGCATCCTTATCAATCTTTTCTGCAATATTTCCCATAACTTTAGAGGCCAACAGCATCCAACAACGTAAATCTAGATGTCTCTCATTATCTGAAGGATTTGAAGATCTTGGATAATCATCTAAGCCAGAAGTTAAAGTCTTGGGATTCAACTCTCTTTTAGTTTTCTCGTCTCTTCCCCTCCATCGATAGGATCCTAAAAATAATGAAAGAGATAGCTAAAAACATTAGAAACGATTCCAAAAATATTACCTGGTAAATCTCCTGTTTGAGTTTTATTAAACCAATCATACCATCTTACTAGTCTTGGATAAATTCTATTAAGATAAGATTGATCTAAAAATCCAGAATTCATCAAATATTCCAAAGGCAAAATAATTGTTGGGGGATTTGCATTCTCATTGTGCTGAATAACAAATTCATCGGGTACTTTTGCCCTTGCTTCTACACCCAAAATTTGTTCACGTGGAATCCAGCCTTCGTTATTCATTAAATCCATCCAATAACCTAAAATTGATTTGGATATATCTGGGTTCCATCTTGAAATAACGAGATTGTGAAAACCTTCATCCCATAAAAACCCTGTACAAATGATGAAGAGATAAATTGATGAGAAATTTTTACGATTAGATAAGGATTCTTATAATAAACATGTACTATTTACCTCTTGGGAAGAATGATCTTGATGGAACCGCTGTAAGCAGAGGAGCTTCCCAATAATCTAAAGGCTCTTCTTTAACGTGTTTACTTTTAACTCTACTTGAACCATGAAAATAACCAATTCCACCAAGTAGATTGGATAGGGTTGCTTTTGCAAAGTTGATCATTGCATCATCATAGTTTTTTTTCTTAAGTTGGAATGTTTCCTCGAATTTCTTGTCAAAATTTGTAGCAAATTTATTAAAAATATCATCAAATGTTTCATCTCCATCACTAGGGACTGGACTAGATTGAAAGTGAACTTCCATATCAAAGCTACCTTTAAAAGTGTATTGTTTGACTACAAAATTCCTGGGATACTTTTGGAATTCTTCCGGAACAACAAGACCATTCAACGCTATATACTTTTCATCGTTGTTTCTGAATTTCTTAAGAACCATACCATTAATAAGTCCTTCTTTTAACTGATGAAAGCCTGGTGTTAAGGTTTCAAGGTAGTCGTGATGTATTACATTTTCCGCAGTAGGGAACTCTAAAGAAAATGAACCGATACTATTAGTTCGACCAGATACAGATTTCAAATTTCTCTTATTTATATCGAGAAGGAGTTCTCCATCATTTTCTATTGCTACGTAAAAGAACAGCGAGAAGACACCTTGTTCCATACCCGGCTGGAATGTTGAGTTTAAAGATTAGATTTATAAATATGTCTCATTTAGATAGATAGTTTTATAATCTATTTATGCTGTTAGACTTACCTTTGGTTTCACTCGAACTCGAGCTTTCCAACCAGATTCAACTCGAACGAAATCTGTAACAAGTACAAGCCATTTATCATATATTTCTTGTCGTCCAAAGTTTTCTCCATCGTGTTTGGTCCAGCCATACTTCAGTATACCGTCCCCTTGATCACACCAATGCCTTATCGGGGGCGGCCTCTCTGTCGCACCAAATTGAGGCATCCACATCAACCCAAATATAGGCGATTTTGGCATTTTTGCTTTGATACCGAAGTACGTGTTCGGTCGGAAAGTTCCCCATTCTATATTTTGCGTATTACGAGAACTCTGAATGACATTTTCTCCACTAAATGGCTCTATAACCAGAGTTGAAAGATAGTATGAATACCAGGTAAAAGCCCCGTAAATCAACACCAAGGGAATAGATGACAGGATCAGAATCCAAATAAAACTGCTATTTGATACTTGGGAATGTGATTTTGTGCTTTTTGATCGTTTTTTCACTGGATCTGCACTAGGCACTTCAGGTATTTTTCGACGTTTTGTCCCCATCTTCTGCTCATGCACTCATTATCACTCAAGCCGAATTATTTCAGCCAAAGTGGTATGGCTAAATTTTGATTGACAATTTTTTTTTACTTAAAAAGTCTATATTATTTGTTCATTTGACTAAGAAACTTCTTTTACAAACAAAATTCATTCATTCATTTAAGCTTTTACATATAAAGGATAAATTTTTAACAAACAAAGACTCTTAATAAGATTAACAAAAAAATATATAAATCAAAGAGTTTATTGAAGGAAAGGATCTAGTATCCATTAATTTGACTTAGTCAAATGATTAACCTTTTAAACTACTTGCGTCAAGTTTCACCAATATCTTATAGATTGTCCAGATCTATTCATATGTTAGACGTCCTCAAATTTATTCGCATCTGCGTCTACGGATGCAATGTCTGTCCACCAAAAACTGCGTGATGCCGGCTGGTGAGTAGAAATGCTATGGCTTTATTTTAAAAAGTACAGAGTAGGTGAAAAATAAAGACTTTAATAAGCTTTTAAAAGATAAAAAGTAGTTGAAATCAATTGTGCGAAATTTTCAACAAGTTCTTTATATTCGTTTCACTAGAAGTAATGTACTTTCTTAATTAATATTCTTAATTACTTTATTTTTATCCGATTATCTGTAATAGGCACTTGAAAGAAGGATGGGTTACAGAATTATGTGGAGGAGAACATGTTTCAAGTGTGATTAAGAAAGCTCTGAATGTAAGGTTTCAATTTAGCTCCAAAAGCGTGTTCTAATTTATTTTACAACTTTCAACTGTCTAGTACGATCTGAAGCATTCTGGGGAAAAACAATTTCAAGATGACTGGACACGTGGTAAACAAGAAAAAGTAGGTTATTTAATTAACTTTGAAGTCTACGACAATTATAATCAGTTATATTTTAATTGTATATATTATTATGTAATAATTATTTAGCATGTAAGAAATAATAATAAGAAACATAATGTTGACAGTTTGAAGGAAAATCTGTACTTCAAATTGCCAAAATACGGAATATATCATCTCCGAAGGATAACGAAGAATCTGGTGTTGCACCACCCCTCTTTAGAATATCACTCAGTGACGGCCATACAACTGTTCAAGCGATTTGTTTGACACCAATAAAAAATCTAAGGTTGAAAAATACTTAACCAGCCCTTTTAAATGATAAATTATACTTGTTTTTAATGTAGCCTTGGAACAATTCCTGGAATGAAGATGCTTTTGAAGGGACCTATTACCGTGCGATCTGCTATACTTTTACTAAATGATCGCAACTGTCAATTATTGGGAGGAGAAGTGGAAACTTTAGCTGACAATTGGCGTTTAAAAAAGGCACTAGCCTCCCAATCTAGACATTTTTCTTCCCATGGTGCACCCCAATTTGTGCCTTTTTCGCAGAGATTACGAAAGAATTTTCAACAACGACCATCTCCAAAACACAACAGTAATTTTCGTTCTCTTGAAGCAACAAATCAAACCAGCACACCTGTTCAAGAAGATGCTGAATTTCAAGCAGCTAGAAAAGCTCATATTGCTGATGTGGCTGCTCAGGAGTCAAAAAAGAAATTTTCGGGAAAAAAGGTTTTTATTTATATGTTTATAAACTTATAATATAAACCCTATTTTCTTAGGTCGATCCAGCTAGTGTCGAAAAAGTTGGTGCTTCATTAGATAAAGTCTCGCTAAACGTAAAGAAAAAGACTGCGCTTCAACAACATGAAAAGAACGAGAGAAAATTTACTGGACGTAGTCGAAGAGAAAAGAGGGAAGACGACGAAACCATGCATCATTACTCAAGACCAAAAAATGCAGCTGCTACTTTATTCGATTTCCTTCCAGATGATAAAAAGCCTAAGAGTGTCTCGAACGATAGTCAACAATATAAATCATATGAGCCATCTGAACGTTATGAGAGAAATCAAGACAAAGGGGGTGGTAGATATGGTAGACAAAAGAAGAATTTCGTAAAAACAGCTCATTTCACTCCAAGAAGTGGAGGATTTAATGCCGCAGCAAGTGATTCAAACTACAACGCCTCTTTTCCAAATTTACATAACATGAAAGAACATGCTCCTCCTGTTCAAAAACAAACACCAGCTAATGACCAAGATTTCGGCCATTGGGATGCTGATCCATTTAATCCTGGATCCCGGAATCCAGGTAGGAGAAGAAACGATCAAAACGGAAAGAGAGGACGAAGGAATCCTCGTCAAGGAATACCCAGTATTGGCGAAAATTGCTTAGCAAAGTATTGGGAAGACAACCAGGTAAAAAAAACTTTAATAATATTAAACTTTATCAACTTTTTATTTTGTGCCACTAAATAATTTCTTCTTTTTGTCTAAACATAGTTTTACAATGCAAAAATTGAGGCTGTTGGAGAAAATACCTGCGTGGTCAAGTTTCTTGAATATGGAAATAGCGAAGAAGTTTATTTGTCAGATATAAAACTGTCGAACAAATAAGAGTATCTCTCAATAATTGACAAGTTAAAGCAATTACATCACAAAATAAACCAAACACGAAATTTAAGTAAATTGAATTTTTAATGTTATATATATTTTTGCGAATGTTTTAACAAAAAAAACACAATTACTTCAAATAAAACTCTCAAGTTTTCCACTTAAATCTATTTTATATTTCTAATTATTATGGTTATGGGGAATATTTAGACAAATTTTATTCTATATAATTAATATATTTGCTGACAAACTTTTCCATTTAATTTTATTAAAATAATGTGGCAACCAGGAAACGGAAATAGATTATTCACGTGCAAAAGATTTAGTGTCCTTGACCTCCACAGTGGCTACTAAATAGAATAAAGTTATTTTTTTAAGATAATATGAGTGCTAGTGGAAAGTAGGTTATATTTCATATTTCGAAATAAAATACATAGCAATAACTTTTTTCTGTTTTCGATGTCTATTAACAATTACATTTCTTAAAAATAACCATTTACTGATTTCGAATAATGTTACCCTTCAAAATCCTCTTAAAAATTATATTTATTTTACTATTTTGCTTAATATTTCTTTAATAATCCAAATTGCATATAGAAATATTGAATAGAAAAACTCGATACATTTATTCCTCTTTATTAGATTTGTTTTGGTACTCTTGGAGAGTTTAGCTGGAACCGGTCATAAATTTGCAGCACTCCGGCCGAAATTAAGTGATAAATTAGAATTATACCGCCTAGATCCAACAAGTAAGTTTTAAGAACTTGTAAATTAATATACAATACCTAAACGAATATATTTGAAACAGTTCGGCAATGGGTAATATACAGAGAGATCAAAAAGATAAGGACTATAAGAAAAGATACAATGAAGTAGTTGTTAATTCTCTTCTTGTTAATGAAAAAATAACTCTAAAGGAATACTTTGATTTTTTCAATATGTCATTTTGTATTCAAAAAAAATAATACATCATTTATATATATATATATATTCATACACATTAAATACATCTTTTACAATGTCTAAATAGACCTTTAAGACTAAACAACCAAGCAAGAACTGCATGATTATCGTCTAGAAAACATTGAGAGGGAAATGAAAAACGATTCAATAATGCTAGAGAAGTCAGAAATTTCTGAAATTGCAATTGCTCCACTAATAATAATATTAGTGGTTGTTATCATTAGTTTAATAGTTGCTATTGTTATTCATGAAAGGAGGAAAAAGAAAATTTTACAAGACAGAGCAATTGAAAATATTATTGAAAGTTTTCTTCAAGAAAATGACCTTGAAAAAGAAGAAAAATAGTGACAAGACAGCAACAATTATTATGAAAAGTAACAATTACTATTTTGACTATTAATATAATTATTTATTACATTTATATTTCTTGGTGGACAAGAAAAATTATCAAGATCATTTGATTATACGACAACATTTAACAATATCAACATGATTAAAGATTTATCTTGTTTGAACAAATTCCTCTTGTTCATCTTCGGATTCCGAAGGTACATTACGAACTTCCTGATACCACTGATTTGTCAAATTATTCATTTGAGTTCTCCCATCTCTAACCTCCTACATTTATAAAATAAAAAAATTGTAAAACAAAGATTATTAGTTTAATATGATATTTTAGAATAAAATAAACTGACTTGTTGGGTTAAACGCCTAGTAAAAAACGGGCGGAGGTATTTTTTATCTAATTTCATAAAGCCAGTAAGGGTCGATTGTTGAGTGATATGAACTTCTACATCCTCTGATTCCGTTATTTCTGATAAATGCTCAGAGTCAATAGTTTCTCCCATCTCTTTAGTTTTAGATAAAGTAACTTCTTTTCCTTTTCTGACTCTCCTTCTCTTTTCAGCATTTAGACACTATGGTTTTTATATATAAATTATGAGCAATCTATTCATCTAACACTTTTTCTGCTAATAAATGAAACATTACCTTCATAATGGGCATAGTAGACCCACCTAGAATAAGTACAGTAAATAGGATAATTATAAGTGTGGTGGTTACAAGAACTTGACGTTTCTCTTCGTTTCCAATATCCATATGTAAGGATAGAGCAAAGGCAATGGCTCCTCGTAAACCACTAAACCACATAATAAACTGCATCTTTTTTGTTATTTTATGCTCTCTGAAGTAATTCGCCAAAAAGGAAAGCGGGAATATATTGAATGCTCTTCCAAGTAAGATTAGGGCCTTTAAAACAACAATATATCACTAATGATAAACAAATAGGAAATGTTGAATATACTAACTATACTCCAAATGACTAGGGCTGGTTGTACAGTGTGTTTAAAGCTAAATATGGCCAACCCAAGATAAGCAAACACACAAGTCTCTGCTATGAAAGCGATTGTTCTAAAAGTTTGTTGTACAGTTATTTGAGTGACTGGAGAAAGGTTAAAATGCGTGTAATGAGCCATTACAACACCACAAAATAGAATTGCCATTATGCCTGATAAATGTATTCCTTCAGCGAGACCATATGGAGCATAAGAGAAGACAAGCATCATACCAAATTCTAATGAAGGTGTCTTTCTCAAGTCGATAAATTTTAGCAACATAGCAGATATTAATCCAAAAGCTATGCCTATTGCGGCAGACGCGAAAAACATCATGCAAAAGTGTCCTACAGCCGTGAAGAATGTAGCAGCTGGACTCATTTCTTTAAATTCCGATAAACCGAGCACCGTATTTGTAAGAACGATGGCGACTGCATCATTTAGAATACTTTCACCAAATACCAACATATACAAAACTGGATCAACATCGATAGCTTGAAAGATAGCCAAAGTAGCCACTGGATCAACGGCAGATATTAGAGATCCAAAAGCAAAACTTTCTTCTAATTCTAGTTTGTAAGCTACCTGAGCTCTACCCAAAAGATATATGCCACCTCCAACAATAACAGCTGATATTACAGTGCCAAATATGGCAAAGAGTAATATTGTTCCAATATTTTGAAAGAAATTCCCCTGTAATTTGGTAAAATTGAAAACGTTTGCTATTTATTAAGAATATGAATAATACTTTATGCAGGTTGTAACCAGACTCAAAAATAATTGGTGGTAATAGAATCAAGAAAAACATAGTTGGAGGAAAATGCTCTTCAGTTTGCCAATTGCCCAGCTTATATTTAGCCAAAAGCTGCAATATGAGGCCGAGAAGGGCACCTATATTTTTAAAAATTACATTTTAATTACACATATAATTTGAAATGGAAAAACATTTTGTGACAACTTACCAAGTAAAACAACAGCAACACTCTCAGGCAGGTAGTGGAATTTTGTTTGAATGAGCAAATGAACTAGAAGAATACTACCGGCTATCACAAGAAGAATAAAAAATATGGAAAAACTGTATTGATGTTCCTTTTCCGCTTCTTTTTTGGGCTCCCGTGGCAATCCTTTATTTTCTTCAGTTGTAATCTCAGGCGTTAGTGTACTGGTATTGCTAGAGAAAGTAAAAACAATATATTATTAGATATAGACGGAAACAGATGGCTTATAAACCATATAAAATACTAACTTATATGAAACGTCTTGAGTTGTTGCATTCTCAAGTACAACAGATCCATCTCGCTTTTGTCTTTCAAATATTTTATCAAACAGTTTATTCTTCTTTACCAAGGGATTAAATTTGGAATTTTTAATATCTTTATTACAATTAGTTATTAATATAGAGTACGCAATTGTAACTAAAAATATGAATATTGTTGATTTTCCCATCATATTTAATCCACTGTTTTAGTAACAAATATTATTGCTTTAGTTATTTAAGTTAGCAAAACAATAATGTCATGATTAATCACTTGCTGGTCGACAATAAATGAAAAAAACGTCATGGCAAAATATTTTAAACCAGTTAATATAGAAAATCTAGAAGCTCATTAGTTGAAGCTACGAACGCGCTAAATTCAAAGTGTATAAAACCCTATATCAGCGTAACATTAAAACATAATTTACTAATAGATCATGTATTGATGATGGAATTGAAATATATACTAATTAAATGCAGATGTGGCATTTTCTGGACGTCAGAATATTGATAACAATTTTTTATTGATGTTGGATTTGTGTATTAGGCTTAGAGTAAACCAGTCTTTCTAGCAGTTATTTAATTTCAATTCAACAACTGCCTCATCGGTAGGTATATTAAGATTTTCTAATAGATTCGTTGTTACTATTTGACCTTGCTTTAGTATGTCAGTAGCTAATTCGTTAACAGTAGTAAATCGGACGTGTTGGAAGCTGAATACGCGTTGCATAAAGGATATTACTTGATCCTTAAAGAATGTACATAAGTCTTTCACCGGTGACTGGGGCCCTAGAAAGGCCCAGGCAAACATTGGACTGCAGCATTCCGTTACTGTGTAAAAATGAGCTAAGAAACCAGTAGAAGATTGCAATCGACTTCTCTTTGCCTTTGAAACCGACCAGCAAGCCGTAGCTAAAGCGGACTCTTTAAATGAATTGGTCAGCCAACGATTGTTCATAATGGTCGTAATGGCAGATGGAGGATTTTCCAAATCGTCGAAAGCATCAAATACGATAAAGTCTAATACGATATCGAAAAAATTAAAGTCAGCTACGGCTCTTGCTTTTAACTCCTCCCTCATACTTTTCCAGTTTGATTCATCTGAGACCCATTCAACCATTGAATCGAATTCATTATAAAAATCTTCTGGATCTCTCTCTGATTTAATCATCATTTCGCCAATAACTAGTTTTCCATATTTTGTGAAATAGTCTTTGATTTCTTTTGACTTGAATATTTCATTGAAAGCAAGGCGAACGCAATACATTTTTGCCAAGAATTCAGTATCCGATTTGCAGCCAAATGTTTTTGTTCTGAGCGTTCTACAGGGAATATTCCCATTATCCAATTCATTCAAGGCTATTCTATACAGGTCTTGAGAAAGCACACTACTACTTGCTTTTTCTTCTTCCAAGTCAGACAAATCTGCAATATCTACAGCAGATACAAATGATTCTGTATCAGAGCATTCGCTTTCACTTCTCATAGCTGCTTCTTCGGCTTTTTCTAAGCTTTGGACTACAGATGAAACGGCAGCACTAAAGTGTATCTTGTTATATATGTTAGTTTCATATTGTTCCCGAATTCTGTAGGTTCTGCTGAGTAAACTGTGTAGTTGATCTTGTAAAGGCATGATATCCATTTCGCTTAAGCTTTTAACTATTGAATCAGCATCATCCATTTCCAATAGCTCCAGAGCATCTTCCCAATGTTTTATAGCTTGGGCAAGTGAGTCAAGTCCTAGAGAACAAAGTTTCTCAGGCCCGATAATTTGTGGGGAATGTTGTTGTACAATAGATCCTGTTAACGTTGAATCTTCAAGATCTTGTCCAAAACTAGTTGGAGCTGGCGTGTGACTACGAGATGAATTAAGAGAAGGCGGTACTGGGGTTCTAGTATATGCAGACGATGGAGTGGATGTTCCGGTGTATCTTCTTCGGACAGTTGAATTCGTACACACACTTGGATCGACGTAATTTCTTCTTCCATCAGAATTCTTAGGAAACGGCTTTCGACGTCTTTTTCGTCTTAGAACTACTGCAAATACAGCAACCAAACCGGCTCCTAGAGTTCCTCCTAATATTATCCATCTAGAAGGTGTCATTAGACGACGAAAAGAGACAAATAGATCATTTGATCCAACCTTTTCTAAAGCAACACTCATCTTATCTTGATACTGTTTATTTTGTTCATCCACGTAGACCTAGGTCAAACAATTGAGCGATAAACGACATTATACAGTAAAATACCTTTGCATAAATATAAATTTACCAACCAATTTCCTCAAATAACAAAAATGATGTTATGATATCCAAGGTACAAAGCATGCAATGATTCTTTGTATTCTGGTGGTCTGTTCAGTTATTAAGGATGTCGAAATAAATTATACCTTTCCCGAGATATACATTTTTGCCATTGAAAACTGGTGAACAATTGTACACGTTGTGATATCAAAAAAGTCAGAAAACTTTCATTTTGAACAATTTACTATTGATATTAAGGTAATTGGAAGAAGATTTATTTATCATTGATTATTACTGTATCAAAACTTCATTTGAACAAATTTATATAGTGTCGTATTTGCTCACATTCTGTCCCAATGTCCATCTGGCTCCTAATTTCGTCTTTGCTGTTTTTGGCGCCGGCTTTATGCAGTGATGTAAATATGAACAGCAACCAATTTGACGAACAATTGAAGGATCGAGGGTATATATTCTAATTTTTTTGTTAGGCAATCAAGATATACATAAAAAACATTTTTAGTCATATTAATGAAGACTTAGAGCGTGTTGCTGGCAAGAAATTAGAAGATATGTCGTCCGAAGAAGTTCAATTTCATTATTTTAAATTGCATGACTATGATCAAAACAATAAATTAGATGGACTTGAAATTATGAGTGCAATGACACATTATACTAGAGGTAAAAACAAATCAAAGATCTCTGTTTCTTATTGTTTCAAGGGCTAATGCTTTCAATAGAATCTGAAGATCGTTCACCACCAATTTCTGAAGCACAACTTACGGAAATGGTTGATCAAGTCCTTACTTCAGATGATAGAAATGCGGACGGTTTCGTCGATTATACGGAGTTTGTAAAAAGTCACAGATCAGCCGGAAAGAATTAATTAAGCATATTCCGCTGGCAGAAAGACCAGAAAGATAAATGTAATAATTAGTATATCCCTTATTATGTGATGGGTGCTTTTATAATTTCTTTATTCTTACTATTAGCATTGCTTCAAGATCCCATTGATTTGGTGCGGTTTAGGGTTAATTATATTGTTAAACATCATATTTAAAATAAATTACTCTGTAAATTTGTTGAATATTTAATTTTTGTCTCACAAGATATTTTGACAAAATGGTTGCTATAATTAATGTTGAATAAATGTTTTGTTTTCTAGCTTGATAGTAGTTTTTAGAATAAAAAACGACAAAACTGAAAAGTCAATAGTCTCGCATGAGGATGAGAAGGTAAAAATATATATATGCCTTTTAGCTATTTATGGTATAATATTTATTGTTAAACAGCTGTTCAACTTAGAAAAAAGAGAAATTCGAAATTTCCCGCCAAACATAAAGAATTTTTGACTGTTGACCTTGACCTTATGAACAGAAAAAAGATGGCGTCGACACCAGGTAAAATATTCCGATTTTAGTTTAACTGTAAAATTTTAACTAATTAAGGCACTTTATTGATAAATTTTCATATGGAAAAGACTAAATCTAACATTTCCTAATCATTACGACAAAAAATCATCGAATTTGTTATTTTTTTAATATTAATGGGGAGGCCCGTTTTCAGTCACTACCCAGTTTTTTACGTGCTTACGCGTTTTCTTGCAAAATATAGCATTTGATTCAAAAAAACATACGATTTTAAATTTAGGAAAAGCAAAGTCGGTGAAGTCAGCCAGCCAACTTTTAAAGTTTCAACAAACAGCAGCTACAAAACAAGAACCAGGTAGTATTTATATTATTGATACTGTGTTGTTCTTATATTTGACTTTATAGGAAGTCATAGCTCGAAAGAGGTTGTTGAAGTTGGTGAGATATGTGAAGAAGGCTACGGTCTTGATGAAGCCTCTAGTAATGTTCTTAAGGCAGCCGAGGAAGCAGAAGCTCAAATGACTACAGGTGATTTGATTAAATGTAATGTCCAAGTAAAAATATTTTTGTTTTTGAAGTAGACGGAAATGAAGAAGTGTGGATAAAGATTGTAACACCAAAGATTTCAGAAGATTCGCCAAGTACTCGTGGCATTAAACGTCGCGAGATAGAAGAAGTTCCCGAGTATGTCACTGAGAAAAAATTGAGACATATGCTAAAAAGTGGAGAAATGGCAACGATAGATTACATCAACGAAAATATCGAAGCAGCTCAGTCACCTGAAATACCTACAGAGCTGTCCTATATGATTTCCAATTTGAAAATGAATAAGGATATCGTAAAAGAACACGTGAAACTTTTTTCAAGCGACTTCCAAGACGAAGATTATCGAAAAAGTAAGAATTTCAATTTTTTAACGACAGTACCAATCAAGATACAATTACATTCAGACAAAATGCGTCAAGTTCCCAAAAGGGCCTTTCTTGGACAATGTAGACATTGCAGTGAAAGTGTTTCTTCATTGACCGAAATGAGTACACATATGCGATCAGTTCATAAAGAAATAGAGTATAAACCTTGGTCTTGTCCTGTATGTTCATATGGATGTACGTATATTGGAATAATATAAACTTTATTAAATAAATAGTTAATGATCCATCCAATAGGTCCTGCTCGTTCGACTCTTGTTAAGCATATGAATGTCCATTGTCACCGAAAATTGTTCGAATGTCCAGAATGTGGAAAAGGATTTAATTTTAAGCAAAAACTTCAACAGCATATGAAGTATCATTTAAATGTTCGAGATCAAGAGTGTCCGTTATGTGCCATGGCTTTCCATGAACTGAAAACATTGAAGACTCATTTATTCCATGTTCATAATTTGGATAGAAGTCAGTATTTAATCACAATTTTCTTGTTTTCTTCCTAACATTCCAAATGTATACCTTATCAGGAAGCTCTAAAAGAGGAGGATGGGTTAAACCTGAATATTTTACTTTGGATGGAGATCTTGTTACTGAAGAACAACTGGAAGCTATGAAGAACTCTTCATCGAGTACACCACAACCACCTGAACTGAATCATGTGATTAGGGTCGAAACCATTGTAAATATATCTTGGATGCAGCTTGTGATGCTAAATTTTATAATTTTTTTCAAATTTTAATTTAGAAGAACGCTGAAGAGGAAGAAAGAAGCGAAGACCAAACCATTAAAGGTATACAATCTAAAGCGGCTGATGGGGTATACAAATTTTTAATTTCGATCTTTAATTATTACAGCAGAAATCAAAGAACTATCGAAGGTCCCAAAATCTAATGATATATGTGGAACATACTCGGCATCAAGATGTGTTAAGCTCAGAGGTGCAGTAAAAACTGACAAATACACTAAAGGCTACAAGTAAGTTGATATAAAATTAGATTCTAAAAATAATACTGATAATTTCTCATTGCAGAGAAGGTTTAATTAGAAAGGATACATCTCAGAAGAAACATCCGATTGTGGTTACGGAAGATACAATGCAATCAATTATAAATAGTGGACAGATTTTAGAAGAAGAACAGGTATATGTTGAGAAGACAAAAAGTGAAGAAAAAACCGAAACAATTAGTATCGAAATAGTCAACGAGGAGTACGTCGAAAAGCTGAAAGAAACTGATAATCTGTCCCTTGAAGAAGACAATGTTGTTCAGCTTGAAGTGGGAGAAGATAAAGAGGCAAAATTGTCAGAATATAAGACCATCCAATGCAAAGATGGTTCTCTCATGCTTGTTGATTCTAAGAAGCAGGGGAAAAAGAATCGAAGTCCTGGAAAACAAAAAATGAGAACCACTTCTCAAGGAGAGTGCATGTCTATAGAAAGCGATGGTAATGAAGATGAAATCACTGTGCAACTAGATGTTCCGATCGAAGACGTTTCAGAAGTTGTTGTGAAACACGAAAGTGATGGAACTGCTGTTTTACAGGTCAACGAGCAAGCTAAAAGTAGTAACAATTCAGGAAATACTAGTTTTACGGAAAAGCCTATCGCTAGAATGCCAAGATCGAAAGGAAAAATGACTGCTGTTGAAGAATATGTCCCAGATTTGGCTGATTACTGTGGCATGGTTCAACATGTTACAACAACAGGACAACATGGTAAATTAGTATTATATGTTGCTATTTATTCGCGAATAACTTTATTTTCCCTTTTAAAGTCCGTAGCATGTATATGTGCAAGCTTTGTTCAAGCGATATCTGCGCTGATCATCTATTCAGGAACGTGACGACTTTTCTGGAGCACGTGAAAGCTGATCATCCAGATATTAGTCCGTGGAAATGCAATAGATGCGATTTTACATGTAAGATGCAATTAATCATGCATTTATGACTTTATATACATAATATATATATATATATATATATTTGAAGGTAAAATAAGAAATGATATGATAGAACATTTACAAGAGCACGCTATCAGTAAAGAAGCTTCTTGCAGCCTTTGTTTTAAACAATTTAACACTAAAAAGGAGGTTGGTATTGAAAAAAAAATCTATTTTTATTTTTATTCTAAACTATTGTAATGTCTTTAACCTTCAGCTTTCGGCTCATATGACAGAGCATACAAAAACTAATGAAATTGTTCACAAGTTCAGTTGCAATTTATGCAAGCAAGCTTTTGCTGCACAAAGCGATTTAAATGCCCATACAAAAAGAGTTCACTCTATTGCCCGACCTTATGAGTGCGAACAATGTGGAAAACGCTATCCAGATGAAGCCTACTTGAAAAGGCATGCTACTACTCATGCTACGAGCAAAAACTACATGTGTCAATATTGCCACAAGTACTATAGAACTCCAATGTCATTAAATCAGCATATGAAATCGCACACTTGCCTTTTTCATTGCGATATTTGCAATCGCTCCTTCGGAAGCTACTCTGGGTTTATGGCTCATAAAGTCATGCATGATCAAACAGGTGCCGAACGTGGCTTCGAATGCCACGTTTGTCACAAGAAACTTTTGACAAAAGGATCTTTAGTAAGGCATTTAACAGTTGCCCATTCAAATAGGAGACCATTTACTTGCGACGATTGCAATAAATCATTCAAAACAAAGAAGGATCTAAAAAACCATCAAATTATTCACGATAGTGGTAAAACTTTGGAATGCAGCCTTTGCTCTTTTGCTACCAAACGTTCTATGACTATGAAATTACATATGAAACGTCATGAAGAGGGCCCTGGAACATCTGAAAGTACAGAACAGCAGGAAGAAGTCACTGATAGACGTGTTCAATTTTGTGCGACGGAAGGAAGTGAAGAAAAATTAACATGTGATCTCTGTAGCTTAACATTTCCTAATCAAGATGAATTGGTTGGCCATGTCCTAGCCCAACATTTACATGCACCTCAGAAAGTTGATCCGAATAATCAACCGCAGGAAGTTATAATAGATCATGTAGAAGAGGATGGTGAATACGTCATTTACGAGGAACAACAATGAAATAAATAATTCTGTTTTTTTCTTTTTAAATTTATTTTGGTTCTTTGTTGTGAGTTTCAAGTAGGGCGTGTTTATTATTATTATCATTATTGACATTAATATCATTATTATTTGCATGTTTTATGTGGCTTTTTTGTGAAAAGTTCAAAAAATTAATGATCGTCTACAAGTTGCTTTGTAAATGTATTGCCAGACGACGTTCTCTTCTTTAGAAGAGGCTTGTAAGCCGGGGGAAGAGAGTGATTATTTAATTGAGTTTCGCAATAGCCAATCAAACTTAATACTGATTCGAGTAGATTATCAGCGGATGAATACTTAATCTTTGCCAAAGAGAGAAAAGCATCTAGGAAACCTTGATAGCACAAGCCTGATTTACCAGAGTCCTCAACATGCTCTGACCTTCTCTGAACTTCCAAGTATAACAAATCTATCGAAGCTGAACTAACACCTCCAGTAATTCCTGTTAGTTTACATCTTCGCGCAAAATTCCTGAAAGCTGTATGATTCATGCGTAGGGTAGCCCTCACTCCAAGACTAGCTGTGAATATCTTTACAATACGATCAATTATACAATAACACCTGTACTCGTCAGCTCTCAAGGGTAAGACCTCTTCCAGAATAGTGTCATCACAATCGACGTTTGCGTGAGGAGGTGCTACTAGTTTGAGCGTCTCTTGCACAAGAGGTTTCTTGATTTCCTCATCAACGGCACTATGTATAGTTTCAGTTATTCCAGGAGCAATAGACTGATCATAATCAATCCTCAATGATGGACAGGCGTTCACTTCAAGTAACGAAACACTTAAATTATTCAGAACAAGTAGATCGAAGCCGAGTATTTGAAAAGGTTGTGGTCTAGGTGCTGTTATTGCACGCAATTCTACCTGCAGTTGAGGGGCTATAGATATGGCAGTTTTTGCTGCAACATCAACAATATTGGACCAAAGCATAGTGACATCGTAACCGCAACTCCTCAAAGTTTTTAATAAAGCTGTAACAGTTCTCTTGTTACCGTCGTTTACATCGTCCGTGTGAACGTAGGATGGACTGGATTTGTTCAGTGAATAGTTTGTCAGGTGCATGTGAACCTTGTGCAAATTAGAAGTATTCGGTGATCTATAATCTTCTGTACACAATCTAACAAGACCTTCTCGACAGACGTGAACAGTTAAAGGCTCTAAATTGGAAATCACGACATAAATTCTTAAGTCAAACTTCTTGCCTTCTAATAGTAAGGGCTTTGACAAATATTCTTGAACAATATGCTTTCTATTTCCCCCAACGTCGTAGCGTCTGGGATCGGTTAACAAGTAAATTCCATTTCCATGAGTACCGTCGTTCGGTTTTACAATATAAATGGATGGTTTTCTTTCAAAATCTTCAAACCATGTACTCCATTGGGTAGGTAATATCCATGATTGTGGATGAAAATCGTAGCTTGTTGGATACAAACGCGCCATAACGTCAAGTGTTCTGGATAGAGCTATTTTTCTTAAACAATTTATCATTCCGGGAAATTTATTGACTCTTGCAGCTGGAGGTATATTATCGTTATCTTCATAGGAGAGGCTATGCCTATAAATATATATAAAATTTAACAAATATGATATCACATTGGAATAAGCGTTACCAGTAAATATGAGATTTCTTTTTGGACGCCGTTTCCTTTTCATTCCAACCAAGTTCCCTGAGACAAAGTCGAATGACATCGCTATTAGATCTAGCTTTAGATGTGTCGACAGATACCGGAGCATTCGTTAGGTTATCGCCTCTAGCAACATGAAAATTTTCTCTTCTTACTTTCAATCTTAATTCTTTTCGTTCATTTTTCCAAAGTTGTAATCGAAAATCTGTCTTTTTATAAGGTGGTGGCTGTTTCACATACGCGTTTTCATAGGAGAGAAGCTTCCGATTCGACATAGTTGAACCTTTTGAATTGTTTACATATTTCTTAAGAGTACCTTTGTAGTGTGGCGCGATATGTTGGCGCCAATAATACGAATTGAGAATATGACCAACGATAATTTATTAATATTCTCTTTCATTAATTTCCTTTAATTAGAAACTTTTCAAACATTTTATCTGATCGTATAAGTTGTAGTTTTCTTATAAAGTTTTACTATATTCTTAAATCTGTTGTAAGGTCTGAAAATATCTAATATAGACAGTTGAGACGGTTAATTATCAAAAAAACCTTTAAAAAGTGTCTATATATATGTTCTTCACATTTAATATATTTAAATAATCAGAAAAGAAATTCGATTTATCAACAACTGCTGCAATAGAATAAAATTCAATAGTAATAAAAGAGAATATATGAAATATAAATAAGTTAAAGTTAAATGAAATTTAATTGTTTAATTTTACAGTTGAAATGGAATTTAATTAAAATTAGAATGTAAATGAAATTAAACTTTAGAACTTTTTAACACGATAATTGATTTATTAGCTAATAGTCTAATGTTGCAAAGTTTTGATGAGATCTTTTAAATCGATTTTTTAAAAAATTGATATCTTAATATCGATCAATATAAATATTTATAATATCCGTAAAAGAGATATAAATCTATTAAAAAAACAGATTATAAACAAACTAACTAAGAAATCAAACACGAATTGTTTAACCTTAAATAAAATAATTAAAGATTAAATACTATCCGATAATAACAGTTAATATTAATAAAAGAGAAGTGATTAATCTTGAAATATGAACTATATTTTATATTAATAAAAAAATGTATATTAATAATTTTTTTTATTGTAACAAGTAATTAGAAACTCCATCTATACTTTATGAAAGTTTATACCATTTACATAATAGCTGGCAAACAAGAATGACTGATGAAAGAAATATGTATAGAATTAAGAATTACGTACGTAATTTGGATAATAGGATGAAAAGGGAACATTACGAAACGAGGAACTTTATATTCTTTCAAGTGAAAATTTTGAAACGCTTACAAAAGCAAGAAGCAAGATTAAATAGATTATGCTCACTTTATACTTTCCTTGCTGCTATTTTTATTGGTGTTTGTGTGAATATCATCTATTTCTACTTTTTAAGAGGTTCACTTACGAATCTAATGGAACAAAGGACTCATTATGAAGTGGACGAAAAATCGGTAATTAAACAATCGAGAACTCTTGATTTACTATATCCAGAACTGGATTTAATCAATAAAACAAAGTTAAATCGTACCGACAAAGTTTTTATTGAATCTAATACAAAAACGGTTAAATCCAGTTTAAAAAGTGACAGGCGTACGACAAGCCCAAATCCGATACCTTTTCGCGATAACGAAACAACTACCAGAGTTAACTTGACAACGAGTTTACAAGCAAATAATGAAGATTTAACAACTGTTGCTTCCACTATAAAATCAAGTACAGCTCAAATAACACAACCTATCAAAACCAAGATAAAAGGAAATATAGTAACTTCTCAAGATGATTATAAAACTGGTAGATATATTACAGAATTATCAACAGTTAAAACTTTATTTAACAGACCTCCTAAAGCTTTTGCAATGCATTCAAAATCAACTGCAGATGATTTAACAAATGGTAGTTTTATTTTAAAAGTCTTAACTACTGGACGTTCTAAGAGCAATTCAAAAGTGACTACGAATACCTTATTAATAAATGATAGTTCCAATGTGAAAATTTCAACTGGTAAACTCATATTTATTAAATCTAATGACTCGACCATAAACTTGGAAAGAAATACACACGATTCAAAAGATAGTCATTCTACTAGAGAAGAAAGCATTGTCTTATCTACAACTACTAGGCCTATTGAAAGCGACGTTACAAGATATCTAAAGAAAGCTAAAAAAGTTGAAGTCTTGAAGAGTAGTAGTGGTAGTAGTAGTAGTAGTAGTAGCAGTAGTGGTAGTAGTAGAAGTAGTAGTACCAATAGTGATCTTTCTACTAGCGAACATCTACTTAATAACTCTATTAAGACTACCAAGTCCTTTACAACTTCTATGGAAACAACTAGTGAAGCTACTTTAGGTTTAGTGAAGCAAACTTCAACAGCTCAGACTCAAGAACTTATTACCACAACCGAATCCGTTGAAATATTCCCAACTGCGGAACATACGGCAACCAAATTGAATTCAACGGAAGAAACTAATTTGGAAACTTTATCAACTTTGACAAACTTTTTCACAATTGGTTCAAGTCCAACGGTTCAAACAACTACTGAACGCCATCTATTGGATTTAAATAATTACCAATTAAAATTGACCAAACAACTATTCGAATTTGGAAAGTTTATATATGATATTATAATTTCAGAAGGTAATTTATACTATGTGGCAAAATACGATCGGATTAATAGAGGTCTATACGTAATGAATCCTGAATTTGGGGCAATAGAACAAGTTCAAGTGAAAAAAAATTGTAAATTAAGATCTATTACAATCACATTGAATGGCACAATAGTAGCTTTATGCTCAACAAAGAACAATATAATGGAAGGTGTAGTTATTTCTTCCCATGATAAAGGAGCTAATTGGGAAATTCTGTTTTCATTGGATTATAGTATCTCCCAAATTCGTTCCACAGCGGATGGAATGTTAATTGTTTCTACCACTAGTCCTTGCGATATATTAGGATTACATATGAATGGTACTATTGTCTGGAAGACTAATATAACAGCAGATGGTCGAGCAAATATAGCGATAATCGATAATAAAGTAGCGGTCGCTGATATCTTTGGAATACGAGGTATACTGCTTTTGGATTCAACTGATGGCAGCATATTTAAAACTATTAAAGAAGTCAACAAAAACTCATATTTTCGAAATGTTTATTTGTTAGGACATAATCAGGGACTTCTCCTTTGCCAAAAAAAGAGGAGAACTACAAAGATATCAATCTATACTACGGAAGGAAAACTCATAAGTAACAGAAACTTTAATAGATTATATTCTGCTGCGGTTTTTTCAAATGGAACGGAAACTCTATTCTTGGCAGGCCAATACCGTATTGACGCTTTTACTTTAAGAAATGATTAATAAAACTATTTATCCCAGCATATTGCAGATTTAGGCCTGCTTTTCGCAGATCCGTCAGCTCCTCTTCTTGCAGGAGCCGATTGAACCCTAAAGAATCGTATTTCGTTCACGTTATCCTCTTCTAAACCCCATTCGATTGGTCTATATACTTGATGTTGATGTGCTGATACTGCTCTTTGTGCATTAGGAAAGACGGGAGAATGGGGCCGCATTATAATTACCATTCCGTGCTTTAATGGCTCATCGTTAGGTGAACGTTCTTTAACTCTTGATAAACTTCGTACCCTGCTTGCCTTCCTGTATGTTGAGTCATCTTTGACTAGATTTCCGACTTTGTCGTACCATCGACCAAGTTTATCTTCCAGCGCAGTCATAGCCTTTTGCGAAGCTTCATGATTTCTAAAACAAGTCAACTCGTACTTTTCGAAACCATCAGAATTGTCGTTTTTATTTTCATTATCTTCATCTTCATCATCTTCATCATTATCATCACTTTCGTCTCTTTGAGTAATGAATATTTTCTCTTTGTCTTGATTCTGCGACCGGCGTTTTGATCTAAACACACTTGCAGATATCATTCGTTCATCTTCAGAATCTGTTCTCTTTCTGCTTCGAACTACTTGAGTGGTAGAAGGAATATGTTCTTCCTTCTCTTCTATAATCTTTTTTCTAGGCTTACGCGGTTTCATCCTATCCATTTGAATTATTGGTCCCCTATGAAGAAGTCTTTCGTGTCGTTTGATTCTCATTAACGCTTTCAAGTCGTTTTGTTTAGGTTCAACCTTTCTCTGAAATGCTAATTTCTTTTTGGACGTTTTCACTTCCGGACTCATGGCGACTAACCGGTCGTGCCAATGCTTCAATAAATCAGTGACTTGGGAAGGAATTCTATCCAATCGTCTTTGAACTTTAAGTTCAGCCGCTTGGCGAATTTGACCAAATGTTTGAATCATTTTTTTTGCTATTAAACGCTCAAAATTCCTCTTATCCAAAGAGAACAGGACGCAATGAGTATTTGCCACAACACTTTCAATATAGGAAGACAGTTCGAGGACTAATTCAACATCGCCAATTATAGTATCGGCACAAGAAATTCCAACTTCGAAGTCGTCACTTTCTTCTGTATTGACTCGAAGTTTATTAAAAGCTGATTTAGGCCTTCTTAGACCAGTTGTAGATTCACCTACATAGGCTTCAGGGATTTTTGAATGTTTAATATTATAAGATGTATTATGGAATTGACTATTATGATTTTTAGGCGTCATAACGATTCTACATTCCCCTTTCGATACAAAATAGGCAGTATTGGCAGGTTCCCCCTGTCGGCAAATACTACCCGCATACGGAATAACAACTTTTCTCAGGCTTATAGCCATGTTTACCCTATTATCTAAAGAACAGTTTCTGAACAGTGAATGCTCCTTAACAAACTCGGTTTTTTCTTTAAATTCTTCCTCCTTAAAAGTAATAATATATCCTTGATTAAACAATGAGTAGGAGTGGTCAGAATAATAAAGGGATTATAGATACCTGCCAGGAGCGAAGAGATTGATTGTACGTTTGCCGGTCGATAGCTAACAAATCGCACTTTTCGTCACACATAACGGAAGCTGTTCTAATAGAGTTTTCCGATAAAAGAGCTACTTCACCAAACATTGAACCTCGTCCCAAAGTGACGACGGCGTTACCGAATACCTTTCTATCCAAAGGTACACGTTTTTGAGAGCAATCCGCCTCAACTCTGCGCAGAAGTTCCGCGCAGCGAGCATCGTCGATACCTGATGCTTGGGGTCTAACGTAAACGGACAACTTTCCACGAAGGACAATATAGACGATATCTCCAACTTCTCCTTGCCTTATAACAACATCGTCTAAATTACGTGAGACATAGCAACTTTTCTTAGCCACAACCTCAACAATTTCTTCCTTCTGATTTTTGAATACATCCGAAGTTTTCCTTAGCCAACTCTTCAATTCCTCAATATCCTTATCCGATCTATTTCCATCACTTTTACAAGCAATAGACAATATCCTCTGGTATGCAGTACTCATAATGTAATGAAATCCTTATCTAAAGCGGATATATTCTATTTGTATAAAATGAATCGTAAGATTTTCAAAAGTAGTTGTTGCCAAAACGAACATTTTTTGTACAATGCCAATTTTTCATTTGATTTTCTTTCTTTTTTGTGTATAAAAAAGATTCTTTTACAATAGAATGAGAGGATTTACGGCGTAGATTATTTACTTTGAACGTAGACCAGCTGAGAGCACTGGGCGAAAAGTGTTCAAATCTAATTAGTGATTGGCCGATAGGCGATTATTAAAAATATCGTTTCGCTTTCCAGAATAAAACACTAATCAGACTTGATCGATACAACTCTCAAAAGGCTAAGTTGAATAAAAATGCCGGCACCTTAAAGCCGATTTTTATTACTCTTTTATAGGGAGAAGCGGAATTTAAATTTTCACGGCGCTATTGATTTTGTAGAGTGGTCTTTTCTTATTCAGAACAGGTTGGTATGAATATTTATCAAATAAGAAAATGCCATCTAGAGGATTGTAAAAACTATAATATCCCTTTAAGATAATATTTATAGATAGATTTGTGACAGATTATTTTGAAAATCTTTCCCATTTAAGTATCAGCAAAAAGTTTACATCTTCTCCTACATCTTGCAACCTCAAATATTCTATTTTCATTTATTTCACGCTTTTCTTTCTCCCTTCTGATGGTTGCAAATAGTTTGCAGTTTCAATCATAAGAAACCTAAAAAATAGCCAGGACCTCAAAGTCAAGAAAGTATAGATGCAGCAAATTAATCTGCTAAGTCTCTTATATAAAGTACTTAAAGACCAAGCAACATATTGAATTTTAACGAGTAAAAGATTTAGACATAGTCTCTTCTATAATAAATTCAAATCTGTTGTGAGGGAGTAAACCCCTCTACCAAACATTATTTTATGTTGACCCAATTAGTAAGAGTAGCACGAATATTCCAAGTGATATGATTCAATGAGAATAAGGAAGATAAAAAAAGATCATCAAAATTGAAAGCCGTTTGTGTAATAGATAATGAATTTAAGTGTATTTGAGCTCTATGGAAAATATGATATACACTATTTACATAGTATATATAAGAAAAAGTGCCCGTTGTTTAGATCTAATAGCACAGGCAATTTAGACCCTCTCGTCTTTATTATTTAGATATTTGGCTATTTCTAGCCGACAAAAATTGCGATTACTCACTAATATTTCAAGCGAATATCGCGGGGAATTGGGTATAGTTTTCAACTAGCAATATCCGCACCTCAGATAACTTCACTGGTGGCGGAATTGCTCCTGCGCGAAGATAACCTCCATTTGAAAATTAACTGCTTTAGTATAAATTGTTTTCCTCTGAGCACCTGAGCAGCCTATTTGCATATTAAGTTGCCTGTGTAGTCCGATATAGATGGCAGCACCGTATATTTGTTTAGAACTCTGTTTTCTGGGAATGAGATAAAAATTGTTGTTAAATTATCAAACTGATTTCAAGATATTTCGCAATTAATAGAGTATAACATTTTATTTGATTAAAAACTTGTATTAAAGACTTTTATTTGTCAATTATATTTCAATATGCAGAAAAGTTGGTTAAGTTTAACTATGGAAAATTTGTATAGAATTCGAATAAATCAAAAGCTCAAAGCTCCGTTAAACAAGATACTAAAAGCCATAGAAACATTTACCAAAACACCTACAAAAAATGCGGAACCTCTCGCTGGTTGTTTAACTGCTAATTGATAGACGAGTGTGTGAATAAAGCGAGAGATGGTAAATATTCTAAAATGCCACGTAGCAGTAGAAAGGTCTGGTTGAGTTAGTACGTAAAAAAAGCCAATTAGGACAAACAAGTAGATGTTTTCGACATCGTTCAGGTGATTTCTGTAAAAATAAGAAAGACATTATAAGCTAAATGGTAACAATTAATATTAGCAAAGATTTACCTTCTAACTCTTTCAATTCTATCGTCGTTGTGAATAATTTTAGCGTCTTTAGGAGTTTTACCCACAAAATAAGACCACGATCTATCCTCTGGACTACTCATCACTAACGTTGCTGACCTCTTTATAGATGTCAATATTCCAAGACTCAACATCTTCGCTAGACATAGCGTAGCATGGAATACAAATTTTGCAAACACAGGGTTCGATAGTGTTAACAGAACGCTGGGAGACATTCTTACTATTGGTCTACTCTAAGATTTGAACTTATACACACTTTCTCAGAATAAACTGACCTTCACCTTTTACTATATTAAGTATTGACTGATAAACTACAATTAATAGGTGTACCGGTAATATTTTGACCCTTTGGCAACTTGACTATAGTTTTGAAATAGTAATAACTAAAAAAACAACATATAAATCTATGCTAAACGAGATTAATCACTGTGTATTTACAAATATATTCATAAGAAATATGCTGTTTATTATAAAATATAACGTATGAAATAGAGGAAGAGTTTGAGAAAAACTTAAACATTTTGATTGTAATTAATGAAGAATCAATGATGGTATAGATTCTGTTATCTTGTTATTAATATTTTATTCCCTTTCTCTTCAGAGGGAAATCCTTCCTATATCGAGGAATTTCATGTTTCCTTTTCTGTAAATTAAGGAATTATAATGGATTCTAAACGTTCATTAATATTTTCTATATGATAGTTGGACAGATAAATATATTACTATCACCACAGCAGTCAATATTATTATTATGATTATTATGATTTCGTTCACTAGGAAACATGCATCCCAATTTCAACATCTTCAAATTTAATTATATTTTCTGTAGAGGTGCAATTACGGTGAGAATTGTAAATATTGTTCGACGCTGGTCTTTGTATTATGAATAATTTCTCTGGACCTAAATGAAGTAGATGATTATATAATAATTAATAATTAGTAATTAAGTATAAAAGAAAAATAACACCTTTGAGAATGTGTTCAATTATAAAGCTCACTTTATAAACAACCATATTTGCATAATAACTTTCTGGTTGATAAATCTTAAAATTTGCTGTAATCAATTTACTATATAAATAATCAAATAAAGCAGAAAATAGAAAATGAACAAATGAAATGAATATAAGATAGAAATCATATGCTAAAAAATCATTAATAAGTTAAATTTACCATCAGATATTTTATCAATTTTATTAGATTCGGCTGTAGCTATCTTTCGATTATCCTTTTCCCTACAGCAGGCAATTACTATTAATATTATCAATATTATTACTATAAGTCCAGCTGCTACAGTTAAACCAATAATTAATGCTTTATTATCATCTATATTGAAAGAAATTAATGTATCAACTAATATTCATTAGTTAAATGATTTATAATACTTTTTTCAATCTGTTCAATAATGATTGGGGGATACGTCCAATTTTGAGGCACTACTTTACAACTCTCTAAAAGCTTGTCAATATCATCCTCTAAATAGTTTAATTAATGATCTAAAGATTATTAATTAATAAATAATTATTTTTGTAATACCGGTTACTATTGAAATATTATTGGTATTTGATATGTTCAAGATTATTGCTTGTGCGTAGTTAGGAGAGTTATTTGCATCTACACAACTATCATCAGGATTGAATGTACTATTACATATTAAGTTGAGAGGAGGTTCTTCCCATCCTATCTGTAATTATTACGCTGTTAATAGGTTAAAATGTAATGAAACTTATTTTCACTTTACATCGCATCTATACGTCTTGCTAATGTTATAATTTACAAGTATACAAGATCTATAGCCTTCATTTGAGTCATCTGTCTTAGCCGTGACCGAATCAATATCTATAAGAACGTCATCTTCATACCTAATAAACCAAATAGATCAAATTATACATTTTTGCCAAATTTTTTATGATACTAACCATTTAATCATTGGTTGCCATAGATATTTATACTTCAGTTGGCAACTTAAAAAACCTTTCAATTCCGTTGTTACCTTATCATCATATGACTCTTTCATCTATAAATAGACTTTACACTGATATATAAATATACATATTTATTGTTCTTTCACTTACAAATTCAATGACAACAGTTGAAGACTGAGTTTTCACAAGAGTTGAATCAGATAAAGATTGATCGGCTATTTATGTGAATAAAGATATTTTCTCTAATAGAATTTAAATACATTATACAGTAATCTATTTATTAATTTAACCTAAGCCAAGATAAACATGTAATCCTCTAGGTGTACAGTCATCAACGTTCCATACACATTCGTATCTTCCACTTTCAGAAGGAGTCATGTATTTTATTTTCAAGTTGAAATTTCCTTCAATATCATATTTATCTTTATATTCATTCAATATATCAGAACTACTTGAAATTTGAACACTCGTTCCATTGCCATAGAAATACCATTTATTCGGAGAATTGTTAGATCCGGTTTCGCATTTTAGAACAATATTATCACCCGGTTTTGCTAATACATTTTCCAATTTTGAAAAGATAGTGGAGTGTTCTGAATAAATTTTAATAATTAATTAGTTAAATAGCCGATTTTCTATATTTGTTATTATCTCTATAAAAAAAACTTGTTTATCTTACGTCGTTCATTGGTTGTTACTTGACTGCCTTTGATTTTGCAAACATCTTTATAGCCTGGTGAATTTGGAGCTTCTACGCAGTAGAATTGTGTTGGTTGGCAAAACGGACTTGATTGAGGAGTCTCTGTAGGAGGCCCCCATTCAACCTATACCACAAAAGGACAAACAATTATAAAAATCTCAGCTGATTCAACTAGTTTGTATTTGTACCGAGCATTCATACTCATCTTCATCTTTTAAATTTTCAGCTAAAATACAAGATGTAAGTAGTCCTTCACCTTCGTGCAAATGCTCAACTGTGTTTAAATTTTCACCATTTTTCTTCCTAATTATTTAGATATAAAAATTATATAGTATTCAAATTGTATGCAAATTTATGTAAATGAATAATACCATGAAAATACTGGTTTATAGAGAAAGGTATATTTAAGCGTACAAGAGATAATAGCATCTTTATTATCTGGTACCGAAAGGTTAGGGCATCTGAAAGAATTATATACAGAATTGCGTCTGAGGCCGTTGCAGAGAAGATCCGATTCAACAACACCAAAAAATGCTGATAATGATTGTGAAACTGGTCTAAAATCAAATATATATTTCGTTGCGTCATATGGTTCAACATCTTTTATAACCAAGTTATAAAACTTATCTATTGCATATTTGGAAGATTGATCTATTTGAATTAATGTAATAAAAGTACAAATTCTTGTTAGGAAGATATGAAATAAATTCTTACTTGAGAATATTATGTCATTATAGGTTAATAATCTGGTTTTACCAGGAGCTTCGGCTAATATCCAGGAAAAGTCTTCAGCTGGATCACCTTTAAGAGCACTTTCAACGTCCCCTCTAAGAGTGACACTATTTTTTTGGTCTGATCTAATGCAAAGTTTTTGCAGAACATTCATAGGGGGTTTTATATGTTTAGTCCACCAACCAACTATTCGTATAAGTAAGTTTTAGAATAAAAGTATTTAATTAAAGAAAAACCAAACTTGGTATATTAATGTCAATTCCTTTTATATCAAAACGTTGGGTTTTCCCATTAGCCCATTCAACAATACATGAATAATTAGTTGTTAATGTATAGTCTTCATCAAGTATGCAAGATTTATTGGCTGTTATCTTCTTTATTAAATCGCCTCTTTTATACCTAATATCAATAATTTACGTGAATAAATTATAAATAAAGGTACTTGTATTACCATGACAATTTTGGAGTTTTTTCATTTTCGTTTTCAACGAAACATTTAAAAAGATTACCTCTATCAGAGGTTGTAATATCCGGACAATTGTAAGTTTCATTCTCTCCATTTAACGAATAGCCAATACAGTTGATATCTATATATATTATGAATTTTAAAGTGTTTTCTATTGACTTTCTATTTACCTGGTTGTCCAAGTATTGTTAAGTATAAGGATGCAAAATATATCAGATGTACGCATACTTTAGTAAGAAATTCCATTTGTTTCTTTGAAAACCTTGAGTAGAAGTGAAGAGTCGTAAAAACGACTACGTATATATATAAGAGCTATGATATTTGATAAACTGTCTTTCAATATTCGTCACGAACTCAATTATCATATCTTTTTTTTATTTTATAATGTGCATCATATCAAGGATTCTTCCTTATAAACTTTTACATCTCCTATACAAATGATAAAGCAGGATATCTGTACGATTCAACTTTTTGTTACTTTTTGGTTACTTTAATGTGAGAAAATGCAAATATTAGTCACACGTGAATAATCTTATATTTCAGTTTAAAGCGATAAATGTGCTTTTTATGCTTAAAGGAATTTTTAATGCCATCTTTTTTTACTCTTCAAAATTTCTATTTATAGTCACGAAATTACTGTAATATTCCTTCTGTTTATGAGTATTAGTAATAGTTGTATATTCTATGTTTTATTCAAATTTTTTAATACATTCGTTATAATCAAAAGGATTAAAATGATTGAAATTTAAAATTAAAGGAAAATATAGATTACCAATTTTTAACAAATCGATTAGAGAAAACTAATTAATTTGGGAAATTATTAAGATTTCGCAATTAATTGTTGTTTTAAAACTCTTCTTAAAATTTTACCACTTGGTGCTTTTGGAATTTCTTTGACAAACTTGATTCCACCTCTAAGTTTCTTTTGACGTGCGACTCTCTCTGTTAATTTTAAAGATAATACAATAAAAAACTTGTTTAAAAAGAGATATTATAAGCGAAAATATATTACCGGCCACGTATTGTAATAAATCTTCTTCGGTTGTTTCAGAACCTTGTTTTAATAAAACAAAAGCTGTAGGTAGTTCACCTGCCTCCTCATCTGGTTTTCCAATGACGGCTGCGTCAGCTACAAACTCATTCGTTAGGAGAATGCCTTCCAATTCCGCCGGTGCTACCTGATATCCCTTATACTTTATAAGTTCTTTTATACGGTCGGTTACGCTAAAATGACCATCTGTATGAAATTGTCCAATATCTCCTGAATGTAGCCATTCTCCTTTAATCATTTCATCGGTGGCTTTCTGATTTTTATAGTAGCCCTTCATTACATGAGGGCCTTTGATACATATTTCACCTTCGACATTCGGTTCGGAAACAGTTTTGCCAGTTTCTGGATCAACAAGTTTGGTGTAACCATTCGGTAATGTAAAGCCAACAGTATCTGCACGGGGAGCATCGTAAGGATTAACGTGCGTTACTGGGCTTGTCTCGGTCAAACCATAAGCCCCAAGTAATCTATTGAAATTCAATTCTGAACAAAACTTGTTACTTAAACCTTTACTCAATGGTGCTGCTCCGCATAGAACCATCTCGCAATAGGCTGAAAATTCAGGACAAGCGTTTTTAGCGTGATGGGCCATAAATAGGACTAACGGTGGCACGAGTGGAAGAATTTCCGGTCTATAATCATTTAAACTTTTCAAAAACTGTTGGGGTTCAAATTTAGAATGAACTAAAATGGTTCCTCCTTGAAAAATCGTTCCCAAAAGTATAACAACTTGTCCATAAATATGAAAGAAAGGTAAGACTCCTAATATTTTCTTATTGAAAAAGTCAATTTTTGTGTGTTCGTTGCTAAAAAAACAAAGGGAAAGAATTCACTTTTATATCTAATAAATTAAAAGATTCCAGTTAATTAACTTACAATGTTTGTCTTATATTTGAGTAGACATTGTAATGAGTTAGCATTACACCTTTAGGTAAACCGGTTGTTCCGCTGGAAAATGGTAAAACTAGAGTATCCTCTTCAACTTTAAAATTCCAATTATCGCTGAATGCTGAACCATCATCGTCTAATAATTGTTGAAATGATAAACATCCATCAACTGGCTGGTCAAGGGTCATTACAGCTTTTAAGTGTTCGGATTTAACATTCTTAGCAATATTAGCTAGTTGGCTCGATACTATCAGGAATTTTGAATTTGTAACTTCACAAGTTCTCTGTAAATCTTCCTGTTGATAAGCTGGATTAACCGTACTTGGAATGGCTCCTATTGAAACTATTGCCAAAAATATTGTAAAATATTCTAAGTTATTTGTTGAGCATATTGTAACGATATCATCCTTTTCTAGTCCAAGTTTCTTTAAGGAGCTAATTACTTTTACAGTCTGGTCCAGAAGATTCGAATAGGTTACCTCTCTTTGTGATTCAACATCAATCTGATAGGGAAAGATTAAATTAAACTAATATCTTTTTTCTATTGATACAAGACTTTATCATTGATATCATTTTTCTTATACTCTATTTAAAGCCAATCTTTAATTAATACAACTATCTTTATTCTTAATAACTAATAGTGATTTGTTATTAGCTTTCTATCATAAATTATACTTAAAATTATAAGATTGTTACATACGCAAAATCCTATGCACTCTTTTGTAAAGAATAAAAAAAACCTTGTCCTCAATTTAGATCGATCTAGAGTCTCACATTGAATAAGCAAGAAAAATTTATCCTGTCTGCAAGCTATCCTCCCATACACAAATAACAATAGTTTTCAAGCTTTACAAATAGTATACTCACTAAAGCAACCTTTGGCCCAAATTTTTCCAAAGCCGAAAAGGAAGCATCTGGGAAACTAAGCTTTTTAATTTCAATATCTGGATATGGACTCTTTAACGATCCATCAGCACATATAGAAAGAGATGACAATGATCTTAAAATATTTGGAGAAATCTTTCTTGAAAAAATCCTTGAATAGAGTAGACGAACAGCCATTTTTTATATATTACATTCAATATAGTATAAACCAGAAATCTGGCCTCTATACCGGAATGTCAAGGTTAAATACGCTATAATATATTCTCCCTTAAATTAAACATTGTTTATAGACGCACGCTAAAAGTTTGTCCAAAATGCAAGTTTGTCAAAATAGTTTCAGACCAATAAAATAAGGCCTATGTAATTTATTTCAAAATTGAAATAAACACTAACTTTCGATCGTTTTATCTCTTTCAATACGATAAAAAATGTAAGAAAATAAAGAAGAGCTGAAAAGAACAGAATAAACTAAACTATTACGAAATATAAAGACATATAATGTAGTTCGACAGAAAGAGACAGCTATGTAGGCGTTGCCGGTGGTGTTTGCATTTCTTCACGAACAGCTTGTAAAGCTTGTAAGCATTTAACTGTTACTTTTAAATATCCAACAATAGTTTGTTCGTCTTTATAGGCCAAAACTAAAATATAAAGAGAAATTGTATTAAAAAAAATTGAACTTTTAATAAAGCCGACTAATCTTACTTGGAATATCTTCATCTATCACATCACACTGTTTCTCTAGAATATCTATGCAAGACACAAAAGCAATTCCGACATCTTCACAATCAGCCTCTTCATCTTGTGGTTCGGAAACAATCATAAATCTTATTCTGGAAAAATTTTTACAAAGTTATAAACGATATGATATTCGATTTACTATGAAAATCTTAAGTTAGACCATTATCTTACCTTCCCTTATCTGCATCTTCTGGAAGAAGCATGCTAGCTAGGTATCTTCGTTTCTTTTGATTATACTCATAGTCGACATCAAAGCCTGAAAATGGAGAAAATAATTAAATATATGTTGAAGTATGTTAGATAAATTTCATAAATTACTTCGTTCAAAATTAAAACTGATTGGTTTATTAGCTTCTGTTGGTTTATTTAGACTGTAAGGTGTTTCAGTCTCCTTTGGATCAATTCCAAGGAATTGATAGGCAACATATAGGTCGGTAACGCTGTTATCTTCTAATAGAGGTGATTCCTCACAAAGACTCAATTCTCCAATAGCTATTGTGACGTTATCAACAATTTGCTCTGTGTGTTTTGGTATAACAACAGCATCACTGTCTTCGCCAGCTGTTGAACGACCGGATGATTTCTCTTCATCAACATCACTATCATGAGGAGTTATAGGTTGAGGCTCATCTCTTGGAGCTTCTCTTCGCTGAAAATATCTGATCTTTAAGCAAGTCATATTAAAACATAAAACCAACCATATCCGATACGTCTGAAACTTGTGATGTTGTTTCATTTTTGTCCTCTTCATATTCCGATCGAATTTTAGAAACTGCAAAGTAAGTTAAAGACAAACAGTTAATATATTTTCTCTTATCTAATTAAACCCTTTAAAGAGAAATTCATGCAATACATATGTTTACAATTAGTTACATCTAAGCATTCTCGGTGAATATTGTTAATTTTAGTTATTTGTTCATTCAAAAGTACTAAGACATTTAGACTGCTATTTAGAGAATATCCTTTTTTAAGGAATAAGAATGGAGGAAAAAGGTTTTTTCTGTCTGGAATTCTTGAAAATATTAGAGCTAAGAATTAAAAAGGAAACCACAAGGCAAGAGTTCAGTTCAAGATTCAATTATTGCAACATCGAACCTTTCTCCTCAATACTTTCGTTTTCATCATAATATTGTTCCCTATTATACTGCTCCTCATCTTCCTCACTCTCCTCGCGCTCTTCTTCCTCTTCGTATTCTTCTTGTTCGTTTATTAATCGTTTGCTAGCATCTTTTTTGGAAAAATGCATAACTTAATCAAAGGGAATTGTTGAGAATTCAATTTTCATGCAAGACAATATAGTTCTTTTTGTTTCTTAGACATCAATCTTATTAAAAAAGATAAGTAACACATTTACGAGCACAATAAAAATATTTTAAGAAGATTAAAGGTGAGAATCATCTCCGTAGTAGAATTAATAAAAATCAGTCTCTTTTTCATAGAAAAGTTAAAAAAGAATGGTTTATATCCAATAGAAGGCAAAATAGACTTATTAATAAAAATTATTATTCAAATTATTTCCTCGTTTTTCTCTCGTTTGTCTCTTTTTCAATTTAATTGAAAGTTAAAAAATAGACTTAAATTTAGTGAAAATACGAAGCTTTGATAGATGTCTTTTAGTTGTTTTTGTTAACTTTTAGCATATGTGTTTTATTCTTCTAGTTTGTGCGCCATAGCATTTTGTTGGAGTTTAGATGGGTTATCAACAAAAAAATACCTGTTTCGGCCACGTGCTCAACGGTGACTAGTGGTAAATTTTTCCTTTGTGCTTTTATATATTTAAGTATAATTTTAAAAGTTTATCACAGTTAGAAAAGATTTTATATCATAATATGGAAGTCATAGCTACCTGGTCTGGGAGTTGGTGGCTCAGTATCCGGCTCTGATTCCTCCTGAATAGAACTTGTCATAATTGAGTGTTGTACCGAGTCACTGGTAGACTTGGCCTATAAATTATATATGTTTATGTATACATTTTTTTACTTTTCTATTTAAAATATTACGGCTACGGGTGGAGGTTTTGGTCTATGCTTGACCGGTTCGTTTGACGCTACTATGGGCGTAAGTTTTTCTTTTAACATTGCGTCTTCCTTTTCCTTTGCTGATGTTCTTTTCTCTAGTTCATCTTTTTCACCCGGCAAAAGTGTAAGATTTTCATTCGATTCATCCTGCAGCACAAAGAAAAGTTACTTGATCGTTTCAACGAAGAAAGCATTCAGTATATTTATAAATTTACCTTAGATACTGTAACTCCTTTTGGCGGGAAATATGCATTTCTCCACTTAAGACTAACATCTAGATAACCATTAGTAGAGCCATCTTTCTATTGTTGTTCGAACAGAAAAATGTAACATAAAGAGGGAGGAAAAAGATTTTTACCTTGATAATCTCAAATATTCCCTGAATAGGTTTGTCATTAGCCAAAGGCAACAATGGAATTTTAGCTATTCCCAAATATTCTGTTTCTTCAGGGTCTGTTTCGTCAAAAATGTAACAGCTCAAATTGGATTTTCTCAGGTAGGAATCCATATCGCTTGTCATTGTAATAGGATAAGACTTATTGTCATTAAATTGAGGATCGTTAGAAGCCGTAACAATACTAGTATCGTGATCGGGAAAATCAAAGAATTTATAGACAACGAATGAGGAAGGCTGAACTCCTTCGCAACGAGCAAAAATTTTTGATCCATGTTTTATTTTAACGGTTAGAACGTTTATGTTATCAGCAGCTTCCCTCTCCGCAGCTTCGTCATCCATTGCTTTCAAAGCTTGTCCGGCTGATTCTATATTGGATGCTATATATCCCTTAGATTTTATACGTTGCTTGTATAGATTGAAGGCCTCCTCTAAAGGAACTCTCAGTCTCATCCAGAATTCAACTATTCCAAAACTAATAGCGTCTTCACCTGGCATAGAGGCAGTTAAATGAACTGACTTATGCAATTTTCCATCATGCTTCTCTAGTAAATCTGATAGTTTAATTTTGGCAACGGCGACTGTTTGATAATCAGTGCCCATTGAATGATGTAATTCAACAATCAAACATTCTTTTTGCAGGTAATACAGGAAGAAATCATCAGTTTTTACAATGTACTGAGATGTAAATTCAAACTCTGGCCTGTATAAAAAGATGTGCTAGAAAAAGAAGATATTTCATTTATAGTTAAGATATTTACTTTGGAGCTCTCAAAACTGGAGTCGCTTGAGTTTCGAACTCATAAAAATCGTAAGTACAAAATACAGATGCTTCATCATCTTCAATCATTTCAATTGCTTCTGGAGTTAGAACAACCCGTTTTATATGTATTTCAAACATGTTATGTCCACGTTCCAATTCAATAGCATCATCTATGATCATGTCTTCATCCTCCTGCGTAAAAAAATGAATAAACAAGTTAGTTTCATTATATTTAGATGTGCATGTATTATCTTACGTCTAAGTCTTTCTTTACTGTATATCTCCTAGTTCCATAAGCGACATCTCTTAGTTGTGCTTCGAGTTTCTGAAAGAAATAACAGGATTATAATAATATATACTGTATTTTTGGTTACATTGGCCAACCTTTATTCTAGCTGCACGAATATCCAAAAGTTGGGCGTACTCTTCCAACCTTGATTCGTAATCTTGCCTAGTTTCATCTAATTTACTTCGACAAGCTACAGCTTCCTGCTGATAATCCTTATTAATCTTATGTTGTACAATTAGCATATTTCGAGTCTTTTCCAATTCATTTATTGTATCAGCATGTTGAGCGTTTAATTCTTCCAAAGATCTCTGTATATCTGAAGATCTCTCATCATCAACTTTATGTAAAAAGTCTAATTCTTGATTTTCCTTCTCCTTTCGTCGTTTTACAAGAATAAGAGCTTCTTCTATTTCTTGCATATCAACTGCAGACTCTTTTGTGAAAAACTTCATTTTTTGCTGTAAATCGTCGTTTTCGTGTTTTAATTTGAAGTAGTTAATACGAAGGTCTTTATGTTCTTCTTCCATTTTATCTTTTTTTTCTGATGAAAAAATTTGGTCAAAATCACTTTATATTTTCGAATAAGCAAAATGGTTTATCTATACCTCTTTCTTCTGTTAATTTATCTAATATGGAACCTTTTTCTCCAACATCAGCTTTCAAAGTTGCCTCTAGCTGAGCAATTTGAACTTTGAGAGCTTTTTCTCTGCTGCGCCAGTCTCTTTCTCTTTCCATATCAAAGGCACTGTTAACTAACTTTTCATTGCTATCTTTCAATATGGCACATTCGTTTTCCAAATCTTTAGTTCTCTCTTGTAACTACGGAAAAACCTCATAAACAAATGTGAATTTTTGTAGTTTTAAATATATTTACCTCAACTATTCTTCTTTGTGATGCATGAGTCTCCTTTAATTCTTGTTCTAATGCCAAGTTTCTATTCTGCTCCGATTTGAATTTAACACCGATAGCTTCCAATTCATCAATAAGCTTTTGTCGAGCTGCAGTTGCCATTCGAAATTGCTATAGTAATAAACATTAAAATAAATACGAATACTATGACTTTTTCTATATATATGTATATATATGATTTATTTTGTCTTTACCTCCTCAACATTTGAATATTTAGATTGTAACGATATTAAATTGGTGGATTTTTCCTTAACGTCCCTTTTCAGTTTGATAATATCAATATTTTCCTGTATGGCTACCCTCTGTCCTTCACTCATTTGTTGTTTTATCTTATTTAAGTCCTCTTCAAATTCCATTTCTCTAATACGATACTATAAATTATAATTTGAGAAGGTTAGTAGAAATTTAAGGTACAGAACTTAAGGCCTACTCTTTCTCTCTCTTGTTCCAAATGCTGATCGGTTATATTCAACTGTTCATTAAGCTCTTCAATAACTCTCTCTCTGTTTAGATTATATAAAATCGTTGTGAAAATAATAAACGATAGCTACAGTAATTTCTTACAATCGATTTATTTCAGCACGACTCTCCTCCAATAAACTATGACCGTATCGAGGATATTTTTCAAAGGGTTTACCAGGAGAAGAGGGTCCCGTTACTCTTAAACTTTTAGACATACGATTTTCTTGTTTGACAATTCCCTGTTGTCAGTAATATTTAAAATTAAAAAGAGATGGTGTAGGCTATAAATATCTGCACCGTATTTATCCGTGACGATACGTGCGTATACGGTGTTGGTCTTTTGGGTTGAGCATTTAACTGTTGTTTGGCAACCATCAACTTAAAAAAATTAAAAGTTATATAATAAAATAAGTTTTATAATGATTTATCATTCTTAATACCTTCTCTTTTAGAATGTTATTAGCCTTTTCTAAGTCATATATCTTTGTATGATATTCATCCAACCTTTCTTCTAATTCGAGATCTCGGCCTTTCGTTTTTGACAAGTCCTGAGCTAAATATTAAATTTAAATATAAAGTAATTCTCTGTATTCTTCATAGAATTTGTTCATCTTACTTGTTCCACTAGTTATTAGCTGTTTCTTGAGTTTGGATAGCTTCGTTTCCAATCTGTAATTTTGAAGACTTTATGCACAATCCTCAGAGACATATAGAATACTTTTGTATATGATATATAAGTTATTGCATAAATTACTCTAGATCAATGAGTAAGTTACTATAGATTATTATATAAATTTACTGCTTAATCCTGTCTTCTTGTTTTCTTGCATGCTTCTTAAGCATAATATCCTCTTCGTACATACGGAGGTACCTATCTTCTAATTCATCCCGTGACCATTTCGATATATTTGACTTAGTAGCTGCAATTTTCTTCGTCGTTTCTATACAATTATAAAGTTTTTTATAAAATAGCAATCTAAATTGAATTTCGCTATTATCACCATTCTCCTTCGTTGAGAACTTTCTCCTATTACTCGTACCGAGTGTTGGAATATTATCCATTATTGTAACAAATTTTCGGATCCGCTTTACAAGTTACAGCAGACAACGTTGACTTGTTCAAACTTGCTCTTGCAAAAACTTTTAAAACGATTAATTTTTACTAAGTTATATCTTTTAATAACAATTTATCATGTTTTCAATAAGAAAATTTGATTGAAGAGGAAAATAAGAATCTCGTCGATTTGTTGTCATACGGCGTCTCTAGGAATGTTTTGGTAAAACACTCAGTAACAAATATACCAGTTTTTACTTTTGTGTATTCAAAAGTTCAAATGTTAAAAAAATGGTAATACAAAATCTTGACTGAATGTCCTTTTCTTGTCAGCTTACCACTCTTCTTCTTGGATTTCATGACGATCGTTCCTACGATTGTCGGTTCCGCCATATATTCCTTCAGATTCTCGTCCACCACCATATCCGCGAGCGCTCTCCAAAAACGGTGGAACTTCTTGATTAGCTTCGGCTAGAATGCTGACTAGACTTTCGGCAAGTCTTGAATCTTCACCAGGGGAATAAAAGCTAGTTGATTTTCCTTCGTGACCGCATCTACCTGTACGTCCGATTCTATGGACGTATTCATCAATTTCAGTGGGTAAGTCATAGTTGATTACATGAGTCACTCCTGGAATATCCAAGCCTCTTGCAGCTACCGATGTTGCTACCATAATTGGACGACTACCCGATTTAAAATTTCTTAAAGCTTCCTCTCGTTGAAATTGTTCTCGATCACCGTGAATAGACGTAGTTGGAAAGTCTTTTTGGGACAGGAGAGAAGCAAGAAAATCGGCATTTCGTTTCATCTTGACAAATATCAAAATTTTGTCCCTGTCACTTCGTTGTTCCAAAATTTCAGTCAATTTATCTCTTTTTTCCAAAGAGTCACACTGTACAATGACTTGTTTGACTAATTCACATGCTCCCCCAATGCGCCCTATTTTTAAAGAAAATAACGATATTATCTAGGCTTATAAACAAAATGAAAAACAAAGGATTATCTTACCAACTGCAACAAATACATAGTCATCAGCCAGGTACCTTGAAGCCATTTCTTGAATTGATCTTGGGAAGGTAGCGCTAAACATCAGCGTTTGTCGGATACCTTTCTCCGGGCATGCTCGCACGATCTTATCTATGTCATCTTTAAATCCCATATCCAACATTATATCAGCTTCATCAAGCACTAAAAATTCTAAATTTTCAAGTGAGATGTAATTTCGCGAAATAATATCGAGCAATCGACCAGGTGTAGCACATAGTAAATTTGTTCCGTATCGGATTCTTTCGCTACAGACTCTGACAGATGTACCTCCATAAGCTACTTGAACTTTCAGTCTTGAACCTTTCGAGAACTTTCTTGCCTCTGTATATAATTGGTTTATCAACTCCCGAGTTGGACATACAACAAGAGCTTGTGGTGTTTGAATATCAGCATATTCACTTCCTCCTTGTAATCCAGATTTCATCATCATTGAAATAATAGGTAAAATGAAAGCAGCTGATTTTCCTGATCCTGTCTGAGCGCAACCCATCATATCTCTTCCAGACATGATTATTGGCATAGCATGCTTTTGAATTGGAGTTGGTTTTTTATACCCGACTTCTCGCACATTATTCAAAAATTTATCGTATAATTCTGCTTCTTCGAAACTAGCAACTCCTTTTATTAAGCTTTCAGGTAGGTCATCCCCTGTTACCTTAACGGGGATGCGCTGATAGGCATCAAAGTTTATTCCTGTTGTCATTTGATCGTCGAGCAGTTCATCGTCATTAATCGCTGGTGGTTCATATGTAACAGGTTTCTTTCGCTCAGGATCGGCAGAGGGATTGGGACAATCCCTTGATATATGTCCTTCTTCTTGGCATTTAAAGCATTTGTTAGATCGTCCTTCCTCAAAGCCATCATTATCATTCCCTCCAAATCCTCTCCCACCTCTATTCCCTCTTCCACCACCTAATTCGGGGTTAGGACAGTCTCTGGAAAGGTGACCTTCTTCCTGACATTTGAAACATTTTCTTCCACCAGAATTAACTCCATGATATTTATTATCATCAAATCCATCTCCTGTGTCACCAAAACCATCACTTTTTCCGCCTCGATCACCAAAACCACTTCCTCTGTCACTTCCACGATCACCAAAACCTCTGTCACCACGGTCTCCGAAACCACCTCCATTTCGGTCCCCGAATCCGCTGCCGCCTCGGTCACCACGGTCTCCGAATCCGCCTCGGTCATTACCACGGTCTCCAAATCCGCCACTGCCTCGGTCTCCGAAACCACTACCGCCTCGGTCACCAGCACGATCTCTGAAACCACTGCCACCCCGATCTCCAAAACTATTACCTCCTCGGTCACCACGATCACCAAAACCACTACCGCCTCGGTCACCACCACGGTCTCCGAAACCGCTACCGCCTCGGTCGCCACCACGGTCTCCGAAACCGCTACCAGCCCGATCACCGCTATGGTCTCCGAAACCACTACCGCCCCGATCACCGCCACGGTCTCCGAATCCGCCTCGATCACCACTACGGTCTCCGAACCCACTACCGCCACGGTCTCCAAATCCTCTTCCCGAATCATCATCTCTGTCGTATGACCTAAAATTTTTACCAGATCCTCCTCTGCCAAAACCATTATCATCATTACGACCTCTGAGGTATTACAAAATAACAATTAGAAATATCGTAGTAATTATTAAAAATTTTTAATTTTCCAACCTATCACCAAATCCACTGCGGCCTCTATTCCTATCAAAATCGTCTTCCATTGAACTGTTAATGGTTCAGTCATTTTATGAAATGTTTTTTAATAACAATATACTTTTTATTACCGATGTTTTCGACCTCTGTCAAATTCATCGTCATTACCAAATCCATTGCCACCTCTCGAATTCCTTTCAGGCTCTCTCCTAGAAGGTCTGCTGTAGAAGTGAAATAAATTAATATAAAGTTTTTATTGTAAAATAAACTTCAAACCTTCCAAAACCACTGCCACCACTTCGACCTGAGTCATCATTGTCTGAAAAAAAAGGGTTTACAAATGTCTGAAAATAATTATTATACTAATATACTTACGTGATGAGAAATGTTCAGCAGAAGGCGTTTCTTCCCAATCGTCACTCATGTTGATTTGAAGCAATCTTTGAAGATCAAGATATCAACGCACTCAATATGAATGAAATGAAATTTCAGTTTCATACATTATATAATGCAATTTTTAGAAAGTAAAGCGTTATATATATACTAATACCAACTTAGGAAAGTAATGTTTGCTACTCAATACAGAAAATACCTTAACAAAAAATTTGCGCTTTCTGTCTGAGTAGTCAGTTGTCTCAGCACGTGTTAGGCCGATAATATGACAATTATAATTGCAACTTCAATTCGAATTATATCCAGCTAAAGCTGTTTTCTTTTCACTATGTCCTTTATTGAAATCTCTGAGTTCATTTAGAAAGATAATGCCAATTTTTTCTACAAAAGCTTTTGCCCGCGAAAAATAACGGCACTACTTTTATTTGGCGGAAAAGTAATTTTCTGGCAAATTATGATATAAGCGATCTAATTTTGATGATAAAGGCATTATATTTGCATTTTGTAACGAAAATATTCAGAAACAACTAAAAAGATGCGATTAAATTTAAACTTTCATGTCTAGATATACACCAAACAAAAATCCTTTTTTAAGGCTCAATTCTAAGTTTTTCCTTGAATTAATTAGCTATATATATTATTTTTCCTTACCTCACTAATAAAATAACAGTTTCGATCTTAATAAACTAGTTGTAGTAAAAACTTGAAGTTGCACGTGCTGTCAACTGGACGGGTTCACGTGTTCAACAGATCTAGAGAACATTTCGTAATGACATTAGCATGGATGGTTGGAAAAGTTTTAATTTTGTCTGCTTTTCTCATCCATTTTGAAGAGGACCACTGAACCTTACTCTTTTTTAATTAGCGACATCTTTTGGTCTAATTATATAATAGCTCTTTTAAGGTAAAAATATCTTTGATTTTTAAGTTATAATAAAAAATATATCTATATTTCAATAAGTATAATTTTAAATAAAATTTCCAATTATTTTACTTAAGAAAAATCCAGTTGGGAGATGGAAAAAAGTTACCCATAAGCCCTGAAAGATTCACAATGGAGAACGATGTGCATGTGATATGTCAGTTAGAAAGGCTTAAAGAGGTTTTCTTTCTTTGGCAAAAATATAATTACGACCTAAAGTTCACTATTTCCTTCGCCTAGCTTAGGTTGCATGATAGTATTTAGTTCTTTTCGCAAGCCTTACTACCAGATGAAGAAAAAGTTGTCAATCTTCAAGTATGAAATGAATCGTATGAATAATGTTTCTCAAAAGCTATCGTCTGACCTCTTATGTGACTTAAAATAGAAAGATGCATTTCTAGAGTCTAAATTATCATTGCTTTCATCTTTTTCAGCTGCAATCAGCCAATTGACGGCTAAAAGGATCTTTTTGTTACTCTCGTTAAGATGCTACATTTGACCTGGTAAAGGATATTTTGTCACAATATTTTGCCCATACAGTTTATGAATTTGCTATTCCCAGATACAATAGTGACGGATTATCCTGCTCACCAGATTCATTAAGATTCATAAAGCTAACAGAATCCTCAGTTGGTGGTTTTAAAAGTATTGTATTTGATTTGGAGAAAGATCTAATGGAAAATCCTGTCTCTCCAGTGAAAAGACATTGGCAAAATGATGAAAAGTTGATATTAAAATGTCCATTTGTTCAGTTAAGTGTTCCTGAAAACGCAACAGAGGATTTCGTAGAGATTTCAATACAAGATAAAACATACAAAGGTGACGAAGCATTTCTTGATATTAAATATATAGTTAGAAGCAAGGATCATCAAATTTTTGTTGAACGGTTAATATGTAAACCTTTCAATTCTGGAAAGTGTATGAAATAACTTTTTACAATTATTATCAGGAACATCGAATTTACTAGTTATATTACATTGAATATATGTAGTTTATCATAGAATTCATTCTGTGCAATTGAACACCCAATAGACTTGGCGATGTAGAATTCATGACCAATAGTCATAATTAAGGCAGGATGACAATCAGGAAGAAAAACATGAATAATCATTATCTAGGGACTGCTTTCCGAGAAGAGCTTAGACTATATTCAATACAATGTGGCTTAAGTTCTTTTAACGCGAATAATACGCCCTACACGTATAAATAAATCCAATCATTAGGCTTTGATTACACCAGAGAATTCATCAATCAATTGATTTACGATTTTCTTCTTTTTTAGAAAGAGTTCTATTCTTGTTCTTTATGAAACTCCCGATGATTTTTTAGTATAGAAAATCGTCAATACCTTTTCCTTTTTCAATCATGTAAATAGCTGTTAAATACAAATAATAGTATAACAAAGGTCTATGTTAAAAGTTGAAAATATTAATGCGGAAAAATTGTTAAGGGTTACGTTAATATAATTCGTCTGCTAATTTCCTATTTTTTTGCGTGGTTCCAGTTACATTATTGATAAAAAAAAAAACAAAGCTTGACGTATATTGGAATAGAGGGGTAACAAAGACGTGTTTAGGCCTATTTATTTTGAACGATTTTCTATTCCAGCTATATAAGTTAATAGCAAAAAAAATAAGCCAAATAAAGTTATTAGCGTATTTTTTTCCCTTAAAAATTGAATGAAAAATTATATGATGCTGAATTTTATTCACGAATCGTTTAGTCATAGCTATACGAGTTTTATTTTTATTAAAGATTAAGGCCTTCAAATATCGACTTGTTTCGTTTTGTTTGAAAATTACCGTAGAAACGAAGACACGTGACTTAGGAAATGCCAGTGCACAATATAGATAAGAAATTGTGATTGAAAATATGAAAATTTTATTACTTATCAGCTTCTTAGTAATTAGTTTAAACAGTGTTAAATCCAAGGTTGTGAAAGGGAGAATACTGACAAGAGATGTAAGTGTGATTAATCGGTTTAATATATATATATGGAAGAGAAAAGTACAATAATTTACTTTATATGATCAGGACTGGTCTTTTTTAACAAGATTTTGCTTCTTATCTGATGTCGGGGAGATGATTTTTAAGTTTAAATATCCTCTGGTACGTACCTTGTTTTCAGTTTTAAGCTGTAATCGCAAAAGATGGCTGTTAAATTTACATTTTTGCTTTATGAGAATGTCAATAAATTGACCTACAGGACTTTCAACCAGAAAATATTTTATTATATTTCGACGACCAATGGCCGAATGTCTACAAACAAGGAAAAGTACGCAAATTTATTTATATTCTTATCATTTCCACAGACATACGACATGGGCTATGAGGCCCATCAACGCGTTCTTTTATATTTCGACGATCAATGGCCTAATGTCTATGGTAAAAAGACATCATCCAAGGTTCCAAAAGCATATGATGTTGTAAAATATGACAAAAACAATGAATCAAAAACTTTAGTTTTTTTTTATTTATTTTAATTACTGAGCGAATAGGCCTTTTATCTCTTGAACACCATGTTATATCTTTCATTGGTCTTAATAGTTTACTTTTTCTATTTATTTTTTTCTGCCCAAGCATGTTTGATATTTCAGTCACTAAACTTCTTATGTAATTGACACAGAGCTGCCCGGAAAAGGAATCCGTTCTAAAACCGGAGAATAACCAAGTAATAAATTTAACCACGAGGTACTTAGATCTTATATTAATTTTTTAGAATGGGTTTTTGATAAGAAAATTCGCTTTTGTTTTTCACAGATACGCTTGGTCTGGCTGCAGAATTGAAAAAGACAATGGAGTAGATATATATAATTGCTCCGGTTCAAGAAGCTTTAAGTCAGCTAGAGAACGTTGGTGGTTTATTGCCGTCTCCAATTGTAATAGTAAATATGTAAGTAATATTGATTTTGGACTAAGTTACTATGTATCAATGGAAATCATGAACATATTTTCAGGGTTTATTTTTGGAATATGACATTACTATGACTAATGGAAATGGTCTCTTTTCTAAACATTTCTCAGCCGATGAATTTTGTAAGTAGACATTCTCATATTTCCTAAACTATACCAATTATCCTGCCTTATTGAATAACCTTAATTAGCTCATTCATTAATAATATTGACAATAGATAGCTTACTATGGGAAAAACGGCCTATCTTTTAACATAAATACAAGTAAAAGGGTATTTAGCCATATCAGGTTTAAAAAAAATAAGGAAAGAGTAATTGACACATAACAATGCGACTTTTCTTATGGAAAGTCAAGATTTGTAAAGCTAATCAAATAAATTATAATAGCTCCGCCCAGTTTCCTTTAACAAGTCAACTTTTCAACTTTTTGCTATAATAACATAACTAAAATGATACAGATATATTAGAAACGAATATGGGATTCTTAATAGCTCATTGGATGATTTTACTATTGTCTACATATGTAGCCTGTAAGTTAAAGGGTCAATTAAAGAGAAAAGCAACTAAAATTCACTAATCTTCAAGAAAGGGAGAGAATATATATTCTATCCCTTTCATATCTTCTTTTAATTTCGTTTTTCTCTATCATTATTATTTAGTTGTCAAAAAACTTAGTTTATAATGCATACATACAGTATATAAAGGTATTGATATTTCCATAAATAGATACATTATAGTTTTTGTTCATTTTTTTTTAAAAAAAAACTTATACAATTTTTTGCACAGAAATATTTAATGCATGGTTTTTTTCTTTTGTTTTTATTTTATCAACAGATATCCTAGAGACTGATATTGCATTCTTGGTCATCTTTTCAATTATGCTCTGTCTTTCAATTTATTGCGCTGGTTAGTTTTTTATTTCTTTTTATTCATTCATTTCTTGATTTTATTTTTATTTTTCTCTTAAGACATAATATTTTTCTTTTCTTTTTCTATTTACATAATTCCCTCTAAAGGTATTAATATGATATGAAAGGAAGAAAATTAACTCTAAGCAATACCAATAGAGGGAACTACATGTATAGTAAATACTAAATATTTTGTTTTAATGCAGTACGACTGAAAGCGCGTCAACTGTTTCATACAACTTATAAAATGTATATGGTCTCTTTAGTATGCGAAGTGTTATTCCTATTTATAACTTGCATCTATCTTGGAAAATACGCTAACGACGGCTTGGAGAACAGAGGAATAAAGACTTTTGGTAAGTTCTTTTTGAATTATTAACTTTTGAAAGAAAAGTTAACTTTTTCTTAAACAATTTAAATAATATAGGACGAATTTTCGAATCGCTTTCAACACTGTTATTCTTGCTTATGCTGATACTAATGGGAAAAGGTTATACCATAACAAGAGGAAGAATTAGTCAATGGGGAACGATAAAAATTGCCGTTTTCATGACTATTTACGTATTTGTTTATGTTGGATTGTTCATTTATCAAACACAGGTAATTAGAGTATCGACTCATATATATTTATAATATTCTTTCTCTACAACTATAAAATAGGTCTTTGATCCTGGTCTTGTCTTATACCTGTACGAATCACCAGCTGGTTACGGATTGATTGGCCTTCGATTAGTGGGGTGGATATGGTTTTGCTATGCAATTTTCTTTACATTAAAGCATTATCCAGAAAAGTCTCGCTTTTACTACCCCTTCTTTATCTTCTATACTCTATGGTAAGTAGTTAGGATATTCCTATCAATCTACTGTATCTAGGACCAAAAGAGTTGATCATTTATTTTTCCATCAATCAAATTGTCTTTAAAAAAAGAGCTTTTTCGAAGCTGAATATTAATTAGGCACCTGCAAAACACAACTTTCTAAACTTAGGTTTTGGTTATTTCCTGTAACATTCTTCACTATGACTTGGGCAGCTGAACCATGGATTCGACCATTTGCTATTAACTTTGCACTTCGCCTTCAAATAGCGTTCCTTTCGTTTGTCTTTCTAGTAAGTTATCTTTAAAAAAAAGAGCATTAAGTTATAAAGAAGTTGATCTTGCCTTCCTCCCCCAAAATCAGCCGTACCATTCCACCGCTCGGCATATTAATGAACATTAACCTATTCAATTTTATTGGTATATTTTAGATAAAATGATAATTCTTAATGATTAATTTGCTTCAAACCCAGCTGTTATACCAGCTAAAGCATCCAGTGTTTATGATTAAAAGATTTGCTACCTCCCTATATATTTACATATAAAATTTATATATATTTATATCTAAACAAGTATATAAGTATTTTATTATTTATTGGTTTGTAAATATGTATTAGGTTTTGGTTATTGATCGTCATTGTTCTGATTGCGATGTATGTTATGGATAAATGGGCTCGGGAAAAAGTTGTGGTCATTTTTGAAAATTCATGTCAATTCGGTGGCTATTTTTTGTTTTTGGTGAGGGACAAAAAAAAAGTTTTCATAAATAATGTGAAGGAAAGATGAGACATTTCCCCCTCTTGCCCCCTTCTATTCTTTTAAACGCCCACAATTTTATAATAGAGGCGTAAGAAACTCCACCCTTTTCCTTGTTTAGTTCTCCTAATTAAGAATGCTAGGCAGGAGTTACTCTGTGAAATTTGATAGAATGTGGGTAAAGGGGAAAATTCTCTTCTCTCCTTAACTTCTACATTGTCTTGAAGATTATTAGTGCCCTCTATTAAAAACAAAATGCTTAAGCAACGCAACTCATAGTCAACTCTATGTATAAGTTTACTTTTTTTTTAGATATTTACTGTATATGTATTTGGTACATAGAAAAAAGAGCTTCTATTAGCTTCCTCAATCTCTATATTATCTTCAGGTTTTTGGCTATGCCTGTATTCGCTTTGATCGCCTATTATGCCATTGATAAATGGGCTCGAGAGAAAGTTGTAAATGGAGTGGAAGTTTCTATAGCTTTCCTAGCTCATATCTCATTTTTGGTAGGAAAACATATATATATATATAAAACTAATAAAAAACCTCACATCTTTTCTTATATATAAAACGATACTAATTAACATTTTAACACAATTTTTTATTTTATATATTAAAAACGAAAATTTTAATTAAAAATTTCCTTTTCTTGTTTTTTTTATAAAAAGAGATTGTTTTTAATTAAATTAACAAAATTAATATTTTCTGCACTGGAATTTATTTATTAATTTCATTATTTATATTTCTTTTTGCACATTTTAAATATTGAAAAATTTAGACTTATTACTTTTCGCTATTGAGAATTCTTAAAATTAGATGGAAATATTCATTTATGCACTAACTTAATAATTATGAATAATTAATTTATTAATATTCGTATATTTGCTATTTACACGTATAGCTATTACTTTTTTAAAGTTGTTTTTGCTTGATATATATGATTTATTTGTTGTTGGAGTTTTCTTTAATCTTTACATCTATTGTCTTTTCTTTATCTCTCTCTCTCTTTTTTTTTCTTTTGGAAGCACTTGACAAACGAAAATCGTGATTATAATTACCTTATTTCTTTCAATATTCCATTTTTTAGATATTGACGAGGCCGTCAGCTGCTAATTCAAACTTTCCATATCACGTTAGAACTACTCAAGTGAGTTAAATTATCTTTTTCGTGTAATTAGTAGACTATTCAATCAATTATTAATATAAATTAAATAGATTGGAGTAATGCATAATGCTCCACACGAAGCTGGCGGGATACCTACAACTGCAGGAGCGGACACAGATTCGTTTCCCACTCATAGTTACGCTCCGAGTGCGGGTAAGTTAATATAGATCGACAAAGTCTTGTGAATAGCCAACACTATTTCAAAAATAGATGAAGTATTTCAGTAGTACAAGAGATGGTCGACGATCTTTCTAAATAATTACAATCGTTTTTTCTTAATACCAGCTGATTACGCGCCTACAGGAGGACCAAATTTCTCCGAACTCTTCACAGTATCAAACGACTACTCAAACAATTTAAAGACAAATCCAGTGAGTTTGAAATAGAATTCTAGATAATTGCGTTGTCTTTTATCCTTCATTTAAAAGCCTCAAATCAATGCTATTGAAATCAGCTTAGGCCTGACCACGCTATTATAATTGTTTTATTATATTGACATATATATATATATATATATATATATATATATATATATAAAGCTTTACTCGATTCACCTATTTTAAGAAAAGGAAACTTAAATTTATATTAACTGGTAATAAGAAAAAACCGAGAAAGAAGGGAGATTTTCTTTCATGACTAGATTGAATATAAAACTAGATAATTATATTACTTTTTAACATTTTAGAATCAGCCTCCAGAAAGTAAAAATGAATATCAACCGCAAAATGTCAAATCTCCAGTCGACGATCCTTTCGTTACTCAGAAATAGACTTGAAAGAAAAAAAAGTTTAACCTCTCCAAAAAATAATGAAATTAAATACTTAACATTCTATTTACGTTATAAAATTGTCTTAGGTTTAAAGAAACTCCTAGCAAAAAAGCAGCCACCTATTCTACTTGTATTAACTATCATTATTATTACTTACTATTGATATTTTATGCTCAGTAAATTGATGTTATAATTTTTGTTTGTATTTGTTTTCATTCCATTGTTTAATATGAGAATTATGCTGTTTTTTCTTCGTTTTTATCTTATTAGCGTTTTGTCAAGAAAACTGTTAACATTAACTAAATCCGTGGCCATGACCTTTATATATTTTTTATTAAATTACTATTCAAACGAGAACATATTTTATATAATATAGGCAGTATTACCACAAAATTTTATACAAATATGTATATATATACTGTATATATATATATATATACTAATATATATATATTGTATAAATTATACAGTATCATTAATAGAGTAGAGAGGGAAAGAAAAATGAAACTAGAACATTCTTCATTTATCCTAGGTGATCGTGCACAAATATACTTTGGAGAGCTGCAATTATACCGAATCCTAGGAATACGCATGAACACTTTTGAAGAGTATCTTGCGGATTTTCAAAAAATTCTTCAGGTAAAATATCAAAGAAAACGACATAAATAAACGTTCCCGTTGCAATTGTCTGTAAAATTGCAGACGCTAAATCTGCATTTGGTGACTTAAAGTTTCCAATCATCATTCCTATTCCTTGACCAACGGGTATCATTAAACTAAAGAGTATTGCTGCTTTAACAACAAATCTTGGAGATTTCTTTTTCATAAGATTCGTACCGAGGGCAAATGCAACGAGGCATTCGTGCAGGATAATAGCTATAAATAAATCCACTAGTTTGTCGGTTTCGTTTTGTAGGCCGAGAGCTATCCCCTCGAAAACTGAGTGGACACTAAGGGCTAGATACAAAATAATTCCTTTAAGATTTGTGGCACTAGATAAACCCGACATGTGCGAATGAGAATGAGAGTGTTGTTGACCAATTTGATTGTATGGCATTAGTTGAACATCGCTACCATCGCTGTTGTTCTCCTCTACTGTCTCTTCATTTGATGTGGTAGGTGTTTCTTCAGTTTTGAAAGCGTGCATAAACTGTTCCAAAATGAAAACCATAAAAAATCCCAGCATAAGAATTAATTCGCAAAGTGGATAGTGAATTTTGATATTTTTTGCCTCCAAAGCTTTCCTAGTAAATGCTTGATTGTTTGGTAATAAGGCAATAAAACAGGTTCCCAAAAATACTCCACCAGAGATACAATTCATCCAAGTCAGAGCTTTTTGAAAGCATTTTGATCTTTTTGAAGCGAAGAGAGGAACCACCTTTAATGGTATGACCATAAAAACTAGAAGGAGAAGAAATCCTCCAATAAGTGTACAAAATTGAAGGAGAATATTGGTCATTGTCAGAAGAGCTACAGCGTCAAATAAATGCTTTCGCTTAGTATTAAAACAAGCAACAGATGTTTTATTTTTTATTCTTTCTTTCTTTGTAATCGATAATTAAACTAAAATTGTTTTAGAATCCATATTCTCAATTAATATATAATTAAAAAGTAATAATTTCATCTAAGCTCTTAAATCTTTCTTTGTTGTGTCAGTAGAAGTATTTCCGACTTTCGTTATTTTGGCTAAAAGAAATCGATTTTTTTTTATTAAGTAAATTTAATTCTTTCTTGTTTTTACGCTATGTAATGTAATATATTTAATAATCTATATTACTCACTGATTTTATCGAACGATCGTCGTCTTTTTGTCCTCACTATCTTCTAGACAGTGGTGAATCTGCCGTTTCAACAGGTTTAACGCCTCCTATTATCGACCGTTGAAAGTAATGTAATAAATTTATAATAAATTTATTCTGACATTGCTAATTTGCTCAATTCAAAGAAATAGAAAGAAAATATCATCTGTAGTAACATTATATGTTCTATCAAGATGATTGCCAGGTTTAGAGGGAAATAGTAGAATATTTAAAGTTAATATCAGAAACAGAAATACGAACTAGATTCTATACTTATATAATTTGCGGTGTCCACAATAATTTGAAATCCTCAATGTTCACAACTAGTTTACTTTATTGATTTTACACAAAAGGCTTATTTAACTAAATATTGTTTTTTTTTGGTAAAAACATTTGTATTACATCGTTAAAATGAAACATATTTAGTGTAATTTAAATAAGCAATATATTTCAATGGATAAAATTTATAATGATAATAATAGTAATAAAACATGACTATTACTCTAACAAGGAAAAGTAATGATATTAACTGGATTAAGTCTATAGGAATATTCTAGCAAAAACAGAAAGAAAACAATATGATTATTCAACTATTTGGGCTAGGATACTTATCCTGAGTTATTGAACCGATTAAATTGGGCTTTGGAACATATTCTCCCTCCACTTGACAAAATAGAACTTTTCTCCTCCAAGTTTCATCCTTAAGCTGTGAACCTTGATCTCTTAGTTCAGTAGCTTTTTGTTGTAGATTTTCCGAATGTTTCATTATCTCTACAGCGCTGCCATGCTGATAAATTAAGCTTGTTAAATCCTAATTAAAAAAGGAAAAAACAATTAAAGAAATTAGTATCATAGACCAAAGCGATAACAAAGTAGTTTATACCTGCATACTCTTAACAGCCGTGTGGTGAGCTAATAAAGAATTTTTATGCTTCTTTAGAAGGCTTTTCTGTTCCTTTTCAAAGTTATTTATCACGAATAGCAATTCTCTTCTCTTGTTATTGACCTAATTAATCAAACGATTAGTTACAATAATTGAAGAAAATAAACTACGGAATAATATATTTACACTTCTCGAAAAGGTATGAATCAGCTCATCTGCAACAGAATCTACCATTTGTTCAACCTGGCTTAAATTTGTGGTCATCTCTTTCTTTAGATCATCATTAGCCCTGGCTAAAGCTACTGATGCTTCGGATACATTTGTTTCTTCAAGTAACAACGCCTCTTTTATTTTGCCTCTTTCTATTTCAGCGGCCTCTTCTATCGAAGTACATTCGTGCTTTTGATGTTCTCCAACCAAGCATTGTGAGCACACGCACTCTTTGCAGTTCCTGCAAAATATATCAAGAACCTTGCCCTTATGAAATGTACAAAACATCCTTCTCTCTCTTTGTAATGCTCTAAAATGGCCTGCATTCAATTTTGAATGTTGGATGACATCGTGAGAAGCAGTTATGGAAGTTTGAGTGTGATGCTGAGAACATTGATCACACAAATCCTCTCTGCATTGCAGACAGATTGACACAGCGGTACCGTGCGTACCAGTCACGAGGCCTTCATTAGAACATTGACCTCCTTCGCCAATAACTTTCTTATACATATCTAAAAGACTTTGTACAATATGATTCTCTTCGAAACTTCCCGGAGGAACGTTCATCTTGCAAACTGGACATTTGAATTCAGTTTGTTCAGCAAGTGTTTTTAAACATTGATGGCATATAGTATGAGCACATGGAAGAAGTTTTGGTTGAGCCAGAGGTTTAGAGCATCCAGGACAACTATAAAAGGTCAAATCATTAATCTAAAAACATCAAATTATCCTTTTTCCTTTTCATATTACGTGACATAATTTTAGGTTAAAAATAGGCTTACAAAGTATTTTTTAATGACGTATGTTTGTATTAAACAACACGGTTTATGACAATGAGAGTAATTAGTTAAGTACTTTATTTCTCCTAATTACTTGTGACTTTCTAGACTTTCTACTTGTAGTATTTATCAATATTATTATTGAACGTATCAATAAAAATGTGTACTTACTTAAAAATATCCTTTGAACCAGCCCTTTGTCGAAAGTTTTGCAGTGGATTCGGACTCGATTCTCTGCTTGGTCTGCGAAATTTTCCAGCAGCATTCATTGCTGAGTTACAGGTTTCATTAACACTCTCCCGTAAAGCTTTTCGTAGATTCCTTAACTGATTTCTAACTCTGTTGGCTAATGGTGTTTCCGGTGGTGTTAGCGAATCGCTCCTCTCCAACAAATTGTTGGACGTACCATCAGATTTACTATCGCTCATCTCGCCAATTTTGTCTATCTGCTTCAAACTAACCAGTGTTGACTCTTACTTTTTATAGCAGTTTTATGACCAGCCTAATTGGTTGATTAACAATTAAATGAGAGTTTGTTCATTCGCTCCAACTTCCGTCAGTTATGGTATCACATCGAGCCTATTGTCTTTTGACGTATGTCCAAAAAACGGATGCTATCGGTACCAGTTACCACAAGAATTAAAATGAATCGTAAAATTCCACCCAAAGCAGACAAATAACTAAGCCTATGAACTTTGTACAGTTTATCAAGTGTAAATTATCATACTATATTCACATGTACTTTTATATTCTATTTTTATGTATTTTTCTTAGCTTCTCTTCAATACCAGAAACGTATAGATTCGATTTTCAATTGTTTCTGATTTTATATTAAGAAGGGAAAAGTGACTGCAATACCAGGCCTATTCTTTAACTTTTATCACCTTCCCCTTTCCTCCCTAGATATATACCTAATGGAAAAAAAACTCAAACTAAACAGCGTACAAACATATACAGTATATATATACAATATATAAACAGGTAAGATTGTAAACCTTGTTAACATATAAAGTTTACAAAGTGATTTGACCTATTATAATGTATGTTTTTTTATACAGTACACAATTATGTCTAGGTATGTATACCCACGAAAAAGAGTTTATTGGTGAGAAAATCAGAGATAACTCAGAAAAATAGGGAATAACCAAAGAATAGAAACAAATCAAAACAGAAGGATAGATTAAAAGAAAAAAATAAATGGCAAATGTTCATACGTTCAAATTAACGTCCAAACAAATACGATCTACTATATGGGTCCATTCTTTTTCGTATAGTTGGTACATCCGATGCGTATTCAGTAGATAAAGCGTCTTTCTCAACTAATCCTTTTTTCCTATTAGATTAAATAATAAAAATGTCAGGGAATATAAAATATTTCCTTTCTAATTTGAAAAATATACTTTTGTTGCCAATAACAGAGAAAAGCTACGATGACAGCGATAATCAATGGAACAACAATGCTAATCGTAACCATCACATAGATAATAGCATTTGATGCCTCTTCTTTTTCAATATCTTTCTCCAATGTGGGTTTATCAATACTCTATAAATGAGAATATATTTGTTTGTTATAGTAAACTTTATAGACGTCTAATGGAAATCTTACCGATAAAGATGCATTTGTGTTATTAAGAAGGGTTTGATTAATGCTTCCCGTATATTTTTCCAAAATTTTTTGTAAAGTTTCCTGGGGCAAAACTATTTTTGTAGTTGCTACAAAACAAAAGAAAAACAATTTATTACAGTAATTTCTTGGCTTTTGGTTGTAATAGGTAAACCTCTCTTTCTTCGTGTCGGATTCTTTAAGGCTTCCAGGCATAATTCGTTCGTTTCTTCTACTTCTATAAAAATCATTACGTGCAAACCAGGACTCTTTTCTTCGGGATATCCATCTGCAATCTTTACTCCATCCTCACCAGTGAAGGCCAACAAAGTTGAAGCGTAGCGTTCAGTTTGCGCGATGTCAGGACAACATTCGTGAACATTTTCTCTACAATAACCATTAACTCCCTTTTTTACACTCAGTTTAATAGCTGATTTTATTTCTGCCCACTACGAAAAATAATAGCAAAATATTTAAATTTATGTAAATTTTTTGAACTAATTAGCATATTACAATGGTCAAAGACGCTCTATAAATTTTAAGAAGCCATCCATTATTAAGTTGTTGTACGTTTTCTGTACAAATAGAAATTGTATATAAAAAATAATTAACAAATGAATGAAGAGTATAATAGATAGGTCAGCAGAAAAAGAAGCTATATACTTTTACAGTATTTCCCATGCCAATTAATTGTGCATAAACAAGTACATTCATTATTATTAATTACAACTTTTCCCCCATTTTTACAAAGATAAGTCCAGACTGAACATGGCTGTGAGTCATCAACAGTTGTTTCTATAGAAAGAAATATTGGGTAATTAAATAGAAAGAATCATATCGTAGTAGTGGACAATTAAAAAGGCCTATTTCTAACGTTCGACGAGAATTCTGGCTTTAGTAGTTTCATCATTCTTTCCCACAGTTGTAACATCTTCAGCTGAAGAAGATGAGTTTTTAACGACGTATAATTGAATTTTTTGGATGAATGATTTAATTAATTCGAACCAGTTGTGGTTTCTTTTTGTTTGGCTGTAGATGTTGGACTTTCTGTTGGTTTAACTGTTGTTGGACTTTCTGTCGATTTGACTGTGGTTGGATTTTCTGTTTGTTTAATATTTTTTAAGACGAGTTCGTGCCTATAAAACATATAGTTTTTTAATTTGTAATATCAGAACCTTTAACTGTTGCGGTAGTCTTTGAAGTTTTCTGAGTAATGGGTAACGCTGTTGTTTCCACTTTTGTAGTTATCTCTTTTGTTGTTTTATCCGCTGTTACATATAAATTAACACAATATACTTCGAAGGGTGAGACTAAGTAAAGAACCTGCTGTTGCCGCCTTTGTTGATATTGAACCTGCTTTTCCTGTGGTTTGTCCGTCTAAAGTAGATGAATTGTTATAAGAGGTTCACCAATATTAGATTACTTTAAAAGGAAAATTTGCGCCAACCTGTCGATGTTTTGTCTGTAACCTTATTTGTCGCAGTTGTAACAAAAGAAGTAGTTTCTTTCCCTCCTACAGAGGTATTAAAGGTGTAAAAGACGGAAAGTATAAAGAATTAAGAAGAGAGTCCCCTACCTATGTGGGTTGAGGCTGTATTTGTTCCACCTAAGTGACAGCATTTGATTATAGTGATGGGATCTTTAAGACTAAAGATAATAATTACCTATGGTAGTTACTGATCCTCCCAAAGTCTCTGTCTCAGTTTGAACAGGTGTGCTCTGACTGGTAACGCCTAAAATATAATACAAAAAGAAGAGATTGAATAAAAATAGGAAACGCCCTTCATGAAAATAGGTATACTTGATTCTGTTGTTATTCTCTTAGCGGTTGTTTCTGCATCAATAGTTATATATGAATGTTTTAAAAGCGAGCATACATCTTTTTATTTATAAAGGATAAATTCCATATATATCTATATATACAGTATATAATTTATATACGAAACCCTATTGAAAAGTACCTTTTTCTGTTGACATTGTAATCTTCCTAGTCGTGCCAGTAGAATCTAAAGTAAAAAGGGAAAGTTACTAGGTATGCATTTAATAACGGCATTATAACCTGTGACCGCCGACGTCTTAACAAAAGTAACAGTGGACGTTGTGCCTCCACCACCTACTGAGAAAAGGGGTAGAAAAAAGAAGAGTAAATTAAACAGCTCTAACTTAAAAAGATAAAAGGAGCGGACCTGCAGTGGTCGTTTCCTGGGTAGTATGTCCCTCGAGGGCGGTAGTACCATCTGTGAAATTCAGTCGGGGATAAATAAAAAAGAAGAGTTAAAAAGGCACTGATTGAGTATTGAAGACTTCATGTATACATTAAGAACGATAAAAACGCCTTTTATATCTTTTTAGATACCTTAATTAGTATCGAATATCTTTTACGATTAAAAGCAATTATAACCAAGTTGTCAACAAAAGAAAGCGAAAACAAAGCAGATTACTTTCAAAAAATAAGAAAATATTTTTATTATTATGTAACAATACTCTAAACCAAACTATATAAAGAAATTATTAATGATAGGAGAATAAGGAGGAGGAGAACGAAGCGGGCATAATGATTATAGTAATAATATTATGTAACAGAAAGCATAATTGCGAATTATTAATGATGTCAAACCTTCTGTCGTTATCGCATCTTTAGTCGCGGCTGTCAATGCAGTATTTTTGTTTGGTTATATAACAAGAAAGCGGATAATTACTCAAATAAAGAATAAACTGAAATACTTGTTGACAGTGTTCCGACTGTTGTTTCACTTCCTGCTGTTGTTTGACTTGTTGCTGTTGTTGCAATTTCTGCTTTTGTTGTAGCTGATGTTGCTACTGTTGTTGCTGCTGTTGTTGCTGCTGCTGTCGTTGCTGCTTCTGTTGCCTCTGTTGTCGCTGCTGTTGTTACCGCTGTTGTTGTTATAAGATAGATATTAATAAGCTTCAGGCACAAAGAATTGTCTCTTAGTGCAATTGTATTTACTGTCAACGCATAAATTTGTTTCACACGTCTTGCCTATACCGCAACCAGAACAAGGGTTTCCTTGATTGTACGGACAACTTTGAGTATTTCCTCTATAATTTTATTACAAAGTTTTAACGAATTAACTGTTTTATATTTTATAGAAGTATACTAACGGTGGACCGTAATTACAAACAATAAAGTGTGCGGTGGACCCACCGTATAGATCATTATTAGAACTATTTTTTAGTGGGGAACACTCCTTGAAACCACATCCAATAGCATAACTTTCAGACCAGACAACTTGTGTATAGTGACCACAAACTTTTGAACATGTGCAAGGACTACCGAAAGTAAAATTATATTTTTCATCAAACCAATATTGAACGGCATACGACACATCAAGAGAACCTGATCCAGCAAAAATATTTTGTCCAACATTACTAAAGGTACCAGTTAGATTGGAGGTCAAATCGTGTTCAAAAACGCATTTATCGGCTAATTCCTGAGCTTTAGCTGCTATAGTATCATCCCAACGCTTTTCAAGATTAAAATAAACACAAGAGTTAGCTTAATAATCATATTACGTAAATGTTTATTTGAATAAAAGAGTGCCGAAAATTGAATATTTATACTGAAAAGAAACTTTATAGAAAGGATTAATAGGATAGAATAAAATTAGAAGATTGTATTCAAGTACCATTTTTAATAAATTTGAACCAGCTTCTCCTGATCTTAAAGTATTATGTTTAATAACGAATTCATCTTTTTGAGCTTGATCAAAATTCGAAGTTAATAACGATGTAGAGACACTTATTATAACAATAAAAAGCTTCAAGAGATATCTCATTTTCACAACTGTGAATAAAACGAGAGACTGCTTGTCACAAATATCGCTTTTGTGTACTTTGAAGGAGTAGCCTTCAAAATGTACAATAAGGTGGTTGTCTAGAGCTCTCCATTGGTAGAAACGCCTTAATCTTAAATACAACTAAATTTTTATCAATCAATATTGTTACCCTCCTTAACTCAATATTAAGCATTTAAGGCTTATTCAACTCATCATAGGAGCTGTTTTTTAAATTTATCAAATGATTGATTTTAACCAAGTTCTTCTCTTTATGAAAACTAAATTAGTATTTCTAATACTTGGAATCTTTTCAAAAGAAAAAAAAACAGGTTTTTTAAACAGAAACCTCTTATTGATAACCTATGTAAAGAAAGATTTATTCACTTTGTGACGAAACTCTACTAAAATATATCATTTTCGTTGTTGATTTGGTAACTAAGCCGTCTTTGACGTTCTTAAATACCCTCGTTAAGATGGCTGAGTATCGTGTAATTTAATAATAGGACAAAGTGTAATTATCGGATTTACTTGAATTCTGACAGCTGAAAAGCGTGGTATTGTATTTAAAACATTCAAAATCTATTTTCATCAACTATACATATAGGAATTGAAGATAATACACTAAGATCTTATAGCATCTTGAATATCTTGTCTCTTGTGTGTTCCATCGCAATATGGACGATTATTCGATTGCTTGCAATTACAAAGCCAGTACTCTTTAGATTTTTCTACTGTAAATCTTATTGGCCTAAATTTTTGTGTTCTTTTTATTTCTGAAGTACCATCTATTCTCCTATGTTGCCCGTCGCAGAAAGGCTATATTTAAAATAAAAAGATCTTGTTATGTGGTTTATTAAATATTGTGCAAGTTATCTTACTTGAGATCGGCTCCAGCCGCATGTGCAGTAAGAATATGTCTTTCCCGCTTCTAAAAATATCTTAAACGGCTTTTTATCATATATTTTTCCTTTGGGTTTTTCCAATGAAAACTCTCCAGGAAAGACTTCTTTTTCTGGAAATTTTGCAGCAGGATCAGGTCTAGTTCGTCTAAAAAGATTTAAATCTGGTTCTGGATCATCTTTATGTTTGAATTTTCTGGTTGATAATTCGTATTTACTACTATCATCTTTGTTTGATGCTAAACGAACTATGTTGACAGCATGCTGAAAGATAAAAGATCCTATTATCGCTTAACGTTTTTTGTATTTAACATCGCCTCAAAAAGTGACTATTTTGCAAATTCTTTAGGAATGTTTAATCAATGCATATAATAATGATTTGTTATTGCTAGACATACTCGATAATAATCATAATTTTTTAGAGGAAAAACTTTGTTCACAGAAGTTCGCGCTAAGGCAGCCATGATTATTAGTATGGATCCTATCCCAGAGAGATAATATTTATAAAATAGAAAGTCCCAGATTTTGTTTATGGAAAATTGACAATTTATCTATCAAAAGGTATATTCTAAAAATTATTGATATCGTGAAAGATAAAATATCAGCGATTTACTTAATAACTATAAAAATGTAAAATGGTCCAATCTATTAATAAAGCGGCTTAAAAACTTATCCTGATTACCCCTTTAACAACGATGTCCATATTGGAATTTCCGTTTCCGATCATGCTAGCGAAACTTAAATCCCTATTTTCAACAAACACGGAAAAAATATCAACAGAGCCATGTATATCACGCAAAAGGCGACATGATGGGTTAATAGATATGTCAACATTGACTGTAGTAAATTATAGTATTTAATTCTCCCCACTTACTTAGAGAATCCTGCGAGCACGAGAGCAAGAGAGGAAAGTTCGATATAGGCTTGCCGGCTAAATCAAGTTCAAGCAAATTTACAGGCTGGATTTATCGCCAAATCTTTGGAAACACCATCGTGTCCTCTCAGAATCATTCTGATCGTGGAATAATGTCGGATCAACAAAAGCATAACCAATTGCAAATGGGCTCCAATCCCAATTTACATCAGCAAAATGTTCCCAAGCAAATGTTTCAAATGAAGTAAAAGAGCAAAAAAATTCCTTAATAAAAAGCTATAATGTAATGTTTTTTCTTTCAGACCGAATATATCTTTCAGCAAAACAAACGAAATGTATCAGTTCTCAGCACCTCCAACGTCTACGCCAGCAAAGCCCTATGTGTCGGTCTATTCTAAAATAACATCAAAAGCGTCACCTCCAAGAATACATTCTAAATATGGTTTATCGGTTGCACTAAATGTAAGTTGCAAAGTCTAAATGGTTTTGCTATTACTAACTCAAATAATTGATTCGCAGAGTATTAGATTGCGAGAGAAAAAAGAATATGCCAAACTGCTTCAATCCCACTGTTCCCGATCTATTCATTATAATTCTTTAAGGCCTAATTCTTTTATGAGTCCTTACACGAATGAGTAATAAATTGTTTTAATTCAATTACTATTATTTAAAATGTGAAACCTTTGATGACATAGAAGGACGTTGGAAGTGTTTGATAGTACTTTCCGACCAGCTCATGCATTTACTTCAACTCCAGCGACAGGACGACGTCCATCTGAAAGTGTGATAGACTTGACTTTCGATTCTAAAAGTAGCCTTAATTACACAATAATATTTCTCAAGTAAAACAAATTTCTTTTTCAGAATCAATCAATTACGATAAGATTGATAAAAGTGCTCCAAAAAAATTTGAAGAAAATTTGAAAAAATGTAAAATTGTTAACGACCCTAATTGGCTCACACAATTGTAAGGTGTTTTTTATATAATTATATCAGCTATTTTTTCATTTAAGTTATCTTTAATCAGTCAGCGAAAATATTCTGAAGACAAACGTAGAGCGGATAGGGAAATTGAACGTTGTAAATTTCAGTCGGATTATTACTCTAAGGAGGTTGGTTATTCAGTTTACTTTTGTCTGAATTAAAATGAAAATATATATAATTAATTGACAGAGAGAGAAACTTCATGTCGAGGCTCAACAACGTTTATTAAGTAAGTTAACACTTGCTGAAAGGGAACCAGTTGTTTTGGAAGAATCTTTTGATCAGGCCGAAGAAAGTGAGGAATTTAAAGGTTAGCTAATAAAAATTTGTATTGCATAACCTAATTTACAGAAGAGTTGCACGTCTTTAGAATTAACACCTGATCAAGAAAATGTTATCGATGAAGCCCTGCAAATAACGGCATCAGAAAAAGAGCTAGTCAAAAGATTTAATATACCAATTAGACGTTTGGACGTTGCCACTTTAGAAGGTTTGAGCTGGCTAAATGACGAAGTAAGAATTAATAAATTACAGTTAATAACCGCCTGTTAACATTTGCAAAATATTTCAGGTCATAAATTTTTACTTGAGTTTAATAAGCGAAAGAAGCAACGAAAATGACAATTTACCAAAAGTTTACAATTTTAATACATTTTTCTATTCAAGCCTTGAGTCGAAAGGATACTCGGCAGTAAGAAGATGGACGAGACGAGTTGATATATTTTCAAAAGAGATAATCTTAGTACCTGTTCATTTGGGAATGCATTGGTGTATGTGTGTCATCGATTTGAAAGAAAAGGAAGTAAAATATTTTGATTCTATGGGCGGTAGAAATCAAACCTGCCTAGATATTATGAAGAAATATCTATGCTGTGAGATGGAAGATAAGAAAAAGCAAACAATGAATCTCACTGGATGGAAGTTTCAGAATATAAAAGTATGAAATTAATATATTTTAAATATATCAATAATATTAAATTTCTATTTTTTATTAGGATATACCTCAACAAATGAACGGATCAGATTGTGGGATGTTTTCGTGTAAATTTGCCGAATATTATTCCCGCCGAGCAGATTTTACATTCACTCAGGTATATTCTATTTCACAAAAACAATTCCAAAGAAATTAATCACCGTTTCTATTATTAGGAACATATGCCTTATTTTCGACGAAGAATGATCTATGAATTATTGAGCGAGAAATTATTATAACAAAAAACAGCAAATGCACTTCAACATCAACAATAAACAAGTGTAATGTTATAACAGAAGTTGTAGCTCTTTTTCCGCCTCTTCTTTTTCTCTCCATCTTTTAAAATCGATTCAGCTTATTGTTTTAAAGCCCTTCTTTCAATGTAGTATATGTATGTAAATATATGTATATATTATACATATATACTGTATATATATATGTAATATTTTATGTATCATACTATACATTACTGTGTATTATGAATGAAAATTATTTTTTCTACTATGCAAATGTATATTTACACCTGTAAAGATCATTTTTTTAATAGTCATTAAAAAATAAGCATAAAAAATAGTCGTTAGGATCGATGCTATAATATCAATTTCGTAATCTTTGTCTTGACCTACGAAATTTAATACCTAGTAATTACGCAATCGTTTTCTTATAAACAGAAAATTATTAATTATACTTTTGATTTTGTTCATGTTATTTCGTTTTGATTAACAAGCCAATAGAATGCTATACTGTATATCTCTTCTAACATTTACTTGTCTGAAGATACGCTTAAAATTATATTAATACTGTTTCATTTTTTCTATTGTTTCTGTATTTTCTAAAATTAAATACATTTGCTTGAAAGAGAAGACCCTGGAAAAAAATCTACATTTTTATCTACTTTTCGATCTCTTAACACTTGTAAGACTCTTTAAGTGCGTTTTAATGAAAGTACATTATTTATTAGAGCAAATAAAACCGCGGATATTCTGGTTAATTAGTCAATGGTTAAAAATGTAATAGGTAATAATAAACAGGTGATAATCTCTCACCAACACGTTCTTAAACGGTAAACAGATTTTTAGTAACTTGGGGAAACTGTTTACCAATTACGTAATATATAATTATTTATATAACTAGTGCACATTTTAAAGGGAGTTGGAGAAAAATGTAAATTTCCTGCCAAATGACGTAAAAGAAGCGTGCAAAACGCCCATTAACTTTTAGAAATTACAATAGAAATTTTATCGTCGCCAAAGGCGTTCAAAGTATTGTTGTTTAGTGTGAATTGACGCTCTTGTAAACATAAGCAGTTTCTTGTTAAATTTTACGCAAGCACTCAATTCTGTGTGGCCAAGATTTGACACATTTGGAGGTTATTATGACGACGCTACTAAGAAATTCCATGATTGACACATACTATTACGTAGACCAGTCTATCTTTGTTTATATCTATTAATATTTATAGTAAAACAAGGCTAACGCATGAATAGTAATTGTATACGCTTGGTGGTTCTTTGGTAGTCCGGTCCAAAACATGGCTCCCTTCCTAATTCTTGACGCTGATTGGACAAATATACACGAAATACGAAGTTTTTGCGGTCACAACCGGATGTATCATATACGAAGAGGTGAAGGACGGTTATTTACCGTGACTTTTATAAAATATATTAGAAAATACCTACTATGTCTTATGTCATCTCTGTGAATAATACTTTTTGAATAATTCAATTCTACTTGCGATTGGTTAAAGCTGATACCGATACGGTTATAGAAGCCTATATAAGAGCGCCCACCATGAGTCAATCAGTATTACGAGAAGATCATTACCAGCAACTACCAACTTTTAATATTGAGCCTTCATCTATTGAACATAGTCCTGAATTAATGAGGAAAGATATGGTGGACGAAACTAGCTCTTTACCACACAATCGAGCTCTGACGCCGGCTGAAGAAGCGACCGAGGACGCGAAAATCGTTTTAAAATGCGTTCTCATGAAGAGGTGTTTTAGCTCAAACGATGTGGAAGCTCTTCCAGGTATTAAAGAGACGGATGGAAAACAGCAATCATCTAACGACGCATTATCATCATCATCATCGAATGATGATAATGATAGAATCCAACGAAAAAAGAAAAGTTTAAAAAAACGAGTTTTAGAGCGATTACGTCAAACTTTTAAGAGGAATAGTCGTGAAAAACTACCAATTGAAAGAAGACAAACTGCTCCTGTTCAAAAAGCTCAAATTCAAGACAAGGATCGTAAAATCTTTAATCATTTTCTAAATGCTCTGAAACCAAAGAAATCAGAATCGAACAATCAAACTAGTAAGTGCAAATTCTATTTTAAGAACTTTGTATTCTTTTTGTTTAAACGAAAACTGATCTATTTTTTTCTTATATTGTCAAACTATAAAAATTAATTAATGTTTATTAGATAATTAATTGAGAAATATTAATTAACTAAATAGAAAAGCGAAGTCGATCGGACGAAACGATGTTCCGTATTGATGCTACGAGTTCCGCGGAACAACAACAAATATTAGCTAACTACACGCCGACGGGAAAAGTTCACTCTCTAGACAAAAACCATCGCTTCGAGGTTAAGCGCGATTTCGCTCAGTTCGCTCATTCGCAGCCGCCCGTCAAGACGATGGGGTTGAAGGATTTACAAAAACATCGTCCTATGTCAAACGATGAAGCCGATGGCGTAGGCGTTGATTGTACGGATGCAATGAATTTTACTCAAGGTAAGTCATGTTTTATTTAACTTTATTATTAATCATATTTTGGTAAAATTTACTTGTTGCAAAACACCTATTTAATATTTTGAAACACGTGAAATATCTCATGAATCGTTTTTTTTTCATGTATATAAGTTTTTATCATAATGTTAATCGTTTTTAATCAAGTTTTCTATTATTAGTTTTTCGTTTTATCTTTTTTTTTTAAAAAAAAAACTTTTTAATAATTATTTAAATAATTTTTATTAGTTATACGTTTAATTTATTGTAATTTAATTAATTTAATTAACAGATCAGACAGATCTTTCACCTTGTGGATTTGTTAAAAAGGGATCATTCCATGATTTGCCTAGGGATAAACAAGAAAAACTTTATGCAAAAATTGCCGAAAAAGTTTTAGAGATCGGTGATGATATTCAAAAAAAGCATTTTGAAAGGAAAAGAAGTCTTTCAACTTCAAATTATTCCAATGTTAATGTTACAGGTATTTAATAAAACAAATAGGCCTATTTTTAAAGAATAGTTAATTATCTTATTTTTTACGTTTGTTTTATTAGATCCGAAGAGAAGAAGTAGTATACCTGATGCTCCAACGAATATGTATCGTCGATTTAGGTCACCGTCACTAGAGTTGACAGTTAATAATATAGTTAGATCGGGTAGTTACGGAACTTTTCAAAGCGAAATGAATAGAGTGATAGTCAACGAAGAACCAATTAATCAAGTGGCCGTATTGTTTAATATAACATCAGAAGCAATAAATGCTCAGCCAACGTTATTCTCTAGGATAAAAGAGAATTGTATTCGTTTCTTTCAAGATAAATTATCTGGTATGATAGCAAGTCAAGGAGGATGGGTAAGTATCTTAATATTGTTGGTAGTTTATATTTTTCCCCTTTCTAACTGTTCTCTTATTTCCCTTGTAATTTTAGGAATCAGTCGTAGAAGATTCAAGTGGAGAAGTTGATTGATAGAACGATTGAAGAAAAAAAATATATAAACTGTGACATAATCATGACTCAATCGATCTCAAAGCTATTGACTATTGTAAATAGTATGTAAATTTGTTAAGACTTGCGTTATTTTTATAAATTTGTATCATATCTTTTTAACTGTTTTTGTATGGAGGGTTATTTTTTAAAGTGCTATCAATTTTACAAAGAAGTGCCTATCATTTTTAAATTTTGTAAATTTTATGACAATTAAATATAAACAAAAAAAAATAAATCTACATTTTCCTAATTATAGTCCAATTTGTCCAAAAGTCTTTGATACATAGTCTACGGCTTCTTGCCTTCTACCGTCCATTAGCAATAAGTATAGACGTAAAAACGATAGTTGAGCAGGTGCGCGGCGTCCTAGTTCTTTTTCTGCAACTTCTAAAGAGCTAAGAGCTCTGGTAAAGTCGCCTCTAATAGCTTGAGTTGCCGCCAAGTTATACGTCATTAAACTTCTGGCTTTTTTAGCGTCCTCTACCTGTGGCCAGTTGGTAGGGTTAGGAGGTGTTATTTCAACGTCTGCTGGTACAGGGGGAACGGTGCTGACATTCGTTGCGTCATCAGCTTCTAAACAGGCGATAGCGTCTACTACGTAATCGGTGTGAACAAGAGCTTCAGCCAAGTACATTTTTCCAGCAAACCTGTATATGATAAAAAATAACGTTTCATTAACGAACTAATTAAACTAGAGAAAATGCTTATAACATACTCTTGGGCAGGCGATAAGTACGCTTGGGTAAGAAGAAGATCGGCATATTCTTTTGCTACTAAATAATTATTTAAGGATAGATGAACATACGCCGAAGTTGTTAAAATTTCGTTTCTACATAAGAATAGTAAAAATAAATATATTATTATTTACATTAATATTTAAATTATTGATGAGTCAACTAACTTTACATGAATTATTTCAAAAAACCTCAAAGGCGTGGCAGGTGGAGCTGGTAAAATTAATTCTTCACCTTTAAAATCACTATTAAAAAAAAATTAATTAACAATAAAACAATGTGATTAAAAACATAAAAAATAAACAAAATAAGTGATTTACTCTATATTTGATTCGTCCGGTAGATGTTTTGGTAATAGTGATAGCGCCGTACGTAAACATTGAGCAGCAAATTCTAAGCATGGTACTTCAGATCCATTTTTTAAATATACTGTTGCCATTTCATTTTTCCAATTTCCTTTGTTTAATAATAATTTTCGATGCATACCTTTTTAAAAAATAATTAATTCTTATTTTCTTTACCACCTTTATTCTGCTTATACGAACCTCGACCAATAACCTTAGCTACTGGATGACCCGGATCGTGTAGTTCATCTTTTGCTTGTTGTAATTGAACGCATGATTGCGCTAATCGTAACCATAAACGAGGGTTATGAGGAAATACTTCGGTTGATTGTAATAAATATTCAAACGCTAACTCTGATTTGTTGGCGAAGAGCAGAGCAATACCCGTGTTATAATTTATGATATGTTTAACACTAATATTCAAACAATGTACTGGTCTTCCGTTTGATTCACTCTCTTTGCTTATAGGCTTGAATTCTTCTGTTGCTTTTTTATCTTCTTTGGCCGCATTGTGTAAATAATGAAGAGCTACATTTGGTTTGTTAATAGCGAAATGTAAAACGGCCGAATTATTATAAAAAACTGTCGGATGATGTAATCCTAAGTCTGTTATTTTCCAGGATGATTTTTCTCCGTTTAATATTTTTAATGCTTTCTGCTCATTACGTTTCAAATATTCAAAATTGCAACGAAGTATGGACATTGAAACAGGTATTTTCCCGTAGTTAGCTAAATTCTTTAGCTCTCTTTTACAGTTTTTAATTGACTTTAAACCCAAATAACATCTAACTTTATAAACCGCTAACGAGGCCTTATAATCGTTTAATTGTTTTGTTGACATGCGGTGCTCATCTTTTTCTGAGTCGTCATCCTTGGTAGATTCCGGGGTTGATGACTTTGAATTACCATTCGACAGACAATGTTCAATTCTTGTTATTTCTTCAAGGGCTTTATGAGGCTAATTGATAAGAAAAAAATATTTTTGTTTACGACTGCTTCATCTTTTTTTTTAAAAAGAAAATTAATTTATAACTATTACTTGAAACGTTATTAAATATAATTCGATTAATGCAAGAGCAGCTGCTTTTCCAAGAGGTTCCTCAATAGGTGAAGAGATAATATTAATATTTTTTAAGTATTTTAGAGCCAAATCATATTTTCGTAGATGTATGAATATTAAAGCTTTATTGTAGAAATAAGGACACTGGTCAGCATCTTCTAACGTCTCTAAATGGTCAATGTTTCCCTAGAAAAAAATTAAATGAGATTTAAATAAGGATATAAGCATAGTTTCTCAATATTTACTTTGGCTAGTTCAGCGGCTTTTGTTAATTGCTGGCAAAATGTTGCGGTTGTCGTTAATCCACCTTTAATGTATTCTGTTACTGCTATATTGTGCGAGAGTCTTGCATCAAGAGGCCATTTTTTACTAAGAGGTGATAATTCTTTTAAGACTGCTAGATACTCCCCATCTTGAAAATACTTGTATGCCTTCTGACCAACCTCCTTTTCTTGTTTACCCATCATTCGAGCTAAAACTTCCTTTGGATTAAACTCTAAACCCGACGTTAAACCTTGGGTTGAAGGTGCATTAGACTAAAAATGAAAAATAAAACGTTAAACAACCAACACGTAGTTTGTAACGGTATACTATGCATATTATCGCTCAGTTAATACTTGTCGTTTTTTGTAAGTATAAAATAGATATTCTCGTTTTGTAAGACAACATACTTGCGAATGATTAGATCCCAAAATCATCATACGGATAAGCGAAGCCCACTAATTGGTCGAAAAATTCAGAATAGAACTTAGCTAGCGATAAATGAGATGAGTTCAAATCGATAAACGTTCAATGCCGAACAAAGTCCATTTTCCAGCGGCGATTTAAATAATTTGAATATTTTATTATCTAAATAGAAGTTAACAAAACACACTGAAAGGAAAGTAACAAAAAAACTAATGATCTAAAAAATTCGTAGTTTAATCATTTATCAATCTGTATGATAGTGTGATTGGATTGTTTTCGTCCCATGGGAACCAGATAAGACTCGCCGAATAAACTACCTTGGTAAATCTCATTATCTTTCTGGGGTGTTAGAGATGAGTTTCCTATTTGTATAATTCTTTCCTTATTTTTCCTACTTTCCAATAATAACTTTCTAGGATCGTCGTATGAATTTGTTACAATTGACATGTTATTATTTGTCCAATTATCATCATGATCGCTCTCTAAGAGTTTATAATAATTATCTCTAAATTTTCTATTATGTAATCTATTCTTTTGATATTTAAATCTTATTTTTCTCCTTGAACGAGACGTTTGCTCCTCGTCATCATAATCGTCATCTTCATTTTCGTATTCTTCACTTTCATCTTTTGATGTTCTAAGTTGAACTTTACGAAATTCATCTTCGTCGTTATCTTCTAACGAAACTGCAAATATATTACATACAGTATATGTATATATACAGTGTACAAAAAATATTAAAGGCTCCTTTCTGTTGACTTACCAAATGTACCACTAAATATCTCTAAGGTAACCGTTTGAGTAGGGTCGTGTTCAAGATACTTTACCGAGAAGTATGCTACTCTTGATATAAAAGCTATGATCAATTGAATAACGGATGTGGTCCACATGAGCCATCCAGCGGATTTAAATAGTTTCTTGCAATAATTAACAATTTTATTTAAGCATCCTGACCTATAAATTGTATCTGAATTTTCTGCGTTCATATACTCGCATGGTTTGTTGACATTTTCTCTCATACAGCATGAAAATGGAACCATTTTTAGACTACTCCTATTATAATTGTTTTTTATTGGTAGATTCTTGAAATCGTACCATTCTGTTGACATCCACCAATTTTTAATTCCAGTAATACCGCAACATTCGTCATCTTGTTGTATCTTATCCATGGCAGCTTTAAATTTACCAATTGTTCTATATTTAGGAATATTTTCCATTAGCTCTTTCTTTACATCACCTTGTATATCCTTACTTAATAGTATGCATGATATGATAAAACCAATTAAACCTAAAAGAAAAACCATCCAATGCATTTTCCGAAAAGAGAATGCGTCTCTCCTCTTTAACCGCTTATTCTCTTTAAAATATCTCATATCTAATAAAATAGAAATAATAGAAATACCGTTCTGAAATAGAATCATAAATAAGAAAACTCCAAGTAAACTCTGATAATCTGACATATTCACGAGTTCCTTATAATCATTTATCTTTGATAGAGCTATCGCACCAAATATAAGACCAACAAGAGATAGAATTGAAATTACGATATTACCAAGAGCCTTGATTTGAATAAATCTTGATCTAAGGCTCTCGTCAACTGTTAAAACATAACTGAACCAACCGAATTGTTCATGAATATCTTGTTCTTCTTCAGTCTGTGCACTTGATTTAGTGCTTTCCTCCTCATCCTCCTCTGACATATTTAAATAATGAGGAAATTTTGAAATTTGAAAACTTACCAACCAGCCATAATTGTCCCAGTTTTTTTTTAAATCTTTTCAAAGAAATGTATTAATACTAAGCAAATAATGAAGTAAAGGTTTGACAGTAATTTATTAAAGAAGTATCTGATGTTGTTTATTTTATACAATATATTCTACATTTTCAATCGCTCCATGTCCTAATTACAGATAGTAATTTTCTTTCAACATTTATAGTAAACTTAAACTAAATGTAAACAACATGTCCTTTACACAATTTAAAAGACACACCACTTAAAAAAATATAAAGAAAAAAAAATTTAATGTCTATTTCATTTTTCTCTTCATTCGCTATCAGAATCTTTCGGTTTACCACGCTTAACATCGAGTGTAAACTTATATTCCTGATCGCACCCCATGTATGCATCGGACATGAAGTATAAGGTGTAAGTGTTACTTCCGCTATGAGCCGGAGCGATAAAGTCGAGTTTTATGGATGCTTTATGTTGAAGAAGAGTTAGTCTTTTTATGCTGACGAGAGAATTATGTTTCGGTTCACCGATAACTACCCACCAGCCCTCATCTCTCTTATGAGGGAAGAGAGGTGCAATAATTGGTCCTACTGTCTCTTCATCATCTTCTCTTTCAATAGTGACTGTAACTTGCATTTGTCTTCCAGCGTATACGTTTTCTGGTAAATCATATTTCAGTTCAATATTTGGATATCTATTGCAGAATCGGGCAACGTCAGCTAATTGAACCTCAGTCATATTCAGCAACTTAACACGATCATCATCTTCCATTTCCATAATATCGAAAACAGTTTCAATTTTAGCTTCCAAGCATTTTTCTATCAACGGTTTAGAGAAATGCGGTAATTGTCTCAGGTTGGAATCTTTCGACCAACAAGCCTGAGTGATCATCTGAGCTAATTCCATTGCTCCTAGAGCTGGTGAAAGCCAGCCATTTGATGATAATACGTCCACAGAAGCATGAACCAAGCGAAGAGTGTTTGTGACAACAACTTTGGCATCCTCGGCCAATTCGGGTGGAAGCTGAACTCTTGAGAGATGGGCTTGTAACAGAACATGTGCCTTCGTATGAGGATCGTTAAATTTCGATGAACCTGGCAATTTATTAGGAAGCTTTTGAGCTAATTGTTGCAAAACTTGGGCTTCTCCTCTTCGTACGTCCAGATCCGCCATTTCAGCAGCGTTAGAAAGAACATCTAATAAACCTTTCAATTTTGTTTTTGAACTTAGCGACATGGAAAGTAGTTCAATAGAAGTGTAGTGTATATAATAGTAAGATGCAATCATTCCTAAATTAAGGGGAGATGTGTCCATCTCATCATCGATTGAAACGCATTTTGCTGATTGCAAATCGTTCAATGTATCATCAACCAATTCGGATAAATGATCACTCAAATGTCTGTGAGTTACGCCAGCGACGTTGTAGTAATTAGGATTATGGGTCAGACGACGATACAAGAGGGTCCATGTTAGATAATCTACTGCATCTTGTTTGTTTTCAATTGTTTTGGTTACGACTTCAGCATTAAAGTGATCGTGAAGAGTGTGGTCCAAATGACTCTCAACAGGCAAGGGCTCATAAACAAAACGCTTTAGCATGTCTTTCCTTGAAGAATGGCAGAGCAGAACAGCCTTCGCGTCGTCATCTATATCAGGTCGACCAGCTCTACCAACCATACGCAAAATATCAACAACTGGATAATCATCCCACGCATGAACTCTTCCATCATACCATTGAGTGTCCATGACTACTACGGAATGAGCTCTAACTTTTAAAGACCAAGCCATCGGTCTAGAGGCAACAAGGACATGTATTGCTCCCTTTGAAAAAAGTTGTTCTATTATGCGTTTGTCTAAGTCACTGACTCCTTCATGAATATAGGCCACGCCATCAGCGGTTGTCTTTTTCAGGGTAGAATCCTCTAATTTTTCCAACAAAGGCATCATATCTTCCTCATCAGCATGAGCAAACCGAGTCTTTCGTTCATCCGCAGCGGCTAATGTCAAGAGATCAACAGCAACTGATCTCGTCTGTTTTCTTGAAGCAACAAAGACAATTGAATTCTGACTGGGATCAGGTGAATGATTTACAATAGCATTATACACTGGCTTAATCATATGGTCCAGTCTCGTTGCAGCATGAGAGGTTGGGAAACCTTCAACATGTAATTCTAATTGAATTGGTCGGACATTCGGATGGAAATTAAATGAAGCTTGAGCTGGAACACCCAGCCAACCAGCAACATCTCTAGCGTGAGCTAAAGGTGCTGATAAGGCCACAATTCTTACACCTGCTCCTGTTGTTTTTCCTTGGCCCAACTGAGACGCCATGTATCGCATACGAGAGCATACTATTTCTAAGACAGGACCTTTATCTCCTCCAATTTCATGCAACTCATCAGCAATAAATAAACCAACAGCCTGTACATTCTTACGCTGCTTCCATCTTCTGCTAAGCACATCCCATCTAGAAGGAGTAGAAATTACGATATGGGCTCTAGCTAGGAGCTTCAAATCAGCTGCTGTTTCTCCTATAAGCATGACTACTTTCTTACCCAAAACACTTCCAAATCTTTGACTCCAGTCATTATATAATTGCTCGGCTAATGTTAATCTTGACGTGACATATACAACCCGTGTGTCTGGCTTGTTTGTAAATGCTCTAAGCATTGCCAATTCAGCACAAAGCGTTTTGCCACTTCCAGAAGGAGCGCAAACGAGAACATTATCATCCGAATTGTAAAGAGAGTTGAACACCTGGGTTTGTATAGGGTTTAAAGTTTTAATATGTTGGTATAACGGTTCAAATTGTTGTCGTCTCAATGCAGATACTGGCAATGGTTGCAAATCTAGAAGATCCGTAGGTGGTGGTGACCTATCTGGCAGAACTAGATGCCTAAAACTGACAGGTAGCAATGTTTCTGATCCTATCCACCGTTCGGAAATAATTCTTACAAAGTAGTGAGGAGGTAGAGGTTCTAAGATAGGTATAAGCATTCTCATCGTATAAGACTCTTGTCCATATTGTGCCTTCAAGATTACCATTTCATGTTGTACAATAATTTCGCTATCAACATCCTCAACAAAGACGAAAAATACTTCAGATGGACCATGAATCTTTTCGTCCCAATCAAAATCTGGCGTGAGCGTCAATTCTAAACGCAGAATTGCTCTAGTTATAGGTTGAACGTGAACAGATACTTCAACCTTGGGAATGTGGTGAATAAATTTATGAACTTGTCTGCCTACTTTTGGAGTTCTTAATAAATCTCCAAGTTCAACGGGTGATAACTCTATGATCCTATCCCAAGCCAATGCTTTCTTTTCCAGGCGGCTTACAATGTCTGATTTTAGTTTCTTTCCGAATTGCCTCAGAGGGCATTGGGATGACCACTGATGTTTCTCAACCATCTTACATAGAGCCAAACATCGACCTGCTACAGCAGCCCAGCCTCTCCACATCACTATGGCGTGCATAGCTCTAAGAAGACGGGCAGCGCTTTGTGTTACATACATCATATCGGCAACTAAAGCAAGACCGTCTAAGGATAAACCGCTGATGAAGGCTTGAAGTAAAACATTGATTTTAGCTGCTGATTCATCCACACCGTCTTTGATAGGTATTGGAACTCTTTCCATTAATTTGGATAACTCCAGTTTTTCTTCATCTCTAACAGAAATATTTTTGAATTCATTTGACAAGGCAAAAACTCTTAGCAATTCGAGCTCGCTCAAAGTCGGTTTAAGTAGTTGTTGATAAGTGCTAATAGTTGGTGAAGAAAGATAGAAATGAGATGCTATTCTGCCCAAATCTGTGGGGGCTATGATTCCGGCTCTCTTTTGATATCTCACCAGACCTTGTTTATCTAATATTAATGCAGCTGTATGAATCAATTCAGTTCTAAATTGTTCTAGATGTTTGTCAGACTTCTTCTGGTCGGCGGAAATTCCATACAGGTTGGGATTTCTCATCATTCTAACATATAGATATGTATAGCCCAACCAATTCACAGCTTCTTTTACGCTGGAAATCGTTCCAAGAACTACCTCTGCACACAAAATGTCGGCCAGTTTCGAAACCAACTGAGACTCAATTGGAAGTTGCTCGTTCATAACAGATAAATAATATTGTAATTGTTGGTGATGAGTTATTAAAACTCCCACACCTTTACTATCGTATTGAGGTCTACCAGCACGACCCATCATCTGCAATACGTCTAAGGCGCCCAACTCAGTCCATCGACCTTTTTCTGGACTGTACACTTGAGTTCCTTTGATTACGACAGTATGAGCAGGAAGATTAACACCCCAAGCTAATGTTGCTGTCGATACTAAAACGGGAATATGACGATCAGCATACAGGTCTTCTACCAACGTTCTGTCAACTCTTTGCATACCAGCATGATGTATAGCAAAACCATACGGTAATAACTCTTTTAGGTTCTTGTCTTTAACATGCTCTGCTTCCTGGCGCAAAACTTCTGTTACAGCTGTACCGTGTTTCACTACTTGACTCAGAGTTTCTTTTTCAATACACATATCCCGGAGGGCTCTAGCAGTTTTTGCTGTCTCTTTCCTTGAATGAACAAAGATAAGAACCTGCTTGTTCTTTTCCGCCGCTGCCATTAGTCGCTCGTATACCAATTCGTTCATCAGTTGCCAGCGTTTAACAGCTTTCTTTTCAGAAATACCAATCATGTTTTGCTCTAGGCAGACAGGTCGGAAAGTGTTATCAAAGTGAAATAGTCCTTTATCAGCGGGAACTCTAAGGAAAGTGGCTACGTCGGCATAGTTAGGTAAGGTGGCAGAAAGTCCAACAATTCTAACATGCTCCTGTTTAGCTTCACTGGCACGCAATGTCCTAGCAACAATAGCTTCGAGAACTGGACCACGGTCGTCATGCAGCAAATGAACTTCATCAATAATTAATAACCGAGTAGTATATGCAAGCGCTCCTCCTTTTCTAGTAACAATATCCCACTTTTCAGGGGTGCAAACAACTAGTTGCGTATTTACTAATTGATCTCTGGTCAATTGATGTTCACCTGTAAGTTCATCAACAACCAAGTTGTAATTTCCGAGTCGCTTTCTAAAAGAGCCAACCATTTCCTGTACCAATGATCGCATAGGTGCAATATAAATGGCTTTAAAGCTACTAGTATCAATAGTTCCATCACTTCTCACATTCTTGCCTATTTCTCTCAAAATAGTCAGAAGTGCCACATTAGTTTTACCAGAACTAGTTGGCGCACAAACCAAAAGATTTTCATCATTGTTAAGTGCAGCATCACATACTTTACTTTGAACCCTGTTCAGTTTCTCATAGCCTTCAAAAGCAGGTTGAGCATAACTGGGTAGCTTAGAAATAGGTATTAACTCTTCGCTATCTCCAAAAGCTTTTGGCTTAAGATTTGGAACGTGCACCTGCTCATAACCTTTTCGCTGCTTTCTTACAGATCCATCAGGTAATTCGCATTTTTTGTTAGCCATAAGTAGAGAACCCTGGTTGAAAATTAAATCATCCAGATCAACTGTAGCTGTTGGCCCTTCTGTCGTCGTCATATCTTCATATTCCATCTCCTGATCAATTTTACGTTGCCTGTCAGCTTTCCGGCGCTTCTGTTCTTCAACAACAATATCAGATTTGCCCCGGGTATCTTTTAAAACATGCAAAATTTTAGCTAATTCAGGGTCTTCCTTCATAATTTTTTCGATTTTTTCTTTCTCTGCTGTTGATTGAGCTTGTGCTAAAAGACTGCAATATAAGACTGTATTTCGGTTAGCTCGAATAGTTCGAATGAGATCAAAATTGGAAAATCCAAGAAGGAGAACGAGCTTATTTTCAACATCTCTTTCGTCATTAGCATCCTGTAGTGCTTGAATTACATCTGCGGCTCTTGATTGAGCAACCACTGGATCATCGTACAGAGATCTTAATTTTCTCTGCAACCAATACGCGTCAACGTCGTGTGGATTTAATATATCTGTTTCACTCTTTGAACTAGAAATATCTCCTAATTTAGCTGACAATGTCATATTGTCCTGAGTTTCCATTCCCTCTTCATCATCATCTTCATCGTCTTCTTGAACTTCATCCCCCATTCCATCTTCATCTTCGTTATCACTTTCTTCAAACTGTACATTGATACCGTCTTCGTCAACTGCAGTATCACCTAATGTCTGTGTGTTTTCTTCAACGCCCCAATCTGACAATTTCTTTGAAAGATTCATTAAAAGAGCTAATCTTTCATCTGGTAAAGGTCCAAGCAAAGATTCTATATCACTTTTACGTTGTGAATCGCGAACATCTCCGGTTTTTAAAACAGATAAAACCTCATCAGCTGCTCCACATAAAACATCTCTAGGTTGATCTCCAATAGCTTCGTTAATTACACTTAATAAAATCTCATAAGTTCTTTTTGTTTCTGTGGTTTTTGGTCTGTACAAAATGCCTGTGGCTAAGTCGTCATCTTCCGCTAACACCCCAGCTCTGGGACCTGTTATTTTACTGTGGGTAGTGATAGTTGCTTTCGACTTTTTAGCCTTCTTTGCTTTCTGTTCTTCTGATTTCTGTGTTGGTTTTCCTCGAATGGCTTTATCTCCCATTCGAGTAATTTTGAGAACATCAGACGTAAGGGGCAATACTTCTCCAGTGGCTTCATCTCTAGGTCTTCTTTCAATTAAAGATCTATCAGCTTGAAGTACAAGATTTGAGTTCTATGGGGGGAAAAAATATTAGCGTTATGGAAATTTGGATATGAAAGAGTTTCGAAAAAGTTAACAATCTCAAATAAAACAGCAAAATTATAATTTTGATTTGCTTCAAATAAATACCTAGACGTACGTATAGCTATCTAATATTATAAAGAGATTGCTTGCATAAAACGTCGCTTGTGCGTTCTTTGATCGCAAGACATGATTACTTATTATCGCTCATAAACGAAATTTCTTATTAAATACTTAGTAACTAAATTAATAGCCCATATCAACAAATAATCTTGAAATTTAATTTTACATTTCACGTAAGAATAAATAACGAAATATAATATTACCGCTTTATATTCGTATTGTAAACTTCTCGCCGCAGCGTCCGCCATTGTTGTACACAACCGTAAAATATTACTAAATACCAGTAAAAATTGTATTATTTTCAATTGTTTCAGACGTTTGGCAGAAAATTTCAGTGAATAAAATGTCTTCGTTAAAAATTGAATGGTAATTATTTTCTATTTTAAATTTTTTTGATAGTAAGCTAATTTATCCACCCATTTTCGCTCAATAGGCCTAAATCGGACATAAAATCAGCTTCTTGGAATGAGTATGAAGAATATAGCAAGAATTTTGAGACTATATCTGTGCCATTTCTTAAAAATCGTCATGATATCCGAAACGAGTCTGAAGCAGTAAAGAAAATGTCTGAGAACAATAGTAAACTCCCTGAAACTGAAAAAAGTACTATTTATCTCTTAAAGCAAATTTTTACATTAGTAAAACTCTGTTCTATTTTTAAAAGTTTAAAAGGAAACTTTACATTTAATTTTTTTCATTATTCTTAATATTATTGTAAACTTTTTCTAAAGTCACATTATTTTACAGCTGACCATCCTTGGTCTGAGTCTTTAAAGACTCAACCCCAAAAACCAAATAAACGAAAAAAAAGGAAAAGACCCTTACAAGAGTTAGTTTATTATTACAATAACTATAATGAATTATATCTAATAATGAATCATCTAAAATATTGCTTTTCAGAACTTTTAACTTTAAGCCATACAACTTTGATTATGTTTATCCTAAAAAATCTTGCCTTTCAACATCTCAACATGCTGAATTTGTCAATTTATCCATTAAGTTCAAGTCAATGTTGGAAGATAAACTAAAGCCTTCAGTAAAAGATCTAACAGTATATACGGTAAGTTTGCATCTACTATTAATTTGTTAAATACTGCTTAATGATAAAATATATTATTATTTATCTGATGACAGTTTCTTAAATCGAAAATTGTTTCTGAACAAAATGAATTTCAAAATTGGCTGCGCAATATGGCGAAGAGACTATGTAGAGAAGAATATGGATTCGTTAAACAAAGTGCAAGGAAATTTTTAAGGGTAATTCTTACTATATTTTAATATTTTCATTCAAAATCAAAATTCGCTATGGTGTCTTCTATTTTTTGTCTATAGAGAAAATATGACATGCTTAGATCGTATGTTAGTCTTTATCCACGCTTCTATGAAGAAATTCATCATATACCTTTAAAATCAGACTGTGAAGATCAATCATTTCGCCTTCACTTGGTGCAGAATCTGCTTGAAATAGTTTGTATTATATATTTGTAAATTTAATTGAATTAATTTAATTTATTTTTGATTTATAAAAAGGGTAAAATGAGGGATGTTATATTGCCATCAAGTTTTAAACAACCTCGCCTCCCCACGTATGGTACTCGTTTATTAACTCTAAGAAATAGTAAACGACAAAATCATCCTGTAAGGAACGCTTTTTCTTCTATGAAAATAAAATAAAACTAGCTTGAACTTTTCAAAATTTTTAGATTATAAGCCAAGATGCTAATGCTGAAAAATTAGCTGAAAGTCAAAAAGTTGATATAGTCTTATCGTCATCAGCTTTAACATGCTTAATAGATAATAATGTTCATAAAAATTATCCGAGGGGTTGGCAAATTTGTTTTACTGTTAGGAGAATGAAAAATGGAAAAAAAACTCTCTTTATTAATAAACCTTTGCTTCCTTTAACAATGTCATCAAGAGAGAAGAATCACGCTTTTCACAAAGAATCTCTTAAGGCATTTTTATTAAAATATAGCGATTTAAGGTTTGTAATGTAAACAGAAGTAATAACTTATAGTATTATTTCATTGTTTTTGTTTAATTAGCATTCGATCTAAGGTTGACAAAAAAAATCTAGAAAAAGATAAAGACATTAATGAAAAGGATAAAGATGGAGATATATTTGAAAATAACTATGTAAGCGATGAAGATATATTTGGGGTAGGAGAACGTATTAAGTACCCTACAGGTTGTGGTCGAAGTAAAAGAGGAAAAAGAGAATCTAAAGAATCTCGTAAATTTATTAATTATGACAGCAATATTAATTATAACAGTAACAATTATTATTTATTTATAGAGAAGTCAATAGAAATTACAGACAGTTCAGGAGACGATTCTAAGGATGATAGTAAAACAAAATCAAGTATGTTGATATTTGGACAATTAAACTGTTGTCTATTTGAAACATTTCTTTCAAATGTTTTGCAGCGTCACCTTTAAAGGCTTCTATTAAACAAGATCTAACAGCTGGTGATAAAACTTCAGAGTCTAGTAAGGGAATGTGTCTACGCAATCGCTCAATTACACCCAGACCACAAGAACCCGATGCAAAAGCATTCAAAAAGCGCCCTTCAACAAAAAAGCAAGCAGAAGTAAAGCCCAAAGAGAGTCCGTCAAGTTCAAACGACGGTAATTTTTTAAAAAACAACTGTTATATTGTGTAAAATATAATATGTAGACTGTATTAATGATATTCTGGTTTTAAAATATTAGATTTAACGATGGACCTATTCGGGGATACCAGCGACAATAAAGGAGATGAGAAGTTTTCCAATTTGGACGATGTATATATGACTAGTGTTTAATACTTCATTTTAGTGTTTGTCTGTTGTTTATTTCTCTAGAAAGCAAAGAAAAACCTGTTTGGAGAAAGTTCGGAGGAAGATTCTATTTCTAGCCCTTCAAAAGGCATGCGACTTCGGAATAGATCCATATCTGGAGTGTCAAACGAATCTCCCAAAAAACAACCCGTTATAAACCCAACAACAAAGGATTCTCAATTACTATGCTCAAGTCAGGGTTTGTAACTGATAGTATTTCAATTTATAATATTTATTTTGCTTTTTATAGATTCAAGCCCAAAAATGAATGAAAGCGAAGGATCATCTCTAAAGAATTTAGTTGTAGTTAGTAAATTTACAATTTAATTCGACTGATTATAGCGCTAAATTGTCAATTAATGTTAAATGAATTATTTTAGGCTGAAGAATCAAGTTCAGACGAATGGAGTGAAAGTGGCGATGATGGAAGTGACAACGAAGAGGTTGACGTCTCTAGTTCTTTCCTCTACAACTCTTCTACTGGTAACATGGGTAATTATTATAGTCTGGAGACAATTCTTAAGCAGCAAAATGAAGCATTATCAACGAAGGCAGAAACTGATTTAAAAGAGACAAAAGTTCCTGAGGGTACGTAAGCTTGCTACTGTATATGTTAATTTTCTTAAAAGTTATTATGTTTGCTTATTGCGTTTAGATCCTAAGAGTCAAGAACCACCAAAAACCTATACAACAAAGGAAATTGAAGATAATTTTCAAAAATATAAAGAGGATTTTGTTTCCTATAAGTTATGGAAATTAGGCGATTTAGATTTAATTGTAAGAAACAATGTTCATGGAGCATTTAAAGGTCAGAATAGGGTAAGATTTTTAATTTTTCGGTTCAAATCATCCGAATATTCAATTTTTTTACATTTCAATTTCTTTTTCATCAGCATTTAACAAAGTTACATATAATGCCAAAATTGGAATACCAGAGTCAATTCGGCTTTGAACAAGAAGGCTATAGTGAAATGTGCCGGACCTGGCTTGCTTCTTTTCTTAGGAATGGAGCCACAGTATTAAAAGGTTAAATAAACTGATTTTATAAAATTTTACGAAAGACATTTCCTTAACACTCACAGCTAATATCACTCCTTTTTACTCAAGAGTTCTCAATTGGAAACCATGTAATTTGCAAAATTGGCGACCTGAACAGTCTTACGAACCAAGTTTCAAGTGAGTTTATATAATTGGTAACAAAATAATTTCTTTTCTTTTTTAAATGTGTTTAGTCCCGAAAAAGCAACTACTAACTTATATAAAATACTTAAATATCTCGTTGATATGGTAGAGGAAGGCCATTATCTATTACATCATGATAGCGCAGCCGATTACGTTAAACTGTTAAGGAGCACTGATGAGAGGTCACTATACACTTATACTAATAGATATAAAAATAATTATTTTTTATGAATTCTCATTTACAGGGGAGCATACGATTTACATGAGGCACATATTCCAGAGCAGATAGCTATAGATCGGCCAGAGATTGATTGGAGGCCAATAGACACTACACAGATTTTAGAGCAACACGTAAACGGCAGACGTATTCCGGCAACTTTTGAACCTTATGGTATAATCACATTCCTGCAATATTACTTTCTATTAAATATTTTCCCAATCCCCCAGACGCTAAGAATCAGCCAAAGAGACGTAAGACAAAAAAGAAACATAAAAAGAAATACTTCTGACAAATGCTTGTCTTACTAGAAATAATACGTGTTAACTATTACTACAGTGAATATCGCAGTTTTAATAAAGAATTGTATTCTTTTCTCAAATACATAAACTTATGTTATCATTGGAACCTAATTCTTCTGAAACCGTGTAGAGATTCATTCGTAGACCCAGGTATCCATATGGCTGTCCCAGTTAACAAGTTCCTTTTCAGTAAACCACATGCTGATCTCATGCTTGGCAGATTCAGTACTGTCAGAGCCATGGCACACATTTCTCCCGATATCGATGGAGTAATCACCACGAATAGAGCCGGGTAAAGAGGCTAAAGGGTTAGTTTCACCCAACATGCTACGGCCTTGTTTGACGACATCTTTGCCTTCCCAAACCTTAAAAAAAGTAATTTTATATTGAACACGTGGCTCTTAGCATATCAAATCTTACCATTGGAACTACTGGACCGGAGCTCATGTATTTTATGAGTCCGTTGAAAAATGATTTGGACGATAAGTCAGCATAGTGTCTTTTCAAAAGGTCTTCAGATGCCTGAGAAAAATCATTTATTAATGTGAGCGATATTGAATTATATCAATACTTACATTCATGAATTTTAAGGCTACCAATTTGTAACCACGTTTTTCAAATCGGGCAATGATATCTCCGACCAAACCGCGCTGAACGGCGTCGGGTTTCAACATGAGAAAAGTTCTTTCACGTTGTTTAGACATTTCAGGAGAAAAATAAGCAAAAATTGACCAAAATAAATTTATCATACGACGTGACGTCGGCAAAGAGAATGACCTATACGATTGATCCGGTCGGTTTGAAAGTCTCGCATTTACTAAAAAGCATATTTCCGTTTCCCTCAATAAACATGCTGCACTAAATTGGCACGAGATTCAAATTTTGTATTAGTGCTTTTCTTCTTAAGAAAATATAATATAACAATTATAAAACAATTTCCATATTATCTTTATTAATTTTGTAATAATAAAACAACAAAAACAAATTTTGTTAACTATTTTTTGAAATTTGCTGTAACAGAGAAATATTTTGCATTTACTTCTTCTATTCTCTTTTCTGCTGCCTGTGGATTGACAATTTCCAGTCCTTGTAAAGGTGTAAACGCTACGCTGGATGCTGTACCACCAACGGCTTTTTTAACAGTTGAAGTACCTCCCCATGTACTCATAGTTCCTTGTTTTGCCAATTTATTCTGAAGTGTTTTTGAGATTTTTGCCTTAGTTTTTGAATCTACTGGTGGACCTCTGATTCTTCCTGTTTTATTTTGACCAACAGATCCAAGACTAAATCCGAGATCCTCTTGGTAAGCATCTTCCTCTATTTCTCCGAAGTTCATACGATTTGTTGCCTTTCGTAATTCAGTCATTCCTAATCTTTCTTTTCTTTTTCGATAACGTCGTCCTCCTCTCTTTTTCCTGGATGGATCTATTGGTGCTGGCAAAGGTTTGACTTGCTTAACTGGTGGTGGTTCGAGAGCTTTGCCTAATTTTTCTTCAATATCTTTTCTAAAGTCTTCTCCAATTGATCCAGAAGGTGATTCGTGACAAGAATCAACTCGAGCCGCAAGTGTGCATTTTGCTGAAACCAGCTTGGCAGCTTTCTTTTGCAAGTCTGGAGGACACCGTTGAACAATATCACTGAAGAAAACAAAACCAGTATGTGGATTGATTGCTGTAGAGGAAAATCCAGAGAGAGTTTTTCTTTGAGCTCCCACGAGTAAAACATTACAGGCTGGCATTTTTGACAGAGCAGTTAGACCTCCTGCCATACCCATTAATTTAGCAGCAATGGAAGCTCCTACTATAGCAGCCATGTTAGGGGCTATGAGCATCATACGTGATTCGACATACTCTAATATATTAGCCTTATGTTCTACAAGATCTATAGCCATGTCACAACCCTCCATAATTCTTTGTAGCTCTTCTTCGTCAAGTGGTTCACCCTGAGTAGTACTGGCCGTAACGGAAACAACCATAATTGTCGCTTGGGTGAGTAATTGACTAAGCGCTTCAGATGATTTACTAGCTGTAATTTCGTTTCCCAATTCTTTTACAGTCTTCACATAATCTAAAGCAATGGGAACGAGACTCTCCAATTCAGGAAATCGCTTATGGTAGATATCACGGACATATTTATGAATTATTGATATTTCATTATCAATTTCCACGGTCATATTGTTAGCTTCTACAATGAGCTGATATTCTGGATCAGATTCCACAGGTCCAATAACTACAAATTTGAAAAGAAGCTAATCGGCTTAGAGGAAAAAAATTCCAAGACTTACTTTGCTTTCGTATACTTTTTTCTTGAAAAAATTCGATTTTCATAAGCATCTCATGAAACTGAAAAATATTATTTTCGTTACGTGATTATAGTAATTTTCATGAATTCTTTAATATTACTTGATCACTATGAAGCAGCTTTGCAATAAATCTTATACTTCTTTGATCAACGTCTTGTTCCATCTCTCCAGTCTCCAAAACGTCCTCAATTTCATCATCCATAGCCACAGCTTCATCCCCGGCATCCTCTGAATATCAAACAAAGTGATTTTTGCATTTTCTTTAATGATGTAATTTCAATTATTACCTAAATCAGCTAGGAGTTCATCTGCTAATGACATTGTGAAAGAGTTTGCTCAGTACAAATGGACAACTTTATTAAAAGATAATGATAAACGAATTCTTAACGATTATGTACACTTTTACTGTTTAGCTTAGATATTTACCAGTTTATTTCAATAAACGTCTTACCTGTAGATGGCGCCTGTAAAAAACAGGAAGTGGCAAGTACGCAGCAGATACAACTTCCGAGTCACTGGAGGTTGTTAAACATGGAAAAAGAAGTATTTAAGATCGGCGGTAAAGCCATAAATGAGCTAAGGGTTGTTGATTTGAAGAAAGAGCTCGAAAGTCGTGGATTGTCCAAGAGTGGAAGTAAAACTGAGCTAATTAAACGATTAAAAGCGGTTTGTTTTCATTATATCGCTCTATCCGCCATCTTTTTATGTATTTTATATAAACATCGGTAATCTCCTTCTTTAAAAACAGAAAATGCGAATTGAACGTTTGCATTCTGATGCCAGCGAGGATGAAATCCCTAATAGAAAGGTAAATATTCCATATATTTGACTTACAAGCATAAGATTGTTCATATTATTATAATATTATATATAATTGCTCAGTGGATTGTTTTTGTATATCAAATCTGAATTTTACATGTCTTAATTTAAACCTTCAAAAACTAATCGGTTTGAAAATAATGTTGGAAGTTCCTTAGTTCCAAAATTAGATATTTTCCGATACGCATATTTACCATTTGAACAGTTTATTTGTTATAAATTTAGTTATCGGAATCAGTTGGTGAACAGAGCGACTTTGTAAAACAATACCTGGAAAAACAACAAAGAACATACACACAAATGCGACACGAAAAAGAACAATATCAGGTTTTGAAGAAGGAAAGTGAGAATGAACAATCTGATAGTGATACTTTTCAAAAACACGAAGGTAAAAGTAAGTAGATAAATTCAACTAAATTTTGATAACATTTAATCTATTCGCACAGAAGTAAAGAGAAAAATTCAGCCTGAACAAACTTCTTCAGATGAGGAAAAATGTAACTTTTTAAATATATATTTTGATTATAAACTGACATATTTCTCTCAGCAGTAGGAAATACATCAATGGGGGAGTCTAGAGAAGAGATTCAGCAGAGTGATCAGGACAATGAAAAGGAAGAAATACAGAAATCAGCAAAAGAGAAAAAAAAAGATAAGAAACTAAAAGAGAAAGAAGAAAAACGGCTGCGAGAGGAAGCAGCTAGAAAAGAGATAGAAGACGCTCGAAGGTTGAAAGAAGAAGAAGAAGATCGGTTACTTATGGAAGAAGAGAGAATTCGCAAAGAGAAGGAAGAAGAGAGAATTCGCAAAGAGAAGGAAGAAGAGAGAATTCGCAAAGAGAAGGAGGAGGAGAAAATTCGCAAAGAGAAGGAGGAGGAGAGAATTCGCAAAGAGAAGGAAGAAGAGAGGATACGAAAAGAGAAAGAAGAAGAGAGAATGCGAAAAGAGAAAGAAGAAGAGAAAATGCGAAAAGAGAAAGAAGAAGAGAGAATGCGAAAAGAGAAAGAAGAAGAGAAAATGCGAAAAGAGAAAGAAGAAGAGAAAATGCGAAAAGAGAAAGAAGAAGAGAGGATTCGCAAAGAGAAAGAAAAAGAGAGAATTCGCAAAGAAAAAGAAGAGAGAATTCGCAAAGAGAAAGAAGAAGAGATGATTCGTAAAGAAGAAGAAGAAGAGAGGATTCGCAAAGAAAAAGAAGAAGAGAGGATTCGCAAAGAAAAAGAAGAAGAGAGGATTCGCAAAGAAAAAGAAGAAGAGAGAATTCGCAAAGAAAAAGAGGAAGAGAGAATTCGCAAAGAAAAAGAGGAAGAGAGAATTCGCAAAGAAAAAGAAGAGAGAATACTTAAGGAGAAGGAAGGAGAAATGAAAAAATTAGAACAGGAAAAATCAAAACAAGGAAAAGGTGAGTGTTCAAATGTTCAATGGGTGTTTTTTTATGTCATTTTTAAAATTCAGTTGTGCCTAAACTTGATGAGCCTGCAGTTCGCGACCTACAAGGCGGTAGACAATCCAATACTGAAAATGTTACATCATCGAGTTCATCGTCAGAGGGAGAAAGTGACTCAAAATCTGAATCAACTGCTGAAAGACAAGGGGTTTGTTCTAAGAAATATATTTCAAGTTCTCTTTATACCATATTGTTTACTTCATAGAATGTTAGTAATGAAAGTGAGGAAGACAAAAGACAAGATCCTCAGGATGACATAAACGAGGAAAAATTCCAGGTGAGTGTTCAAAACCAATTAGCTCTAGGATTTAAGGTCGTAGTGGTAAATAGAACTGGCTGCTTACATGGATAGTTGTCAGACATAAAGTGTTTCCTGATTCTCAGCACAACAGCAAAATTCTAACTGTAGAAGTTGTAAAGATCATTAATACCAGAGTATTACATGTGTATGGTTAGTTTGGTGAAAAGAAATTGGATATTGGCATCCCTGAAGAATTTAGAGAAAAATAAGAAGAAATCGAAGACGATGCGTAAATTGATGTGAAAAATTTAAGCAAAAATGATATGGTGTATTGGTTTTGTTTGGTTTCGACTTGAAAATAAAAATAAGAAATTTTCTTGCGAATGGAGACACTGGTTGAGAAGATTATGGACTTTTGATAAAATTTAAACAAATTTTAACCCCAAACATAAACAAAAAGGAGAAGACGAAAAGCCCTAATTGAAAATTTAAAAGAAAAAAGTTATATTATTAAGTGGTTATTATGGCTAACTTGAAGTTAGATCGATGTGAACAATGCCTAACTCTTAAAAGAAAAAAAGAAGATAGAAGAGATCTATGGGGTTCTAAAATATATCTTAAATGAATGAAGAGAAATGAAATAAGCTGATAAAAAGTCAACGATTCAATTAAGTGTCTGACGGAACTTAACAGTAGGGAAATTGGCATGTTATTGTAAGCTTGTAAAATGATGGGAGACTGGGAGAACATATGTGGCAGCAAATACGAAGGTTTTTTCGTCTTAGTTATGCTAAATATGTTTTTAAATATAACTGACTGATTGAACTCTAACGAACAGTCATCTATTTAGATTCTATAGGAATTGTAAGTACGATAATTGATTGACATAGGTCATAAAGTATTGTACTTGCTAAAATTAAGAAAATGTCTTGAATTGTTGCTTATACAATCTATTATTTCACAGGAAAGAATTATTGATATCTCACAAACGAAGACAAAACGCGAGGAAAGGGAACTGAATCAGAGAAAACGTAAAAAAAATTTTCCAATAGTTTACAGTTTTACTATTTTATTCTTTGGCAAGATTTTATATTCTCTATTTTTTTTTCCTATTATAGAACTCCCGAAAAGAATCACATCTAGTTCTATAAAAGAAATGTTTGGACACATAAAACCTCAGCCCTCACATAGCAAAATCACTACTGAAGATAGTGACGGAGAGCAACACAAAGTATTGACTTCTATCGATGATATAACGAGAACCATTGTTCAGGTACAAAATGAAATAGTAGTTATCAATAGCTAACGCTAGATTATTTTTATTTAGGATGTCAAAAGAACCGATGACTTTGACCTTGATGAAAGTAATGAAATATCCATGGAAGTTGGTTCAGACACTTCTGATGGTGTTTTGGAATCAAGAAATGACGCAAGAGTTGTTGAATTTAAAAAAGATGGAGACCATCCACAAATAACAACAAAGCGTAAACCTATTTCTCCACCAAGCTCTGAGAGTGCATCAAAAAAACGAATTGTTTCTACTACGAGACAATCATCAAAACTAGATATAGATGACTCACTTAAGCCTATAAAAGAAAAGTCTCCGTCACCCGCAAGACATCCGACATCTCGTGTACTTCTTGTGAGAAATTTGGTCCGCCCTTTCACTGTCAGTCAATTAAAAAATATCTTGAGTCGTCATGGCCCAATTATTGATGAGTACTTTTGGATTGATAATATAAAAACTCACTGTTATTCAATGTATGAAACACAAGAATTAGCCGTGGAAACACGAGATTCATTACATAATTCGAGGTGGCCGTCATCTAATCCAAAACTTTTGACTGTGGATTTTGCTACGGAAGAGGATATATATCGACATTTATTATCTGATAAGCCTGATATAGCAAAAACAATGGACATTGCTAAAGGGAGGGCAGATGAAGAAATATCTAGATCAGAAAAACCTGAAGAAGAAAATCCGCCAAAGCGATGGACTTCAAAAGATGCGGAGGAACGCGACAGAGACAGAAACAAGGAAAGAGATCGAGGCTTTGAGAAGGAAAACAGGGAACGAGGGAGAAGGGAGCATGTTCGGGAATGGGATCGGGGAAAACTGAGACATTCACCTTCACCACAGGGACCAAGAAGAGTAGAAAGAGGGCACAATAGATCAAGATCGCCAAGAAGAAGATCTTCTCCGAGAAGGCAACAAAGAGAGGAAAGAGTAGAAAAACCAGCCGACGCCCCCGCCAAATTACTTGACGATTTATTCCACAAAACAGAAGCAAGCCCATCAATATATTGGTTGCCGTTATCAGATGAAGGAGCACGAATAAGAGATGAAAATAGAAAAAAGGAAAAAGAAGACAGGGAACAAAAAAGACGAGATAGAGAAGAAGATGATAGACAAAGGAGGCGGAAAGATATATACGACAATGATGCAAAGTCAAGGCATGACGGGCCCCCTCGACGTCGTAGAAGAGTTTCCAGTTCTGATTAGATGTGGTACACAGGTTGAAAATTCTTTCATTTCATTAACATCACATCTGTAACTAAGTTTGTTGTGAATATAAATGATTTCATAGTGGAGAGAGGGCGAAAAATATTTTTTAGGTATGTATTTAGTTTTATAACCTTTTCCGCTTCAAATAGTTACGAGATGTATTTTCCTATACATATTTAACTGTTGTTACATTGAGTTTTTTCTTGTTTTTGCAAAAATTATGTTTGTTAAATATTTTTTCCCCTAAATTCACGGAGAGAAAATTGCAGTGAAAGAAATAGGTTTTTTTTGGAGAACTAAAAAAAACAGAAAAAATTTGTGTGATGCAGAAACTGTGCTTGTTTCTATCCAAACAATGTGATTTTTTGCTATCATTTTAAAACAGTTGTTTGATTATTTTTTATATATGGCAGTGGTTTTAATACATGATATAGAAGTAGTTAAAAAACTCAATATCCTCCTCCGCCATACACAATTTTCTCACCCTTATCATCCCGTTAAGTAACCGTGATGTATATACGTATACTATTTAGAATTGCTAATATTAACATAAGATTTATACAGTTTAGTATTTAAATTTTAAAAAATAGCATATTTTAAACAATCTGTTTTTTAATTAACGAAGTAAGTAGTTTTTTTAACATTAATAGCTTTTTTTTTTTTGTCAAAAATTCACATTTATGTTTAGTGCAAATGACGAATAACATTGATACCTTTTTTAAGTTAATTCAATAATAAAACGATAAAAATTGAACGTTTACAAAACGATATTTTTATGGTTCTTTTGTTTTCTTTAAGGCGTTAAGTAGTTTTTCTAACTGATCGAAATGGAAAAGATAATATTGAATTGTATAAAATTTAAGCTTTCGTTGGCTCTTCATAATCGTTTTCTTCTGGCTCGGCTATGGCTTCACCGTCTGGCTCGATTTCTTGATCTGGTTCATCGTTTCCACCAGGTACCCATAAGCCGGAATCAACACAACGTTTCATATGCTCTTCAGCTTCTTTGGGATCCATTTCTGATATAACCTTTTTAAGTAGAGGTATATCTTTTTGCTCAAAGCATTCTTGTAAGCTTTTTGGAAGGGTTTCAAACACTTCAACTGGATCGAGACCTCCTGGCCCAAGTCTCTTTTGTCGTTCTTCTTCTTCAACCTCTTTCATTGCTTCTTCAATTCGAATTCTCGCTCGTTCTTTGACACGTGATCTAAATGATTCTAATTCGTCATTAAATGCATCCATATACTGTTTCTCAGCCAGTCTTATTCTGAAAGGAATAGGTTATCAGATAATACACAATGAAATATTCTTATTATACCTGGAGAAAAAGGCGTTAACACAGGATTTCGGATCAACCTTTAACTGTTTCGCCAATTCCAAAATAAATTGCATTACAATTGTTTGATGAGACACGTGTTTCATTAGCTCTTTTTTCTATAAGGAGTAAAACTTTGCTACACAATAATTTAATTAAATTATAAGCTACCTCTTGGCATTCAAGATCAATGCACCATAGCACTAAGTAATTTGCTGTTTCTTCGCAAACTAAATCAATATTTTCCTTAAGGTATTTCTCAGAGTCTTCGTATCGTCTCATCATGCCGAATTTTCTTATGTGAGATTTATATTTCGCCTCATGTTCTTTTTGGCGATCTGCGCGCTGCTCGTCACTTAATTCTTCGTCAGACGGTTTTATATCTTTATTGATAATCTAGAATACGTAGGTTATATTTTAATCAAGGGTTAATACGACTTTCTTACTGTTTTTGACTTCCCATCGTGACAGATTGTATCAACATTCCAGGGTGTGAGTCTTTCTTTCTTTTTCAATTCTTCCTCTTTTTTTGCAAATTCTTGGTCTTGTTTTAACAGTTCAGCTTCACTTGTCTTTAGCTTTTCCAACTCATCAGATAAGTTTTTTTCTTCAGCTTCTTTTATCTTTTGCTTAATCTCGGCCATTTTTTGTTGATGGCTATAGCAATTTTGTTTTATTTTTGCTACTCAGGTAAAATGTAAATTTCCTACCTTTGCACAGTTGATTGGAGACTCTGTTTTTCTTTCTCGGCTTGCTCCATTCTCTCCAATCTTGCTTGATGCCTCCATCGAAACAGTGATGGAGTATCAATGTTTGGATGAGTGTCATCCTCATCATCAGAGATCTAAAGTAGGAAATTTTCTTTATTTTGAAAGAAATGTGTAAAAGAAAGTTACCTCAATATGATCCCATTTACTGTAATCTAATCTAGACATTCTCTAATTTAAAGGGGGTGGCCTACTTAACAAAATAATTTCAAACTTTCACGTTCAGCCGTAAAATGTAATAAGACAGAGATTAATAGTATAGCGCGATTTCCAGAAGTTTCGATATCCTCCAGATGGCGCTGATCGTTAAAAAAAATAATCCGAATTTTCACGTATGAATTCCTCAAATCACTCTGTTAATTTTTAATCTGATCTTTTCGAAGGAATCTAATTTTAAACTAATTAAAATTATCAAGTAGATGGCGTTCCAGTCATCTGACCTTAGCATTAAGGAACAAAATAGGATTTTTAAAATGGACAATTTTCCGTACGTTATATATTATTACTCATTTAACACTTTGTTTTATGCAAGTAAATTCTTTCAGGTTTTCTTGTGACACGTTTGTAGCCTTACCACCCAATACTGAAAATGGATGCGTTATTTTTGGCAAGAATTCGGATAGACCTTCTTCTGAAGTTCAAGAAGTAATATATGTTCCGTCTGCAGATCACGATGAAGGCGCTAAACTATCATGCACATATATAAGTATAGAGCAAATCTCTCATACCTTTTCTGTTATTCTAAGCAAACCTGCTTGGATGTGGGGGGCGGAAATGGGCGCAAACGAGTTTGGTGTTTGTATTGGAAATGAGGCAATATTCACAAAACATTTTCATGCTGAAAATGATTTAAAGAAACGCCTCCTTGGTATGGATTTAGTACGGTATACTTCATATCTATGTCTTTGCTTTTTTGATTCTATGTTTGTATTCTTATTTGATAGACTCGGTTTGGAACGATCTAAGACAGCGGAACAAGCTTTACAAGTCATTATTGACCTTCTGGATAAATATGGTCAAGGTGGTCCTTGCTTTGAAGACCCTTCTAGACGATCACTCACTTATTTCAACAGTTTTCTAATTGCCGATCCAAAAGAAGCCTTTATTCTTGAGACGAGCGGGAAACATTGGGCAACTTTTCAAGTTAAAAGTGGAACAAGAAATATATCTAATCTCTTAACCATAACAGTGGATATTTACTCACACTCCGAAAATTTGAAAGATGAGGCTTTGAAATATGGCTGGTGGAAGCCAAATACCCCATTTAATTTTGCAGAGTGCTACAATTTAACACCTCCGTCAGGTTAGCTATCCGTCATTTATCAGAGTGTTACTTTAAAAAAGTTATATTTCAAGCGATGAAAATAAGCCCTGCAGAAATGCCCAAAGAAAGATACAATGGTGGAAAAAAGTTGTTAGAAACATATTCTGCCGGAGGAAATTTTAATGCTTCTTTAATGATGAAGATTTTACGAGATAAAAAATATGGAATTTGTCGCATAGGTGCTTCAGCTTCAGTTACAACTGCAAGTCAAGTATCAGTATTGAAAAGAAATGACCAGGGCCAGCTAGAGTGTACTCATTACTTTACAGCCACACCGAATCCTTTGTTATCTGTATTTAAACCTTTTACTTTTGGCCCCAATGTAGATATTGGTTCCAAAACAAGGTCTCCTCCCGTTACAGAAGTATTTAACGATGAAGTACCAGATAGACGACACGAATTATATGCTATTCACTCAAAATTAAAGCCACTTCCTGACGATTCCTCAGCAAGAGTAAATATAGACGTCGACGTTATGTCGAACCAAATCCGATTGGAGAGAGAATTATTGACTTTAAACTGGCCGCTGTCTAACGTTGTTTTTAGAGAAGCAGTGGACATTGAATTATCAATTTATGAATGTATTACTTCTGAAGATGAGTCTGTCCGCTCGTCTATTTCTAATATAATGCAAAAGGCTAACCACTTATCACTAAATTATTAAATACAAAATATTTTACTGCTGTACAAAGCGTTCATCAATTATAACTGGTAGAGAAACTGTTTCACTTGTTTGAGAGGTTGAAGGAATGGGAGGGCAAGCTGGTAAAGGACCAGAATCTTCTTTAGGAGTCTCTATATTCTCCCACCAGGGTTTTTTTGGACTAGCTTCTTTCGGTATTGGCTTTTCCTTTCTTTTTACTTCTCGCTTTTTAGTCTTTTTCTTCAACTTTGACTCCGTTTTGTGTCCATGTTTTGCCTTTGCTTCTTGTTCATCATCGGAGAATTCAAGAGCTTCAACAGGTGGTTCATTATTATCTTTCCAAGATGCATCAGACCCCTTCTGTTTCATTAAGTCATTGACAAAGACATATTTTGTAAAAGATTCATCTTTAGGCGCGTAATATATAGTATCGTTGACTTTTATATTTTTTTCAATAACTTCTTCATTTGTATTAAATCGTATCAGATAAAATGGTTGCATTACCGGCCCAAAAGTTTCAAATATGCTACCAAGAGGACGGTCTTTATCTAAAAAGAGAACGGTCTCCATATCTAAAGCAGGTGAGTTTTTCTCAGCGCATACAACAACAAGAACATCTACAATGGAGGAAATTTTTCCAAGAACTTTCATATTTTCGGGTGCTTCAGTTATCTGTAATTCTTCAATGGCGGGTAAATCAGCTAAGGTTAATTCTCCTGCTGTAGTTGGAGGCCCATCAGAGTCAAGTTCTTCTGACATAAGCTTATCAAGTTTAGAATGTGTGATTTCGTTTTCGTCATTGCTCTCATCGTCACTAGAACTATCGCTTTCATCGTACGGTACCAAATTCAAATTCGGTTTGGCTGTTACTTTTGTGGGTTTTGGAAGTTTAGCGGTTGGAATAGGTGGTAATCCTTCATCAGACGATACCTCGGGAGAACAAGAGTCGCTAGAATCGAAGAGAAACTCAGCTTCGTCGCTTGCATTATTTTTCAAACCTTCTGGTTTGTTTGCCATTTCACTGCACGTGCTATAAAAGCTGTCAATGTTTTGCGCAAGTCGAATTTAAAAACGGGGTGTAGAGATTTGGCCTTGACCTTTAGTGTTCACGTTTTCTTTGAATGTTTTGTTAAGGTAATCTATTTTAAAAGGGACTAAGCATCTGATGGAGATAAATCAGGGTAAAGTACTAAACACTAAGTTTACCCCCGATAGTTTGCAATATAAACCTTCTGATAAGAATTATTTAGCTGTTGGGAGTTATGAACTTGATGTAAAAATAAAATTTGAAAACTTACTAAACAAAATCTTAAACATTGCGTTGATTGCAGGCCGAAGCACAAACTAAAGCAGGTCAATTAACAATTTATAATTTAAAAGAAGAGCCTTCTATAGAAAATTCATTTAATATTGAAAAGGGTGCATTGGATTTAAAATGGATTTCAGACAAATGTGTGATAATGGCAACTGGCACAGGAAAATGCGAAATGGTTGACATTATTAATGATACTTCAAAAAACTTACAATTAAGTGACGGCCTATGTTTGAGTATTGACAACTCACCAGAGACCTACTATTTAAGTGATTCAAAAGGTTATTTATACCTAATTGATGCGAAAACCTTTACTTCAAGCTCACAAGTCAAAGGATGCGATTACGAAGCATGGACTATTCATTCAGACATTAAAGATGCAAATATATTCTATAGTGGGGGAGATGATTGCAAATTTAAAATGTGGGATAAAAGGAGTATGACACAGTGTTTCAGTAAAACTTTTGATATGGGAATATGTAGTGTAGCTTCACATAAATCAATAGAAAACTTGGTAGCTTTCGGAAGTTATAATGAAGTTATATACTTCTGGGATAAAAGGGTAAAGAAAATTCTAAATGAGATTAACGTAGGTGGAGGTGTATGGCGATTAAACTGGCACGAAGAATTTCCAAGTATACTGTCTACTGCAGCAATGCATGGTGGTTGTAAAATATTAAAATATGCAGCAAAACGTATGTTAATTTTTTTACAGTATATAAAGTAGTTTTAATCCTTTAATTCCATTTTATTTTTAGCCGAAATTCTTTGTTCCTATAAACATCACGAATCGATGGTTTATGGTATTGATATAAATTACAATGTAGTAGCCTCTTGCTCTTTTTATGATCGTAGTCTTCAGTTATGGACTGTACCAGAGAATTTAATAAAAGAATCTAAAGATGCAGTTGTTACATAAATAATGATATCATGCACTTGTTTAATTTTACCAAATAAACAAATAGTAAGCCTTTCCTGACTTATAAATAAATTGTAGATTTGCTTAACTAACTAGTCAGTAATAGATGGATACAGTTGTTACATGAATATCGAAGTAGCATAAGAGCTAAAAGCTCACATCCACACTTACGAACTATTCGAAGTGAAATCTGCGATTGAACTTTTCGCTGTCGAAAAGGAAAGAACTAACGAAATCATTTAGGAGAACTTTAAAAATTTTTATTTTATTATTCTAATTAATACACTTACTATACAATAATACATTATTGTGTAATATATATTGACAATTAACGAGGTATAATAAGAGTATCGCAAGGTGAATTTCTCATTACAAACTCAGACACTGAACCCACAAGTTTTTTTGCCCAATTTCCCAATCCACGTCTACCCAAAACAATCAAACTGACATCTGTTGGAAGTAATAATATATTAAATTGTGAACATTGTATAGAAAACCATATTAAATTAATTTCTTGCCTTCTTTCTCCGCAAGACGAACAATTCCTTCTCCTGGTGATGCGAATGTCTCTCCGCTTAGAATTTTATACTTTATCTTCTTTTGGACCAGAATAGCTTCATAATCTTTCTCTATTGACTGAGCCTTTCTGACTTTATCTGTTAGTATTTTTGTCCATTCTTCAACAGGTAGTTTTAGACCAGTTTTAAATGTAAACACTGGCAAATTGGGTGTTTCTGATATATGAATTAGTAATGCGGTATTACCATCATTATGTATTTGATCAAGGTAAAAATTAAAAGCTCTTCTAGAATCCTCGCTTCCATCGATAGCAATTAATACTCTTCTTTTACTCATATCTTAGAATATACTATCTCCTTCAGAGTTAGATATACCTATGATTTTCGTTTTAAAATGAAGAATAATTTAAATTTAAATAAGATCTTGATAATTAATTTTTTAAATAAAATAAAAAGAGACTGTCCATATATGTAATTAATCTATAAATAGTTAGATATATATAGACTGCACAAGATATGTATATTTAGATGATGTTTCAAGAAAAACATTATTAGAGTATGTACTTGTCACCCATATTCTATTTTTATATGATTATTATGAATAAAATAGAAGATGAAAATGATAGGCAAGCTAAAGAATTATAGATAATTAATCTTCAATCTCGTAGTCTTTGTTTACATATAGTATACCTATAGATCCTTTGTAACTAAAATTGAAAACGAGTATAGAGACAATACGTCATACTGTCTTTTTTTTTAAATTACATTTTCATTTAGATAATGTACTTAATAAGTAGTCATTGCAAATTTTCTCTAAAGAAAAAACAGTCCTTTTTACTCTCCAGTACATTAAACACATTTTGTAAGAAAATAAGGGAAAGTATAAATTAACAATCTATTAGATCTTATAACACAAATGAATGTTAAATATTGATTTACACTGGTGCATAAGTAATAAAATGTATTTTTCTTCGACGTTTTTGTTATGTATATATTTATATATACATGTATTGAAAACTCTAATGTTTCATTGGTTGAAACATACAAAAGAAAAAGATAAAAATAAACAGTTAACAATTATTAAGTGAATTTTCTTCAAGTATTCTTTTTGTCGTTATAAATAGTTCAGTATTGTTGATACCATAATAGAAAAAAGTGCGCAATTACACGTTACAGAAAATCCATCTCATATTTAACTTTAGAATATATACTACGTTAGACAACAAGGGTAATTCGTAAGGTATGTACAAAAAAACTTATAGGAAAATTTAATATATGCTCTAATGCTATCAAAGAGAAGGACTTAGTCTTATGAAAAATTCAACAATTATTTCTATTACAAGATTAGGCTGATTTAGGGCTGTCTTCCCGAGGACTACCTCCAGCATTCCCACTATTTTCATGTAACAGAATGTATTCTCTGGATGAAAATCCAAATTTTAGAAGGTCTTTTTCAATAAGTTCTACATAACGCTGAGCTTCTATACGTTCTCCATTGACATATGTTCCATTCGTTGATCCTAAATCAATTATATAAGGTACTACACGCTTTCCTTTTGATCCATCTTCCCGTGTAAACGGCATAAGTCTATATTGAATAACAGCGTGTTGTTTTGAGCATGAAGGATGATCTACTGGCATATCAGCAATTTTTCGATCTCTACCTATTAAATATGCTGATTGTCTATGAATATACAGTGTGCTTAGGGCTTCTCCTTCTTTAAAAGGATACAATCTCCATCTCTTCTTCGGCTTCATAGCTTCAGGTGGCTCCGCATACTTAATTACTACACCTTTATAGGTATTAGTTTCTGCTGCCAATTTTCCCGATAAACCAAAATTAGGTTTCTCTTTAGGCTTCTCAGGTTCTTTCTTTTCGTCAACTTTTTCTTTTTTACCGAACATATCTGAGTAAGACTTTGCGTGTTGTGAGTGTTTGGGCCGATCGTTTCTTCTATCCTGTTAAGTTAGTTTAATGACTTTAGAAAGAAGAATTAGTAAAAACTGAAAAATAACTCACCCTTCTATCATATCTATCTCTCTGTCTTTTTCTATCATAGGAATCTCTTCTTGGACTCTCTGAATCAGAGCTATGCTGTCTCTTAATATCACGTCGTTTGGCACTCCTGTCGTCACTTCTCCTATCTCTTCTATCTCTACTGTAAGATCTCTTAGAAGACATTTTAATTTCTTATTTGTATAAAATTCGCCGTCACGACTGAAACGTTTCCCTCGTTTTTCGTGCAAAATTGAGTACTGGGCGATAAATGGTACTTCCTGTCAATTGCGCATGCGTCGACGATTTGCTACCGCTAAATGCTTCGCAAAGTATATTGAATTCAGCAGTTAGGCTAGTTTTGCTTTGCTTAAGATTTGATGCATAAAATAAAACATACAATTCTTAGAAGTTTCATTCAGAAATTAACTGTTTTATCTTTTTAACTAACAAAAAATCCAATGTTTACAAGTTTTTATCATGGTTTTGAAATGCCCTGCATAGAGTGGCACAGCATTCCGAACCCAAGAATGATGAGTAAAATATTCAGAGAAATCCTAACCAATCCGGCGGATATACCAGTCGCGTTAGTTTCCTGTCTCCATTTTACACTGCAAGAGCAGACATTTTCCAAAGAAGCGTTGTAAGGATGTCGGAAATTGAGAACGAAGAAGCTTTACTAGGTGAACATGACGATGGAGATGAAGTTCCAGAGGAGTCCTTGACGTTAGATGAAAACGAAACCTTGGATAATGAAGACGATGTAGATTACACCTTCGGCGAGGAAGAAAATGGTGAAGAAAATGAAACGAATGATGGCAATGAAGAAGATGGAACGACCGAGGAATCTGATTTGGAAACTATAAAGGCTAGGGTAAAGGAAATGGAAGAGGAAGCTAAGAAACTTGCCGAAATGCAAAATGAAGTGGAAAAACAAATGAACATGACAAATCAGAGCATCGGTAGTCCAACAGCTAGTAGCACCGAAGATAAAATAGAGGCAGACTCTAGATCAATATATGTTGGAAATGTAAGTTCATTCTTTTTTAAAGCGAAAATGCAAAGAATTTTCGACGAAGCAAAGCCTTTATTTCTCCGTTGAAAATTCACCTCAAATAGATAATCATTCTAAAAATAACAATTATACAGGTGGATTATGCAGCAACAGCAGAAGAACTAGAAGCCCACTTTCATGGTTGCGGGGCTATTCAACGCGTAACAATAATGTGCGACAAATTTTCCGGCCATCCAAAAGGGTAAAAGATCTGAAATCAACAGTTCACAATTCATATATTTCAATAAAATTTACATTTTAGTTTTGCTTACATCGAATTTGGTGATAAAGACGCAGTTAACACGGCTCAAGCGCTAGATGACTCGTTATTCAGAGGCAGACAAATAAAAGTAAGTCTTATATTTGGGTGTTCAACATTTATCATAATAAAATGTTCATGAAAACAGGTTGGCCCAAAGCGAACGAACAAACCAGGAATGTGTACAACTAATCGTCCTCCTCGAGGAATGAGGTTTAGAGGAAGAGGCAGAGGGTTCTTTGGATTCACCCAAAGACGTCCTTTTAGAGGAGCAGGCAGGTCAGTTTGAAACATCTTAAGGATGTATAATTTTTTTCAGTGATAAAACACGATAATTGTTTCAAAATGGCTTGACTGCATCACTGAACGTGTTCGATGTTTGAATCAAATTGTAAGGCTTTAGTTGTATACATGAAGTCAGAGTAGATAGTTTGTTTGACATGAAAAGTTTCGAATTTCAATTCTCTTGTCGCCATACGGATAAGTGTTTTATCACAGTAATAGCCTGAACGGTTTGTATTTACGATAAATTCTGATGAAAATTTCTTGTATCATACTTAAGTTTTCTAAACATGAATTTCAACCTCTAAATTTCCCATTACTTTTTCAGCTGCGCTTTAAATTCCCCGCTTTACATTAATGAAATTTATAAACGCTGAGCCACCGCTAAATTTAAGTTACCCTTACAGATCTCGTCGTTATAATTGGTTTGCTCCTTATTGAAAAGAAAAAAAAAAAAGAAAAAAGAAAAAAATATGAAAAAATGTAGGAAAAAAATATGAAAAGATGAAAAAAATTGTTATATAGTTAAGAGTAGGATTGTATTTGTTTATATGTTTTCAGGTTTTTTCAGGTTTTAGAATCTGAAGAACTTTGCATTCTCAAGAATTCAAGCTAAAATTTTGTATATTTTATTCAAGTCTCATTGTTTCGTAATAATGTTTAAAATTTTGTTAATAAACGATATTGAGTTTCGTAACATTATTTTTTTATTTTAAAATTTTTTGCTTAAAAAACAGTACTGCGCAAATTACTCTAGTTTAACAATTATTCCAGTTTCTCAACTGAAAGTGTCAGTAAAAACTGGTATATTTTGTACTATTTCATTCATAATATTTTCATCATGTCAAGAACAAGTAACAAAACTGATGACACGTTTTCACCTTATTGGCAGTAAAAGCTTTGGCATTTTTATTCTTAAATAGTGAAGTGAGGACTTGCACATTTAATCAACTTTCATTTTTGATAAAAATGAAATTAGATTGAAGGTGACTTATTACGCGATAGTATAAAGAATAGGCGTGAGTGTAAAATTTGTACCTGTAAAAATCTTATTGTACCTATATTTTCACAGCTGTCTTAACAATTTAATGTAATATTAAAATATTTATAATAATTACGAAATTAGAAATGCCGCTATCAACAACTGCTGGGGGAATTTTTTTTCAAATAGAGCCATGTGTTCCCTTCCGCCCGCATATTCATCCTTCACTTTTCTAATTTAAAATTATTTTCAATCATTTAACAATTGCTTTCAGACGATGACAGAAAATGAATATTCTGGAATATTCTCTGATAAACAAATGGAGGAATTAACAAACTCTTTCGTTCAAAACAAACCACCTTTGAAAAATAATAGGAAAATTTTTGTTGATTGGAAGATTTACATTCTTATCACCTGCTTTGCAGCTTCTTCTTGGATAGATATTAATGGATTATGGGTAGAACTGCCATATTTTGTTGACCGTTTACCAGAATCTTGGAATCTATCGTCTTACTTAGTTATCATAATTCAAATAGCAAATATTGGGCCACTCATTTATACATTACTTGAAAAGGTTTCATCTAAAAGAATAAAGGAATGGCCCGTCATATATATAATAATAGTCGTAGGCATGATATCTACCGTCATGCTCTATTCTTTTTGGAACAAAACTGCCATAATCAACGGAAAAGAGCGATCCTTATATCTTTTCATTTTTGCATCGTTACTTGCTGTTGTTGATTGTACAAGCTCTGTAGTTTATTTGCCTTATATGGCTTTCTTCCATCCACAATATATGTCTGCTTTATACTTTGGTGAAGGTTTAAGTGGATTTCTGCCCTCAATGGTTGGTCTCATTCAAGGAACAGGTTCTGAGCCAGTATGCTTTAATCAAACTGTTAATTCAACCAATTCAACACAATGGATTTTGATTCCTAAATATAAAGACCCAAAATTCTCAGTTTCTGCCTTCATGCTCTTTCTTTTGACAGTTTTAACTGTTTCATGTATAGCCTTTTCTATCCTTCACTTTTATTATCGAAAAAGAATGGAGCATTATAACAAAAATGAAACAAGACCTTTAGGGAAATCTGATTCTCAAATTCAATCAAATCGGGCAAATAAAAATGAAACTGGCAAAGTTATCTTACTTTTAACTGTTACATATGTCTCTAACGCCTTTACAAATGGTATCATTCCGTCTATTCAAACTTATAGTTGTTTACCATACGGAAATCAGGCCTACAATTTGTCCGTTAGGCTTGGTATGTTGGCAAACCCTCTTGTATGTTTCATTGCCTTGTTTAAATGTATGAAAAATTCATGTTATATTGTTTTAATAACTGTATTAGGCTGTTTTTGTTGTATTTATCATCTGACAATAGCTTCATACAGTCCTGAAGTACCATTTAAAGAAGGTTGGATTGGGAAATGCCTAATCATTTCAACATCTGTCATACTCTTTGCATGTTTATCCTATGCTAAAGTCTGTTGTGCCACTTTATTAATGAATAACGGTAGGAAATGTTTGTTATGGTGTGGTGTGGTTAATCAAGGTGGTTCTCTTGTCGGAGCCTTATGTAGTTTCCTTTTAATTAACGTTTTCAAAGTCTTTCAGGTGGGCAGTCCATGTTAATTAAACTGTCTAGTAATAGCAATAAAATGAAATATATAAATTAGACTCTTAACAAGCAGATAATCCATTTGTAATTCCTATAATTCTATAAAATTGTTTGAAAAATAAATAAAGGACGCTTGTACTTGTTTGTAAACAGAGCAAGCAGGTGAGATAAGAGAACTTTGTAATAAACAATAATCAATAAATATGTGTTGTCTTTATTTATTTCCGATAGAGAACGTGAAAGGTCGCGCGGTGTAGGTCATTTATCTGTGAATTTCTTAAAAATGCTTTCAAGATTCTCTAATCTTTGAACTATATAGATAATTATCGACTTAATGAGTTCATTAGTTTTATTTGATCAATTAAACCAATGCATCAAATTAAGGGATAGTTTAACGATATTACTGTTTTCCAATTATACTGAAAGGAAGGAAATCATGAAAGGGAATAAAAAATACAGAGCATGTTTTTCAATAAATCAAAATGACCATTCTCTTTCAAAGATTCACCTTTTCACCGTTAACCAATCTTGCTCGAAATCTCCAAATATCGTGATATTTAATACCAGAAATTTGTCCACCTGCCCGTCTAGAAGCTATTTCTAAAACTTCTTTGGCAATGTTCTCTTGCACAGTACCTTCCACATCAATGTACTCACAATTACTTGAGGCGTAATGACAGGAAATTGCTTTTCTAAATCCGTTTGTCTTATTGGATCCGGAACCATGAATTAGAAGGGGATGGAAGAAGACGGTATCGCCTTGTTCCATTTCGAGGAAATCTCTCGGCATTTTGGGATCATAATCTTCTACTCCATGATACATCTTGTTCACACCTTTCTTCCAAGAGGGATAAGTATGCTTAAGTAGTTCGCCTTTGTGTGATCCGGGTATAACGGCTAAGCATCCATTTTCACGGTTAATTTTTTGCATTGCCGTCCAAGAACATATTATCCTTTCGGCTGGCCGAAAAGGAAAGTAATGTAAATCTTGGTGCATTGGATGTCTAGATGTATCGGTACCAGGATCTGGTGGTTTGTTGATAAGCATAGTGTGCATAGCCATAATATTATCTCCAATAAAGCTTGGAAGATAATTTATTATTTCTGGAAGAGAGCAATATTGGAATAAAACAGGGTCTTCTTGAAAGTCTTGAAGTTTATTTATAGCCTTATGCGGTTCCATATCAAGTTTTTTGGCTACAGCAACATCTCTCATAATAATCATACCAGGAACTTTATCGTCTTTATTCTCAACAATTTCAGCAAATCTATCCACAAATTTTTGAATTTTCTCTGGGGGAACCAATTTTTTTATCACTAAATAGCCATTTTTTTCGTAGAATTCTCTCTGCTCCTTGGTCAAAACAGATTTGCCACTAAGGGTATATTGGAAGTTATCATCCTGGTGGTGTTGAAGACTTCCTACGGCACAAGGTTTAGCCGAGAGATGTGTCCGAATTCTACGCAAGCGTTCTGCCATAATAAGAGTCCTAGTTCTCAACTTGCGCACTTACTTTATATACATACAGTTATAGGTCAACAACAAGCGAATGTTATCGCATCGCAACACTATACAATATATTTATCGATGAAATTAGTATGAAAAATGTATAATATTGAAAGATAAACGTTCTATGTCAATAGACAAATTCTCTTAAAAGAAATATATTTTCGTTATATTCCTAATTACTTGTTTATTTTATAAAAGAAATATTTGACTATTCTAATGAAAAGGGGGTAAACATTAATAAGAATAATGTAAATTTTTCAGAATAACTTTATTCTTTCTCATTCCGAAACTTTTACATCACAACATAAAAATTCAAAAAAAAGAAGCTTTCCATTACAAAATAACCCTTTTCTTTATCTAATTAGCGAGAATTAGACCTGCTCCTTGATCTTGACCGCTTGCGCTTGTCCTTTGACTTGCGCTTTCTGTCTCTGCTCTTAGAACGACTTCTATGCTTTCTACGGTGTCGGTCCCTACTCCGGCTGCGTCTTTTGTCTCGATACTGTTCACGGCTTCTGCTACGTGACCTCCTATCTCGTCGATCATCGCGTCGACTGCTTCTGGCTTTTTCTTTTTCTAATCTACGCTCCATTAGATTTTGGCTAAAATCGTCTAATTTCTGTCGAATCTCAATAAACCCCAGGTGCAACTTTCCACCAAAATGATCAGCTAATCGTCTATCATTATCATGAATACCCAAATAGGCTGCACACACTTCACAAACACGAAGTTTTTGTTGTTGGTAACAAGAGGCCGGTATAGCATTGCGATATTCAACTTCCGAATCAGCTTTCCTCTTTTTCAGATTTTCTACTTCCTCCATAAGGGCTAGAGATTCCTCTACTCGTCCCTCGGCGCCCAACTCTTCAGCTTTAGCGAGTTTTGTTCCAATTTGTTCACCGAGTGCATGAATATCATCCCCTGCAAAGGTAATTTCTTAGGAAATTAAATATTTAATTACTTCAATTACCTTTTGCGAGAGCATCTTCCCCAAGTTCTTGCTGCGTCTCCTTCAATTTTTTTTTTGCTACTTCTATTTTCCTGTCACAGTCATTGATGAAAGCTTGAAGTTGTTCAGCCGCTTCAACATCATAAAAGTGATCTTTCCTCTTGGCTGCTTGCTCATAATCCGCACGAAGTCCCAAATCATGAATTTTTCTACAGTCACCCAAATCAGCTCTCTAAACATAACAGTTTAAATGTTAAAAACGTAACGTAATATTTTTAAAAAATAATTCTCGTATAAACTTACTGTGCTCGCTAAAATGTCGTGAGGACAGCAACCCAGAAGAAAGCTCTTACAAACTCTTGGATCGTCAAAAAGAATTTGCTGTTCCCTCTTTATTACACCTGTTGCGTAGATTATGATGAAAAACTTTTTGATATGTCCCAAAAAGACCTATTCGTTTGCTTTTCTCTAAACTCTATTACAATATAGAAAAAATGTACACATACGCACGACGAACACCGATAATTTCTAATCTTGGGCAGCTGCGAGTGGATTTAGGGGAATTTTTTAATACTCACCAAAACCCCTCTTATTTTTATGTTTATAATTTTTTGACCTAAGATGTTTTTACCTTACAACCCAACCATTTTTTTTTGTCAAAAAATAGGGTTATAAAATAAAACATTACGTAATCGATACAAGTTATTAACTCACGGAATGCCCGGAGATTTACTGTCTGCCCTATTATTTTCCGCGTTCATTTTTTCACTTATTCTGGGTAAAAAATAAAACGGTTTCGGTTACAACTGTCATCTGCATATTCATAAAATCCTACAATCATTTTCATAATAAAGTTTATATGATGCTGAAAATATTTCTTTATTATACGCTTTAGGTGATCATTTTTAAATCATGAAATAAAATCAATCTCACCATCTCGATTAGTACCCATGAGCTCGTCGAGCATCGCCCGCACCTGATCTGCTGCAGACATGTTTGCCGCAGTCCTATGAGTGCAATACGCTTGTTTAATGATACAAAAAATCGACGGACCAACGATTGAACCGGAAGTGATGCCACCTAGATTTAAAGTACAAGTTTCGTAAAATCAGTCCGAATTAAAAGAAGGCGATATTATTATAAATGCTAAATTTTTTAAAAATTTCAAATAAATAATACGAAAATATCCCAATATGTCCGAACTTCCGGTTATGACTTTACCTGGACTAATTGAAAGTTTACCTGCTTTTTAGCTCTTGATTCAGAAATCGGCTAAGATGAACATCCTGTATTATATAACAGCTTTGTTTATTTCCTTGAATATCCTTGACGTTACACTATCAGCACAAGGTAAGCGATTTCAATAAAAATTGCATTTAAAATTTCTGTCTTTATATAAACTCTAAAAAGAATAAAAAGGTTACAGATTTAAATTGCACGTTTTGGTAAATAAATCTGTAAAGTCCTCTATTGATTTTTTACATTTAACTTTGTTCAATATTTAAAGCAAAGTAAAAACGTTTACTTACTAAAAATAGTAAGAAAATTTCACACAACTTTTTTCAATTGGCAAAATAGAATGATATATACTTCTTAGATGATGAAGTAAATTTTAACCAAAATAACATTTTTTGCAGTCTCTCAAAGAAAAACAATCAAATGTTACGAATGCAACGTATGGAAAGCAGGCTATGGAAATTTATGCGAAGAACGTGAAGGCTCTGGTGCTTCAGTGGGAAAGAGGATCAGAGAAGGATGCAATACATGTATTAGTTTAATAACCGTTGCTAAGATTGGCTACTATAAAAACACACCGAGATATTCAAGAATTGTTACCAAAGTTTGCGATGTTAGTCGGCAGAGTTACTTTTCGAACGAATGTCATACTTATAAAAGTGGGGGAGGATCGTATAGAAAATGTTATTGCAGTACGGACTTGTGTAACGCTGGAGACAAAATCAGCTTCCAATGGATTTCCGCCCTTGGTGTAGTTTTAATAGGATTTGTTATGAATTATAATATTTCATAAGAAAAATGTATCAAGTTTGTAATTTTATCGTTTTCTTAATCGATTACAATCGAAAAGTAACATCACCTTTAGCTCTTATTGAAAAAAACTTGGCTTTTATATTTTTTTATTGCGCAATGATTGTTTTTTTTTTAAAGTTAATGTTATTATTACTTTGTAATAAAAGAATTGAATAATGTGAAATCTGTATTTCATAAATCATTTTAAGTTGGAATAGCTGTTCGTATTTATTCAAGGATCTATAATACGTGCTTTTACCAGTTAGCCTAGTGCAATGTCTGTCAATGACAAATAACTTTGGACATTTCCGCACTCTGATCATTAGGGAAACCTACTGGGGCTTGGGCTGCTTGATGTTGGCCACTAAGTGGAGCTCCGGTTGGATAAATACCCTCAACTGCAGGTCTAGCTGGACATTCTCCTCCAGTTTCGTTGAACCAACTTCCTTCTGAGAAAGGGTTACCTGGATATCCTCGATCGGCGGCGTAGTCTCGTCCCTGCTTATAAGCGTAGGAAGGATGGCCACTGTAGGTTGATGGTGATACATCAGTCTTGGCAAGTGCCGGTAAAAGAAGCTTTCCACCACCAGGCATTTGTTGGGTTTGTTCGTTGAGGCTTCCATAAGTATGAAGTTCCAAAGGCCTTGATTGTGTAAAGAGAGATCCCAGAGCAGCATAACCTTAAAAATATGACGATAATGTAATAAGGGTGCTTAGCCATTAAATCACTAAACAAAAAAATTACCTTGATGGCCTCCAGCAGCCATTAAGTCCGCTACATCCGATCGTACTGTTTTTAGGATACTCAACGCACAGTACTTGTCTTTCTCAAAAGGGAAGCAAGATAAAATGAATTCAATACTCTCGACACGTTCGCAGTCAGTTAGATATCTTTTAACAACATTCAATGCAGAAAGTTTGTCATTACCAATGGTGAAGCAGTTTATAATGTCTCGAGCCTCTGAACATGTCATTCGGCATAATCTCTGTAATCGATAAGTGTCAACTTAAATACTAACTATATATATTCAGTTAAATGAACAAGCAAATAAAAGGATAAACGTACTGGTTCTAAAATTTTTAGAGCCCGAACTTTATCTGGTGGAGTAGTTTGGGCATAAATAAGCCGCGAAGCTTGCAAAGCACTGAAGTACCCTTTCGAATTAAAGATCAGATCATGTTTCTTAGTTGGAGCAGCTGTCGCTTGATTAATTTCGGACAGTAATCGTTCAAATTCACGATCTTCCACAGCCTCTTTCGACATTATCGTTGTTGTTTAAATTGCGGGATAATCGCTTTCTTAGCAACCACTAAACTGGTTACTGTTTCCGATCTTTTCCATTCAAAAAATGTGCAACTGTCTTCACTTTAACTTTTTTTTGTGTGTTTAATAAATATACTTGTTAATTTCATTTAATGAAATATCCAATTTCGGCTAAAAAGACACATTTTTTTACACATTTTACATAAAAAAATCGTAATATTCGAATGTTCTTTTTTTTTCTGCTCGCGCGCTATTAACATTCAAGAGAACGTTTGTTTATTTTTATCAAATATTTATTAAAATCTTCAATATAAATCCGGTTAATTTGTAAAGCAAACAAATTCCTAAGTGTTTATTTGTGATTATTTAATAATACGGACATATAATCTTTAGTTATCTATTATATAAATAGGGAAATTAAATTATCTTGGAATTAATATTAAAAGCTTCTTTAGAGATTTATCATGAAAGATCTATTTATACAATAAATTATGTTATTATTTTAGTAAAATTGATTTGTTTGTTAAAAAACTTTAAAGCAAATAAAATATGATGTTATAAACAAAAAATAAGCTTGAACTGTTTATTTAATAGACCTACATTATCCAATTACTTCATCGTGTGTATCATTCAATACTATTCTATACTGGTAGTAAGGTCTATAGCCTGTTTAGCGGTAGAGATCGATTTATCTGCACTAAAAATCTACTATCATATTTTTTCAACCGAGTACTGACAATTTATAATGGATAAACTCTCTTATCAGAAGGGGACTGAATGAAGAGATATCGTCAGCCTGTAATGATTACCAGTTAACTTCTGTAATTTTATTGCCTAAATTGCTATTATCATTCTTTTATAACTTTTCTATTTTATCAGTTTATATAACATTAGTAAGGTTCGTTTTATGATATATTTTGAACAGAACCGCCCACTTAATTCAGGTTTTAAATCAATAATAAAAATTAAATTGGAAATAGGGCGAAGAATATGGATATTGATTCAAGTTCTTACAGTTTAGAGGATATTTTAGACGAACTATCCTCGGATGAATCAAAATCTTCTACGTTAAGAAGTTCTCATAGTAATTTTTTTCTTTTATTGTTAAAGTTTTATTCCTGGCAGAACAAAAGCTAACCTGTTTTCTTCATTGTTGTTGCATTCTTACAGATAGTGAAAATCGTTATTCATTACCTGTTGAAACTTACAAGACTACTAACGATATTAGCCCCGAAAATAGTGGTAACTCAGATACGGAAAGTGATCCAGATAATAAAATTCATAAAAATGATGTAAAAAATGTTTGTATTTACTAAAAACATTTTACTTCTTTTCTCCAGTTACATATGTTTAGTATATTGGTATATGTAGTACACTGTATATATGAGTACTGTGTAGTATCTTGTAAACAAAAATCAAATTCGACATAAACAGTCTCAACTAATAGCTAAATTACCAAAATTATTAGATAATTAATTTAATGTATTTGGTTATGTACAGTCTATGTATTATACTATTAAGCATTAATTGTATAAAATTGAACAAGTATGCCTATATGTTATATTTATTAATATATATCTTTATTAGGCGTGGTAAAGGTTAACTTCAATCTTAGTTGAAAATATTAAATACTGACAGGTTATTGAGTTGATATTTATAGGGTTTTTTAGTTTAAAGCAAAAATATATATGTAACAATTTTATATTCAGCTAGGCCTATAATATCCAATTTTTACAACAATTATATCAGGTTTAATTTTCCTTTACTAAATTCATTTCCTCTTTCTTTTATATCAATATACTATTAAATAAATTAATAACTTTTTTCTTTATACTTTTAATGCAGCAATCAAACTTTCAAAAGTTTGTTTCAAAGATTAAAAGAGCATCTTCTTTGACGTCTTCCTCAAGTAAAAATAATAATAGATACAACGATCAGGATTCATTACTGTCTTTTGACTTTTCACTTGATTGCAACAAACATCCCCCACCCGAATTAACTCAACAACCGGAAGGATTATGCAATATAAAGGTAAAGGATATAACATTAGTTTAATAGTATTTCTTATATATGCTTGTGTATAGTTTATATACACACACGGTATATTTAAAAATCTTTAATAAACATAGTTAATTCTATGTTATATTTTTATTATATTTATTCTTCTAATTTATTCTTTCTTACTAAAAATAGATAAAAAGAAGACATATTGTCTCGAATATTATAGAAACCGAACTTTCCTATGCAAATTCACTAAAACGGATAGTCTTCGTAAGAGAGTCTCAAATAACTGAAATCTAATGAGCCGTAGTGATCCTATACCCTAGTTTCCTTTTTCCATCAACTCAAATAGGCCTATGGTTTTGTTATGTTCTTTTATTGTAACAACAAAATGGTAGTAGTAAAACCAACAGGTGGTTAGTTAATTATATTGTCAGTCTTCTCTTTTTTAAATTATATAGAGAAAGAGAATGGTTTATTTTATTTCTTCTGCTTTAAAGTGAAGAGTCTTTTTTCCAAGGTTACTCTTCCGTGAAAACAAATAAATAAAAGAGGTTTCAATCCTTTCTTGTATGTCTCCCACATCGTTGTCAATTAAATAGATCTTATTACGAGGAATAGGAGCACTAACTTCTCATTAGATATAAAAATATATTAGTATAAAAAGGATTAATAATTTTTTTTGTAGGACTATCAACAATCCTTAGCCAATGCAAAACCGCCTATATTGACTGAATCAGAGATTGATAGTATATTCTTGTGCATTCCACAAATTCATAGAATTCATGAAATGTTTCAAATTGAACTTAGTAATGCTACACAATCTTGGGATATAGACGAAAGAATTGGAGACGTATTTACCGGTGCTGTAAGTAGTTATTTAAATATATTGCTAAAATTTTTTTCATTCTTGTTTTGTTGAAAAACAGTTTAACAAAGCATTGGTATTTGAAATTTATAGTAAATTTGTTAATAACTATACGACGGCATGTGAGACAACAAAGAAACTGATAGCAAGAAAACCAATATTTGCTGAATTCTTACAGGTATATTAATTATTTGTTTGTTTGTTGGTTTTTTAAAGTATATCATATATTATATTTTTGTTTGTTTGTATATAGCAAAAACAAGCATCTTCTCCAGATCGACTAGCCTTAACTGGTTTATTAATAAAACCTATACAAAGATTTCCTCAATTTATACTTTTGTTGCAAGACTTATTAAAGAGTACTCCTAGTGATCATCAGGATAGAATTTCATTACAAAGAGCACTTTCGGATCTTGAGAATTTAACACATAAACTTAATGAAACCAAACGCGAAAGTGAAAATAGATACTTAGTTCGTTATAACTAACTTTTTTAGAGATTATGCTACTTTATAATCACATTTTACAGATAAAATCCGTACTCTGGAGATGCGATGGAAAACCAACAAACTTTCCTAAAGTAGATAATGGCGAAAGATATTTTATTAGGCAGGATGACGTATATATAATAGTAAGTTTCTTTAAAATCGAATTACTAATACCCCATCACAATTATATTTATTTCTATATCACCTATAGGAATACGGAGAGAATGGAGAATATCAGAAGAAACCAAGAAGAATATTCCTCATGAATGATCAATTATTATGCGTTAGCGTTGCTACAAAGTGAGCATGATAATTATCTAGGCGTCAACTTTTAATAAATGATACTTATATTTTTAATAGACAAGGGGATAATGGGAGTGTAGTTGAAAAATATAAATACAAATGGATTTTACCAATTCACGAAATTGATGTTATAGAAGCCAGTGTTCCAATTGCCTATAAACTGAAAGCAGCTCATGGAAGATTATCGCTTGTTTCATCTAAGGAAGATGGCTATACAACTTATAGCAAAGATCTTGATAATCTCCTCCACGATCTCCCCTTAATAGAAGAAATAACAAACCTTGTCAGTCAATTGCGATTAGATCATGAAGGATTAAGTAAAGAATTAATGAGAAATATAACGAAAAGTCTGCAAACTTCAATTCAGTTGAAAAATGATGTAAATAAATGCATTCTACAATTTTGCGCATCTACAAAGTAAGTAATTTATCACAAAACTTGTATTATTTAAATAGCAATTATTTAAATAATTAAATAATTAGAACCGGTGGCAAGGGTGAAATTTATACTATTCAAGTAGAATCAGATGAAACTAAACAAGGCTGGCTGTTGGATTTGCAAAGTGCAAAATTATCTTTAGGTATTATATTACTAATTAACATTAATTCGTATTTGCATATATTCTGATAACATAATTAGATCCACGTAATAAACCTGGATGGGTGGTGCCCGAAAATGAACAACAATTTGTGTTTAAATTACCTTTGTTTATTAAGCCCTTGTTATGTGATATATCAATACTAAATACTCGGGTTAGTTTTAGTTATTTAATTATATCTATAAACTTATTTCACCTATTTTTCAGTTAACTTGTTCAGTTTCTGTTATTCTACCTTCTAGAAATGACCCAAAATTAGGTCATGAACATTTATGGGTTTGTAGTAGATCCGAAAAGGATACAGATCCTGGCCACGTTACAATAATATCTTTTCATACAACACCACCTCACATAGTTGAAGCATTTCAAGTAAACGATTTTTTCCAAAATATTAAAATCATAAAAAAATATAAGCAAAACCTAAATAGGCGTCAGAGGCTGCAATTCTGTGTGCGGAGAGCGTTACTGGTTACGGAGACAAGAAATTAAATGAAGATTTAGATGAAGATGAGACCATTTTAAGTGAAGATAGTGTCTGGATGGGTTTGGTTGATAAAACGTAAAATTTAACTAAATTAAAAACCTATGAAACAATTGTCAATTTGAATAATATATTTTTTAATTCTTTTTCAGTGTAATTGTATTAAAAGTAAATGATTTGGAAAGGAAAGATTCCTATTACAAATTCTCTATTCCAAATACGCCCATATGCTTAAAATTCTTCAATTCTACAATGTTTATTGGCATGGTAGATGGTAATATCGGAATTCTTCACAGGAATATCGGTAATTTAGCTTTTTTTGATTACTATGCAGATAATACAAAAAATATTTTATAGATGGTGTATGGAATAATAAAAATATGAGTCTACTAAAATTGGGGGATAGCGCTGTTAATGATCTTCATCTCTGCAATTCTTATCTTTGGTGTTGTAGTGGGAAATTGTTATCTAGATTATCTGTAACGGCAAAATTAGTGAATGACTCTTTTCAATATAAAATTCATAGGGTAATTTCTATATTGGCTCAATAATTGTCATGTTGACGAAATTAATTAAATAAATGTTGTTTTCTCTTAGGCTGATTTCGATTTGGCTTCCGAAAACAAATTAAAAGATTGTGAAGAGTCAATTAAATGTGTGGTCAATGCAGGGGCTGGTATCCTGGTGTCTTATGAAAATAGTGCCGTTATAAAATTATATCATAGAGAAACCTTTGAATATTTACAAGATATTAATGTTGCATCTGCCATACAAACTGTTGCTAAAGGTTCGAAATATACTCACGATTTCAATTTAACATAGCTTGAACATGTTTATATTTTACTTTGGTTAGATAAAAAAGATCCTATCTCTGCTATACATATAACCTCACTGTCAGCCGCGAAAGGTGTTCTATGGATTGGAACTAGCGTTGGCTACGTTCTCACTCTTCCACTTCCTAGATTGCAAGGAGTTCCACAGATACATGGACGACCAAATGTTTCACTACATTGCCAAAATAGTCCTATTGAGTTTTTAATAACCGTATCCTGTTCGAGTATAAGGATTGAAGAAGGGGATAGAATTCCATCAATTTTTGTTGAAGCTTTAGAGAGATCTCCTAAAAAATTAAAGTCCTTAGAAATAGACAGAGAAGAAAAAGAGGGAGAGGAAGGGGAAGAGGGAGGGGAAGGGGAAGAAGGAGAGGGTGACAATCTGAAAGTAAGATCTGATTCACTTTCATCTCTCAAAGATGACGACGATGACGATTGTTTCGACGAAGATAAACCAAGATGGAATTCGCTGACAGACTTGGACAGTGTAGAGTTGATATATGGGCATTTGTGCCATGATAATTATATTCAAACTGCTTCAAGTGTTCTAAAAAATACTATGCCCAGGGAGGCTCAGGGACTCAGATTTGGTAGAAAACTTAGTAGACGTTTCAAAAAGCACGAAAATCTCATAAAAAAGGTTAGGGGAGGGCAGGGAAAGAAAATTAATGATCTCAGACTGAGTCTTGAAAAAGGCTTAAATCGAAATCCTTCAAGTTCAACCAGCCCTACTTCTCCAAAGAGTCCTACGAGCCCTACATCTCCAAAAATTCCTACAAGCTCAGAGAGAAATCAAATTCAAATGGTAAATAAAAGTCTCATAGTTGCTTCTGGTGGTCAGGGCCATCGTCATATAGGCCAAGAAAATTTGGTAAAAAAGAGTAAAATCAGACAAGACGATGTATGTCTCCTCTTATGGCAATGTCGAATATAGGAAGTTATCGGTCTATTGGTTGCAAAAAGATCGTTGTAGCTTTGAAAAGTTGCATTCTCAAAGCATTCTCGGAAGATCCACAACTATATTCACCTTATAATGACGTATGCTACAAGTGTATATAGATATGGTATATATGTAAATCTTTTGTTCCGATGTTTATTACTTTTCTAATATAAATAACAATATTTACGTTGTCAAAAATATTTCAATCCCAATATTGCGCAATATATTTATTATTTTTAGTTAGTTTTCTAAGTATAAAAGTAAAATTTCACCATTGCAGTTAACCTCTACCTAAATAACACCTTAATATTTCAAAGCAAAAAGAGAAAGGTCGCAGGGTCGATTTTAACACACTTATTAAGCGAAAAAAATACATATACATTATATATTTAGCACCATTTGGTAGACGCTTCCCGAAGCCTGGGAAAATGATCTGTGTCGACATCTTGAGGAAGATCATCTGTAATTTATAAAATTATTTTTAATTAATAATATTTAAGGATTTTCAAATATTTACCGATGCATCTGTAACTAAGTTGAGAGAAGACGACCTTCTCCTGAGAAAATACTAATAAACCTAGACTGCCTCCCGAAAATGTTGTATCCCTTAAATTGCCAGAATCGATTATCTTTTCACTTCCCTCAAATATCCGTACTCTAATAAAACCAAAATCTGGTCTATGCTGTAATTTCCATCTATAAGAACTTCTCATCTTCCAAGAAACTTGGTTTGGATCCTTCCATAAGTTAGTAGTCTGCCCAGGGACGCTCATACTATGCCACAAAGAATTTCTCATCATTGGACCAGGTCCAGTCGAAGAACGAACTACTTTAATGTGAACCCCAGGATCGGCAACTGCTCTGAAAGGACTGGTCTCCCAGTAAGTTTGTCTGCCTCTTTTCCACATAACTGCATAGAAATGACTACTATTTGTATATCCAAAAACAAATCCAGCATAATCATTGTCAACCTTTGAATCGACGTAGAACGTGCCATCGAAATCCACTCCTGTAAATCTATGATAGCCCACGAATAATCCTGGATCGCTATTGATATGCTGAACGACTTCTGCTCCTTTATCCCGAACATCCCAATCTGGATCTTCCTGCGAGTCACCTAAAGGCAAAATTGGAAATAAAAATTGACAACAGAAATATTAAAAAATTATCCAACCAGTTGGATCAAGCATAATTTGGGTATAGTTTCTAAAATCAGTGTCAAATATTTCCTTATTTCTATAACAGACATCCAAGTAATCGGGTCGGTTATCTCCATCGCAATCTTTGTTGCATGCATCACCTATTCCATCTCTATTCAAATCCATTTGATCGGGATTAAACACCAATCGACAATTGTCAGCTGCATCCAAAATACCATCGTTATCATCATCCTGATCACAAGCATCTCCTAATCCATCATCATCACTATCTAATTGATCTGTATTCGAATCATCTGGACAGTTATCATTCTTATCTGGAATACCGTCTTCATCTCTGTCTGTTGTTCCTTCACAGGCATCTCCTATTCGATTTTTGTTAATGTCAATTTGATCAGGATTTGGAACATTAATACAATTGTCACAAACATCGCCGACATTATCTCTATCGACATCCCTCTGATCGTAATTAGAAACATATGGACAATTATCATCCTCATTTAATAGACCGTCACCGTCAATATCATCATCACATACATCTCCTAGGCCATCACTATCAATATCGTGTTGATTTCTATTAGCTTTGAATCTGCAGTTGTCGCAGATATCACCGACGGCATCCTTATCAATGTCGGCCTGGTCTCTATTTTTAATATAAGGGCAATTGTCCTCTGAATTAGGAATCCCATCATTATCTGAATCGTTTTCACAAGCATCCCCAACTCCATTACCATTAAGATCTTCCTGTCCACTATTCGGAACAGAAGGACAGTTGTCTTTCTTACAGTGACTGTCCGTACAAAGTAGGGATTCATCAGGATAGCCGTCGGCATCCTTGTCAAAGCTACAAAAGGTTCCATTTCCTGCAAAGCCGGGTTTGCACTTACATTTATAAGACCTTGCATTGAAATCAAGGATGCATTCGGCATTTTCAGGACAAATAATCTTGTTATCAGGACAGAGTCCACGTATTCTCGAACAACCAATCACCTGGTTACCTTCATAGCCAAAATTACATTCACCACATCTGTATGATCCAATTGTATTTATGCAGCGAGAATTTGGTGTACAGCCTCCATTATATTTGACACACTCATCTATATCGTGGCAAACTTGTTTCTTGAATTTAGCGTCGGCTGTTTAGATTTAATAAAATCTTAAACTTTTATTGTTTATGAGCAAAATAAGAAACCTTACCAGGACCTCTACCTGTAACTGCTGACCCTTCATAACCAACTGGACAAGCAGAACATCTATAGCCAGGCTGTAAATCAATACATCTAGTCAATCTATCGCATGGATTTTCCTCAATACATTCGTTGACATCTTCGCAAATAACTCCATCTCCTTTCATACCTTCTGGACATTTTCTACAAATGTACCCTTCATCAGAATCTTTACATTCAACTCCTGTTGCACAAGGTTTTTCAGAGCATCTAATTGGCCAACATCTTTTGCCATCTCCCTTAAATCGATCTGGACACTTTTGACAGTCATATCCACTGGGTGAATCGATACATCTCATTCCTGGTGGGCAACGTTGGGAATCGCATCGAACCGGAAGGCATCTTATTGTTGGATCACCAGAAAACCTATCAGGACAAGGCCCACAGATGGGACCGCTGGGAGAATTAGTACATGTGACTAGATAGTCACATGGTGGACGATGACTTGGAAAATTTTCACATGTTATTCTCTGACAATCAAAACCGTTACCCCAATATCCTGTCGGACAATCTCTACATCTAGGACCAAATATCGTGTCATAGCACTCTACACCTCTAAAACATGGCTGTGGAGGATCAGAACATTTACGCAATCGGCAAATTTTCCCATCCCCCACCAAACCAGGGGGACATGATCCACATGTTGGCCCTTTGTCCGTATCAAAACATTCAGCTCGAATATCGCAAGGAGGTCTCTGTGGCGGATAATCATCACAAGTTATTCGTCGACAATCCATTCCATCTCCCCAGAATCCCCTTAGACAATCACCACACTTAGGGCCGTATGCCATGTCACTGCAATCAACTCCAGGATAACATGGTCTAGGTGAATCAGAACATCTTCTTATTCTGCAAACTTCTCCATCTCCAACTAGATTACCTGGACAGGGACCACATTTATAGCCTTCCGGCGTATCTTCACATCGCACGTTTACAAAGCAGGGTTTGTCTCCACAGGTTATCCTTCTACATCCATTTATTCCGATACCATTACCAGTAAATCCAGAGCGACAAGATCCACATGTAAGTGTTTTACCATCATCATAACATTCCACACTTGGATGACAATACTGATCCTGACAAGTGATTCTTTTACAACCATTTTCTCCATATCCATCACCAGTGAAACCAGAGGGGCAAGGGCCACACTTAAAGTATCCTCTCTGATCGTCAATATCTGAACATATAGAATCCGGATAACATGGTCGATCTCTGCATGTTATTATTTTCTTGCAACCATCTGATCCAATACCGTTACCAGTGAAGCCTTGAGGACATTTATCACAAATGAATTTGCCATTAACAAGCTCGAAACATCGAACATCGCGGTAGCACGGATTACTAAGACATGGTGAACTTCTTTGACAAGTTCGTCCATCTCCAAAATAACCTTCAGGACAAGGTTCGCAGTGATAGCTCCCATCACTCTTGTCGTAGCATTTTCCAAAGCAAGGATAATTATCGCATGGTCTTAACCTGAGAAGATTCTAGCTTAACTAAAAAAAATATGTAAATGGGACATACTTTGCGCATTCGACACCGTTTCCAGTATATCCTGACGGGCAAGGACCACACCTAAAATTCTCTTGTCCCATATCAAAACATTCAACGCCCTTAAAACATGGATTATGGGAACACGATGAGAGTCTTTGACAACGAATACCATCTCCTTCAAATCCTTCTGGACATCTACCGCATCTGTTAATAATATAGCCACTATTAGATCTCTACATAAGTGGAAAAAGCATTTGACCTAAAATTGTCTCCATCCAAATCTTCACATATGACACCTTCATAACATGGTCGCCGACGACAAGGTCTAGCAGGTAACTTCAAACAAACAACACCATTTCCATTGAAGCCGTTTGGACAAGATTCACATTTATACATTCCTCTACCCAAATTTTCGCACCTAACGCCCCTAAAGCACGGGTTATTATCGCAGCCATTTATCTCTCTGCAAATTCTACCATCTCCGTCATAGCCCTCAGGACATCTTCCACAAAAGTAACCTCCATCATTGGTATCTTGACAAGCCACTCCAGTGAAGCACGGCTTAGACGCACAAGCGGGTATCTTTTCGCAAAATTTACCATCACCTCTATAATTTGTAGGGCATTTGCCGCAAGAATAAGTTCCATTTTCATGGTCGTTACAAATAACGCCCGGATAGCAAGGTTTGATAGAATTGCAGACGCTAACGTCCCGACAAAGGTCACATTTGGACAGGAACAATCTAAGATTTTTTGTTTCAGTTTGGTGTATTTTAATATCATTTCTTAATTCTTTCAAAGCTCCGACCAGCTTATCAGTTAGATCTCCGGCTGTTTTATGAATGAAATTAGCAAGTACTCAAATAAAATCTTATTAGAATAACGTACCAGCAGAAAATGCAGCATAATCATCATTGATCATTCTCTCTGCACCTCTAATAGTAGTAGGACAACCTTCTTTTATCAAAACTTCTTTTTCGTCAATATTTGTATAGAGTTCTATTCCTTGGCCGATGTTCTAAAAAAGAACGTAAACATACTTTTTTCCCGCCATTCTTGAAAAATTCTAATAACCTTCTATTTATATAACAAACAAAATAATAATATGATAAGAAAAATGATAGGAAAAGCCCTAAAATAGGCTTTTTTTGTTCCATGAGTCTTAAAGACATGAAAGAGAAGCTTTGATTAATCTTAGATGTACTCTTGTTGGGTGGGTGCTTTCTTTCAATATATGAAACTGTTGAAACATGTGCCAAGATCTTACAAACAGATGTTACTTTATTTTAATAAAACGTATGGTCGTATCTAATAAAGCCAATTATTTATTACTTTATATTAATTAGTTGCTTAACTTATCTTTAAAAGAGTGTTGTCGCGAAAAAAGTACCGTAAAGGATTTGCAGTTAGGATTTCAAAATGGCTACTAACCGTAATACTTGAAGAGTTTAATCGACGGCACCACTTCAAATTTACTATCTGTTTGTCAATAACAATGCAATCCTTGATAATGCGATAAACGCAAATTGATCTTGATCCATTTATCCGCGTATCAAAGTTAATAAGATAATTCCCGGATACAATACGAGTTAATTGAGTATCCCTTCTTCCATGTTCGTGTAAGATAACTATATAGAAATTTACTTCAATATAGTTTAAAAACTTTCTAATCATTTAGAGGATAAGTATGAATAAATTATTTGAATTATAAAAATTAAGACAAATCAATTAATTCAAAGTCAATTAAGAAAGAACTTCTGAATACTCACTTGATGAATATTTATGTTGAATTGCTGAATTCTTCTCGAACTTGATTAAAGTTGGTGTATGGTGAACAGATTTAATAGATATAAAAATTCCATTTTCTTCTTTTTTGAAACGAAAATAAAACAATGATTATTAACAAGATAATTAATTACAATAGCTCATAAACTTACCACGGCTAACTCCAATTAGGGTAGCTAAAAAGAAAAGAAAAGTCTTCATAACCAAGTTAGAAATATGAATATTATTAAACAGCTGCTGAGCTGCTGCATGTGTATGTAGATTGAAGAATTTCTATCTCTCTCCCTCTCTCTCTCTCTCTCTCTCTCTCTCTCTCCTTGCTTTCTTTTCCTCTAAACCTCCCAACCGCAGTCAAAACAACTTATACACAGATTATTTTGCCTTTTTCGTTATCTCTTTCACTCATCCTTATATTCCTGGAAATATGATTATTATTTCAATTAAAACTTATTTATTTCATTTATCATTAACGTTTTATTTTAAAAAAATAAATATAAATAGTTAACTTTTTGCTCAGTGTTTTTTGTCGTTTGATTTGTATTTTTATATTTATCTATTTTATCTTTTCAGTACAATTTTTACTGTATAATATTCTTTTAAACTAATTAATTTATTCACCTTTAAAACTAATAATAACAATCAATTAAAAAGAGAAAGGAAATGTTTTTTTTCTTCTGTATATTTTTAAATCGAAATTAATTGAATATATCGGCTAGATTGAACTTATAACTAATTTAGCTAATTAATTACTTTTTATGATAGTTAAAGATTATTAATCAAAGAGTAGGCTTTTCTTTAACAAGATAAAACTTTTAAAAGAATTCGATTTTAGCATCTCTTGGGGAAACTGGTTTATAGCTGAGTGTTTTTCGTGTTTCTTAGCAACAAGTTTAAACAGGTTTCTTCGGTAGAAATCGATAGAGAAAGGTGTTTTAGACGAATATTTTTTACATGATAAAGTATGCTAGAGGAATTTAGAAGGATATATATACAATGCTGTGGAGAACAAAAGCATGAACCTCAAGATAGTATTATTAGAGCTTTTAAACATGTTGTAACAAAATCTTCCGGAGTTTTGCTCAATCTCAGTACTTTATCGCTGTCCTTTGCCAGTTGTGTAGCTTTAGGAAAAGCTCTAGAGGGTGACGATGTTATTGGAGAGTTGTACTTAAACGACTGCATGCTAAGTGACGAATGCGCTGAACATTTATTGAGAGGTTTAACGAAACATCTTAAATGTACTAAATTGGAAATGAAGGGAAATCAGCTAAGAGGAACGGCAGCAAGAGCTTTTTGCCATTTACTTAGATATAATAAACGTTTAACCAATGTAGTCTTAGAGTGGAATTCTTTGGGAATGCTGGATGATGCGTTTGGAGATTTGTGTGATGGATTAGCAGAGAATACTAGTGTTAAGGTGTTAGACCTGAGAAATAATCAAATTTCCATGGATGGTGCAAAACATATTTCATCCGCTTTGAAGAGAAATAGAAGTTTGAGAGAGCTAGATCTGAGATGGAATAATTGTGGACTTATAGGAGCTAAGTCGATCCTGGATGCTTTATCGTCTAACAAAATAATCAATAGATTGGAAATTGCAGGAAATAACTCTCCTTCAGATATTATTAAGTCAATAGAGGCTGCTATTGGTTCAAATTGCGATAACAGTAGCCTCAAACGACAATCGGAGGAGAGAACAAGACTTTTGACTAAGCAGTTGGCCTTTACCGAAAAAGAAAAGCAGCAGAAAGTTTCTAGTGCACTGACTCTGCTAGAGAAGCAGGAGGAAGCTTCAAGACTTGCTGATATAGCATCTAGAGATAGAATTATAGCCTTACAAGATGCACTCCATGAGCGTCATTCTCACTTTGAAGCTCTAGCTTCTAAATTGACAATAGCTGAGTCGGAAAACATTTTAAGTTCAAGTAAAGTGGAAGAACTACAAGCTCTTTTGGAGGCTTCCCGGGAGGAGAGATCAGCAATTGTATCGGCAAATCAGCATCAACTGAAAACTGAGAGAGACAAAAGCTTAAAAGCCATAGCCAAATTGGAGAAAGAGCTTACAGAAGTCACAGAAAAGTTACTATCTTCGGAAGGACAAACTGAACATTTGAGGCGGCAGCTGGAGCATGAGAGAAATAATGTATGTGAACTCAAAGAGCAACTAGCTAAAACTAAAGCAGATCTTAAACTCGCTATCGGAACGTCGGAAGAAAAGATAACAGCTGAAAGGGCAAAGGCTAGACAACAGTTAAGGGAGGAAAACGACAGAGCCAAGAGAGAAGCAGATGAAAGGGTTCAAAGGGTCGAAAGAGAACGAATGGATCTCGAGGAAGAACTTCGTAGGGCTAGAGCTACAGCTGCATCTGAAAAAACCGCTATGGAACAAATGATCGCCGACGTACGAACAAGGGAAAGATCGTCGCAAGAGGCAAGAGTTTCAGTTGCTGAAGAAAAAGCTAGAGCGTCTCTAGCCTCAAAAGATGAAATTCAAAGTCAACTGTCTCAGGCGAATAACGAGCTGTCAGAATCTAGACTAGAAATTTCGAGGTTAGAAAGAGCCAAACAGCAAATGCAAAGGAAAATTGACGAGTTGGAAAGAATCTCTGTGGAAGTTCAAGCTGAAAGGTCCGAACAAAATACTTTGAAAGAACGCGTTACTACGCTAGAAAGACAACTAAAGGAAACAAATTCAAAAAGAATGATTGATAACGAAAGCCACTCTGCAGAGGTTGATAGAATAAACCATAAATTGCGTCTCAGAGAGGAAGAATTAGACAGAATGCGAATGGAACATTCTCAAAAAGCTTCACTTCTTCAATCTGCATTAACAACCTTCATAGCCCCATCATCCACAGGTCATGGTACATCTACGGCTGCTCTCTAATCAGGATATAATTTTTTTATACTTTTTATTAAAAAGAACCAAGATAAAGATATTTAGAATTATTTATTAGTATATATTGCATTTTTAGTTAACAAGGTTTCGTATTCTTTGTAAGAGGTAATCAAGTCTGTATTAGTTCTTTCATACTTGTATTCTGCAAATACAAAATATAAAAAAAATAGATATCGTAATAACGAGGGAAAGAAAGAAGGAAAAGAAAAACACGGAAAAGTTTTTTAATGAATTTATTTATATTTTTTCAACAATAGTTATATAAAGAGGAGTATGATGAGAAAGTACTGACAATACTCCTTAGCATGAAATTCCCGATATTCATAGATATATATATTAGTATATATAAATATGTTAATATAAAAAGCAAATGAAGTTTTTTACTTGATTGAACTTTTGTTTTTCCTTTATTATTTTATAAAAAAAGTATGGTTCCATATTGAACTGAACACAGTTAATTCCGACTATCTTTAATAAAGACAGATGATAAAGCACCTTCTTCTTTCTCCTTCTTCACCATCTCTTCTTTTCACCTATATTTACATCAATTATTTTTATAACATATTCTTAACCTTCGGCTGCATTGACAATTTGCCAATCGGGGATGAATAAAACAGTTTGTTTCAAAAGTATTAAACTTAAAACAGTTACATGATAAATTGGAATATTTTTTTTGAATAGATTACAACATTCCACTCTGTCTCTCGTTTCTCCAACAACTATATAATTCTTCTCCCGAAGTTGGGATATCTTTGGCATTCTTGCCAAAACAGTCGCTCCCATTTGCTTAGCTAAAACGAATAGCCATCGTCCCTCTGTTTGTACAGATTTACAAAAGTAAATAAAATAATCTTTGAGCGGGCAGCCTCTCTTGCTAAGAGAAGTTTGAATGCATATATTCGCTTCCTTTTCAACAGGTGAATCCTTTAGTTCATATTCCTTTTCATCTAAGAACTTTTGCTTTAAATAAGATTCTAATAACCATGAACAATTAACTATGTACTTCGTATAACAAAATGTAGTAAGAAAATTCGGAGTAATAATTAAACCTTCAGATACAACATGAGAAACCTTTTCAATATCATCTCCTTCAACAACTTTACCTCCTAGAAGAGAAACCATTCTAGCGAGTAATAACTTTTCATGTCTTTTATACCCAGTAATAGCTACCATTGGTACGCTAGCTGAACTATATTTCATTTCGTCTTCCTTTCTAGTTTCTAAGTAGAATTTAGCACGTTTTATAATATTTTCATATCTATCTTTAGGGAATGTTAAGTAATCGGAAATTTCTAAAACTTTAGGATTAGAAGAATCATTCTTAATTTCATCTAAAGTTAATCGTTGACAATGTTTCTCCAAAATACTGGGTATTGTGTGTAGAATACTTTCGTCAATTTTCAACGGGATAGTCCAAGATTCTATTGATAATTAATTTGTATATACTTATAAATATACTTTGAAGATAATATACATACTCATATAAACTTGTAGTGAATGTGGATCAAATTCTATTTTACCATTAACACTAGTATATTCTACTTTGTTTACGAAGGCTGCTTCTTTCTTTAACTTTGACATATATAAATCGCATAACCATTTATAATTTCTAACTGCAATTTTCCAATTATGTGCCATTTTAAATTTTTCAGTGTTGGGACTATTAGCCACAAGAACATTATGACCTTGACCAAAGCTACTAGTCCAAAATCCACCACACGCTTCTAGCATATCCCTTACGTGTTGTCTTATTGATTCGTTATTAAAACCACTATGGCACACAGTAGCATTGGCTAGAGGTTGTTTATTAGGATTAATACAATCGGGAACGTGGGCCATAAGCCACGGTGGCTCAATTTTTCCTTTATCAAGTACGTCGTTGACCCAATGAAAAGTTGTACATCTAATGCCATTATCGAAGGCATATTTATATTCCTTATCATATTGGCTTTTAGTAACAATATGATTCACTTCTGAGGTAAGAGTGTTTGAGACAATTCCGCCATAATTCTGTATACACTGTAAAGTAAAATGATTAAAAATCTATTTATAAATTATAAACTATACGTACAGAAATCCACGACTTCATTAATTCTTTATTATCTCTATGTTCAACAAGACTTGGACTGAGGTAGAAAATTATCCCAATTAAACAAGTTTTGGCGGGAATTCCTGTTATAAATAAACATATAGTAAAGGAATGTTTTTTATTATAAACAAATACATACGTTTTTGCTGTTCCTCATCCCGTCCATATAATCTAAAGCAATCGAAAAAATTTAAAGACCGTAATAATAAGTATATAACAAAGAAGGTCTTACCTTTTTGGCTGATCATCCGAATAACGACTTTCACCTGTTTTTCTAACTTTTCCTGATAAACTTCTTATCCTTATTTCATCCTTTTCCTCATTTAGTTCTACTTCTTCAATTTTTCTCTTTTTAGATATCGGAATTTCTTTTTTTATTTCTTTTAGATCCTCAACTAAAATTGGATGAAATGCATCAGCAGGCACCTTTGTTTTTTTTTGACAGCACATTGTTAACCATTTCGATGTGACTAATGAAATTTCTCCAATTCTTTCCAATTCCATTGATTTATTAAATAATTTGTCAAAACTCGTTTCAGATGTAATAATATGGGTCAGCTTTGAGTCGTCTTTACCATTTATATCTGCCCCTAAAATTTGGGCTAGAAAAGAGATTTTTTCCTCGTCCGATGATGCAAGACCCCAACTTCCTATACATGTTCCAGATAAAATCCTTCTTAGATCAGGTTCGAATCCTTTTATACTGACAAGGCGTTTCTTCCTATAGCAAGCAATAACCCACAAGGACTGGACGATTACTCCTGCGTATAAAAGTTCTTTTATTGTTTATTTAACAGATCAAGTAAAACATAATTGTTAAAGTCAAATTAAACTAACATTTTTTAGCAATCACTTGCAAAATATTGCACCTACCTTTGAATAAATCGCGGGCTTCTTCGTACTCTACTTGATCGGCATCATCGCAAATGAAATGAGTTACTGAATTTGTTTTGTACATAGCCTCTCTTGCACCTCCATCTTTCAAGAGTTTCTCCACCTCCTAAAATTCATACAAGACATTAGACTCAGGAAATAATAGACAGATCGTCTGAAATATTAGAATTGAGTTAATAACCTACCCTTGTATCTCCTAGAAAACAGTACTCTATATCCTTAAATAATCCCTCGGGTGCAGTGCCTATCATTTGATTAATTTCCTCTAAAGTTATAATGCTGCTTATTTCAGCCATATTCACTCTAATACCGGCAGCTAATCATATAGGATCGACTCTTGACTGCCTTCAGCAGCGCGTTTCGGATACTCGAAATCTGGTGGCCTGGAAGATAATATAAATTTTAGATCAAACGTTCTGTGGGGAATTGGTAACCAGTCATGACACATTTAGCCGGGAGAAAACCGGTAAAACAACATTCTGTGATTTATACGAAAAGTCGAGTTTTATATTTAAAATTTATTTCATCTTCAGAAATAACTTTTTAACCTTATTTTAATAGTATTCTAAGAATGAGTTTTTCTTTTCAAGTTAAATATATGAGACCACTATGTTTACGATTCTGCACTTTTGCGCCATCTATCATTCAATTTGTATATCCTTAACAGTCAATTTGTTTTTTCAGTGAGCATGCGCATTAGCCTACTATAAAAAAGGATTGTCGTTTGTTATAAAGTTTAAAGCGGGCTTTTAAAAAAGTTTACATACCAAAAGATGCGAAAATGAAAAAGACAACTGTATTTCATTGATCTAGAGTGTGATTTGTAAATATAGGCTTAGTATATTCCCCCCTTCCCTCCTTGCAAGACTGATTGACGATTATAGTTTTTTTGCAGAGTAAATATTTAACTATTTGATTTTTTATTGCTTGCTGTTTTTATTGTAGAAAAAAATCCTAATTTTAGATCTCAGATGGATGTAATTAACTGAAAACATTTTACCCAAGAAATTAATGAAAGCATGTTGGGTTAAAAGATTAAAGCATCAGACAGAAAAACCTCACTAAAACACAAAGTTGTTCATTAATAACTATTAGAAGTAATTTTACCAATTGATATTAATTGATTAATTATTTTTATTGTACAAAGATCTTTAATAGTACCAGTTTGTACAAGACAATTAGATCATAGAATTGGAAGACAATTGAATTCTTGCACCAAAGGTTTACAATAACTAATTAGTTAGAAGTCTAATGGTTAATGCTAATGAAAGGAACATGAATATCTGCTTTCGTAACAACTACCTCTGGAGGTAGATCTTCAGTATCGCTTATAGATATGCGAACATTTTTATCATCTTTCTCACAAGTTTCAACAGTAATTTTTGGGGATTCGTCGACGTTGTCATCACAAAAGCTAACTGATGTTTCCCTTTTTTGACCAGTTCTTATCACTTTTATAGAAGACAAAGTTTCCCTTTCGGTAGGCTCTCCCTCAGGTATGGGTATTTCTATTGATGACCCCGAACTACAAGACCTAGTTACCGTGATCACTCTTAAATTACTCTCACTTGAGGCTCTCTCGTCACTATCGACAAGTGAGTTGAAGGACGGACTTCTTAAATTTGGAATACTGCTGTAAACTCGCATTGAGCTTGGCACAGATGAGCAGGGTGCTGCTTTGAGAAGGTATTTGTTTCGAATCAAGTTTTTTACAGCTGTTTTCAAGTCTAATGTCAAACTACCAATAGGATATCCTTTCCTTGACATCCTTTGACAGACACACGCATCAATCTGTATTTTTTTGGTTTGAATGGTATCTTCTGTTATATTTTTATATTCTAGAGCTTTCGTAAAATCAAATGTACTTGGTTTAAGAGAATTGGGTTGATGAGTAGACTCGTCATTAGTAGTACGAACCCGTACTTCTTCAGTTCGTCTTTTATATAGCTTTTTTAGATCGGGGATGAGGTAGCTTTTCACGTAAATCGTATATATAGTTGAAACGTCAGCTATTGAATAGTAGAAAAATAGGCTACATTAAACATTAGCAACAGAGGCAAGCCTATTTAGTTTACTTCAGTTAAATAGTTACCTGGAGGCAGAATAATATCGGTTAATTTCCATACACGAACTTTGAACATTTTTGTCTTACTATTGTATTCAAAGGACATATCTAAAAGACCCATAGCTGTAAAAAATACAAAAGCAATTGAATATTTTAAAAAGTGATCTAACACGTTATAAAACAAATATGGTTAACTATTGTGGAACAGATAATCCTTTAAAAAGCTTTATATACCATTCAAACAACAAATATTAATTGTAGATTCCCTTTCAATGAATAATTTCTAATAAACCACAAAAACTATTTGTTTTAGTCCTATAATCCAACCAAAAAGCAAGGCTGTGCTAATAAAGAGTTTCTACAGAATTCATCTTTGTTACATTTACTGTATTTTTTTTTCTATTCATTAAAATTACTGTAAATAGAAGCATAACTAATACTGCGTAAAAGAAGATTAAATGGCAGACCATTGAGAAAAAGTATTCACTACTGTGTACGTGAAAGGATAAAGTCAAAAAAGAAGTATGCTTACGTAATTCTTTGGGATATTCAACAATTCTATTGAGTGTTAACGAATTCCTATGCTCACTTTCCTCCGATATCGAATTGAATGCACTGTCCCCGTCATCATCGTGGCTGTCCTCTTTTAATTGGCAATCTAAAAATAGTAGCCAGTTTTGAATGAAATATAAGTTAATATTAAATCGATAGGCTTACCGTAATTTTTTAGTACAGCTTTACACGATTCTGACGCTATGTCTGCTGGTGTTTTACCTTCTCCATTTTTTATGTTCCACAGGGAACTTTTCTTTAACAATGCCTGTAAAATATCGGGATGATCCTCTTTTGCTGCATAGTGATATGACGTATTTTGCTTCAATTTGTCCGGTATGCAAGGATCTCCTTTAAATAAATGTAAAATGAGCATATTTTCCTACTTAGAATAGAAAAATGACTTAATCATCGAAAACATAAAATTGTTGATATAAAAATAGTTGACGGATTAATATGCAGAGCTGGTGGTCTCAAATAACTTACCATTGTATTCCAACAAACAGTTAACAATATCTAAATTTCCATTTGAGCATGCTTCGTGTAAACTACTCCACTGATACATTCCAATTTTATTTGGATCACATCCCTGATTTAGAGCCGATAAAACGTCGTCTAAGTCACTATATCTGACAGCTTCATTTAGAATTGTATCTTCCATTGTCAGTTGTATCTAATATGCTTCGACATTTTGAACGAGATCGATCAAGCTGGAAACACGAGCAGAGATTAAGGGCACCTGTATTGTAAACAAGTCGTAAAACGAATTAGATCAATTTTAGAAATCAAAGACGGGAAGAAGTATTAACTAATCTTGGTCACACGCACTGGATTAATTTCTTTAAAGAAAAGATTTATATTATTCATTTTTTAACGAATATGATACATTTTCATAAGTCATTAAACATTTAGGAACTAAATAGGTATTTTTTACATTGAAAAAGTTATCAAGTTCAAGTTTTTAATAAAGTAGACAAGATTTGTTTCATTGCCAAAGCAAACAGTTCTTTTATCGAACGGTGATATTGTGCAATGAAAGAAAAATTTAAGTAAGTTTCTTGCTGTGAATAGCAGCTATTTACAGGAGATTGAACTGCTGGCGAATTTCATTTATACTTCTTGCAAACTTGTTTTATTCAAAGAATGCTCTTTTACAAGTAAATTATATAAATCTTAAAACTTAGATAACCATCCTATTTGTTCATAAATTCTTCTATAAAAATATAGTTTTTTGCAGAATATTAATTAAAGAATATGTTAAGTAATTCAGACATTTCAGCAACATATAATACGAAACTCGATAATAGAGACAAAGAATATCTTAATCGCTTGAATCAGATATATTCAAGCCTATAAACGTTTATAAACGCTTATTCTTTTTGGAAAAGCATCATTTGAAATAAATTTATTAATTGAAGTTATTTGCCGTTTAAAACAGAGACAATTTCATTAATTATTCTCTTCTACATGGATTCCAAAGATTACTTTGCGATAAAACCTACCTTTTAAGATATTATTTCATGTAATTATAATACAGAATGCAATTTCTATTTCGAGCTCCATCGAATATCCTCATTACACGATCTTTCAAAGGTAACTGAACAACTTTATTGCGTTACAAAAGTATTTGTTCATTCTATACGAGAAGAACAGATAGATGACGCTCTTGAACGACTTCCACTTGAATGGGAATAAGAACCTGTCAAAAAGACTATCGTAATTTTTCATTATACTCGTCTCTAAGATGTTAAATTTGACCTAATTTTGAGCACCAGTCTAATTTGTATAATAGTAAAAAGATTATTTTAATACTTTGTTATAAAAAATAGATTTCATATTTCCTACCAGGCAAATAGGTAGTCGTATGAAAAAATAGACTGGTTCAGTTATTTTTACTTTCGTTCTTCTCGTTTTGGAGAAATTACCTTCCTTAACATTTAACATACTCTAAAATTCAACTTTTAGAGTCTTTTAATGTATTTAAGAGACAGTTTTTCCAATAGGGAATATAAAAAATTATAGATTAAAATATGCCAAACAAGTAAGTACAAGTTTTTTAAACAAGCACAAGTATTATTAAATTCTATAATTCTGCTCGAAAGAATAGTGAAAGCAACCGAAATAGAAGACGATTTAGAAGAAATGCAACAGAATCAGGTCCAAGACTCTAATGAAACTTTTATTAAAAATTTTGAAGATCTCAAGAACATGTTTCCACACATTGATGAGTTTGTGCCAATTATGAATGATGACTATGATGACCGACAACGACAGTATTTTTATAAGCTGAGATGGGTACTATTTCGTAATAGTCCTAAAGAAATGTATTTAGCGATACAAGGAGATTTATCTAATTGTTGGTTCATTGCCTCACTATCATCAATTGCGGCAAAGGGAACTTGGCTGTTACTCAAAAATACTATTATGACCCAGACCCTACAAAGGACGGGACTGTATAAATTTAAACTCTTTATTCAAGGTCTATGGAAAATAGTTTCAGTCGACAATAAACTTTATGTGAATAAGCGTGGAATGATCGTATTTAGTAAATGTCAACACTGTCAACTATACGTATCTTTTTTGGAGAAAGCTTTAGCGAAATGTTTTGATTCATATGCTCATTTGGCTACAGGAAGAGCTGAGGAAGCCTTTTTCATATTATTGGGACGTCCAAGCAAGAGCTACACAGGCCGTAAGTGAAATACGATATTGCTAATTTATTAATATTAAAATTACTATTTAAAACTTGTATACCCTTCCAAAACTTAGTTCCCATCCAAGAACTCTGGCAATTACTTAAGGATAACATTGAAATGTAAAATATTAGAATAATTAAGTTCTAATTTTCTAATTAAATAGTTTATCTTTTATGTAGATCTGCTATAGTAGGATCAACGAAAAATGAGGTTACATCCTCCCATTATGAAGGTGGTCATGTCTACTCTGTGACATCTATAGTGCCTGAAGAATTATCAGGTGAAAAAAAAATTAGACTTAGAAATCCACATGGAAAAAAAACTGTTGATGATATTTTCGACGAACACGGCGAGATAGAAGTCACGTTAGATGAATTTCATATGTAATAATTATAATATTTCATATATTCTCTAAAAACTACTCAGCCATTCTTCGATACAGAAACATGGAGTCGGTAACTATCTGTAATCTAAATTATCAGTTTAAGGATGAACGATATGATTATAACGTTGGCAAAGATGTTCATGAGTTCAATTTGCAAGAAAAACTTGATTTAACTATTACCCTATTTCATCAACATCATAGGTAGGTAATTAAATCAACTATTTCGCTTATTAATTGATAAAAATAATTAAAGGGGTAAAGAATTATCTGACATGTGGATCATAGTGAAAAAAAATTTAGGTGAAAATAACTGCTCAAATAAAATATATTCATCTGATCTGGTAAAAGATACTTTTGTCTCGTTAAATCTCCAATTAACAAGTGGGAGATATCACGTGTTCTGTTTGGGGGTAAATAAGGAATTTAAGGGTGTGCTACAATATTCGTATTTGTCAGGAGATGGAACTAAGAAAATTTCACCATCCATTGGCACAGCAGATTTAATTAGTCATAAGGATGTTTATACTGCAATAGAAAAGAAAAACTGGCCAAATCAGTCTAGCCATGTGCTTCGGCTTGAAAGTCACTTTTCACAGACCGTAATTCTCACAAACAAAAATATAATCGATGCAATAGTTGACGAAAGACGGTATAGATTAGAAAATAATTTTGAATGGAAACCTGTAAAAAATACTACTGATGCAATAGGTAATGATACACCCGGCAGTTCTGTAAATTACAATTCCGTGACATAATAAAACATTGTTTTTTTCTCAGTTTTTCTAACAAATATATTTATATCAAACTTTTGTTTGTTCAATTATACAAGTATTTCATAAACAGTTGTTGATACAAAGAAATATACTGTAAATTTTTTTGAATTTAAAAAAGAATGCTTTTTTTGTGTTTTCCCGCTTTTTTATTGTTTTGGTTAAAAATTAATTTGTTGGAATTGATGATAGAAAATATTTGAAAAAATATGTCTAAGATAAATTTTTAAACTAGGAAAAATCATCAGTTTGCAAATTAAAGGCAGTTTTTCTCTGTATTTAGTAGGCAGATGAAATTAAAGCCAAAATTTTTACAGAGGTTTAAGAAAAATAAGGTAGTGTTAATCTACTACCTAAAAGTCTTCAGCCCATGGATTTTCTTCTAAAAATCCATCAATAACTTCTTTTAAGGCCAAATTAGGAATGAGTTGTTCCTGAGTCAAATCAGTTCTGGTAACTGGATCAAAATGGCCCACTCTCTGCAAATGTTCCTCAATGTCTTTTCTATCATAAGTTACACCACTTGGAGTTATCACTGGATCTCTCATGACTTCAAAGCTAATTTTTCCACATAAATAATCTGGAACTTCTCTTCTCTATAAAAAAGGATATAGTAGTATATTAGTGATTTCTAAATTAAGTGAGTTTAATATATTACCCTCCTTCGATCGTCTACTTGTGCAAAGAGCTCATTAATTTTTTCTAGTCTAAGTCGCTATTCGAAACACAGCAAATAGCTATTGAATTATTTATAATAAAAAAAACAGCGTATTTGTTATAATTACGGTAGTTTCTTCTATATTATTTCGATGCTCTTGTTTATCTTGTTCATTTAAATTTGCTGAGTTTATGTCTAAAATATTTCTAAAAAGATAAAGAAATATTAAATGGCAAAATATAAATAACTTAATAAAATCTACTTTTGGCATTCTTTCGCAATAAGAGAGTTGAGATATGTTTGGAGTTCAATTTCCTGCTGAATTCTTTTATCTTCTAAAGAATGGAATTTTCTTTTTCTAGCTAATCTTATAGCTGCAGTTATATCATCACCGAAATTCAATTTTTGTTCCTTAGCAAGAGCTTGAGCTAATAATAATAATAATAATAACAAATTATACAAAAAGATAAATATTATACACCTCTGGTTAAGCAGGCTATAGCTTCATCGTATAATTTCATCTCTAGTAAAGCCTGGCCTTGGAAAAAGTGCCCTTTAACAAGGTTTCCATCCAGTTCTAGAGCACTTTTGCAATCAAGGCATGTCTTTTCCCAGTTCTTCAATTTTAGATAGCATAGTGCCCTATTTGTAAAATAGGTTGGCATCGAAGGATTTTTTATCTAAAAATGAATACAAATTTGTTACTGTTGATATAATGTTTTTTCATTAGAGAACACTAAATGCTCAGACTTTGTGTAATTAATGTTTATAAATCTTACTATAGCTTTAGTATAACATTGGACGGCATCATTGAATTTCCTTGCTTGGAAAAAACGATTTCCTTCCTCCTTAAAATCCATCATTTTCATTTGTTGTTTATTTAATAATTTGAGACATTTCGAGAAATTTTCTAAAATTTTTAGATGGGTAGCATTAGACCGGAAACGGTAGTATTAAAAAACTGATTCCAATGATTTACAAGCATTATCCTTAACAGGCGCAATATTTAATTCTAAAATACTTTATCAAGCATATGAGTATTTTACTTAGACATTTAAATTGTTTAATTGTCGATATTTAGGTATATAGAGATCTGAATTATCACACAATTATACTATATATATTAACGAATTAAGCGAAAGGACTCTAAAAGTTGGTGATTGGTTAACGTATGCTCTGCGGCCATCTTGTTTATTGTAGAAAAAACGCGGGTGGAGGGTAGTTTGTAATTGGATGTTAACAGTATTCTACAGTTAATTTAATCTTCTTTTAGTGGAAATTTGCATATATTCCTGAAACTGACATTGCTCTATTGTTGTTTTTACTGTCAATTTGTTCCAAAGACTTGTACTACTTTTAATAATTATTCATAAATTGATATTTTAAACTTTAATTACGATTTTCAAAAGAATAAATACTACTCCTTATTCCTTATATCTAATTCTTAAATGTTATTTTGTAACAGACAAGATTCGCATCAAGTCAACTGACTAGAAGCAGATAGCGCCCTCTATAATAAACAACAATGGTGTCTAATTTTTCTGAAATATTGGCAACTTTTGTTCATGACACAAAAAGGATACGAGAGATATTAGGTGATACACGCAAGTGTTTTAAAGAAATTAACAGCTATGAAAGTGAGGACTCTAGTAAGTTTACAATAGATTTTTTATTAAAATTGTAACTTCATGTCGTGTTTTTCGGTCGGTTCTTTCATCATTTATTGTTTCAGATCAATCTCTACACGCTCAATTCAGCGTCTGCGAAGAACTAGAAATTGAAAAATTTATAACTAACCCTCCTGGAATTATTCTCTTTGGACAGAGCTTTTATTCAAAAGCTGTTATTGCTAATCGCATCCTTGAACAAACTCTATTCCCCATAGATTCTATATGTCTTGAGAATGATAGAAAATGGCGTATGGTTGAGATAACATATTCTAAAGACTCAGGTATAGGATTAGGTCTTGCTGGAACAAGCTTAGAGCTAGCTAATCACTTGACAGCTTATGATCAACCTTGGCAAACTTTGCCAATTCAAGATTTACTAATAAGTCATGAAAAAGATGAAGAGGATGATGAATGCTCTTTACTGTCTTTACTTGAAGTTCAACTGAACCACACCCTGCTAAAAAATGGAGCAGTTTTAACCGTTTCACAAACAGGGTATGGAACAGTTAGCGAACATCTGGAAAAATGTGCTTCCAAATGCGTCCCAATCGCAGTTTACGCATTTTCCGAATCATTCTTATCATTAAAGGTATGAACCATTAATTAAACAAGAGTTACAAAATGCAAATAACTCTTTCCTTTGTTTTAATACTTTAAACAAGCCTAAAATGTTACACTTGAATAATTGCCATCAAAAAACATTCTCAGAACAATTGAACTTCTATTTATAGGGCTATGATTTCAAAGTAAAAGAATGGTGTACAATATATTTAGTAGAGGTTATATATATTTAATGGAGAATATCTATACAAATAACTGATATTAATAACTTAAGACATTGTAATTCAGTATTGAAATTTCAGCAGAAGATTGCGCAAAGTTTCCTTGAAACCATAATAGTATATTTTATAGATTGTAAAAAGTCAATCCAAAATTGTAGCAGAATACATATAATTTATATATATATATATATATATATATATTTAGAATATTTATAACTTATAGGCCTGATTTATATATAATAGATTGCTATCAAAGCTCCACATATGATATTTTGATAAAAATTGGCTAGCCTAAAAGTGTAATCACTTTAATGTCTTAAATATAGACAAAACCTTGTACGTATTATTACCTCGTGCATCAGATAATATCATATTACATGAAGTTTACAATAGCGTACAATTTCAGGATTTGGAAGAATTGGAACAATTTCGTAAATTGTCTCCTGAAACTCATATCTTTTTTGTTCGGGTTCCTAAACTTCCAGTAATCAATGACGCTGATTTGAATCCATCTAGTTCTTCCTCTGATGCCTCTTCCAATAAAACAGAATTAGATACGACGTCGACAAGGTCAACCATATGTTCTTTGGCTAGTTCTAAAAAAACTGGTGGAATGTTTAAATTTAGTCCATTTTCGCTACCCGAAATGGAAGAACTGCCTGTACTAGAGGAAGACTCGAAGTGTGTATTCCACCAACTGTTGGAATTAGGATTTCTAACTGCTGTACCTAATAGTAACGGGAAGAACGATTACACACAATTAGAATCAGAACTTTGCGAAAACTTTGATAGCTTTAAGACGAATATAAGTAAATTTTCTAAAAGAATTCTGACATCGCACGTTCTAAAGGCAACGACCCTTTTAAATGTTGTTCATAACAGATGCTTACAGGCAATTATTGATACGGCCTTTGATATGGCCAGAGATGTAATGGTAACACCAAAACGACTGGAATATGTTAAATCTCAGGAGGACAATCTTTATAAGAATCTGTATTCCATTACCGTAAGGAATCAGGATGATATTAAGGCGATAATCTGCGATACTTTAGACATGCTAAGAGATTCGCTGTTAGAGAGGGCTGAGATGTATGAATTTATGGGCATAGATCTACCCGAAGGAGGCGAAATTACATCTGCAAGAGATTTAAAACAATGTACAGGTCAAATAGAAGAACTTGTGCTCGGAAATTTAAATGCAGCCATATCAGGAAAATTATTAGATTCAATTAATATTTTAAGAAATAGTTATACAGGTAAAAGAATTTGTTCATAAATGAAATTGTATAAAACTCTAATTAAAACAGGAGTTTTGCAAAGAACTCTTCAATGTTTAGAAGAGGCTAATAAAGAGAATATTGAATCATCTAGAACAACAACCGCCTTATCAGAGATTTTAACCGCCGCATATCAAGTTGACATAACTGTTAAACCTGGTTCATCCTTCCTTCGAGTTTTATTGGAGAAGATGAAACAAGTGAGTATGTCAGATGATGTCTAAATGTTTATTAAATATTTTACTCTGTCTTATATAAGGAATATCTATCTTATTTTATTTCACAGCATTTTCAGGTACACAAATAATTATAAAACGTAATTAAAAAAAAACTAGAGTTTATTTTTTGGTATTTTTAAAATTTATTTAATTAATTTAATATCAATATATTCAAAGTATTTCAATTTTATTCTAAAAGGAATGAATAAAGTGAAAATAGAGCTTGTTTTCTTTTACCTCTACACTAATATTGGCTTTTCTATTCTTATATCTATCAAATTTACAAAATCACGTACCTTTTCTATTAAAGAACGACTAATATTCAAATTGTTATCTTGCACTCAAAGAGAAAAACGAAAAACTGAAAATAAATATTGAATAAATAAATAAATATATATATACTGTACTATATATATATATATATATATATAAATTTATATATATATATTCATATACTGTATATTTATTTATTAAGTATGTTCTCTATTTTCTTTTTAAATGAGCATTCAACAATTTTTCTATTTTTGGTACATACTTTTTTGTATCTCAAAGCTTCTATTAATTTTATTAAGGAACTAAGAATTCATTTAATAATATATTTATTATATATAAATATCTATATATGTGTATACAGTTAATTCAATCTATGCCCTGGAAAAGTCCACCTACAGTGACTAAAGAATGGAAGAGAAAAGTTGCCTCTGATATGTTAAGTAGTTTAAATGAAAATAGATTAGCTAAAACTATATGCAATCAAATTCAATCGAGACTTAAGAACTCACATCATACCTTCTCTGCTGCTTTAAGACAATTGGAATTTAAACATTCCGGAAGATTAATTAAAACTGAAGATAGACGAGTTAAAGTTAGAAAAGTTTTTGCTCCAAAGGTTGCTAGATTAGCTTTAGAAAGCGTGTCAATGAAAGATTTTATCGTGTACGGTATGCCTAATTATACAAAAGAAATTGGTAGAGGTCAGTATGGAGTTGTCTATGCGTGCGAAAATTGGGCTGGTACGTCTCCCTGTGCAGTTAAATCAGTTGTACCACCTGATGACAGGCATTGGAACGATTTAGCACTCGAATTTTATTATACAAAGTAATTCTCTAAATCAAAAAAAAAACATTTTTGCTTTTTATTTACAAAATTATACTTATTAGGTCAATTCCCGAGCACGATCGTGTTGTTGGCCTTAAAGGCTCCGTTATTGACTATAATTATGGAAATGGCAGTTCACCAGCCGTACTTTTAATTATGCCCAAATATGAGAGGGATTTGCATGCTGCTATAAAAACTGGTTTAGATTGGTTGAATCGATTGAGAGTTGCTATAGATGTTGTTCAGGGAATACGGTATCTGCACAGTAGGGGTCTTGTTCATAGAGATATCAAATTAAAGAATGTTTTAGTAAGATTTATAGTTTTACGGATCACATAAATATACCTAAACCGATTATTTTTGATAGCTCGACAAATTAAATAGAGGAAAGTTAACAGACTTAGGCTTCTGTAAACCGGAGGCAATGATGAGTGGAAGCATAGTCGGAACACCTATTCATATGGCTCCAGAACTTTTTAATGGTCAATATGATAATACGGTTGATGTGTATGCATTTGGAATACTCTTTTGGTATTTGTGTTCTGGAAGTGTGAAATTACCCTTCTCTTATGATCAATGCTCAACTAAAGATACACTTTGGAGAGCGGTAAAGCATGGTACAAGACCAGAAAGGTTGCCACAGTTTGACGAGGATTGTTGGGAATTGATGAAGAGTTGTTGGCATGGAAATTCATCGAAACGTCCTCTGTTGGGTAATGTTGAAACAAAATTGAATGAGATTAGAGAAAAGGCATTGCTTTTGTCGAAAGATGTCAATGCTAGAAGTTCGAAAAGACCTAATCGCCTTAAATGACTGTTTTTATTGAGAATTTATTGCTTTGGTACTTTCTTTATTTACATAGTAGTGTTCAAACAGCATTACATTTTTTTACTAAATTATCTGGTATACATATTTAATTAATCCTTATTTCGTTGTTTCTTAAACACAATTTATTACGAGCCAAAATACTTAGAAAATTCCGTTACTGATTCAATTCCATATCCTGTAGTATAAGAATAGTATAACTTTAGAATGGAGTTCTGTTTTCAACTATCTTTTTCCTTGAACAATGTATATTAAAATTACTTGTTAAATCTGTTAGTTTTCTTAAAGAAGAGTTGATTAGTTGTTTAACAATTGATACCTATAATCTTCATGTCTTCGAACAAACCGTTGAACTTTACTACGATACAAGATAATAAAATTGTTTAGTTTCTCCGGAAGGAACAATATTGTAATCACTTCAGGAAGGAAATTTCAGTATATTTATGATATTTATTCTAAAAACACAATTCAAGTCTTTAAAATGAAGAATCGGATAAACAGTTGTCGTAACCGTCAGATGATACGATACTAGATTCAAAGTCAAATTCAGCATAATCCGTTTCTGAATGTGACAATAATTCTATGTTTTGACCTTGGATAAGAACTGCATTTATACTTCGAAAAGAATTTTTTACTTTGACATATATAATAACTTCAGCGGGTTCGTCATTCATCCACTCTTCTACTTTTAATTTTACTATACACTGCTTCAAAATGTTTAAATGCTTATGTACGATGATATTATTGCCACAATCAGCTAATTTGCATACAAATGACTGGGCTGGAATTGTTACATATTTCTCCTTCTCAATAGACCTAACATCACCTGGATTAACTTCAAAAACGTAACCATAGTCTATAGCATACGCTTGGTATCGCGTTGGTCGACATTTTAGTAGCTTCACCCGAATCCAAACACCTTTGGAAGTTTTTGCTATGCACGGTGTATTCACACTTACATTCTTATTATTTAAGATTGATCCATCCAAATTTTCTATCTCAGGAGGAATTTCCATTAATCTTGCTAAGAAATAGAATGGCATAAAAGCAGAAACTATTTCGACAGTTATTTCTGCGCCACGTTTTGAACATAAACTGTTGAAAACTTTTAAGTTGCTTGCTGCTTCGATTGCGGTATTTTGCAATTTTGTAGATTTGAACACGTGATGTGTAGTTGAATTAGAAATGTGTGAAGATTTATCAATTTCCGAGTCAGTCTTACATTCATCTCTTTGGTCAACAACTTTGTCGTTTTCTGATGATTCTGAAATATTTTTTATTATTATGCATCATATTTTTACGATTAGTTAGGAGTAGTTCTGTATTACCAAAAGGTTCATTATCATCTTCTTTGGTTTCTTTATCTGCTGAAATAATTCTTTTTTATTTGAAAAATAATAGCTAATATAATTGGAAAAACTTACTGTCACTGCTTGGTCTAGCTGAAATATTCTCGATTGTTCCATCACTTTCCGAATCTTGTATGTCAGTCACTGTTTCTTCTGTAAGAAATATTTAATGTGAAATATAAAAATGTTTAAATTTATCGTTATTTTGAATTACCATTATCGTTATGTTTTAGATATTCTGATAATTCAACATTTTTAACAAAAATTGTCCTTGGTGATTCTAAAAGTACTTCGACTCTATCAATTTCCATCAATTTATCATATACTTCCCTTGGTATACTAGGAAGATAACTTTCAAATCGAATAACTAGTGGATCAATTTTTGAGATATCTTGATCAACCAATCGGATATTAGACTTTTCTATAATTAGAGTTTGGCCATAATCAACTAAGTAGGCATAATTTGTTGAGCCAGTTTTTTTAATTTTAGCCCTATACCATTCACCAGCCATCTTAACAGCTACCATACTATCTTTAATTATTTTTTCAGGAATCGGAAAGTTATCAGCATTTTTCAATAATCTTGATACTTTCATCAGATCATCATCATCTTCCAAAAGTTGTATATATATATCTCCGAATTTAGTGGAATGACTTATTCTACCTTCATATCTTGTTTCATCAAAAATGGCTGCCTCTTCGGCTCGTCCAGCTCTTACATAATCTATATTAATTACGTTGTTATCAACAGCGAGAATTACTTCCAAAGGCAAAGTTGCAGTTATTACTTTACATATTACTGATTTTTTATATGTTTTCTTTTCAAAATCCTCAATTTGCGTTTCTGACCAACCGTTTATAGGTTCTCTTATGGAAAATAGTGTTGCAGGAATAGCAAAACAAGGTGTTTTTGTTATATCAGAGGGTATTTTTCTTAAGTTGTTTTTGGTGACAACCTCTAAGATTCCATAATCAACAAAAAAGATATCCACAACGTCTGTATATTCATCTATGATCCTTCCTCTGTGCCATTCGTTTAATTCTCCGGATTTAGCTAAACAGTACGCGTTGACGTCCGGTTCTTCCACTTCTTCATAATCTTCTATGGAGCTATTTATTTTTTCAACTATTTCACTTAATTTAGGTGTCTCATCTTTTATATGAATCCAAAATTCGGTAGGGCTCTCGACAGAACAAACCAATGCATCAACTTCTCCTATTATTGGGTCATGTTCCGGTATTGGACCTTGTATTAAATTTTCTTCTTCTTGTTCCATGCTTTTTCTATAATTTTCCATATATTCTATTATGAAGAAAAAGGAAAGTTAAAATAGATATAGAATTTACTAGAAAAATTTTCTTTACCCTGAAAAGATTCCATTTTTTTTTTAGTGTAAGCGCTTATCTCTCTTTTCGGTTCGTCGTCTTCGTCTGATAGTGTTTTGATAGTTGAAGACTTTTCGCTGTCATTTAATTTGCAGGTCGATTCGATATTGATGTCTTCTATTATATCGCTTGGACTTAATTTAGTAGAGCTTGCGATTACGATCTTTTCATTATTTTTATCATACAAATCAACTCTAATTTGATCATTCGCCATGTTTTTACACACTACATAAACTTTATCATTTCTTGGGGGATATAAGTTCATTAACTCTTTCTTTTCTTCAGGTGTTGAAGACTGATTAAACTTTCTTCCAATTGTTAGACGGCACTCTAGGGCGCATGATGGTTTTGTTGCTAACGACGGAATTAGTATCTTAATATTTTTGTTATAACAAATATAAACTTTGCCTTCGTCGAGCAAACGTACTCTTGATTTATCATCTCTCACTTCCAAAATTTTGCCACGAAACCACGTACCCTCCAAATCGTCATCATAAACTCTTGCTACGCAAAACTTTCCACTACTAGGATTAGGAAGGTTTGTCACATAACCTTTATACATCTCATTTAACTCTTGCTGCAAATTTTTTCTGGGCTCTTCTCTATGTTTAGGTAGTACAAAAAATACTTCAGGACTGTCAACGTGAAGCATTGTCATCTCTTCCTTTTCCATACTACAATCTATTAAATATGAGCATGGTTGAACTTGTATAGAGGTAATTTCTTCATCACTTAGTAAATAATCAGAAGATAGCTCTTTATTAATGCATATTTGTTGATCCCATAAATCTACGATTAAACAATCAGAGCCCTGATAATATTTACAGCTTAACGCTTTATTTTTTGTCAAATTAATGAATTTTTCAGTTGAGCTTTTCTCGTTAACATCATTGAGGGCGCACTTTATACAAAGTGATCGTGATGTTAAACCGTCAACTAGCACAAATAAATCAGAAACAGAAACTTCATCATAGTTGCCAAAGTCAATAAACTGAATTGTCGCTTTTTTAGGCCCTCCACTAATAACTTTTGCTCTATAATAGCATTTATCTTCAGAAAATTTCACAATACAAAACATTCCTGCTTCAGCGTGAACCAAGTTCAAGAATTTGTATTGTTGCGGATATATATCATTTAAGCGGTATGTCATTTCTGAAAGTTCCTCTTCCCAAGCAGCTGGTTGAATATAAAACTCGTGCACGCTCTCAACGTGTGATACATGTACAATAATACTTTCTTCAAGTTCAGATGGAAGAGAGCAATCAATTGCCACATCTTTAAACTTCTTGATAAGATATGAAAGCGGAGATACAGCCTGAGGAGCAGCAAGAATATCTTCCACAATGTCTAAACCTTTAACAGTTAAGACAACGTATGGAACACGCTCTTTACAGTCCATTACTCTAAGATACAACCGAGTTTCCGTCGAAATAAGTTTCTTGAGTATATGGTCAACTATATTACTATTTTGTATAACACCTCGATTGTATAAACGAACTATTCTAGCAAAGCGAGCCCGAGATTTAAATCGTTCTTCAAGAATTTTAAATTTCGTCTTAGGAACATTGTATACTTCTCCTGAGTCAATTGATTGAACAACAACATCCATACCAGTAGTTATGTTCAGAACGATTGCTCGAAACCATGTTTCGTCTGCGCATACAGCGTAAACTGCACCTTCTTGAATTGAAACATTTTCAGGTCTTATCTGGGAATAGTAAGTGGCTATTTTCTTACATAACTTTTGTTTTGGACCTAGATCTTTTTCCTCAATGCACCACAAGTCTTGATCATTGTAAGCTGTTAAAACAACTTTTCTATTATGTCCACAGTACCAGACAACGGGATCCTCGATAGGAAGTTCTCCTCTCTCTTCTCTTAACTTTTGAATATTGAATATATGCTTCGCATCCTGTTTAAAGCGAACTTTTTCTGACCAGGAGTTGTTGAAAAACTGTAAACCGAAAGTCTTTGATAATTCTTGACAAACGGAGACGTCATTGTGCAACAAGTCAACAATGTGACAGTTGTTCTGAATGTCTTTCACTTGAATATCTAGGTCTTTATCTTCGGTTAGTAGAAAAAACTCTTCAATAACTTCTAAACTATCCTTTCTTAACTTGCCCTTTAGTGGCAAAGAACAATGAAAAGCTTTAAAAGAAAGCTCTGTAAATTTTTGTGGTAATTCAAGTATATCTTGAAAACTTAAAAGCGAAGTATTTCCAAAGTCAACAAAGTAAATCCTGAAGTAACTATCCATCAATTCTGAATGTGGATACAAGTTCAAAAGAGTTAATTAACAAAGCGTAGTGATTGATCTAACCTTCAACAAGTCCTCTATGCCAACAATCTTCATAGTAACATAAAATTAGTTGCCCTTTCCTTGGCTTAAATTGATAATCTAATCTGGCCTCCGTAGCATAAGCTTGAATCTCTAATTGCTGTCGTTCGAATTCCTCGAACGGACTAATCTGAAGGATTTAGAAATTATTAAATGGTCTTGGGTCAATTGATTATTTCCAACGACAAAATTATTTGTTATTTAAACCTTCAAGAATATTAGTTGCTCACTTGGAAAATCACATTAAAAGCTTACTTAAAGCTAAAAGTCAAACATAATATACTATATATTTTTTTTAATGGCGCCATTTTACAATTTTACAATATACGGATACAACACATGCTATGCAAAAACCTTACTTGTACAAAAAATGAGGAAAGACTATTTATATGTGAAATAACTCCACCATAAAGAGAGCCTGCTGTTAGCTTATCTTTCAACCCTGCCTTTGCCATTTCTGCGAAATAAATTGAAAAATAAACCACGTGGTTCACTAACAAAAAGTCTTTGCGTAATGGTAATGAATTTCCTGGAAAAAAAAATACAACTAAAAATAATTAAATATAAGAAAAACAATAAAAATGTGATTATAAACTGACTAAATGATTATTAGGCTCTTTACAACTTTGCAAAGATTAGAAAGTTAATTATAGATATAGGCATAAACTTTCAAGAATGGTGATTCGCTAAATAAAAGTGGAGCATTAATTATTTTTATAGTAACCTTAATTATATTTTTTATTCAAACGTTCTAGTTTTTTATAACTTCCATCTAAATGTGACAAAAAATGGAAACAAAGTGAAGTATATTTCACAGCATTTCATAGTATGTTTATCAAGTTATGAAATCTTTTTAAGACATTAAGTATTCGTGCTAATTAAGAAGTTTTCAACTAATTAAAAATAATATTTTTACAATTTTGATAAAAAAGAATAATTTTTCAAATGCTATTTAAACTAAATGTTAGATTCTATTAATATAAATATAAAATATTTTCCACAAACTATTCAATACCTTTTATCGCTTAGCCTATCTATATTCAGTGCGGATAGGCAGCTAATTTTAAATTAATTTATGTATTCGGTGAAATCGTTTTACTTAAAGTATTATAGTTTATTTCTTGGGAGAAAATTACTTTATTAATCTCTTTTATATCTTAGATTAATATCAAACTTTTAATGAATAAGAAAAATAAGACTTTAAAAGTTTATCTTTATGACTACAAATTTCATCACTTTTTATTGTGTTTTTGCAGTAAAGTCCTCGAAATTCTATTTGATTGCTTCATCTTTTTTAAATTTTACTTGGTAATTAATCGATGGGTATACGTGATTACAGCTGACAACTTTTTAACATAATATGAAACTACTTCGCTTAACTTAACAAAATTAGAATTGGTTTTGTAAAAGTTACAGTGTCCATTTAGTCGCGGCAGAAAAATAACCATTGAAAGTTATTATATCTTTTTCAGCTATATATTATTCATTGAGTGTACGTTTTTCAAGTTAAAATAAATATTTTAATATAATTATTATTTTGTTATGTGATCGAAACTAATTATATCTCTTATGCTTGAATAGCTTAGCTTTTATTCAAAGTCTGCTGGATTCATTTTATTCGTGCAGAATGAAACGATCATCCGCTCCAAGTCGAAGACATTTCAATCCTCCTTTGTCGAAGGTTTCAAAGGTATTATCACCTATTTTATAAAGGCAAATTGTTTATTTCCCTGTGGTAAACAAGGTGTCTTCGAATCCATCGTCGTTAAATCAAGAAAATCAACCGATAGAAAAGAACGAATCTGAGAAACCTTCGAATAATTCAACGGAAGAACCTAAAAAGGAGTTTGATAGTAATAATCTCATCCTTATGATTATATTGTTCACAGCCAATCATTAAATAACATATTACATATTATGCATTTATTCGTAGAGAATTCCAAATATTTTAACGTTGTGTGGTGTAAATTTTCAAAGAAGAAGCATAAACAATGGGAAGGAGATGGTAAGCTTATGAAAACTTCAAAGTTGAATTTTTCAAACTATTTTTTCACAGCGGTTCTGATAATTGAAGGGAGATCAGTTAATCTCTTGGATATGGATGGTAAAAGGTATCTGATTCTAAGATTCATTTTTTCAAGTTTGCTTGTACACTTTCTGATTTATAGTATTGGAAAAAGTAGTGGCTACAAAGCCAGTGATTTGAATTCGCTGAAAGAAGGTGAGACATTAGGGGTTGGAGGGAAACAGATAGAAGTTATGGGCACTATAAAAGCTGAAGATTTTGAGTCAGGAAAGTGTTTTGGTTCTGCTCCACAAACTGTTCTTGCAGGTGTATATATACATGTAAAACATATCTTTGTTAATATTTTGTATCATTTATAGTTTCAAAAACTTCCACATCGAGTCGAAAGCCGTTTGTCAATCCTTTGAAAAATTCTCAGGCCCATTCGCCAATCAAAAAGGTACATTTACAGAAAATATTTAAGATTGTTTATATTCGTGAGAAATAAACTCTTTACATAGGTCTTAAAGGAGCCAAGATTCGATCCTACCACTCCAGATGCTTTAGTTATGCCAGAACATCCAAACAAAGCATGTATCGTTTCATACTGATATATTATTATATAACTTTTTCGTTTTATTTATAGGATCTAGATACTGTATCAGTTGTTGTAGATCCTCACCTTTCTCGTCATTTAAGACCTCATCAAAGGGAAGGTGTATCTTTTATATACAAATGCATTATGGGCTATCAAGAATTATCTGGAGGAAGTGGGGTCATTCTTGCGTATGTTTTGCGCTGCATTTACGAATTTTTTCGATAATAAAAGATTATATTGCAGAGATGAGATGGGTCTAGGAAAAACCATTCAATGCATAACCACAATATGGTTCTTATTACATATTCAAATTGAATTATGTGTATACTTATCATGAACTTTATTATTTCAGGACTCTTCTTAAGCAGGGACCATTTGGAAAACCTATTCTGAAGAAGATCTTGATTGTAACACCTAGCAGTCTTATTAAAGTATAGTTTATATATGTTTTAATAACATTTTATTATAACATTTATGTTCCTTTATAATTATAGAACTGGGAAAAGGAATTTCGTAAATGGCTTGGAACTGAAAGACTGAGAGTTTTTGCGGCAGGAATTGATAGTAAACCTGATGTTAGTGTCAACTCAGGATAAAATGTATTTTTATCTTTTAATTTATTTTTAATGAAACTTTTAAGGAGTTCAAGAAGAACCTACTTCTCCCAGTATTGATAATTTCTTATGAATCATTAGTAAGATATATTGACAATGTAAAAGAAGTAAACTTCGATTTAATTGTTTGTGATGAGGGACATCGGTTAAAACATTCAACTATTAAAACCACAAGTGTTCGTAGTTTTTCAAAAAGATCAATCATATAATTTCCTGATATAAAAATTTCCAGTGTATATCCAGCATTCCATGTACAAGAAGAATTGTTTTGTCTGGAACACCAGTTCAGAATGACTTACAGGAACTTTTTTCAATAGCCGATTTTTGCAACCCTGGATTATTGGGTAATATAACTCTTAGAACCTTTATCTACAACTGATAATAGACTAGATTGTTTTTTTAGGTAATAGTGCATCATTTCGAAGATTGTATGAAGAACCGATCGTTAAATCAAGAATGCCCAGTGCTGATAAGGAGCAAAGAGCTCTGGGAGAGAAAAGAGCGATTGAGTTGGGCCGTATAACGTCACTATTTCTTCTGAGACGTACTTCAGAAGTGAACCGGCAATATCTCCCACCAAAAGTGGAGATCGTTATATTTTGCAGACCAGTAGAACTACAAATGAAACTTTATGAAAAACTATTATCATCCGGTGTAGTAAATGAATGTATACATACTTCTGATTCAGCCCAACATCTTATGCTTATTTCCGCGCTGAAAAAATTGTGTAATCACCCCAGTTTACTGTATCGGGACGATATTATAGACGATGAAAATGAGCTCGAAGAAGGAGATAAAAGTCTTGTTAATATTTTATTTCACTAATTTCCGAGAAATCTAATCTAAATCTTTTCATAGATTGTCAATGCTCAGAAAGTTTTACAGAGCGCCTTCCCGAAGGACATTGATCTGTCAAAATCCAATCCAGAATATAGCGGAAAGTTGAAAGTTTTAAGTCAATTATTAGCTAACGTGTATGAAGAATCCAAAGGCAAGGAAAAAATAGTTCTCGTCTCTAATTATACTCAGGTTAGTGTAAACTCTCCTTGTAAATTAAGTTATTGTAGGCTTTAGTCATAGCATATTTGTTATATTTTATACCTCTTTAAGAATTCATACAGCTAGAATTTGTCGTGTTTACTCTCTAAATTAATTAATGGCTTTGTAAGGAATTCAAAGGGATATTTTACTCCTTTATTTTGTAAAGCCTATATGCAATATTACGTTATCAACTCGTGCCGCCCACGAGTGTTCGAGCGCTATTTTTAAGACACTAAGAAGAGTCGTATTTAATTTTTTTTTCCAAATGTTACCAAGGTGAGTAATCTATTTTTATCTAAATATATAAATATATATATCTTTCCTTGAACGATACTGAAATTAAACCTATTAGCGTATTCATTTGAGTATAACATCCACGCTTATTTCGTCATTTGGCACTTCTGCGTAATCAGTTATAACTATTAAAATGTACTAGATTAGATCGTACATTTAACAGACTTCGTTCAGCCTTGAAATAGATTATCGTACGACTTTTAACCAGTCAGATCATAGTTTTTTACTATAAAAACGAGTAGCTGATGCTTATAAGCCGCAGCTTCCAAAGAGAACATCTCTCGCCAACACTTTCTTTTCCATCTTTAATCCCCTTAAAATAGTCGCACAATGGGACCAAAAGTAGATACCACAACTCCAATTCCAACAAAATTCTTTTGTGCAGGTGCTGCAGCATGTGTTGCCGAAGCAACTACTATTCCTCTGGATACTGCAAAAGTTAGATTACAAGTAAGTCAGTAGCATTACTAAGAAATCCGTTGTGACTAATAATTTTTCAATTTATTATTAAAGATTCAAGGAGAAGGCGCTACACTGTTAAAAAATCAATTGAAGTACAGAGGACTTTTTGGAACTATGCTAACAATGAGTAAAGAAGAAGGCGTTAGGGCCCTTTATAAAGGTTTAGTTCCTGGTCTACATAGACAAATGGCTTTTGCTTCCATCCGTATAGGCCTTTACGATTCTGTAAAATCATTCTACATCGATATTTTGACAAAAGGGGATTATATCAGCAGTCAAAACGTTGGCTTAAGAATATTGGCTGGCATTACTACTGGTGGTTTAGCAGTATCAGTAGCCCAACCCACTGATGTTGTTAAAGTTCGAATGCAAGCACAAAAGAAAAAAATATATTCTGGAACCTTTGCCGCGTATCGCAAAATAGCAACAACAGAAGGTGTTCGTGGGTTGTGGAAAGGTATCATACCAAACGTAACAAGAAATTCAGTAACCAATGCCGCCGAATTGGTTAGCTATGATTTAATAAAGGAAAAAATTTTAATGACGAATCTTATGAAAGATAGCATGCCCTGCCATTTTGTTTCGGCTTTCTCAGCTGGTTTCGTAACAACTTGTATTGCATCGCCTATTGATGTAGTTAAAACCAGATTTATGAATTCACCACCAAATGTTTATAGTGGAGCAATCAATTGCGCTGTAAAAATATATAAAGAAGGTGGTGTATCCTCATTTTACAAAGGATTTGGACCGGCTTTCATGAGACTGGGTTCTTGGAATATTGTTATGTTTGTATGTTATGAGCAATTTAAGCGTTTGGCAACCAGTGTCGAATATAACCCTATCATCAACGACAAAAACCAGAGCTTGTAAGAAGTCCTTGAATAGGATACGGTTGAAAACAAAAGCAACAAAAATTTCTAGGAAATTATTCAAATAAAAAAAAGTAACCCTGCAGCTCTTGATTCGAATCTCTTTTCATTGAATAATTCTATTGTGAGCTCATCATATTATCTGTTCATTTTTTCTAATAAAACACTTCGTTTCCTTAATCGTGTATGTCTTTAATCTTAACTTTATACAATACTGTATATAGGCTGTACGACCATAGGATATTCTTGGTATAAAATAATATTTTTGTTTATTACTTTAAACTTTAGACCTTGAACGTTCTCCAAAAATTGTGCGAAGAGCAAAGTTACAAATTTTGCCGTTTAGATGGCACCACAGGAACTAATAAACGACAGAAAATTGTTGACGATTTCAATTCTTCATACTGCAACTATTGTTAGTTTTTCATTACATATCAATGTTTGTTCTCTATTATTAATTTCACTTTAGATATATTATTATTAAGTTGCAAAGCTGGTGGTGTTGGCTTTAATCTTGTAGGAGCCTCTCGTTTGATCTTATATGATGTTGACTGGAATCCAGCTCACGATGCCCAAGCCATGGCAAGAATTTGGCGAGATGGTCAAAAGAATAGAGTTAAAATTTATAGATTTCTAACAACTGTTAGTAATATGCAATACTTTTTTTATGCTATATTTAAAAGTTTGCATTTGTGTTAAAAACATTTTTAATAGGGAACAATTGAAGAGAAGATGTTTCAAAGACAAGCTTCGAAACAAATATTGAGTGGAGCCGTTGTTGATGCTAAAAGAAAATCTAAATGTCATTTTAGTAATGAGGAACTGAAAGACTTATTTTCTTTTAATTACGACACACTATGTTTGACACATGAACAGCTAAACTGTACCTGTGATTTGGGTGAACCCCCAATGAAGGTATCTATTTAAAAATATTAAAAAACATTGGAGCTTAATTCCTACATTATTATTTTGATAATAGAAAAAGACAGCTCACAATAAAAGTATTGGAATGGCTGAATTACGTGAATGGGTACACGTTACCGGTCCTTCTCCAAACTTGAAGAAAGCGGTAAATTAACAAATATACTGCCTACAGAAAATTACTAATCATATTCTTTTTTCAATTAGGACATAATGTTTCCTCAAATGGAAGAAGTCACTTATGCATTTTGGAACGAAGCTAACGCATAGCATAATTCATAATTTTCCAAGCGCTTTAACAAAACATAATAAGTCGCAAATTGCATTAGTTAAATCAATTCAATAAACATTTTCACATTCCCCGATATGAATAATTTACTTCTTTATATATAATGCCGGAATATTTATTCATCGCTCTCTATCCTCACTGTGTAATGATTGCAAATGGTTTAAACTAGATATATAATATTTATCTTAAAGATTCCTTTAACTTCTCAAGCTGAAAATGAATAACTCTCATCTTATTATAGCATCGATACACGTTAGTTTCTATTTTTCAATTTGCAATTACAGTATTTGTTCTCAAGATTTGGTAATTTTTAGCTTACCGATTTTACGGAAAAATCAGTTGATGAAAATGGAAGAGTAACATGGAGTGGATTGGTTATCGAACTGCTTGACATTTTATCTGAAATGTTAAATTTTAGGTTTCTTTTTAAATAATCAAAGTATTCCTATAGATAAAAAAATACACGTTAAATATTTCAGATATTCAATAATTGATTCAGTTGATGGATTTTGGGGAGGACGTGAAAATGGTAGTTGGACAGGATTTGTTAAGATGCTTTTGGAAAATGTAAGTCAAATTTTCGCAATCAATTTTATATTTCTGTCATTATTCAACTCACTTGACATTTTATAAATTTGCTATTATTTTTAATTGATAGCAATGTGATCTTGCTGCAAGTAAAATAACTGTTACATCAGAAAGACGACAAGCAGTAGACTTCACTTCGCCATTTATGTATGAGCCTCATGTTATTTTCTCATCTGTCTTGAGTCCATCTTATGAATTTTTATTTCTCAAGTAATTTTCGAAAATGAAACTTTTAACCATATCAGTTTTAATAAATATATGATCCTATCTATCACAGACCTTTCAAAACTGAAGTCTGGCTTTGTCTGTTATCAAGTTTAATTCTAATGGCGATTGTCTTCTGCTTAATAAGATTTCATGATCCTGACAAATCAATTTGGTATATTTTCGGATCATATTTTAATCAAGGTTTGTTGAACGTAGTTTTTCTCCCTCTCCCAGATATATTATTCCTTAATATACTGTATATGCTGCATATATATTTATATGTATATAATTAAAATGAAAAGGAAATGAACTGGACACAAATAATGCTGGAAAAATATTCCTATCTCTTTGGTGGATATTCGTAATAATCATCTATACGCTCTACTCGGCTAATTTAATTGCATTTTTAACTATAAAAAAGTCCATAGTTCCTATTAATAACATCGATGAACTGGCTAATAGCGATACATATTATCCTCTTCTTCGAAAATCAACTTCAGTATATAATCTTATTATGTCATCTAATTTATCATCGTTAGCGAAACTTCGAGCTAAAGTTAATAAGTTAGGGGAAGACGCTTTTTATAATACATTCAACGAGGGTCTGGAAAGAATAAGCAGTGGTGGTGAAACAAATGTAATGATCTTGGAAGAAGGTTCACGGCATGCTGCACGAAGGAAATTCTGTAATTTGCAACATGGTAGAGAGGGGTTTATGCCAGTACCTTTTGCTCTAATGATACGTAAACAATCTCCTTATAAAGCTCTTTTGGATAAAGGCATTGATAAAATTGTTGAAAGCGGGATTATAGCACGGCTACAAAGGAAATATATAAAAAAAGAACAATGCCCAACATTCAAAACAACATTTATGAGCTCTTCAGTGAAGCTGTCGAATTTTTCATCTATTCTCTACCTCTTATATGGAGGAATCCTTCTTTCAAGTATATGTCTGACACTTGAACTTATTAAAAAATATTACTTTTAAAGTCGCTTGTTGTTTTAGGATAAAATGTATTAATTATAGCATATATATATATGTAAATTTATATATATATATATTTATATATATATATATTTATATATATATATATATATATATATTAGTATATATAATTTATATACTGTATATACGATTTATAAAAAAAATGACTTTAAAATAAGTGAAAACTGCAAAGAAAAATATTAATTCTTTATTATTCAAGTGCTTTTATAATCAGTCCACTATTACAAAAGTAGGAGAAGTAGTAACACCGCACATATTTTTAGCTTGATCCATTAAAAAGTAACCATCGTTACCCCAGTAGGTAGACCAGGAATTCTTAATTAACCAATAGTCTTTACCATCCAACGTACCATACCCAACCAATAATACAGCGTGATCTAAATCCTCTGGTTTATTGCCTAATGGAAAATAGAAAGGAAATGATTTTTTAATTAGGAAAAAGATGAATAAAAAGGAATTGTTATAGTAATTAATTAAACAAACCGCATTTGGGATCGCTGTAAACTCCGTGAGAGTAGAAAGAAAGACTTCTGTGAGAAGCATCAATACCAATAGATATTGGTCCTTGTGAGACTAAGCTCTTTTTTAATGCTTCAACATCATAAGCAGTGACATTTACGTAATTTTTAATTTTTGCTCCAATTTCAAGTCCGGGCGACTTTGAATGACATTTTCCATCAGTTCCTTTATAAGCACCATATGAATCAGATGTTGGAATACCGTTATTTTTAATGATCCAGCGATAGGCTCTATAGTCTTCCCCGCCGTCACAAGCATTGTTTCCTAGATAAACATTTACATTATTAGAACACATTATTGTATATCTACAAACTATCCTTAAATTTATATTAACGAAATTTCGTATGATTATTACCTTCACCCCAAGAACAATCGACTAAAACTTGCTGGGAAAGAGATACAAGACGACCTGTCTTAAGAAAGTGAGCGCCTTCAATCGTACCAGTTGTACCAAAACTCCAGCAAGAACCACAAATTGATTGATCTTTAACAGGTGTAACGGCACCTAAAATTAAAATTATACATTACAAATACTATATAATTAATCGATCAAATTAATTTGATACTGATTTTATTGAAATCCTTTTGTTTACCTGGTATCCTCCAATCGAAATCTTTAGGTAAATCTTTGACAGTCTCGTATCTTTTCTTATCGTACGGTAAAGCACCATTTGATCCAGGTGTATATAATTTTCCTCTTAAAAATTTTAAATCACTCTTAATCCGATCAGCAAAATGATTAACAGCTAAATTAAAAGTTAATCCTTGCCGATTCATTGAATGAATATATCTATGGACATAGGTATATAATTAATTAAAAATTTAGTAAGCATTTATTAAAAAATTTTACCTCAAATTTTGTCTAAATATATGTTTTTTCTCTTCATGTTCATGTGGATGACTGTACTTTTTTCCGTGTTTCTTCTTGAATATATTAAATAAATGATCAACGTGTTCATCATAATTATTAATATATTCCTTCATAGGATTAAACAATATATGCCCTTCTTTTTCACTGCCAGGTCCGGGAAATCCACCACAAGTCAATTCCTTGGCTATTGAAACACAAAAATACATAGAATATACATTAAAAAAACTGCAATTCGATACAAACCAATAATCGATATATTAAAAACGCTGGCTGGAATTTCACCATGATCGTCAAAATTTTCATAAGATACATAATATTTATCGTAATGTGAACCAAATATATTATCATATCCCATCATTTCATAAAAAACTGGATTGTATTTATTGCCACCTAAATAATTTATTAATAGTATTTTTACAATCAATCGGATGTTATTATAGTATTAAAGTCGCTTACCAGCATTGTGAGCCCACATGGTGTTAACATTTTTCTTTTGACTCTTCTCATAGTAATATGTGTATTGCCATTTGTCACAGCTTAAACCATTTTTCATTTCCGTACCCATAAACTATGTAGTTGATTAAATTAATTAGTACTCTCTTACTATATTTTTCAATATTAAATATTATCTTATGTTTATTACTGTGTAGTTTGTCAAATCCGGTAGAACACTTTGAGGTGCTATTGGCGCGTCTTTTGTTCCAGATATTTGAAAACAGGTGTTCTTGTTGAGTACCTAAATAAAATAAGAATGTTAATTGATCTTTTTTTAGTTTTGTAAAATTCTTACCTTGTAAGTTGTCATTGGAGCTATTTTATAGCTTACACCATAGTTGTTTTCGTCATTGGCTCCTATTTGTATGGTCTTGACAGTATCTATCAAAAACAAAGAAGATCAAAAACAAGAGATAAGACAAGAAAATTTTTACCGTAATAGTCAATGCGACTTTTCCTATTTTTAGCATCGTAATGAGCAGCAAATGGCTCTTTGATCTCTGCATAAGGAAGTTGTAAATAGCCATTTACAGCATAACTTTTTTCTTGCCATGATGGCGGCTCTTTACGCCCGTCAACAGTGCTCAAAACTGCAATATATTAAAGCAATACTTCTACAAACTCTCTATTTAATTCATTAAATATCAATCTAACTAAAGCAATATTAAACTTGTAAGAAATAACAAGAAAACTTACAAAAAATTGAAAGAACTGAACATAGAACTAATCTGCCGAAAGCCATGATCATGTGATTTGTGTACTTGCGAATACAAAATTGTCACGTGACTTTGGGGAGCATATATTCTACACTTCAACAATTGTTATTTTAAGAATATGGAATGATTACTATTTATAATTACAAGCGTGATATGTGTAAGAAATAATTATTGGAATTTTTTGATTTATTTGCTCTTACTTATAAAATTTAATGATCCTTACTAGTAAAATGGCGCCACCGTTACCCAAATTACCTCAAACAAGGTGTAAAAAATATGAAAAATTAGCCAAATTATATAAAGACAACTCACAAAGTGAAAAAAAAAGGTCTATTCGAGATGCATCCGATGGGAGAAACTTGAATTTTAGCATCAAAGAAACTATTATTGAAGAAGAGAATGAAGTCTTCTGTGACGTTTCGTTTCCCCCCAGAACCGCTTCAAACTGTTCTCCCTATCCGGGTACAAAGATTAGGCGAACAAAGACAAATTTTGGGAAAAAAACCCAACAAACAGATTCATTGGAATTGAATGGAAGCGAAACTGATAGTTGTTCAGTTAATCAAAGAGATCTTTCTCTTGGAGCGGAAGCAGGTGAATTTTTTACGAGAAGTTCAAAGGAAGGAACACTTGAAAGCCTAAAGAGATTCCCAAGCGTATCATCTGCTGATCCAACACCCAGAAGTAGCCTAATACTCCCAACCTCAGGTAGTGTTCCATTATTAGAAAGTAGTGTGAAAGAGCCTCACCATGCAACTTTACCTACTATACGCTTTACAAATTGTGACTTTTTGATTTCTCTCACTGGAATACTCTTTTACTTCTTTGATGTTGCAAGTGACGTTTTTGTAGCCGTATTGTATTTTATGAACGGAAAGATTTGGTGGTTTGTTCTGACAGTAATCTTTATCGTTGGGCCTTCCTTAGTGTCCTCAGCTTTTTCATTGTATTGGTATTATGTTGACTATAAAAAGTTAATGATCTGTGGAGATGAAGAAATAATTAAGTTAGAGAAACCATCAAAAAAGAGATGGTTTTGTAGAATATTTTGCGTTATTTTACAATTCGGACCGGTACTTAGGTAAGATGATAGATAATATTTGCTTAGTACACTTTGCTCTGATTCCACTTAAACAACGTTGATAACCACTTAGATATATTGATACTATCTACTATGGTTGTAAATCTCGGAGATCAAAAGGCAGAGATAGACTTCGGGCAATAGATATGATGCTGTAAGTGATTTGTTAATATTATTTATAAGATTGTCATTTTCTTTCCTTCACAATCGGCCAATCCCAGATACGAGGATGTTGATGCCAGCATGCTGAAATTGTTTGAATGCTTTCTTGAATCTGCCCCCCAGTTGGTTTTTCAGCTTTATGTATTAACTCAAGTTTATGGAACGGATCACGTGATTTTCAGTAAGTTTTTAAAGATTTCTTCAAACTTCTTTTTAAAAAAGAGTAAAAGTTATTTTATTAAAAATGATTACCTTAAAAAAGAACATAGGAATGAAATGTCTGAATATTTAAAGTTGTTGACCAGTAAGTGAACGGGATATGCATGAAATTTTATCCCATTTCTCTTCATCCCACATATTTTTATCTTACGCATGCGCTTAGCCTGCTAATCAACTGAGATCTAATCAACCATCCGTTTGAATTTAAAGTAAACCTAACAAACATATTTTCCTAATAAACTGTATTCTCTGTTTTTTGAATGAACAAACAGTGATTGGACAGTTCTTCTCGATTGTTCTCTCTATTGGATCTCTGGCTTGGTCTTTAACGGCTTATTTTAGAGCTTTAAGAATCTCACAGCCTGAACGCAAATCATCAGTTACTGAATGCGGAAATGCCTTTCCGGGTATTATCTTGCAGTTTGGTTGGCGTTATTTTACAATTGGAACTAGAGTATTGGCAATGGCTTTATTTGCATCAGCATTTACATGGTACATTTTTGTCTTTTGCGGAGTTCATTACGTCATAGTACTGACTTGGATTTTATATCAAAATACGTCGTTTTTCCAAGACGAGAAGGGTGAACGAAGGAGATGTGCAGAGTTTTTCTTCGATGTTGTTGTTGCTTGGATACACTTATACTGCTTTTTCAATGTTACAGAAGGCCACACGAGATTAAGATACGCAATGTTCTATACATTAGTTTATATTGAAAATTTAATCCTTACATTTTTTTGGTTTATTTCAAGTCAAACCAATGATTTACCGTATCATTTACCTGCTCTATTAGTAGTTGTATTGGGATTTTGGATTGGAATTACATTCATGCTCTTGTACTACTTAAGATTTCATCCAAATGATTATCCATTAGTGCACGAAGGTAAAAAGATTCGCTGTTGGATACCATGTAGCGAATTAATACATAACGAAATGCATGACGTACCAATTCAAGATCATGGAGTGAAAAAGAAAGATAGAGTATCTATATCGGACGATACATCCGTTACGACATTCGAACGTAGAGAGCGTATAGACTATACTGCTGTTTAGTTTTTTTTTTTTTACTTGTTTATTAATTTTCATATTTTCATTGTTTCTTTACTAAAATGTGGGTGCTATTTCTAAAAAATATTATATTATGAGATTATGCTTTTTGCTAATCTGTTCAAACATGAATATCAATTCCAAATTTGTTGATGTGCGCTGCTCTTTTCGCCGGAAGTAAAGCAGGGTGATGTATATACGAATCGCATTTGTAACACCAGACTGAGAGATCCGCAAAACTTAATACTAGTGGGTGATTACTCTCAATTCCGTGCATTAGCATATGTTCGTTTACAAATCGACCGCAATATACTTTATAACAGGACAGACAAATCCAATTCTCTCCAATATTAGAACAGTCAAGGCATGGAGATTGTATATTAATTCCATCTGGTCCTACTTCATTGATTTCATTCAAGTGAGGACAATCCAATTTCGGAACTACCGCATGTAGCTGTGATCCTTCCTGAGTATATACATTATTCATTAGTATTAATCACAACATAAGAAATACTCTAGCTAATAAGTATTACCAAATCTCCAGCATAGTCTTCCCCAATTATCTGGCGAATTTCATTTTCCGATGTGGAAAATGATTTGGAATTATTTGTATTATCGTTAGTGGCCATCATAAAATTCTATTACCTGAAAAGTGAACGATTAAAAGTCACATTCAATACTAATTTTTGTCCATTTTACCAATGGAAAGTAGAATGTCAGTTTAACGATGAAATGACAAAGTAAATTACACAAGGTTTCAAAATAGCGGTTAGAAAACAAAGCTGTTTAGCAGACGATATTCAAGCACCACCTAACGGTTGATTAAAATATAACAATTTCATGCTATTTCATTAGCTGTTATTCTGAAAATGTATGTTTTCTATACTTTCTCTCTAGTCTATTGTATTTCTTACCTAAATGCTTGTCCAGATATTTTATAATTAATACAGTAGAAGAAGGTCCACTCGCTTTTAAGTAAATAAGATAATGGAAAACTTTAACAGCGTTATAGGTAGGCTCAAACTTTTTCATTTTTCCAAAATCCCAAATGTGTAGACAAACAGAATAAATCAGAAGAACAAAAACAATAACACAACATTTTATTCATTATTATCGGTTCAATTACTTTCAAAAGAGAGATACTTGAACATAATGTTAACCTTTAAGTGTTCCCACTTTTAATTATGACAATAACACCATCTAGAGGTTAAAAACATTACTAACTCCCTAAACTACACAGTTGTATTGAAATTTAATGTGATTTTTCTTGTGATAAAACAAAAAAAGCCTAAAACAAATAAATAATTAATAATTACATTTAATTAAATATTTCATCAATCTAGACGCTCAATTTTAATCTGCAAAGAAGTCTAATTAATCGTAACCTTTAACATTTTTACTTGTATAAACATGAAAGTATTATTGCAGATGTAATTGAGAAAATTGGTGGTAAAGTTGATTTCAGTGGTCTTAACATTAGCTAATTAATAACACACAGTATGTTCTGCAATTTTTCATTCATTCATTGAATATCTAGATACAATTATAAATGATAGAGACACTATAGAAAAATACAACAACAACCTTCTCTCTCTTAAAAGCTAATAATGAATATCGACTGATGGAATTTCAAATCAGTTTCCCTAACAAAGTACCATATACTGTATAATGGAACAATATTACTAATTTTAAAAGATCTTGAAATGATGATGATTATTTATTATTTAAATAACAACTAACATCTTGACTAAAAATAAAAAAAATAATTGTAATAACGCCAAACCATAATAGCTAAGTAAAAACAAAGAGACGTCTTAGACGTATATACACGTATTCTATTACCTTATTTTATATTATTGGTACTTATTTTTCATTGAATTTGCAATTTTTTTAACACTCATTTATTTGTTATTATTAAATCTTTAATATATAAAAAGCAGCGTTTGCTATTATTTATTTCTTTATTAAATATTTCTTACAGGTTAATTATAACTATGAAATTTTGAAATTTAAACTCTTTTTCTCTATATTTCTTTAACTTTTCTTCAAAATCTTCCTTTTTTTATTCCTTTTCCCTTTTTAATACATTATTTTAACAAATAATTGAATAATCTGAATTATTCAATACAGACCTTGACGTATAGAGCTTAAGCTTAATTCTCCTATCAAGATTAAATGTAATCTTCAGATTTTTGCTGTTTGGTAAAAATCTTTAATCCGAAAACTATTTACTAAATTATAATATAAGTATGTTTTTTAACGAAAAAAGGGCAATTATGGAAATAAATTCGACATGTTTTTAATAATTTTCACGTCTGAAAATCATTAATTCACTTTCTCTAAAAATACATTTATTACATTGATGGAAAACTTCATCTTCTCTCTATAAGGATACTAACAAGAGAAACTGAAAATGCTTACTTCTCATTTATGACTTATTAGAAATATATAATGAACGAATCCTCTACATTTGACCTTATTTGCAAATTATATATACAGTATATATATACTGTATATATTAGTAAGAACTTATAGTATAGCAGTATATTAAGTGCAAATAGATATTTACAAAGGCTACGATGCTTATTTCAACAATGTAAACGCTTTAACCTGGTACATAGTGTTTTAAACAAGGGAAAATGGTGTTTATCTTCCTTTACTGTATATAATTAAACTAACATTTAGAATGAATTATATATTAGTGATATGTGAACAATTAACTATAGAAATATATATTAGAAAATATAATAAATTAATATATTTGCGTAAGATAAAAGAAACAGGAAACAATAAAAGACACAATATCTAGCAGACAATCTTTGAATGGTTTGACGCCCTCCAGAAGCTTCTTCTACGATCAAAGACGTATAAACTATCCCAAATACGTTTGACAAACTCTTTTAACCAGGAGTGAAAAGATTAATGTAGATGAGAACGAAAGAGAGCGAAAGAAAACCTAGACTCTTTCCTTGTTGGGACGAGACGGACAGGAAAAAAGACGAAACTATAAAAATGTATATATCAACAATTTTACTCTTATCTATACTGATTATATTGCTATTGATTATGTTCTTATCAAATCCTAAAATGTCGTAGATCATCTATTTCTAGTTGAATTATCAAAATATATATAACGTGCTATTTGACCGAAAGTTGTATCCATTAATTTAATATTCTCCTCGTTAGGATCCTCCTTTAGGAAATTCCACTGTTTTGCAAGCCTATACCAAAGATGCATGGTAATAGATTTCGTCCAATCAACTATCACTTTTCCGTATAGTTGATCTAAATGCTTAAAGTTTGGTTTAAGAAGTCTATTTTTTTCAACAAAAACTAGCTGCGGATAACGGCGAGCTAACTTCCAAGGTACCTTACCAGAGTTATAGGCCCATTCTTCTATTCTATAATCATCCAAATATGAATTTAACCATAATGATAGGAATGGTGCGTTCTTTTCGCACATGAAAACGCAACCGCACGATTTATCCGATTGCTCTTGTCCTATTACACAACTGTAATTACGTAGGGGTTCCATGGGCGATAGAACAACAGTATCCAAGTCCAGATAGATACCTCCATACTCGTGAACAATTTTAACTCTATCTACGTTTGAATGAGATGTATAATACAAGGGTTTTTTAACATCTTCCCCAAACAATTTCAATGGTGGTTGACGATAATTAATATTCAAGCTTGTAATTTGTCTTTTAGCCTCATTCCAATATTTTCCCACTGGCTCTTTATTTGTATGAAATATAATCTTTTCTGGGTTTTGTATCCTAAAAGAGCTGAGCATTGAAAGTAGATGGTGGAATTTTAGTTCTTTTTCTTTTTCATTGTACCAGACGTAATGGATTATGTTTGGAATCTTATAAGTATGATGAACTGGACGGATCGCCGGTATTTTAGGCGGATCAGGTTCTATATTAGTCTTAATACCGACATATCTTCCTACAGAGAATATGAATAGGGTAATATTGAAGACAAGTGCGAGTTTTAAGAGGTTGGCCAACTGAATCGTGAAAACAAGATTTATTTATAGATGAATGAAATTAAATTCCTAAATTATTAACTACCTACTTTACTTTCCGATCGTTTCATTTCTGGTATCAATACAAGAATCAATTTATAATCGAAACGGCGTGGGTTAGGTCTTTGTTACAGGCCCTTTTGAACAATATCACCCGCGATTTGATCGCCATCTTCAGGGAGGTCACAAACTTCTTTTTTTTAATTATATTTATCACTATCAGATGCTAATATATCATTTTTTTGATATTACAAAAAATATTGCTCTAAATTTAACAAGTACAAATAATTATTTATCTATTAAGGTACTTAGTTATTTCAAGAAATAACGCCATCTATTAGCCAACGGTAAATTGCAAACACTTTTGATCACCTGCTTATTACACTATAAAATATTCATAATATACTGCAATATTTCTCGACAATCGTCTTTTTTTTAATATATAAAAGAAATATTAGAAAAGCAATTTTCTTTTTTTTTCAACTATATAAAATATTGACATTTTTACGTCTTTTTCTATGTTTTTTAACAAAAACATAGAAATATTCTAATGATAGAGCAGAGCTTTTGATATAAAAAGTTTTTTAAAAAAAGAAGGCAGGGGGGAGGAAGAGAGAGAGAGAGAGAGAGAGAAAGATTGACACCGACGGGGAGAATGTGAGAAAAGGATATGGAACAATCTTACACACTTATATAAAAGATGTATTATAAAAACAACACTGTACCATTCTCTGTCCATCATGCTCTCTTAAACAGTATATTGCGTGATGTATGTAGTATATTAGTTTTAGAATAGAGAGAAATAAAACATTCGATTGAGTTACACACAGATAGTTTTGTTTTTTTTTATTCATTCATTAAGCCTACATTCAGTTATATAAATTTATAAGTGAATATATAGACTGTATCTAGTTTATATATTTTATATATAGAAATGTAAAGCATAGCTAAGGGGATAGACTTTTTAATTCGCACTTATTTATCTATCTGCGCAATATACTACAGTTGGTTTATGAATTTTAGATATTATCATTTAAAAATTCAACTTAAAAAGGTGAAACTGCAATTGACAAAAGAAAGCAGTAACCGTATAATACACTGTCTTATTTATGAAAGTTTTAATAATTATCTCTATACATAATGTCATGCGCAAATATTTCAATAATAAGCTTGCTATTTGAGTTCTACTTGAACTTTTTTCCTGTTGTTGCTGTGTTGATGAATAATTTATAATAAAAAAAGAGTATTGGTGACGTCATCTAGTCCGACTCCGCCTTTTTTGATTTTATTATACCTTCCATTCGCTTGACGGCCAAGTGACGCCGAGTAACAACATTCTATTGGAATAGACAACATACAGGTTAGTTCTTTTTCCCTTTCTCCTTTTCTTTTTCGGTTTTCAACATTTTTCCAGTTAAATAAGGAAAACTAGAAGTTTCCGTTAGTAGATATTTAAATATATGTATGTAATTTATCACGTTTATATAAAACGGTTATTTTCTCTCTAACTTATCAACTTTCAATTTGTTTGCAATTGTGAAAAGGGAAAATAAAAGAGAAACATTATTCTCATAGTTCTTTTAGCCTCTTCCAAAGGAACAAAGAACTTGGAACATTTTTTTTATTCTATCTTTCTCCGCTTCTCTCTCTCTCTCTCTATCTCTTAGTAAAAGTGGATAGGATATATTCGTGTTAGATTAGACACAGCTGCACTAGAAATATCTGATATTAAACAATAACGAATCCTAAAAACTTCCATACACTATATTAAAAATATTGTATAATATAATAGAAATCTTATACTTTATCATTGCTTATCGTTAACTTACTTTTTCTTTAAAAAAACAAACCGACTATAAATTTTAATTAAATCCACTTTGCTTTGGTTGATTAGCACGGTCAGCGTGTAATTATTTTTTTAAATAACAAGCGAGAGTGAAATTTCTCTTTGAATAGCATTTTCCTAATCATTTTAGATTTTTATGAATTTTAAAGATTAGTTATTCCAAAGTGATCACGATAATAAATATTCTAATATACTGAATACTTGATAGACTCAAACTTGATTATTCCAAATGCATTTGGACGCCTTCAGCTATGAGATCAATCCCACCGAACTAGAATTGAAACAATTACACGTTCTTCTCTAATAACAGGGTTAAAAACTTGAATAATTCATGCTTATAGATATTCGAACCACGGCTTCGTTCAATTCCTATGATCTCATACAAGTGCCTTAATGAATGTATTCACCTGAATGGTAAAACTAATAAATAAATAAATAAATAATTAAAGAGACGAGAATAAATTGAGAAAATTGAAATAGAGAAAGAGTACAAAAAAATTTCTTTCAAAACTTATTCAAAGTGGAGAAAAGAGGAAAAAACTCTACCTCTTCCTAGTAAATTAATTGGAAAAATCATTAGTGGGTAGTCGACGCTCCGGGATTGACTTTTTAAATTCGAACAGCAAATAAAATTAACTAATTTTTGTTCACCTGGGAGCCTATCCACTGAGGGTTTTTACATAATCTTTAAATGTGAACTTATCTTCAAAGAGCAAGATATATAAAGAAGATCTTTTGTCTATATCATTAGCTTTTTTTATCCTTATCTGACTTGGATAGAAAAAATTTGTTCAAACGATAATCTTTTTATTTGTCTTTCCCCTCTCTCCCCGTCCGTCTCTCTCTCTCTCCCCTCTTTCTTTCTTTCTACAACATACATACAAACATTAACATACACCTAGTCGAAACATTAGTTTTTTATTCTTTTTTCTCTTTCTCTCTTTCTCTCTCTCTCTCTCTCTCACACACACACATACACACTCACAAACTCTTATTCTCCCCTTCTCTTCTTTTCTATAAATAGAATAAATAAAAAAGCAACTTCCGTCTAATTACAGATATTTATATCATTATTAAATAGAATTGAGAATAAAAAGAGAAAAACCAATAGAGATGGAGAAAGAAAGAAACACTCAGACAAGACGGGAAAAAAAAGAGAGACAGAGAGAGGGATAACATACGGAGTAGGAGGGAGAGGGGGAGAGAAAAGGGAAATTATTTTCATTAATAACAAAAAGGGTGTAGTCTTTATAAACCCATTAAAAGTTATTGAGAGGTAAATATTAATCTATAATAGAGAGTTGAAAAGAGAGGGTATTTTATCAGTAGTAATCTATAAATCCTGGTTGGTAGCCATTAAGACCAATCATTGTATCTGAAGTTGTGTAAATAAAGAAGTGCATATGGAATATTGACATTAGCATCGAATGTTTACACTTCAATGATATTTTCACCCACAAACATATGTAGATGACTCTTATATAACTTTTTTTTAAAAAAAAAATATTTAATATCCATATGAGCTCAATAACGTTATAGATAGGAATTGGTTTGTAACTTTTTAAGGAAAAGCATGTATTTCTCCTTTAAGATTATTCTCTTTTTTTGATGTTTTTTTTTAAAAAAAAAAACATTAAAGAAAATATTTCCAAAAATATTTTAAGTTGTTTTTCTCGTTTTTTTCTTGGTTATTATTACTATTGCTCCTTTGCCTGAGGATAGAAGATGTTGCAAGAGATTCGAAAGAAAGAATCCGATCTAGATCTAAAACGTCGTGGCGGATTAGCATGAATTTTTTATTCGAAAGAACTGCTTTACATCGCCTGCGATTGTCAAATGCGTTTGTAGTATTTGACAAAGCAGGCGTACAAGATATAAAATGAAAGACTGAGAGTATTAAAGATTGAGGGAAGAGGAGGATGGGTATTTAGGTAGTTTAGTTAAAGAGAAAAGAAAAAGAAAGGAGGGGGGAGGGACGAGGGGCAGGGAATAAACTACCTAAAATTAGACTCGTCAAATAGAATCAAGCAAAGTTCCCAGTGAAAAATCTTTCTCAATTACGGTGGCCTTCCCTTTTTACCGGAAGTTACGAGTTTTTTCATGTATTTCACTATATAAAATATGAAAAAGTAATAAAAATGCTCTCAACATAAATAAGTCAATTCGTCCTGTTGCAGAAAGTTGAGCAACCGCGACTAATGTATTGCATATATGATTATAAATATATGCGGTATATATCTATATATATCCTATTTAAAAGTATACATAGTTTATATGTATATGTATATATATGATTTGTTTTAGATTGTATTATAATTGGAACGATAGTATAGTCCTACAGTCTTTCCTTTACATGACAAACAAAGTATGAGATATGAATAAGTAACTCTTTTGACATAGTTCAAAGATAATTCTTCTAGATACAATAAAAGGTCTAATTCCGTAAGTAAATTGTATAAGAGTAGAGTCTGTGGTTTGCTTTATTGACGTTCTCGTTAATCAAAACTACAGCGACGTCTTTTGCGGTTGGCGTGCCGAGCAGCCATACATTGAGCTCACATGACGTCACTTTTATAAAAGTTTCAGTGTCCGGCCCTAGAATGATATATTAGCGCAAGCTCTAGAATTTTTTTTCAATTTCGTCGCCGATTGTTGAAAGTGTTCCCGCGGGAAATTGTTTTGAAAAGGTGAAATATTTTCTGCTTCCCTTCTATTCCAGTTGACAACATGTACGTGAAAGCACTTCTACTACTTGTCTTCGTCGTGGCCGTTTCTTCGATGAGTTTACAAACCGCCGATGAAGGTCAACAATTTAAAAGAACTCAAACGGAAGACGACGAATCAAGAGCTACCTGGTTGGACACAAGGGAAGATCTCTTATCAAATTTCAAGAACTTCGTCTATTCCTCTGTTGTCGAATTGGTTAACGAGAATAAATTAGATGGCTCTGTTCTAAGCGCACCATCAAAAGACAAAAGAGGACGCTGGCAAGGATTCTGTTTCAGGAGAAATAAGCAAGGAAAATTCTTACCATACATTTGCTGGAAAGGAGGTAGGGACAAATATAATATACTTACCGATTGAATTTCGCCTTTTTCTTACCTTCCCTTTATCATCCAGGTAAATAAACAGCACCGTTGATCGGAAGAGGACGAAATGAGGCAGACCATTCGAATAAACATTAGAGCTTTATTATATTTCCTTATTCGTTCCATCCTAAAAGTCATCTGGCTGCAGAGTCTACCTACTTTTTTCCGTATGTTCATCCCAACACCTTCCACTATTACTACTACTACTAGTACTACTACTTTTCTTCTGTCTCTTAATTATTCGACCTTTGTTTTGTTTCTTTCACTTTAAAGTAGAACTTATTCGTTGCACAGTCACATTCGAATACAATTGGCGCCATCTGGCAGCCCTTCAAAAAAATTGCCTTTAGTTTATATCCTTATAAAGTTAGGAGATACAATTTTCTTACGCAGGAACAATATAAGCCTAATTATACTAAAATTTAATAGGGAATAGAGGACAATGTGTTTATGATTTTATTCCATAGGCGTATTACAAGTTGGGAGGTGCGAAGGAGACGGAGTGGAGGAAAAAAGATTTCCCACCTGTCATCAATCCCTCATCAACCCTATTAGCTCGCGTAAGGTAGCAAAATACAAGGGAATTTTGTAATAAGTGGAACGGAATTAATGATTACTATATACAGTATATATTTTGTCTATCGTAGTGAAACCGTATATACCTCTGGGGTTAAAATACGCCAATAGCAATTGTTAGTTTGCTGTTGTCGTAGCTTTAAAAAAATCCAATCTTTGAGATGAATTAAACAATTATTTATATAAAAAATGATCGGATATAACTGTGTTTATAATTGAATGAAACGATTAAAGTTTGATTATGTTATCAAATTCGGTATCTCTTACGGAAATTACAAATTCTATATTTTTTGCAGACTATGACTTTTTTCCACTATTTTGCATCCGCACTCTCCAATGTTTTTTTTTAGTGACTAATCAATTGATTGGGAATAATAAAAAAAGTTTTCCACTTATAAAACTACTATGCTTAATCAAATAGTAAACTGATTTATTGCAATAATCCAGCTTATTACGATTATTTGTTATACTCTTTGGTTAGTACATTTATTTTTATACATGTCCATATGCATTTCTTTTTAATAGGGTTAGAGAGTGCATCATAAAAAATTTGTTCAGTTAGTCGAAAATATAATTATTGAGTGAATCCGATAATGCTCAATTCATATATATTCATAATTTATCGTTCTGCTTACCTATATTTATGTATGTGTCGTCGTTATTAATGGATAGCCGAATTGGTTATTCATATGTTCTACTCTTGTAAACATTTTTAAAAGCACTAAGAAAGACTGATAGTCTTGTATCACAATAGTCGATGCTATAAAAAGCAATTGCTGCTAACAGAACAGTTTTTACCTACTTGCATATTTTTTAATATTTTTAATGTAAATTTTGAAACCATCAATTATTTAACAAATCGATATTATTTATTCTGCATGAAATCGCATACAACATTACACAACATGTACTCTATATACACTTTGAATTTAAACAGCCAAATATTTAATCAGTTTTCGCCCACTCTAAAATAACACGTCTGCCGAGAATATGACTACTCGTCGCAAGTGCTTCAAATGCTTTCTGCAAAATTAATTTTATTTTATAAGTAAACAGAGGTTCCATTAAATTCCATTTTGATAGTTAAATATTATACTTAAAATTTGTTTACCTTTGAATGCTCTTTGGAAATATATTCTATAAATGCAAAGCCCCGATGACCTCCCGATACCTTTTTAGGTAACCTCACGTATTTCAGTTCTCCAAAGGTGCTGTTAATAAATAGAAGCGATTATTATTTTCATTTTATAAAGTACTCTTCATTTACCTAAACAATTCTCGAACTTCTTTTTGAGTCGCTTCAAATGGAACATTCTTAACAATTATCTTTCCAGTAACATGTTCAACGTTTTTCTTATTTATAGATTTTTTCCTGAGGAGAAGAAATAAATAAATAAATTATCAATGTGCTTTGAAACAATGTATCAAATCAACATACTCTTTTTCTTCTTTATTTTGATCTGGAGCCGTTACTTTTTCTTCGGTTTTACTGTTGCTATCCACTTTTTCGCTTTCCGCTTCCTCTTCTTTGTGTTTTTTGTTCTTTTTTCGTTTCTTAGGTTTATCTTCGGTCTCGACCACTGGTTTAATATCTTCATCGAAAACACCAAAGGGAGCTCTTTCCAAGTATATTGGAGAGTCCTTAACTTTTTTATATGCTATGGCTCTGAATGCATTACGGCAGGCAATAGGCAAACGAAACATAACTAACGCTGTTAAACCATACGGTGGTATAACAACTCTTTCAATATCTCCATATTTTTCAAACATATTCTCAATGTCCTTTCTCCTTGTTCCGCTAGATAAATTCTTCACAATCAAAACTCTTTCGCTACGTTTAGTTTCAGGCTGTACATATATACATTTCGAATTAATACACAATGGCGTGGTTATAAAATGTATACCTTTCCAAATATATCAATCTTTACACCATTTTTAATCAAGAAATCCTTAGTTTCTGCGACAATTTCCGTTTCCCCTAGAGCCATTCTAACGGCAAGGCTGTCCTTTCCTGTCTAAAACCATCAATTTATATGTATCTGTATTATGTTTATGCGATTCTTACATCTTCCAGAACATCCATTTTGTCGACATTGTACTTGTGGGCCATTACGTCGGCAACTGCACTGGGTGATACGAACAACGCATTCCAGTTATGAACACTAAATTTGAGAAGACAGTTTGTCAGAAACTTAAAAAGGATTTTTTAAACATACGGAACCTTCCAGCATTTTGTTTCTTTTCCAAGAGTTTTTTCGCTTTATACGTCAAATTTTCTGAGAATTACAATAAAAATGTTTATAACAGTCAATCCTTCATTTGAAATTAAATACCTGGAACGCCATCGTCATCACGTTTCTTTTCAGCCGGTAATATATGTAAAAGACGTCCCTGTTAACAAAAATCTTATTACCTAAAAGCAATAATTTAAGCTTCGTATAGTTACCTGAAAATCACACCCATCTAGTTCTGTCATGGCCTTCACTGCATTTTCTGCAGATGTAAATGATATAAAAGCAAACCCAAGAGATTTTTCAGTTTTAAAGTCAACCGGCATGTGAACTTCATTAACTTCACCTGTTCAAAAAAAATTAAAATTTATAGTTAACATTTAAGTGATGAATTAGTTTATACCGACCATAGACGGAAAATAAATCTTTCAGGTGATCCTCTTGGCAATCATAATATAAATTTCGTACAAATAGTCTGCTGGTCTGTAAATTGTGAGATAATGTAAATTAAAATTTCATACATAATGTAGAATACCTTACTTGTAAAACCCGATTAACTTTATCTCTCTCTCTCTCTTCAGTCGTTAGTTGTTTTTCATTGTCTTCTTCTACTTCTTTCTCAGGCTCATCTTCACTTTTCTCTTTCTTTTCTTTATGGCCACTTTCTTCATCTGAATCGTCATCAGATTCAAATGCTATATCTTTACCATCATTATTTACTGTCACTCCGTCATCTTGCCATGACGGTTTTACAGAAAGGTTCTGATGTAGGGAAACGAACTCCTTGAATTTTTCATCTTTGTCTAGCTAAATAAAATGCGTGTTAATATAAATATATTTATATCTAGCAATTGCTACTTACTTCGCCGACAACGTTAATCTTTTCTATTTTAGCCTATAAATAAAAAAAAGCAGTTAAATCTATTGCTAGTATTCTCAAAAGTAATGAGTCTATCAATATGAAAGTTTGTATGATAAAATTCTTGGATGAATACCGGTGTTTGAATATCCACCCTACACACATTACCACTTTCTATACCCAGCGTATGTCGCTACTGCCGCAAATCAGACGACAGTCGCCGGCTTAATTACCGGGATATAAGTATAATAGCCAGTGAATTATGGCTTCGATTATTACCTTTTTCTCGAATGATTTAGCTTTTTCTTCTGTATGATCAACTTCATCGGGATGAAGCCTCTTATAAGCTGAGCTCCCCTTAGAATATTTACTCCAAGGACGCGCTTTATACTTTTCACCCAATTTCTGACATGATTCAACCTGCGAAAACGCAATCATAAAGATAAAATTTTTACATTACGTAGTATATACATACGACAATTTTATTGGTATCTATGTAGGTATTATTGAAGAATTTAATGGCATTATTGGCTGCACTGTCAGTTTGGTAGCCAATAAACGCAAACTTTCTGAAAACTCCATCCGGGGTATATTTCAAGTTACAATTGGTTATAACGCCTTTTTCGCTAAAAAGTTTCCGCAACCTCTCTTCTTTGATCTGCAAAACATTGGCGCATTATATAAATACTTATAAAGCTGGAGTAAAGTCTAGAAGTTTGAATTTTTATGCAATTTGAACGACCACGTGGTTTGTGGTATTGAGCGATAACATAAATTTTGTATATGACGAAAACTTACGTTTTTAGGTAAGTTTTTTACAATAATGCGCGACATCTTTTGTAGCCTTTGTAGGTCAGTTTCAATAAGTCTAATTTTGAAGAACCATTTATAATAAACAATTACCGTTAATATCTTAAAAGATTTCCCCTGACTCGCATGGCGTGCTACGATGGCGACACCGGATACAAAAGGAAAGAAGCTAGGTTTAGCGCCCTCTACATTCACCACCAGGTAACCAGTCAGTCCAGTAAAATTTAAACGAAAAGCAACCAAATTTATTAATTAAAGTTCAGAAAAAGTCTAGAAAATTTTATTTTCTCAAAAAATACGAAAATTCTCAAAAATTCAAAAAGAAAATAAACACGAATTCCAACTTATTTTTAAGTTAACAAACGTGTGTTCTCGTCATCATCATCTTCGTCAATAGCCGTAAAATTCTCAGTTTTATTTTCCAAATCAAAGAGTACGTCCTTTAAGTATCTTCTTATAAAAATAAACAATAATATAAAGAAACTGGATGCTAAAATTGTATACGTTGATACTATTATTAAAGTTATTACAATTATATTCTTTAATAAGTCCTTCGCTGTTGTCTTTTCTGGCAGTAATCTTGCAGTTTGTATTAAATCATCTTCCCAATCCAAAACGAATGAATCATTTAACTCTTTATTAAAATCAATGAATATTTTAAGCCAGTGCGTACCCATCATCTTTCCTACCAACCACGTTGGATGATCCATTATTTCTCCTCTACAAACTCTTTTGTAATTACTACTTTCATCCTTTTTAGTTACGCATTTCGCTGTTTGTGTAGTTCTACCGAAACAAGATTCATATGAACACTGCCTGTTCCTTGTACAATATATTTCCTTGTTATTACAACTAGACCATTCGTTCCACTCGTCATAAGATTTTTCATTAGTGGGACACTTCTTAAAGCAATTATCAATTTCAAAGTTTTCACCTTTGCAGAGCCGAGCACCAAATTTACATCTTCTAATTCTCACACGCCGACCTAAAGGTATTTATTATAAATATAGATTTTTAAGTACATAAGTATTAAATAGACTTTAAATAATTCTAATACCGCTTCCGCAATCATACACGTTACAATTACTCCAAGACGACCAGTCTAGGTATCCACTAATATCTGGAGGATAATAGGGCGGTTCCAAAAATTCTTCCGTAATTTGATTAGGTGCGCAACGGAATGTATTGCACCTAGCTCTCTCAGTCCCTTTTCCAGGACAATTTTCGCCAAAGAGATCATCGTGATCGTATTCTGTGGCATAAAAACAAGCTCTTCTTCTTCTTTTCACACCATTTCCACAACGTCGAGAGCATCTGCTCCATCCTCCCCAATCGTTCCATTTTCCATTAACCCTGAAAAGGTTAACTTGTTGGAAAAGAAACTTAAATAAGACTTTTTTATTTTTGCCTTTTTTTACCGGCAATACTTTACTGCACATCTTCTTTCTTGTCTAGAATCACCCTGACACTCTAAGAAATACCCTTTATAATATATTCTTGAACCACACTTTCGAACTCGGACTTTAATTCTTACGGCGCCACAAATAGGCGTACATTCGGATTGATCCCATTCACTCCAGGATAGCCAAGTTGGTAAAGCAATACTACATCTGGGGCCTATAAATCCTGGATCACACTGACAATAAGCTTTACTTCCGTCAGGAGATGCCGTACATTGCCCCCTTTGACACTGAACTTGATTCTTACTGCATGCATCTGTCAATTGATAGCAATTTGGATAACCAACCCCGGCGTCAGATGCCCTATTGCTGGCACATTTGCAAAAATAGCCAATATCACTCGACTCCCTAAGTTGACACTCGCCTCGTCCTTGAAAATAAAAAATAAAAACTTATATTATTTTTTCAAACTCACACAATTAGACCTTCATAGTCGCCGCAAGCAACTTTTCCTGCTACAAACTCTGGACGAATTTTCTCTTCACAGGCGTTTTTCTTCCTGTCACATAAACGGCCACCATATTGCGCATTGCAATAACACATAATTTCGCTTGTATCATTAGGATCTTCGTTAGGCTCTAGGCAATCTTTGCCTTCGAGAATTAATCCTTCGCGAAAACAGCCTCCCTCATTATAGCTCCTCGAGCAAAAATGGGATACAACTTGACATGTCTTTAAAACTATGTTCCAATCGTAATTGTCTTTACATTGACAGTGATAATCAGTTGTATATATGCCTTTGTTGATTTTCTTACATGTAGATTCGGCATTTGTAATATCACTACACTAATAAATTGAATGAAAAACGAATAACATGCAGTAGATTGTAAAATACTAAGTGTCTACTTGATTTTTCCCTGTCTCTTCATTAGTTCTACAAGGGTCAAAACAGCTATCATTTAAATCTGCAGTATCGACACTATCCCTTTTATCTTGGCAAAGATATTGTATCAAATATGCATTGAATAAATCCAGATTATATGATTTTCTAGCAAATTCTTCCTCTTGTAACATTTCGTTAATCAATAGCCATGAACAAGAGAATAAATCATCTTTATCAATACACGCATTAAATGAGCATGAAAATAAATCAAAAGGTGATACTTTTTCAGGTTTCTTTCTAAAAATTTCCTCCCATTCTTTTATCCATCTATCATTTCTATGTCTATATAAAATTCATCACAATTTTTACCTTTTTACCAGTTGGAATGTTTTTATATTGTATTTTTTAAAAAAAAGAAAAGTAGTCTGGTAAAAATAGTGAAAATTACTTTATTCTGAAAGAATTACTTGTTAGATTATCTCGTGTTTAACTCACTAAAAGTAATATTCTGATATATACGTTTTATATACTTTTTTTGCGTCTTCTGTGTTAAAGTATTTATAAAATTTAACCTTTTGCCAGTCAAATTCGGATCCTTTTTCTACACCATAATGTATGCCTGCTAGTTTTGCCATACTGTTTCTTTTAAATTCTTCAGCAGCATCACTAAGTTGTTTTAAAGTTCTATATTGGATACTAAAAATCAAATGAAACTCTACAGCTTGTATTATAAAATTATAATATGCATCTAATACCAATAAATTGTCAATGGAAATTGAAACAGAAGGAAATGTTTTGGGATCATTCTTTTATGTTGCTTAGAATTTAAAAGTGATTTTTAACGTAATTAAAACATTTAAATACATTTAATGTTTCAATGTGTAATGAAATATAGAGCCGTTATTTTGAATGGAGGGTAATTTTATTTTAAATTGTTTAAATTCCAGAGCTTCATATTGAAATGGGGAATAAAATTTTAACATGAGCTGTTGAATCCTGAATATTTAAAATGGAACAATTTAAAAATAAATATAAAATTTCCGAGTAATAGGATTATTTTGGAGATTAGAGATTTTGTATTAATGGATTTCAAACGTGAGAAAGCACATATCCCGCTAGGTCGGGGCACGTGTCTCTTGCGCATGCGCAATATTATTCTATGAAATAGAGCGTCTAAAATTTTTTAAAAATGATTAGCGTATCAAGAATATTTAAAAAAACAAAATAAGATATTAAAATTTTTTTGCGAGTTCTATGGACTTCCCACGTGACCGGAAAACGTTCTCTTCTACAAGATGGCTCCGAAGAAACCAACTTCTGCTGTCAGTGAGTAATTTTCCTTGTTTTTTTGCTGATATATAGAGTATTCACCATCATTTATATTGGAAGTGTATAGTATTTAAATTAATTCTTAGATGTATCGTAAAATTATTCTCGTTTATAGTATATAATTGACATTAAAACCAATGATAATATTGCACGTGTACGCTTTTCAGAAAAAGTCGGCGAAAAGAAACAACCGCCGAAGGCCGTCAAGTCCAAGGACAAGAAACCAGCCCCTAAAAAGGATTTGAAAAAGAAAGGTGGCGTGGTAAAGGCTAAAGCTAAAAAGGCTCAAAAGGCCCAACTTAAGGGAGTGTTTGCCAAGCGTCAACGTAAAATTCGCACGTCCGTACATTTTAGACGCCCAAAAACCCTTTCCCTAACGAGAAGACCTCGTTGTCCTAAGAGATCAACTCCTCGTTCGAACAAGCTTGATCAATTTACTATCATTAAGTTCCCGCTGACCACTGAATCGGCAATGAAGAAAATTGAAGATAACAACACGCTTGTATTTATCGTCGATAAAAAATCGGACAAGAAGAAGGTTCGGATGGCTGTTAAGAAATTGTATTCTATCGAGGTGGAGAAAGTTAACACTTTAATCCGACCGGACGGAGAAAAGAAAGCCTTCGTTAAGCTAAAGTCTGACTACGATGCCCTCGATGTCGCCAACAAAATCGGCATTATCTAAACGGTTAAATATTGCTTTCTTCTGAATACAACTGACCGAAAAAAAATGACGGTTCTTAGGATATTTTTTGTAATTTTTACATTGAAAAGAGACGCCAGATCTTGTACATTTAGCCCGAATGAATTTTATTCTTACAACAGTAGCATTTCAATTATAGAGATAATTTAGGATACGTGAAAAAGACGAAGTAATAAAAACTATTGAACATAAGCTATTAACCTTTCCGGTAAAGGTAGCTGTGTTTCGAGTCCCAAATTACCATGTAGTGCCATTGTTTTTCTGATAATTTGTCTGCAGAAGAACATTAAAATGAACGGCTTTTTAATTTGGCGATTCTGAGAACAAAATTCGTATAAATTGAATAACCAAGAAGGTGCAAATTCTAGATGAGGGAGATCGTCTTTCAATTGAGCTCCGTAGATTTTTAGAGACCGTACTAAACTTGATAACAATGGTTCTTCTTTACCTATACCACTTTTAAAACATTTATCCAAAAGGTTAGCTGCCTCTACATTAAGAGGCATGATGCCTCCACCAGTTTGTAAAAAGGACGTGACATGAGATGAGAAGGCTTTTCTTATGACTTCTACGTGAACCAAACCAATTGCTATTGACAAAGGCGTTCTATTAAGTCTATCCGTTTCGTCGACATTAGTTCCAGCCTGTAAGAGATACTCAAACACACTTATCCGCTTTCGAAAATCCGTAAGAAATTTCTCGTTAGATATCGCAAAATCTTGTTGACTTTTACCAATCGTTATTAAAGTAGCCATCAATGGCGTTCTACCAGCGCTATCCTTTTTATCTACGACAGCACCGTGGTCTAAGAGAATTTTAACCCCTTCGTAATCTGCTTTTATAGAGCACATATATAATGGGGTGAACTCATTTGTTCTATCGGAAACGTTTAATCCACACCCCATTTCGATAAGGGCTTTTGAACAAACTCTACTTCCTAACTCACAAGCCAGAAATAAAGCTGTTCTAGACTTGGAGTCCAGGGAATCTACGTTACAACCATAATGATAAAGTAATTTCAACATGCGAACCGCTTTGAAGTCATCAATTTGACGGGATCTAAGGGCATCTAAAACGTAATGCATAGGAGATCCATTCGAATTCACAACATCGGTGGCACAGCCACCATCGAGAAGTTCCACCAAACCTTCCTCATATCCAAATTTGCAGGCTACTTGAACGGGGGTTTCTTCAGCGTAGTTTCTCTCCAGCCGACAATCTTCTATATTGTCTAAAATCCGCCGGATATCTATAATAGAACGCTTTTCAATAGCAATATGAAGTGATTCTGTCACAGCCGATGAATTTGATTTATATCCTATGACTGTATCAGATAAAGACGTGGAATCATTACTCCATTTCCACGCCATAATTCGATCATGCGTGTAAGTTGCGCAACGAACGCAAGCGCTAAGGCAGGCTCCACACGCCCTCTCTGCCATTTGAAGATTATCTCTTAATCTACATGGCCTGCATCTTTGATACGAATGTATCTTGATGCTATGAATGCAGCTACTAGGGATGTAATTGTCAAACAAGCAGCAAAAATGTAAAATGTTTCTTCGTCGAAGATATCTGAGAATTTGGGTATATAGCTGGATAACGTGGATATAACTTCTCTCTCTACTTTTCCGTTTTTCATTTTTCTTCTTTTAGAAGGCGATGGCCATCTTTCCAATACGTGAATATGATGTTAGATTTTTATTGTTTTACGATTTTGTACCGCACCCTGTCTAATCACAAACTATAATTTATCTTAAAGAATTTCAACGATAATTACGTACTTAGTTTCGGTATATATCGATTCCTCTCTTTCCGAATTGGATATCAATTTAAAAATCAAAATAACAGATGTGTAAAATTCTAAAATTGGTAGTACCTATCTAATGTTAACAACCGGAAGTGACCAAACTGCCTCGTTTTCGTATACAAACTATACTATATTATACGCAAAAAGGGGAATGTCCTTAAAAGGTGGTATTTTTAAAATATTTATTTCTATTAGAGAATAATACGTTCTTATAAAATGACTATTTAAAACTAAGATGCCAACTAGAATATTAATTTTAGTGCATTGTCTATTTCTCATTCATTTGGTACAATTTAGCTATCACCAAAAAAAATGTTTAGGAAGTCCTTGATCATTGTTCTTATTGGAAACAAAATAAAGACTCGCATAGAGCTTTATCTATTAATAGCTTTTGCTATCTAAAGAAAAAAAGAGGTCTCAAAACAGAGACAGGAACGTGTAGAAGAATAAATATGAAGGTTGGATAAAATTACTCTTTGTTAGCTTCTGATATATACACAACATTTGAAAGCATATGAGATTAATAGGTTAATTATAATTTATATATCTCAAATATGCATATAGGACTTTTGCTATGTGAATGAGACAAGACGAAGATGATTGATATCTAAGGATGGTTTATCAATTTTTTGAAGCAAGAAAAAATTAGAGTTTGTTATTTTTTTATTCAATCCATATTTCACATTTTTGATCAATGTTGTTATGTAATTAATTTGGAATGGAATATAATTTGTATTTAAGGAATATGAAATAAAATGCAGTATTCAGTTTTAAAAAATTTGCATATTGAGCATTGAATAAATACATAAGTCCCGTTATTACGTTTTTTTCTTTTTCAACTAAAATCACTTTTATAGTGTCAAATTAAAATCAAAATGCGCATTCTCTAATTTTCTATTTATTTCTCCTTATTTCTCCTCCTTGCTGTTCTTCTACATACTTCATCTTTCTCTTCTCTTTTCTTTTTTTCTGGCTTATCTGTTTCTCTCCTTCCTAGTCTCACATTTGAACCTTAATAAAGGTTTCGTCGAGTAGCTGTTCAGCTGTCGCTCTTCTTTCTGGATCAATCTCAAAGCACCTTTCTAAGAATTTATTTAAATCGTTACAAATATTATCTGGTACTTTAGGCATTTGATTAACAGTAGCAATGTGATAGATCATTTGATATTCTTGTTCTATATTTAGCTCTGACCATGGTAATTTACCCGTTACCATCTCTATAACTACACATCCAATGCTCCACACGTCTGCAGCAAATCTGAGATGTTGCTCTATAGATGCGTTCTTTACAACTTCTGGAGGCTGGAACGGCAGAGTTGTTCCTCTTACAAGGTTTCGTTCTTCTGCTCGTGTCTTGTGTTCACGCAGTTTAACAGCTGAGCCGAAATCTCCTAGTTTAAGGCCCTTATTGGTCAAAAATATATTATCTCCTTTAATATCCCTATGAACAATATTGTTCTCGTGCAAATAGGCGACTGCATGAACAATCTTATTTGTGTAAAAACGAATAGCAGCTTCATCGAGTCCTGTCTTTGCTGCTTCGTGCAGAGTTCCGCCTTGACAATACTCCATAAATATTAACATTTGGTCGTGATGAACCTCAACTCCGTAGTATTTAATGAGACCAAAGTGATCGAGTCCTTCAAAGTTTTTCAATTCATCAGCTATGCCTTTAACAAATTGATGGTCGTTTGGTTTGATTGGAATTTCTTTCATAGCCATCATTTCTCCAGTTCTCATATTTACAGCTGTATAAACTTTGCCAAATCTACCTTCGCCTATTTTAACACCTCTTTGCCAATCGAATGTAACCACTCTTAAAGATAAATCATAACGAACTCTCTGACACACACCTATTACTTTCCCTATGATCTTTTTTTTTTTCAATTCTTCATCCCTCTTCCGCTCTAATTCAAGAATAGCATTAGATCTTTTTATGCATGACTCTTCAGGAGTGCTTATAGGAGATTCGTACATGTGTTGGGGAAATGATCCTCCTTCAGACACAAAACTAACAGGTGAAATGATAGAATCGCTAGTGTCAGATCGTCTTCTATTATCAGGAACACTCAAACTAGGATTGAAGGGAATCACTACTTTACTTGGTACGGGACTGGGTGAATCCTTAGGTTTCTCCCCAATTAAATGGCACGTACAACGGTTGAATCTTTTCTTAAATTCTGCAAATTTTTCTTCTTTTAAATGCAATGTAATATCGGGAGAAGCAACAAATCTAAGATACTCAAAGAATTTATGAGCCCAACGAGGTCTAACGCCTCTACCTTTTTCACACTTTTCAATTGCCAAATGCATCCATTCAAGAGCAAAATCGATTAAAGCATCACTTAAGGCTGCCCTTTCTTTTCCAGACATCAACCTATACAAATCAGTATGGAAATCAAATCCAAAATTATAAGTCTTTTTCAGCGTATCAATAATAATCTCTAAACCAATATAAGATGGAACATTTTGTACACTGAAGAAAGATGATTGAATCTCTTTTAGATATTCAACGAATGCAGTTCTAAATTCAAGCCCGGCCTTTTTTAAATCAACTAATGATTCATTAACAGCTTTATGGCAAGCAACCTGCTCTAAAACTAACTCAATACACTTTGATCCTAGTGACTTTTCTACTTCTCTGCGAACAGATGGTAGCTGTCGAGAGTGTGCCAGGATAAGCAAGCCTGTTTTGTACAATAGAAAATAGAAAAAATAATCAACATTAATTATTTGATCCCTTATAAAATAACTCTAAACTACCTTTGATATTCAGGTGTGACCAACAAATTTCAGTTTCAACATCTGCTTCAACTCCCATTGTTTCACCCTTCCAGATCGGACATACTTTTGCTCCGTCACTTGCAGTATGACAGTGAACCATAATAAGATATCCCTTATTCTGTCGTGAATCAGCAACGCCGAGACTACTAGTTGCCCTTAATAAAGTGATGATTGATTTTTTATCAGTTTTCATTGATTCCGGAATAAGAACAATAAAGTCACTTGACAGACTCCTCAAATTAATTTTAACATGATTCGTTTCTCTAAGCTTTTCCAGAAGGTGAGAAGCAGTACAAACAATTTTATACTGGGCCGCAATTTCGAGATCATTTCTAAGCATTTTGGCAAGTCCCATTACCCTGGCTGTTCTTTCTTTAGTTTCATCAAATACATCTTTTATCTCTCTACATAGTTTGATAATTACATCATACATATTAGGACACTCTGAATCGCCTTCGTTCGATTGTTCTAATAAATTCTGTAGATTACCAGTTATATCATCGCATCGCTTAGCAAAGAACATCTTGATAATGTTCAGGAGATGACTGACCATGTCACAATAACCATTTCCAGCTTTAGCCTCACCCTGACGAACGCAAGAGCATACTGTCCTCATAAAGGCCCATTCATTCTCTAACCTACTAAGGTATTTGGATAAATTTGGTTCGTTTTCAATTTTATATACGTAATGCCTCATGTATTTAATATGTTCACCCAACATATTTTCCATATCTGAGTCTAATTCTTCGATATCAATATCATCAACTATATCACAGGCCATAGTTAAGTAATACTTTTTCATTGTCACTGACGCGGTAAGAATCTCTCCACATTCGTTCATTAATTGATTTATAGACAATAGGGACGTAGTTGCCTTGTCGTATGAATTCTGATTGAATTGTTCTCTTGATTGTTCAAGGCGATAGCGCAAACATTCGTGAATAACGTCAAGAGGGATTCTTATACAAAATTTATAAAACTCCTTTAATGATGGCAAATTCATTTTTCTCCATTCTTTCGAGTGTTCACCAAATTCCACTAGTTCTCTTCTAGTTTTTAATTTTTCAGCTTTTTGCCTATTAATTTGAACGTTGAAGTCGTTCCTTTCATCCTTGTTTCGTTTGCCAGATTGTCTTTGAATGATTTCTCTATTCTCTTCATCGATCTCTTTCTCAATTTGCTTAATTTCTTTTTCAGCTTTTTCAATCGGTAGTAGAATCAGTCGAAGTTTAGTTAGAACAGATTCCATATTGAGGACATTCTTTTTAGCTAGAGCTTCAACCTTTTTCAAACCACTCTTTCGTAAGGTTCTTTCGACGTAGGTTCTAAATACATATGTTGAACTACTAGGAACATGAGCTGTATTTTCCAGGTTGAGAATTGATTGCGAATGTATTAGTCGGCAATTACTTCGTTCAGCTTGCTCTTCATCGCCTATAGTGAATTCTACGACGTTATTCTTACTTTCGACTTTCTCAAGGTGAGCATTAAGCTTTAAAGGACAGGAGGAATGCTCAACGAAATTCTTAGGCATATAATTTAAAAATGGCCATTTTAAATTAGGTATATTATCAGTAAACAATTTATGGGCATACATATGAAGTTCATAAGCTAGCTGAGAAACCAAATTTGTCCACAAGCATAAGGTTTTAACTCTGTTTTGAAACTCTTTATCCTCTTCTAATTTTAAATTTTGTTCCAAAAAGTTCTTCTCTGAATAATACAGCTCCTCAACAATGTTAAGATCGTTTAAAATAATTCCTATATCTTTCATTGCTTGCTTTATCATTAAAACTTGTTCTGAGAGGTCTTCACAACGCTTGAATATGGATTGACAGGGTAAAAAAAAATCAGGAGTAGTTTCGGTCTGTAGACGGGAACTCCGAGTCAAACCATAATCAAATCTGTAACTAAGGATCTCGTGTGAAATCTTGGCAACTTTCTCTTTTCTTTCCTTCTCCACCAAAATATATGCTTCATCAAGTTTTCGTACAATAAACGGATCGCTTCCAATATACTTCCAAGCCTGAATACTCAGCCAAACTAGATCACTTAATGAAGATATCGTAATGCTCTCCCTATCGGGACTGTGAGATCGAGACGTTGGTCTGCTCGTAGTTCGCCTTGGTTCAGGCTCCGGTGGATTATGAGACCGATTTGGATTTCCCATGTCGATTAACATGGACAAGGTTTTGAAGAATTTTATTCTGTCATCAGGAGCGTTTCCTTTTTCAATACTGGCGACCGATTCAGATCTCTTACTCAAGCTGCTTACCTTGATGTATTTGGAGATATTTTTCGTGATTGGTTTAGAACTACGCTCAGTGAAAGGTGACGGTGGTGGTTTTGAATCTGAGGCAGTTGGAATATAAACTTTCTTTACGTCAGTATTTTGTTGAATAGACGAATCCGAATCAATAATAACTGGTTTATCAGTTTTCTTTTTTTTCTTTCCCTTTCGTTTGGGTATTCCACTCAGCATTTTTAATTTCTTTCGTAATCTTTTAGAAGTCTCTAAAGATGTCGGACGAGATTTTCTTGGCTTGGAAATGTTATACGATTCATCTGCGCTATTCTCTGAACTTGTCGTTATAATTGAGGCCGTCGATGTGCGCTCATCTGATGTATGCGTTCCTTCCTCATCTAATTCGACACTGTAAAAACGATAGGGGTCAACAGATTGTTATATATTCATTTAATGAACAAGGACTACAATGTTTTATCGATTATTCGTACAGGTGATCATGAGGTGATTTTCCCTTGGCTCCACCTTTCAGCTAATAAAGTTTTTTTAGCGGTTTAAAATGTTTTGATTTTTCAACAATCTACATTTTTATGTTCTATAAACGTTTGTTGCATCTTTTTTAGCATTGTATTATTCTCAACTCACTCTGCATCATCGATTAAATCGAAGGAATCTCTAGAAATATCTTCTGTGTTATGACACTCAGCCATTTACACATTTTTCGTAGTTGCAAAGAAGAGACTGTTCCGCCTTGATAATGCTTGGCACTATATATTAGAGACCACCAAACCACATTATGATATTTAGTGTGGTTGTCTTCGTTTGATTATTTTTTGTCCTTAATTTAGGCTAGGAATAACTTCCATTTGGTTCAAGGCCAGAATCGGCTCCGAAAATTAATCATGTGATAGTTGTAATATATGTACTACATAATTATATATATATTTATATATAAACACTCCGTGCAACGTTAGATTACGCTTAGTAACTCCTATTCTACAGTTTATTTACAAAAAAAAACAGAAGGGAATTTTTTGTTTAGCAACTTGAATAAAGTTTGAAAAGAGCAAATGAGTTAATGATTGCTCATTATAAACGCGTATTAAATATCTTATTTGTTCAAAAATAAAGTTAACAAGATTCAATTCTATAGTAGAATAAATTTGACTACAAATAAAATGATGCTGATAAATTATATGAGAAAAAAAAACAGAGAACAAATATTTTATAACAATCTTAATATGAAGAATAATAAAATAAATGAAATGTATAAAATAATAACAAACTCTGTAACTGATCAAAAGAAGATAATGTTGAAGAGATGAAAGAAAAATTTTCAACCGATTTAATAGATGAAACTTGAAAATAGGCTTTACATATTTTTAAATAGAATCAATTGAATATATGGTTTTAATACAATAAGTAATGAGATATTCAATTGGAAATGCTATGCTATAAAGGTACAAAGGTATATTGGTTCGTACTAAGGTCAATGATAAAATTCAGGTTTTCATACACGTATGAAAATTATACATAAAAAACGTTATATCAATTAACAATAGATCATATATTAGAATATATAGTTCAACAGTTGCTTTCTATCCTTTTAATAAATTAACTGTTTACTTTTACCTTTAATTCCTTTATTATCATATTCATTATTAATTAAATCTATAAAAACTCACTCTTCCTAAGCCTATATTTAACTTTGTTTACTACATGATGAATTCCTAGTAGTTAGGACTACAAATCTTTGGACCTAGTAGCATCTATTTAAGTATTTGTTTCAATTAATAAAATATGTATCTGTGTGCGTGTGCGTGTATGAAAGAGAGAGAGACAGAGGGAAGGAGAGAAGGAGAGAAAAATGTATTAACTCTCCTAGATATACAAAGTAGTATGATACACACGTATCCTAATACAAACAATTACATTCTAACAAATACAACTTACATATATATGTATACTTATTTATTGTTTAAAAATAGTGTTTTTATTTAGGCCGGAAGTACTACTTGTATCGTATTATATGAATAATTTACATTAGATTCACCTGTTGTTTTTTGTTTGTATTGGTAGTTTCTTTAAAGACATGTTTTGATTGTCCTCTATTATTGAATGAGAGTAAAGGAAATTAAATAGCGTTAACCTTACTGACATAATTCAGAGAAAAATTTATGATACAGTACTTTTAACGGTATTTTCCATTTTACGAGATTTAATAACATTATCAGAATCAATAAATAAAATGAATTTATTAACAATTAAAGATATTAACTTTAGGGATATGTATCATACACAATGAGAGAGAGAGAGAGAGAGAGAGAGAGAGAAATAGGAGAATTGAATAAGGATATGGTTGTATAACTATACTTAAAACTGACTTTAAAAAGTCAAGATAAACAATAGTTCTTTTGTTTCATTTTTATCTTTTTCTTTCCTTCCTCTTTTGCTTTATGTTTTATCAATTTTTTTCTTATCTCTGCTACTTTTTCTTGTTATTCTTTCCTGCTTGTTCGATATTATTATTAGAGAACATAGCGTAAGAATATTCTTTAATGACCTTTTAGAATATTTTTTAGAAAATTAAATATTTGATTTATTTAAAGTTGGTCACCCTCTTCTGGCTTTTTATTCCCTTTTATTTTGACTAAGAACAAAGTAAAATATAGTAGGAATATAGGCCTAAACTACGTTATCGCGAAATGTTCACTACCGCTATCGAAAATACACTAAGAGCAGTCTCGAAACTGATAAAAGTGAAACTTGTCGATATTTTTTTCTACTGATAGTGGTTAATAATTTAGCATCACTAACGCTCTTTGATGAAGTAATATTCAATGATTATTTAATACTCTAATATGAGCGTCGAACTAGTTTTAGATTGATCGTATATTGAATTGTTTAGCTGTTGCTAGTGACTACAAGTCAGAACGTAGAATTCTTGGGCAATGAATCTGTAATAGAATTAGTATTTTTTAAAGTGTAAAATGTCGAATGGGACAGCTAGTGCCTACTCAAAGAAAAGTTCTAAATTGGAATTATTTCTTAAAAGATTAGATGAAAAATATTATGAAGAAGTTAGAGCAACTGAATCTTGCATAATCGATTTTGGTAAAGAGCAAGGAGAAAAATTTGTTATACTAACTCCACATTCAATTGATTTTACGAATAAACCACCGACAAAATTACAAAAAGGATTAGAATTATCTAAAATCATCACTGTAAGATTGGTAAGTTACTTAGGTTTTTCCATCTTCCTATTTTCGTTATCTACAAGACAAAATAGCAAAGAATAGTTGATTACAATAATTAACTTAGAAACAATGATAAAGTGAATTTATATTGGAAAATTGCATAAAAAGAATACTAAATTAAACCTATTAAACAATAAAACTAATAGCTTTAGAGTTGATTCATTGATTAAGATTTATTTAATTGATTTCGAATAGGAAACCTTGATTATTTAAAGTAGTTCTATAATTTCTTGAACCGCGACCTAATGCTTTCAATAGGTTCAAGTTTCTTTGAAAGTTAATATTTCTCTTATTTGAATTACTATTCCTATTCTTTATTTTTTATATTCTGAATACATTCAGTATAAATTTATATTAATAAAAAGAGCTAATATGACTTTTTTAATACGAGATTAACGTATTTCTTTTTTCTGCTGACCGTAGCGTAAAAAAGAGAAAAAAAGAGAAAAATTTACCAAATATATCACTATTTCTATATATAAGTAAGGGATTAGGACAAAGAAAAAACACTAAAAGTTCACAAGCACATACACATTTTTTTTGGTAGGCCAAGTTATTAAAAACATGTTCTATTTTTAAACTATTCAGTCGGACGTATTACCACCCTTTTTAACTGGGGACGATCAAATTAATACTCAACATATAACGATTGAATATAAAGAGGAAGATACTAGTAAAATTAAGGAAGGTATATCACCAAGATTATCTTGGACTCCCAGTAAATCCTTACGTAAAATCAATTCCACACCACCGCCTAGTCCGAGGAGAACAGATTCAAATGGTTAGTTAACTTTTAAATGGATTAGGCTTAATCTAAAATAAAAGTTGCTTTTAATAATATTATCTATATACTGTTTATATAAAACAAACAGCGTCGAATCTTAGCAATCTAAGCAGCGATACTTCAAATGGAATGGAAAAAACGCTATCCTTTTCCGATTCTCCAAGTGATGGCGAAGATTTAAAACTTGACTTATCATCACTAAGTACAAACGGAAGTGATAATGGTTCAACACCAAGATCCATAAAATCAAGGTATGGTTATAAATTCAATAAAAAACACCTGTTGTTTGCAGCCTACTGTATAGTATACAGTATATATGCATGCATATCTTATCAATAATTTCAAATGTTTGTATCCTTTATATACACAGTTCCTTATCTAAGCGTAAGAAAATGGATCTTTATATCTTAAGACATACCTCTACATTCTACATGCTACTTAAAGCTGCCCTAAATAGTTACCATATAGTTAGTTATTTATTTCATCAATTAATTAATAACCTATTAATGAACAACCGTATTTTATTTAGCGTTCAACTTTAGAATTAGAACCTGACTATAAAATAATAAGAGAAAAGAAACAGAGATATTCGGCCTTGTAAGTTTTTAACTCTCTTCATCCTTTTCTCAATTAACTATATAATCTTATTAAGATTATTATAATTTATGCAAAATAAAATATTATTTTTAATTATGAATAAATTATAATTTAAAAAAGGGATAATAAAGCAAAAATGACTTATCTGTAAGTACATTGTGTTGTCATTTAAATCAGAAAACAAATCACTTAAAGCATTTAATAGATCACTATCAAGTATTTTTTATTTGTATTTATTTTCAAACTATATATAAATATATGATGAATATTCATAAAAATAATTACTTATTCATCTATTTATCTTTATTACTTTTCAATTAAATAACAGTGAGAAATTAAGTATACTATTCAATGTTTTGAAAAATGAGATAATGCATTGTAATATTAACGACAAGAATAAATTTTTCCTGGCCGTTGAAGAATTATATACAACGTCCGAAAGGAACTTTGCCTTAAGGAAACACTTTTGGAAGGTTCGTTAAGTTTCTTTAAGTTTCGTTTCATAAAAATTATCAATATTTATTTTATTAGGATAATGAACTGTTTACCAAGTTGATTACTGTTCTTAAAGCAACTTTAATGGGTAAAAATACTTTGAAAAAGTTCAATACCGTAATGAATTCGTTAGAAATGGGTCTTTTGATAATTGATACTTTAATAAGTATGCTTACGGAAACTGAAGTAATATTTGCAAGGCAAATAGTATTAAAAGCCAATGAAGGAGTCAATTTAGTTGAATTGTTACATGTTTGTATATAAATATTGATAATATTATACATTTAATACCAGTATTACAAACTTTTAACTTAAATATTAGATTGTAATGGATGATCATAAAGGTTTATGTTTAGAATCTTTTACAACTTCTCAAAGGAAAGAGGTAGTATATTTTATTTTCTTTCATTTTTAAATGGAATTTAGCGATCTTAAAATTATTGACTTTTTTTTTAAAAAAACAGTTTAACGAGAAAAGAATAGAAATATTGAATGCAAATATTACTCTTATGAATAGGCTAATACTTGCAGCTGAACAATCAACTTGGACAGAGAGTCGCGAATCTTTCTTTAATGTAAATTGGCTAATGAAACAAGTACAGTCTACTGAAAGTTTAGTAAGTTTTTATTATTTCAATATCAATTGAATAATCAATAAAAAAAATCTTATCATTTTAGCCTTCATTTATATTGAAAACTGTTGAAACTGTTGTTGAGACATGTAGACCAAAAAGAGAATGTTCCGAATTAAGTCCAAAGGATCTTGTCATACTTTATTATAAAATAAATGTTACATATAAACTAATACAATTTTTAGAAGAACCAGCTTTGTTGATAAGAGACCATTTCCTTGAAGAATTTCGGTAATATTTCTTTTTCAATCATTATTATTGTTATTGAATTTAATTTTACAGTTATTACATGACACCTTCGAATATTCATAAGACACTACAGGATAATTTTTCATTGAAATTATCGATATTAAAAGAATTGGAGGAAATTATTAAAACTGTATTGCAAAAACCATTCTCACTTGAATGTGATTCAGAATTAGGTAGTTTACCTTCTACTCCTCGATATGGAAAAAAGAACAGTGAAGTTCTTTTTACCTGAATAGCACTTGTAAAAAAAAACATTCATTAAAGAAAATTGAATCTCTATCACTTATGTTTTCATGTAAATTTCTTTTTTTTTTTAACCGTCTATTTGTTTCCTACCAAAATTATCTATGAAATAGAAGAAGAGAAGGAAAACAGATTCCGAAATTAGAATCTAAAGTGCCATGATTTTTTTATATCCAGCTCAACAAAATCAGTATTTTTTATGGATATTACTTTAGTTTTGCTCACTCTTTTTGTCACTACTTTGTAAAAGATATTTTATATAAAACTAACTTTCCGTCCATATTTCTTTTTTGTTTATGTATTTATATTCTATTTTTCTACTTGAAACAATTCTATTATTGGAATTAAGTTTGTTATTTTATTTAAAAGCGCACATATATTATACAGTATAATTATATATAAATATACTGTATATGTGTATAAGTTTTTGTAAAGAGTTATATTTAAATTAGAGTGCCATTTATCAAATAGTTGTTTTATTTTTTTTCCTTTTTTTTAAATACTATTTTGTTTGGTTAAAAGAAAAAAAGGAAAAATATTTTTAATAAATATTGTTTTTTAAAAAAAAACAGAAAAAATAATTTGTTATTAGTGTTTTACACATACATGTACACACAGGCATTTATATGTACATACAGTATACAGTATATATATATTTATATGTAGATATATATATATATATATAATAACGTATTGAAATAATTTGTGAAGAATACAATTGAAAAAGATTTTCTTATTTCTTCAATTTATCGGATGCGTAGAGGAGGAAATATGCTCCAGAAGTCTAATGTGATGAAAAATTAATAAAATTATTATCAATAGTTAATAGATGTTTAAAGATATGAGACCTGTATATCTCCTGTAGGTACTGCACGTACTTCCGTGTCGTCAAATTTGTACCATTGGCTAGTTTTAGGATATCTACAGAATGCAGTATCTAAAAATTATAGAATATAAAGAAATATTAGTTTTAATAAAGCTGTAATATAGATAAATTAGGTTCTTACAATGTCCAACGTCTAATGATCCGCTGTGATGCTAATTACAAAAAAAAAAATAGAGATGCTGATTATTAATTATTAATCATAAACCGTATAAGATTTACCGATATAGCGTATAAATGATAAGGTTCAGGTCTTTCACCAAAAGTATTTTGGGTCATATCCAACTTTTCAATTGGAAAATCAACTACAGTGGTCAATTTCTGTCTCCACCGACCATCTTGATAGAATCTAATGTTTAAATCAATAACAATAGTAAAAATACAGTAAAAAGAAGAAAATAAGAAACAATAGAACTATACCTTTTCAAATGAACAATTAGAATTTTTGGTAATTTCCAAATAACTATATTTTTGACTGCATCTCTATCCGTTTTACAATTTGGACATCTCCATCTACTCGATCCAGTCATTTCTTCGTTTGATTGAAATTTTGCTATACAATCCTTTAAATAAAAAAAATTGAAATAAATATTATTTAATTAAAGATAAAAGAATATTTTTACAAACTTGTAAAGAGCATTTTGAAGTTGACGAAAGCGGTAACGACAGATACATAAATATATCAAACGTTACTGATTTTTTCTTACAATGGTTACAAGTTAAAGTAGATTTGAGTTGACCCTATAATGAAAAAATTAATAAGATAAATAATTATTTTCTTTATTATTACATACATGAAATAAATCAACAATTTTTGATTTATTAATTTTTGTATGCATATCCCAAGCTCTTCTTGCCGCTTCATCATCAGGAAGCTTATCATTATTCTGTTCTGAGATAGGTATTCTTTTAGTAACTTTATTTAAATCTTCGTGTAATCTATCCATTAAAAATATAAACAATTCTTGCGAATCTTGTTGTTCAAATCCACAAAATAGATCATTATGTTTAATAATAACTTCCTATAAGAAAAATATTTATATTAATTATCATATAAGAATGGTAATTATATTAAAGAATATACTCGAAAGTCAATTGGAGTAATACTACGATTATGACCACTCCATAAATTTTGTATTAAATGCGCGTATTCATTAGCAATTTCTCCTCCAGTTCCTAATTTGTTGTGTCTATTATGCGAATAAATAGAAAAAAAACGTTATTAAAAAGTATAGAAATAATATAATAATGATTAAAAGAAATATTTACAAATTTATATCATTTTCGTATTGTTTCGATATAAAATAATTTGTTAATTGTACTGTAAAACTTAAACATTGAATTGTTGAGTTCATATAACAAGTATTGCCCATATTTCTTAAACCAGTCAGACCGTATTCAACCTATATAGAAAAGAAATTGAATAAAATTGAATAAATATAATAATAAAATGATAATAATTATAACTTACACTTCCATAAACAGGATTGAAGTTTCTTACTTTTGCAGGCACTTTTGCAAAAGGTGATTGGGCACTAAAAAGCAAGTACTTTCTTAAGTATTTAATTATATCCCTAAATTGTATAATTGACTTTTACCTATTTAATGGTTTAGTTGTTCTATCAATTTGTGGTCTATCCAACTTGAATGAATCTTTCGAAACAGCCGAATCTGTTGATTGACCCGTTTGGGCAATAAATGGAGAAGAAGGACTTCTTTTTAACTTTGATGAAGATGGCGTAGTAGGTTCATCTTTTAACTTGGCAGTATTAATATTTGCAGTTGTTGCAGATAGAGTTGTTGGCATTCCTAAATGAAAGAAACGAAGAAAGATTATATAAATACTGTATATATATATATATACGACGTACTTGAAATATGAACTGGTTTCTGCTGTTGTGGTAGTTTTTTAGGTATAGTATCATTTTTCTTCATTAGTTCTTTCGGTATTTCAGTATAGATTTTGTCAGTTTTATGATCGCGGAATACGTATTTATCTAATTTAGAATCGTAAATCTTCTGAAATCCTCTAGGTAAATCTTCATTTGAAACTACAGAAATTCGTTATAAAATAGATAAATAAATAAATACAAATATATTCAAATATTTAGACTAGAGAGAAATAGATACCCTTCTTATTTTGATCTTCTTTTACCTCCGTAATGTGTATCTTGTCTTCAATATTTTTGATAATAGTGTTTAATTCTCCATTACTTGTAGGCTTTATTTCAATATTTGGTTTCTATTTGTATAAAAAAATATATCTTAATTGTTTAATTTGTTAAACATAGATTAGGTAAGTTAATCAATCAATCAATCAATCAAATAGTTAATTAATTAATAAAGAAACTATATGCATATATATTAAATAAAGCTCAAAAAATATATTACAAATTCTGCATTTGTTGGATAGACGCTTCCCTTGTGATCCCTATCTTTCTTCCTAATCAGTCAAATTAATCATTATAGAGTTTAAAAAATAGACTAAAAATGAAAATGAAAATATTACAATATCTCGTCTGACTCTTTTGATTTTGAATGGAGATCACTAGTTTTGCTTTCGCTTTCTTTTCTTTCCTCTAAATTCTTAAGGTAAAAAAAATATGATATAGTTTCTCTTGTTTCTTTACTTATAGAAATACATCTTTCGTACTTTAAACTCTTCATTTATCTTTCTAGATTTCCTTAAAAGCGCAGCTTGTCTTTCAGCCTCTGCCTGAGTCTGAGATTTTAATCTGTTTAGTTCTTCTTGTTGCTGTATCTTAAATTTTCTTACAATTATATATCTTATAATGATACTAATTTTTCTTTATAGAAAAAAAATAAATAAATAAAACATAAAAATGTTCACTTCGTACCTTAACTTCTTCATTTATCTTTTTAGACTGTCTTAAAAGTGCAGCGTGTTTTTCAGCTGCTTCCTTAGTCTGAGATTTTAATCTTTCAAGTTCTTCTTCTCGCTGTAAATTGGCTTTTATTAAGCGAGCCTCTTCTTTTTTCAACTCTTCAAGTCTTATTTTAAAAAAGTAATATGAAAGATTATCTTAATCATTTAATTAATTTTATCTCTATTTACTCATTTTGCTTCTTAATTTCATCTAAATTCGTTTCTTTCGGTTTATCCTCCTTAATAGTCTTTTCTGGTGGCTTTTTAGTACGATCAACGCGAGGAATATCTCGTATTTTAACTTTCTTTTCCTTTTCAATACTTATACTTTCAGAAGGAATGATAGCATCAGGAATTTCATCATCTTTCGTTTCAATTTTCTTAGCTACAGTTTGCTTAGGATGTATTAGTGGTTTCTTCGAGCGGTCAGGAATGGGAACACTCGCTAACACTTCCGGAATTTGCGGTTTTTTGTCCTCGAATTCGTAGGTCAAATTTTCAACTATTTATACATTTTTAAATGGATTTTATAGCTTTTTAAGAGCAAATTAATGAACTAAATTTTAAAACATACGTTCTTCTTTGGCTTTCTTATTTGGGCCATCAGAATCCAAGTCAAAATGGTATGAACCAGTATTTTCCATAGGGAATGTATAGTGCCATTCTTGAAAGCCTCCATTTAATATGACTGGTTCACTGGCTAAAGGTTGATTATCAAACTAAAAATGGAATAAATATAGGAATAATTTGTAGAGATTCCCAAAGTGAACGCTTCAGTTAACATATAATTACCACATATAAGGCTTTCTTTAGAGCAATGAGTGGATCCAAGTGATTTTCTGCCACCGTTTGATAGTAAGATTTTGAATCAACAAGAACTACGACATCGAATGAAGATCTTTTTTTCCACAATGATAAATATTCTTTAGAGAGTTCCTCCTCAATTTTCTTCACGTATATACTATATAATCCGTAAAGAAGTGATAAATATAATAAAACCATGTTCACTTGGTTCTTAAATATTTATCTTTGATTACATACCCTGGTGGTAATTTTGTTGAAGGAATATGAATCAAATTATCTAATTTCATATGAGATTGATTGTACTCTTCTATAGGCCGAATATCTATAATCAGGGTTGTTAATTCTGGATCATTTAAGATTTCTTTCAATCTTAAAGGGTCAATATCAGTTGAAGATTTTACTAGAAAAAATAATGAAATATATAAAAGATTAGTTCCTTTTTGACATGGCTTATATGGAATAATAATTAGAACATTACTTGATTCTCTTTCAGCATTCTTTTCGTTAACTTGTTGCCTGTGTATTTTCTCCTTTTCTTTCAACTCTCTAGCTTCTTTCTCTTCAGCAATTTTCTCTCCCGCTTTTTTAGCTAACACTTCGTCGTATCTAGTTTTTAGTTGATCGCCTAGATCTTCGAGAGTTTCCATAATTTTACCAGCTTTTTTTGCTTGAATCATTTCATCATAGTATTTCTATCAAATTGAATTTATAATATATATATTTAGTATATTATGGAGATCATGTGTTCTTTCAATATGAATAATACATTTTGATTTCAAATCGATTAGTACACTCTACACAAACCTTATCTTTCTTGTATTCTGAAGACTTTCTTATAGCAACATAGATATTTAACATTCTCATGTATAAAACGTATGCCCTTTCTTGATCTCCATCTTTTTCGGCTTTATTAGCCTCTTCACAAAGTTTTTTCACCGATTTCGCCAATCTAAAAATTAAAAATTGTTTATAGTCAACTAATGTTTACAAACATAAATGCTTACAGATTTGGTGTGTGTTTGTCATTTATTTCAGCTTTCACCTTTAAATCTCCTAAACACGTTCCAATATACAAGTCTTTTAATTTAGGCATTTCGTATTATGTTTTCTTGGAAAATTGATTTACGCAGGAAATTCGATTTAAAAGAAATCCTCGAAAATAGAAGTGAAGAATGTAATTTTTGTCTTTCAAATATTATTTAAAATAATATGTATAAATTATTGTATATTCTTTTAGAGATAATTAAGGATTTTCATTACACTTCTTTGTCAAGCATTTATCACTTAATATCACGAAATACAGCTCCAATGTTGTCAAAAGGAAATTTTTTCCTCTCGCTACGCCATCTATCCGCTTATTTATAAAATATTTATTAGTAACTGATCTTATCAGTATGAATCACAGTTTTTATATCATCAATATAATGAAAAAATCATTGAATATTTATTTTAAAGTCGGTAAAGTCATTACGTTTACATTGACCTATAAAATGATCACAAATTTTAAAAATCCTAGATGGAACCACTGTAGAATGTTCACTTTTTTCAATAAAATGTTATTCTTTTCTCTGGGATTCTACCTCAGTATTTACTTTGCTGTGAAGTTATATATATTTTCGGCATTTATATTGCTGTTTCAAATATTAAAGCCTCACTCAAGGCCAAAATGTAAGTTTTAATCTACTACTAAAGCAAGCGATAATTTTATTTTTTCGTAATATTCGTTGATTTCTTTTAATTCGAATAAATGAAAATCTTGTTATATTAAACTTACAGCTCTAAGAAATGGAAATAATCTAGTTGCTATAGTTACTGGAGGAGCAAAGGGTATAGGGTTAAGTGTTGTAAAAAAGTTGGCTCGCCTCAACGTCCACGTAATAATAGGTAACTTTGTTTTATAACTTTGTAAGAGTTTTAATAACTTTATAACGAAAAGCTAGCAGATGTAAGAAAGAAGCTATTCATGCTATTGAAACAATAAAAAGTCAAAATAGAAAAGCAAAAGGTAAATATTAATTTATATTAATTTGTTAATTGAATAATAGTGTTGAAAGAACTAATGATTATTTAGTTGAATATCTGATGTTGGACTTATCGTCAGTAAAGTCAATAAAGAATTTTGTAGCTGAATTTAAAAAACGAGAATTACAGTTGAATATTTTAATAAATAATGGTAAATAATCTGGCATATATCAATTAAAGTGATAATGTATTAGGCTAATAAGCAATTGTATATTATACAGCTGGCGTTATGTTAACATCCTATACAAACACGGAGTGTGGTTTAGAAGAAGAAATTATGGTTAATTATCTAGGGCATGTACTGCTATCTCTACTGTTATTGGATTTTTTAAAGGAAAGTGGAGAAATTGGTCGACAAAGTCGAATTGTAAATGTATCCTCCCACGCTCATTATGCAACTTATCCTTTTTCAGTTGATTCTATGATAAAAAGGTTTGTTTATTGATTACTTAGTAATAATTATAGAAAAACGATGTGTTTTGTTCTCCAGATCATATTTCTCGTCTCATAGGGCATACTGCGAGTCAAAACTATGCCAAATTATGTTTGGGAATATGCTACATCGTCAATTAATGGCCAACGGATCTCTTGTAACAGTCAATTCTTGTCATCCTGGTGTTGTTAACACTGATTTATATGAAAATTTACATACAACAACTTCTTGGTTTCTCAATAAACTTAGAATTCTGTTCAAGGTACTTTCAATATCAAATTTAAAGGTCGAAGAGATACTGTATTATACTGTTGTATTATATATTTTTAGACTGCAGACCAAGGAGCAGATACTATTATTCACTCGGTTATGTCAACTGAAATAGAAGGAACCGGTGGTCTTTATTTATCAAATTGTAAAAGATTTCATTCCCTAACCGTATGTAACAATAGAAAAGAACAAGAAAAATTATGGGATTTTACAATGAGTACATTAAAAACAATGCTTGAAAAAGTCAATGAAAAGTTTTAATATTGAAAGGAAATAAAGAAATAATCAATGTATACAATTTTTAAACTCTTGAACTAAGTAGCTTAAAGCACAATTCAGGTGAATTTTGAACAGATGAGTCTTGGACGCAAGTAAAAAAAAAGTCATTAACTATACGACAACCGGAAATCCAGAATTTGATATCGTTAATTGTAAAAAGAATTCTATATTCGGTACAAAGTTCATCATTCTCCAATAGATCCAGGATATAATTCAATTTTTCTTCATATTCTATGAACCATGCAGAGTTAGTGCCGTTTAAAACTTCTGGTTGAATTTTAATACCCTTTCTACCATTACTAAATATGGTATAAAATATTAATGTATTGTCGCAACCACTTGTTACTTTTATCTTTGGAGCGTATTTAGGATCGTTGATTTGATTGTAATCATAAAGTTCCTTAGATTTTCTGCCTTTAACAAAATGTTCTGGTTTTTCAACTGTGCAGATGTTAGTATTCTTTAATTGTTGTAATTCTTGTGAAAAACCTTCGTATCTTTCTGCTAAATTTCGTAATTTCCTAGCCAAACTTGACATAGGAGCTTCGTCGAGGATTAGTTGTATTGTTATTAATTCCCATCTTATCATCATAACCCATCCTTCTTTACAAGTAACACCTGTTATTCCATATTTTGGAGGATTTATCGATATTCTAACTAAATTAAGATCGTGTAAAATACTACTTTCAACATGATTCAAAACAAGAGAGTCTTCGTAAAATATTAACAACCCTATCACAGATACTTCAGATTCTATAGACGTTGCAATATCATCAATTTCCAAACGTAGCAGATCAGTTAAACTTATACCTTTTATAAAGAAATCTCGACAATCAATGATATTCATTAAATAATTGTTTAAATGTTTAAAATTCTTCTCCTGAAATGCTTCATTAACAGATCCATAGACAAATTTTAAAAAATTTTCAAAATTTTCATACTTTTCCTTAGCTACAGAGAATGTAGAATCCATTTGTCCAATAATAAGAAAGTTTGTATCGTATTTAGAGCATGTGATCGTTAAATCCTCCGGTGGATCGTCATGTTTTTTCAACGATAAACATACTGGTGAATTATTAGTTATCCTTTTAAGTAAATCTGTTAAGGTAACTATAGATCCTCTTATTGTTGATATGGTTTCTAAATTACCAAGGGAATAGACGATATCAACAGAATCTTCAGATATATTTGAGCTTGATTGCATTTGAATAAAAAGAACAACATAGCTGCAATTAAATATCTTAAGTTTATTTAACTGTATAAATATAAGATTCAAAAGTAAAACCTTACTTTGCATCAGAGCTTTTCTTTAAATCTGAATTCATGATAAGGATCTTAGTAAGAAAAAATTTCCTCCTTAATTTAATGAGATTTGTAAATGTATAATGCTGTCAATTCTAATTATTTGCAGACGTTAATTTCCATATTTTAATTTAGTATTTATTAAAATCGACTAAAATTATATATATATATATATATATATGTGAAAAAGGTAAATGGTTCTGTGAACAGGTAACCTAATCAAAACATTTTTTCTTCTTTAGTAGTGACATCTAGTGTAATAAAACTTTCATTATTTCTTCTATATTTATTTCGTAACAGTCTATAAATTAATCTGTTTACTCTGACGTTTATCAAATTTATTTAGATAAGAGAAACAAAGAATTTTAGATTAAAATTTTTATCTTGTTTAGATAGAACATGGAAAATAAATTCTATTAGGGTTAATTGAAACTGCAATCTTGTTCAGTGTTTTCTTGTAAATTGTATTTCTCGATTCAAATCATAAACCGAAGAGAGTAGATAAAAACAAATGCAAAGTTAATCAATTTAGCCTTCCCTTTGGTGGGCGCATTACAGGATTATCTCCGTACATAGATCTCCCTTCAGCCATAAGCCTTTCAATGTCTTCAATTTCACGTGGAACATTCGTAAGAAGTTCTACTCCTGTTGCTGTGATGATTATATCATCTTCAATTCTCACACCACCAAAATTTCTAAAATGATTAACCCTTTCTGCAATAATAAAACGACTTCTGTTGGGGTCTGCAAGTGCTTCGTCAATCAAGTGATTAATAAAATAAATTCCAGGTTCAATTGTCAGGCACATTCTTTCCTCGAGAACTCGGGCAGTTCTTAACGAACGTAAACCAGGTTCAGCACTTCGAGCGGGAGTGCCAGGGGCATATCCACCAACATCATGAACATCGAGACCCATTAAATGACCAAGACCATGGGGCATAAAAGTAGCTGCCAAACGAACAGCCATCATTTCGTTAATGTCTCCAGTAAGGATACCCATAGCTTTCAAGTGTTCTAGCAGGACTCGTTCGGCCAACTTGTGCATGTCTAACCAAAATATTCCAGGTTTACAAGCATTCAAAACGGTTCTATTAGCGTCTAAAACAGCTTCGTAAATCAGACGCTGATCATTGGAAAACTTTCCTCCGCAAGGAAATGAGCAAGTAATATCCGATTCATAGCAGTAATACTCTCCACCTAAATCAAACAAGCACATATCGCTTGCCTCCATTCTACGATCATTTGGTGCACCAGCATGCCCGTAGTGTAGGATTGAAGAATTATTACCGCTTGCACAAATACAAGTATAAGAGACATGTCTCATACCACCTTGCGAGTAGCAATGGTGAAGGAAGACACTTTCCAATTGGTACTCATATTGTCCTGGTCTACATCTTCGCATTATCTCCTTATGAGCTTCCGAACTGATTTTATTACAATATCTCAAAATGTCAATTTCAAGGTCGCTCTTTCGTACCCTACATTCAGTCATTTCGAAGTGAAGAATCTGATTATTCACTTCAAAGTCTCCAATACCATCAAATGCGGCTTCTCTGGTAAAGCTACCACTGTCAGTATTTAGTCCCCTCTGTAATTTTATATCTACAGTTAATTAATTTTTATTGATTTAAAAGAAATACAGTATATTGTATAGGTAAAATATTAATATGAATTACCAGAGTAAGCAAAGTAGCTTGAGGATTAATATTTCGAATAACTTCAGCAATTTGATCATTATAGTAGCATTCATCTGTTCCATATCGCTGTTGAAAAAAGCTCATTGGCTTAATGCTTGAAAGGAACAAAAGTTTGGAACATTAGTTTGTGTTTTTCCTTGCAATAGTAATTAAGAGTCCTTACTCTCCCATAAAAATGGCGTAATCAGCTGGAAGCCTAGGCATAAATAAAACCGAAAGACCGCTTGTTACGTCAATAAGACCAAATGCTCCAGGCTCTAGAACTCCAAAAGCCCAATGGAAAAATGATTCTTGTCGAAAGGGTGCAACGTTGACATCGGAGCAAAATCTTGGAGACTCATCTCCACCTTGTAAAACAATAACAGAATTGGCAGGCAAATCAGTGCGATTTCTCAATCTTTGGAGGAGTCTTTCCCTGTTATCTGCATGCAATTTCATCGGTATATCAAACGTATGTGGACCTAAATTAAAAGATTGGCGAGGGCTGCACAAAAAGTATATTTAATATATATATATATTCCCCAATAGTGGTTACTTACATGTCGCTTTTTCTGCTGGCCATATTCAAACTATACTTTTTCGTAGATATAACACAAGGTACTTATTTGATTCTTGACTCAGCAAACCGGAAGTTTACTGATCAGGTTTTAATAAACTGGAGTTGATACAGATGTCACTGCTATCGTGAAAATATCGTCGCTTAGAAAGTGTTTATTTATTTTCCTAGAAGGTAATTAATTATAACTAATAATTTCTTTAATAAAAGTAATGAATATTAAAAGAATACCAATTGTCATATGGCAATTAATTTATATTTGCTAGTTGTTCTTATCAAGAGATAAAAGTCAATGATAGTATATGTTTAAGAATATTTTACTTTTCTTTTAAAACTGTTATACGAAAAATCTGTCCTAGTAGTTCAAGTTTAATTAATAAATTACTGAAGAAAGTTGAGAATGAAAGATAAGCAAATATAATGAAATATCTCTAATTTTTTGAGGAGATATGTTGGAAGTAAACTAAACTGTTAAGTTATTACTATGGCCATAACTGACAATGTCATTTCAATTAATCAAATGTATAAGTTGTATATATTTGTAGCTTATACTGTATATAACTTTTTATAAGAGACGTCAATAACGTAGAAGAAACGTCTAAAAATAACCCAACATTTGTAAATATATCAAGTTACTCAATAAAAATAACCTCATTTTAGATTTATTTTGTAAAATATGATTTAACATGGAAAACTATTCTTTTAATTTGATTCTGAAATGATTTAACGGAAAGTATATAGTTTAAAGCCTTTAATCGACTGCAAAAAGTAGGACTTGATATTGATATTTTGCTTTTTACCGATCCACAAGATGAATAGAAAATGGATAGAGTTGAAAATGAATGAGGTTTCATTTGTAAATTCTTTTTGTTTTGGAATAGTTTATATTCAAGATTCAACTAGTTTCATTGATTTTATTAGCGTTTGTTTTTATTGGCCACTTTCCTTCCTTGATCCAGATTTCTTTAACATGTTTAGATAGTTTAACTCTTATTCTTTTTCGTTTCACAATACCGTTTTGATTAATTGAAGTAGATTTTTCTTTTTTAGCTTTCATACAACTTAAAGGATTAGGTCCTCTCGGTCCTTTTCTCTTTCTCTTCTTTTCGGGTACTGGTTCTAGGTGATCGCTTTTCATCAATTTCAGTAGTTGATTATCTCTACTCGATAGTTCCAGGGTTTGTTTCTTATTTTTTGCAGCAATCTTTTTAGAAGTTTCCGAAGGGCCCTCCAAAACGATTGTATGACGGGATATATACAAAAGAGGAATACCTCTCATATCTCGAACACATTCAGATATTTTAGGATCCTGTAATAAATAGAGAAATTACCAATTATTAAAAATGCAAAAAAATCCTTTAAAATTGTATTATCTACCTGACTAGCAACAAAATATCGTATATTTTTCTTCAATTTTTGTCTCGTAAAGTGTCTCAAGCACTTTTCTGCAGATATAGGAGGTTCATGGTTACATTCTAAAGCAGGAAATTGACGCAGTACTTTTAAAGGTCCATAGAGTAGTGAACCAAAGCTCTCTAACTCTTTTAGAACGCAGTTAGTCGTACCAAATTCTATTTCTTCGTCAAGATATCTTTTCACTTGATCTGCGATATTAACTTTATATGTTAAGGCTGTTTTGCAAAACGTGCCATCGAGTAGTATTTTGAATGGAGCCTGAAAGAAAGAGAATAAGAAATTATTTTAAGGTTTTAACACCCACATTATATAAATTTCACCTTCAAATTAAATTGTTGCTTGTAAAAATTCAATACTTTTCGTACTTGCTTATAACGCTTTAACTTCATTTTAAATCATTGAGTGAGCTACGAATAGTAAGAACCTATTGAATTTCAACATCAATAATAGAGGGCAGTGTTACGTCACCAGTTTTCTCCAGCCAACTCCGTCATAAAATGTTTCGTTTGCGTTTTGTTTTCATTTTGCGATGACTCAACATTGACTACAGTTAAACGCTTAACATAAATATTGAATAATTTTAGTAGTACCAAAAATAAAATAAAGAATCTATATTGTATCGAAGCATATATCACGATGGCAATGTGGACTGCCAAGATTGAAGGTGGACCTAAGCGAGTTAATCATGCAGCAGCTGCAGTTGGTGAGAAAAATATACATAATTATGGAGCCTGCTGGTAATTAATATTGCACAATTTCTCTTCATAGATCATCAAGTATTTTCTTTCGGCGGATATTGTTCTGGATTCGACTTCGAAACACCTGTTCCAATGGACGTACACGTATTTAACACATGTTAGTAAATTAGAAGTGCTTATTTAAGAGTTTATTTAATGGTCATTGCGTTCTTTCTTTACTCCTAAAAAAGTGACATACAAATGGAAAAAACTACCTGCTCCAACTGATCCAGAGGATAAAAAATCTACCCCATATAGACGATATGGGCATACAGCAATTGCGAAAGATTTCTATATTTACATGTAAAAACAATCGATATTTTGTTAAAAAATAAACGATTAGTTATTCTAAATTCAATATTATTTTCCTTCTAGATGGGGTGGACGAGACGACAGCCACGGTGCATGTAATAAATTATTCAGATACAATACAAGTAAGTTATTTTATAGTTATTTATATTTTAGTTTTCTATAATTTTGATACAGAATAATGTTGAGGTAATACCGTTATTTAATTGTATTTTTGTTAAATTCACCAGGGAATCATAAGTGGAAATTACCCGAAGTATCAGGAAAGGTTCCCGGACCAAGAGACGGTCATTCTGCTTGTCTAATTAAAGACAGTATGTACATATTTGCTGGATTTGAAGAAGAGGTATATTATTAATGTTTGTATATTTGCGGCTTTATAAATTGTTTTGTCTACTTCTAAACCTAGACCGAAAGATTTTCCTCATCTATATTTGCTGTTGACTTGAACACATATCAATGGAGTGAAGCTACTTATTCAGTAAGTTTAATAGTTAATTAATATACAAGTATATTGTGCAGTGCAATGTTGTTGTTCTTTTAAAAGGGAACACCTGCAAGCTATAGAGACTTTCATACATCAGTTACTCTTGATGACCGATATATGGTTGTATTTGGAGGGAGATGTGATGCTTCAGGGCCATCTGAATTATATCGTGAATACTACGTAAGTTCATTGACTTTGTACAATAATCTATTAATTACAATTACACTTTTAGTGCAACAAACTGCATTTCTTCGATACCGATCGTAAGGTATGGTTTCAATTGGATCCTTCCGGTGCCAAGGTAAAGGGGAGACGAAGCCATTCGGCCTTTGTTTACAACAACAAGATTTACATTTTCGGTGGATACAATTCTTTAACGAGAGAGCATATGAAGGATCTGCTATGTTTCGATTCTGGTTAGTTTTATTACTTTATAAATAAATTACATTTATTAATAATTTCATTATGTCTTAAGAATTCGGAACTTGGCTAAACGTTGGAAAGGATATTATTGGCCTAGAAGGACCGTGTGCGAGAAGACGACAAGTTTCGTGTTTAGTCGGATCGAGGGTTTTTATATTTGGAGGAACGAGTCCAAGTGGAAGATATGATGAAAACGATCAGCCTAACCTGCTTGATCATCATGATCTACATATTCTAGATTTCCGTAAATATATAAAACTAAATGAGAAAGCTATATAACTTATTCATATATTATATTTTAGAACCTTCTTTACGCATATTCTGTATGCACGTTGTGTTGAAATATAAGCTGGACACCAGTCGTTTACCTCGAGTATTAAGGTAGCTTTATTTATTTTCAACTATTTAACTCATCTAATATTTTCCATTTTTCGTAATAGAGAAGAAATTGAAATTTTAAAACCTAAAGAGAGCCATAAAAATACTATAGAGAGTGAAACTCAAGGATAGTGATTAAAGAAAATACAAATGAAAAATTTTTGGCTGAAAATCGATTTTATACTTAATGAACAGAAAGTTTACATACTTTTAAGAGATTTTATAAGACAAACGTTTGTAATGATCAAGCATCAAATTGTGCTTTATATATAGTATATTTATAAGTTGTCTATCCTCGCTCCCTTATTAACCTTTTTCTCCAAATCTTGTACATAAGTAGAACTAAGTTTAATAAATGAATTTGTTAGAGTATTTTGTTAGAAAATCACATTTTTTTCCTGCTAATAGTTGGTGAAATAAAACACTTGGATATTCTTATACTAATATTGCTTTTACGTGAATTATTATCAGGTTTTTTAAAAACTCATATACATTTATATAATAGAGATTTACCTCTTTATTTAATGAACGATTTAGATGCTTGATTTGAACTTTAATTTGATTAAAACTATGTACACTCTTGATGTCTTTTGTACGTTCAGAGTTTAACTTTCCTTCTCCCGTAACATGGCAAAAAGTTCATTTTCAATATTTAAAATAACTGCAGTAACTATTGTCAAATTATAAAAATTTAAAGATATATGATATTTCGTTTAAATATAATCGTTTTATTTTTTAATATGATTTTAAAAGAAAGTAAATTTTCCGGATATGACGTCACAACTATTTACTTTTGTCAACAACTTATTGCCAAATTGTCCGAAATATCGTCAACGTGTCACTTTTTACGATGATTTAAAGAATCTTTATAAGATACTTTGCAACAGTCGTAACTGCAAAGAGAGATGGAAAAATTTGAAGAAATAAGCCAAACAGAGGCCCTTTCGAAGTACAAACATTACAAACATGCTGCACATGCTATGCTTGCAGCTGACGACCCAGGCACAACCTTTGGTTGTAAAAGAAACGCTGTTATAATGATGCAAATGAGATTTGACGGTTGTATAGGATTTGTTGGTGGTTTGTATCACTTTTAGTTTCGTACACCAATGCAGTTTGTGAGTGAAGTGTTGAAACTTTTCATCAGGTCTAATTGATCCCGAAGATGATAATCCAGTTGATGGTTTGAATAGAGAGTGTGTAGAAGAAATAGCGTTAGATTTAGATAAAGTGAAGTTTGAAAAAGAGAATTTTTTACTATGTCACATTGTTCACGATTATAAATTGGTTCTTCACTTTTATGGAAAGAAAATACCATTAAAACTCTTTTACGAAATTGAGAAGAGAGCCGTTCTCGAAGCTGAAGAATGGGGCAACGAGGTAAGAAACTGCTTAATAAACTTCTTTTATTCATAATACTTGTAACTATTTATACTTTTTAGACGCTTGGCTTAATAAGAGTACCTCTTAGTCTTTTTGAACAAGGAGATATTAACAAGAGATTTAAAGCTTTTCTAAAACACAACTTTGCTGGAAATGCAAAACGCCAATTGCTTACCGGGATGAAAATGATTAATGTTGTTCCTGAAGACGTATATAACAAGCTTTTACAAGGCGTTGATATATAAATATTATAACATTTATTCTTTGCTCATGGCTTAATGTTGTCATATAAAAATAAAGTTTTGTACAAGTTACGGAAGTTTGTTTGTAAAGTTCATTCTTTTTCTTTATATTCAATACAATTTCCATGGCTTTAGCTTTTATTTAATAATGTGATTTCCCTGTCATTTCTCATAAAATCAGGCTAATAATAAAGATCTTCAGACAGAATTTTTTTTGTATATTAATTCTGAGCATTTCAATTAATCTTTGCTGCTCTTGTTAAGGTCTGAAGTTAAGAAATATCCATTCTATATGCACTAGGTCAAGGATAGAATACCTTGAGGTTTTTGCCAAGTTTCAGTTTTTAAGATATGATAATTAAAAGAATCTATCTTGCAGACTTTAACTAATTTGTAATTTCAATTTCTGTAAATATAAAAAAAAATAAAGTAATTGAAAATATTAAAGTAATCATACCATACCAAGTTCTCTTTAATAAATGCAAAAGCTTTCTTAAGTAGAGTAATTCAAAGCTTTCTTTTCAAGGTGTATAAACTGCATATATTTACAATATCCTTTCATCGGATTGACTCTTTCTTGCAAAGCTTGGTAATTTATCCTAATTTTGCATTGTTTTTCTTCTCTAGACGTACTGAAAAAACTGGCTGTAATTTCAGTGTCTGTTTTCACTTTATTAAAATCAATTTTGGAATTAGTTATAAATGCTAATAATTCTTCAAGTTCTGTTCCTAAATTTCCATGTATGTACTTTTTTAGTCTTTGTCTACTTTCCTCATAAGATAAGTGTTCAGTATGAACAACAAGACATTCTTCTATTGCCCTTCGATCTACGTTCAATTTCTTAAAATCTTTCTGCCTTATCTGATTAAGTATAGCGACGTTTTCTCTTTGAATAGCAGCAGTTTCCGAACGAATCTGTTTGTTGAAATTGTGAAAAATTTTCTTTTTGAAATTTAAAACCAAACCTCTTCTTGAGGAGTTTTATAGCTCGCCTCTGAAATTTTTCCTACTTTTTTTGTGGACAGTCGAGCTACAACAGCTTCAGCTGCTAGCTCTGCCACATTAGTCGACTGAGACTTGGTCAGTTTATTTCTACTATTGTTTGAAGATTGCAAAAACACGTCACTTTCACTATGTTTTGCAGATTTTTCTGGAAAACGTTGAAAATACCCCATTAATTTTAATCCCTGTGCAAATGATAATCCTTAGGGTCTTTAAAAGATTCCTTCTGATTTTCTGAAAATAATTTATTCGATATTAACTTTTGAATAATATTGAAAATCGATATGAAATAAAATTAACTGTTCATCATGACATTTAGATTTATTACTAACTTGGATGAATTTCTCCAGAATCTTCGCTATCTTTTAAAAAGAATTCGGCCACTTGGGGTCCGTAAATTCTCCAAGCCACTCTTATTAAGATAAGGTTAAAACCAAGCCAAAAGATGAAAACAATAAACAGTTTCTTTTCGAAGTCTACTTGCAAAATTTCGTAGCCCGACGTCACTTTTTCAGTTTGATTTCCCAAAACTCCACTTGAATTATTAGAAGTTGATGCTAAAGATGCGTTTTGTACTACAGTATCATTCATAATACATCAATGAGTTTCAACATTACTTTTTGCGTATATCTTCGAACTGTTGCAGAATAGCTACATCCGGTATAAAACTATCTTCGTATTTTAACCACCCAATAATTTTTTACTTTAAAGAATAACTCTTTCTAAATATTTGTGAGTTTTAAATTCTTAAAAAATATTATTATTAATATTACTAAAATAATAACTTTAAACCAATTTATCTCTCGTTTTTTTCAATGGATATTTCATTTCACTACTAGTAGTGATAATTATAGAGTATTTAAAGAACGACAAAATAAGTTTGTGTATACTGAAGCTATAATAAAGTTGTTGCGACTTTCAGCAAATTCTTTAATCATTACTAAATAAATGTTTATTTATTTAAGTGAAATGCCGAAGCTAAATAAAAAAAGTAAAGAGAAAGAAATTCGTTATTTTTATAGTCAGAACAATACACTTAAACACTTCTCTTTGTCCAACAGAATAAATTCGAGCAAAAAATAATCTAGATTGGTTTGTGTCTATTGTAACACTATGGTAGCTTTCTTTCCGTTTATAGCCGGTTCTTTACCATGTTTTAAAGCGTGTTTTCGTCGTAGAAAAGCGTAGATTATATCAGTGACCAAAAATATTTGAGCTGTAGCATGAACCAGACTTATTGCAAAATAGAAATTCGCGTTAGCTGATCCGGCCCATAGCCATAAATATGAGAGAACTGGAGCCAATATTGAACTCACCAAAAGCATAACACCAACAACTAAGCCATTTCTTATCCCTAGATATATAATTAACAAAATGTATATTTTCGATAATTTATGTTATTCAATTTACATACACGTAGAAAGATGCTTCCAAATGGGCAGTAAAGCCATATAAATCGATAGATCAGCATAACTAGGGTATGATTTAAATACGGAAATGAATATCAGAAGAATACAAGAAAGAAACATTGGCTCTTCTCTGAAATATAAACAGAATACAGATTAAATAATACATATTCGTGTCTAACTAATGTAATAATAAAACTTATACCATACCTAAATCGAATAGCTAATGGAACTGCGTATAAGAAAATGTTCATTTGAAAAACAACAAGAAAAAATGATCTAAAATGTTCAAACATTTCAGCAAAAAAATACCAAAATACACCTAGATTTGGTGTATAATCTGGAACCATAAGCCTAAAAGAATGAAGAATTAAGTAACCCTAACAATTTTATTCTTAAAGTACATACGTGAATCCATATGTTTCTTGAATAAAATCCCAAGAATTATTTATCATAAAAGATAAATATAGTAGTGCTATCAAGAAGCCTAAAGTTAAGCTCATTGCATAAATTATATTATACATAATTATTTGTCTTTCTGATATCGTAGATTTTGTTTTTTTTTTCTCTTCCACATTTTTCTAAAATAACAATTTTTTAAAGATAACCGAGAAGTTCTTTATGGATAAACGAAAACTTACGTTTATTAAAGCAACAAATATGGGTACAACTAGTAGAATTGGATAGAGGGATAAATAGGCTGAGACGCTGACTGCCAGACAAGCTCTTGTGTAACGACCTAGAATAGAAAATTGATTTATCTAAGAAAAAAAATGCAATATTTGATTTAAAAATCAGTCACCTGTTACTATACTATGTAAACATAAAGCTATAAACATGTTTGTAAAAACGGCTGTCGATTTTACTGAACATGCTGCAATTGCCCATGGAGAAAAGGACCATCTAATATATGGAAACATAAAATATTAATTATTGTTAAAAGAAAGTACTTTTCCTTACGCTAAAGCTACGTAATAACTAGTAAACTTCAAGTCGTCTGTTCTGAGAAAGAGCTCCTCTGATTTAAGGGAATATGTTGATACTTCTTTTGCTTGTTGATCTAACTGTTAACAGTATGCTTTATTAATAAGAAGGAATTATAGTTTTTATTTTTCTGTGCTACCTGCTGTCTACAGACGTGCTTAGCTATCCGCCTTAATAATAGCGCAGTACATATATCACTAATCTGCCATGAAGATTGAAAATTAATTAAAAAAAAGATTAAAGTTGAGAAAGAAGCTAAAACTCACCAGAAAAATCATATAAGTTGATGGGCCCAGTATATTTTTCACATACGATATAATCAGCATCAATAATGGTGGCTATATTACAAGCAAACTTGAATGATAAGTTGGATTTTTTTAAATCCGTAACAAATTACCTCATGTAATAAATCTCCTGAATAAGGTTCAACATTGGCGCCTTTTAGGGCCAAGCCTTCGGTCACTGGATGCCGACAAACGAATTTAAAAATCTACACGAAAATTGGATAAAAACAATCTTACCGCGCTTCCATGACGTTAAAGGTGTTACAACTTCGTTCGATTGACTCAAAAATTCAGAAACTTTTGTTTCAGTTAAAGAATAGCGAAGTGTAGCCCCAACAGCAATGACTATTATCGTTATTAGCGTTGTCATATCTAAAACCTACACATTATCACTCAAATTCCTCAAAGCGGAAGCGATTTTGACCGGTTTTTTTGAGATAGAACAATATTTACGTCATAATCCAATTTAAATAAATTTTTATTAAAATAAGATACAAAACTTAAATTTAATTCAAATTTTAAGAAAATAGTTATTTAAGAAGAAAATCAAGGTTTTGTTGAATTTGAATGATAACTCTAGAAGATCTTCAGTCATCTGGACTTCTTGGCTTGTTGCTCGTTTTAATAACAATTCTGAAAGTTATCTCCTCCTTCTCTTTCACAACTTGGATCCTTTTAATTTTATTAGTTTTTGCCTATTTGGGAGGTTTTGAAAATGTAATACAACTTTTCAATGGATTGTAAAGTACTTATATGCTCTTAGCCAACTAACCATGACTTTTATAATGATAATAGTATTAATAGTAAAAAAATAGTACGTTGATCTTACAATAGAAGAAATATGAAATTGTGATAGAAACCAATTAATAAGCTGAACAATTAAAAAGCCAAAACCTTACTTATGTTTTGTCTAAACGTAATTTTTTGATACAAGTTGAAAGTTATCACAATAAATCAAAACTCTTAATTAATTTCGCGTTCGAAATTCCTTTCATTATTCGTAATTTCTATATTTCATTTTACATTATTTCGTTCAAAAAATGTTAATTTTTCATATTCGAAGCAAATTTGATACTTTATTCGTGATAAATCTTAGTATGGCTTCTATGCTCTCTACCTTTAAGAGAATAAAGACTGTGTAACCCGATTTATAATCTAGCTTACACGTGTACTAATCATTTAGTCTTTGTCATTTTCAAACATGTTAAATAAGGACTTAATCGTTATTTTCCTCTCAGTTATTATTTCTGTTGCAGGTAGTTAATCCTCTAAGTTTCATTCTTTTACAGAATATACATTTAATAATCCTTTCATTATAGTCAGCAAACGTTGTCCAGAGTCAACGTTTGCTTGTCGCAATGGCGAACAATGCGTTGATAAAGATTTCAAATGCGATGGAGAAAAGGATTGTTCAGGTTTGATAACTAATAAAATTGTGTGACAGATTCAAGATAATCATTTACCCCATTAAGATGGTTCCGACGAGAGAGATTGCATTCAAAATCCAATAAATCCAAATGAAAAATATAGCCCAGATGATCCCGACTTCAAGTGCCCGCATCCCAACCTGTTTACGTGTAAAGACAAAGTATGCATTAATAAGAAATTCGTTTGCGACGATAATCCAGATTGTGCGGACGGTAGTGATGAATATGCTTCACTATGTAAAACGTGGAACAGAAAAAGATGGCAAGGAGGAGGACGACAAACGGTACCAAAAGATTTTAAATGTCCGCATAATTTATTCACATGCGGAACAAAGGAATGTATACTTCCTATTTATATATGCGATGGTAATAAAGATTGTTCGGATGGTAGTGATGAATGGAGTGAAAATTGTAAATTCAGAAATGACAATTTCAGAATGCCAAGACAGCCAAGACCTCCTCATAGACCACCTAGACAAGATCTTTAGAAAAACTATTATGCCAGTATCAAATTAATTGTTGTTTTGGATATGAAATTAATTATTGTTTAATGTAATATGTATGCTAAATTATTATTGTTTTCCGACAAGTTCAATAGATCAGTCATATCTAAGATTAAAAATAACTGTTTATTTGATTTATATAAGAGAAACTGATAAAAAGCTAGAAACAAGGAAAAAATAAGGAACCAATCCTCAATTTAAAACAAAATCATTAGTATATAAAATATGTTATAATGTCATTGAAGAACACGTAAGAAGGATAAAGGGTCCTCTTTAAAGGTTCGCTTCAAGCGATTTTCTAAGAACTGCAATTGAAAAATCAGCATCTTCTTTTGTAATACACATTGGAGGTTTGATTCTTAGAACCTAAGAGGAAAGTGACAAAAATTAAAAATTTTCCTAAATGATAGATATAATATAATCTTTACATTTCCATGAAGTCCTCCTTTACCAATTAGCACTCCCATATCTTTACAATCTTCCCATATTTTAGTTACCTTCTCTGCATCCAAGGGTTTCTTTGTTTTCTTTTAATTGAAGAACGATATAATTGTATAGAATAATCTGAGCAAATTAGTATAATTTAAAATAAAATACAAACCTTATCGGCAACCAGTTCAACACCAATCATTAGACCTTTTCCTCTGACATCACCAACGTAGTCAAATTGATCTCTTAATTTAGATAACTCTTCGAGTAAATGTGTCCCAATATCGTGGCTTATTTGTTGGCAGTTATCTTCTTCAATAACCTATCAGTTATAGACTGAAGGAGTTCATAATGTCTATATATTGCAAGTATCTTACATCGAGTACTGATGAACCAACTGCACAAGACAATGGATTACCTCCGTACGTATTGAAATGGAGGGCTTTTCCCATAGTGGCAGCAATTTCTGGGGTAGTTACAACAGCCGCAAGGGGAAAGCCGTTTCCTATACCTTTCGCCATTGTAACTAGATTTTGTTTATCGCGAGAAAAATATTAATAGTAGTTTTTATCGTTGAAATACTCCTTACCGATATCAGGTGTAACACCATGGCCTTGAAAGTTCCAATAATGTGTTCCAGTTCTGCCGAAACCGGTTTGTACCTGTTTTGTTGACAAATTTAACTCCAGATAAGTGGCAATTTAGACTATTTCAGACCTCATCAGAGATACACACTCCGCCCTTTGATCGCACTAAATCAAAAGCTCTTGATAAATAATTCTTTGGGAATTGAACAGTTCCACCGACTCCTTGAATGGATTCGGCAAAGAAAGCAGCAATTCCTTCCTTTGGACAAGAGTGTCTTATCAAATCTTCTAATTGCTCTACGTAATTATCTCCGGCTTCACAACTGCCAGAAGAACAATCGCATTGTCTGTCGGTCTAGAGTTTTGGTTTCAAGTGTAACCTTAGAAAATTTTTTTAAATAATAATGTTTTTAAAAACAAACTTGGACTGGAGAATCTCTACAATTTGAACCACCCCATGGCCCCTTGTATACATCAGGATTTACTGCCTGATGCATACCAAAACCCGATGGAACTTGGTAACGCCACGATGACAATGAAGTCAATCCCATAAGATAAGGAGACGCTCCATGATAAGCGTTTCTCAACGATATAATATCAAATCTTTTAGTGTACATTCTAGCCATTAAAACGGCTAAATCATTGGCGTCTGATCCACTATTTACGAAGTAAACAACCTTGAAAATGAATAATTTTACAATTTTGACCTATATATCTAAATATAGCATCTATAGCTAACTTTTAGGTTTGAATCCGCAGGGAATTTGCTTATTAGTTTCTCAGCATATTCATGGATTTTTGGATGCAAATAGATGTTTGTCGTATGCCATAGTAAACGATTTTGTTCATCCAAAGCTTGTACAACTTTACTATAGTAAAGAAATGTGTCTTTTTATCTAGATTGTTGATTATTTTATAAATTCAAGTTAGGCCTACATACGGATGGCAATGTCCGACACTAACTGTCACAATACCACCAAATAAATCGAGAAATCGGCGTCCTTCTTCATCAAACAACCATTGCATATAGCCTTGATTAATAAGAATATGATTTTTATAGTAGGTCAATAGTGCTGGTGTTAAATTTTCTCCACGAATTTTAGTTATTTCACTCTTAGGTTTGCCCTATTAAAAGATTATGTCACAAGAGTATTAATTTCGTTTGTTTTGGTACTTTTTATGTGATTGATATGTTGTACCTTGTAAGGAGTTGGTTTAAAATCGCAACTGGGCATTTCCGGAGTGGCCGACAAATACCGACATACATGTCTACCGAGGTAGTTAGAGCGAATAAGCGAATAGAAATCTATTAGAAAAAGTGTAATCCTAAATTCAACTATTTTTTGCATTATTGTCTGTCAAAATTATACTTACTACGTCTTAACATAGCTTCCTAGAGGTTGATCGGTTGAAATGACATCGATTGTAAGCTGGTGAGTATATATTGAACAGATATTAAAGCCATCTACTTTATAATATCGGTACTAATTTTACTATTAAAATTGTGTGCTATTTCCGATGAGGTGATCTTGTATGTAAGGCCTAGTAAAAACTTGAATTTCAGTGACATCTATCGCTTTTAATTATAAACAAATTTGAAAAATGTATTAAGTTCTTTTAAAGCTATTCATTCAAATTTTATCAATTTTTTATAAATTATTTATCGTCACTTTCTAAATTAATGCTGTTTCCGAATCTTGCATATAGGTCAACTTTCAGCTTGGACATTAGGCCTTGGTATTCCTCAATTTTCTTCTTTAAATTAGAAACGACTTTTTCTATATTTTCCTTTTCCTTTTCAATGACTCTTTCAGATTCATCTTTATCTCCTACAACAAAAACTTCTCCAACTTGGTAAGGGATGGGAACATCATCATCCAACATCAAAATTTCATCAGAAGCGTCGTTTAAATTTGTAAGCTCCTTCTCTTTTTCAGCCAATTCTTCTTTTAAGTCCGTTGATTTCATGTTATAACGGGCGAAGGTGTTAATTTTTTGCTGATCTTCATAAGTAACGTTTACGTCTTGATCAGGCTGCAATTTATTACATTATCACTCAAGAATTTCAATCAATTTCAATATAAGTATAATATTAAAAATATTTCAAATAACTATTTTTTGGAAACAACAAATAAAGTAGTAGCTTTACCTGAGATTTTGCTACGGTGGTCATTTTAACAATACAGAATCTCGAGGTAGCCGAAAATATCAACTGCTGCTATGAGGAAAACTCAAAATGTTCAGTTTACCAGTTTTTGCTCTCGCGTTGACTTCCACTTAAAAGTCCACAAGTTATTCACTGCAATACTACTGCTGGTGGAGAATGAAAATCATCTTCTGGTTAATAGGTTTGTTTTCAGTTCAGAACAGATTATTATAAAAAATGATGATAGTTTTAGACAGTATTAACAATGTTTATATTATTGCTTCATTTTAGCGTGCTTTGGATGCGTGGTTCAGTCACAAATCATTGATTTAGATGACAGGTAAGTTTATCATTTGAACGATAATATACGGTTCTGAAAGTTGTCGATCATTTATTGGCTGCATTCATAATGTGGATTTATGCTATTAAATTTCTAATAATATCCATCATGCTAGGTGGGTGTGGCAATATTTTTCAAACTCAAAGAGGCTGTAAGACATTGATTGTATAAAATTTTAACATTCTTCCTTTAATTTTTACAAATTTTTGAACAAGTGATTAGATAGATATTTATAATAGCTATGCATTTTTGTCTATATTGAAACTAACCATTGAATGCATGAAATACTAATATACTCATTTATATTATATATGAATTATAGATTAAGTTATAAGTTAAAGTAGTAAAATTTCTTATAATTGGACAGTTTCTCAGTTGATCCTGAAGACGACACACCATGGCTTGTAGAAGTTTGTATATTATTATCTTTTATCTAAATGAAAAAAATTATTATCTTATTCGATAATTCAACAGTTTTATGCTCCTTGGTGTGGTCATTGTAAAAGATTAGAACCAATTTACCATCAAGTTTATTTGGATTTAGAAAAATCACATATTAAAGTAGCTAAATTGGATGCAACAAGACATACAACTGTCTCGGCCAAATATGAAGTTCAAGGTTTTCCCACAATTTTATTGTAAGTGTTATTTAATATTATAGAAAAAAACATATTTATTGCTCCTTTATTAGTATACAAGGTGATAGAGTTTTCAAACACCAAGGCGATAGAACAAAAGAAGCAATTACTGAATTTGCCAAAAGGGCTTTAGGGTAAGAAGAATTCATTAAGAAATAATAAATTAAAAATATCATAAACAATAAAATTTAACAAATATATAAAGTAATCGTTTCATATGGTTATTCCTTTGTAGACCAACCATCAAAGTAATATCAAATGGGGCGAAATATTTCGATATTCGAAGCGAACATGCAGATAGTTCTTTCTTTTTATATATTGGAGCGCAACAGGGTCTGTCCGAATTAATGGTAGATATTAACTTACTTTTTTCTCTGCCTTATTTGAAAAATTGTATTGTTTCTAATATTGTAGACAAAGTTCGCAGCAGTTACTGATAAATTAGCTGTTCATTCTTATTATTATTCGTGCGAAAGAAAAATACTGCCTCCAGACTTCGTTAAACACTTACAACACGATCCAACTCTTGTTGTGTTTAAAGATAGGGAATGGTATGAATACGAACGTATGCACTTCAAATAGTCTTTTCTTCATAATCATTAACCTATTTTATCAATAATTACAATAATAGCTGGTGAATCTGGTGTAACAAGAAGTTCTGTTGAAGCTTTTGTAGCTAGAGAACGACACTTGGCTTTCCCAAAATTAGCTGGAGGCGGAGGGTTGAGCGATATGAGTGATTTAAGGAAAAAAATTGTTGTTATTGTTGTAAATGATGCGGATAAGGAATCAGTAAAATTGAATAGCAGGTTTTTTATCTTATTTTTTCCTATAACACATTTTTTTGAATTAAATCATGTAAGTATATATTATATTTACGAATTTTAGAATGAAAGACATAGCCACAATGATGTCGACTAAATATCGAAGGGATTTTCATGCTCACTTTCAATTTGCCTGGATGGATGATCCAGAAACGATGAATACAATAACAATGACAACTCTAAAATTACCGGCTTTAATTGTTTTTGATACAGAAACACAATATTATTACTTACCAGAATTTAATGTGAGTTAATTAGTTGCCCCGCTAAATAATTAATAATTCAATTTTGCAGCTGGTTGATATCACTTATAACTCATTTTCAAAGTTTTTAAATGAAATAAGAGATGGATCGGCTCCCGTAAGTTTATACCGTACCGGTAATCAAAATTTGGCCACCTTTCTTTTAAGTTTTTCTTTAACTTTGCTATGAGCAAGATGTTTCTAATAGAGATTAAAATGAAGACAATCTTTACTTAAGAATTATAAAAATTTTATCTAAAAAAAATTAGATAAGAAAAATTTTGTATTTTTATAAAATAGGTGTTAAAATCAATTTTTCTATATTTTTTAATGTAAGAATAATAAAATTGCAAAATGTAAAATGAAAATCTCTTCGTATCAGTAATAGAAAATTTGTGAAAATTATTCTTAAATATTTAACACTTACTTCTTTTAAGCGATTAACCAATTTAGTCGACTGTTGCATAAATCAATAATTTTCTTATTTCTATTGTTATAAACAAAGATTTTATAATTCTCAGTTAAAGATAGATAAGTTGTCTTTATTTTAATTTCTATTAAAAACGTCTTGCTTTTGACTAATAAACAAAAAGTCATTTTTGTAAAAAAATAAAGGAGCGGCTGAAAAAAGGGTATCGGTACCATATTTTGTGATGAACCCATAATTACTATTAACGTATGTTGTCTTATAAATAGTCTTTTGGTGGCACTGGATTCCTTCAAAGAGTAAAGAGAATTGCGTACGATATATGGATTGCAGTCTATGTAAGTTATTTATTCTTCATTTTCTAAGATAAGAGATAATCATTGTATAAGAGAATAGGCTGAAATAGACGTAAGTCTTCCTTGTTGTTTTTTACAATAAATTTTATCTGAAAATTTTCTCTCTATTGCAATTCTATGTATTCTATTTGTTTTTGTCTCATTATGTAACAGAGCATTTATGAAGCATCAGCTTGGCTGGCTCTTCTTGTATTTGGTTTGCCTTCTGCCGTCATTTCTATTGTTTGCTACGCTCTCTGTTGTATGGAACCAATCGACGACGCTGAAGATACAGACGACGAGAATATAGATGAAAGTTTGTGTTCTTTATCATATACTATCCCTCTCTTTTTTACATTTTGTGATACGGTGTGCATGAGATGTGTGTTCAAGAGTTTTTTTTCAAAATTAAATAAGAAAAATTTAGGCTGTTCTTGGCGAGCTTGGTTGGTGGGCTTTAATGATTTTTGGTATACCCGCTACGGTTATTTCGCTCGTCTGTTATTCCTTTTGGTGTTTGGAACCAATTGACGATTCATTTTGGGATGGTAGCTGGCTTAGAGAGGAACTCGAGGCAGAGAGACGAGCTAAACTGGCAGAGGAACAGTCTGCAGAAACTGATAAAGATTCAAAAGTTAGGTACCGGTTAACCACTCCTGGTACACAGGAGGATATTGAAGCGAATGTACCGCTTCTGGATGACAGCTCTGGTGAGATTTACTCAACAGGGATTTTCAATTTATATTTTTCTCACTAGAATATAACTTATGTATGACTGAGTTAGAATAATAGAAATTATAGAGCGAGTGAAAGTATATTTAGTATAGATATACAGTATATATATATAGAAATAATCTTTATTTAATTGTCCAGCAGCTGCTTGTTTTATTAAAATGACTTTAACTTTTAGATGCCTCGCCAGTAGATGCTCCAGTTAAGGATCCAAAGCACGTCAAAAATGAGTAATAAAAGAAAGAAGAGCTTTTTGAGCGTTCAATATTTGATTGACACCTTGGTCTCTTTCATTTGTCGTTTTACAAGAAGCTTATTTAATATTTATAAAATTTAATTGTTTTTGGTATGTATAGGAGTCATAAAAAAATATTCTTTTCAGCTGACAAACAAATTTTTATGCACGCCTCAGATCAACGTCGTCTAGTCATGTAAAACAACTCAATAATATATTGTATTATCACAAAAATGAAAACATTTATTTATTTATTTATTTATTTATTTATTTATTTATCATGTTATTAGAATTTTATTAATTATTTGTTTTGTATACGTTGTTACTTTTTTAATTGGAAAGAGACGAATAAAAGAGAATAAAACGAGGCACGATAGATTTTTTTTCTACTTTATTAACAGCATAAAATATAAAGATATAAAACGCGTTGTATAGGTAAATGATATTCACTTACACTTTAGTATGCTTAATTAGGTCGAGGCATCGTTTTTTTAAGTTGAAAGCCAGATTCATATTACAATGTTTATTATGATATATACATATTCTTGTCCATTTATGTATACATTTTTTATCTTCTGTTTACTGCTTATTATTGTCTGATTTCCTTAAACTACCAGATAATCCGTTGTTAAAGTGCTGTTTCATCTTCTATTTTTTAGTTATTTTTTAGTGAAAACTGTAATAAGATCATTTTTTAGGTAATTCCTTTCTTTGAATCGACACTATAATGTTCTCTTGAATACTATATTCTGGCCTAATAGAGTACTACTATTCTAGCATATATTTCACATTATTATGTTATTTTCCAAATTCTAAAATACACGAACCACTCGTTCATTACAATTTAAAAATAATTATCCTCTGTACAATATCTTATAAAAAGAGAGTAGAACATTATTAATATGCACTTTATTTACTTTTTAAAAAAATAGATATTTAAAACTGGCGCCATATTGAATACCTTCAGTTAAAGAAAAAAAAAACAATTTTACTGTCTAAAGTTGTAAAAAGAATCTTTATAAAAAATTGTTTTTTATAAATCTATTTTTTCTTTCGTTTTTATCTTTTTATATTAATTCTAGTTCATTGAACCTTTAAATCTTCGTATTCCATCAACTGTTTATTTACATTACAATGGCGGAAGTTGACGAGGAGTTAATTCGAAGTTTTATAGCTAATCAAGGCGGAAAAATAAGTAACGCAGAGTTGGTTGTTCATTTTCGTAATTATCTGAAAGATCCTCGTTTTAAAGGTATGGTAATAATCAAATAATTTATCTCAATGAGCGATAATACAAGATTTAAAACTTTCAAATAGACCAAAATCGTAAAAATTTCAAAGATATAATCAATAAGATATGTGTTACAAAACAAGATCTATCGGTAAGAATTTCTAGAAGCTCTTTTAACTTAATTTAAAAACATTGTTTGCCTTTAAAAGTCACGGGACAAAATTCTCGTTCTTCGAAAACAATTTCGTGATGACACTCCTGAAACGCCTGTTCATGAAGAGAGTAGAAAATTCTATAAGCCAAAACGTCGTCCCGAAAAAAATCCATTCAAGAATGATGCAAGCCGTGTTAGTGAATTGGATGAAAAACTACCTCAAGAAGGGGAAGAAGAATCGGATTTACTCTCAAGTGTAATGGCTTCTGTGGAGCAATCAATAAAAAATGCTTCAGCTGCTGTTATTGCTGAGGCGGAAGAACCCGCTGGGGAGAACTTACCTGAAGAGCCACTAAATAATAATGTTTTTGAGGAGCCTAGTAAAAATTCGAATACCTCTGAGACTACCGAAAATAACCCATTGAATATTCCTTCTGTTGTTATTGATGACGCTCAATCAGAAGAAAAACTAACTGAAAGTGCTGAAAGTTCAACAGTTGACACGAGTGTAGAAACTACACCAGCTCCAACACCAGTAGCTGTACAACAAGAGTCCGAAGATATTCCAAAGCTGAATATTAAGCTCATGGGAGCTGATGTTCTTAAAGAACAGGTATATAACTTACTTTATTTGACAATTAATCAGAGCTTTTAACATTTTCATTTTCCTTCGAATCTCTGTACAGTTGAACGATACATTCAGCGTCAAGGATAGAGCTAATCAGATAGATCAGTTACAGATAGATCTTAAAGCTGAGCAAAAGAAACAAATGCCTGCTAAAGTTAGGGATAAAAATGATGAAGTACGATTCTTTATTAGCATTAATTCTATTATATATTAATACTTGTTAATTTTTCAAATATCCACCAAAGAACGAAAATAAATGCGATGAGGTAAAGATTAACGTTTATTTAGTAATATCATTTGAAACACACTTTGCGTTATATAGGATTTAACACCAAATCAAAGATTATGGATGTTAGCTTCGTGCAAATGTAATATACAGAAAATGACACAACTTTTAAGAGATCGACCTGAATTAGCTACATTTGCAGATGTAACTAATGGGGTAAGATTTTTTATACACATAATACCTTATTTACTAAACTGTAAAATAATTTCTTCAAAATTAATCAACATTAATAACCGTGAAAAACAATGTTAAACCTCTAGTATGTGAGTATCGAATGATTAGTCAAACTTATCTTTTATATTCTTAATAAATCGTTGATTAATTCTTATGTTAGACCGCAATTCACTGGGCAAGTAAGAAAGGTCAGAAGGATGTAATTAAAGCCATAATGTCAACTGGAAGGAAGCATAACTTAGATATTAATATTAATGCAAGAACAGTGTGTATATTTATTTCATAAAAGTATAATTTAATAAGTTTGTCCTTTATTTATTCAGCATGTAAGTATTTTAACAAAAACAATAAATCTTTGAACATTTTAATCAACTATGCCTGTACGGCGATTCACTTTCTTTTAGGGTGTAAGTATTTTATCATTGGTATTACGATTTCATTTTTACTATAATGTATCTTTTATAGGGATATACACCTCTTCATCTAGCTGCCATGCAAAATCGAGAAGGTGTTATAGAATTATTAACTGGTGGATACGGTACATAGTTCAAAGAATTCTTTTCACTTGTTTTTATATTCTTTCATTAAAAATAATACTTGAAATAGGTGCTGACATAAGTATTAGAGACTACAGTGGTAAAATACCAAACGAATACCTTCCGCGCAAAGCATCTGCAAATTGTCAAAGTAAGATTTTATACTTATTTAAGTAGATTCATTGGTTTTTTTTTTATTTATCATTAATTACATACGTATACACTTTTTTTAAATATATACATGACACATACCTTTCAGAGTTTATTATGTCAATTATGTTTTTTGTATAAACAAGGCGTCATTTGTATTAAAATGAAGGGATATAACAATATCAGAATAACAACAACAATTTAAAACGTAAGGTGAAGCTGATTAATTTATTGATCACTATAAACAGGATGTTTAGATGTTCTAAAGAGAAAAAGGAGTCGTAGGGTACAACAATACGAAGTTGTAACTTTAAGAAAAGATTCACCAATCACAAAAACGTAGGAATATTAAAATTTTTTTTCTTTCTATATAAAACATATGAAACATTTCTATTTTTTATATTTATTTTTCTTGAATAGTCAATATCTTTTTACTTCTATTTATTTATCAAATTTATCTTTAAGAAGCATTTTCTTTCTGCAGCTCTAAACAACAATAGTGGCAAATCAACAAAGGTCATTGCGATTCACAAAAATTAATGATAATAATTTACACACTTTCCTTCGCATGTTTTTCTTTATTTTATCAAAATTGTTTTAATGATGCTATTAAGTTTTTTTAATCCTTTTTCTAAAAGAAAAAGACTCAGCAAAATATGTTGTAACACAAAGTGAGGTAGTCAAAAGAATAATGTCCACCTTTATAAACTAAACGTTAAACGGTTAAGATATTACGTCACATTGTGTTACAATCTCTTATTTCTAATATGATAAGTTACATTTTGCAGTACTTATATTTTTTATTATGCGAGTAGATTAGATCATATCTATACTTCACTTAATTAGTTTAAAATTGTCAATCCACTACAAATTTTATGAAGATTTTCCTTTTTTTTTTGATAAATAACATTCCTTACCTTATTATTTTAAATATTCAGCCAATAATGATTTATCCTTTAATGAATTCATTAATAAATTGACAGTATTTAGATTTTATCTTATAATTTACTATTAATCATTGATTCACCTTTTTTATCATTTGTTACATCGTTTGATAGAAAATTTACTCCGTGTCGTTTGTATACTAAACATTTTCTTTCTTATTAAAAGGTATAATCTATACTTGTTGCACAATTTGCCGTTGTAACTGCTGAACGGTTTTTCTCTTTTCGCATGATTTCAAATTCTCTCCTTTAGGTACTTTCATAGATTGATGATATATTGTATAGATACCAAACACAAATAATTGTTGTTATTGGTTTCTGGTGTTATTGAGCATAATTTTAAGCAAAGAGAAACAAAATTGCATGGTAAAGATTTTGTATTATGTGCACAGACTTTGTTTTGGTGTTTAAAATGTTTATCTTCATCAAAATGATGTTGATGCATGTATATTTACCATTAAAGATAAAAGAAACTATTCGTAAATAATAACAAAAATATGATTATTTATTTATATAATTTTGAACCTGTAATAGAAACACCGAGTTGCAGAGAGTTTTATGTATTCATGTGGCACTATTACTTGATAAATCTTAAATACTCTTATAATTTGTTTGTTATTTAATATCTATACAGGATTGCTTATTGGTGGTGGAAGACAATTAAAAGTTCCAAGTATGTTTTTTTAATAGTGGAATTAGGTTTTAAGGCTAAATTTGATCAATTTTATTCAGGTACAACAGCATTTAAGAGAAAAGGCTCATACAGTGAAAAAACTCTTGGTATTGCTTCGGCTTTAGGCTTCAGGCGATCATGGGCTGAAGGAATGGACTGTATGATATCAAATTATTACTTCTCTTTTCTTTATAGTATATTTAATCAGTCTATTTATGTCAGCTACACCTAGAAAAAGTTCAATAACAGCTGGAATAGAGAATCTCTTTAGAAGAGCAAGTCCATCACCATCACCAACACTTTCAAGAAAGGCAACAGTTCGTGTTTAAATACTTAACTAATTCCTTTCAAATTTAGTTGTTTGAAAACAGTCGGCTAGCGAAAGTAATCTAATGCCTCCTCCTTTGCAAATACCCAACCCTCGGAAAAGGAATAAGTCCGACAAAAGAGGTGGATCTTGACTCTGCAAGAAGAAGATACTTATAAGCTTAAAAAGTGACGTTCAACTTAGAGAGTGAATAATATTGAAAATAATACTTAAAAAAAATTATTTGACAGATTAATGATTGATCATTATGATTTTTTTCTCTTTCTCTTCTATTTAACAACTCTAAAATAATTATTTTGATCGAATATAATTTTTACACCAATTAAATAAGTAACAGATACAACATTCATTCTCGTAAATAGGTCTATTTGACCTGGGAATTATCGGTGATCGCCCTTGTTCGAAATTGTCTTTTATCTGAGGCATTTCTGAAAATCGAATTCTTTTAGCGCTCTGACTAGTTGTATTAGAAGTTCTTGTTCTTATATTTGACGTTGGACCAGATAAATTTGATTCGGTATTTTCTGACGTATAAACTTTGACAAAACCTTGTAAAACTGCATTTTTCTCTTTGGTCTTTTTATTCTCTTTTATCGAATAGTACTCAACCCATCCATCTTCTTCTGGAGCTCCTTCTCGCAATCCACGATATCTTTTAGCTAATTGAAGTTTAAGTATGTCTCCCATTTCAGCAATTAAACTATAGCCAGGATTAGGCATGCGAAATCCATCTTTACGTAAAATTGTATCGTATTCCTCATATTTCGGAAATATGTAGGGCTCTTCAATGCTATTATTGCCCAACGGTTGATATTGATGATTGTGGTCTTTATAAACGTGAATATACCCTATTTCAAAAAGAAAACATTTTTACAAATCAATGCCTTATATAGATTTACCGTGAAATATCCATTCTTTTTCGTTCCTCTCTTCATTGTTCTTTAAAGTATAATAGGTAACCCAACCCTTTTCCTTAGGACATTCTTCATCTGGTCCTAAGTATCGTTCTGCTTTCTTTAATTTCAATAAATCGGCTAATTCATTCGCTAAACTATATCCTGGACTTGGCATACGTAAATTATCTCTTTGTAAGACCCTATGATATTCAGCATACTCCGGATGATAGAATGGGTTTTCAGTGTTATGATAAATATTTAAATCATTTGATAAATTAGTTGAAATGTTAGGTTTTTTTATTAAATTTTGAGGAATGCTACAGTTATCCTTAAATACTTTAATATATCCTTTAAATATCCAATGAGGATTTACTTTATCCATGCTAATTGAGTAATATTCACGCCAACCCTTTTCATAGAAATCAGCAGGAATTGCTTTACAAATATTTATTATATACAGCAATATTAATATAATTAACTGGTACATATTCATAATTAAATGCATATTTATTAAGTACCTACGTTTATCGCGGCTTATAAATCGCCCTAATTTTTGTAAAGCGTTAATATCTTCTTCTTCCTTAAATACGCTGTACGCTGGATTTGGCATACGAAGACCTTCCTTTTTAAGTGTTTCATTATATAATTTATATTCTGGCAGTGGGTAAATTTCCCCATTTTCATCTTTCGTTAATGTTTCCGTTGCCATTTATTAGAAATGTTTTTTTGTTTCTCTTACATTCGATAAATAGTCAAATACATCCTTTTTTTTTGTTTTTTGAATTGTTTTTTCTTGTACTTTTTTAAATAAATTATATAATGTAATATATTACAATTGTTTTCTTTTTTTAAGAAAAAATTGCAATATCTCTACTTTTTTATAAAGTTCTAACAAAGTAGTTTATTTTAACAGCCTTAATATATTTTATTTACTAATTCTCTTGCTTTTTCAAAAGTAAGGACAACTTTTCTGTAGATACTTGTACCAGTCTAAAAAGAAAAAACAGTCGAGGTCAAGGTCAGGACGTTGACCACATGAGCTATCTTTATTGATGTATATGTCGATTACTATTAATTCTTACCTTTAAAAATGCAACAAGAAAGAAATGACAGACCTATAAAAATAACTACTGGGCAGCAAATGGTTGCTAGCTGTTCTGGCGCAATTCTAACTTCGTTATTCGGTAAGATTGTTCTTCATGACGCAATTTCGCCGAAACCCATTTTCGTTCTCTCATGTTTATATCTAAATTATCAATGAAAGTATATTTCATAAAAAATAAAACTTATAATTGCAAAATTAATTCAGAGTTTATCTTTGAAAGTAACTTACTCTCATAGTAATATCGAATATAAAGTGTTTTATCAGACTGCTTGATAATAGTATGGTTCAAAAATTCCAGTTACCCCTTTGGATGTCATAAAAATTCGCCTTCAATCACAAGCAAAGCCATTTAAAACAGGACAATGCTTTCTATACTGCAATGGGTTAATGGATCATCTATGTACTTGCCTAAATTCAACGAGGCCAAGACCTTGGTATCAAACACCGGGAAAGTTTACTGGGACCTTCGTAAGTTTTCAAGTTAACTTAGAAAAAGAGCAAAATTATTTAGAACATTTTTTAGAGTAAGAGTTGTAGGTGTGCTAATTGGAGAATGAGGCAATGCGGATGGTGCTATGTAATAGATCCTGCAATTTTAAAAGAATCCTTTAATTCGAAAAGAATTAGAAAATTTCACGGAACTTTGGTGGGTAGCGAATTTTTATTCTAAATATTGTCTTTAGAAAATAATTAATTCTTTATCATTAAATTTAAAAAAATGATTTATAGAAAAAAAACAGAAATAATAGTAAAAGTCTTTAACTATTGAATTTTCGCTATCCACCGAGAGCAGCCTATTAATTAGGAAAATATTAAATAACTAATAAACAACTATATTGATTTGTACGATAGGTAGATAATATAAATAAAGATATAATCTTGTTTAAAAGCTGTTATTGTAGAATTATTATCACGTCTATGATCTTGATACATGCTAGAATCTTAATTTTACAGTGTTAAGTTGTTCTTTTATTATTAACGAAGTCTGAGACAAGTTATATACTGTGTATATTATTAATATATATAACTTTTATCTTTCTGATCAAGAAGTTTTCACAAATGAAATAAAGTTTAACTTTTATGGTCTTGATAACTGAACCTACCATTGGTATAACTTAAATGATGAAATACAACTATTCTCCAAAAGGCATTCAGGGGAGGTGGTGTATCTTTCCTGTATGCTTATATACTATATATATGCTTTATAGGACTTTGGTATGATTACATGAAAGGGAATTATTAGCATAGGAGCATAATTTAAATACCGTATATTTCTATTTGCAATGTTTTTACATAAGAAATCTTATAATAGTATTTTTGTTATTTCTAGGATGCTTTCGTAAAGATAGCCAGATACGAAGGAATTACAAGGTTATGGAGTGGTCTACCTCCAACATTGTATGTATTGTATTTATATAGAATAGTTTTCTTAACTACAATCAACTGTTTCTTTTACTAGAGCTATGGCTGTACCAGCAACAGTTGTTTATTTCACATGTTATGATCATTTAAAGTATTATATGGGTTACAAAGATGGTGATGCCAGTCGTGCACATATTGCAATAGTTGCTGGGTCAGTCGCAAGAGGTTTGTTTTCTATTTTATACAAATTTTTTATAGATAATTATTAATGTATTCTATTTTTATCAACTAGTCGGTGCAGTTACATTAATAAGTCCACTTGAATTAATAAGAACGAAAATGCAATCAGAACGACTTTCTTATAGAGAATTATCTAAAGCAATTAGATTATCTATAAAAAGTGAAGGAATATCAACAGTCATGAGAGGTTTAGGATCAACTTTATTAAGAGATGTTCCTTTCTCTGGTAAATTATTATGATTAAATTAAATTAGTCCTCTATTTAATGTAATTTAAAATAATCTTCTATTATTACCTAGCTCTTTACTGGTACGGTTATGAGTTATTGAAATCAAAACAAATGAACCTTGCTGGATGCACTCAACCAACCTTCTTACAATCCTTTTACGCCGGTGCAATATCGGGAACGGTAAATTTTCTTATTTAGACTTTTACTTTTTTTATTAGCAAATTCCAAAAAAAAAACAGTTTGCGGCCATAGTCACTCTTCCTTTTGATGTAATAAAAACTCATCAACAAATTGCAGTAGGAGAAGAGCTATCGAAGTTTACCAGTGAGTAATTTATTAAGCTCATTTAATACTTTATAAACAAACCTCCTTACTACCTATCTCTTCTTAAAGGTAAATCAGCAACCTCATCATCGACATTATCGCAAATTAGAAAATTATATATGCAACAGGGAATTAGAGCTTTATTTACAGGCCTAGTACCAAGAGTGGTGAAAATCGCTCCCGCTTGTGCCATTATGATATCGTCATACGAATATGGAAAGGTGTTCTTCGCTAATTATAATAGTCAAATTCAAAAGACAGAGGTCCAAATGAATAAAATAACAGACTAATCGTTAGTTCTTTCACTTGTAAAATTGTAACTTAGTTTCAAATTTGTTGAATTCTTATTATTTTTTCTTATAATATTAAAAAAAAAAACATTGAAATTTAATACAAAAAATATTATTATTCAAGCTATTTTTCAAGCGTGTAAGTGTATTAAACAAATTTTACTATTACTTACACATAATGAACTCATTTCCAGCTAATGTACAGTGTTTGCCTTTGTTTGTAAAAGTTATACAAATATCTCTACTTATAAGGTTTATATTGTGCAAGTTTTTTTTTTTATTATTTTAGTATAATAATTCCTTTCAAGTAGGATATATTTTTCCTTTTTCACAATGTATTGAAACAATGACAACTTGCAATCAACATTAGTATTGTACTGTTTTGAAAGAGAGAAAAATACGGCTTTCTTAAGGATTTTTTTGTCTCCTTTAGGTGTGTAAATCATTTTCCCCATATATTCAGTTTCATAAAATATTAGTATAATCCTTCTTTGAATTATATAAAATTCTTGCGTTTAAACAAACTTACAATTAGATAAATTGCTAAATATTATGAATGCAATAGAATGAATAACAACATGGTAAAATCACGCTCTTCTCTTATTATTGTTGCATTTTAGTGAAGTGAATGTTATATAATACTAATTACGTTAATTATGGACTAAGACAAATTGAATGAGATCTTTATAGTAAATTTCCTGAACGGTCTGTTGAAAATGAAATTTAAAATCTTATCTTTAAAAATTAAAGAACTTTTAAGAACTTTTATTTTACCCAGCTTTAATTTAGTCTTGATTATTTAAAAGTAAAAAATACTAGCTCGCTACTATCGTAATAGCTTGCCGCGAATGCGTATCCATTTGGGCTTAGGAAAGCTCCTCCTTGGAGTTGCGCATCTTTTATGTGTTCCGAAAATTCTAGTTTGATATCTAAGTCGGATTTAGATCTAGCTACTTTCCAAACTCTAACAGTTGAATCTTCTGAAGTACTGAGGATCAAGCCGGATGAGGGAGCGATGCTTAAACTTGTTATGCAACGAGCATGTGCGTCAATATGGGCTAAGGTACAACACGTTTGAAAGGAGAGAAAGCGTATGCATCCCGAAGTCGTTGAGCAAGCTATTAAGTCGTTGGGGCACAAAACTAATGAGGTGACGCAATCACTCGGATTTATACCAACAGTTCCGACGAGCAGCTAGAAGAAGGAAGAGAAATAATTGTTTATTGGCGAAAAAGTCTATTTTACCTTCTCAAAGGGTTGACCAGCTCTCCATGTAGATATTTGTCCTCTCTCGTCCACAACGGCAAGGATATCTCCAATTCCATCAAGAGCCGATATCGGAAAAGAATGGTTTCTAAGAGTTTCCACCAACTGAATGTTATTACCTTTTCCTGGAATGCTTAAAACCATTACATGTCCTTCATACGTTCCAATTGTAATAACATTATTTAATAAAACAGCTATTCCTTTGGCTAGAGTGCATGTACAAGCTGGTTCAGGTTCTGGGAGAGTATGCGCGTATATTGGTAGAAGACCTTCCAACTCGTACATATGGATTCCCTTTTGAGAAGTTACAACTAAGATTTGTCTTCCAGCTACCTGTTGCGCCATTTTATAAAAGTTAAAAAAGTGTTCTCTCAAGAAATAATCAATTAAACAGTATCGTCAAATGTAAAAGATACTGACTGTTACAATTTTAGCTTGAATAATGATACACGATGCTGTCGATGATTGTTCTTTGCAAACAACTTGCCTGGCTGCAATATTCCTACCGTCTACAGAAGACGTTGTAATATTTACAACGCTTTTATGAACAACGGCATAAGTAATACGATCTTTATCAGGCTGAACATTAACACTTAAATTATTACACACAGCTGATGCTGATCCTTTAATATTTAACGACTTTTCTCTCTTATACATTTTATTCCTTTCGCTAAATTTCCTGAAACGGCGTCCAGCGTTGTCAAGGTCGCAAAAGGGTGTTTTTAGCGACACCTATGTTCAAATATGCTTACCCCTTCTTAAAGAAAAATAGTTTCCTAGTTATAATGAATTAACTTTATCAATTAAATAAAGAATACATAAATAAATTAATATAATAAAACATCTATACATAGAGATAAAAGGAATAATAATAGACATGATAAAATAAATCATCATTGATTGCCTTTATTAATAATATAAACAAAACTACTAATCAAAGTTATTGAAAGCTGATATTATAATATATTGGACTTGGTTAAATTGATCCAAGGTCCCCACACTCCACCATTATTACTTGGCAAACCTTTTGGATCCACTTGAGTATTTAGTGGCCAAATCATTTTTCTTTTGTATTCATTCAATCTGTTTTGTAGTTGCTCAACAATTTTTGGATAAGTTGACGCAATATTTTTATATTCGCAAGGATCTTCTGTTACATTGAAAAGACACGGATGTTTTCCAGGAAAGCAATTACGCTTTTCCGGCGGTGGTCCGCACTTTATTTTTACTGGTTTCCTATATTTTAAGCTTTTCCCTAAATTATTCAATATTTCGGTTGTATAATCAATTTGATTAGCCTCTTGTAAACTTTTTACTGTTGCTTCTTTATTAAACTTTGGAGTTTTATACCAGCCATCCCATTGACCACTATCGTATTCGCCTGATATAACTTTCATATCTCTCATTCTAAATGCAGATGTTTTTTGAATTGGATCAATATTTAATAACACTTCCGTTCTTCCTCCTTGATCTACGCCGTTTAAAACATCCAATTGGTCAAAACCGTCCAAGTCCTTTGGTAACTATTTATTAAATGTCATTATTATACATTACAAACTAATAAGTTTCAGTGAAATGAAAAGTAACACCTACTTTAAACATATCGTAACCAGCAACTCTTAGAACAGTTGGTAAAATATCAGATACGTGCATTAAATCATTATTTACATAGCCAGATTTCTTAAGTAGTTTTGACCAAACAAATCCTGTTCCTCTAACTCCTCCTTCCCATAAAGTTGCCTTAACCCCTCGAAGAGGCTCATTTGAGGCCATGTTCATATCAAAACCATTTGCTGGTCCACCATTATCCGTTGAAAATACAATAAAAGTATTTTCAAGCATATTTTGCTTCTTTAACGATTCAATTAATCTACCAACCGATTCATCTAAAGCTGCAGCCGCTCCAGCAAATTTTCTCCTCTGAGGATTAGTAATATGCTCAAATTTATCCAAAAACCTTGGAGGAGGTTGAATTGTATTTAGATTATTGGCGCTATGAACAGCTTGATGAGCGAAATATAGGAATAGAGGCTGTAATAAATATTAAGAAAACAGTATACAAATTAACGTTTGTTAAATATATTACTAAGAAGAAGAAGAAGAAGAAGAAGATAAAATCAACTTACTCTTTCTTTATCATGCTTTTCTATAATATCTATTGCTCTATTAGTAAAGATGTCTGTCGAATAGTTTCCCCACAATTCCTTTGCTACTCTTTCGTTATCTCTAAAATCAAAACCCCAGTCACCATTCTTAAAGTAAAATTGGCAAATTTACGTATAAATATGGTATTCAAATTATCAATTTTTAATATTTACGCTAGTAGGACCTCCCGCAGTATGTGTGTGTTCATAGTAGTCCTCCATACCCATGTAGTAACCATAATGAGACTTAAAGCCACGTTTTAGAGGTGTATAATCTTTGGCATAGTGCCCAAGATGCCACTAAAATGATAATAATATTAATTTCTTTAGTAATTTATTCTTTGATTGCTTAAATGATACCTTTCCAACAATATGCGATTCATATCCAATAGTATTTAAATATTCTGGCAAGATAGTATTGTTAAGTGGTAAACCGTAAGGTTGTGCACTATATATAACGCTATGCTGCATACCTAAGAAAAGTTTGATTTTGCATCTGTTTGAATCTAATATTCGTTAAAAATTATAAATAGAATTTACCAGTGTGAATTGGATATCTTCCACTCATCAAACATGATCTGGTAGGTGTGCAAATTGGTTGAACGTAATAATTATTTAAAATTATTCCATCGTAGGCTAATGCATCTAAGTTCGGAGTTGGAATATCATGAGACCCATGAAATCCTACATCATTCCAACCCTTAAAAATGAAGCTATTAATGAACATAGAGTTTAAAAGCAAATTTTCCTACCAAGTCATCAGCTAATATAAGAACAATATTTGGTCTTGAGCAATAGGTTATAGAAATGTATAGAAGTTTTAATAAAACTATGCTAAAAAGCAGTCTCATTATTCACGTTTTTTTGAATATTAGTTACACTAAAATTCCAATCTGTTCAGATGTCGATATCTTTCCGCCTATAAACAAGAATGTCACATGATAATCACATGATCATATTTTGATGAAAAGAAAGATATTAAAGCAAATACAATACAAAGTAATTTTTAATTGATCATACGTTTCCTTTCAAAAAATTTAACTTTTGAACGTATTTGCTTTAAAAATAAACTCTTTTATCGGTTTTTTATTATTTTTCTTGCTACATAATATTTTTTGACGGAAGTATATAGCGACACCTGTTTGGGCTATTAAATTTATGCTCCCGTTTCCAGTCAGAAATTGTTGACTTGAAAAGCCGATAAGTTGAAAAGAAGCTTGAGAGAAGAGTAAGAAAAGCAGTAATGGACAAACCCGATGAAAATACAGAAGGAGGAGCAGTCTATATAGACAAGTTCAATTATGATAAACAATTGCAAGCTATTATCAAAAAGGTTCCAAATGTGTATAATGACCAAACTCAATCCGAACTAGCCGTGGAGTGGTTTCGTTGTAAGTTCTTAAAAAAGAGTTGATATTCTCGACAGCCAATATATAATTCTGCATTGAAACTGTGAAAGAGAAAAATTTGGCTCTTAAAAATTCCAGAATCTTGCGCAATTTTATAATATTATTTAGTAACCGATGAGTAAATCATATCTCTAGCGTTCAAAAGTTAATTAAAACTACATTCATTCAAATGTAAATTATTCAGATATCATTGGCTTGTTTCAAGAGCAACCGACTTTACTTGATAAATTTTTGGAAAATATTGTTAGACCTCTCCTTGACATGGTCGTAGATCCAAAAATACCTGAAGAGCAATTTCATCTTGCCTGCAAACTATTATATTTTACAGTTAAAGTTTGTACATTACTCTTCATATTCGAAAGTTATTTCAATATACTTTACATTTAGACAAGAGGATTCAAAACCTTCCTCAAACTGTTTCCTCATGAAGTAGATGATGTTGAAACAGTGTTGAACTTGTTAAAGAGACACGATAAAGAGCTCGTTAAGGTAAAAACTACGCATTATAATCTATTTTCCTCTCCAACTCACAAATTATCTTCACAATACTTACCAAATCTAGAATTGGACGACTGCTTATATTTTACTCCTTTGGATGTCTGTATTGTGCATGATACCATTTGATCTAAGTAGATTTGACGGTTCAGACAAGACCAAGAAGTCAGTAGTTGATCAAATTATTGACATTGGAAAAGTAAGAAATTATCTTAAATACCTGTGAAATTCTAGAAATGATGATAAGCGTGTATTAAATGAGAAATTCTCTTTTCTAGGAATATGTTTTAGTTATTGATAAGTCTAGAGATGGAGCTGCATGGATGTTGTCTCATTTTTTTACTCGTCATGATGTTATTAAAACTAAACTTCCCCCGTTTATCGATTGGTGCGTTGATAAATTAGAAGTTAATTGTGGTAAGTATTTATCATAATTGTAAATATACTATTTACAAATAATAATTAAATACAGAATGCACTTTTGCAAATACGAAAGTTCGATTAGGCATTTTACCAACTTTAGCCAGCCTTTGTAAGCTTGGAAAAAGAGAAGATTTGTTTGATTTAGGTTCAATTTTTGTTATTGAAACTTCTTTTCTTAATTCTATCTTTTGAATATCAGCTCCAAGATTACTCCAAATTATACTCAGTTTGAATTTACAAGGCAGTAATACAGCTGTTTTGAGAAAATCGGCAACAAAACTTATTCAAAGATTAGGTTTAATATTTCTACCAGTTGTTATTGCATCTTGGAGGTTAATATTATTTTTAAAAAAGTCTTCGTTGAACAATATTTGATTTTTGAAAAATAATCCAATGCAGATATAAGAGAGGTCTAAGATCGATAACTGATAATTTAGAAGCAAAGAAAAATACAAGTCAACAATCTATGACAATTGATTCTAAACAAGAAGAAACAACAGAAATGGAAGATGAAATTTCAGAAATTCCAGATGAGGTAGAGGAGATAATTGGTTATCTTTTGAACAGTTTAAGGGATCCTGAAACAATCGTTCGATGGTCTGCGGCAAAAGGGTAAAAATATTTAATACTTTTAATTGTTTTAACGTTAATTATGATTATTATTGTATGTAACAGTATTGGGAGGATAACAATGAGATTATCCAAGAGTATGGCAGATGACGTCCTGGAAAATATTCTTGAATTATTTAAGGATTCAGAACCAGACTCATCTTGGCACGGAGGTAAAACTTTACCTTTTATCTTTGTTAATTTGTTTATACATTTATATCCCCAAATAATTAGGCTGTCTTGCATTGGCTGAATTGGGAAGACGTGGTCTCCTCCTACCTTCAAGACTTTCCGAAGGTTTATTTAATAGAATAAATTGAATTGAAGATCAATAGCTAAATGTATAATTTTGCAGTAATACCACTTTTATCAAAGGCTTTAACATATGATGTAAAGAAAGGAAACTTTTCCGTTGGAAATCATGTCAGAGATGCTGCATGTTACGTTGCTTGGTCGTTCGCTAGAGCCTACAATGCTGTCGAAATGAAAGATTACGTCCATACTCTAGCAAAGTTTGTATATCATTACTTTATCTGACGAAGGATTTACAGCAAAAACTATTTTCCCAATAGTGATCTAATTCTAGTCAGTATTTTCGATCGAGAAGTAAATGTGAGAAGAGCAGCTGCAGCTGCTTTTCAAGAACACGTTGGACGGCAGGTTGAATAAATTAATGAATATTATTTATATATACTTATCATTGTTTATGATTATAATAGGGTCAATTTCCTCATGGTATAGACATCGTTACAACATGCGATTATTTTGCTGTTGGTATACGACATAAATCCTATTGTGAACTTGGGTTAGTTTCCTCTATAACAAATTCGTTTGTAATTTGTTAACACTATCTTTCTATAATAATTTAGACCTTACGTTGCTCAGTGGGAGGATTATTATAAAAATATTGTTACCCATCTCGTAGCAAAGAAGATGGAACATTGGGATATGTTCGTTACATACTCAATTCTATACCTTAATTTGTAATACTAAATTTTGATGGTATTTTTTTCAGAGAAATAAGAAAGTTAACGTCCAATTGTCTGGCTAAACTGGTTGGCAAAGATGTTGAATATGCAGTTGATGTCTTATTGCCACGGATATTTGCTGAATGTAAACATATTGATATTAACAATAGACATGGGGGTCTTTTATCATTAGGGACTGTTACTCTTGCTCTGTCAGAATCCGAAAATTTAAAAAACAAGTAAAATCATAACTAGATATGAAATAAAATTTACAAGTTTACTTTTATTATATAACTATTTTTAGAACATTAGCAGAAGTTTTACGTGAAAAATTCATAGAAGAAATCGGAGAATTGCCAGAATACGTAATGGAAACAAAAAATTTCTAATAATTCTCTTCTTTTTCATTCATTCAAATATTTTCAACAGTTAGCAGACTCGCAATTATTCAAAGGCCACGGAGGAGAACTAATGCTTAAAGCTATGTCTTACTGTATATCTTGTTTATCTAAAGCAAAATTTCCGTTGAAACCGGAAAGTCAAGGTTTTGAATATAGCAATTACATTATCTGCTGTAAAATATAAATTTTTTATTATTTCACAGAGAAGTGGTTGAAGTTTCTAAATGAATGCTTAAGCGTTCCAAAACCTGAAGATATTCGAGTAAATATTCTTAGCTAATTTTATATGTAAATATTTCTACATCATATCTTATTTTCAAATAGACGGAAGCGGCAGAAGCTCTAACCAGCTTTTTATCACAATATTATTCTGGAAATATTAAAAAGGAGAATGAAATCATTAATAATTACATAAATATATCGACAAATACCAACATTGAAACAACAAGGTAAATTAATATAAACACCTGTTGAAAGTTTTTATTTATTTACTTTATATTTTAATATTTTCAGACAAGGATATTCTCTGGCCATTGGCGCGCTTCCAATTGCATTTTTGAAAGGTCATTTTCAAGAAATAATCGAAGTTCTCATCGGTTTTATGAAGCCGTGCGCAATTGATAAAAAATGGTCAGAAGCAAGAAGAGATGCTATTAGTGCCATTAATAGGTTAGAATATAACCTTTGCTTTACCATTATAAAAGGCAAATAATTACGATTACAAAAAAACTTGTAGTATTGTCTTAAAATGCGGATGCAAAAAAGGCGGAAATCCAGCAGATGAAGTTTGTGATGATAATGTACAATATATCTACGAAAGTCTCTTTACAGTTATGAATGATTATGTCATAGACGGTCGAGGTGACATTGGTGCTTGGTTTGTATTTAATTATTTTTTAATAGAAGACAAATACTTTCAATATTATAAAATTATTCAAAATTAGGGCAAGAGAATCTGCTATCCACGCTCTGAAAACCTTAACAATATTACTGCAAGAGAAAGAACCAAGTCTGCTGAAACCAGAAATGTATGCATAGTAAATATGACAATAAAACACAATAAATATATGTGTGTGTATTTCTAGGATAAATCGAGCAATTTCGCTAGTAGCTCAACAGGCATGTGAAAAGATTGATAGAACAAGAGGAGTTGCTGGAGAAGTATTTATCGAGTTACTATATTTCGAGTAAGACAAATAAATGCTTTTCTGCTTTATAACTAATATTAAATTTTTATGTAAATTGACTATCTAGAAGTCCTGAAATTAAAAACATCAGTAAAAAAGAAGAAATATGCGAGATTTTCAACAAGTGAGTAGGGTTCTTTATTAAAATTGAATAAGAATAAGACCTTTTGATTTAATCCTCTCTTAAAACACTTTTAGAAATACATATTATAGTCCGTACTTCAATTGGACGGCTCCTGGAGAAACGTTCCCAGTTTTCACAAAACTATTAGACTTGGATGAATTTCGCTATCGTATTATGCTAGGCCTATGCGTAAGCGTTGGAGGATTGACCGAGTCCCTAGTATCATCATCCTCTCTGGCACTTTTAAATTATATGCAATTTATTATCAACAATGAAGAAAAGGTGATGAAGATATGTGAAGTCATCTTAGAAATCTTTAAAGATTATAGCAAAGAGGCCAGAGTTATTATACCACTTATGAAAACTGTAAATACGCTTTTATCCAACAACTGCTTTTGTAATATGAAAGATGAGAATCGTTTAAAATTTGGTAGAGACATTATAGGAGTTTTAAAAAGCGAAATTAAGGGCGTTGGCGACCCTCAAAAACTACTAGCTTCAATAGATTTGTTTGTATTTACTTACAATTCCGATTTATTAGTAAGGTATTAAATTTTACTTTTTTGCGTTAAATTTTCTAGATTTTGTTCATTATTAACTATTGGAGAAGAACTTTTTAAGAATTGCTTAACTCAATTGTGCATTTTCTTAGGACACAAATATCCTTTGGTAAGAAAATATGTTTTATACTTAACGTTTAATACGTAGAAACTAAATGATTATTTATCTACGATGCTTTGCATTCATTAAAAAGGAAAACTTTTTTTTTATAGATAAGAAAGACAACCAGCAGTAAACTCTATGAAATAATGCTTATTGTTGAATTGCCTAATGAAGAACGTGTCATGCAAATTTTAAGTGAAACAATATGGTAAATTATACGTATTAATGCGTAATTCTATTATTTAACGTCTTTCTTGATTCTATACTATAGCCACTATGTACAGTTTTAAAATAAATCCATCTTACTTTTATAGGGATGAACCTTTGGACACGATAAGGCCAATTAGAGACAAAGTATGCGACCTCTTGTCTGTTCCTAAACCCATCAGCAAAGTTTGTACTTTCAATAAAAACTTTTTAAAATTTATATTAAATTTCTTTCAGAAAAAATAAAGAAGTATCATACTGCGTATAAAATACAATCGACTCTTTATACATGAGCTTTATTTTCCTCTCTTTTATCTCGTCTAAATACAGATTTCATAAAAGTACATAATAAAACTAAACTAGTCTTTTTCATTACCATACTCAAGGCTTTTACAACGCGAACGTATGATCACAATAATTTTAAATTATCCGCCATATTAAATTGATTTTTCAGTAACCGGTAAGTTTAATATACTAACCGGTTTTCAATGGACAAATAAAAAACTACAAGCGCACACATATTGTTTGGTCACGGTGAGGCTAAGAGGACTGCTTCGAGATCTCTTTTTACAACCTCAAATTATAGAAGATTCAAGATTTAACTATTATTTGGAATTTTTAATTATCACTGTTCCAGAACAGAACACTTTATCGCTCAAATGGCTGACCAAAAGAACAAAAAAGAATCCAAGAGGAGCAAAGACAATATACAGTCTGATTACGAGTTGGCAAAGAAAATTGAGGCAAGTAATAACTATCTAATTCACTGAATATTATGAAAGTTTGTATAGGTTTTAAGCACTTGACTCATCTTTAGTAGGCTTAATTTCCAAATTTTTTATTCTCAAAGCATGAAAATTACCAGGAATATCTCTCTATATTATTTTATATATAGGAGGACGAAAGAAGAATGATATGCGACCTCAGCTTAGCTCAGCAACTACATGATGAATTGAACAATAGTCCAGAAATTATCTGTGTTCACGACGACAGGAATGCTAGGAATATATATGGGCCAAATCTTTTACAAGTCTCTCAGGACGATACTGATTCCTCAGATGATATAGAAGAGATTGGTGCCTTTGGACCATCTGTATCCAATGATGTTCGAAACGACGACGCGCTGGTGGCTAGGAGAATACAGGTAAATATGGACTAAAAAAAGCAAGAAAGACTACACTGCGCAATCTATAATTTTTTTTTGACTACACATCAGACCGAGATCGACGAGGAAAGTGCTCAATTGCTACAGGCTCAAACCTACTCACAGAATTCACTAGATAGTAGTCAGGAAGTCGATAATGGAGCCGGTCCAAGCGAAGAAGGAGAAGAAGACGATAGAGTAAGAATATCGACTGTGAGAGTGCGTATATTTGTAATACTTTTTTAATTATGAGATTAAATCATTTAAAATCTGGCACTCTTTCGTAATAGAATATTCAAGGACATAGATATCCAGGGGTTAGACGGGGTAGTAGAAGCATCCTTACAGGTATGTTTTTAGAATAAACAGTTTTATTTCCTATTCATCACAATAATTGCTAGCAGTTGCGCCTTATAACGTAAACCGAAACAACGGATTAAACAGTTTCCAGTTTGCTATGGTTAATCCGCCACCTGAAGAAGTAATTATTTTTAATGTATGTTGCTTTAGTCCTAACATTCTACTTTTTCCATATTAATTTACCAGGAGAGTATACAAATAAATATCTATACCATTATTTAATTTACAGAGAACCTCATCAGTTCCTGGAAATTTACAAAGGTATGGTGTTATGATAAATCAAGGAGATTTCTCAGAAAATGACTACGAGGTAAAATTCTGTACCTTATTAATATCTACTTTATCTAAGATTCTTTCCAGAGTCTGTGGGAGTTAGCTGAACGTGTTGGAGATGTTAAAAGTCGAGGTCTTAATAAGGAAGCTCTCGATGCTCTTCCTACATCATCTTTCACTGAAAAAAGTACGCATTGCATTTAATTTGTTATATTAAAGCCATTATTGTTATTTTTTTAGAAAAAGAAACAGATACAGAATCACAAAAAGAAGAGAGTCAATCGGCATCATGCGTCATTTGCCTAGAAAAGTACAAAACTGGTCATAAATTAAAAACATTACCATGCCTGCACAAGTATCATAATAAGTGTATAGATGAATGGCTTAAGGTTTGTTTAATTGAATAAACTTAACTCCTTAATTCAAATTAATATTCTGCTCTCTGCAGCGTTTTGCCAAATGTCCTGTATGCCAACATGAAGTAAAGATCTAGATTTGTCAAAGATTAACAATCTTACGTTTATGGTGTATCAGTTATATGCTGCACCCTATACATACTTTTATCTCAAACTACTATTGAAGGAAGGATTTAGATGCTTGATTTTGATTTGATCAAATTTACTGTTATCTTTTTTTGTCATTTGTATGCTCAAAAGTTTGTTTGTATTTCTTTCTCTTTAAAAACATAATGGAGCACAAAACTCTGTTTTAATATCTATTGGCCGATAATACTTACATAATGGCAATAATTTATGTTACCTCATAAAAAAGGAAATATATACCATATTCTGTTCAGAATTATTCGTTTGTTTCTTCAAATTAATAGTAGAATATTTAGAGAGAAATATACTTCCCGGATGTGACGTCACAATTTCTCTTGCTTCTGCGAAGACTTTATATTGCGAAATCAACCGAAATATCATCAACGTGTCACTTTTTTACCATTATTTAGAGAACCTTTATAAGATACTTTGCAACAGTCGTAGCTGCAAAGAGAGATGGAAAAATTTGAAGAAATAAGCCAAACAGAGGCCCTTTCGAAGTACAAACATTACAAACATGCTGCACATGCTATGCTTGCAGCTGACGACCCAGGCACAACCTTTGGTTGTAAAAGAAACGCTGTTATAATGATGCAAATGAGATTTGACGGTTGTATAGGATTTGTTGGTGGTTTGTATCACTTTTAGTTTCGTACACCAATGCAGTTTGTGAGTGAAGTGTTGAAACTTTTCATCAGGTCTAATTGATCCCGAAGATGATAATCCAGTTGATGGTTTGAATAGAGAGTGTGTAGAAGAAATAGCGTTAGATTTAGATAAAGTGAAGTTTGAAAAAGAGAATTTTTTACTATGTCACATTGTTCACGATTATAAATTGGTTCTTCACTTTTATGGAAAGAAAATACCATTAAAACTCTTTTACGAAATTGAGAAGAGAGCCGTTCTCGAAGCTGAAGAATGGGGCAACGAGGTAAGAAACTGCTTAATAAACTTCTTTTATTCATAATACTTGTAACTATTTATACTTTTTAGACGCTTGGCTTAATAAGAGTACCTCTTAGTCTTTTTGAACAAGGAGATATTAACAAGAGATTTAAAGCTTTTCTAAAACACAACTTTGCTGGAAATGCAAAACGCCAATTGCTTACCGGGATGAAAATGATTAATGTTGTTCCTGAAGACGTATATAACAAGCTTTTACAAGGCGTTGATATATAAATATTATAACATTTATTCTTTGCTCATGGCTTAATGTTGTCATATAAAAATAAAGTTTTGTACAAGTTACGGAAGTTTGTTTGTAAAGTTCATTCTTTTTCTTTATACTTAATAAGATTTCCATGGCCTGAGTTTTTATTTAAATAATATGATTTCTCGGTCATTTCTCATAAAGTAAGGTCAATGATGGCGACCTTCAAACACATTTTACGCAGATCAAGCTATTATGTAGGAAATTCTCAGGTTCGTTTAAAAAAAGTTGCAAAACTTGGTTTTAATTTCATTTTTAATTGAGTACTTTTGTTGACTAAATAAAATTGTCTCCAAGTTTTGAAATATCGTTACTTTAGTCAAATTTTTGTTTGGTTCTTTTAATTCGTGTCACGTTATTGCGTGAGATTTTTTTTTATAGTTGAGATAATGATTATATTTTTTCTAGATGAGATGATTAAAGTTTAGGTGATTTAAATATAAACAGTTCATTACAATTAAATCGGCTATGAGTATGCCTATCACTCTATTCATTAGTTAACAATAATCTATGTTGCAGTATAGAACATATTCTAATAAAGGATTTATAGGACAACTTGTCGAAAATATTAAAAATGACTTTTCAAAAAGCAAGGAAATGAAGGTTCGGTTAATATTTTATCATTAATAGATTAATAAATAATATGAATATAACTGTTTTAAGGAAAATCTTAAAAAGTTCCGGGAAGAAGCTGAAAGACTAGAGCAATCTGATGCTTTGAAAAGAGCTAGAGAAAAATATGTAAGTGAACTCTTATTAATAATTATCTGGCCTCTAAATATCGTGCTAAATTTTTAACAGGAAGCCATTGAGAGTGAAACATCAAAAGGATCCGAGATACTAAAAGAGAAGTTAGAATTTTTAAAAGATAAGGCGAAAAAGGTTAGTTTCTTCTTAGAAATACCTCAAAGATATAGGATAATTTATATTCGTACAGACCATTGAAGATATTGAAAGAACTGATGCAGTTAGAAAAAGTTTTAAGTTAAGTAAAGGCGTTGCAAGTACAGCTTCGAAACTGGGACATAGTGTAGCCAAAGGAGGTGAACAACTAGGGCAAACAACCTTATTTAAAAGTGTTTCAGAGGTAAAGTCTAGACTACATTTTACAAAAACAGTTTATTAATTACACACCATTCCCATAAGTTTTACAAAAAAAAAAATATTTATTTTATAGTAAATAGAATCCATATGCTTATCAGGTTAAATAAGTACTATCATTAACAAAACTTATATGGTAGGAGGTGGAAGAGGCGGCTCCACTATTTCTTTATTGCTCCGAAAAACTTCGAATAATCCAGCTCTATTGGGTCTCGTCCAAAATAAAATAAAAACAAGGATTGTCCATAAAATAATCAGGACAGCTGAATTAGTATCAGTCGAAGTGAACGGTAATGAATCATTACTATTGAAACATCTTGCACTATTGCAATTTGATTGAGAATCTCGTAGTAGTGTTATTAAACGATTCATTAATCTCGCAACTGAATTGGTATAAGTACATAAATCCATATTATAATCAGAGTTCATACTTATTTATAGATTATTTTTATTATTATCTGGATTTTTAAATTTATTTTTATGACAAATATTCTCTTTTTAATTTCAGAGTGTTAAAGTTGTTAAAGACGAGTTAAATGACGCAACTTTAGATAGAGGTAGATTATATAGCGTACCAAAATCATTAAGAATGAGATCAGATGAAAATTTCAATTCAACAAGAAAAGTTATTGATGTTAACGAGTAAAGTTTTTATAATTATTCTTTCATCCTTTAAATAAATGATTAGATTTTTGCTTTAGAGATGCAACTGGTATTGTAATGCATAGAGATTCGAAATTCTTTCAATCGTGGCAAAATTTTAAAGACAATAACCAATTTGTGACAAGTAATATTATCTTTATAATTAATTCTATTAATATATTTAACTTGCTAATCGTTTCGTATAGAAATGTTCGATATTAAAACGAAATATGATGAAAGTGACAACGTTTTCGTAAGAGCAACTAGATCCATTACAGACAAAATGTCGGATTTATTTGGTATATATATATATTTATTTATGTCTTCCTACTAATTTTAACTTATATGAAATTATTAATGTTCTGTTTAGGTAATGTATTCTCCAAAACTGAGATGTCTGAAGTTTTAACCGAAATCACTAAAATGGATCCGAATTTTGATCAAATTCAATTTTTAAGAGACTGCGAAAGAGATATAATTCCAAATGTTTTGGAAGCTATTGTTAGAGGAGATTTAAAAGTTCTAGAAGATTGGTGTCACGAAGGAGTTTTCAATACAATTGCTCATCCACTGAAAGAAGCTAAAAAGAAGGGTTACACTATGGATAACAAAGTATTGGACATCGGACAAGTTGACGTAGGTTTACTATTATTATTAATACTATTAGTAATTACCTAATATATTAAAAAAATAACAGATAGCTGCTGGTAAGATGATGGAACAAGGCCCCGTTTTAGTTGTTACATTCTACGCTCAACAGATACTTACTGTAAGAGATGCAAAGGGATTTGTTGTTGAAGGAGATGCGGTAAGATATTTTTAACTAGTATGATTAAACTATTCCAAAAACTGAATTTATAATTAAATCTTTAATTAACAGGATAAAGTTATGAGAGTTATGCACGTTTGGGCTTTATGTAGAGATCAAGCCATACTTGATCCAAAGGCTGCTTGGAGAGTTATTGATTTATCAATCATGCCTCAGGAACAATGGCTATAGGAGATTCTTAGGAAAAAATATAAAACCTATTTTGTTCGTTACGTCAAACAAAAGCAAATTTTTTTTTGTTTTTAAAAATCTAAAATATTATTTAACAATAAATACAAAAAGACCTCAATCACTATCTCTTGTTCAAGTTATGTATTTTGATTACAATGAATATAAGGCCTATGTAATATTATATCTTTTTTTTAAAACAAGTTCGCCTGTTGCACATCTGGCGATAATTCAGTGTAACAGTTTAATTTAAAATAGAACATCTTCTTTTCTTATCTTATTTTGAAATTGACCTATTACCAATAAAGTAGGTTTCAACTATGACCACTCTTTAAATAGTAAAGATGTTTAAAAGCGAATTTTTTCCTTATTTTGCACTTATTAAGCTTTAACAGTTATATCATTTGCTAAAAAATTTATATAAAAATTTTTGGTAACGATTGTCATGCAAATATTTTTGAGGATTGACCAAAAATTTCTTGAAATACCTGCAGAATTTACTCATTTTTGCCGACAAAATAGCAGACGACACCAGTAACATATATATCCGCCATTTGTCTGCTCTAAGTCACTCAAATTGCTGGACACGCGAAACTTTTCGACAAATTTTGCGTGAACCCAATACCTTTTTCGATAATTCTCTTCAATCAAAACTCTAGGAAAATAATCGAAAATGGCTGGAGCTGCGGTTAAGCGTTTAATGGCTGAATATAAGCGTAAGTTGCCAAATAAATTTGTGATAAGGTTTACAACTTCGCACGGTTCTTTAAAATCATAATATTTGCCGTTACACAGAATTAACGTTGAATCCGCCAGAAGGAATTGTGGCTGGTCCTCAAGATGAAGAAAATTACTTTGAATGGGAAGCTCTGATAATGTAAGTATATATCTTTCATACACTCAGCTGTATTGGTTAAAACGAAACCTTTCTTTTTGGCAGGGGACCGGAAGGCACCTGTTTTGAAGGAGGAGTGTTTCCGGCCAAACTTACCTTTCCTAACGACTATCCACTTTCACCCCCACAAATGCGATTTACCTGCGACCTATTCCATCCAAACAGTAATTTCCCTCTTTGAAAAATTATAGCACAGCAGTACTTTTTCTCAACCAAAAATTCAAATCTTTTCTGTCACATGTTTAAATTGTAAATTGGGAACCTTTGAAATTCGTAGCTTTTAGCTGTGGTAAAATCTAAGAGTTCATTGACTTTTAGGTTTCTATTGTAACTAATCGAATTTTTTTTTTTAAATTGTTCAAGTTAACCTTTAGGAAAAAAATCTGATTATTTTTTAGATTTACTCTATTTATCGCTCATGTCAATTACAGTTTATCCCGACGGACGTGTTTGTATATCGATTCTGCATGCTCCCGGTGACGATCCTCTTGGGTACGAATCATCAGCTGAAAGATGGAGTCCCGTACAAAGTGTTGAAAAGATTCTATTATCCGTTGTCAGTATGTTGGCAGGTTGGTTCAGATTGTCTCTTTAATCTTACTTTTAATGAAACTATTTGTAATTTAAGAACCAAATGATGAAAGTGCAGCAAATGTAGATGCTGCTAAATGTTGGAGGGACGATAGAAAGTTATTTGAAGAGAGAGCTAAGAAAAGTGTTCGCAAATCCCTGAATTTATGAGCTGAAGATTTGAACTAACTTATTTGTAATCCTTGTCATGATGTCATCATTCTCATAGGAATAAAGATCATTTTAACTTCAATTTTAATTTTATTTTGTAATAATTGATAAGTAACTTGTAAATTTTATCCATTTCCTACCTTCTCTGTTTTTACCTTCTTCAATTTTACATGAGTTATTTCGAAAGATTACTTTAATTTTATTCTTCTTCTAACATACGATTTTTGCAAGTTTGCTAATTTGGATAAATCCAAATGGGTTGTGTCAACTGAAATTACTCAAAAAAACAAGGACGAGCCTATGACATTCTTGTTTATTGTACTTTTAGAAATAGCTGATATTGCTTTATTTCAAGAAATAGTGCAAATTTGGACAACAAATTAAGACTAGACTGTATCTTAAACGGAACATCAACAAATCTATATCAATAACACATACATATACAACGGCAACACTATATTGTCTATTTGAGCCGTAAATGCCTCAAGAAACGATGTCATAACAATAGCCGTGAATAGTCGAAAAACTGAAATTTGTTGCATGATTCCTAAAAAAAGCATCAAGGTCATAAATAACTTAACAGAACGAAGGCAATAAACGTTTACCTGTCAGTTTAAGTATCATGATAGCGATAATTTGAAAGAGTATTGCTGCAGTAGTTCCTTCCAAAGACTTATTTGACCCTGGCCATTTTCTTACACCATATTTAGAACCAACCACAGCAGCAGCCGTATCGCCAATACCAAGAGAAAGAACCCCGCTTAGGACAGCTGGTGGAATCTCTATATAGATAAATTTAGACAAGTTTAATTAAAGCGTTGCTGCGTTATTGGATAAATTTTTTTTACTCTCAAAGCTGCTTCCATACAACCAAAGAGGACAAGTAAAACCAACAAGTAAATAAATATGAGTTAATATAATGTTTCCTTGATCTTTCTCGTCAATAAATATTTCTAAGTATTCTCGTAACCAAGACCCAAAAGGTTGAATTTTCAACGATCTTACAGACTGAAATAAAAAACAATTTATTTGCAAAATTAATTACTTTATAAATATTCAACAAACTTCTATTATCAAAAATCCGATAAGGGCGCAGTTTGCGGCAAGAACTAAAAATTCAGGATCAATCCATATTGCTGGCAAATAGATGGCAATCGCAATCAAATGAAATATTTTCCTAATTCTAGTTGATATTTTTGCTCTATAGTTGGGGTTATAAGAATTTTTCTTCTCCAATCCATAAAAACCCTGCTGTCCGTTGTACTTAATAATGACGACGAAACAAATAGATGTACAAATAGAGCAATGGAGAAAGAGATAAATCTGGATCAGTTGTAAAACTAATTATTATTTAGGAAAAAAAGACAATAACAAACTGACTCTTGACGGTTTTAAAAGTATAAATTTGATCATCCAAGTGAGTGGATCCAAAGACGTTAAAACAACAATACTGGGTATTGAAAAACAACAAATTATCCCGCCTAATGTAAGATAAAACCAAGTTGGATTTCTTAAACGTTTCAATATTAATAACAGAGTTAGAAATAGGAGACAGGAAATGAAAGCAATCTGTTGGAGACAAAAAAGGTTTAGTAGTTGGTTTATTAGCAAAGAAAAAAAAGGCGAATAAAAACCTGTGAAAACACAATAACACTGTCTGAAAAATATTTTTCATCATATAACATTATTTTAGCAGTTTCGGTCGAGTTATTTTGATCATTGTTAAAAGCATTTGTATGGCACAGAAGACTAATAATGAAAATGATTACTGTCTGTGATACAATAGCACATTCTCCTAAGGAAAAGGAGCGAGGAAAGATAAACGGAAGGAATGTATCCAAAAGAATGTATAAAAATAAGCCAAAACACTGAGTTAACCATTGATAGACAGCTATTTTTGAAGGAGTAATTTTGAAACATAAAGAATTGAGTATATAAGATTCATAAAAAACGTGTCCGATATTTACCTATATTCCATACAAAATAAGAAATTATTGATAATAATAAAGCAAACGCAATTGATATAAAAAAGCTATGAGAGAATTTGCTTGTAAATCCATCATCCGGTTGTAAAGTGTCTGCCGCCAATGTCAAATTTCGTACTAATAAAACGATTAGTACACATCCACAAAAAGCCACCTTAAGCAAGATTAAACGTATTGTAATTTTAATACTAATATATTTTAAGAAAATAATAAATGTAGCTTACTGTTCTTCCAAAGCATTCGTTGTTACCGGCTGAGTGCCTTGTCAAGAGCTCTGCTACTGGTACCAAAAGTCCACAATAGAAACATGTAGTTGTTCCAGGCCTATAAAGAGATGTTAAGTTATTTGCCGATAGAAGACGTAGATTTTACTTTATACCTGTATACTTTACCCAAAGCCTCAAAATCGTAAAAACCAGGTATTAAATCTAATATGATTGTAAAAACGGATATAACTAGAACAGCGCCTGAAAATAGTAATAAATAAAACCTGTAATACAATTATACAGTATAAAAGTTTTAAACTATTTTCAACAGCTTTACCTATGGCTGATGAAGAAAGTAGAGTATGAGTAATGACAGTTGAAGCTATTCCTATCAATACAGTTATAGACTCCAGTGTTGGTAAAAGATCTATGATGCATATTGATTCTCCTTCGTCAGCGTCGAACATGATAGAAAGCGAATTAACCAGAGTAAATAATATCCTTTCCTTAATGAATTTCCTTTAAATTTCTTATAGTGGGATGCATATCACACTTTGAAGCTATATGAGTAATTATTGGATCTAATGAATATTATAAAAATATATTCTTTATTTAAAATCTAAACTCTATATTCTTTTAAGGTGCTTGCAGAGCTAAGATATGTGCGACTAAAGTATTCTTTCAATAAGCTTGCACTAGATCTGATTATTAGATTTTTATCGATTTATTGGATGAGCGTCTTACGTCAAAAATCCAGTAGATAACTAAAACGTTGTCTCATCAAGTTCATTTGGACAAATAAAAGATTTTTCATGGGCACCGCCACAGAGAAATGCATTAGGCCTAGATTTGCACAAAAAATTTCAAACGATTAGTTTTTTACGTGTATATAAATTAATCTATGTTCAACTGTTTTTTACATGAGTCCGATAATATCAGCTGCGTTTTGCTTTTAAGTCTAAAAGGTCTTATCATTGTAAGCAAAAGTAAATCGACGAAGATAGCTCTTTATAAAATTTGCATCAAATTCGAAAAAACAGAGAATATATATATAAAATTTTTACCCTTTATAATATGTAGGTGATAAGTTATCTCGAAGCAGAAAAAATAAATGAACCAACAGGATCTATTGCGGGTTTTTCAGCTTCCGAATGTTTACTGAGCGAAAATCAGTTATGGACATCGCATGCTCGGAAACTCGATTGTATAACACTTCTGAAAGATTCGCATTTGTCTAAAAATTGATTTTTGCTTTCTTCATAAAAAACCTAGTTCTATGGGAAAAGATTAAAAATGTTATCATTAATTTTAAATTAATAGATCAAAATTTACGAAATTAAAAATTTTAATACGTCACTTCAATATTTCCCGCCAAACACTTTCCACGCTACTGCTATATTTCTCGGAACTTTTAGAAAGTGAACAAAAGTTTGTCCAGTTTGTCCAAGTGAAAATTTCGGTAGTTATTTAATTAAACTTGTAAGTTAAAATAACTTAATTTTCAAGCTGGTATACTTGAAATGTTGACTTTGCGTAATGGCTTTCAGTTCTTCATATCTAATCTAAACTTCCAAGAATATCTTTTTATTAATCTTTCTTGAAAGTTTATTTCAGTTAAAATTTACTAGGCTTTAGATTTTGTGAGATATTTTCTTTTAAAAATAATCTTTTTCCAGCCAAAATATGGCAAAGTTAAAAGCCAAATCTATGTGGAAAGCCATGAAAAATCGCTCAGATATTGAGAGTCCAATTAAACAAGTTGAACCAGTCAGGAGTAAAGATTTATTTATGCTTATTAAAGAAGGAAAGGTTTCGACGGAAAGCCTAGTAGATGACTGGCTGAACCTGTGCAAAAATGATGAAACGTCAGCTTTGCATCAGTTATTGAGACTTTGTTTCTCGTCAGCTGGCTCTCCCATAGATGCAGCCCAACCTGAAAATATTTTAGAGGTGGACATGATCGATTTATTAGATAAATGTGCAGAACAGGGATTTGCGAAGCTCGATGAAGAGAATTTTGAAGAATATCCATTGTCAAGAAAAAATACCAAGTCACTATGGAAAAATTTTCGTTCCAATCTCTCAGGTTTTATCCGTGTGTTATTTGATATGGGACAACACACATTTCTATATAAAGGAACCTTAATAGACAAACTAATAGAACTGATATTTGGTATGATATCATCTGTAGATGGAAAATATTACAAGTGTTTTTTTCACACTGGTATATTCTTCGGTTTGAAGATGAATACAGTTGTTGTAGAAGTTCACAGGAAACTTAAAGATGATCTGAAAAGAATTCACAATCAAGATAAACCCGATGAACAAACTCTTGATGAAATAGACGAGAAAATAAATTATGTATCTAAGCTTAAGGAGAAATTATGCAAATTGGTTCCAATTGGATATCTTCATGAAATAAATGATGTTCAATGCTTGACTATGGAAGAGTTGGGTTGCTGGTTGTTCATAGATCCTGAAGAATTTCTCGTCGACCTGAATTTAAGATATTTTCATCGAGTTTTACATGATGTGGACTCACCCAATGCTCGGAGTCAAGCTATCGTTTCTTTAGTTCCAATATATTCCCTTATAGAAGAAAATCCAGATATTTTAGAGAGATTGAAGGGTTTCACATCTCGAGTTTTTCACAAGATCTTTTGCCAAGCTTGTATTAGCCCAGACGTTGCGATGATGAGCGCTGCCCACAAGATTATAAGCCATCTTCATTTTTACAAGGAGCCTCATGACTATATTGTTACGGAAGAGGAATTGACTGATATATTCTTACCAAATCTTACAGGACATCGAGAAGCTGCCATGAATTCAGCGAAATATCTTATTGAAAGATTGACAAGTGAAAATGATTCTAGAGTAAAAGTAGCCCTAGCGTTTATTAATCTACTAAAACGTGGAAATTTGAAAAGATGCGATCAATTTATTTCTTTGATCACTGATAGTTTAAATAGTGTATCAGACATCTTTAAGGATCTAGAATTGCTTTATAACATTTTAATCAGCAATGAGCAGTCAAGTGATGTTGAATTATATTTATGCCATTTCTTCTATGCTTCGTACGAACTACAGACGACTTTAGTGCGATTACCTCCTCGAATCGTTAAGATGACAAAAAAAGACCTACAAGCGAAGAATGCGCAAAAAGAAGATCTAGCAGAATGTTTTGTTCCCCGAATTTTCAATTTATTAACAACTTTCAGTCACGATATTGAGAAGTGTCAGCTTATTGTTCGTTTAATACGTCTCTTAGACAAAGCAATGTTTGTCAGGTTGAACGCAGAAGTATCATTATCGAATATAATGAAAGAATTGACGAAATTGTTTGACAACCATTCAAGTATTAACTTTTTAGAAGAAATGTCAAAGACAATGGTATATCTTATGCAGGATGACTATCTATTGAATCATGTTGCAAAGAACTTGGGTGGAATGTTTTTCGATAGTTTAATAGCGGAATTGGAACACTCTTTAAAGTTGTATCTTGAAGATCGGTTGTCACCAGAAAGAGTAAATTTGCTTTGGATACCTATGAGAAAGTTGCGCATGATATTAAAATATCATGATTTAAGCAGTTATGATGAATTCTTTAGAGATTTACCGAAAGTTTTGACTTTTACTACTCTAAAAAATTCAGAGGCATTTTACGCAGAGACTTTGGTCGCAATTGTCTACTTTGTTCAACGTCAAGTTCTTAAGTCTCACGTAGAGGATTTACCTTATCTCGAAAATTTGCAGATGAAAACACTAATGTCAGCCTTGAAAATAACAGGCGTCAACAAAGAAACAGAGGATGCTGCATTTGAGTGTATTATTTTTTTTATGACATCATTCAAGAAAGAACTTAAAAATCTTGAATGCTATAAACTCTTGTTTCGAGACAACAACTCCTTCATACTTAGTTGTAACACAGTTGCTGGAATTGCTTCGTCTAAATTAGAAAGCTTCGTGGTAAAGCGTGTATTTAATGATGATAGCGAAACTAACTTAGAAGGCAAACTAAGAATCTTGCAGGCTTATCTGCAAGTTGTCATGAGCAGAAGAATTCCAATGCAAGCCGGTCATTTTTTATTCTTATATTGGAATAAATTTATTGTCCTTCAGACCCTCATTAAACAGTTCTTCTACTGGTGTCGTAATACTTCTCGCTCAGCGTTTTTAAAGACTGTTCTCTATAGCTTGGCAATGATATTTGAATCAAAGAAGCTTAAGTTGAAAGAGCTAAAGCAGTTGTCAAAAGAATTAGCACTTCAATTCGGATCTCGATCTGAGGCAAATCGAGAATCTATGTTCATTTTGCATAAAGATGGTATCGTTTTCAGTGTTCGATACAAATCTGGAGATAATTTAGAGTTTCTCAAAGTTCTTTGTGAATGGAGCTTTAAGGTCGCAAGACGAGATAGAGATAAAATACTAAGATTTTTCGATAATCAAGTAGTTATAAAAAAACTTTTGATAATGTTAGCTAATGTTAGCTTTAATTTATAACTTTTAACAGCTCAAAGAATTGAGAGGCCAAGAATTTTCCAAAGACACTCGAAGAGATATCAACTTTTATCGGGCTACACTAGGTTCTCAAGAAAGTAAAGGTAATATAATAAAAATCTAAATTTCAACTTTTGTAGTCATTTGCCTCTGTTTTAAATTCAATATTTTAATGATTCAAATATATACAAAGACCTTTTATGCATCTTAAATTACAGCTGAATTGTTGGCAGCATCGAAACGGTTGGTTAAAATTTTTATACCATTTCACGTTTTATTTGCAGTATGCTTTTATACATTGTAGTTCTAAAGCATCTCATAAACGCAAAAGAGCCAACACTACAGAAACCTCCAGCATTAAGTTGGTTAATTTATTTTTGAACATTTTATTCTCGTAACTGAAAAAGTTTCATAGGAAAAAATTACGAAACAATCCTCAACGATCACCTAGAAAATCCACGTCCAATTCAGAAGAATCCGATGATGCAACTCCAGTTGTCCAAAAGATAACACCTGAGGAAGTGACGACACTGGAAAAAAAAGAACAAAACGAAGACTTAGCGAATCAAAGCGATAATGAGAAAGCACAAAAAGAATTGAATATAAAAACAGAAGAGACGTCTGACAATGAAAGAGTAGAAACTGAAGAAGAAGAATATAACAGCGATGATTGTAGGATTGTGTCCGAATATGCGAGTGAAGAGTCAGTAGCCGAAGTGGAATCTTTTCAATACAACACCACGGAGACTTCGTTTCAAAACTCTACTATCCCAGAAGATCTGATTATTATTGAAGATAGTAGTGACGACGAAGAATCTTCTGGTAAGCTTATGTAAAACTGTATTCTATTTTATATCAATACTTTTTGTAACCACTGACAGATGAACATCAGCAGAGAACAAAATCTCTTGGGAGTCCATCCGAAGCAAGTGACGAAAATAACAACAAGAGTAGAGACAGTGACATATGGAATTCATCATCAGAGGGTTGTTCTTCAATAATTTTGAAAAGAGAATAGCATACTATTTGTTTTACAGATATTTATCCGGATCACGCTGCCCAAATAGCTAAACGCATTTATAACAGGTTCACTATTGATTCTTGTTATCAGAATTATACATATATAAATTGTATGTTTTTATTATTGACTCTTATCGTATTTAAATTTACAGAACGTCATCTCAATCCTCCAGTATAGAAAGCATTGAAGGTATTGTACTTGTATATTTTTTGAAGTCAATTAATAGTCATAATTAAATTTCCAAAATTACAATCTATTGCAGGTAAGAAATTAATCTATCCCAAATAAAATAATAAAATATCAATGATTAAAAGATTCAGCGGAGAATTTCGATCAAAATCTGTCTATTATACACCAAATTAAAATCGAAAAGGACCAAGATATATTACACCATAAAGGATTTTCACATTGATCTTAAACTTATTCTTGTAAGAAAACTGACAAATTATTCTTCCCAGTTATAAATTTGATTTTTAAATTCTTAATGTAAAGGTAACGCTTTTGATAACATTCTTTACAGGTGGGCGTTACGTAGAGACTTCTCTACATCTTGTAAGTACAGTAAATAAATATAACAAGACTCCCTGTCCTTTGTGTAAATTATTAAGAGTATAGTTTTATCTTGATAAAATTTATACATTAACAAAGTCGAATAGAGGTAAAAGTTCCTTTGATAGATCGGTGAATAATTCTTAGTAAGCGAGAAATATATAACAATCTTATTTAAATAATAACCTGCGATATTAATGAAACCATTAAACAATTAACTTTGTATAAATGATAAAGCGAACACAAATATGTTTGTCTGAGAACAAGCACGATACGACCAGAATAATTAGCTTATCGCATATTGTTCTATTTGTATTCTGGAAAACATTTCACTGTAAGCTTTAATGCAAAAAAAAAACAATTGCTTAAATATTTTCTTCAAATATCTTACAAGTTCACTTTTTTATCCTAAATTTGATGAGAAAATCACAAAGAAAATAGTTTTTAGCGAAACTTTGTCCAAAGATAAAATCTTGAGTAGTTTTTAACTTTTGAATACTTATATATTCTTACCGAGTCCATGAAATGGTACATATTCGTGTTAGGTATAAATTTCATAAAATTTTTAACTTAATCTCGTCGCTGTTTCTGCTTTGTTTAGATTACTATTAATCAACTTCTCTTGACAGATCATGGATTTATTTTCTTCCTCTTTTCACATTTCAACGAAGATAGAAGCATTTTTGAGCCACGTTTGTAGAAAAAGTAAGATGTGTTCGTATTTATTAATATAAAGGATTGTGTGAAATAAACAACATTGTCTGAGTTACTAATCTTTATCAAACCAAACAATCCTGATGGGCTAGTTAGTGAAGGTGATTGTGTTAGTAGGTTTGCAAGTTAGATTAGAAACGTAGAGCATTGGCACAATTGAAAATTTATTATCACTGCTTGTAATCTATCAAAAATTGAAAATTTTCAACCGCACTCTTTCTATTCTTTCTAAAACAACTATTTCTGCTTATTTAAAATAACAATGAATATATATATATATATGCATATGCATATGCATATGTATATTTATATGGTATGAAATGTTATTTTTCTATTTAGTTTTACGTATATCTATAAATATAAAATCAATTGCTGATTAATGATGTCTTTGGGAAAGAAAAGGGCCTATAAGTTCACCATTAGAAATCATCTACTCTGCATAACTGAATAAGATGCATCAAACATAGAACTCTGCAGTTTAAATTACATAGTTGACATAATTTCATCATAATTTTCTTCTGGTTCTCTCAGTACCAAAAAAGACAATATGTCAGATAAAGATATTACCCCAACAACATGTTTATGTTCATTGACAACGACAAGCCGGTGAACTTCGGCCTCAACGATACGATTCAAAATGACTCGAAGACAATCCTGTTTCACACAAGTAACAACTCCTTCAAAGCCTGATTCTTCACCACGTCTTTTTTTCATTGCTTCTTTAACTGACATACCTAAATTATTGTATGTCTTTTCTGCAGCAAGGTTAATTACATCGAACTTTGCGTATATATCAATGACTTCTCCTCTATCATTCACAATGGGCAACGCTGAAATTCGGTGATCCACAAATACGTTGAGAACGTCAATTAAAGGTGTTTCGGAAGTTGCAGTTTGTAAATTTTCGAAAGTGCCAATTTTAAGTTCCTCAATTGTCTTCTCCATATAAGAAGGTTGAGGTAGATTATATATCTATTCAAAATATTACATATAATACACTTGACCTTGTAATCTATTTAGTAATTACTATAGACAAAATACTTACAAAGAGAAAGAGAAATCGTAATATTCTCTTATGGGTCAAAATGTATAGGGCATTACCAGTTGCTCTATCTATAACGGGAAGTCGATGTACCTGTTCATCAAAATGATAATGGTGATAAATTACGCTTATATTAATCTTTTAATAATTACTCTATTGACGACAAGAGCTTCTACTGCTTCATAGAGGCTTGCATCTGCACTAATATTAACTAGCGGACGATCATATTCCTGTAAGACTTCGCGCCAAGTAGATATCTTGTGTTCCTCTAACTCTTCCATACGAGAATTCGATGATTTATAATACATTTTAAGTATTTTAATAAAATCTGTTATTGTTAACATGCCAACAAACGTCTGCTTTCTTGAATCCCATAAAGGTGCTGCCCTAACTCCATTATATACGAGGGCAAAAAATGCTTTTTTAACGTTTAAAGATGTGTCGAAAACGACTAATTTTGAGCTAAGCGGAATAAGATCATAGCATTTATGAGCTTTCATAAATTTTGAAAATACCAGATCTTCATTTTCGCCTATAAAAAAACAACACAGTGTTTAGAGGTTTAACATGTTTTTATGGCCTTTTTTTTCAATTTCTTTGTAACAAACCTAAATCTTCTATTTCCATTGAATTACTATCTTGACGCACAAGCTGCAAAATTAATAAATGTCTATATATATATAGATATAAATATAGGAAGTCGCTTGAGCTTGAGAGGCTAATAAAATTAGGAATTTACATTGTTTGAACTTCCTCTGTAGATGATATAACGGTGAAAGTTGCCAGAGAACGATTCGGAAGGCTTGAGGCTGGAGCCATCTACATTAAAAACATATTAAATGTATCAATCATTTGATAACCTTACATATAATTTCAATTAGTGTTTTATACATTCTGTGATAAGTGATTTAACATTAATTATTGGTTAACGCATGACTTGAAATTAAAAAAAATCTATTTTACCAGTTGAACTTGAATTTCTATTTCTTCTATCTACTGTATCCAGCTTTTGTGATGTATCGATCGCTTCCTCCCCTTCCATTATTTAACACTATTTAAGATATAACGTTAAATAATCATTCCGACCAAAGAATCGTAGCATAAAGGCCAAGGACGGATTTTTTGGATATTTCACTAACGTCATCTATTTCGAACGATTTATTGAAGAAAATTTTAAACAATAAGTTAATAAATTTTTTAAATTAAAAAATTATATAGTAAGAAATTGTTGAAAACTTCGGTATTGGAATGTTTGTTTGACCTAAGGTGAACGCCCATAAGGTGAATTTCCGCCAGAGGGCATGATTCGCACCGGAAGACTGTGTACTCAGTACATTTTCATTTCAGTGTCAAACTATTATCGATCGAAAAAGGTAGTTAGAAATGTAAAGGAGAGAAATGTCGCAGCGCTTATGAACTGTTGTACTATGTTTGAGAACCTTTGATGGAAATGAACGAAGAACAAGGCAGAAGAAAAAACCTACAACGATTTTTGCTGTCTCCTATCGCCCGATTGTGGGCGATTCATTGTTTTCGTTATGCATGTACGGTCATGCTTGGCATGTAGGCGCGTTCTATTGACCTTTGATCAGAACGCGTTACGTGTTTCAAAAGCAATTTCGAACATTCAGGAGAGGATGACCAACTTTTAGATGAACATTTTTGGACGAGATCAGTTTTTGGGAGTAAGTGGAAGAAGTATTGTTGTCTTTTGTCTATAAAGTATTTACTGACTATTTAATCTATGCAAATGTATCGATCAAACACATGTAAGAACAGGCTTTGGACTAGCGCCAAAAGCCTGTTAGACCACGTATAAGCCGTCATTCGGCGAAGAAGTGGTGAACGGATGGGATACCCAGAGGTGTGCACTGTGAGAAATATCTAGTGAACACAGCTGGTGGTATCTCTCTCGTCTACTGCTCACTCAGCTTAAACCTATCGCTCTTCTCTACTAATATTTTCACCTAAATTACTGTCTGCATGTATTACGTGCCAGCCGGTGCCTTTAACTTGGAGCCGACGTTAAATGCATTTTCTGGTACGCGATTTCATGTAGAAGAGGCCGCTGGCATGGCAGTGTTGTTAGCTGGTTGTTACCGAACAGTACAACCTCTTTCGGTACTGCCGTGACAGCTCTCTTACTCGCACTATTTGGCAATCATCCAACTGAATAAATCGATTTCTTCTTAACTACTTTGTTATATTCAAATATTTGACACTATGAAAAAGAAAAACAATCATAGGTGCGAAACATAATCATCGTCTAAATTAGAAGTTGTAACGTCGTTTAAAATATCTTCTAAATCCTTCATTATGTCCAATTGCAAAGGAGATATTGGACTTGAAATTAAATCGTCTAGATCTGGAATCTGCGGTGGTGACGAAGGATTTGCATTAGTCAATGATTCGATAGTGTCACAAAGTTCTCGCGAAATTTTTTCTTCCCCTGCGTCATTCGATTTCCGAAACAGATTCTCAAGGACATCGAGAGGTAGTTCAACAAACTCCATATCTTTAATAGATTCCAAATCTGCGGTTGAATCTGTATTTGAATTACATGATCCTTCGAATTGTGACCTTGCTTCTCGAAGTATATTTCGAGTTTTCACTGCGCTTTCCTTAGGAACGATAACGGAATTTATACAATCTGGTTTAGAGTGTTCTATTTGATTTTGCAAATTATTCAGTGACAGTCGTTCAAGCTGATCTTCCAAATCACTAAACCAAACTTCTTTGAGTAAATTGGGCCACGGAAAGTCGGGAAATTTCTTCAATAACGAATGTTCCAACTTAATTAAATGATCAGAAATAATTCTTGCTTCGTACAAGAAATCTGTAGTCTTCATTAGTAGTTTCGAAACATTCTTCTTGTCTTCTCGTTTGAACAAGTATTGTAAAATTTGCAACATGAGATCATGACATTTCTCAACTCTACGTCTATCGTCTAGTTTATGACATCGATCAGATGAAAAACATGAAACACCCAATATACAACCCAATATTTCAGGGTATTTAAATCCATATGAATGGTATGTAGAGAGATGGAAAAGCTTTTCTGCTATGTCTCTACTTTGAAGAATTGCTGCAATAGCGTCTATAGTTATAGCATTACCAGAGAAGACGCATTCCACTTCAGTATCTCCTGGTTGTGGGGGGGCGTGTAATATTTGGAACTCTACCCGGTTCTGTTTTATCAATTCAGCTTGATCATTCAAGGATAACTCACGAAAAACTGGTATAGTCTTAGCGAAAGCTATTATCCGTTTTAATTCTCTATCTTTTAACGGCACCATTACTTCCAAGCCGAATCTTTGTCGTTCTTCGTCTGGTAAATTGAATATCTGATAGAGTGCGTGGAAAGGACATTGATTATATCGTTTGCGGTCTTCTGTTATTTCATTGAATTTTTGGGTCATTAGATCAATATATTCATCCATTTCTTTCTCTGAAATTTTTACTGATTCTGCAGCGACTTTCTTGGCCATTTCAGCTCTTTCCAGTCTTTTAACCTCTTCAACATTTTCCTTTCGTCTTGAAGCATTGTATCTTCCGGCCTGTATCTGATCCTTGGACATGCCCAAGTCCAGGCATTTCTTATAACGACAATGGGAACAGCTGTTCCTTTTCGAGCCTTGAACAATTTTACATCCACCTCCTTTAGGGCATTTTGGCGTTAAATCTGAATTAATTGCTCTTCTGAAGAAACTCTATAAAAAATATTTTCAATTATTGTAGAAGATTGTTTAAGAAATTTAATCACTTTGCAGGCTTCGCATGTATTCAATCCGTAATGGAGACCAGAAGCTTTGTCTCCACAAACTCTGCAAGGAGGTAGAAGAGGTTTTGGACTCTTTTTCATCGATTTTTTGTCGGATGAACTCTCCACATGATTATCTTGAATGGCTGATTTAGTAATTTTTACGCTTCTACTCTTAAACATCTTTTTCTGTCACTTCGTGCGGGAAAATGATGACTAATGAAAAAAAATGCAAATGACAGTAAACCATTTCAAAACTAAACATTAAACTTACAGATTTATCTTAAGTACGGAGGTGTCTAGATACTATTTCCCTTATAAATGGCTGTTATTTTACTTAAAAAAATACACTTTTATCATCCATAGGTATGCAAAAAGACTGGTATAGGACTACATACTACTAATGTGGTTTTCTACTACAAACTGGAACTGGAACCATCAGTTCTGAAGAAATAGTTTCGCAATAAAGTTGCAATATTAGCTCATCATTGAAATTAGAGTGAAAGTTAAATCTGTATTAACATTAAATATTCGTTCTAAAGAACTTTCTTTTTAAAAATTCCGATATTTGTGATTTTGTCACAAGTTGTTTTTTTGACAACATCGTAGTATTTGATGACGTAAAACCGACGATTTTCCCGGTTTCCCTAAATGGTGGACGACGCAAAACAAGAAATAAGGTGATTTTTTAGTTATGAACATCTACTTTATCATTACAGAGTGAAAATATACATTTTAAATCATTATTTACCATTTACGTTGATAAATGGAAATTTTTCATTTAATCTAATAAAGATCGGTACCTACCTTTTGTATAAATTTTCACAAGTGGCGAAAGTGGGACATTCAGATGATTACTCAAAATTGATTATAAAAGCAAGAGAGGAATATTATAGCTTTCTGTTAGACGACGCGTGTTTCACTGAGCACTTGGATTCTCCAACCCAGTGCTTCCATATTTAACGTGTTTATCAATAGAAAAACTGTGGTGAATCATTAGATCCTAAATCTTAACCTCCCTAGGCTAATTCCATTAAATTTACCCACTTTTAGTACTATAACTAACTATTCGTGGTGGCCAAGTTCATTCTATCAACATTATTGGTTTGATCTACCCAAAATCATGTTGGCAACTTTGGAAAGAAAACTACTGTCGCGTAAGTAGGCTTAATTTGTATAATATTATAATCAGTATTGGTAAATATAAATAAAAATAATTGTATATTGTTTTTATTTTAAACAGGTGTCTGGCATTTGTTAGATGAACAATTTGTCTCAATAGGCGAGGGAAATAATATTAGAACAATATCTATGAATACTTCATGCCCAAAAACTCCTTTAGTAATGGTACACGGAATGGGTGCTGGTATAGGCATGTGGGCTTTAAATTTATTCGCTCTATCTAGATTTAGACCCTTATACGCTTTCGACGTCCTCGGTTTTGGCAGAAGTTCTAGGCCAAAATTTAGTAATGACCCTATGCTGGCTGAAATGCAATTCGTAGAAAGCATTGGTAGGTCTATTACATTTTTTAACCGATTTCTTTTTCTATTTTGAAATCATGAAGAGGATGTTGAAATACATTGACATTGTTACTAAAGCGATTTTTTTTTCTGTTATCTATTTATAGAGGCATGGCGAGATAAAATGGGTATTGATAAAATGATTCTCCTTGGCCATTCTCTTGGCGGCTTTTTAACAACATCTTATGCAATTCGGTATCCCGAACGGGTAGAACATCTTATTGTTGTAGATGGATGGGGATTCGCTGTAATGCCTCAGAATGGATCCGAACGAACACCAGTACCCAGGTGGATTAAAATATTAGCTAGCATGTTGTCTCCATTTAACCCATTTGCGGGTATAAGAGCTCTTGGTTTTGTTGGAAAGCATTTAATTAGAAAATTTCGCCCTGATTTAATACAAACATTCAGTTCTGTTACTGAAGATGAGCCTACAGTCGTTGCAGATTATATATATTATTCTAATTCTCGTAAACCAAGCGGTGAATCAGCATTTAAAGCTATGACAATGTCTTTTGGATGGGCAAAAAATCCAATGTTGAGTCGTATACACAAACTTAGTGAGAAGGTTCCTATGACGATGATTTATGGATCGAGGTCATGGATTAGTGATTCTTCTGGTTGGGAAGCCAAAAGAAGACGACAAGAAGAGAACGAAAATTGTTTTGTTGATGTACACATTATTAAAAATGCAGGACACCATGTTTACGCCAATCAATCTGAGGAATTCAATAATCTTATAAACAAAATATGTTCCGCTGGTGGTGAGCCCAAAAAAATTCGAACTAAGGCTTCAAAATTGTCGCTAACAATCCAGGATACCGTATCAAACAACGAACATATCCATAGAAACGCTTATGAAGGGGAAGCTCAAACTGTAAAATTGAACACAGACTTATCAGAGATTAAACAAGCTGCCCGTTTGGAGGATTACGAAACCATACGCTTCCAGGTTGGGGAAGTTGATGCCTAAGTCTAATTTATAGGATTTTTGATATTATTACCTGCAGTGTTTGTGTATGTCTTTATTTATTTTAATAATTATAAATTGTTACGCTAATACGGTTTCGTCTTTCCTTTTAAAATATATGAAAATCATTTGTTAATGTAATAAATAGTGTCAAATATCTGGATTAGAATTCTTTGCCATATTACATTATTTCCAAACGGTCAAGGGTTTATGTGGCCTGTAGTCATAGAACTAGTTGCTAACAACAAAAAATTGATAAACAACATTCCACAAGTTCAAAATATTAATAGAATAGAAATGTTTAAAAAATTTTGATGCAAAATAATTTTTCAACTGGAATTGCAAAATTTATCAAATTTGGAACAAAAATAATTTTAAAAAATGGGTTTAATTAAGAGAATTTAATTAGTTGCTAATGTAAATTCAAATATAGACCTAAATCATCACTTAACTACGGATCTTGTTGTCACGTGTTTGGCGCGTCTTGCTGATTTAAGTAGTCCGTGGCGTAGGAATGGACAGGCCCTTTGAATATTTGAATGTAAAACCGAAAATTAAATAAAGATTTTATAATGAATAGCTTAAAAAGTTGCCTAAAATTTGTATTTTGCTTGAGAAATTTTTTTCTAATTCCTAATATTTTTGCTTTAATGAAGAATATTTTTGAATTTTGTTTCGCGCAATTGACCGTTGCGATGTGTTATGCGGCCATCAAGAGATTTGTATATAAGCTGAGCGCGAGCACATTCTCGTTGCAGACACTAGTTGTCAAAAATTAAGGTTGACGATACTTATCAAATCTTATTAAAAAACCGAAAACTCAGTAAATATGCGTGAAATTGTTCATATCCAAGCCGGACAGTGCGGAAACCAAATCGGAGCCAAGGTAAATTTCTACTTTATTTAATTTTTTTACGAATGCCGGTCGGCATGATTAACATTTTGTTATTTTTTCAACAGTTCTGGGAAGTTATCTCTGATGAACATGGCATCGACCCAACTGGCACATATCACGGCGACTCTGATTTGCAGTTGGAGAGAATCAACGTTTATTACAATGAAGCCACAGGTAAGGAAAAAAAACCGTTTATTACTCACCGTTAAAAATGGCGGGAGCAAATTCAAAATGGCGCTGGTCTAGACAGTTTGATTAATTCTTGCTTTTATTTTTCCCTTTAGGCGGTAAATATGTCCCAAGAGCCATCCTAGTCGATTTGGAACCCGGTACCATGGACTCTGTCCGTTCCGGACCTTTTGGACAAGTTTTCCGTCCAGATAACTTCGTCTTCGGCCAAAGTGGTGCCGGAAACAACTGGGCTAAAGGCCATTATACAGAAGGTGCAGAACTTATCGACTCAGTTTTGGATGTAGTCCGAAAGGAGGCCGAAAGCTGCGATTGTCTCCAAGGCTTTCAATTAACGCATTCTTTGGGTGGTGGAACCGGTTCCGGTATGGGTACCCTTTTAATCTCAAAAATCAGAGAAGAATACCCCGACAGAATAATGAATACCTTCTCTGTTGTACCATCTCCAAAGGTATCAGATACCGTTGTTGAACCATACAATGCCACCCTATCCGTTCACCAACTCGTTGAGAACACCGACGAAACATACTGTATCGATAATGAAGCTTTGTACGATATCTGCTTCAGAACATTGAAACTTACTACCCCAACATACGGTGATCTCAATCATTTGGTGTCTGCCACCATGTCAGGCGTGACAACCTGTCTTCGATTCCCTGGTCAGTTGAACGCTGACTTAAGAAAATTGGCCGTAAACATGGTTCCATTCCCCCGTTTGCACTTCTTCATGCCCGGCTTCGCACCTTTGACTAGCCGTGGAAGCCAACAATACAGAGCATTGACCGTTCCAGAGCTTACTCAACAAATGTTCGATGCTAAAAACATGATGGCTGCATGCGATCCCCGTCATGGCAGATACCTCACCGTTGCCGCCATGTTCAGAGGACGTATGTCCATGAAGGAAGTTGATGAACAAATGTTGAATGTACAAAACAAGAACAGCAGCTACTTCGTTGAATGGATCCCCAACAACGTTAAGACCGCTGTCTGCGATATCCCACCAAGAGGATTGAAGATGTCTGCTACCTTCATCGGTAACAGCACCGCCATCCAAGAACTATTCAAGCGTGTATCTGAACAATTCACAGCTATGTTCAGAAGAAAGGCTTTCTTGCATTGGTACACTGGTGAAGGCATGGACGAAATGGAATTCACTGAAGCCGAATCCAACATGAACGACTTGGTCTCTGAATACCAACAATATCAAGATGCCACCGCCGAAGAAGAAGGTGAATTCGATGAAGAGGAAGAGGGTGATGAACAAGCCGCATAAACATTTATTTAAATGAATATGTGAAGAGTGTCGGCTGTATCTTTTGTAAATACACGTCGGCTCATTTGAGGAAACTTGTTATTTTAAATAAAATTTTAATAAAAATAGGCTAAGAACCTAAGAAACACAACGAGCATAAATAATCTTTTGGGGTAATTTATTCACTCGAATGATTCATAGGATGAATCATCCTTTTTTTCGACAGCTGCTTCACTAGGACTAGACATTTTCTTTACAAAAAAAAACTAGTTCCTTCCCAGGTGTTTATTGAGGCACGAAAATCAACTTTTATTCGATAACTTATGCTCTTTCAAGCATTTTGGTGTACAAAATTTAAAATCGAAATATTCAAAAGGCACCTTGCCAGTTATATCAATTGCACATTGAAAACATCTGGTTAAAACCGGAATAGAGCTGGTCGAGGATGATGTCATCTGGGTTGCAAATCTCCTCTCAGCAGCCAGAGCCCGCTTTTCGCGATCACTCAATTTTAAATATCTGTTTCTCTCTTCCTCTTCTTTTTTGATTTCTACTTCCTTTGCTTTCTTTTCTTTCAGTCTATCTTTTTTAGCCTTCTTTTGCGCTTTTCGCTTTTCAGCCTCCTTTTCTTTCTTTTCATTTTCATGCTCTTCGGAGAGTGCAAAAGGAATCTGTCAAATATATGGATCAATTTGTTACACAGTATACATTAAGTACACAACTCACTTGGGCTTTTTCATAATCGTATTGTGTAGGATTAGCTGTTCTATATTTCCTTAATATGTTTCTAGTTTGTCGATCTTGGGCAACCACGTAAGGATAGGAACCACTTTTATCTCTGCATATTTTATTTATTAGTCGAAAATTTGGCGGATGTTTTTCCTTAAAACATTAAAATGACTCACCGAATTGTAGGATCACAGCCAACATCAAGTAATAGGACGATGATATTTTCGAATTTATTTTTGCATGCTGTATGAAGAAATGTTGTGTCTTCTCTACCAAATCGCTCATTTAAAAATTTCTTTGTTACTTTAGAATCTTTTAAGGCGTCTTTCAGCTTGCTCTCATCTCCATATTTGCAGTATGTATAGATTTCATTACGTAATTTTTTAAGCTCGTCTTCTTTTTTATTACCAAAGGAGTGCTCATACTCTTTCAAATTACCAGTAGAAAAAGTCTCCATGGCAGCAGTAAGGTTATAATTTGTAATACAATCATCTTCATCATCTTCAGTTGAGGATTCTTGTTTCTCAATCTCTTCAGAATCTATGCTATTCCTCCTTTTTTTTCGCTTTGAAGTGTTACTTTTAATATTTTCTCGTCGTACGGGCGATTTCTTTACTTTTTGCGGTGGTGATCTTACAAGAACAGATTCGTCGCTGTAAAATAAGCAGTTGCTAAGTTTAGCATGAACTCGTTGAACTTCCTTCAAAGTTGGCCTTCTCGTAGGGAATGGCATATGTGTAATTCTTTTATCATCCTTCAATAATACTGGACTTTTACCGCTAAAGAGAATACTCCTAGATGACATAGAACAACGAATAAATATTCTGGATGAAGTAGCTATATCACAAGACCATTCTTTAAGAATATTTTGAATTTGTTGAGTTAATGAAGCCTCGTTGTAGCGTCTGAGGTTAGCTCCGGCACTCTTAGCATGACCCCCTTTTTTATCATGTTGGCTCTGAACAGTACCCCTCTTAGCGCGAACAACATATCGATGAAATGTTTTGTGTAAAATCATAGCATTCTTATCAAAAACTGCACCCGCAAAATGGCCACCACTTAACATGAAAATTGACCATTTTGTTTTTATAGCCAACCCTTTAATTATTTCTCGTAAATCGTTTTCATTCTCCGGTTCATCCTGTATGAATTTTTCGTTTTATTTAACTTTAATTTGAAATTAATCTATTGTACAAATAAAACTTTTTTCACCTTTTTGTTGTAGAGAATACAATGAAAAATTGAAAAAAGCTTTCCCTCTTTATTCCGGAGAAAAAGTCTGGGATGGCGTATTTTATGGTCACTTTCTTGTACTGAACTTTCATCTATAATCTCTTCAAGTTCACTTTCGCTGTCTGATCCCGAAATACTCGATATATCTCCAACTGAAAAGTTTTATTTGTTTAGCCTATTACGTAACAAAGTAAGACTGCTATTTTTAGAAGTATATTTACCATCAGCAACGTCAAATTTTTCTTCGCTTATCTTTTCTAAATTTTTCAATTTTCTTTTCAAATTACAGCGATGCCAGTCACTTTTGTAATGAGTCACCTAATAGGTGTATTAACCTATTATTAACCGTACTCTTTAATATAAAAAAAATTATTTATATATCACCTGTTCATCTCGATTTGATAGGTCTATGTCACAAGAGTTACATCTCATACTCTCAGAAATTTTTAATGATTCTAGATCTGAAATTCCGACTAAAATATTAGATTCTGTTGAACACTTATTAGCAAGTTCTACCCAGGGTATTTTCTAAGCCCGTTAGCTTCATTTGGTCTGTAGAAATTGCTGTTTGCACAGTTGCTACTTCAAATTCATTTCGGATATGATCAGTAAATGTATTTGTGAAAATGGATAGACTCTCATCAATAGATTCCATTATTTTTTTCGAAGAATTATCTGTAATATTATGTTACTTTAAAATGAATAAACAGCTGTTAAATGGAACTTACTCTATCCTAATACTTAATTACCTATTAGTTTTATGTCTAGAATTTTTATAAATAATTGTACTTTTATAATATAATATTGCAGCACTACAACATGCTAGTGCAATTTCCGGTTTTTTGGGAGAATGGACCGTATTCGCTATTCAATTCTGCACTGTTAAATATTTTGTGGAGTTAATACCATACTTCGTAAACGCGCCAAATTTTTCGATAATTTTTGTTTACTCTCTTTTTAAATTAAAACAACAATTAAAGAATATTTATTGAAATATTTTATTTCATATGTTCAATAAACAAAGGAGATGATAGATAAAAATAAAAAAATGAAAAAAAATATAGGTTAGCTGAAAAGTAGAAATAGACGGCGCGCGTTACAATCTCATGAATTTTTAGAGATCGTCATTCCAAGTCATGTATTCCAATTCATCTTCGGACGCTGTCTCCGAAAAATTTTTACGATTTTTACAAGTTTGGAGTAGTTTAATAAGTATAAGTGGAATATTAACGAATCTTTTAACAATTATATCCTTTATTCGAACGAAAAGTTTGCGAATTTTTACTTACGTTTATGTAGTAAATTTATCGGTGATTGATTGGATTATGTGTTCAATTATTATACCGTTAACGGCTTACGGCTATTCGTATAGATATGAAAGTAATTTATGCCGTGCAATAGCCTATTTAAGATTATCGTTCATGTGTACTTGCATCTATTCATTAGCATTTATATCTTTGAATAGATATATTAGAATTTGTTTCTCTGCTGATGTATATTTTAGAATGTTTAAGAAAACAACAGTTGCTTTAACAATACTATTATCATGGATAGTTCCGCTTATCATACTATCTCCACCTTTCTTCCAGTTTGGTAATTACGGTTTTAACGAGAAAATTGGAACTTGTTTCGTTGGAAATTATAATTTAAATGTTGATACTTTTAAATTTTCTTTAATCTTTCCTGATTTGCTTGTTGTTATACCATCCGTTATATTAATATTTGTTGTTTATGTAAAAATTGCTATAGTTTTCTTTAAATCAAGAAGACAAGTTAAAGCATCAACCTCTACAGCTGAGAATGGAAAAAAACAGATGCTTATTAAAAACCGACTAATAATTAGAAATATGCTTGTTATAATATTCACATTAATACTATGTTGGGTACCGCTAGTTGTTGCTTTAAAACTTGATTACTATGGAAAAGTGAGTGCTTCCGTTCAACACTTTTTGCTGTTGGTCGCGCATACTAACAACGCCATTAACTTTTATATCTACGCCTTTATGGATAGGAAGTTAAGGAACATCTATTCAAAGCTACTATGCTCTGGACGAAAGGAGCGTAATGTAACTACGTCCATTGCAACTAAAGTTAACGACTTATACTAATTCTTTCCTAAGAAATCAATTCTAATAAACATAGTGTATATATCTGATCTTTTTGTATTTATCATCAATTTACACAACAAATGATAAATCTTTAATTATTCAGGTAGTCTTATTTTCTTAAGAGACAAACAAAAGTCAGAATTTAATTAAGACCTAATATATGCTTGTCGTGTTGGCATTATGCATCAAATTTTAAGAGCACCAGAAAGAGAATTAGAACATTGACATTTATGCAAATGTTGTAACTGATAATACTTTCAAAAATGTAAGATTTTTGAGTAATGTCAAAATCCTTATCAATGATTCATAACTAAGTTTACAAATCAACGAATAAATACTAGGTATGTGATATATGGTATATGCATACTTTGCACATGAATTATAAATAAAACGATAAACATTTGTCCTTCCCTTCATCTTTTAGATTGTAATATATAGCTATTATTAATTTTCATATACGTTTAGACGCTATAAACTTTTAATATCCTTTTATAACATATTTTTATTGTACTATTGTGAAATTGTTTTCTTCTATGTATATTTCCCAGATCAAACGGATTTACCCTATTATTCGCTCCACGAACGGGCGGTTTTGACATTCAAAGTAGCATAGTTGCACCAAGAGGTCTTTACTTTCAAAGTAACCATCACGTCGTTAACACGAAAATGTATATTTGTATATTAATACAATTAGAGTGGAGTATAATAGAAGAATTAATTAATATTTAAAAAAGAAACAGTAAATTTTAGTCATCTGTATATTTTCTGAGTTCTTTTTATAGTTTAAGATGCACTCTGATCACCACGCTGTAAATTATTTCTATTGAAAGTACATTAAGGAAAATTATGTTTTCATCTTCTTTTTCACAATCTAATGTGAAGAATTGAGAAAATTATAAGTAATTAACGCATAAATAGTAATATATAATTGATTTTAAAGGATACATGGATTGGCATAAATCTTGAAGCTGGAATGGAAAATGAGAATTATATTAAATATATTATTTTAAACCAAAATATAATTGAATTTATAAACTAACACTATCCATCAATTTGTCCATATTCCTAATATTTTTATCTCCGTTCTCGTCCTTCTTTTGTCCTCTAAGGAGAGAGAAATTATTTAGATTTAATAAGTCGGTTAATTGCATTAGATATCTCTTACAATTCTTGATTTATTGTTGTATGTTCTGTATCCAATTCGAAGTGGAGGCGGGCTAATTTCTCTTGTTTTTCTCTTATGTTATCCATTTGTTCATACATATTTCCCTCACCTGAGATGTTTTTAAAAATTAACTCAACTGTGTTGGAAATAAACAAATTTAACTTACTAAAAGCTTGTAAATGACCGGAATGGAAGTCATCAAGTAATTTAAGCAATCCGTGCTCCATTTGTCTTACATCTGCTACATCCGTAACGAATGAATGCTCTGCGGGTCTTCCTTCGTTCATAGTGGGGTCACTATTTTCAAACTTTCTGACTGATTTCTGCACTTTTGAGATCGCTTGCTTCCTATGGGGATTCGATGAGCTCATCTTGACTAGTATGTTTTTCTCTACGATCTATCAATCCGGAATCACGTTTCATTCATCAGGTGACTAACAAATCGTTTAAAAACAACTTAACGATAATTGGGACAAACAGAGGACTACTGAGGAAGAGAATAACGAACCGGAAGCGGAATAATATAATATATAATTTCCAGTCAGAAAGATGATAGATGTCACTACTGTCTAAAGAATAAAGCGGCCTTACCGTGAATTTTATATGATATTCATGATATCATAATACTTCTAATCATGACTAAATTGATGAAAAACCTTGAAACGTCAATTGCTGAATTTGATCGGTTATTAAGTGATAAAGATTATAAGGAGATTCATCAGCAGTTTAATGTGAGTTTTGAATTCATTCGAATAATTTGCGATTAAAACATTTCTTGAAAACGCCTTTTTTTCCCTCTATAAATAGCTCTTAAAAGAATTCAGTGTAAATTTAAGAAAAGAGAAAAAAGTAAATGTTGAGGCAGCTAAAAAGCCCAGTAATACTAAAAAGAACAGATATGGTGATATACTTCCTTGTAAGATTCATTTTATGCCATTCCAGTCAATATATATATATATATACCGTTCCGACATAGTTAAAGAATTCAATAACACTTATAAAATCGATAAATTATTTTTTCTAATATTTAAGTTGATGAAACGAGAGTTATTTTGGAAGATGACGGTTCTGGAGGCGACTATATTAACGCCAATTGGATAAAGGGAACAAATGATAAGAGAGCGTATATAGCAACCCAAGGACCTATAGAATTAACTATTCCTCATTTTTGGAGGATGTTATGGCAAACAAACGCATCAACTGTTATTATGGCTTGTAATTTTGAAGAAAATGGAAAAGTATTATTGTAAAAATACTTTTCAACTTCTATTCTATTATGTAAATTTATTCCACAGAAAAAGTGTGCTGATTATTGGATATCAGGTGGTCTTCGTATCTTTGGTGATCAGATAAGCGTTGGGGTCGTCAGTGAAACTGAAATTAATTCCTCATTTTCTTACAGAAAGTTCAAAATAACTAATAGAAAAGAAGAAAGGTTCATTCATCATTATCACTACACCGCGTGGCCTGATTACGGAGCTCCTAAGAACGTTGAAGATTGTATAGAATTATTAGAGTTAGCCAGAAAAGAAAACAAAGGGATTATGGTAATTCATTGTAGCGCTGGTTGTGGTAGAACAGGTGCAATTTGTGCATTAGACTATTGTTGGTCTCTAGTAGAAGAAGAAAAAGTACCACAAACAATCAATTTGTACAAGATTGTTGAAAATTTAAGAAGGCAGAGACAATCAATGGTTCAGGCAGTAGAACAGTTAATTTTCTTATATAGTGCGGTAAGGGAATTATATCATAGGCAATTAAAGATTTTGAAAAAGAAAAACCGAAGCTCAGAAGTAATGAAGCATATTTATGAAAATCAAGATGCAGTATGTGAGATATTTGTTGGTGGGAAAACTGATAATTCAAAACCGAAGCCTGGATTTACAAAACTAGCTGTTAGGCAAAACCAAGAAAAAGAACATTCATATGTAAATATACATTTAAAAGACTCTCCCCTCAATGAAACTCCCTCAGCGGAAGAAACAAGTGAGAGCTATACATTTGGTGAGGGAGTTAAAAATGAGAATAAACGGGATGATGTAATCTATGAACCAGTAACTTGTGTACAACCTAAAGAAGACAACGTAGTATCAAGAGTTACGCCTAAAAAGCCAAATGTTAAAATAAACGAGAATGTAAATAACTGTCATCTAAATTTGTTAATACTAGATAACCTATCTCTTCTCTTTTAGGCAAATAACGAAGAGGATATTGAAAAAGCTCATAAAAAACCAAAAGATAAGCCAGAGCGGAAGAAGGCTGTAGATCTATCACGATTTGCTGTTAGTAATAAGATAACCAATCGTTTACGACGAAACAAGAATCCCCATTCCGCTATAGATTCAGCTGCTGATCAGTGTTGTTTAGAACCTGCTGAAATTTGCTGTAATGGACAGAGTCTAAGTAAGTTCTTCCATTAATTTATTAAAATTTTTGGCTTAATGTTTACAATAATAATTTAGGTTTTCCGAATAAAATTGATAACGTTGGTGGACCAAGAGAATTACCTGGAAAATTCGAAAACTTGGGAATTTGACTTCAAAATAACAGAAAGCATAATCATTTTTAACTTGATGTTATTACATATCTTCGCATAAAAAATGGAAATAATTGTACTTTTAAATGAATATTTTAACTTTTATCAATGAAATAAAATACTATGACTTGTATTGTAGTTTTGAAAAATTGGCGCGAAATATCATTCTCCGAAACGGTTGGTAGTCTAATCAATTAGATATACAAACATGGCGCCGACTAAAAGACGATTTCGCAAACAAAATCCTTACGAAATTTGTCAACAGATTATTTTTAAAAGATATTAACACCAAATACTATTATGTTTTTTGAATAATATATATATTGAATATGACTGAACAAAGTGAAGAAAGAATCATTGATTACTTTGCAATTTGTGGGCTGGATGTGCGACACGGATTGCAACCGAATCAGTTTGCAAGTAAGAGCTATTTCTATGACGTAAAAAATTGTAAAAAAAAAGTATTTTTTAGATGATAATCTTCATCGGGCACCTTTATATAGATCATATAAGCCGGATGTTTTAGCGCATTATCCTCAGAATGTACCGGGTTTAGAATTCGATGAAAATGCAGTTAGTTTGGTGAGTAACACGGGAAGAAAACAAACTTTAAGTAAATATTAATTATGCGCCAATATTACTATAAAGATGTGTCATCCTTGCGGAGTTTTGTTTGCAACTCAAAAAGACAAACGCAAAACTTCTGTTCATACATTCATCATAACAAGAGAGGACGGAACTATGACATTTGGAGTTGCTCTAACTTTCTACGAACAAATTAATAATGCAGAAATTTGTACTGCAATGAATACTTTACTCGCAATGCACATGGCTGAATTGGAAAACATTCAATCGAAGACCCTGCAACCTCACCTAGGCGAACGCGTTTATAAGATTAGCCCAAAAATAAAAAGAAAAGCCTCGTCTACAAATGTTCGTTCTTATTCTTTGGCAGAGGATACTCTCTACGCCACTAAAGTTTTGTGCGTTCTATCGAGATTGCCTTTTATCGACGTTATGCAGAAAATTTTAAGCGCCTTATATAGAGTTGTTATGGGTCTTGACAAAGTTGAATTAAATTTAGAAAGCTATATTTATAATATTCTGTACGAAATCCCCTGCCCTACGCCAGCTTCAAGTGTGTCTTTCAAGAGTGGTGCTCACACTATCGTTTGTCAGAGACCAGGTATGTTTTCTCTATCTAAAGTGAACATGATGTTTACACAGGTGTCTTGCAGGAACTAACGAACTGCCTCCAATGGATTATCCAATACTGGAAATATTTCGACTACTTGGTATAGAAGATGTTCTCAACATTTATACTTGCATTTTGTTAGAATATCAAATTCTTTTATATTCTGAGGGTAATTCAAACTTTTCCTTTTCTTCTTTTGGTCTTACGATAGAGTTTTTTCTTTATTCTAGAATATGAATATCTTATGTCTGTAGCAGAATGCTTGACAGCTTTGATATTTCCTTTCGCCTGGTCTCAAACCTACGTTCCCATTTTGCCAACATCTAATCGCCATTTTATTGAAGCACCTGTACCATTTATAATGGGTCTACGTAGGTCAAAGGACGACGCATTCATCAGCGAGGAGACTCTTCAAGCTAATATGTGCGTTGTTGACATAGACAAAGCTCATGTTACCCTGCCAGAAGACCTTCCCGAATTACCTAATAGAGCCTCTCTTCGAGAAGATTTAGTTAAACAGTTGACAGATCTTCAAGAGCAAAAAGAGAATAAACGATTACATCATGGTGATTCTAATGCCAGTATTGATAGCCTAAAAAGTTTTGAGCAAAATCATCCGTCACAGTCTGATTCTATGCAAAGTTTGAGTGGTAAACTTCAACAGTTACAGAAGACTAATCCGGCATTTACTCAAGTCGCCGAAATAGCCAAGAATGCCGGTGTTTTTCAGTCGATAGATGACGTAACAGATTTCCTAAGTGAGATGCAAGTTCCTGTTTCAAGTCCACCTAGGAAACTACCTAGTTCCGCATCATTTCATAACTTTCCGACGGATGGAAATGAATCATCCGCAATGTATTCTACTGACCTGCAGATTGAATGGTATTCTGATAACACCATGATAAGGGAATTATTCCTGCACTATATGCTAGTCGTAATGAACAATTATGAATCTTTCATCAGTAAAGAGGACGGTGCATTTGACAAACATGCATTTTTAGCAGAACATCCTCCAGCTCAAATACCGTTTTTAGCAGCCTTTTTTGACACACAAATGTTTGCTAACTTTACGGATTCAAAGAAATATTGTTTAGGAGTCGATTTTAAATTGCCATGCTTTGTGAAACTTTTTGATTCTCGTTTGGAAGAATTTCAAAAGGTTTACAAAAATCACGAGAGTGTGCGATTTATCAAAACAAGTCAAATTGACGATATATTAAAAGCCATACGGCTAAGAATAACAAACGTTTCTATTAAAGCCTCTGATCCGAGACCTTTGGACTCGACAAATGGCCTCTCGGGTAAGTATCTATTGTTTATTTGCTAAATAAAATGGTACAAATACAACTATTTTTATAAAGCAGATAAATCTGATAAACAATCGGAAGGATGTTTAAGAAATCTTAACGATCATTTACTTAAAAGAGAAATTTTACCGTTAGTCTTAAATATTTATATTGTTAAAACTTATCGTATTTCATCAATATTTTGATTATTTAATATTTTATGTTTTATCTCCATTTCAGAGAGAAAAAAGTAAAAGCAAAGTATAAAAAGAGAATGGATTCTCTATTGCAGACAAAAACGGTTCAAATTAAATAATTTATTCATAGAATTCAGCTTAAATAAGTTATGCATTAATAACAGAGACGAGACCATCTATCAGACACGCCTAAGCTAGTATCATTTCAAGATCCAAATGAGATGGGTCATACCAACTGGAAATTTGTTGAGGCTCTACTAAAGGAGTGTAAATCTAAAACTAAGAAAATGTTAGTCATAAAACTGGATAGAAATGAAGCTCAAGAGCTAGGCCATGGCGATTCTTTCGGTTTGTACTTGTCATTTTTTTTTTTATTCTTCAATTTTATACGCTTTATACATTACGCACACGTTTTCCGGAATCTTTTTTATTCAATAAACATCACTTATTTCCCTAATAGTTACTGGAGTTGAGGAAAATACATTAGTAACGTCGCTATGCGATTTACTGGAGAGAATTTGGGCTCATGGAGTTAGCAGTAAATCTAATGGTCGTTCCGCTTTGTGGCTTCACTTAAGCGCTTTTAAGCAACAGAATGAGGGGCGAATACCGATTTGTAGGGAAAGACAGATGAAGAGAAAAAATTCTCTTACGGCCTCAGATTTTAACTCTAGGTCTGCCTCTCTACCTCGTCCTGGTCATCATCGAAGTAGGTCTCGAAGGGGTAGTATTGAAAGTTTGGAAACCTTCTCCACATCATCATTATTAGAAGATATAACTAATATTCATAAATTATCAGAACTAAGAACAAGTATTGGATATGCGAGAGCTTTCATACGGTTAGCCATTGAGAAAAAATTACTTGCACAGCACCTTCGAAGTTTACTTGAGGATGAGGTTTTGCTTAAAGAGCGATATAAACGTTTTGCGCTACTCAGAAGTGAGGAAGAGAGGGAGCAACTACTAAGCTATCTGCTCAGTTTGGACGCTGTAGATTATCAATGCTTCACATCTACTCATATATCAATCACTATGCCTTATCGAGTAATTATTTGTCCAAGAACAGCGAAATTAACTGGAAGCGCTCAGCTTCCTTCTCAAGTTCATCTTACACTTTATGGATCAATAGATCAATCACCGAAAATTACGATACCTGAACAGTCATTGGATTTTGTTATTAATCATCGGAATCTTGGCGTGTTACTGACAGTTAAGATTGGCCATGTAGACACTGGAGCGAAGTGGTTTCTTGATCAAATTTTAGTAAGAAATGAGCTGACAAGTCTGTGCTACAGACTCCCTTGTGGAAGGTGGTTAGGAAGAGATGTTGACGATGGTGCTATGGAGCGAATACTGATAGCCGAGTCATTGATGAATGCCGAACCCGATCAGTGGACACGATATCAAACACCACCTAGATTTAGATCACCGTCTCTGCCCAGAAGAGGTGGCGCTAGTCACTTGAGGGAAAATTATGTTCAGGGTATGTTAGCAGAAGCTATAAATAGATTAGTCAAGTATCATCATAAACCAGAATCAGATAGGACTTCGCTAACCCAATTGTTGTGTGGTGAAAATGGGCTGGTTCCAGCTCTCGAACTCGTCTTTACTTTTAATTTTAAGTCAAAAACAAATTATTTCAGTAAAAAACTCTTTGTATGGGATTACGTTGAGAAGATGGCTCAATACTTTCTTCAATTACTTCAAGGCGCCTATGTAAACGAATTAAATGAAACGACAAGAGACGCTCTTCAACGATACACTACAGTCGTTGCTAAAATTCAAAGATCGCCAATCAACGTTGGTAAAGACGGAAAATTTACGATATTCATTCTTCTGGGTTTACAATCTAAAATGCTGCAGAAATGGATGCTCGCTGCTAGTCAATCGATTCCTACTGTTCACATGTACGATGAAAACTCTTTTCTAAGATCCCCGTCTTTGGTGAACCTTATAGCAGGTTTATTAGATTCGCTAAACGACATTCCTTTTATAATTGAATCGTCGTTGTTACACGGTGTATAGTGCAAAAACATGCACAATTAAAAAAAATATCAGATTAAATATTCTATGAATATAACAATATTAATTTTGTTCTTCAACTAAAAAAATTAACTTAAACAATCATAATATATTTTTCTTAAAGAGAAAAATTTTCTGCAAGCATTAAAAGTTGTCAAATAATCAATTTAAAGCAATATCTGTCAATAATTCATAAGCATGCTAACATCGAACAGTTCTTACAAGGATAGAAATCGTTTAAAACATTATCAACTAAGTTTATCAACAATGATAAAAATTAGAAATATACATGTAAAAAAATGAATTAAAAAAAATGCATGTAAACATTGAATTAGAAAAATAAACAAGTAATTTTTTTGATCATAGAGCATTTCACAATCACTTTCGTTACTTTTTTTCTTAATGTTTCTTTACAGGAAAAAAAGTAAACATTTTATCTAAATAATTCAGGAAAAAAGGTTTTCACAACTTTTACTTCCTTTTCACGATCTACGTAACATAATAATAATTATCAAGTTGCTTGATATATTCAAGTTATTCTCTAAGGATAAGGCAATAAGATGACAGAGAAAATAGATAATGCATAATATAATAAATTAATAATGTCGGCTGTTTTTTTTTAAAAACATGTTTTAAAATCATTTCTCTTTATTTTCAGTCTAAACTTTGCTCTATTGCAAACATAAAAACCAGCATATAAACGTAATTTTAAAATATAAAAGTTTAAAAAGTGTTTATATAAAACAATATACCTGTTAACGTAACAATCTAGTCAATATCATAATTAATAACAAGGATATTCCTAGCATTGAAATATTATAATTCATCCTGGAAGCTTCATTACATCCATCTTTATTATCGCAATGACAATACTTAACCTTGACTCTAAACGTTCCAACTCTTTCCTTACACCATCTACCCTCGTCGGTGCCAACTTCACCTAGTAGGGCGCATTGCCGGATGTACCTAATGTCCCAGCGACCCTCGAAATAAGCTACAAATAAAGAAATATATATATATATATATATATATATGTAAACTTGTGTACTCTATCTACATGTAAGAGGATATGTTAATACTAATGAAATAAACGTATGAATAACCAATATTTTAAATAAGTAAATACAGAAGATAGTTTTATTTGATTCGATATTGACTCACTTTCTTGGATAATTTTCCTACACATCGTTGCATTCATAGGACAAGCCCTTAGAGGATAGGTCATATTGTCAAAAAAGTCTGAACATCCTTTGTCGTAAAATGAATTACACTGGTAACATTTGATAGGATTATTGTCAGCCCTTTTAGCGTATACTGTAAAAAAGCAGAACGTAAGGTTTATACTTATAATCGTGGATATTTTCTAATACAAACCTATTTCTAAAATAACAATAAATGTTATGGCGAATAAAACACAACAAAGTATCCTCTTCATATTTATTTAAAACATTTAATTCTCCTGCAAAAATTGTTTCACCTGAGCCGAATTATCGCTCATAAGATTCTCTCAAGCGTAGGACCCTGTTTGGGTTAATTTATCTGATAGGACAAGGTTTTGAACCGGTGCAACCTGAATATGCACCAAGATCTTACCTGTGGGGAAATCCCGAGAGTTCCGACAGGTGAAGTCATCGAATCGAGGGGTGTCGACATAATTGAGACTGTGCTTAAATCTTAAATATCAGTTAACTTATTCGCAAGATATAATATTTAATTTTTAATTAATTAATTACTATTTTATCAAAAGAAAATAAAATTTTTAAATCAATTAATAACAGATAAACTTAAAAAATAAACTATTCACCCCTATTATTAAACTTTCCCATGTAACCAGACTAGTAAAGTCAGGTAAAAACAAGAGAAGATTGAAAACTATTAGAAATGAACAATACACTACTATTAACCGTTGTAATATATTTAACGACTGTTCAAATAGGTAAGGAATGAAAAGATTCATTCCAAACAATTCTAATAATTCAAATTTTCATTTCAGTAAATTCAATCCAATGCTACCAATGTGATAGCAACGAGGATAATAGTTGTCCTTCCAATAAGGGCTTTGATGAGGATATTAATGCTTTGGTAGATTGTAATAGCTTTGAAGCCACAGTTCCAGGTACATTTTGTATGAAGATAACTCAAGAAAGTCCAGGATGGCGTGGTTGGAAAAAAGTAACAAGGAGGTGCGGGTCGAGATCTGATACCGGTGTTGCTTGGGGATGCAGATGGACTTTTGAGGATAACGGAGTATGGAAAGAAACCTGCTTCTGTGAAGATAGGGACGGTTGTAATGGTGCTGGATTAATTAAGACTAATACACTCGTCTTAGCTATAATGATTTTAACCGCCGGCTTTTTTATTCTATTTTGATTTTTATAGAAACTTTTTATAGCTTTGTATTAATTTTAATAAAACCTGTGTTATTATTGATTTGAATGGAAAGTTTCTTGTTATTTCCTGACAATGTATTCCACTTTGAAACTGTTCATTTTGTACATATATTATTATGATAATATGTATATATATATCATTTTTAGTATATATACAATATATATATATATATATAAATGATGATTCTTTTACAACGTTTTTCATTGATTCAATTGCCTGAAGGACTATAACCGAATTCTAATAATTGTCTAAACTCCTGAAGAGTTTCTTTATGAATATTGTTTTATGTGGAAAAAATATTATTTAAAACAATAGCATTTCTTCTATCAAATATGAGAAATCATTAACAAGCACCTCAAAGTTTTTTCTTATTAAAAAAAAATTTCGTCAAGAATTAATGAACAATTTTATTCTGTAAATGGCCACGACTAATTCTTCATATAAGGGTAATCCCATCTATTTAGCGGTAGAGTTGTTCTCTTAATGGAAAGGGGAGAAACAAATTTCAATAAGTAATGAGGACTACCTGCTTTATCGTTTGTTCCTGAGATTGTAAGAAAATGAGGAGAAAAATTAATTTTAAAAGTTTGCTTTTATAAAATTACACTTTTTATTAATATCTTACAAACCTGATTTTCTAGCTCCTCCGAATGGCTGTTGCGAAACAACTGAACCAGTTGATTTATCATTGATGTAAAAGTTTCCTGCGGCATAGCGCAAAACGTCTTTGCAGTGATCTATAACTTGTTCATCTCCGGAGTAGACAGCGCCAGTTAAACCAAAAGGACTAGTATTATTAATAAGATCTAACGTGCTATTAAAATCAGCATCATCATAAACGTATACTGTTAGAACTGGACCGAAAATTTCTTCTTGTAATAATTTATCTTTTGGATTGGTTGTCACAACAATTGTAGGTTCTATGTAATATCCCTCACTATCATTGCAGTCTCCTCCATGTATTATTGTACAATCGCTTGAACTTTTTGCATGATCAACATAGCCTTTGATTCTATCAAAAGCCTTTTTGTCGATAACAGCAGATAGGAAGTTTTCGGCTGAAAGAGGTGTTCCGAGTTTGATATTTTTTACTTCTTCTGTAAGACCATTTTTTATTGCATCCCATCGGGATTTAGGAGCGTAAAGACGAGAGCATGCAGAGCATTTCTGTCCACCATATTCAAAAGCCGATCTTATTGTTCCATAGATAACGTCTTGTACGTCAGCTGTTGGATGAACCATGTGGAAATTCTTGCCTCCACATTCCCCAATTAATCGAGGAAAGCTTCGATATACGTCTAATTTACTACCAACTTCCTTCCATAAATGACTAAATGTAGCAGCGCTTCCTGTGAAATTAATACCTGCTAACAGAGGGTGGTCTGTTATAGTTGACCCAAACACGGGTCCGTCTGCAGGTAGAAAATTAATAACACCAGCAGGCACTCCTGCTTCTCGAAGGATCTGGAAGCAAATGTAAGACGAAAGAACTGCTGTATCACTAGGTTTCCATAAAACTGTATTTCCCATTAGAGCAGGAGCACCCGATAAATGCCCTCCAATCGCAGTGAAGTTAAAAGGCGCAATAGCAGCCCAGAAACCTGAAAGAGTCGTAATGTCAAGTATATATGCAGTATAAATTTATATATAAATAATATGTATAGATTAGTTTTAAGATACCTTCACACGCTCTATAATCTATTTGATTTCTACTCTGATCTAAGCCAATAGGTTGCCAATTTTTCAAATCCAAGGCCCACTGGGCATCAAATCTATAAAAATCAGCCAATTCGCAAGCGGCATCAATTTCAGCCTGAACAATAGTTTTAGCCTGTCCTAGCATAGTAGCAGCTAATAGATCGTATCTGTATTTTCCAGCAACAAGATCGCCTGCTCTTAAAAGTATTGCAGCCCTCTCTTCCAAAGGTTTTCTCTCCCAACTTCTATGAGCTTCCAAGGACACGTTAATAGCCTCTTTAATTTGTTCTTTAGTCGCATAATAAAACTTGGCAACAGGGGATTTATGATCAAAAGGTTTCACTTGCTCTTCAACTTTACGGTTTCTTATCTCCTTATCACCGATAACAATAGGAACATCAAAAACCGTATTTTTATATTCATTTAATTTTGCTTCTAATTTAGCCCGTTCAGGGGTTGACTTGTCAAAGGATAAAATTGGTTCATTAACCGCCTTGAAGGACATACAACGGACTTGTCTGAAAATATATGCAAAACTCTAAATCAATGTATCGGAAATATTTATCTTTTAAGTTGTAAAAATTAAATTATTACGAAAACTTGAAATTTTAAAGCTCAGTTTAGTATAATAAACAAGAAAATGTTAAACTCTGTCAGATATTATTCTCTAGACAAAAGAGAAGAATCTTTCTAATCAAATTCCATAGTTCAACAGTGATTTTAGCAATTTTTAAATCTCAAGATTTTACCACATTAACTGGTTTAGAGGTGCCATTGCCACATATCTAGTAATCGAATAGAACTCTACTTCGAATAAGAAGAATAACTTTGTACATTCAATTTTTGGATTTAGTACGAAATTATTCTTAAAATTTTTCAAGGTTTTCGTTAAATATCTTTCGTCAATTCCAGTTTCTATTACTGATAGTTGGAAAAAAGGTTTTCTACGCAATAGCAAACAAAATACACCGCACATTCTACATTCTCATACCATACTACCGGTGTAGGTTTCACAAGTCTTTCATAAATAGATTAATTCTTCGACCTTAATTAAAGACTTTGACGGCAAATAAAGATAAATCATTTAGTTATTATCTAACAAATGGGTATCAGCTACAAGTAGAAACAAAAGACGTTTCTTGAGGATATTTCTAGAGAAAGATATCCACTTACCGACTAATAGAAGACTGAATTTTTTGAATTCTGGACAAAGCCATACTTTCTCTTTCGATGCTTCTGTATTTAGTCTTATATGAAGTTTTAAACTTTCAAAAATCGCTGTTCTTGAACGACAACGAATGATTACCAGATAGCACAGGAGAATTTATAGTAAAATATTACTACGCCGAGGAAATATAGTTCCTGGAAAAAATAGTTTTTGTAAGTTATATGAGACCATTATATTTTTTTATTAAACACTATTTTTGTTAATAATAGAAATATTAATTCGCTTAAATACAACATTTCAAGGATTTAAGGACATTTTTTAAAAAAAAATAATCAATAAATTGATGCTACTTAAATTCCTAATCCTAAGAATTTAGCAGATGACGTTTTGTAGCTGGTCTTTCTCTTTACAATAGGCCGAAATTAATAAAAATATTCATGAAGCATTTTATTTTACAAAGACTTTTATGAATATTATTGATGGAAATAATGGCTGCGATTTAAATAAACATTAAGAATATTTGATGGTTGCTTTATAATTCAATTTGTAGATTTCATCAAATTAGGAGAGTTACTTAAAAAGACTATGTATTAAGTTACCACTTAGAAGCGTATCTTTAAAAGTCTTAAATGAATAAAGCGATAAAAAGTTGTTGTCAAGGTCGTCTCTATCTGTTTTCCTTATAAATAGTTTTGGTGAGATGAATTGAGAGCATTTAGGCTCAAAATATCATAAGTGCTCATAATTATAGTATTTTTAAATTATCTGTGAGTAAGTACCTTATCTGAAATCATACGTTCACTTATCGAATCTCTAGCACCCCGTTCAGAAGGACGTCTTGTCTCCTTAGCAAAATCACTTGACACAATGAAAAGCAATATTTTTTAATCTGATTGATTATCAAGAATCTCCATTGATTGATTTTTTTTGTGATGTATGTATATATATATATATATATACATATAACAATTAATCAAAGAAAATTACCGATGCCATTCCACTATTAATAGGAAAATAAGCACATTTGTTACAAATAAAATATCTAAATTGAAATCCCCGCCAAAATTAAATATATTTTTGGTGCGGAATTGCTATAAACAAAACTGATAGTTCCCATCTGCTACGTTTGTACAAAATGGGTAACACTGACTCAAAATTAAATTTTCGTAAAGCTGTTGTTGAACTGACAACTAAAACACAGGTAAATTTGTTAATTTGACAATATTATACATATATTAGAAAGAAATCAGTGTGATAAACTACTATGTAAAGAGAAATTTTACTATGATCACTGATCGTCCATGTGTTAATATAGGCTTCTATAATCTAGCATTAAGCTCTATCTGTCAATCAGCAATGATTTTGATATTAACAAACCGTAATAAATATTTCTCAGGCTAAATATTGCTATTTTTTCTAAATTTCAACATTTTATCATTCATTCGCCCGCATAATTACAATGGCAGTTTCTAGTTTTGAAAGCGGATGATTTGGTTAGCATTTTTTAATTAACTTTGTATTTCTAAACTTTAGCCAGTTGAGGCAAACGATCAGGGTTTTTGGGAGCAATTTTGGACTGATGCTGGAATCCAATGCGTTCAAGATGTCTTTGCGCTTATTCCCGCAGCAGAAATAAGGGCGTTAAGGGAAGAAAGTCCTTCGAATTTAGCGACACTATGCTATAAAGCTGTCGAGAAATTAGTCTCAGCTTCGGAAAATGGCTGCAGAACTAATAAAGAACAACAAACTGTTATGAATTGTGTAAGGCTTCTGACGCGAATCCTTCCATACATATTCGAGGATCCAGATTGGAGGGGATTTTTTTGGAATACCTTACCAGGTAATATGACAAGAGTCAGTTCTATCGAATGAAATTACAATCTTAACATTTTCTTATTGAATAGGCCAAGAGCAAAGCGACGAAGAGAACGAATCACTACCGTTAGCCCAGTCACTCTTAAATGCCCTGTGTGATTTGCTCTTCTGTCCTGATTTTACTGTTTCATCTTCATCGAAAAGAGGTCAACCAGATTCACCAGAAGATGTGCGAACAATCGATTCTTGTGAATACATTTGGGAGGCGGGAGTTGGTTTTGCTCACTCGCCCCCTCAAAATTCGACACACGATCAAAATCGGACGGAAATTTTAAAGCTTATTTTAACAACATTTTCAGAAACGATGTACGTTCCAGCTGCTTCTGATAATCAAGCGCAATACAATCAATGGATTTCGTATTTGACTTCTACGGAAAATCGACACGCCTTACCATTGTTTACATCGATTTTAAACGTAATTTGTGGTTATGATCCAGTGGGATACGGCGTTCCCTATAATCACTTAATGTTTAACGATTCGCGTGAACCCCTAGTAGAAACTGCCTTACAATTACTATGTGTTACCTTGGATAATACCGTATCCTCCTGTTCACAAGAAGGACAAAACTCTGAAACAAATGGACCTGATAATTTATTTATCAATTATTTGTCGAGAGTTCATCGAGAAGAAGATTTCGCTTTTATCCTTAAAGGAATAACTAAACTCTTAAACAATCCCCTGATACAGACATACTTGCCCGGAAGTTGTAAAAAAGTACAATTTCATCAAGAACTATTCGTCTTATTCTGGAGAACTTGCGATATAAATAAGGTAAATTAATACTTCTGTAATATGCTATTGATTTATTACTTAATCATTGTTTGTTTTACTTGTAGAAATTTATGTTTTATGTTTTAAAATCATCTGATGTCTTGGATATTCTCGTACCAATACTTTATCATTTAAACGAATCCAGAGCTGATCAATCTAAGGTTGGACTAATGCATATTGCTGTTTTCATTCTACTGCTATTAAGTGGAGAAAGAAACTTTGGAGTTCGATTGAATAAACCATACTCAATTCGTGTTCCAATGGATATACCAGTTTTTACTGGTACTCATGCGGATTTCTTAATAATAGTCTTCCATAAAATTATTACTACGGGACACCAACGTCTTCAACCACTTTTCGACTGTCTGTTGACAATCATAGTGAATGTTTCACCATATTTGAAAACTTTATCTATGGTGGCAGCTAATAAACTCTTACATTTATTGGAAGCCTTTTCAACCCCTTGGTTCCTCTACGCTTCTCCTACAAATCATCATTTGGTATTTTTCCTATTAGAGATATTCAACAATGTTATTCAATATCAATTTGATGGAAATTCTAATCTAGTCTACACAATAATTAGAAAACGCAATGTTTTTCATCAATTGGCTAACTTACCATCGGATCATTTGAATATATCCAAGGCTTTGGCCAAAAGAAATAAGAGAAATATTCCAGGAAATGTCTCGAATGATATTCAAAAATCTATGGAAGGTTCAAGACCAGCAACGGACGCTCAACCGGGGACTTTAAAGGCTACTTTGGCTGCTACTCCAGGTTTATTGCGATAAATTTGTGAATAACAAATGTGTTGTAGCTAATCTTTTTCTATTTGCTTAGGAATTGAAAATATGACTGAAAAAGCTCCAGCCTCAGACGCCCATAAAGAAGAAGAGGAACAGAATGCAGAAAGAGATCCCGAACAAGAAGAAGAAGATACTTCCAGCGATATTGAGCCTAACAGAGAAAGCCCTATACCGACCATGCCAACAATGCCGACTAGTAACTCTCCGATCCCAATGCCTACTCCAAATTTTCCAGATAATGTTGAAACAGTTCAGAGTTGGCTACCATCTCCAGAATGGGTACAGAGTTGGAAACAAAAGCTACCCTTACAGACAATTATGCGTCTGTTGCAAGTCTTAGTACCACAAGTTGAGAAAATCTGCATTGATAAGGGCTTGACTGATGAAAGTGAAATTCTACGATTTCTTCAACATGGCACTCTAGTTGGACTCTTACCAGTGCCACATCCAATTCTAATTAGAAAGTACCAAGCCAATAGCGGTACCACAATGTGGTTCAGAACATACATGTGGGGAGTCATCTATTTAAGGTATAGTTATCAGTTTTTCAACATAAATTTATCTTTTATGTTGAATTTAAAATCTATAAATATATATTATTTTTATTACAGAAATGTCGATCCTCCAATCTGGTATGACACAGATGTTAAACTATTTGAAATTCAAAGAGTTTAAATAAAACAAAAAAAATCTGCTATTAGTATTCTAAATGTATTGTTTAATTGTTGTAATTGTCCTTTTTCGTCAATCGTTCCGATAAACAAGCAAAAATTATTAAATGGGCCTAAAACAATAATCCTATTTGTTTATTTAATATTTAATTCAATAACTAATAAATTATCATATTCAAAGAAATGATTATTTTGTATATTTTTATGATTTTTAAATAGCTTTAAGTGCCATACGGAATTTACAAGAAACGTAAAATTGTTAATAATTGTTTATCAGGAGTGAAAAAAAAAAGAGATAAGGAAATAAATTGCAACCACTACTTGGCTTTTGTTCTACTTCCGGAAGTTGTTCTAGCTGGGGTCTGTGATACAGCAGGTCTTTCTCGTTCTTGTTGATATTCTGCTTCGATTTTGGCATCAATCTTTTCCCATTCGATTTTTACCTGTGCAAAGAGAGAAAGTTTGTGTTTTAGAATTAAATCAATTTTTAAGAGCTGTAGTATATTTTCTATTGATGTTTACATACGCCTTCTGAAAATTGTATGAAACGTTGATTGCTCTCTTTTCTGTCGAAATCCTCTAGATATTTCTTACGATAGCCAATCACTGTATCAACATGAGTTTTATGCTTGACCGCCAATTCCAGTGCTCTTTCCCAATTATATAAATGAATATTAAGCATAATTGCTCGAAAAATTAGAGCCGCCTGAAGTAGAATAGACTCAGCATCTTGAGGACTGCCGCATAATAAGGCCATTTCGGCATTTCTTGCTTCCTTAACTGGAATTTCTTTAATTTGTTGAATAAATTGCACTTTATCCGCCTCGTCCAAAGCTGCGTAGGCTATTTCGGCTGTTGTTAAATCTTTAGCATAGGCTGACATAGCAGCTAAACATGCCCACAGACTTTCTTCCTGTTTTTTTTTATTATATACAAATAATTAAAATAAATCATATTTTATTTGCCTACATCGACAAATCTGCAGAGACGAGTAGCATCATCCCACTTCGATTGATTAACATGTGAATGCAGCACAGCTGGATATGGAGAGACTGACGTCGTAACAAGCGATCCATCATTTCGTCGTAGTGTTAAGGTATTTCCATAGAAACTAACAAGTTGTGGGCTCTTACCGAACTGACTAAAATTTGATGATGAGAATAAGAAATGTATAATCATATTTTTAATAGTAATGAACAATAATGAATGTCCTAATAAGGTGTTATTTTTACCTGGCATCTTTCGAGACAACTATCTTGTGTAGCATATCTCTATCAACGTACACTGCATTTGGGTAATACCAAATATTAACCTTGCCTTCTCCCATTGCAGCCAACATAGAGCTTTCATCGCTCCATCTAACAGTTTGAATCATAGTGCATAGCTTGACAATTTTTCTTGCGGAACCGAATACTCTAACTTGAACAAGCCATAGATCTCTATTTTTGTCGATAACTGCTAAACGACGTTCATTCGCAATGCCACTCTGATCAAGGGAAATTTCAATAACTTCGACTGAATGAGAAATAGGTTTCCCATCTCCCAAAGCTTTACCAGTCGATGTATCGAAGAGATGAATAACTGTTTTAATTAAATGATTTATAGCTACATTATTATTAAATTTTCCTGAAAATATTAACGTTTCTCATCAGTTTTATCTCTGATGGCTAAGGTATCATCACTTAGAGATATAGTATGAAAGTTTAGGATATCCGTTCGCATTCCATTGAAACGAGGCGTACAAATTAATCTACCTTCGTAGCTGTATATGTAGACGCTTGATCCATCAACCAATAGTAAATATCTGTAAAGTATTTTTAAATCGATTAGTTTAAGTTATCTTCCTAAATTTCTTTTCAACTTACTTTTCCGATTGCACAATTAGAGTAATGCTGCCTTCTTTCAAATCAAATATAATAGGGGTATTCCAATTTTTTGTCCTTTTAAATAAAAGTATGAAAATAGAGGATGAAAATTTAAAAGTTTATCTCTTAACTTACGCATAAATGTAACATTGTGTTGCTGTAGCAACTACAAGATATTTATATCCTATTGATACTTTAATAATCCTATCTCGAAAGTCCAATTTTTCTTTAGCGTCATTTGTAACGTTTCTAACATTTATCGTTTTGCGAGCAACAACAGTCACTTCATAATTTTTCCATTCAATTCGGTTCTCTATGACATGTGCAAAAATAACCTGACCATTTCCACATGCTCCGGAAACTTGGGTACTATCGCTTGACCAGGCTAAACTAAACACACTGCCTGTATTAGGTTTCTCCAACGAATAAGACCACTAAAAAAGGAAGAATTGTGAAAAATCAGCAAATTTATTGAATATTTGAATTATTTACCCCTGTTCTATCACATAGTCTTAGAGTATTAAATGATCCTACTGCAAACAATTGCCCATCCACAGACCAAGAAATTGCGGTGATTGGATAATCATGTATAGGACTGGAGTACAATTGCCTTCCATAGCTATCCCAAACCTAATCGATAATTCAAAAATATTTAGAAATATTATTAGTAACAAAATAGCAAACAATAGCTTGAAGCTTTACCTTGTATTTACAATCTTCTCCACCGGAAACTATAAGATTGTTTACTTGATTCCAATCGATGCTAATAATCAATCCATCATGACCTTTCCACTAAAAGAGAGACAGATAGAGGTTTAACATTCCCAAACATTCTCTATTTGAAATATTTTACTTACAGTATTAGCTTTAGCATTCGGCTGAAGGGGTTTAATAACAAGATTTTTACCATTAGTATGCAGGATATGATCGTTATCGGGATTCCAACATGCAGCATAGATAGGAGACGCTTTAGTGAATATATTTATTTTGTGTTTGTTTTAATGAATAGGAAGATTACTTACTTATTTGAGATAAGGTAGATCTTAACATTCCACTACGAGACCATATTTTAACTTGACCATCTTCTCCGGCTGTGTTTATATAAATTTAAATATATTAGTATATATATATATTTATTTATTTATAGCAAAGTTATTCATACTTGATACTAAGGCTGTGCCATCATAACTCCACCTTGTTGATAGCACTGCTCCTCTATGCGCATCCACCGTCTTTTCAATTCTTCCTCCTTTTGTGACCAGGAGCAGCTTTCCATCACAAGAACCTAATACGAACAGATCAGATCCTCCTTGTTTCTTTCCACCACCTGTTACTGTCTTAGGGAACCAGTGCATGTCCGTTGGAAAAACATCTTCCGGTAGCTTTGCTAAGACTGATGATTCTCCGGAAACATTCCATTTCAAAATTTGATGGTCATCTGAAGCTGAATACACCTCCTCCGGTGTCGTCCATCCAACGCAGCTGACCAATTCGGTATGCTTAGGCTCTTTTAGAAGACTTGTCTTGAATCTCATATCTTTTAGTTGCTCTATATATTCACAATACTTATATTAATACCAATTATTGAATTACAAGTCTCAATCTATAACTTTATATTGTTGATTTATTAAAAGGATTCCGAAAAAATTTCGAACGCTGTTTCGAAAAAACTATTTACGTCGTCTGCTACACAAAAATGTGTGTGGTTGCCTTGCCAATAAAAGTGTCAACAGAAACAATATAGTTGTACTTATTTCAGTTATATAATGTTCATATAACTTCTTTAGTCGATTTCAACCAACCAAATATTTTATTTATTTCATTTTAACTATTTGTATTTACTGTCGTTGTATTTCTTTATCATTTAGCCATAATCTAACTGATCACGTGACTAAATAGTTTGGAACAAAACCGCTCAGCTTTTAGAAATTAAAGAACAGCACAACTCTCATATTTATTGAATAATATCAAAAAATTTTCCATTAAAAATATTATATTTAATTTATATGCAACTTTGGCGGTAGATGTTGTAATTTTTGCAAGTTGAAAAAATACTTGTAAGGAACATTAGAATAAAATTTTCAAACTTCTTATAATATCGCTCTTCTTATTCTATTTTTTTATTTTAAAGTTAAATTAAAGTAAACTAATAGAAAAATCTTATATTTTATTTATTGTCTTGGCCAAAATATAATCTTTAGAAATATCACAGTTGGCAAAAAAAATACATTTCTTGATTGAAAATATCAAAAAATTGGCACAAAAAGTATTAAGCATTAGCATTACATATGATATCGTTACTTTTTACACCCAACTGTAGTTATCAACCCAAACCATTTTCCCAGTTTCTGGATCACGTACAAAGCCACCTTGAAAGTCGGCAAAATTGATATGCTTTCCAGAACCCTTTAACATTTTTGCAACAGCTTTTTCCCCAAAAACTTGTTCCAGAAGTCCCCTTTTAAGATTTGTTAAACCAGCAGCTTCTTTCATCTGTTCAAAATATTCCAAAAAAAAGATGAATATTTGAATAATTTAATAAAAACTACTTCTGAAAAAAATAAACAAAACAAAAACAAAGTTGAGTTATTTCATTCTTTTTTCTTATCAAATAAAAAAACAAAACAAAACAGTAGAAATGAATAACTTTCCACTAATAATTGCTTTTTTTTAAGTTAAAATTACTCAACTCTATTAATAAATCAATGTGATAATCAATTACTGTTTTAGAAAAACTTGTGAGAAATACAGAATAGAGAAGCTTATCTCTTGACACAATTTATGTGATAAATGAAAAGCAACAATTTGTAAATAGGTGTTCATTTTCAAGTGAGGAAAACCGTTTAATTTTGGTGCTTTTTATTATTATTTTTTGTTTTTTTTGGTGTTAGTAAAACGATACTTTAGCTTGTTTTATATTGTTTATTTAACGCATCCACTCACACGTGTGTCATTTGAACTGCCGTACCCGACAGGTGGTGCTTTGCGCACTTGTTTCAATTTATCATCTTCGAAAGTTATGATAGATTCACGTTTCTGATAGATGAATGGTTTTTTTTATATAAAAAAAGAAAATAAAGTGAAAAATAAAAGATGAAACTGGTAAAACACGATAAAGCTGATGAAAATCAGTTTTATCTGATATACAAATGCTATGGTTCATATATACAGTATATGTAGTATTTGTATAGTTTATAAATAGTGGGGTATTAAGTTTATCATATAGCAAATCTTTTAAGACTATATTATTTACCTTTTGCTCTTTTCTTATAGCTCTAGGATCCATTAATTGTTTTAAAGGTACTTTTCCCTTATTGGCATCAGTTGCAGGGGTAGGACTATCAATTCTTCCTTTACGAGCCATATTAGTTGGGCTTTGCGATACCCCACCCACACGTATGCATTCTTCCTTGTGCCTTGCATTCCATGCCTTCATTTTGCAGACTTTTGAGCAGTAGAACACTTCTTTGCATCGAGTACATGCAGTTAATTTGACACCAACAGATCTTCCACATTCATAGCAGTATTTAAAAAGAGCTTTCCTATTTTTGTTTTCAAAAAGAAATTTCTAAATTAATTTCTTATCTCTATAGCTAAAAATAAAAGTGTGACGCAGAAAACAATGATAGTGAAGGCAAACCACAAATATTTTCCAATTTTAGCTGGTTAGCATGAACAAATTAGTAAGATACAATAAGAATTCGAATAAAGTGGTTAAACTGTTAATTATTTTAGTTTAAAAGTATCGAAAAGTACATCAAGTTGATCATATTAGCTTTTTATCAGATAAGATATAATCAAAGCAAGTAAGCATACGAAGAAAATACAAAGAACAATCAGACTATGTTTCTGTCACCTGATTTTTGTGGTCTTTCTATCGTGTCTAGCTAAAACGGAACTAAGTGGTGTTCCGTCTGTAGCGTCTATTACTATAATTCCGTCTCTGCGATACATTAGGATTGTCGTCTAACTTTTTTGCATAATTTACTATGTGTTTTTAATAATTTTCCTACCTTTCTTTCGATATATGATCACCGTCAATGCCTCCAGCCGGTACCAATCGTCCTCCCTTTCCTTTCATACCTGGAGGGAGATGTCTTCCCGAGGCTGTATATACAAAATTCCGACTAGGACTTGAGCCTTTAAAAGAAAAATTGTTATTGAATATAGCTCTCTATATAGCTCTATCTTTCTTTTCAGGAAAGATAATTAATTATATCTACTTGTATCGCCTGATTTATGTTCCTCTTCAATTTTCCTCTTCTCTCTTTCAACGGCTTTAAGTCGTAAAACTGATCCTACGTGAGCTAAAAGTTCTCTTCTAGAATTATAAATTAACCTTTCTGCCGGATTCAAAGCATGATACGGCATATGAGCAATTCTTCTATCAAGGTTGAAGTTATAATAGGCATAATCCACTGCGGTACCCATCGATCTCTTCGGTCCGACAGGAACTGGGGCTAAAACATCTGCTCCAGATAAAACCAATTTGTCTATTAACTTTAATCTCTCTCGGGGAGTTCTTCTGTTTTCATGCTCAGTGACTGTGGCCACGCATAAAGCAGTCCCAACACCGTGGGTTAGAGTAAGATTGGGGTCCGCTCCTTTCTTAAGTAATTCGTGTATAGCTCCATCATTACCGCTAATAATGGCTAGTGCTAATGGGGAATGGCCATTAACTAATAGATTTGGATCAGCGTGGTGATCTAAAAGAAGCTGAACGATTTTACTAGAAACTCTGTAGTTATCTTCCCGTGCACAAGCGATGTGTAGGGCAGTTCTTCCTCCAAGTCGTGACTGACTCTCTTCACTAATCCTATCTTTCATCCATTCTTCCTCCAAAGTTGTGTTCAAGAATGAATCATCTTCTGCAGCCCTTGCATCTGGATCTGCAAGAGCGTTTAATAACAATTCCGTGATAAGTTCTCCCTCTTCGCCAGGTAAGGCTGAAGCTATGTGTAGGGGTGCCAAACCGCCTTTCTGGTCCGGTAATTTCTCGCTTGTGCTAGCTTTACATAATAATAATAATCTGACAGCTTCAACGTCGGCAGCCTTGATAGCGAAGAATATAACTGGCATTGGAACATTACTTGAGTTAGGATCGGCTCCCCTTTTCAATAATAGCCGAATAGTCTCCGCCATCATATCTTGCCTAAAAGAAAAGACATATTGTAAAGTTTACTTACATTGTATTATGACAATAATAAACAATTAATAATTACTCGGCTCTTTCAATAGCTAATCTTCGAACTGTACCTAAGCTTTCTTTACCACTTGCTGCACTCCTGTTTCTGTCAACGACCATTGAATTGGAATGCAATTCATTTGCATATTTATCTATCATTTCATCAGTAACTTCAATTTGTAAATTTTCGATACTATTTCCCGATTCGAACTCTTCAATTGGTTGAGGAGATTTAGTTTCGGAGGTTCTGTCAACATCGTCAGTTGTACTATCATATTTATTTCTACCATATTCAATTGCTTCCAGATCATCTTCTGTTATTGCTAAAATTTCTTCCACGTCTACCTTCTCAGCTCTATTTACATTTAATATGCTGCTATCGATTCCAACTTGTTGAACTAGAGAAGGATGCGGACTCTCAATCTCAGGGAATTTTACGTCTTCGTATTCCTTACGAAACTTGTCTATTCTCTTCCTTTGGAGAGGAGTTATAGTTTCTATGTTTGATTTTTCAATCATAATAGATAATTCTTTCCTCTTTTCCATTTGTTGAGCATGTAAAATATTTTTAACAGCTTCATAAGGATCATAACCAGGCTCTCTAGGAAAATCCTCAGGAAGCTCCGCTAAACTTTTCTCGGCAATGTTAGGCTTGAATGTATCGTTTGGATAAAAGAATACATGACAAGCACCCAATGCTGACACTCCTTCGTCCGTTACCTTGTTAACGTTGGCTCCTGCATCTAACAGGATATTAATTATTTCAGTTCTCCAGTTTATAGCTGCACTTATCAAGGCGGTAAAACCAGAGACATCCGCAACGTCAGGGTGGACTTTCTTTGAAGATAGAAGAAAATCTACTGTCGTTTCGTCACCAGACTTAGCAGCCAGAATAAAACTCTCAGAAGCTTTCTCGATAGAACCTGGTGAACCATATCCATCTCTCTTGAAAGTTAATAATTTATTCATATCAAAAGAGGCATTATGTTGATAAGGTTTATGCCTTATTATATGCTTTTGCATGTTAACAAGCGAAGTTGTTCTGTTCCAAGCCACTATTCTATTCATATCCCTTTTCCTTTCTCTAGTTTCTCTAGTAGAAATTCTCGATTTCTTTTCAGGAGATTTACTCTTTCTTGATGAACTTCGTGACTTTTTTACACTAGAAGATTTTAATGAAACATTAGAGATTTCCGATTCTAAACAATCAGCCTTGGCACTAGTTTCTTCTGTTTTAATACTGTCTGAGCTTGGTTGAGCATCTAAATGCAAACTTTTGGCACTGATTTGTCGTTTTTGCTCCTCAAAAGGTGTTTGAGTATTTCTTAATGCACTTTGGGAATACTCTATTTCAAAATCATCAATATTTGGCACTCTAGTATCAGAGATAGGACATTTTAAAGCCAAAGTCCTGGGTTCTCTCTCGAGTTCTCCTACATTACATATATCATCAATAAATGTAAAATGGTCTTCTGCGATGTAATCGAATTCTTTATGGTCTCTAATTGAAAAGGAACCTTCAATGCTTGATAAAATTTTTACTAAACGCTCTCTCTCCCATAATCCAACATCCTGCTCTCCATTTATGTAAGTTTGAACACCAGGTCCGAATCTTTCGTCATTTTTGTATAGACCCTACAATTTATCGAATAGAAGTGTTTGGAAAAAAATAACAATAAAAACAATCTTACGTCGAATTTAGCTTCTCCTTGACTGACAAAAGACCCATAACCTTCTCTGTTGTTCATAAAAAATAGACCTGTATAGCTAGAACCATCAGGCCAAGTATATCGGCCCCATCCGTGTCTTTTGTCTCTATAGAAGCTTCCTTCGTAACTCTCACCATTTGACCATTGTTGAAGACCCTGGCCCTGACGGGAATCGGCAACAAATTCTCCATTGTAGACACTTCCATCAGGCCATAGTTGTCTCCCTAATCCACACCGAACGTTATCTTTAAATTCGCCCTCATACTGAATACCATTTGGCCAAACAAAAGTTCCTCTACCGCATTTTAAATCATTTTTTATTTCACCTAAAATCGAATTTATTGAAAAAAGTCGCCAAGCTTTAAGAAGAATTCTTACCTTTGAAGTAGGCTCCTGATTCATAATCCTTTCGAATTTCGATTCTGGTTTCACTTGCGGTAGATAAGTTTGGCAATGCACTAGTTTGATAAGAAAGTTTACGTTCGGTCATATCAATTCATAATTTTTTTAATAGGCTCCTTTACAATAAAATAAAATTTGGCAGAATCGTTTCGAAAGGTATATTTACAAGTCTGCTTGAACGAGCAGCTCGTTGCTAAGAAACAGTGAAAACTTCCGGTATTAAAAACATGAACAAAAATTACTAACTAATTATATAAAAAATTAATAATATATTACAATATAGAATACTATGAATTAGATGAAGCAAAAAACAAGAATTAACATTTCTATTTCTTTTATTTAAAAAGTATCTGCAAAGTAATCATGCAAGACAAAATTTTATAAATGGTGAAGTTTAGCGCCAAATGTAAAAGATTAAAACTATGAAAAAAGTATTTATTTACACAGCAATACTGTATGTAATATTAGAGATAGCTTTACTTTGTTAATATTTCATTTTTGTATTATTATATTATTAAAAAAACAAACGTAAGATGATACAACAAGTAGTTTTTTTAGATATTGTGAAAAAGAAATTGTTAAAGTGGTTTCCTAAGAGTTTTCGACCACAAACCAGTTTTTTGTATATTTCACAGTGTCCTTAAAGGTCGTTTGCTGCGTTACTTCTTCTTCCGTTTTTATCGTCGGCGACGGCCATTTTGTTTTTGGAGGACTCGAGTGACCGATCGTTATGAGTTCGTCGAGAATTTCCGTATCTCTAGCTAGACAATTGCCACGAATCTTGGGACAGGTTAGTTAACTAATTACACACGAACTTTATGCAACTTAGAAGAGCAAAACAAATAGTTTTATTGTCTGTTTCGGCATTATTCCTCGTGTAACAAGTCTTTCTTTTATGAAGGTTCCCAAAAGGGCAGTCGGAGCAAGCTTCATTGCAAGCCGTAAACTCTCGACAACAAAAGTCTTTGGCGCCTCCGCTGAAATTTCAACCATCTTGGAGGAGCGCATCATGGGACAAACCAGCAAAGCTGACCTAGAAGAAACTGGAAGGGTATTGTCCATTGGTGATGGTATCGCCAGAGTATACGGTCTAAAGAATATACAAGCAGAAGAGATGGTAGAATTCTCATCTGGATTGAAGGTTTGACTTGTACTTTTCTGTCGTAATGTCAAATAAACGTGTAAAGGTTACAGGGTATGGCTTTGAACTTGGAACCTGATAATGTTGGTATCGTAGTTTTCGGAAATGACAAATTGATCAAGGAAGGAGACATTGTAAAGAGAACTGGAGCTATTGTAGATGTTCCAGTAGGTGAAAACATTTTGGGAAGAGTTGTCGACGCTTTAGGAAACCCCATCGATGGAAAAGGTGCCATCACCGCAACCGAAAGAATGAGAGTTGGTGTTAAGGCTCCAGGTATCATCCCCCGTATGTCTGTAAAAGAACCCATGCAAACTGGATTAAAGGCTGTAGATTCTTTGGTACCAATCGGTAGAGGTCAAAGAGAGTTGATCATCGGTGATCGTCAAACTGGTAAAACTGCAGTTGCTATCGATACTATTATCAACCAAAAAAGATTCAACGAGGGCAAGAGCGAAAAGGAAAAATTGTACTGTGTCTACGTCGCTATCGGTCAGAAGAGGTCAACTGTAGCTCAGATCGTAAAACGTCTTACTGATGCTGATGCCATGAAATACACAATCATTGTAAGCGCTACTGCTTCCGATGCCGCTCCTCTGCAGTACTTGGCACCTTATTCTGGTTGCACTATGGCCGAATTCTTCCGTGATAACGGTAAACACGCTCTAATCATCTATGACGATTTATCGAAACAAGCCGTTGCTTATCGTCAAATGTCTTTGCTTCTGCGTCGTCCCCCTGGACGTGAGGCCTACCCAGGAGATGTTTTCTATTTGCATTCGCGTCTTTTGGAAAGAGCAGCCAAGATGAACGATACTTTGGGCGGTGGTTCCCTGACTGCTCTTCCCATAATCGAAACCCAAGCCGGAGATTTGTCCGCATATATTCCGACCAACGTTATTTCGATTACTGATGGGCAAATTTTCTTGGAAACTGAATTGTTTCACAAAGGTATCAGACCAGCCATCAACGTAGGTTTGTCTGTAAGCAGAGTAGGATCTGCTGCTCAAATCAAGGGAATGAAACAAGTTGCTGGCTCAATGAAATTGGAATTGGCCCAATACAGAGAAGTAGCTGCTTTCGCCCAATTCGGTAGTGATTTGGATGCTGCTACTCAGCAACTCTTAAATAGAGGAGTACGTTTGACGGAATTATTGAAACAAGGACAATATGTTCCAATGGCCGTTGAAGATCAAATCGCTATTATCTATTCGGGAGTAAGAGGTAGGTTTAAAGAAAATAATTGAAAGTTTTGTTCTCATGAACTTAATATGTTAGGTCACTTGGATAAAATGGACCCTAGCCAAATCACCAAGTTCGAGGCGGCCTTCACTGAACATTTGAAGGCATCTCACCAGGGCTTGCTAGATAATATCCGTGAAGCAGGACAAATTTCTGATGATGTAGATGCGAAACTTAAGGAAATTACATCTACCTTTGTCGCCGGTTACCAACCTTAAAGTAACAATCCATTTTAGCGCGCTTATCGGTCGGTGGTGTGTAACATTTGACGTTTCTCTAGCGTTTCGTAAAAGAATATAGTTAATTTCTATTGTTTAAAACATGCGTGCGAGGTTGAATACACGAAATCGTATGATTTAACTATCTGAATCAGTAATTGTTTTTCCTGAAGTTAACAATGGACAAAGCTCTGGCTCAGAATCAGAGTCACTAGTGTCTGAACTGGAGTAAGGTCCTAAACCGGGTAAAATTCCAACTGGTTGCAAGGCTGATACTTCAGTTTTCAACTGCTTTGGGGCAACAAAAACTTCCTTTGAATCTGACTCTCTTTTTCTTCGGATAGCTCCAGCCAGCAGTGAAGCTTGGCTCTTGACTGGAGCAGCTTTAGGAAGGCTTTTTTTCACAATAGTTTCGCCTAAAGGTTTAACTACAACGTAATCCTATGAAAGGTATTCAGGAGATTATTACAACTGGCAAATGATTTAAATTTTCTCTTACATCGATTTCTTGCATTATGCTGGAAAACTCTTGATTCCTTTTTTTTTCTATTTCATCTTTTTGATCATCTACTTGCTCCAGGAACCGAACTTCATCTTCATCGAGCCCTTTAACACGATTCTTTTCTCGTTGTTCTTCTTCCCAACTCTCTTTTTGCTTTTGGCGTTGCTCTGAAAGACGATCAAATAAGGGTCGATCCTCTTCCGGAGCTTCTAAGGGGTCATTTGCTCCACGAACTTTTTCCCATTCCTGTTGTCTTCTGTGGCGCTTCTCCTCGATCTCATCTTCAGTTACAAATTTTTTCCCAACATTCGAGGACATTGGACACAAAGATATTATGGATGATGTCTGAATGAAAATTCGAAGTTACTATTATACAACTTCATAACGGATGCTATATTGATTGAAGCATGCTTAATGTAAACGTTAGCTCGGATAATTTTCTATTTTATCGCTCAACATAGACGTTTTTCAATTTTTCTTCTGTACTAAATATAGAATATAAATTTTTAAATTAAAAACTCACATCTAAGCCAGAATATATATGGAAATGTAAAATAGTCCGTTAAAAAGGGAACGAAAGCACCGATTTTTTCCTTTAAAGGCTCAAATTCACATAGAAAAACGGTAGGGAATTCCACCAGTTTACAGGAACTAATTTCCCAGCTTAATGTTTTCCCCTTTTAAATAGGCGTGTATGAACTTGGTATAACTGAGTTATATAAGTAAAATTTTATCAGACTAGTTGTTACTCATTTACTGACATTCACTGACACCACATTCTTTATTTCACTCTTTTGTTAATTTTCTTGTTAAAACATATCTTGTCATGTAATGGCCACTTCGGCAAAGAAACAGAAATTAGACAGCTCCGACGAAGATTCCTTACCAACATGTCCATATGGGGCTAAATGTTATCGGAAAAATCCAGAACATTTTAAGCAGTACATTCATAAAAAGGATAAACTAGCTAATTCGACTTCAAAGCCGGACTCTACTACAGCTGTTGATACAAGCAAACTGCCACCTTGTAAATATGGATCGAATTGTTACAGGACAAACTTATTGCACTTTGCCGAATATTCTCATCCGTTTGGTAGTGCACCCATTAAAAATGATAGCGATACAGAAGACTACGACAGTGACAGTGATTCCAGTGTTCCACGAGTTAGCTATTTTTTGTTTTTTCTTTTGAATGAATATATTTATATAGAATTGTTTTGTAGACAGATGAAATTCTACTGAAGAAAAGTTTCTCAAATATGACGGATTCTGAGCGTAGAAAGTTAGTGGAGGATGCCTTCGCTGAAAAGAAAAGACTGCAAAAAGAACTTGAAAAATCGCGAAATATCATAGAAGAAAAAGAAAAGGAGATGGAAAAACTCCAAGAAGAAGTTAATAGGGGTGTTTTACTTGTAGATGGCGAAAAGGAGGCTCTTGAGGGGAATGAAACTAAATACTTTCCGTTATTTGCTGAACGTTCATATAAAGAAGGTTCTGCCGACCAACTTCATTTCCGTTTAGCAGAATCCCAATTCTACCGACTTTTGGGAGGCAATAATTTTCGTATAACCAAAGTTGAATATGTGATAAATCCTGTACTGGTGGCCAACTTTAAAGAAGCTCAAGAGGAAGTTAAAAACAAAAGGGGTGAAGAATACTCTTATCCGATTTTGGCTTTTCATGGAACCGATCAAAACAATATTACACCGATTTGTGAAAATGGATTTAAAGTACCAGGTGATAAGGGATTTAAACATAAGACTGATACAGGGTATTACGGAGCGGGTGTTTACTTTAGCGAATACCCCTCTTACGCGATGAGCTATATTCGAGGTGGTTCAAAATTATTACTGAGCCAAGTAATTCAAGGAAAAATTTTTAAGTGTCAAGGCCTTATTCAAGGTAGACCGTGTGAAGATAATTATGATTCTCATACTTCGCCGTGTAAGAAGGAAATAGTCATTTTTCACTCTGATCATATCCTTCCACAATATATCGTACATTATAAACAAGTAGCCGGAGAATTCCGTTATATAAAACCGAAAGAAAAAAGGAAACCATTTCCCGGAGGACGTAAATTAAAAGAACTATTCGAAGAAGCAGATAAAATGAAAGCATCAAAGTTAGTATTAGAATTGTTCATATTTCATTCTAAAATTAATTATTTTTCTAAAGAATTCTTAGTGGACAACATTTTAAATTGTCGGGAAGAATGATAGCAACGCAGAGTAAAATTAAATCACTTGTTGAAAGACACGGTGGTATATTGTCAACAAGCACGTTGTATAATGTAATACATGTTTCAACCATTGACGAGTGGAAAAAATCAACAAAAACAACTACTGCAATTACGGGAGCATTCGGTGGAACAACATCTTCATATGCAATGACTGTTAGGGAAGATTTTTTTTATGATAGCATAATTGAAGGTGAAAAGGCAGATCCTGAAAATTACGCTTTGGATGATTGAATGTTTGATATTGTGTTAGGTCTGCATTTCTCTCTATATAATTTCCTATCCGGGGAAGAACATGAAGTTGTTGGTTCAACATTTGTTGATATTTCATTTACTCTTGCTATTCTATGTAAGCTTCTTTTGTACTTTGCCACATTTTTCATAAATCGAGGAAGACGTAAACAATTCATCCTAGCTAATCGCTTTACACGATTTAAATCACTTAGTACAACTTTTCCTGAGTACAGGACGTTGAAATCGATTGAGTCCAAATTTTTGAGTATTGTTATAGCACCTTCGAAGTAAACTTGGTCCCCTCCATGGCCACCGGCAGCATTAGGATCTGGCAATAAGCGTTTGACTCTCAATACATATCGCCATCGAGTGTCCTTACAGCTTAAATAGCGACCTAGGTGATCGAACAACTCCTTGAAGGTCATTGTTTCAGACAAACATGCAACATAGTATAATATTGCAGGTTGCCATAGTAATTTACTTTTGGCATTTAAAGTCGTGTTTAAGGAAGCTAAGCCCTCTTCGGTTGATGACCATTCCCTAGTCTCTCTGGTTTTCAAACCAAATTTCTTTCTATCGTTAAACCAAGGCTGATATCCGTCATTGTATGCTCGAATGTAGTGAGTTGCGATTTCGTGATCCGCCAGGCAACCAACTCCTCTTTCTCGTAAATAATGGTTTTTACTATTAATTAATAAAGTGAACTTTCTATTATCCAATTTGTTTGAACCAGAAGTATAGACAATTTTTGAGGAACAAACTAATTTAGGAGATAAATACACTAAAATCTCTCCAGTTAATCCACAATCATCTAAATATTCCATCCACTTTTGAGAGCTGGTCTCGGAATCTAAACACTTACCATATGCGTAGTTAAAAAAATTAATAGCATCTCCAAAAGTATCTCGACATTTTTCTAAAATTCTTAAAGCTTCAAAGAAAAATTCCCTTCTAATTACTCTTTGTTTCTTTTTCGTTTTAGACAAGGCAGAGCCTTTTTCAGTTACTAGAGTTGTTAATTCTCCGCTTTCGAAGAACATTTCCTTCTGCTCGTCAGCATTACTCGGAAACCATTTGCCATTATACTTTGACGGTGCTTTGTCTACAACTTTAAGAACGGTGTATTTTTTCTGTCTAACAGACATTTCCAAAAATATTCGAAATTCTCTTCACAAAATAAATTTATATATATGAAATGCTTTTTCAACTCGTAATCAGTTTTTAAATATCTTAGCGTAACGTTTCTGTAGTATATTTCATTTATATCTATGCTATTCTTGTATTCTCATATAATATTTCCCTTTTCATGAAACGTTACCAATGTAAACAATGAAATAGTCGGCATTTCCAAATACACCCGGAAGTGACGTTATTTCGAAAAAGAGGCTCACCGGAAACACGTAAAAACCTTTTCAATCTCTCAGTCAATAAACGAGCACTTTAGAAAGAGCTTTCATTCTGCAACGATGTCCGAAGCCCGCCAAATTACACTTGCAGAATTGGAAAAACATAAAGATGGAAAATCCTGTTGGATGGCAATTCATAACAAAGTTTATGATGTAACTAAATTTTTGGAAGAGGTATGTGACCTTTTTAAATCATACGACTGGTAATTTGAGTAGACTTTGAACGAATATATCATGTTGTGAAAGTCATGCCTTTGAAGTATAGTAGGATAATCTAAAACCAATGCATAGTATATAAATAAAGTTTGACTACCAATTTAGAAAAAAATCAGATAAAATAGCTATTATTTATATTTTTTTAATTTCTTTTAGCATCCTGGTGGAGAAGAGGTTCTGCTTGAACAGGGAGGTGGATATGCAACAGAAAGCTTTGAGGATGTTGGACATTCTGTTGACGCTCGAGAATTAATGGAAAAATATGAAATCGGAATTTTAACTGATTCAGATAAAGAAACCCGAGAGGAAAAGGTGAATTATGTTTCCTCATTAATATAACGTTATATAGCATGTGACAAAGACTAATTATTTAAACTTAAATCAGAGCACATCTAGCTGTTGTCTGAGTTGATGCTGACTTAAAATACTGGTAATTTTATACCATAGGGTTCTATGATAGTTAGGAGAAATATTTAGGCCTAAGTAGTACAAGTGCAATAACTGTGACGGTGACTCTAACTCGTGCTCTTATCTCATGCTTTAGTGTGATTTATATTTGCCATTTTTTGAAACCAGGCATCAACTTACTTGCCAGAAGGTACTTCATCTACAGGGTTAGTTATTTTGAAAAATTTTTAAACTCTCTTCTAACTATATTGTTTACTTTCACAGAAGTTGGACAGCTTGGCTTATCCCTCTCTCTATCGCCATCGGCTCTGCACTCCTCTATCGCTTCTATATATCCCAACAGTAACAAATATATTTGTAACAAAGCTGTTTATAATCCAAAGTTACAATACATAGAGTTTATATGAGAAACTAATATACTAATTCTATTGTTAGCTTTATACTCTATCATATTAAAGAGATTATTAAATTATGTTAACTGTCAAAGATGAATCAATTTGCTTTTCTCGTTCCAATGTGAGGTATTGCTCTCGACCTGTTAAAATCTTATTGAAGCCCCTGCAAGAGTAGGGAGATTGTAGAGTATTAGGATTATTGGATAAGTATTTGTTATATTGATTCCATAGACGAGCACAGTGAGGGAGGATGCTATGAAATGCTTCTGAAAATATCGTTGGACTAGGATCTTCTTTCCTATAAATCTTTACGATTGCACTAACAATAGGTTCAGATACATTGACCTGAAGTCTGGGCTCGATAGAGGATTGAAAGAATCTGTTCGTTATCATTATACATTTATTGCGAATTATATTTATCATTTCCTTCTTTGAACATTTTGCGTCTTCTAAAGCTCGAAAAGCACTCCACAAATAGTTATAGCGAAGAACCTCAGCCAAAAATTCCAAATCGTTCAGTAGCTTTTCTTTGAAAATGTGCTTAGAACCGACCTGAATTCTAGTTCTTGATCCTTCAATTAATGTAAGTGAATTGCTTGCTGATGGTTTTGGACTGAATACTTTTGAGCTAACACTGACAACGTGTAACAAGTCCTTGTTAAGAGTTTTGATAATAATTTTAAAGAAACTGTGTTACTTATCTCTTGTATTATATATTTAAGCATTTTATTACGAGAGGTATACGTGTTCAAGGTTGAAAAGAGGGCACATAGTAGAAAAGCCTTTTTCTTGAATGAATTCCTAGTTTTAAAAATTTTGACAGTCTTTCCGAAGTTTAATAGATATCGTTTAGTAAGTTTCACTTTCTTTCGTTTATTCTTCGAGATGAGAAATGAATGTAATTTTTTAATTTCTACGACCCTCGTCAATGAACTATTCGCCTATATTTAAAAATTTTTACGACAAAAAAAACTGAACAAAAAATTCAATATTCACTTCTTTTGAATAGAAATCTTTTGCATATAGACCTGCATTTGAATAGAAACTTTTTACATATAGACCTGCATTTGAATATATATATTTTTATTTATAAGCGATGATTTTTTCAATTAATTGAAGCTATCCAACCTAGTTTTTGATGACTTCTAGTAGAATTAAGTTGAAATGTACCAGTATCCTTTTTTTCATACTTCAACTTATTTTTAGCTTCATACATCTTTGCAGAGTACTTTAGGATGCCCTCAGCATTTGGTCTCATCATGATATTCAATGACTCGTGAGATATTGGTTTTTTAGATGAAATATTTCGTATAGTACTATATTTGTTCATACATTTTTTTGACTTTGTTTTAGGACGGTTGATAGAATTTTCAACACCAGAATAATTAAGTTTTATAAATGTTTTATCATTCTTTATACTTTCAAATATATTGCTACTATCTTTGTTTTGCATTAGAGTAGGGGTCTTTTCTGCCTTTATCATATAATTCCCCAGGGAGATGGCTGTAATTTAACCATTATAAAGTTATTAGGTAAAATAAGAATTTAACAACCTTTCTTAGAAGGAGACTTTTTGCGATTATTGGCTGATGTCGCTAAAGTTAAACTGAGCATTTTGTTCGTACGACTTTCCTCGTGCAACTCTTGAAAATCTTTCAAATCTACGCCATTTTGCAAATTTTCTAAAATTAATTTCATATTTAAACAATGAATTTAATAAATAACCGTATTCAGATAAACTATTTAATGATTCTAATGCTTTCGTTATTCTCTTTTGAGTCGTTCCTTCTCGTTTACCTTCGTATTCACGACTGCTGATTGACAAGTTTCTATGGAAATCTATAACATCCCTCTTGTTAAACTGTTGCCACTTCTCTTTAAGAATTTGTGCCAATCTATTTTGAATATATCTATAAAGGAATATTGGAGGATCTCTTGAATGGATAAGCAAGAATGACAGCATAAGACCTAAATCTTTTGGTAAAATACTTTTAGTTAATACAGAGTATTGAATCAGCATTTCATAAGCTTCTTTTTTAGAGGCTGTTATCAGCCAACTGTTGGACTTCTTAACACTTAAATACATTTCTAATGATCTCCAGAGTCTAAGTGCAATAACGTAGATCTGGGCATTTATATCATGAAGCCACGATTCAAAGGCATTGCCTGATTCGTAATCAATAGTTAGGGCGACCACTAATGACAAGTTCTTTCGCCTATATTCTAAAGCTTTTGTCAAAATTTCACCAGATTCGTCAATTGGAAAGGGGTTAGACTGCACAAGATCTTGAGAATTTCTACTTTGATGTATAATAATTGGCGGTAAGTCGAAATTGTCCTTAGATGTACGGGAAGAACGATCTCTTCCACTATATGAGAGTACACGTGTTATCCCATCCAGTGCGAAATCCTTTTTATTTTGTATTTTTTATTATCAAAAGATAACATTTATCTATTAAAAAAAATTATTCTAAGGAAAGATTTAAACTAACAGTAGAATCTATAGAATGTTTTATTTTATCTCTTTCTATTGCAGCTGAGTCGCCATCATTTATTGAATAAGTTGAAGTAAGGCTTTCCTTTAAAGTATTGACATTATTAAATTATCATTTTATTCCTATAAAACAATCGTTAAGTTAAATTCTCTATAGGACAACACTTACTAGATTATTGTAAACTTTTACTTCATTTTGTAATAAATACTTGGGTAACCAATAATTACAAAGATTACTAATTATACTACATTGAAGATTTTCAAGTGCTTTTAGAAATCCATCGTCTTCAAACGTGCTTGTATGAATTAGTTTTGAAGACTCTGTCCACAAATCCCGTAATTGATCATCATTTACGTTAAAGTATCTGCATTGTAACTTAGCATACAAGCATTTTTTTATAACTATATCCCTTGTGTTTAGAAATCTCTCTATGTCTTTCCAAAGTAAAAACAATCTTCCGGAACTTGATTCCTCGTAGAATAGTTTAAAATTGCTAAAACTTTTGAATTTTTGTAGTAAATCTTTTGATAAATCTTGACAAATTGTAAAATTCTTATAAGATATCGCTAGAATTTGTTGTGATAGCTTCCAATACAGGAAGATGTCGCTATTGTAAAAGCTTGGCAATCTATACTGATATATCCATTTTAGGACTTTTTTCTTGAAATTATAACGATTTTTTGTGGAAATTAAATGTTCGATGTCAAAACTTTTATCTTGTAAACTATAAACTACTCTTCTAGGCCAAATTGGTAATGATAAATAGACGTTTAAGAAATCTACGTAAGAAGTCTCATTTATCAAGCTTTCAAACTCTTCAAATGACACGGTTAAGTGCTTAATAAGAGGATTCTTTTCTATAGGTAATACTGTTCTTTTCCATTCATTCTTATCGTTTATTCTCTCGTTCTCTCTAGAACAAGTGTTACGCTGTTGAAGTTTCGAAATTGGATTAAATTTTAATTTTAAGATTTCATTTATATTCGTAGAGGATGGAATATTTATATTGCAACCGGAAGTCGAATAACTTGACGAGCCAGTGTTCTTATCATTCAAAAGATTTAATTTTTGATAAACTTCCGAATTACAATGTGATGATGTTTCTTTTATCAAATTATGAATTCGTTCTATTTGGCCCTTTCCTCCAGCCATATAAAATTCTATTAGAACATTTCATCTACTAATAATGCTTCTGATCATATACAATGCTTTTCACTAAATATTTCATTATCTTACGAAACGATAATAATAGGAATCATAAATAAATTATTGTAAATTAATTCAAATTTGAAATAATGTATTTACTGTTGATCATCTTTATAATGAATAAATCACATTGTAAATTACCATCGGCAAAGCCACTTTTAACCAAAGAGAAATGTTTACTTGACAGCTAATCATTAAAAGTAGAGCCTCAACAACTTTGGAAAAAGCTAATTTCACCCCTAAAGCATAGACGCCTCCGCCTTGTTATGCTCTAGTTTTAGTTACTACCATATTAGCGTGGTTTGTACTCCCATTTTCAGATTGTTCTTTAGAATCTTTTAAGATTTAGCAAGTCCTAGTCAATAGAATTGCTTACGATAATTTCAAAGTGATCAACAAAAGCAAATTTGTTTTAAAACAACATTGCAACGAGGAATAAAAATGAATCAATATAAGCCTTCAGTTTTCGAAGATGCGTAGTGGCGCCACCCATAAAACGAATCGGCAACTTTCTCATTACTGCAATGCCTGAATTCAAAGAGAAGTCGAAAGAAGAAAAATCTTTCGGAGTAAGTTTTTTCTTTTTCTTATATTTACATTCGTCCCATATGACTGCTACTGCTGGACAAAGCTACTATCGCTTGTTTATCAGTCAGGACAAAGCGTGGGAACCAAAACCAAAGTGTGTGAACTAGACTGTGGGAACTAGGTCACTATGGCGTTAAAGTATTCGACGTGACAGAAGTGACCTAAGATTTTTAAACTTTAATGCAATATATACTCTAGTATAAGATATTTCGATAGAAAGAGTTTTCATAGAAAAAGCCTGTAGCACATTGTTCAATTTCTTAAGTTAGAATCCCTGCAAATATTAAAATTGCTTTGTGTATTTGGTAGACTTTATGTTGAAATTTTATTTGATTTATATGCAGGTGACTACATAATGAATTTATTAATTTATTCATAATATAAAAGTCCTTGGTAAAAGTAAAAATAATTACTGTAGATAACACAATCTCACTAGCCTGTCGAATTAAAAAGGATAAGAATATTTTCCTGTGACAAAGGAACACGGAAAAAGAAGAAAATCATTGAGTGTTTTATCAGGGGCACACACCATTTAGCAGGTGCCGTATTCTCACGCTCTGTCGTAACGCTTCTTGCGCTTCTATACGTTGCGAGGATGAGTTTATTTGTTGGTGGTGTTTCTCATATGCTTTTCGCCTTTCGAAGAATTGCGTAATCCAGATGGTCTTCATAAGCAATTGAAAAGCGATGAAACCTATAATTATAAATAATTACTGCTAAGATAGGGTGGAGTTTTAGAGAGGATAGATAGGAATAAGACAGATGTCTATATACTGTGTACAAAGTATATAAGGAAGAAAAGAGAAAGAATATTGGTATGAAAACAGAGGCCAAATATTCTTTCTTAATTAGGGAATATGAAGGGCAAAATATGCTGATGAAGAGAGAGAGAGAGGGTGGTTGGGGGCAAGGGCATAGGAAAGATAGATACCAGAGAGAGAGAGAGAGAGAGAGAGAGAGAAAAGACTAACGAGTGCATATCTTTTTTCAAGCTAACCTTTTGATATATGTTGATTAGGTATATTCCTAATAATCGAAAAAGTTTGTGAAAATTAACAGAATGGGTATATTTCATAGCCGTGAGCTGGAATAAGGCGTCTATCAAATTTCTGTATTGTCAATACGAAAGAACTCTTAATTTCACTAGTCTATTTGTTTTATTGTAAGCTGAGTCGTATTAAAGAGACAGACAGCTGTGCGCGAATTTTAGTACCTATTTTATCGTTGCTTTTGTTTAGTTAATTGTTCTTTTATGAAGAAAAATGTTTTTTTATACCGAAAATTTATCATCAAATAACTATAAAAGGAAAGAATTGATGTGAAATATCCCGTGTCCAAACTAAATTTTTTTATTGCTTCGGAAGAGATAAAAGGTTAAGAGAGGGAAATTTTGCCGAACAACTTTAGATGATTTCGATTGCAACAGTCAATAAACTCGTTTCCGATAAATATCCCCTGTAGGTGCAACATCAATAAATTTGTGTAACACTATCAGTATTACATCCCATTCTACAAGCAGTCTCTTCAAGATGCAGTTGCCTATTAAAAAAACTGTGAACAATACAGGCAATACTTTTATGAATACGTTTCATCATTTGTACCTGGACTGGAATAGTCCTACACTGAATGAAATAGTAATAAAATTGTATCTTCTCTGATTTTCTGTTTATCAGTAGATTTGTTGTTTCGATAAACATTTTTAATTGTAATGGATTCTTTTATTGCTTATAAATGTTTTTCAGGGTCGCTTAACCTACCATATGTCTCCTCATGCATTTGGTATGGGATTACTCCCTTCTTCTCCATACTTGCACGTGCCGCATCAAAGTGAGTTCAAAATGAGATCAAGATTGTGGAAACATTATAAATATTTACAAGCAGGTGGATTTTACCGAGATTCTGGTCCGGTCGATCTATCCGGGGCAGGATCAGAAAAGATGAATAAACAAACGGTTTTACCCGTTTACCACCCTCCACCCCCTCCACCATTAGCTCTTCAAACTGGTAAGACTTTTTAACTTTGTAATTAGTTAATTTGCTACCTGTCTGATATTAGAGCGTGAGAAAACTGTTCTGTTCGAACAGGTGTTTTTGTAATAATTAATACAAAGTAAACAATGATAGCTGAGTGCTTTGTTGGCAACGCAGTTTATATAATTTAATCGTTAGATCTATGCCAATGATCACCAAGATTAAAGTATTTTAAAAGAGTAGTTTATTGAACAGAAAATTGTGTCAATGATGTTAAAATTAATAAAGAAGAGAAAAAAAGGATGCTTTAGTAAGAATTATCCAACAGCGGCTTCTTTCAACGACAATAATTATTCGATCGATGAATTTGCGCAGAGATTTTTCGATCAGATTCCACGTTGTAATAGGTTGGTTGTGTAGGTGTTTTGTATATAATATTTGTTTTATACTCCTCTTTACAACATAAAACGTTCTCTTTATTTTACACAGAACATCAAAATTTTTCTCATCCACCACCAACTTCCGTCCCTATACAATCAACGAAATCAAACGTCCAATTAGCACCACCACCACCGCTCATTGTCTCATCAAATGTTGAACAGATTTCTAATTCACCACCGCTTAACGGAAATTCGCACTCTAACGTCGCTAGTTCTATGCTTAAGTACCAAACTAATAACAATAACGCGTAAGGAAAAGTTTTTTTTTCTCTTATTCTCTTTTTTGTGTTATTTCATTTCTTGTTCTTTATTCATTTCCACAATTTTCATTCTTTCTTTTCTTTTGCAGAAAATTTTCTGAAGTCAAATTAACAAGGTTCGTTAACTTATAATTTTCTGAGAACAAAGGAAGAAAGTGTTCTGAAATCATTGATTTTATTGCTTGAAAAGAAAGAAAGAAAGCGCGAGAGAATGAGCGAAAGAAATAGATAGATAAACGTAGAGACAGAGAGAGAGAGAGAGAGAGAGAGAGAAAGGGAGAGGGGGAGGGGGTGACAGGGAAGGGAGAAATATAAAAACACGAATATGTTTGACCTTGTAATTATTGATAATTAACTAAAATTACCTGCAAAAATCAATAATTAAAATAGGTAAGCGATTGTGAATATGCTTTAAATGCATATTTTAAAGCATTTTACCTTGAAAAAAACGAACTGTCATAAATAAATCATATTGAATTCATCATAATCCTTCGTGTTGCAAAAGACATTGTTTTTTAATTTCCAGAGTAGAGGCTTTGAATTCAAACGTGAATATTAAGAAATGCTATCCATTTTAATAACTAGTCTCATTTATAACTATTACTTTTGAACATGTCTAACTTCTGTATGCTGACCTTGATTTACAATAGGCCTGGGGGAATTGCATTAAAAGGGAATTATCTGATGTATTTTATATATATGTGAATAAATATCTAAAAAATTCGATATGTAAATAGGGAATGCTAGGATAAACAATCGTGACGAGCTAAGCCTTGGATGGATATAAAAAAAGAGAAGATAATCGTTAGCGACTGTCATAGTTTTTAGTGTATCTTATATAATTGTTTTTGTTCGCCAAAGAATGTATCAGCGAATGAGAAAGTGTTACAGAAAAGAGAGGTGACAGGGGTAGGGAGACTGCAGGAATAAATCGAATACGTATAAAAAGAGATTGTAAATGAAACTCAACAGCAAAGTGTAGATATTTTGAAATAAGAGAGTAGTTTGATGATAAAATCATACACTAGAGTATTTGCGCTTGTATCGATATTACAAGAAATTGTTATATTTACTGTAGGAATGTGATATATATATATATATACTGTATATAGTGATATATGCTGTGGTAATATTGTAAAAATTTATTGATAAAGGGAAGCGATGCGAGCATACCTGGATCATCGCTGTCACCATACCCTACTGATTTATCACGCTAAAGTTGCACAGAAGAGTTATGGAAATGAAAAAAGATTCTTTTGTCCTCCCCCTTGTATATATTTAAAGAATGGCGGTTGGAAAAGACGCTTGGAGCAGATGGAAAACGAAGGGATCCCCGAAGGCGATAGACAATTATGCGCATTTATGGGCATTGGTAATTCAAATCATGATATGAATCAATTACAATTGGATGGTAAAGACTACTGCGCTGCCAAGACACTTTTCATATCGGATGCTGACAAGCGAAAACATTTCCATCTTAACGTCAAATTATTCTATTCTAACGGCCACGATATTGGATCGTTTCCTTCAAAGCGTATCAAGGTTATAAGCAAACCATCAAAAAAGAAACAATCTCTGAAAAATTCAGATTTATGTATAGAAAGTGGAACCCAGGTGGCGTTGTTCAATCGTCTTAGATCACAAACGGTTTCAACCAGATATTTACATGTTGAGAAGAGTGGTGATAGTTACAATTTCCATGCTTCGTCAACTCATTGGGGGTCGTTTACAATTCATCTCTTGGACAATAACGAAGATGAAAGTGAAGAATTCAGTGTTTGCGACGGTTTTATTCACTACGGCCAAACCATTAAACTAGTCTGTGTCGAAACGGGTATGACATTACCACGTCTCATAATTAGAAAAGTCGACAAGCAAACTGTGCTGCTCGACGCTGACGATCCAGTTTCTCAGCTTCATAAATGCGCATTTTATATGAAAGATACCGAACGCATGTATGTTTGCCTCGCTCAAGAGCGAATAATTCAGTTTCAATCGACACCCTGCCCAAAAGAACCTAACAGAGAAATGATAAACGATGGGGCGTCTTGGACAATAATATCAACAGACAAAGCCGAGTACAGCTTTTTTGAAGGTATGGGTGCAGTTGACAAGCCACTAACGCCAGTGCCGACAGTTACTCAATTGGAAGTAGCTGGTGGAGGAGATGTTGCCATGCTTGAGCTAAGTGGTCATAATTTTACAGCGAATCTCAAAGTATGGTTTGACGTTGTTGAAGCGGAAACAATGTTCAGATGCGAAGAATCTATGCTTTGCGTTGTACCCGATATATCGTATTTTAATTCTGATTGGAAGTACGTTCATTCAACTTTAAAAGTACCAATATCCTTAATAAGAGGCGATGGAGTAATTTATCCAACTGGTCTGAATTTTACGTATACACCTGAACCGGGGCCACACAATTCCCAAATTAAACACCTACAATCATCTTTAAATACTTAGATTATTATTTTTTCTCAATTGAAAACTAATTCAATTCTAGTATCATATTTTTAAATGAGATTGTTGATATTGTCAAAATTTTTAGAGTATTATTTTTCTCTGTATATCTTTTTCATTTGAATTTTATCTTTTTCTCTTAATTAATTCTATTAATCCTAAACAGAATAAAAAGAATGAATGAATGAAATGATATTAATCATTCTACAACCGAGAAAAACTTATATATGTCAATAACTTTTTATTAATATTGTTCTTTAGCTTTTTTTTTCAGTCTACCACCTCAATATAAATTTTACATGCACAAACTATATATATATATATATATATATTTTGTATCTATTGGTACTGTAATAATCTTGAAAAAAAAAACAATGCATTTTAAATTCTCACAAATTTTTCAGACAGTAAAAACATGAGCAAAAAATTAAATCTGATTAATTTTCAAGAAAGATATTCCCTCTCTTCCTTGAATGTGATAATGAACACCTTTTAAATAAATTTTTAGTAGAGAAGGAAATATGAGCAAATTATCTCAAGAATAGAATGTTAAAACGCTCTCTTGATTACCCCTGAGTAATAGTATTGGTGGCATATCCTTGGTTATCGTTTCCAGCCAACACATATAAAGTCCAGAGGGCGCAATACTCTTTCTAGGCATAGGTAGAGTTCTAATAAAAACAGTAAAATATAGAAAGTTTATTAATTTAAATTAATAACTGCGTTTACTAGTTATAACTAATACTTACAAAACAATTAAATTGGCACTACTAGAATGCTCTTGGAGAAGTTCTCTTAAACGAATTTGTCGATATGTCTGAATTTAATTATACATATAACTTGTATTATTCAAAGTAAAAAAAATATTCATAAAACCAACTTTATCCTTTTGTGTATTTAAGACGGTTTCGGACACTTTCCAAGGATGAGATTCAGGAGTTTCACCAGGTTCTAGCATCCAAGGTTTAATAAGTTCGTTGAATCTAGCAATTCTGTATAAATATATTAACAATGATTAATAATCGCAATAAAGACTTGAATTAATGACACGCACCCATCAGCGGAAGGTGTCCTTCCGATATCAGCTATTATTTTAATGGAAGCGTAGTCGATGCGAAATTTGCTTAATAGTGTTGCCAGACTACGTTGGTCCCTATCAAGCTCTCCCTTTCTAGATGCAGCACCAAAAACTCTGAGTTTACAGTTTCTCCAATGACCAGATAGCAAATAGGGGATTAGTAAAGTTAAGCCGCCGTCGTCGAAGAGCCACCAAACATCAATAGTTCCATTCTTCTTAGCTGCTTTAGCCAATTGACCTAGAAATATTCAAAGTAATAAAATATAATATTAGCCGTTACAAATTCTGATCGATTAAGAAATTACAACTCACGGGATGTGATATATCTTGGTGCACAAACGGATTGTCTTGGTGTTGGACTTGTACTCCGACTGGTTGGAAGAGATCCTTCATTGTTTTCTTTGCCATCTTGTTCTTTTAAAAGAATTTTTTCATCGTCAACTCCACCTGACAAACAATTATTTGCTATTTACTGTATACATATGAATGAAATATTATTAATATCTACAATTATATACATATCTATTTATATATTATCTGCTGTATATTCCTAAAATGCATATACTATATGTATAGTCAATATACAACATATTCATCATATGCAAGTACTTAAAACAGTTTATATACAATATACATTAATTACGAAAGTGATATACTGATAGATTGACAGAGTGGTAGGGAGGGCAAAAAAAGGGAAGAGTGAAAGCAAATGGCAAAAACATAGAACAGAATAGATAAAAGATAAATATAAAAAAAAAACAGTTCCATTTATCCATTGAATGTAATTTCCCCTTTTTTTTTGAAAGTTAAAAAAAACAAAAAAGTAGCTTTTATGAAAATTATTACATCAAAACCAAACCCTTTTTTTGCGGTAGCAATATGAAGCTTATAAAAAAAAAAAACACACACACACACACACACACACACACACACAAAATTCCCTATATATATTTTATATAAAAAAAGATTAGAACTGAATTAAAATAAAACCTTTCTTCACTTTATATCGTATGGTACTCCCTGCTTGAACTACTTAATTGATAAAAAAGAAAAAAGTAAATTGCCAATAAGCATGCATACTGATTGATAAATATAAATTATTTAAGTATCTATAAATACATTAATATACAATACAAGTGTTGTATATAAATATTTAAAAATAATAAAGAACTTCTATTTACCTTCTTCAGATTGCATTGGTAGGTTACTGACATAGAAACCTTCGTCAACTCTTAATATACCAACTCCGTATCTAAGATCGAAAGCATCGTGTATAATGCTCACGTATTCGTGTACCTAAAGAATACAGAAGGAATAAAGATTGAGATTATTTCGATGATTTGTTCCATAAATATCTAACCTGAAATTGATCGCAAGTTTTCCAATCACCTTTAAAACCTAATAGTAGAGTATTTGGTTTTAATTTGCCTAATCCCGAAGTTTGTAAGGCAGAAGAAACACCAGATCTTAAAGATTCTGAGCAAACGCAACTATAAAAGCCTTTAATTTTATTCTTGGAAAGCCAGTCATAGGCGTGTTTAGTTTTTGAACTATTAGATCTGAAATCTTTTTCACCGCTTATAACATGTACGCACATAAGAAGACTTATATCTTTTGTAATTGTAGCTGCAAATCTTGTCAAGTCTGGCCTTGACATAGGATGACCTAAAAACAGATGAGAAGTTTATTTTTGTTCGATATAAAGAGTTAAACGAATAGGTAATATACCTGTTAAGGCGAATACTTGAGGACGGTAATTTTTAATGTGTTCTAACACTGAGACAAGTTTTAGAGTGGAATTTAAAGCATTTCTATAAACATGAGCTTGGGTAGAACTTCCCCAATTGATATCGGGCTTCTTATGATGAACATAAATATACAATCCAGTAATTATAAAGAATGTTATCAAAGCAGTCCACCATTTAATTATAAACATTACGCATAGGCATAACAACGCACCGAAGAGTGCTGACCACATATTGTAATACTTAAAGCCCGGTCTCCATCCGGGGCTTTTAGCTAATGATGCATCAAAACATGAGTAATTAATCAATGCGTAGCTCATCAGGAAAAAATTCGAAATTAACGGAGCAATTGAATTTAATTGACCAATAGCTATAAAACCAGCAGCTATAAAAAAGCTCAAAAGATAAGCCAATCTTGGTTCATCGTTTTTTCCATAGCCCTTAGCGAACACAGATATATAGGGAAAGATGTTATCTTTAGAAACTGCTTGAAAGACTTTAGGCGCCGAGACTAAACTTGCAAGAGCTGATGAAAGGGTAGCGGCAAATGTTCCAGCTATCACTAATGGTCCGAAACCGGAAATTAATTGCATAACTTGCATGTCGTTTTGTAAACCAAATTCGCATGTAAATTGCTGGCAATATTCGGTAATATTTTCTGTTACATTTAAATTTCCTGTTGCGTCTCTAGCAACGCTTGCACCGGCAAGAACGGCCATACCAATGTAGGATACTGAGCTTATTAAAATAGCCAACAGAGTTCCCTGTAAAGAAAAATGAAAGACATTAATAGTATATGTCTTAGTGATGCCAATAATGCAATTTACCTTTGGTATAGCTCTCTGAGCATCTTTTAAATCGCCAGAGATATTGGCTCCTGCTAATATCCCAGTTGCAGCTGGAAAAAATATGGCAAAAACTGAGAAAAAATTCTCTCCATCCCTAAAATCTGGATTGAAATTATCTTTTATTACGCCGGATCCATAACCCACATATCCTTTGGATTTTTTACTATCAGAGGGACTTATAAAACTTCCAATGATTATATTGATCATGGCTATTAATAATATAACAAGTAATATTAGTTGAGCTCTGGCCTCCCACTCCATTCCAATAAGGGCTATGCACAATAGAAAGACGACGGTAATCAATCCTTTTAACGAGTGCAGTACAAAATATTAGATATTATTATTTTATGACATATATTATATTATAAATGATACCTATGATTCTGACATCGTTAACTTCATCTACCATAAGTAATTTCCTATCTCTTAGAATATCTCTTATTGTCTCAGCGAAACCGACAACGTACATGGAAACAGCAACTGCATTAGCAACAGAAAACACTAGTCCGATAGCTCCTCCAAATTCTGGCCCCAGAGATCTAGAAATCAGATAATACGCTCCTCCACCTTTCACTTGACCATTTGTACAAATAGCGGACATGGATAAAGTTGTTAGAACTGTAACAACAGCTGATAAGCCTATCACAAGAATACTTAATCCAATCCCAGCTTGACCAACAACCCAAGACAATCGCAAAAAGAGCATAACCCCTGAAGAAAAGAGATAGATTACATATTTTGTTAAGAGAATTCTTAACTTTATCATACAACACGTTGATAAGCTCGGACAGTTTGCATAATGAAATGATAATATTTGATATATTAAAATAATTTCATTTATCATGATTGCAAGAGAATATTTTCTCATATTTGTTAATCAATAAAAAAGTTCTACAACGTTTCTAATAATATCGTATGATGCCTTGTCATTTCTTTTAAGGTTAAAATATCAAGTATATTTATAGGTATGATATCTATAAAAAGAATGACAGAGAGAGAGAGAGAGAGAGAGAGTAAGATTAGTAATCTAAAAAAAAGTTTCGTTTTATTACATCCTCTCTCCTTTCAACTGTTAGTTGTTTTAATGATTAAATCAATGTAACTACTTTTATCTTTCTCTTAAAACTTTTACTGAGAAATTGAGTAGCCTCTTTATCTTTTATCGCTACTTAATAGAAAGTAGTATACTCTGTATTTGTATGTTTTGTTACTTACCCCATATATTTAGTAGACATCTTACAAGAACACCCTTTATCCATCCGAATTTTACTGGCTTAGCATCTTGTTGTATAGCCGTGGTTGTCACATCTCCATTTGGTCCGTTCGGCTGTTAAATAAACATATAAATAAAAAAACATTCTTATCAATTTCAACTGACCTGCATCTGCTTATCATCGGATGCAATTGCTTCGCCTTCTACTCCAGCATCATACTCCTCTTGCATTTCACGTAATTGAACTAAAGTAGGTCGTTTTTTAAGATTCACAGCGTTTGCAGAAAATAAATTTCTATAATGATCAACATGTGGCAGCGTTTCTAGTGTATTCAGATTAGCATTCTTAGCGTTTGCAGTATCGTATGAATTGTTTTCAGCATTCAAATTAGGAGACAAAGGAGGGCTAGAAGAGCTAGTTGATATTTGTCGTGGTCTACTTTGACTATTTATGAGCTAGATAAAAAAGAACATAATTATTCTATAAAAGAAGTTAAATATTTCTAAATATAAAGATTTAACATAAAAAGCATTGTTATACAAAAATTTTAAATTTATGTGAGCCCTTTACAGGAAAAAACATATCTGTTTTTGTCATAAAAATACCATAGAATTGAATAGTAAAAATTCTCTATTCAATGAAAATATCTATTCATTCTAACTTGATATCAAATAGTTTAATTTCAATGGACACTACGCAATTTTTTTTGTTGAAGATTGCGTATGCAAAAATCTAGTTTATCATAAATATTGTGTATATATATATATATATATATATATATATATATATACAGTATATAGACATGTTGAAAATCAATTAATGCATGTGGATGCAAACATACACATATATATATATATATTGTAAATACAGTATACTATTATATAGTTTTCTTCTTTTGTATTGAATATTTTATATAACTTTATTAATATACTTCTTTTCACACAAAACACTAAGAAGATTGTTATTTTGCTATATGAATGGTATTGGCTACTAGTCTGATCATTTAACTATTTTTTTATTATATAATATATTCCTTATTCTTTTATTATTATTATTTTATTGATAAATATAATAACAAATTGATGATTACCTGGTAACTCTTTTTACCTTTAACACATGTTTAGAAAACGTTTTAGAAGAGTTTCAAATATTAACTAGGTTTTCAGTTCTTACTTATTTTACAGTTCTAAGTCATCTTTTTAGTGCATTCCAGTCTAGATTTTATATTATCTTACTCACACGTTTAGCAGCAAAACTTAAAGGTTTTTCGGACCATTCATTTTTTCGGTTTTCTGAACTCAATTCGTTAACTTGTTCTACTTTAAAACGACTTTTCGGTTTGTTATCATCATTTACGTCTTCTACATTGTCCAAATTCTCGCCGGAGATGGAGAAATTAGCCATTTTTAACTTATTTTGATGCTATAGGGTTGAGAAGAGGTGATTAGACATTGTTTGTGGTGGAGACCCCTTTATACCAGTCACATGACCAGAAACAGTGTCCTCTGTATTCTTTTTTGAAACTAATCCTATTCAGTGTACGTTTACCTTATATACTGCATCAGATACATGTACATATATATATAGATGTATTTTTGCACATATATATATTTACATCTGTATATATGAACGTCTATATATATACATACATTTATGTATGTAAAGCAATAAACGTTATGATAAATCTATTATTGCATCACGTAAATTAACTCTTTATGTTACAGTTGTTCCTCAAATAGGAAAGTTGGTTGAAAGAGAGCTTTCCTTCGAAAATAAACCATCTGTTGAGAATGGATTACATAGTAAGAATTTAATTATTTCTACATAAATATTATAATATAAGAAACTTATATCATTTTTATTATTAATCAATGAAATTTATGCTTTATTTAATGAAATATTGCGAAATTTTTAACAATTATAAAGGTCTTTTTTATGATTATTTATATTTATCATTAAAATTCTATGAGATTCTTAGTTAAAATTTTCGCCATATTGTTTTTTTTAGTCTTTATAAAGACATAGCTTCTATATTTTTTTTGTCTTTTTTTTTGACCAGGTCATGTAAAAGTCTTTAATTATTCTGTTCTTTTTTTTTTATTGTACAGTATTACATTGAGTACTTTAAAAATTCTTTTTTTATGTAAGTTCGATATAACAGTTAAACAAGAGAAATGGTCTAATATTCTTTTAGTTTGTCTATACTTTTAAAATGAATTTATCTAGTAAAGCTAATGTTAAGATTTTCTTCAAAATTTTCTCCTTTATAGCAACAAAAATTTATTAAAATAATATCTTTATCTTTAGTATTATTTAATATTTGTATTGAGTACTTTTATATAAACAAACTGAAAAATGTTATTGTATTCAAACTTCTTAAAAAAAAGAGAACGGGGGAGGGGAGGGGATGAGAAATAGAAGAAAACAACGTTAATATTGATCTGAATTTTTAAGTAAATAGAATTTAGAATGGAAAAGAAATTGTAATGGTGAGTATTAAACTTTATAACAATAGTTCATTAAATTGGGATTGACTGTGGGTAAACATTGTCTTTAGAAGATAATCAAAGGTTTAATAAAGCCAATTAAAAAGTATATTTTTTTCTACTATATTATTTAGTTAAAGAAACTCTGTGTTTTTTTTTTAATATGATATAAAATAGAAAAATGTAATAATTATTCATTAAATTACTCGTTCATATTTTTCATATGACTGGATAAATCAATATAGGATTTAAAGATCTAATGATGTACGATTCAGTAAATGATTTTACAAAAAACAAAGCAAAAGCATTCTTTTGTGATAAATCATTTGAGAAGATGATGACTAGTTTTTAAATAAATATTTGAATAGGATTAAATAAAGAAATTCCATTAATATCAGAAATCTATTTAAAAAGACAAAACAAAAAAGAATAAATTAACAATCTTAGTTTTATTAAGAAATTCTGAGGAGATAATAAGATTATTCTAGCTTGAAGAATCAAAAACCGATTACGATTAAGCTCTCTTACATCTTCTGGTTGTTTTATTGATTAAACTGGAATGAAATAAATGATACAATTCGAAGAAACAAGATTCTTTAGTTTGCCATGTGTTTCCGGTATTTAGTATTGATTAATAAAGATCAGCTGGTAAATTCTGAATTATCTTTTCACCTGGTCAAAAAAAAATACCTTATTGAATGCATTATTAGAATATTAATGTATTACATATTACTTAATTTCATCAGAACATATACTCAGGGATAGATCATGAATTTCTACGCACTCCAGCCCAGAGGAGCCTTCTCAATCGTTTAATAGATATTGTGGGTAATAAAACAGTGGAACTGCTGAAAGAAAGATTATGCCGATTCAATGAAAGTCTCCTTAAGGACGAGATACTATTTAATTGTCTAAATAGTATCATTCAACTAAACGAAGAGAGAATCTTCAAATTCATAGTTGTAGTTGTCTTTTGTAGGATGTATGAATTGCACAGGAAAAAGATTATTACTTACCCTTGCGATTCTAATTGTCAACATGCTCGAACCTTTCTTATCGAAACAAGAATTACTGATAGATTAATAAGAGTTCCCAATTGTGAAAAGGAGGAATGGTGTTCGATAAAAAAGTCAATTACTCCCTTTTATACGTCGATAAGAAGTTGTTTAATCAAGTACGAGAAGTTGCATCTGTTAAGATCCGTTGCGAGAATCTCAATCATTGATGAAATTCAACCGTACGGGATTATGCAACTTTTGCAAAATTCAATTGAAGATGAAAGTCTTGAACGTTTTGAAATACTGACAAATTTCATAAATGTTGAAAAAAATTTATTCGCATTTAGCTTGGTTCTTAACAGTAACTTTGATTGTAAGATGGGATTTTTTTCCAAAATGCTTTCTAGAAAGGTAGAAGATAACTTTGATATTGAATCAATTGTTCGTAGTTGTATTCAAAACGGAGCCAGCTTTGAAGATTTGAAAAAAGTGTTAGCTCTCCTTAAACTGGATGAATACAATTCCTTAAGTCTTGAGCGTTTCTCAATTGTTACTGGCCGATTTGATATATTTCAATTTGGAATCAAAAATCATCTTTTCTCTTTCACCGAAGGCCTTGCTTGCGTCTCTATAGCTACAAGTTGCGTGTTCTTAACTGAACTTTTGGATAGATATCCTGAAATATTCTCTCGAGTAATTAGTGACGTTTATCCATATTTTGGAGGTATTCACCATTCGAACGATAGTGATTGTTTACAGCCATTTTTCAGTCATCCTAAAGTATTAAACTCTTCCAAAAATCGATCTATAATGTTTGAGTCATTATTTTCGAAACCTTATTACGAATTATTCCATCAGGATGGTCTATCGAAGAGATGGTTAATTTATGTGTGTATGATTGTGTATTATAGTGAAGATTATGGAGGAATTCCTCAAGAAGCAATTGACAAAGCATTTCAAGTATTAGTAGAATATCAACCACCGGAAATAAGTCAAAAATTTACTCTAAAATTAATTGTTACACTTGTATGGAATGGTTATATATGTAATGAATTAGAAATGCCTTTTCAGAATTTTAGTGAAGAGAATGACTTTAACGATGAAGTGAATAATTTTTTCGTTAATATTTCGGATCAACGCCAATTTCATAAATTTCGCAGAAAAAGAGGACAAACTTGTATAATGACTCTAATGTCAATGACCAGACATGTAATAAGAAATAGAATTAGACGACCTTTTCAGACAAACTTCGCTCATTTAATCGAAACTTTCAAACTACCAATTTGCATTCAAAATTATTTACGCTTCAACGAGGAAATAGAAGCTCTCGGCATTCGAAATTATGATTTGTATACTACAATCAGCCGACGTCGAGAATATATAGAACTATAGTTCTTGTTTTTAATTCTTGTTTGACAGAACTATTATATAACAGAACTTAAGTCATTTATTACAAAAGTAATATAATCCTTTATAGAAAATAAACGTTTTCTAATTTCCTTTGCGTAATTGTTTCGAAAAAGAGGAAAGGTTTTGTTTATTTGGAATAAACATATAGTATAACAATCAAATAATAGTCTTGTTCTTTCTTTGTTTGTTTATATATGTTATGTACTATTAATATGGAAGAAAATTATTGAACGAGAATAGTCGAAAAATTCTCAGTAAAGTTTCGTTGTAAAATGTTTTTTTACATCTGTTTTTGTAAGTGGATGGTGCAGAATAGAAAGTAAATATAGCTTAATTCTTTTTAGCGTATCACCACCAACAGGGGAAAGATAAATAAACTTAAAAAAAAATCCCACGAGTTTTTATATGCAGAACAACAGTGTGAACTTTAGTTTTCTTTCTAGGATACTCGGTATTAATTACATAACTGAAGGCAGAGTATTTTATAAATATGCATACTGTATAAACAAATTGTCGGATATTTGATTTGAGAAACGTTTCGAAAATATCATACGTTGTTAATTAAATCTTAATACTTCTTCCTTATTGCATATAGAGACAGTATTCTATAAATAAATCTTTAATTCCTTATACTCTGTCACTAATTGATAATAGATATACGATGTAAATAGAAAATAAAGTAGAATATCTCACAGAATCAGATGTTTTTTACCTTTTATCCCCATCTATACGGATCATACGATTAGATTTATCAACAGGCAAAAGATTAGCTATCTTATTATGAGCCTATACGATATCCAAATAATTTAACCATAAATACTATCTCTATAATCCCAGCTGAGTTATCTCTAATTTTTGAAGTTAAAAAATGCTATTTAATTGATTTATTTAAGTTCGTCTTTCTGATTCTTCTGCTTATTTAGTTATTTTCTATCTGTATTTCATCCTCCCTGCCTCTGTTTCTTTGCTTTATAATAGCATTATTTGTTCCATCGTCACGCTTCTCACTATCTTTTCACGTCAACCTCTCAGTACATTTGGTCACGTACGCAACCTGTTACTATTTATATTTTTCTCTAGAATAAAGGAATTAAGTCATATTGTAATATCAGATTTGTATTATTTTACATTCAATAGTGTATTTTTTAACTAGTTATTTAATTTTTGGCTATCAAATATCTTCTTTCAACTAGTCAGCTTCTTGGTAAAGCATACTCTCTGGGTACATCCGAAAAGTATTTAGGAAGAAATTACATGTGTAAGGAAATCTTGCGGAATTTGACTCAACACATACAGTATTTACCTTGTAAATGGAAACTTGCAATCTCCTGCATAAAAATTTAGAAAAAACACTGCAACTGATTCAATTCAAGAGTTTAAGGATGATGAAATATTTCCCAAAGTATATAAGGATTTGGTTAAGAGCGCATATGGTGTTTTACGTGGGATCTTGTCAGTTCCAATTGAAATCGAAACTAAAGATTCTGATAAGGATAAATTATCTAAGAATGCGGTTGTAATTAACCTTTCGCACAAGAAACGAATGCGCTATAAAAAGAAATTTCACATTCCTGTATATCTTTCTTTCCCTATTTTTAGCCTATTTATCAATTAGGAAAATGCAGAGTCCTATAAATGATAAAAATTTAGGGTTTTATTCGTTATTGATTCAAAACACATCGTTATTTATTGGTTTTCTTCTTTCGTAAAGGCTAATGCTGAAAATGACAATCATAAACAGCCCAGGCTTCCGGTATCGTCTTTTTTGTTGCTTTATCAGTTAGTTGTGTTGTAGCAATAATACTTTTAATGGTATTTTCATAATACTTTGATGGACAAATAGTTATAAGTGAAAAGACTTTTGTTTAGCATCTACCACAGTATTTTCTTTCTTTCGTGTTTAGAGAACAAATTGTAATTGTTTCTTGTTTTCATTATATCGGGTCTATGAAGTGTACCTGACAGTATCTGGTCTGCTAAAATTGTAAGTACATAGTTTCCAGCAAATCGTTATCACAAACAGAATACTTTATTCCATTATATACTTGAAGGCTTATGGAGTTCAGTTTGAAAGAAATGGAAGTAAGGAAGTAAGAATCGTAGTACTATCGATGTAAAGTCAGCGGATGATTTTGGCTTTCATTATTGCTCCTTTTATGTGAACATTTTATAAGATCCTATCACTTTTAATTTAACTTCGTATCTCAGTATGGAACTTCGATTGATGCTTTCTGCACGTTGTAATCACATTTAGAAGGTTTGATTTCATTACTAAAAATGTCGATACGACATTTTATTCAGATATTTTGTAACATAACTGAAAATGTTTTAAAAAATCACAGAAATATACGGCTTCCATGTAGTCCGAGACTTAAATCTTATACACTTAAAACAAAAATGGCACACCAAAACGAAACGTTATTCATTAATTGAAGGCATTAGTTGCTCGGCGATCTTATCTGCTACCAGTTGAGCTAGAACGGCGCCATCCACAGGCACCATTCTATTTCCAACGTTTAAAAGTACTTTTTGATTCTGATTTATAACGACTGGCGGTTCCTCTACGTCTTCTGTATTTTCGTCTTCGTTTTCTTCTTCTGGTTTATTGCTTTCTTCGGTTATATGTACCAAAGCAGTTGTTGTTTTATTTTCTAATGGAACTGGGGTAGGCAATGTTACAGTGCATAATTGAGAATCGCTCAGAACACTAACTGTTCCCACAACTGTTTGCTGTAAAGGCGGAGGTTCCTGAATGCTGCCCGTTGCAGTGTTCGTTGATTGAGTTGAATTGGGTTTGACATTTGGGGTCGATTTTGAATCAAGCTCTCTTCGGCTGTTATTGTTGCTTTCTTCTATAATTTCGGAGTTGTAGTTTGCAGGTTGAACAAATGTGCTCTGAGCTCCCAAGTGTACATATTTATTAGTTACTAATTGAATTTGGGATTGAAGAGACGGTAGGATAGTAAGTGGTGTTGACTCAATTCCATAAGTCCGTTGACTGGAACCTTGAACACATGGATCGGCTTGGGCAATGTCCCCGACAGAAGAATGATTTAGATTGGTTTCATTTATAACTTTTTCTGAGACTGTTATTTCCGTTGGAGAGGTTGTTTGTATCTATATTTAGGATATTAGTGTGATACACTTTTTTAGTAATTACAAAGGTTTACCTCTTCAAAATCTGGCTTATCGTGACGAGTCATGTGACTTTTGAGTGAGTACGATGAGCAAAAAGATCTTTCGCATCCATCTTTCAGACATGAAAATGGCTTCTCACCTGACATTAGTTGTCATCCTTAAACATGATTTTTAACATAATGATAAATACCTGTATGAGTTCTGATATGAGTTTTTAAGTGATGGCTTGCTGAAAAAGCCTTTTTGCATTCGTTATCTGGACATCTAAAATAATCGCTAGGCTTAATGAAGTATCAAATAAAAAACAGAAAATACAAACTTAAACGGCCGTTCACCAGTATGAGTTCTAATATGTTTTTTTAAGTCGCTTAAAGTAGTAAAAAATTTTGTACATCCATCATTCTCGCAGTTGAATGTATTTCCGTTATGAAGTCTTTGATGAGCTTTTAATCTTTAATTTAACATTATATTTAGTCAGTATTTATCACTTTATTATTCAATAAACCTTTTACCTGTAAAGCGTATTAAAAGCTTTTTGACATCCATAAACATCACATTCGTATGGCTTCTCTTTTGTGTGGACCCTAACATGAATCTTGAGACTATATGATGTTAAAAATGCTTTTCCACACCCAGGTTGGTTGCAGGCAAAGGTATATTCGCCTACAAATATTTTTTTTATTTGGGTTAAAAAAAACAGCTATTGGCAAACCTTTATGAGTTTTTTCGTGTGTTTTTAGGTTTCCGGCCGTGCTATAAGTTCGCTTACATCCTTCATATTGGCAGTCAAATCTGAAGACGAAGAATAAAATTAAAAGAGGTTTCGAATATTCGATTCACAGACCTCTTTACATCTTTTGCTTTAGAAATAGGATCTTGACTCTCCAGCATTAATGTTGCATGAGATGGGTTTAGAGTCATAGGGCCATCCCCAGGATTAATTCTCATAAGAATTTGATCCTCAGATATTGTATGTTGAATATAGCTATTTTTTTAGATCGAAGCAGAGAGTAATATAATTATATGAACAAAACAAAATATAAAATCATATAGCAAAATAAAAGTTATTAAAGGTGTGTCAAAGTTGATATATTTATATATTAGACATTATATATCCGGTATTAAGAATGTTTTTATCACTTTTAAAATAAAATTGTCATTTCCAATAACTGATACAATACTATATTTCTTAATAAACACAAATATCCGATTGTTAAGATAAATAATCGTTATATTTAAGGATTATTAAGAATTTCTTATAGGAAAAGAGCTAAAAATATTTCTTTTCCTAGGTATTCTGTCAAAGTCTGGCTCTTTTATACTAGATATGATAAGGTATTCGTTACAGCAATATTTAGTTAAACAAATGTATCAGTAAGGGGTTATTCTTTTCTCACTTTCTAAACACTTCTCAGTTACATGGCAATTACAGATAAATATAGGTAATAGACTGAATCAAATAGGTTATGTGAACTGTATGTTTTTCACGTAAAATTAAAATGTTCTTACCAATTGTCGTCAGGAGTATCATTACCAAAACAAGACGATTTGTCGGGATTTGATTCTGATGTCCATTTTGACAATTCGGAATCTAATTCTATGTATACTGGAGTCAAGCACGTGCCATCCTCAAAATCGTCATTAACATTGTTCGAACTTGAACCTTGACATTCACTTTCACTTGATTTCGACAGCTCACAGGAATTGTACATTATTTTTTAACCTTAAAGTATACAGTCAGAAAAACGGCTACCCGTCTTCTTGTCTACAAATTACAGAATAGAACACTAAAAGTAGCTGTGAGAAAACTGGTAATTTATAAATGTTTTACCAATTTTACCAAAACTCTCGTTAGAGGTCCCCTGTGTCGAAATTTAACTGTTAGTATATCCAAGATTATAGCTGATCTCCGCAAAGGAATTAATCTTTGACAAAGAACTCATGCAATAATATTTCTATTAAATGGACTTTAGTCAAATGTTGAGTTGAGAGAAGAATGGAATCAAAAATTGCAGAACTTAAGTTTAGACCTCAAAAAAACTGTTTTATTACTATCCCTCGGCATTGGAAGCCCCATTACGGAGTAAGTTTTAAAGAAAGTATTTTTTATGTTTAAAACTCATGCTATCGCTCAATCCAGCAAGCGGCTGTTAGAATTTGGAAACTCCAGAGAGAAGACTGTTCTAAGTCTGTATTTGTTAGTTCGAGTGGAGAAAATATAAATGAAGATGGGATCGTTCACATCAATGGAACTTATGCATCTAAACTAAGTCTTATAGAAAGCTCACGCATCATTTTATCACCCGTTCATAATGTAGGTTGGTATAAAAATAATATTTACTTTGGCCAAAGAGAAAATCCGACTAATAACAATTAACTTTATATTTATAGCGAAAGCTCTGAAAGTTATAATCAAACCTGTCACATCAGATGATTGGTCTCTTATTGAACGTCATTCTGAAAGAGTAGAAGCTACAATGCTTCATCAAGTCAGAGTAGTGTGGAAGGGTCAAATTGCTCCGCTATGGATCACTCCAGGAGTATGCGTCTTCTTCAAAGTAATAGGATTATATCCACCGGGAGAGTGTGCTACGTTAGATTCTTCAACTGAATTGCATGTGGAACCAAATTTAAAAGATGAACTTGACAATGATATGGAAGAACTTACAGAAACGCATAAAATATCTTATACTAGTGAAATCATAAAGAAATTGTATAGCTTTGGTCTGTCGTTAATTGGTAAAAAAGAACAAACTGAAGAAGAACGAGAGGTTGTTGAAAAGAAACTTGAAGAAAAAGAAAAAATAAAGAAACCACCAAATATTAATACCTGTATTAGAGTTGAAAAATTTCCAAGTACAAATTTATCTGAGAATCTATCAAACTATAAACTTCTTCCTGAAGCTGTTTATGGTCTAGTGGAAGATTTTCCAGGTTTACCAGATATAGTCAGATGTAGTATATTAAAAGTGCCATCACCTAAAGCCTTAATAGCTGCCCAAGATAGGAAAATTGAGGAGAAACCTATTGATGTCCACTTGATTCTATTAGACTATAATAAAAGTTTCGTTCATAGAAATATAAAAGTTACTGTGCCAAACACTCGGAGCAATAGTCTAATTGTACATGAAAATATTATGGAACAATTAGACTTGGAAGACGGCGATCGAATTAAAATAACTAAATCTACTACAAATTTGATGCCGTGTGACAAATTACATCTTAATCCCTGCAATGCACTTGTTTGTTTTAATCTTTTTTTGCATTCCTATTAAGAAAATAATTAAATTTCCTGTCTCTAGCCAGAAAAATTTTCTTCTATGATGCTAGAAACTGCTTTTAGAAATTGGTTAAAGCAAAGTACTAATATTGAGTTTCCTTTGATGTTAAATAGTTCAAATGATTTCGAAACTATATGTTCAATTCCTACTTCATCAGAAGGTTATCTACAAGTTGCAGTAAGTTAATCAAATTTATAATTTTTTTGGTCAAAAACTATTTTCAAACAGGTTCGGGTAGAGACAAATAAGAAAGATACTACTTCATGTTATGCAGTATATCATGGTCGAAATTTTACAGTGGAAACTGACTTGAATATAGTTAAAAAGAAAAAAGAGGCTTCAGATGAAAAATTAGTCAAACTTCTTTCTGATTTACGGTATTATGACTAATATATATATATATATATATATATATATATATGTTGGTATATTTATTAATATAAAAAGAATTTGTTTTTTAGCGGTTTATCAGAAGAAGACAATAAATTAGCTTTACAAACTTTAAATATGATTGAAGAAATTGGTGGTTCTTCACTATTAATAACTGGACCAAGAGGTTCTGGAAAAACAACCTATGCTCAAGCCATTTTTGGGGAATTAAAGAAAAATATTGGATTATATGTTGAATGGGTAGATTGTAAACCTCTCCGTGGAAAACGCCATGATGTCGTCCAAAAATATATAAAGAATGCGCTAAATCAGGGCATTTATAAGCGACCTACTCTTATCGTTCTGGACGATCTGGATGCAATATGTGGTACTCCTGACGAAATAGAAGCGTCTGGAGTAGATGCTCAGAATTCTACAAGAATAGCTGAGTCATTCCGTAGTATAATAAAAATGTGTCGTCTAGAAAATTTACCAATAGCATTCTTAGCAACAGCAGCATCAAAAATGTCACTTAACAATGCACTAACGAGGGGAAAAGGATTTCATGTCTTTCAGACAACAATATTGATTCGCCCTCTAACAGTTGATATTCGAAAAAATTATTTAGGTTCCTCTTTTATAGGGGCAAATTTATCGTCAGAATTTCTTGAAGAACTATCAAAGAATACAGAAGGTTATGTTGCCCAAGATTTCGAAAATATTAAATCAATTTGCAACCACATGAAAGTTTCTAAGAAAATAAAATATATCAATGAAGACATTTTGAAAGAAGCCACTGATAAATACATTCCAATAGGATTCAGAAGGGTTTCGTTTACTAGTTTACAGGGAAATGTCAAATGGGAGGATATTGGAGGTTTAGCGGAAGTTAAAGAAGATCTTTTGAAAATTCTCTATTGGCCGTCCAAGTATATGAAACTTAGTTATATTATGGAAGTTTCTTTATTACTTACTTTTTGATGTTCTTCAGATATCCAGAGTTGATGAAAGAAATAAATAGGCCTGCCAGGGCAGGAATTTTACTATACGGAGCTCCTGGTACAGGTAAAACTCATCTGGTAGGAGCTGTTGCTGAAAAAACTGGACTAAGATTAATTGTTGTTAAGGTATAAGTAAGGGAAAAAGTTTCGTGACAAAGTATTTATTTGAAATAATATTGGGTTTTTTTCTTTAAGGGTCCTGAATTATTGAATAAATATATTGGGGCCTCTGAAGCAGCAGTTAGAGATGTATTTCAAAGAGCTGCTAGTGCAAAACCTTCTCTACTTTTCTTCGATGAGCTGGAAGCTTTGGCACCTAGAAGAGGACATGACTCAACAGGAGTTACTGATCGAGTTGTTAATCAGCTCCTAACAGAATTAGATGGAGTGGAAGGACGTGATGGCGTATTTGTATTGGGAGCTACTTCTCGGCCGGATTTAATTGATCCAGCTTTATTAAGACCTGGTAGATTCGATAAAAAATTGCACTGCCCATTACCCAGTGCACACGAGAGACAAGAAATTCTAGAAATTTTATCTAGAAATTGTTCGTTAAATTTAGGAAAGGACGTTGATTTATCGTCAATATCAGAAAAATGCAGATATTTTTCTTCTGCAGACCTTAGAGCTTTACTTTGTTCCACACAATTGTATGCTTTTAAAAGGTTAACTCTATCTTTAAGTAACATGAATGGTTCCATGCCTTCAAAGAAAGAAAGTCTTTGGGAAATTAATTCGTTGGAAGATGGAATAGTGCGCGACTTTAATGTAGAAGAGAAGCTCAAGGATAGTGAAAATCTTCAAGTTACTGTCTACTCAGAAGATTTTGATAGGGTTTTGGCGGAACAAAAGCCATCTGTTGACGAAAGTGAACGATTAAGATACGAAGCCATGTTAGTTTCAATGTTAAATTCCCTGGTTGTTTTTAAGTATAATATTACTTTTTTTTTAGCCATGCTGCCATGACTAGTCGATCAACCTCATCTATTTCTGGCCAACCAAGAGCTACTTTGGCTTAAGCCTAATTTATCGTCCATTTAACATTTAAAAACTCCCTCTTTACCTAATGAAAATAAGATAAAATAATATTAAACCAATAAATTTGTATTAGGAAGGTTTTTTAGATCTTCTCTACATCATCAGATACAGTCGTAAACTTTTCAATTACGCATCTAATTTTAAGGAAAGGTCAACAACAAATATCAAGCTATCATTCAAAAGAGGTTGTTTTAACAATCTATCATCAGAGGATTCGGAATGATTTCGATATCACTTCAAATTTTTTTAAAATCAAATTATCGGTTATCTATTGCTTCATGTCTTCTTTGACTGATTCAAAAATAGTTGTTAGTAGAGGTTTGGTATTTACAAATTGTGGGTTTAGCACATATTTGTGAAATCAACTTCACTATAATATAATATCGACAACATTTGGCTTTCAGGAAGTTATTTGAATTGAGAAGAATATTTCAACGATATAAGATTTTTGAAACGAGGCTCATAGAATCATGCAGACGATATGAAATTTTGATAAACAAAGAGAAAGTAAGATGTATAGGAATAATCAATATACTGTATATTACGACATTAACGGCTAAATTCAGCACAAATTCATTAATATTAGGTATTTATGAATTTTTCAACGCTTTTGTCAAGATAAACAATTAGATAATAATTGGTGAAGCAGATTATGATAATGAGCATAAACTTTTTTTTGAAGCATAACTGACTTCAATTGTATTTCATATAATTTCCCTTTTTAATGATTTTTCTTACTGTTTTTGACTCCATTGACGGTTCCTTCAGCTGTGGATATAGAAAAAGGCTATCTTGTACTGTTATTATGTAAATTAGAGACTATACCTTTGCCAGTTCTTCTTTGGGCTTTATTTTTAGGAGAGGGTGTAGCCTTTGCCGATGTTGTAGAAGAGACATATCCATGGCCATCGGTGCTGCTACCATCTTTTCTCCTTCTCTTCAAATGGAAATTGATGAAATTCCACATAAGCCAACCTTGTAATAGCCCTACGGCTAATAAAGAGTGAGCTCTAACAAGAGTTGTATTAAAATCTCCTTTCTTTAAATCAATCATCCCCTTAGATGTAGCTCCCATTCCAAACCATAATGTCAAAACAGATAACGTAACAGTAGCCAAGCGAGCAGCTATGAAGACAATATTCCAAACAGTAAATACGGAATTAGCGACAGTTTCTTTACCGATAAGGTAAAGTAGTCTGGCTAGGTGAAAGCATAATTCAGCAACATAATGTAAGATGATTAGAGCTATAAGAAGACGACTTAAATTAAGCACATAGCCTCCAATTATGAATACTAGATAAAGCGTCGGATGGATACACTTAGCAACCATTTCATCTTTTTTCACTTTTTGAAGGTATAATTCGGGAAAATTGTGAAGCCTTTAAAAAAAAGAGGTATGATGTATTAGAATTTTCTATTAAAATTAAATATTCAGTGCTCTTACCAATAAGCTAACTGAATAATAACAAAAAATTTCGTTTGTAATGCCATATTTGTATGAGGGTATTCGTTCCAAAATGAAGGCAAGTTCATTATCCATTTCTCTCTAATGAGAATATCCAAACCCCAAACTACAGATCCAATATAGAAAAAGAACAATTGTCCTGATTCATTAAATTTACTGTGTTTAGTTTTGGATAGATGAAGTTTCCTGTTGATTTTCTGTAAACAATAAAAAAATTGTACAAAAATTAATTAAAAGTATCTTTAGTATTCAAATACAGAGAAGATTATATTATAAAAATTTATTATCTAACATCTGCTGTACTTCGTATTTATATATGCACATATAAAAAAATTAACAAGTTTGTATAGCTAAAGACAACAACTTTTAATAATTTTTTTAGTAATTTTTAGATTTTTAAAGATTTTTATAAATTAGCTAAAATACAGTTTTTTCTTTCTTACAATCTTTTTAAAGTTACTATATTTAACACTTGTACTTTTTATATTATGGTATTTCCCACGTTCATTATCAATTGTGTAAACGTACGCACATATAGATAGCAAGAGAAAGACAGAGAGAAAGATAGCAAATAAATAATGAAACAATAGCGATAATCAGGGGTATCAAGGGAGGAAGAGAAAAAATATTATCCTCTAAGATTATTTTTTATTATAAATTTTTAGTCAATTTCCTAGCCATTATATTAAATTAAACGTCTAAAATTGTTAGCAGTATCTCAAATTTGTCTTTTTTTTTTTGCGAAACAATAATTACTACCTTGCTGGGATACTTTTATTTTTAGTATAAGTTATATGAAATTGACCAAGCAGTCATTTCTATTAGCGAAATCAATAAAGGACAAACTTCCATAAAATCCTTTTATTTATTTTCTATTTTTTTTTTCAACCTGTTTTATCTGCCTAGCCTTTCTTTTTTTTTTTTGCAATACCAGTCATTATTTCTTTAGAATTGAACAATATTGCCAGTTTTCTTTTTTACAGTTTTAACAATAGTTGATCACGAGTTCTATTATATTAACAGAACTCATTTGAGTTTAAATTTAAAGGTTTTATCTTTTTTGTCTTTTCGTGGCATAGAATAATATAAAAAATAAAAATCTAAAAGAATATATAATTAAATAAGATTATTTCTAATTCACTTTCAAATTCCTTATTCAACCTTGCTTGACTATTTACAGTAAATAAGAATGCTCGTAGATTTCAATTTATGCTATGAATTTAATATCAAATGACCTTAAAAAAATAAGTTTATATTACAACCGCATTATTGATTTGGTAGGGATAGATTTTGTCTTTTAGTAAATCACCTTTGAGCTTTTTCTTAAACACTTATCTTTCGTTTGTTACATATAGTTGTGATTGTTAGAAATATACTTACATCCAAAACATACTCTTGTATAACAGCATGTATAACAACAGCTATCAAAAAATAGAAGAATGTCGAAAATACATCTTTCATTCCATACTCGTAAAAAGTCAACTGAATATCATTATTTTCAGAATCTATGCTCAACAAACAAAAAAAACAAGGTAATATTATTACAAAATTTCAAGTTAAATACAAACCATTTACTGTAACATTATGTTGTACAGAAACAAACAAGGAAGCTACCTTATTTGTTGCCTGCAAAAATATTGAAAAAATGTTAAATGGGAAGTTGAAGTCGTCAAATTGTTAATAAAAAAAATATAAAAGCCTCAGCATCAGCCATATGTCTTTATGATTTATAAAGAAACTCTACCTGAAACATTAATCCTAGGATGAACATCATGGCAACGCATGATACAATATCAGCATGGTTTTGAATAACGAATTCATGGCTGAAAATAGGAGGATTTTTGTTAGATTTCGGCTTTCTCGGAGGCATTTTCCCAATCGTCGGCTTTTTTGATGATCTGGACCGGAAACAGAATCCACGCAGGCGTCTAGACTGGTTACGAGCACTCTTGAACCTTGTGGTTCGTGATCCATTCCGTTATTCATAGTCAGTTTTAGTTTCATTTCTAGGCTTAAAGGGCCAGGACTCTGTTATACAAATCCCTTATAAGAATAATCATGTATTCGAGGAACAGATGACTCATAATAATAATAACACGTATGAATATAAGGGAATATTAACTCTTTTAAGTATCTGCAAAATATAAACGGGTAAAACCTGAGCGTACACAAACTTTGAAAAAGTTTTAACTGCAACAAATTACATGGCGGAATGACGTCATTTTGGCGGTAAAAGACAAATTTAGATTGAGTAGTTGATTGTTTCACTATCCTTTTTATTATTTCATTGATAATTACATTGATTACTTTTTAGTAATAAAAAAATTAGGCAGCTTAGAAAACCGAAAAAATGCAGAAGACTGTGACCAATTTTATTTGTCAATGTTAAACAACTCAAGACAAAAGGCAGAGTATTAAAGATAATAACTTCCTTTATAGCAGGGAACGGAAATACTTCATATCGATACATATGCACAATATTTATAGAAACTATTGACTATACATAGTCACAGTATAGAAAAGCATATATGCAGTTATATGTATATAGTACAACAAATTCAATGTGCCTTCGATTGAAGTATGGGTAAACCAACATAGAAACAGTTTCCCTCTAAGTCTATTACCGCAGTGTAATGAAATGCAATATTTGTAAGCGCAATTCCATATTCAAAAGCAGAAAAGTAACTAAAAGCTACAATTAAAGAAACAATAATAATCATTTTAATAAAACGATGGATTTATAAAAAATTATACGTTACCATTAGTTACACAATAGAAACGATGACGAATGAAGAAGAACAATAATCCAGCAGTAAATGACATATTAAGAACGAATAATCTTTTCTTCCATTTTAAAGACCATCTTATCTATTTTAGTAATTTATAAAGCGATATATTCATAATTCTACTTACTAAAAATAAAGAATAATTGATTTTACTACCTTTTCTGTTATTACTTTTGAATTGCACCACTGAAATAAAAACAGCGAAACGAATTCATGAATTAAAGAAGTAAACATGAAAACAATAAAGATTTTTTCGTGTAAAGCTAAAAATAAAAAGAAAGGGAACGATATTATTATTGTTTGTTATCAAATATAATGAGGTTTAATGCATACGGTAATTTTCAACATTAGCTATATAACTGACAAGTGTCAAACAAGAATTTTCTATTGTGTAAATAATAAAATTGAACCAGACCAATTTCTTGAATATACTTTTACGTTTGTTTGCAATAAACTATAAAATATAAAAAAAATAATGATATTAAAACAATTAATAAACTTTATTAAAAGAGTATTATCGCACTGTTATCTTTTGCATGTAGTAGCTGACATACATCAAACCGATAAGAAATCTTGGTGTTGAATGCAATGCAATACAAACTCGCCAAACATAACGTTGCGGTTGAATTCCAGTAATAGCACTTATTGAGGGTATAACATTTTTTACCTTAATTTTTATTTTTTCGAATATCAGAAAAATATAAAAGATGTTATACGTTTAGTTTATTGATGAATAATTAAGTACTTACATTGCAAACTGTATTATTCACTTGATTGAATTGGAAAACAAAGGCAGTAACAAAACAAAATATTAGAGAGAATAAGGGGAAAGAAACAGTTACTGGAGCAAATATGCTGAAAGGAATCCTAAGAATTGGATTCTTCAGAATGACTTGGCTTTTTTCAATTTGTGACATTTTTTATGGTTGTGTTTTACAAGTTTATCGAGTTTCTGTTGAACTTGACTTTGAATAATTACTTGAGACGATAAAAAATGGTTTAAGTGCGATGAGGGTGTATGAAGGCATGATAAACTTCCGGTTTGCAACCAATAAGGGGTATAACTATATTCTACTACGAGTAGGGCGTTCTTTCAGCCTAGGATTATCGCTTAAATAATCTGGATCTACATATTTGAATATCTGTATTCGAAAGAGATTAAATTATTTTAAAGTCTTTTTCAAGCAGTTTCTGTAAATTGCAAACTGAAATTAATAATCTATCAATATGTCAATATATTTCAATCTATTTACATTCTTTGACATTTAACATTACATTTCATGGTCATGTGAAATAGTTGAATAGTATTTTTAATAATTATTACTTTTTACTGTCTTAAAGATTAATAATTTATAATAATGGCCCACCATAAGTCATTCAAAAGTTGATTGATTTTTATATTATTCTTTGTATATGCTTTATTATCCTTATTTATTAGCTTTCATAATAAAGTATGAAATTCAAAGCGTTTCACGTTATTTATGGATTTCAGTGACATTCTTGTTAAACATTCATGGTTGAGATACGGTCATTATTCTTCAATAAACTTTGAACTATAGTTTTATAATCATATATACAGATTAATTGTATCTGCAAAATACAAACTTTTTTAAGCAATTTTTTCAACATGATTTTAGATATCGCTAGAAAACAATTAAAATCTATATACTTCTTTATTTCAAAATATAAGAGCAATTAGGTATATTAGGTATTTATTGTTTAGAGTTCTAGGGCTCAGAAATCGTTAATTTTAAACAAGAACATTAGTTCAGTATTTATAAACTATTGTCATGCGAAAAATTCGATCAGAGTTGGTAACCATGAACAAAAAAAGGAACATGTAACCAGTCTTGGGTTACTTATTTTAAATTAATAATGACAAAATGGCGGTGTTGTTGGTTGAGGTGTTTAGCTTTGTACTTTTGTTGTGTTCTACAATTTCCGATGCCTCTACACATTGGATTGTAACTGAAGGTGGTAAACTTCAGGCCCAGGTACGATTAAAGACTGATGTCTATTTTTTTTATTAACTCGTACGCAATTTTCAAGACATATCTTACTCGATTGACGTCTCTTCGATTATCAGAAGTTAGGCTGATTAAAAATTTAATAAACTGTGATTAAGAACTTTAAGTTTTACTAAGGGTTACTTTCGAATTCTTCTGAACGTAACAAAAGAGGCGATTGCGGTCAGTCAAAGAAAAACTATTTAAACTTGTCGTCTGCTAAAGTTACAACTGCTTATCACAATTTAGAAGTAGAGATTACAATAAAACGTGTTTTGTGTGTACTCAATTTTATGATGCTCATTAAAAATCTCAATAGTAAATTAATTTGGTATATGAAGGCTTGTCTTAGTAAAAAAGTTATTCAAGTGTAATGTCCCAAAGCGAGGTCATTTTTCTCTTTAAAATTATAAGCTATTTGATAATTGTGACTTTAACGAGAAATATATTACCCGAGTCATTTCTATTGTTCAATTCATTTTGAACTCTCGCTCCCAGGATCAATATTAATATTCGTATTCTTCATTGAGATAATGCATTAAATTTTGATAATCTAATGTATTCTTTTGCTTACCAATCAATGTTGCTTTTTTTTCAGGTTGATTCTGTATTTAATTTACACCGTCCCTATGACCTTTTGGCGTTGTTAAGACAAGAAGGAAGGGCTTATTTATTACAAAATTTACAAGATGAGCTTGTTAAGAAAAAGAAAGACATAGATCAAAACGATAAAGATGAGCCAGGTTTAGAAGAGAGATATTATAAAGAAGATTCAGATTGTATCATAGCGGGCAAACCACTAACTGAGTATGATCTGTACATTAGCACAGTCCTTCCACTGCAAAATAAAAATATCAAGTAAAATAGCATACATATTTTAACAGGTTTGCTTATTTAATAACTCTTTTATAATTGACAGTGGAGAAGATTTTCTCGAACCATCTACCTTAAATAATATTCCACCCGATTGCATATCTGCGTATGATTTACCTTTTTCAATGCACTCTTTTGATCATCTGCATGGTGTTAGATTACGTAAAAATTTGACAGCTGCCGCCGAATTAGGCCTAATTAACGCAGTCTGTCCTGATGAAAATGTCAACGATTATGGTAGCAGAATAAGTGATGCATTAAAGCGTAATAATACGTCGTGGGTGCTATACAATATGGCGGCGTTTTATTGGAGAATCAAAGGGAATGCGTTCAATGTTGTTGAATGTCTCCGAAGGGCATTGCACTTTTCTCCGAGACAACATAAAGACGTAGCTTTGATAAGTCTTGCCAACATTTTACATAGAGCTAAAAGATCAAAAGAAGCTGCAGTTCTTCTCCACGCAGCTATCGATATCAATAGCGATCTAAATGTTAATCACTTTACTCTGGGAAATATATACGCTGTTTTGGGAGATTACAATAAATCAGTTATATGCTTCGAAAATACATTGATAATGCAGAAAGATTTTGAAGCGGCCTACAGGCGAAAACACGCTGTAAAATGTCACCATAAGATAGAGACTGCATTAGAAGCTCAGCATAAAACCCTACAAAAAACTTTAAATGAGCTGCGTTCTTATCAAAAACGCCATGAACTTTTTGAAAAGGAACGCTTTGTGCTAAATACCGAAAAAGCATTAGATTCTGAAAAGGAAATACAGCAACAGAGTTACGAAAATAGTAAATTAGCTAAAAAGATGCTAGAACAAGAAGAGTTGTGCAATGATAATGCTTGTGAATGGCATCCGAAGAAGCTTTCTAAACTTAGTTTTAATAATGTTAAAAAATTCAGGGATGTTTTCCCCAACTGGCCACCGTACACCGAGGTTTGGGATGGCGATGAAGTAAACAATTTTGGATCTAAGACACCAAGAGAATATTTGAACCCTGTTAAGGAGTCACGCTATGTTAAAAGAGAAGAATATACAAAAGAAGAACTTAGCAGATTTGTTTACAAACAAAAGAATTGGCCTGATAAACAAGAATGTGATACATATGTTCAGAAAATACCGGCTTGGAATGATTTTCCAACGACATATTTACCACCGGAAAATAAAGGTTTCGACGTACGAACCATCTTATCTGCGGGTCTTGGATTAACTGACGGAGTTGGTCATGATTTACCTTGGTATCCACCTGTCTGTGTTAATCTTGATAACATTCCAGAAGGAACTCAATCCTACGATCACCTGGAAGCTATTAAGAAGAGGACAGAAGTACCACTGAAACTCTATGATTCGTATATGAGACCTCTTCTTCAGTCTTTGGTGCCAGATGCCACTGAAGAAGAAATAGGTCAACGTATCCTAACTGCTCTAAAATCTCAAGTTGGACCAGCTTGGCTGCTTTACAACGTTGCCGGTTTATATTGGCGAGTGATTGGGAACAACTACCATTCAATTGAATGTTTAAGACGTTCTTTGTATTTGGTACCCACAAAGTATCGAGATGTTCCCTTGGTAAATCTTGCTAATATTCTTTATAAGTGGGGGAGAGTTGATGAGGCGATTATTCTCATTCGAGAGGCATCAAGTATAAATTCTATGGAACCCGAAACTCATTTCATGCTTGCTAATCTATTAGCTGCAAAGGGAAACACTTCTGGAGCAATTTACCATTATGAGGAATGTCTTCATCAACAACCCGATCATCAGCAAGCCCTGACTATGCTTAGAGCTTTGAATTGTTACATAAAGTTTCATAGAGCTGCTCAGAGCAGTGCCCCAGTAGCTACAATGATAATGAAAAAAGCAGTTGAAAATGCTCCAACTATCTTTTGTCGGAAAGATAGTGAAGGTTTTGAGAATTGTGTTTTTGAAGCAACAGGCAATTGCTACAAGCCGGATACCGAAAAATGTTTGTTATTCTGTTTTATCAATATTTTATTTTTTAATATTCTTATATAGTTGTATATATTTTCTTTTCCTTTTAGTAAAAATCTTGTGCGAGGGAAATGACTGCAATGAAATTATTTCCGGAGTAAGTTTTTATGATACTTTTCCCAATTTGATTAGTAAAATTTATTTTATACTCTTAATTTGTAGAAAAGGCGTCCACACATTAAGTTGGAACTTTCTTCGGGAATAATACATCGAAAACTATTTATAGGTGAAGGAAACCTGCAAATATCGCCGAATGATTGTGTTATATTTAACGACGGATCAAAAAGCGAAGGTTGCAATTTAGACCACTTTAAGTATTACGTAAGTATAAAAATATATTATCTATCGCCTAAGCTTTTCCTTTCTTCTTAAATACTTTAACCTTTCCATTAAATGCTATCGTTTTAAATTAATCTATTTATAATCCTTCCCATTTGTTTTTTTCTTCTCCCTAAATGTTCTTATTCTTAACTAAAAGCCTATGTTTTTAAATAGTAGCCGAAAGTTTCATTTCACAGCATTAATATCACATATTCTCTTATTATTTTTTATTACTATTATCATTTTTTTCATAACTTATGATAATTCACAACGTATCGATAATGAAAAATTAGCACCCTATACAAACTGTTATACTGTACATTCTTTTCTTCTCTCTATGCTGTGTATTTACCATCAATTAATCTATTAACACACCTGGTCTCTGTTCTATATTAATTTTAAAGAGAATTAATTACTAATTAAAATTTCAATTGTTTTGCTTATGGTGCAGTTTTGGGGTGGGAGCAGATAGGCCCCTCATCTTTTTTGCTTATGTAGTAAGTAGTAGATAAATCGCCTATTAGAGGAATATTTTTATATTTTCCTTATTATATTTTGTTAATGTAATACTTTAACAAATATTTCAGACTGATGCTACAAAATCGCGTAGAAAAGTTGAATTAGAACGACATATTAGAAGTTATAAATATGTTACCATGCCAACTGCGGAAGAGTGCCAAAGTCAAACAGACAAACCTAGTATAACATTTGCTAGCACGTGGATTTCCCTATCAACAAAGGGTATTGTCAATGAAGATTATATAGACTTTAATATAGCTTTAGATGATATTGATGAAATACATCCGTATTGCGATATTCGTCTGGCTAAGAAAGCTTCTTTATTTGATGAAATTGATGGTATTAAAAAGGCTGAAGAGTTGACATATTCTGCTGAAATTGGCTTAAAAGATTTGTTACTCGATATCGGACCAGGTGAAAGAACCAAAACAATAGAGGAAGTTGGTACAAGAATTGGCCTTGCGTTAAAAATGAACAGTACTTCGTGGATTCTAGCTAGTTTAGCTACTTTATATTGGAGAGTTAGGGGTGTAGGTATGGAAGCTGTAAAATGTGCCCTGGTTTCTTATAGTTTTGCTCCGGAACAAGCGAAAGATATTTCTTTATTAAGTATGGTCGATATTCTTCATAGATCGAATCGTATAAATGAAGCGATCGTTGTGTTAGACAAGGCCCTAGATACCGAAACACCTTTAGTTGCTACACACTTTGTTGCTGCTAACCTTTTAGCATCTCAAGTATGTTTTTTCAATAATTTTTCATATAATTTATTTTGATAATGTTCTCTTTCCATATAGAAAAATTATAAAACAGCTAGATTATTTCTCCTCTCAACACTATCCCTCCAAAAAAGATTTATACCAGCCAAAGAACGCCTATTGGCAATTAACTGCCATCTTAAGAATCAAGCGAACTAATAAAAGGAAAACTTCCCTCGTTGCGTATAAAGTTTTGTTTAATAGAAAAGTTTATCGTACCACCGATATTAAGACTGTGATTTTTGATCCATAAGAGCCCTTCTACAATTTTACGCGATTTTGTTTATGTCTTGTGATACATTACAATGCTGCAGCATCAATTAACAATTGAATATTTATCAATTTTTCTCTTTTAAGAATTGTAATATGACGGAATTATAATAAATACTATAATGGATAAAACATACTTATTGTTCTATAAATGGAACATATACAAGTAAAATTTTACTAATGTACACACATTATACTGTATATCTATAATCTATATTTACACTATTTATATATATAAATATGTTACATTATATATACTTTTTATAGATAGTTTTCCACCTCTCTTTCAAAGTTCATTAATTATATTACATACTTCAGATCTTATCGTCTTTTATATAGTTGTTTTTCAATACTTCAGTATAAAAATAGACTAAGATCTAGGGTACAGTTTAGCTTTATATTCCTCTTTTGAATGTATAATATACTCCACAAAAAGAGAAATTTTTCGTATTCTTCATGCCAACAGTGGGTGCTCTTCAAATTTGCTAATTAATTATTTATATAATAGGAATATTGTTTAATTTTACTAAATAGATACCTATTATAAATCGAATTTATTGAATCAAAGAAGAAGAATTGATTCATTTGCAATTTATCGTTGCATTACGCTTTAGGTGATTGTTTGCAATCATTCCCCTGAAATTGTTCTGCTAACTCCTTAATAATTATTATAGAATATATATATATTTTGTTATCGTTATAAAGTGATAAATAATAAGTGATTTATCTTTACAAAAAAAGAGAAAACTAGGAGACTAATTATTTGAATAAGATCAATAAACTGTCTACGTTTTCATCCGCAATAAGCCAATTTATCTCTTCAATCATTAGCTATCATTTATTATATTTCAATTAATAATTCAGGTTGGAGGGCTAATGATTATTTCATTAAGACACATGCAGGCTTTTCTTGTATATATGCAAGGATAGGAATCCTATCATTTCTTATCGGGCGGGGAAGCGAGTCTCAAGAGTGTTACAAAAAATAGAAACTCTAGAGAGATAAAGGGAGAGAAGGGAGAGAGGTGGGGTTTATAATGGGAGGGAAGATAGAGCTATCGGCCTACAGCGTTACAGACACAAAAATAAAATATCTTCTTGAAAGTCATCAACTCTTTTTTGTCGGTCTCAAAAAATCCGTATCTTTATAATATACCTCATTCATTTACAGAGTAATAAATAAAAAAAACTGTTGGTCAATAAATCCTAATTATTAGTCTACTAATAGCATAAAATTCCTATTACTGTACACCTGATATATAGAGCTTAAGATTTTTATTGCCCTAGTTTTCAAACGTTAATTAACAAGTCTGTAGTTAAAAATATAAATCAATAGCTTTATTTAAATCATGCGATGCATCATTATCCAAAACCAATAGAATCTTTTTGAACCGATAGTCACGTACATCTTTAAATTTTTGTTTGTTTGAATGAATAGGCCATTTATAAAGAATTGCTTTGTAGTGTGTTTTGGTATGGAATTTCTCTGATAAATGCCAATGCCAGTTGATCTTCATTTCAATTTCTTCTTTTATATGTAAGATTAATTACAAATGTTACTATTATATTTTGTTAGTTTCTTTTCAAAAGTTCGTTTCTCCATTGCTAATAAGAATATATTATTGCATCCTTAACTGCAAATAATTTAATATTAATTAACTAACATCTAATTGAATTGATGAGATTAGTTTATTAGGATTTCTAGATTATAGGTAAGAAGGCCTCCTGTTTCGTCGTTAATTTGTTCAGTGTTTTAATTCTTTACCTAGGTATGACTGTAACTTTTTCTGTAAGATGAGACTATCCGAAAACGATGTGAGAGAGTATTTTTTAATTAGAGATCTATAATTCAAAAGTATTTTCTGCTATTTTTATCTTTATTCATAGAAAAGTACGAAAAATATTGCAACCAAATATTTCTTATACAGCTATGATTTATTACATCTAGTAACTTATATAATTTACTTGATTTATACTCTATATATCTTCTGAATAATTCATGCTCAAAGCATATTGTTTATACGTCAAAATGTTCGCATCCCTAACTTCTTACAAGTGGTTAGGAGAGTAATCATAACTTTTCCTATTCGCAATATAGGCAGCGAAAAGCATAGATATAGTAAGAACTAGAGATTTCTCTATAGTTTATTATCATAAACAGAGTGAATAAATATTACATATATTTTATATAGATATGTTTATAGTTAATCTTTTTAATACTTTTCAATTAATTAGTAAATTGGCAGTCTGGAACGATCCAAATCGTTACCCACTGATTTTGAATAATATAAATGAAAGGTTCTCTGAAAGATGTAAATAAAATGATAATTAATTTAACAGAAAAAGGAGGGGGTGGAAGTCCTACTTCGATCGGTTGGACTTGGTTATTGGCCTTCAGAAAATAATCCAAATTATTGGAGGTAGTAGCAAAACAAAAAACAGAAAAATTAAACGAAATATGCAACCTCTCTAGTTGGATTATACTGATTAAATTGGTTTTTAAACAAGAAAGGTATGAAAGACAATAACATATTTTTTATATATAAGATAAATACAATATATACTGTATATATTTGTGATTTTGCTCTCTCTCTCTCTCTCTCTCTCTCTCTCTTTCACTCTTCCTTTTTTTTTAAATAGGAGACTCCTTACGAGTTGAGGAAATGAGGAGGTAAGTTTTCAATATCTTTAGAAAATATCTATAATACGATAGTTAATTATGAACGCATGATTACCTCAAGAAATCATGGTATCATTAGAGCCGAACCTTTCCTCAATGGAAAAATTCAGAGTAAAATTTCTAATTCTTCAATTGAAGAGAATGGTATGCACATAGTATAATCTTTCAGTTTTAATTAGTTGAACTATAGGCCTATTTTTTTCCTTTGCAGGAAGTACTCAAAACTCTCCAACATCTGGAATTCTTGTTACACTTTCTATAAGATATAAAAAGAATAGGATAAAGCCTATATATAGATTTCGAAGGGCCGTTAAATACCTTATCGACTTTTCCAGAACTCTGAATGAATATGGACGACGAATGCAGTTTATACAATATTTAACAATAGACTTTTCTCAAACTGGAAAGTTTTTTATCCGAAAGAAAAGTCCAAATTCCCGTATGTTGATGTTGGCCAACGATATTTTCTTTTTAGGAGAAGTCTACAGGTATTATTATTTATGGTCAGCCCTTGATTTTGAACAAGGTCGAAGGTCACCTTTAAAGCAGTTAATAAAAAAAAAAGCAGAAATAATCGTTGAACGATTCCTTAACAGTTCAATACAGCCAATAATTCAAACTAGTTTATCGAATGAAATTGTTCAATCAATAAATGAACAAATGAATATTGATAGTAAATTATCGTCAAACCTATTCTCTGAAGCATTCCTCTATACATTGGCAAATATATATACAATTTGGCGCAATTATTTGGTCTATTTAGCTGAAAGTAATTATCACAATATTAAGACAATACCGGAAGTGACGAAAGAATTGCTTTTATCTAGTAGAAAGAATCTTGGTTTAAAGAGTTGACAGGAGAGAGAAGAAAGACACCTTTTTTTTTTAGCTTTTTTGCTAAGTTAATAGAAGTTTTTTTCTTTTTAAAAAAAAAAAACAAAGTTAAAAAAAACTGTTGTAAATCAAGTAAAAATATTGAAATACAGTATGAAATTGTCTTGGAAAACCATTTTATAATAATGCTATAGTTATATTATCTTGTTTTTCTTTCTTTCTTTGGCACTAGAGATTTTCAAATTATTTTACGAATTTCTTCGGATTTGGAAGAGGAACTTTTCCATTTAAATTATCTGAATGAATAATGCTCGAGTTAGGAAGTGGATCTAATTTGGATTGTTTTCTGGAGCTATCACTTTTGCCACTGTTCTTTTGCTAAAAAAGAAAAACATAAAGAACCTGTCTTTCTTGAAAGTTTTAGTACTCAACCTTAACAAGAGGATTGATAACGCCAACGTTCGGGGAAGAACTGAACACTTTATTAAAGTTCGTTTCACGATTTACTAGTTCAAGTTGATAGTATTTTTTATCATCCTAAAAGTAGACCATCAATTAAATATTAGTTAAAAGTTAACATAACATAAATAATTTACTAACGATAAGTTTCTTAATAGCATCTTCTCTATCGACAACTGATTGTTGCAATCTTTTAATTTCTAATAAGTCTTCTTCTCTGGACTCGCGATTTTCATATTTTTCCTCAGCTTCTTCTAGTAGTATAGTTAATGTATTGATTTTATCTTTTAATAATTCTTGAGCTTTATTAAAGTCTTCTAACATTCCATCAATTTCTTTATGATGATCATTTTTCAAATTTAGAATAGATAGCTCATATTCATTCTTCAATTTATCTTCTTTAGCCCTAAAATAAACATAATTAAGTGATAAGAATATTTTTGTACTAGATATTAGTGAAGAAAGGAATGTGTACTTTGAAGATTTTATCATTTCACTGCGAACCCTTAGCACCTCTTGTCCTTTGGCTTCTAATTCTTTTGACATTTCTTGTACACCAGTTTGTAATATACTAACTTCCTTCTCTAATTCATTAATTAAAGTAAGTTTTGAATTGGCATCTGATTCTAACTCTGACAACTTGATAGCGTATTCAGAATCCTTTTGTTGGATAACTTCAAGACTTCTGTCTAATTCTAACCTAGCTGCAGCCATTTGTTGATCATGCTGTCTTTCGCGTTGTTCCATATCTAGGGCATGAGCCTGTTCTAAATCAGATCTGATGATTGCTATAAAAAGAAAAAGGAGAAAGTGTAAATGTTAAATACTATATAGGTTGAAAAGGGAATATACTGAGAGTACCTATTTTTTCTAGATTCTTTTTACGTAAGTCTTCTAGTGATTTTTGTTTGTCTTTCTCGCAATTCTCTTTAATCATCTCGACCGTACTATTATGAGCTGTCAACTGAGCTTTCATGTCATCTACATGTTTCTTTTTTAAATTAATTTCAAATTCTTTTAACTTTTCGTCATTCCTCTGCTCTAACACTAAAATCTCACTTGCATGTTTTTTATCTAATTCATCTATGTTATCCTTAAATTCATTAGCAGCTGCTAACATGTCCTTTCTCAATATATTATTCTCTTCTTCAGCTTCTCTCTTAATCCTGTTAATTATCTCTTGATTTTCTATTGATTTAGAATCTAATGCTGACTTTAATGATGCTATTTCTTTTAAAAGATTCTGAACTCGTTCATCCCACGATGACCTCTCTGAAGACAATTCTTCACCGTGTAATTTTAGCAATTCATCTATTGCAGATTTTTTATCTTCTGAGGACTTCTTTTCTTGTTCTGTTAATACTTTTTCAGTTTCAGTTCTTAACCTAAGCATCCATTTTTCATCTAAGTCCTTAGATAGCTTATCTAATTCTTTCCTTAATCTCTCTTCATTATCTTTTATAAGCTTTTCATTAGTTTTTTTAGAGTTTTCTAACTCATTTTTAATACTATTAAATTGGGTCTTTAAATTGCGTAATTGATCATGACTTTCTTCTAATTCTTCTTCTAAACTCTTGCATTTGTTCTTTAAACCCTCTAAATCACTCGTTGCACCACCTAAATTAGCATCCCTCTCTTGTAAACTCTTTTGTAATCCTTCGATCTAGAACGAAAAAATAATTATCTATAGCTCCACCTAGTATCTATTATTTGGACTAAACAAACTAAAGTAATTCAACAATCATATTTGTTCATTTTAGCATTAGGGATTTATAAATTTTAAAATATTGGCAAATAGATTATTGTTGGAGTAAAAGAAAATTATAGGCCTGTAATAATTCTTTTCAACCTTGCGTGCGTGCTTTGGTTAACAGATAGATATTCTATCGTTTTCATAAAAAAAGAGAGCTCTCTTTTACAGATGAACTTACCTCTAGTCGAGCATTTTGAAGTGTATTCTGATAATCCTCTTTTTCTTTCGATAGTTCTTCTATACGCTTATTGCAATCCATTAAATTCTCTTTTTCATTCCCCAATTGACCTTCAAGATCATTTTTTAGCTTTGCATAACTTTCTTCCGCCAAGCGCCTGTGTTCTTCAATCTCTTTTGTGAACTTTGCTTCCATTTCTTCCAGCTTCGTTTTCCATTTTTTATCGGATGTTTTCTCTCTTTCATCGGAAGACTGTTTCAGTGATTCCATATCTCTATCATATTTTTGCTGAAGTTCTTGCTTTTCGGCTGATAAACTCTCTAAACTTTTTTCTAATGATTTTAATTGTTTAGATTGCTCTGTCATTTGGGATTGTCCTTTTTCTTCCATCGATTTTCTCTCATCTTCTAGCCATTTGAGTTTATCTTTTACCTTATTCAATTCGCCGAGACTTTCTTTTAATTGGGAATCCACTTGAATCTTTACAGCTTCCAGTTTACCAATTGTAGCTGGAGGAAAAAAGATAAGATAAAATAGAATAACATAAATAATACAATAAATGAATATTATCATAGCAATATCATACAGGACTTATCGATGAGTTCAGTCGATTGCTTTTCGCATCGATCATTGATCGCTTTTATTTCACCTTCGAGTTGCTTATTGATAGAAATACTATTTGAGAGTTCTTCCTGAGTAGTTGAGAGTTGTTGAGATAAGGATGCTGTTGTTGAGTTCATACCCTTCATTGAATTTTGTAACTCTTCTAACATCCTTTTAAAATTATCGGCTTCCGCCTCCACTTCGCTTTGTTTTGTTAATAGTTCTTGGATTTTTTGCAAATTATCAACGTTCATATCTTCATGAACTTTGAGAAGCTTATCGTAGTCTTCTTGTAATCTTTTCATGTGCTCTTCGTGAGCGGAGTTTTGGGAAGTATTCAAAGATTCCAATTCCTTTTCGTGTGATGCCCTCTCCTCCCTCAATCTATTCTCAAACTCCTCTCGTAATTTATCCTTATCAAGTCTTAACTGCTTACACTCGCTCTCTAAAGTTTCCACCTGATTCTGATATATTTCATTATTCTTCTCTTTTGAGGATAATCCTAATTTTAATTCTTCTGCTTTAATTTCGTAAGACTTTTTTAATTCGTCAATCATTTTTTCCTTTTCCTCTTCTATTTCTCTTTTTGCTTCTAATAACTTTTCCAATTGAGATTCAAAGTCTTTTTTGATATTGAGAACTTCATTAGATAATGAAATCAACTTCTCTGAGTGGGATGTTTTCATCTCCGATATTTTCTCGGCCATAATTTCCTTATATTTTTGAAACGTTTCTTGAGCATCGACTTTCTCTTTTTCATGTTGAGATATCCTTTTTTCAAGATTCTCTATCAACTTCCTTTGATTTGTGTCTTCTTTCATAATGTCCTTGTACGATTCAATTTTCAATTTTGTATCCTCGAGTATCTTTTGAACTTCTTCTTCATATTGCTCTTTCGTCGTTGCCATTATTGCTTCATGTTCATCATTTTTAGTATTTAATGCATAAATAACCTAAAAAATGCATAAATCAAAATAATTCGCTTTAGCCATCGATTTGGCATATAAAAATAAAATGTAACTAACTTTTGTTAATTGAGCAATTTTTTTGGACATTTTTAAATGCATATCTTGTGATATTTCGCCCGCCATGTTTACTATATTTTTGTTCTTAGGAAAGTTGAAAGACAGTCCCGTCCCACCTGCCGCCATTTTTGTTATCCCTTCGTAGTAAAATAGTTCGAGTTTTTCAACACTTTTTCTCAGTATTTAAGGCTTTATTCAAGATAAAAGTAACAGTTTGAAAAACATTAAGCATATCTTTATTGTTTCTACGCATTAAAAATTATAAAAAGTGTTCTGAAGGCAAGGTGTATTTCGTTGAAGACGAACAACTCAAGTCTCTTAGCAACAGCTAACAACAATATATTTTGCATGTCTTTCTATAAGTTTTAAAAATGTTCATGCATACACATGTAAAAAGATATAAGTTTCCTTGAATAAATTATATGAATTTACCATTAACATAGTTAATCAATACAATAATTATCACTATAACTAGGTTGAAAAGTCAAATTCTCTTTTTTTCGCTCTGAAAGTTACGTAAGAATCTAAAAAGTTGTAAAAAAAATGTAAGAAAAAAACTAGAAATCATTCTAAACAGGTTGACAACATCACTAGCATCTAATAGTATATTATTCAATGTAATATATTAAAAATAGTGTTTATACTATGCATTAAGTGCAAAAGAAAACTCTAACAATTATCGTAAAGTTATATATGATCCGACAACTGAGATAGTATCCGTTAAAACAGTATCAATAAATCAGACGCATTTTATATTGATTTGATGTATATAGTCATATAGAATCATGTACAGTTGTACACTTATCCATTAATCTATATGTATTTATCTATGTTCACAACGTAATTGCTCTACAAAAGAATTGTTCGATCTGGAATTAAGTCCAGGCTACTCTGATTAGCTACGCTATTAACTATTGACACTTTCTATTAAAAGTGACCAGGCGCCACCTATTAACAAACCGTTTCCTGTTCAAATTAGTTGTTGCCGAGCAACTATACTGTGTATGAACGTCAAGGAAAGAAGGTGGAAATGAATGAAAGTGAAAAATGGTACGGATGTTAATACAAGTTTGTTTTAGTATAAAGTATAAACTAATAGACTAATACATTTAAAACTATTGACAAAACCTATTGGGTTAATAACAGAAAAGTTTACTTTGCAAATAACATAGACGACGGTAAACTCTAATTTATCTATATAAATAATTTGCATAGAATCCTTTTGTTTACATTAAATAATTGACAATTTCTTACTTCAAACACGAAAAAACTAACAATATCAAAGGTAAAAGTAGGATATTATTTAAGCGAATTGTTCAAAATTGATCTCATCTATTTGTTTACACCTTTTCTTTTATTAGGCGATTATTTAGGCTTGATTAAGGGTTGTCAACTAGGATTAAGTATAAAAGCTGAGAGGACGAACTAGCAATTTCTCCTCTATATTACCTATTAACGGCTTATATTTCGTGTAATAACGAGGATAATCGCAAAATAATTGTTTAAAGGGTTATTTCATTTTGAAATTAAACTTTCTGACGATTTAACAACTAATTAAAATGGAGAAAAATCCTTTTTTAACAGCTATCTCAAGCCGATCGATTGCCTTCACGTTTCAGTGGTTCTTGAAGATGCAATTGATCAATTAGCCGTCTTAGGAAAGATTATGCCAGCCGCAGTTGCTGATTCAGAAGAAAATGACGAATTGCTTCAAGATGATTTAAATGGTTTAAGAGACGATCAAACGACTCACGAAGAACAATTTAATAAGGCTCTAAAACAAAAGGATACTTTAACGGCTGGTTTCAAAAATTTAAAAGAGGGTAGGGAAGAGGCTTTAAAGAATGTGGCAAAATTCGGAAAACAGTTAAAAGATCAAACATTTTTGTTCGGACAAGGTCTACGACAGAATCCATTGGCTCCTGATAACCTGCAGAAGGTTCAAGAAGATAGAACATACTTAGAAGGAATCTTAAATGAGACTCTAAGTGAGATTTGCGGACCTCATTCCTTCAGTAAATTAATAAAGGCGGTCACTGAGGAACAGAAAAAGAAAGCTCGGTTAATGAATATTATTTTAAAAGAAGAAGAATCTAGGAAGAGAATTAAAATGCTGCAAAAGAGAATAGTTGAAGTTAAGAGAGAAAGGGAAGTTGAAGTATCGGAAAGAAATCAGATGATTGCTCATCTAAAAGACCAATTACAAGAGATGAAGGCAAAAACACATATGGAAGGTAAATATATTCGTAAATGTGCCGAAGTTCAAGTTGCCGAAAGTCAGAAAAGGTTATTATAATTAATTTTATGCTCGACAAGAATAAATTACAATAGCAAATCTTTACAACCTTTAGGTGTAATATATCAGAGAGAGATTTAGAGGATACAAAAGATCTCTACCGACTAAAGATGGACGAAGAGTCAAGAGTTCACGCAGAAACTTGCGTTTTCTTGGAAAAGCATATATATGATCTACAAAAAAAATTAGATGATTGGATAAATAGACACGATGTTGACGTGGCCAAATTAGATCATGATTTAGAAGTTTTACAAGTTTCAAAAGCCAAAGATCTTGAACGATTGGACGAATTAACAAAATTGGTATGTATGCAAGCGTTTAAAATGTATCAACTACTTAAGATGATCATTAATAACAGTATAAGGAATACGAACAAGTTGTTGTTGAGGATAGAGTAAAAAAGGAAAAACAAAAGAGAAAAGATGAACAAGAAGAGAACGAACTAAAATCCGCAATTAAAATACAAGCATGGTTCAGAGGTGTGATGGTTAGAAGATGTCTTGGTCCATTTAGGCAAAAGAAGGGAAAGAAGGGCAAAAAAGGAAAGAAAGGAAAAAAGGGAAAAAAAGGAAAGAAATAAACAAAGCATCTAAATAGAGTCAATTATTTTAGGTGCTTATTGCCGATATTAGCCGCTTTAAGTATTAAATAATAGCTTTTTAACTATTTAATTATTAATTCTAATACAAATAAGTTAAAAAAATATGTTGAATGTAACAAAGTAAAATTACAACAGGTGTAGAAAATATTCCATTTTAATACATAATAAACTCTTTCTCTCCTTCTCTCTACACTCTTTCAATGTTCTCTTTTCAAGTTGTTAACAGCCTATTCAAATATATAAATATATATTCAAGTTTTAATGAAAAAATTTGCTACAATATCAAAAGTATAAAGAAGTATTTTTTTTTTATTAAAAAAAAATAAAATCTCAGATATTTTTTTTACTGTATTTCCTTTTTTATTTCAATTAAAAAGCTATAAAAGAAATACTAAAGATATATCTTCCAAATATTCTTTCAATGCTTAATTATACGATTTAAAGGTAAAGAAATATACATTTAAAGAAAGAGAAGAGAGGGGAAGCGGGGAGAGATAAAAAGCAATATAGGTTTAGGTCAAAATTATTCTATTGAAATATGAAGGGGTTTTTTTTATCCGATCTAAGTTTGAATTAGAACGAGTGATTTATTAGCATGAGTTTGACAGTTCAATGGAAAAATTTTTAAGGAATGTTTTCAAATTAAACCGCGTAAACGAAACGGGTTCGATGTGAAGTTTTTTTAAAATATTGAGCATAGGTGATAAAATTTCAATGAAAGGAATAATCTTTTAACGTATATCTATAAAGTAAATCCCTATTATGGCTGTTGTTTAATTTTTTCGGTAAGATCACTCTAGTTGGCAAGAGTGGTACGTATTCCGTTTATAAAATGCAAGTATATATAAAAAGTGGAATAGCTATCCATCTGTTCTGCAAACCACTAGATGGTGCTTTTAGTCAGTTAAAGGTGAGGCAACACCTGTAATAGCTGGCAAAATTCAGTTTTTATATCATTTGACAGTTGGTAGCAGATGGTACGTCTATTTACATTGTATTTTGTTTATGATAACTAAATCAGTTAAAAATATTAATGGAATATTATTTTTTATGTAAAGGTAATAAATCAATTGTATTGTTTACACTATATGACTTAACCCTTTGCGAGCATATGAGTATGTATGAAAGTGAGATCAAAAGATAAAAAAGTTGAATGAGCCGTTTTTCTAGGCTTTCTAGGACTATTTATAATTAACAATAGAGAGTGTAAACAGATTTTTATATAAGGGAAACTTTGTCTCACTGCTTAACTATTCATAACATGTTCACTACACACTTTTTTCCCTTATAAAATATAGTCAACACAAATTTATTTTTACAGCTTAAATGTCAATACACTTGCAAAGATTTGGTGTTCTGGCCGACGACCAGTACAATGAAAATACTCACGTGTTCACCTTCGTTTTTGAAAATCCCTATAAACTGGTTTCAGGCGAAGTAAAAAGTATCGAGAGTTCAGAATGTAGTTACTGTGGACAAAAATGGTCTATAGTTGTAATGAAAAAAGAAGAATACATGGGTGTTTATCTAAAATGGAAATATTCAGATGCCCCATCATTACCATACGTTAGCGTCAAATTAAAGTACATCTTAGGTCTTGTCAATAGATCGGACTATGGTTTAAATAAGCATTTTAGTACAACTCAAAAGTTTCGAATAGGTCAGACAGTCCTAGGAAGATCGAAATTTATAACGTTTAGAGATCTATTAGATATTGGCAAAGGTTTTCTAGACCATACAGGAAAACGATTGGTTATGGAATTAACGTTATCAAATTGTAGTCTAACGTTTACAAAGAGTATAGATATTAGTAGTTCAGCAAGAACAAAGAAAAATACAAACGGATATTATTTTGATACGCCAACATTTGTTGCATACGCAAATAGATGGTATCTTAGAATTTATCCTACAAAATTAAACTCTAATGGTTTACCAGCATCCTATCTATATCTTGCAACTAAATCTAAAGGTCTCGTGCTTGAAACAAAATTTAGACTATACCTAGAAAGTGAATCTAGTGAGATATTATTCTATAGCTACGGTCACGGAGCTAGATTTGATGGTTTTGGCAGAACTTTAAATAATATTCTACCAGTTAATCAAAAAGTGGAAACGATATCTGTTGGTATCGAAATATTACAATTGAATATTACCAAAGATTTACAATTACCTATTACATCTCTATCTAAACACCAAGATCCTTCAGTATCAGCTGATCCATTTCAAGACAATGACGGAAATTTATGGAAACTGTTCATTGATAATAATTATAAATACCTTACTTGTCAATTGGATAAAGGCGTTCACCACTATCAACAAAATAAAACTAAATTGCTTTGTTGGAAAGCAACGTTACGATCACAAATTCAGCAAAAGTTTAAAGACGTTGAAATGTTAGGCGATTGTATTACTGGATACTTTTCAAATTTTTTAGACGATTGCGGTCTTTTAGCTTCTTTTCCAATAGAAATTTCAGAAGTACGTGCTCGTTTTCAATTGATTATTGATTAATAATAAATTTAGGTTAAAAACTCATTTTTTTCCCTTTCCATCATTATTTACAGTTAAAAGATCAATCAACAGCATTTACCGATAATGGTAACGTTATTATTCGTGTTAATATGATTTCGATTCAAACTTTGCCAGTTGCTATGAAATCTTACCCTAAATTTGATTATCAAAGCAAACAATTAATTAGAGCAAGGTAAGATTTCAAAAATAAATTAAATACTTGTTTTCTTTAATATTTAACATTAATTAACCTTATAAAAAGGCAAAGTGTAATGGAGAAAAATAGACGACTGGAAGATATGAAAGAATTATCGGCTTCTCAAGTCTCTTTAGGAGATTTAAATTCTACATGCAGCAAAGACGGCTCTGCAGTTGGCTCTTTCATGGATCTATACGACATGGATAATGGTCTACAGCCTAAACCTTTGGAAAAAAATATTGACGTAACTATGACTATTACATTTTGAATACATAAAATAACTTTTATACATTTTCATTTAATTAGTCATCCCTTAATGATCAACAAGCTGAAATGACAAGAGTATTTTGTAAAAATCTTATTAATTATCAAATTATCAACAACAATGGAGATGTCAAGACAATCAACAAAGAATTTAGTAGAACTAGAAAGGATATGGGAAATTTCAAAGACGACGCGACCGAAAGTGGTTTGGGCAGTGATCTCTCTTTTCACGATGATGTTGTGCCTTCTCAACACGATTTAACGAGGCAAAGAGACGTTATAACAGCCGTAATTCAATATCTACAGGTTTTACTAACTAACTTCAATAATAATTGAGCAACAATTTTAAGTTTATGTTTTCCTGTCACTAACAGGAGAAACTACCTATAAATATAACAGAAATTGTACAAATGGGATCAATTGGAACTGATTGCGTAACCAAATCAAGAGCAGATGTTGATTTAATTATATTAAGCACAGGTTAGAAATTAATAATACAATTAAAAATGGGATATATCAATGACCGTTGATATATATATATATATATAATCGGATTAGTCAGCTATTTGATCAAAAAACTATATTCGTAATTATAAAGTTATATATATATGAAATATTCATTTATTATAATATGACTGAACAGATTTGCCAAAAACTGGGCAAGAAAGTTGGATGATACCAGTCATACAGGCGACAAAGGAATTACTGCACTATTCTAACCAAAACGTTGACCCTTATAGACCTTTACCAAAATGCTCAGGTTTTATTCTAGTTACTTCTTGAAAAGTATTTTGCATTTATAATTTATGTTTTCTTATCCAGAAATAAAAACTTCATTATCAACCGTTCAATTTACATGTTCTGGTGTTGATATTGATATATTCTACTCATACGATTGGGAAAAAGGTTCAACATATAGCGAGTTATATAAATGGACTTGTTCCGAAACTGAAAAGTTTCAAAAATACTGGTAATGTATTCTAGATCATTTAAAAAATTAACTAAGTAAATCTTAATTGTGAATTTATTCTTTAAACGTTAATAATAGGTTCTCGGTTGCCAGCGTACGTTTACAGAGAAAGTTTATCAATGAGCAAAGAAAAGAGGTAAGAAGAATAAACACAAACATCATAAAATTCTATAATTTATTGCTCTATTATCTCCCCTTCATTCTCCTTATCTGAAGGTCAAAGATGTTATAAAAATCCTTAAGCATTGGAGGAATTCTATTCAATGGCGTAAAACTAAATACAGGCCTGATAGTTATCTTCTGTCACTCCTCGTTATAAAGTCTTGCGAAGAGACAAAATCTACTGATTTGACAAAGGTGGCTACGAAATTGGGGCAATATATTTTTAATCCCGAAACTAGGTTAGTTGTCTTTCTTAAAACTTGTAGAATCCATTTAAATATCGAGGAACTAAGTCATATTTATTTACAATTTAGCATAACGTGGAGTAAATATTATCTCCCTGGAAAATTTGAAGTTGAGTTTGATCCTCCATATCCTTTAATTCAAGATCCTGCTAATCCTGGGATAAATGTTGCTGATTCTTTATGCTATTGGGGTCAATTTAAAGCTGAAATTAAGGAATTATTGCATTCATTGAATGTGCCTTTACATAATGTACTTTCTTGATTTATTCGAAAATGACAGTAGTTGAACTTATATCGAAAAAAAATGATCGAAAAAGTGATATTATGCTTTCATTTATAACTATCATATCTATGATATTTTTCGTAAAAAAAAAAACACAATTGCGCTACACTTCTATGTCTAAACAGAAAATTTAGGCTGAATCGAAAAAAAACCTTGAAAAAATGATTGAATTACCTTCAGAACTTTTCTTGAAAGTGGCAAAACGAAAATTACCTAAGAGGCTTTTTAATTATTCATTTTTAGAGGGAAATAGTTTATTTGACTTTATTTATATGTATATCTACTTATACATATATATATATATATATCTTTTTATAATACTGTTACAAACCAGTTGGACAAGTAGCTTGCTATTTAGTTTCGTATTGAATATTATTTATTGGATGTTTTTATTGTAAAGTCATATTTATCTATATATATATCTTATTTTTCTCTCTTTTGCGTTATTATTTGTTTTTAAGTCTTTTTTCTTGATGACTGAAACATGATTTGTCTTTTTGCTTCCTTCTTCTGTTCTATTTATTCGGAAAAAATTACGTTTGGTGCTAATAAATTCATATTCTCTCATCTTATAAGAATGTCTTTTTTGTTTTATTTTTACGAAAATGTTTATTAGATAAACAAATAACTATGATATCTTTTTTAACTCGTAAGAGATATGCAGTGACACCCATGACATTCCAGTTGAATTAGTAACATCAATTAAAATATTTAAAAAGTTATGGGAATTTTTTAATTAAGTAAACTATATTGAGTATATATGCTAGAGGAACTTTTCAACTACTTTTTCACGCAATAAAATGTAAGAGTAAAGAAATAAAATGAATTAAATATATTTAATTGCGCGAAGTGTGGACATCGTTTCTCGACGCAAATTCGATCTGAACTATATTGTGTTTGATCGTAAAGAAACTTCCGGATGGAATTCTCTCCCTAATTACATGATTTAGTGTAATTTGGTAAAGAAAGTTCTTATCTTATTCACAAGACAATGAGTAATAAACACCAACCCAGCAAACGCGGCGTTAAAAGCAAAGGTATTACTATATTAATGCATTATCTTTCACTTTAACCTAAATTCGCAACAATCTTTAATTTCGTAGTGCATCACCCGGCGACAGATTTTATACCGCTAGGTAATATAGCAAAGTATAAAGCTAATCAACCAATTGAAATTAAAAAATTACTATTTAGGCTCCAAATCTTCGTCCTCAAAGAGTGATCCACCGCCTCCGAAGGCGTCTTCTAGCTCAAAATCAGAGTCGAAGAGTTCTAGCGGAAAGAAATCTAGTTCATCCAAAAGAGAAGGTAGCTCTTCATCTGGTATATCACACAAAAAACAAAAACTTTCAGCCGAACCACCTGGTAGAGCCTCTCCACATTCCCAAGCTAGAGATTTAGAAAAAATAGCTGAGGACAGTAAGTAATCTGAAATATGTTAGAAAACTTTTATATAGAAAAGTTTAAATTTTAGTTGATCCTGAGACATTTTCAACAAATATTAACGATGCTTTAGAAAAAAATGATTCAGACAAAATAGACGGACTAATTTGTGGTGCTATCAAATACCTTAAAATAGTAAGTACTTGCCTGAATTAGTATTTTCTTGGTTACCAGAATCTTCCTGCAATGTTAAACGAAATTCCCTCTAATGTTCTATAGCACAAAAACAAGGAAACATTTCCTGAGGATATAGTGTTTACTCTAAACACTTTGGCATCAACTCAAAAACAAATATTTGTTAATTCGAATAGAATCATTGAGGTTGGCAAAAAAGTTTTCAAATTCTAATACCAATTATTATTTAAGAATTAACTTGCTGAATTACTATTCTAGTCATTATGCACTGTTTTGAGAAAAGAAACTTTAAAATCTCGTCATGGAGGCGAATTAGCTGATATGGTTTGTAGCATTATTATGACTTCATATTCTAATGAGGAACCCTGGCCAGATTTGTTTATTAAGGTTAGATATCTAAAAGTAAAACTTCATATTTCGTAAAATGAATTCACATCTATATTTAGCTTTGGCTTGATGATGCAATTGGAGACAAGCTTTGGATTAATAGAAATGAATGCGCTGAATTTTCAGCTAGTTTAAAAGCTGCTTTTGGTACGAAAATACCGCCGGGAGTTGTTTTGGAGGAAAGTAATAGTGGAAAAATGTCAAGAGTAAAGAGTATTAAAGTATCTAGCGCAACCTCTTCTCCCTGTAAGACATAGCTTTTGTATTTCATTAGCCACAAAAAATAAATACGTATTATTAATATAACAAGTCATTTATATTATTCTTTCGTCTTTTAAGCATCAAGTCCAAAGTCAAATGAAGAAAAGATGGACACAACTGAATCGAATGTATTTAGCATACCTGATTTTGACCCTTTTTCAAGATATGATCAACGTACTGTTAATAATATTGTTGATGGATTCATAAAAGAAGTTCTTACTAAAAGACATCCGTATGAAACGGATGCAAAATCTCTAATTCAAGTAATGTTAAATAATAATTTGTAATTCATTTATATAAATATACAGTACCGGCGGTAAGTCATTGTTACACCTCAAAAAAAATATTTTCCTGATTTTTTTCTCTTTCCATACTTAAAGAATGAAAATGAAGGATATTATTATATTTAATAATATTCTTCTTATCATTATAGAAAGAAAATATATGTTTTTCATTTTAAATCTCAGAAATATGATCACTTTAATGTGATATTTGAAAAGTGGCAAAGCTTTTTAAATGTAGTCCAACTACTGTACAAAACATAAAAAATAAATTTAAAAAGCTACAAACTGTCAAAGATAAAGAAAGAAGTGATAGACCAAAAAAAGTGACACCAAAGTGGACAGCCCATCAGGTATTATATAACTCTGGCATACCTATGTCTCTGTCTCTAACAACAGTGAAGCAAATACTAAGGAAAAATAATTTAAATGGGAGGATTGCAGACAAAAAACCTGCTTTATCTAAGAGGCAGATAATAAGTAGGAAAGAGTTCTGTAGAGAGAGAAAAAAGTGGGGGATTCAAAATTGGAAAAAGTAATTTTTTCTGATGAATCAAAGGTTGAGCAGTCATGTTGTCCCAAATTATAAGAGAGGGGAAATTTTCCAGCAGGATGGAGCTAGCTGTCATACAGCAGCCAGAACAAAAGTGTATCTCAAGAGAAAGGAAGTGGAAACACAGGAAAAAGCTCAGACCTGAACATTATTGAACAAATATGGGGCATATGCAAAAAATATTTAATGGCACATAAGCCAAGAAACAAGGATGAGCTGTGGGAGATGTTCAGAGAGGAATTTTTTAAAATTTCAGAATTGGAAATTCAATTCTTATATGAGACAATAGAAAGAAGGCTTAAGGTAATTGTAGAAGCTAAGGGTATGCACATAAAATACTAAGGCATTAACATATATAATATCATGTTAAATAACAGTCAAAATAAGAACAAAAAAATACTTTTAATATTCTTTTAGATTAATTTTTGTGATTGTAACAAGTACTTATGCTCCCATTGAAAATAGGCCTACCACATTAAAATATCAATAATTCAGAGATTTGAAATGAAAAATGTATATTTTCTCTCTATAATGATAAGAAGAATATTATTAAATATAATAATATCCTTTATTTTCATTCTTTAAGTATGGAAAGAGAAAAAATCAAGAAAATATTATTTTTTTGAGGTGTAACAATGACTTACCGCCGGTACTGTATATTTATATAAATGAATTATAAATTTTTTTACTATCAAAGGTAATGTGTTATGCTTCCGGAGTTCCTGGCGTTAGACTTTCTGCAGCACAAAAGTTAGACTTATGGTTAAATAATCCGAAATATCTAAAGGTCGCGCAAGATTTGATGCTTTGTATTTGTTACAATTGTAATGAATTTTCTCAAACTGATGTTGATACCATGAGTGCATTAGTGAGAATACGTTTGAAGAGTAAAGCGTTTACATCGTCATTCACAACTGCGATTCAGTAAGATATTGCTATAAAAAGTTTTTTTAAAAAAGAAAAACTTTTTTATTCTTTCTATATTTTAGGATTCTTGTTCAACAACACCCAGAGAACTTGAATACGATAATGACGCAAACAGTTTATAATGAATTCTCACAAAATCGTAATCCGAATAATATGTCTCTGTTGGTTGCAATGTGTCAAGCTGAGTGTAGAAATGGACCTAGAGCTTTAGGTGTTATTTTTCAGGACTTCTTTTTCCATAAAGATGATTTTTTGAAAGCTATAAGACTATTGTTACGGGAGGTTGTTAGATGGGCAAAGCAAGATTTAAATTTATCGGAATTAGTGCGTAGTTTTTTTACTCCTGAGCTACAGGAGAAATTCAATAACTCGAACATAGAAAAAGCAACTAAGGTATCTCATTCAATAATTTTTTGTATTCAACAATACGAATATAATATACTTTATTCTATTTAATAGATTAGATGCATACATAGCATCACTGATTTAATAACTCATTGCTGCCTATTACTAATAACTCCTGCAGTACGAGAGGCAGCTGGATCCTGTTTTAGAGGAGATTTTAAAGGTTTTCCTTTATTCCTTTCCTAATCTATAAATTAATAATAAGAAAGCAAGAAATTTTTTTTCTATTCAACAATTTTTTTATATCTCGTGTAGATTTTAACGTCATTGCCGAATTTCATCAAACAATAGCTCAAATTCAATGTGATTGTATGCAATGGTTTCATAGTATACAGAAAGTTTGTAATTTAAATGCTGATCAATTTATTGGATGGTAATTATATTTTCTGCAAACTGAACTATTTTGTTTAAAGACATTTTTCTATAGTTTACGTAAAGCTCTCTTTATGGAGAAGTTTGATGTTTATAGTAAAGTTGACGGCTGGCCTCCTGAACAAGAAAGGAAGTCTGTATCTTAATTATTTACTTTTATTCAAGTTCTTCTCAATTGTATTTACAAATTTTAGCGTTATGTTGCGAATCGTTTCTGAAGTTCCTGTTCTAGAAGATACAATAATGTGGACCCTCCTACTTGGTTTAGGCGCCTCATACCCTCTAACGCCATCTGATGCTCTTGATTTGGCTGAAAGAATGATAAGGAGATCGGCTCTTTTATTCGCTGATCGTAAGCTTTAAACTTATTAATAATTTTTTACGAAGTTGAATTTTTTTTTAATAGAGAGACACAAAATTCCTTCTTATTATAAAATTCTTGAATTTAAGAAATTGGATTTGATCAAATTACTTATTGAATTATGCGTTTATAAGCATCCTGAACGTTATGCAATGCCAAAAGAGTAAATTATTAAACAGTCTTCGTTTATTACAATTTAATTGTTTAAATACTATCTATCTACAGCTATTCACCTCCTCAATTGGCTGTTACACTAAATTATTGGAAAATATGGATAATTCTTTTAATATTGAGCGGTTTCAATCCTGAAAATTTCGGTAAAAAATTATATTTGATCAATCTAATTTCTGTAAATAAGAATTTATTTTCTTTCTCAGGGAAGGAGGGCTGGTATGATTATCCACAATTGAAATGTTTTATGGAGATGGTTATCACGCGACAAATTACTTTCCCTCCCCCAACAATGGCACCTGATGCTAATAAATTACAAGAGATTTATGCTCGAGAAAATCAAATAAAGAGCATTGAGCAAGAAACTATCCTTGAATATGAAAATCATTTGGCTACTGAAACTATAACGAAAGACAATTCTCTTCTTCTGTCGATGACTATGTTATTACAATCCAAAGGACCTGCGAGAGCACCTCCTCAGGCAGTTTTGGATGATATCTCTCGACTCGTTACCCAGTATCATTTAGGCATGATGTTGTGTAAAAGCAGAGATCCAGATTTTCTGTCAGAATTAATTCAAACTCAAGGTACAACACAGTCGCGACCGTGGTTGGCTGAACTTGTTGAATCTAATAATGGAGCCCTGGATCACCTACCTGTTCAGTGCCTATGTGAATTTCTTTTACATGATACATCGATAGAAGAGGAAACTAGTGATTGGTTTGAAGATACTTCGGAAAAGACATCGATTAAAGTGAAATCTGATAAACAGGCCTTGTTATTAGACCAATTGCAGGGACTTTTATATAACGGTACTTGTGAGACTGGTCAAATAGAGAATATTTTGCAATTTTTTTTACAAAGATTGCTCTCACCGTCTAAATCTGCCAGATTACTAGCAACTAAAGGATTATCGCAAATAATTACAAGGAAATCATCTGATTCCAGCGATGAAGAAAGTGAAATGGACAATGATGATAAAAATCCAATGTCAAAACTTCTACCAAATTACAGATGGCTTTTTGAACAATTACCTAAGATTCAAAAATTTGAAGAATTGCGACAAGGAATTTGCGAAGAGCTTGTTCAAGCAATTCGATTAGAATCTAATAGTACTACGGTTTCGGCCTATATTGTATTCCTCTCTTCTCAGTCTTATAAATTGAATTTTCCAGTTATTGAAGCAATTGCAGATGTAAACACAATATAATAATCTATCTAGATCTAGAAATTCTATAATTAAATATCTATTTTTATAGGCTCTCTCCGACATTCTAATCAATCGGGTTTGTATGGCAAAACATTTACTTATTCCTATATCTAACTCTGAAAACGAAGTTCAACGAACTACACTAACTAAAGAATCAATTATACAACTCATGTATTCGTTATTACATGCATCATTCGTAACAAACGACGAAGAAATCGCATGGGTATATATCATATTAATATTTCTTGTTAGTGTATAACTGTCATTTATTTTTTTTTCTCGTTGAAAGAAGGAATCGGATGTTAAAATTCGTTTAGAGTTTAAAAATGGATCAGAAGCTATTCTGAATATGGATTATGTTCAAGCAATGATAATTTTATTATCTTATGGTAAACCTAAAGGTTTGTTATTAAATTGTAAGTTTCTGTTAAGAGTATATAAGTCTTGTCATTTTGCAGGACTAAATTCTTATTACGATGAACTATCTGATTATTTGCTACCTGATAAATCAACGGTTGTACGTGCTTTTAAACTAAACACAATGGAGGTAGCTTTATTGCTACCTGATTGGGTGAGAATACGACTAATTACATCATCTGTTGAAGAATTAGTTGATATTGGTAAGACAAAATTATTTAATTTAAATATTCCAATATTTTTATCCTTTATAAATTAAATTTTTTTTTAATTAACAGTTTTATCTGATATAACAATGCCTCAACTAATTACTGTCATTCAAAGTTTCGGTATGTCAATTCAAAATGTTGAAAAGTTAATGCATAAACTGGAATCTATTTTGGACGAGGAAGGCGAAGAGCTATTATCAGAAAACAAGTATAGATTAAGAAATCAAATACGCGTTGCTTATCGTAGTGGAATAAAAGCACCTAAAACCTATAAAGTATTAGGTTTCTCCTCTGCTGACAAAAAAAGTAAACAAAAGAAAATTTTTCATTTATGAATATTTAATATCAATCTTTTTTTTATCCGTTTTATTTTAACTATTGTCTAGATTCCGTATCGCAAAGCATTGTACCTATAACTTTGAAAAGAGATGAAGAAATGCAAGAAATCTCTCATTCAAATGTTAATAAGAAAACTCTGAAAAGTCAACTAAATAAGGTGAACAAAAAAACTAAATTAAAACGTGTGTGTAATTAATTTTTTTCTTCTTGTTTTAGTCTATTGTCAATAGCAAAGCCAACAATTCAGGTACATCTTACGAAACCATTAAGAACGTCATCAAATTCTGCAATAACAAAGAACAAGCCTGCCTTGTCATAAATACACTAATTACAGTAACATATCTTTTTCATATTCAATTTTGAATATTAAAATTCAACATGTTCGTCTTACAGTTAGCTGAACAACATAAGAGTAAATTTTTTGATGGATTTCAAAAACAAGATAAAGTGCTAGTAAATTTATTAAGAACTTTAGAAGTATTCGATAAAGATGAGACAAATTTTAATGAATTGTCATCAATTTTACGAGAAGGACTAAGTGATTCGAATAATTTGGTTGTAAAATTCATTAATGATCGTTTAGGTAAGATAATAAGTTTTTCTTTTTTAAGTAATTAATATTTTATTATCTGTTTTTATAGAAAAAATGAACGAAAGTGAAACAAACGGTTTTGGTCAAAAATTAAATGCGAACATTTTAAACAGTATTGAGAATGGAAATATAAGTGAAACTGTTTCAAAAATCTGTGGAATTCTTATGAATAAAGAATTAAGGTATTTACTATTTATATTGTGAAATAGAAGAATTAAGCTTAATTGTATGTATATTTATTTATATTTACAGAGATTTATTAGCCCCTTCGACGAATAATCTTTTAATTGATTGGTTATTAATCCTTGATCCGGAACTAACACATATCTCACCATCCTACGAGCATAAATTAATATTTGGTCAACATTTTGCTTCATTAAACAAGAACTTACAACATTCAAATTTATTATTGAGTTTATTGATACATAATTCTTCATTAGATACTTTAAGCAACTGCTTAGACTCCTTATTATCCGGTGGATTAGAATTATCTAATCCAACGAGTATTTTAGATTTCTTTACAGCACTCTTACAATTGCCTAAAGTATGGCAAGGGAAAGAAAAGAGGCAATCAATAGTTAGTAATTAAATGATATGTTTTTTTTCATTACATTCTAATTAATTGATTTATATTTTCTTAGAACGCACCTAAAGAAGAGATCTTAACATTAACCTGTCATCAAGCATGCAAACTAATCAATTTTATAATAGAAGAAGCTAAATTAACAAGTTCAAATTCAACATTAACCTTTGACATTAAAGAAAAAATTAGCTCAAGATTTAAAGTTATATGGAAATGTTGCAAAGCGAACAGTATTCGTGATATACTTAGTCAATTACACAAAGAATTTAAATCAACTATTAAAACTGACGAGTAAGTTTTCTTTTCAATTGATATCATTTTAAAATAATGAAAAAACCTTTGTATCCTATATTAATAGCATAAAAGCGTCAGTTGTTAAACATTTAGTTTTGGAAATGTATGTAGAAATACCAAATATTGCCGAGCTGGATAAAGAAATTTGCGACTATGTACTTGAAAATTTCCCAACTATCAATTCGTTGAGCCAATTAGATAAGACAACACATCACATTCTCAGCGCTTTGGGTGGACAGAAAACTTCGGGTTATGATGCAAATATTGCATGTAGAAAATTAGCAACTCTTCACCCACTTTTACTATTAAGGTTAGAATAAAATAAACTTTAGCTTATAACATGAAATATATATTTTTTATAGACAACTACCATTACTCGAAGCTCAAATGGCTGGAAAATCATTTTTTACTTCTAGACAATTGAAGCATAAAAATTATCATATTTTATACGCGCAAGTTTTAGGACTTTTAGAACTACTACAGCCATTTATTTTTCATATGAGCTATTCAAAGTCATTAGATGGAATTATTACAGGATATTTCGATTTATTTGGACAACATTTAGAGGAGATGAAAACGCCGTTGTTAACATTACTCAAGAAATTTATAAAATTTTTGGATGTTTATCATTCTTATCGTCCGTCTGCAACAAGAAAAGTTTTGAAAAATTATGAAGAATTTCTAGTTAATTTATCAAACGATTATCCAGAAATACCAGACACTCAAACGCTCTTATCCGCCTTATCTAAACCTTTAGGCAAAGCCGAAAAGGAACGAAACGTACTGCTTCGCAGCGAATCACCTGTTAGTTTAACTACTGCCCAACAGAATTTGGTTAATTCAATTAATCAAAACACGGGTACATTGGATATATTAGAAGCTCTTAAAGACGTTGATAATATCTCTAAATTAAGTGCAGACATACTGATACCTATTCGAGTAAGATTATTATTGATAATTATTAATATTTGGGTTATTACGATTAAGCGATTTCTTTAATCTCTGTTCTCTATAGGATCAATTGAAAACACTTATGGTTACCAAAGAAGAAACTATTCGTAATCTTACTTTAAGTCTTGCAATGAAATTATTAAGGGAAAATCCTTCGTTAGTACTTTGGCAACTCAAAGATAACATACAATTTGTATTAAATATTTGTATAATATTTACAGAATGAGTGAAGAGTTTGTAAACCCTTATTTGAATATGTTGGACCAAAGTTCGTCTATTGTAGAGTCGGCTGTTAAGCATTTACCGGAGTTTGCTTTGTTAGCAAAAGGTAATTTTATACTTTTGAACTCATTTCAGATAGGAATTTGACACTTTTTATATATTTTTTTATGATTCAGAATATGCCCCCGAAATTTTAAAGAAAGCATTTGTCGTCTCTTTGTCTAATTCAGAAGTGACTTCAGCTATAACAGATGCTCTCAGAGTTCTGAATCTCGATACTATTTGTGCATCTAAAGATTAGATAAGTTTATTTAAAACTTTCATGATCCCTAAAAACTGTCTGTTGATAAGATTATTTTTCTCAATATAATACTTTGACCAAACTCAACATCTAAATCTTATTTATAGTAATAGTTGCAAAAGGACATGTTTTTCCTCGGTCTCTATCCTCCTTCCAAGACAGAATAAAACAAGGGAATAGAATGACTGATATTTAAACCCTTACAATATACTACAGTTTACATTCTAGATAAATAGTTCTCGCAAATTAGAATAATATCTGTAATCGAAACGAAAGTTTCCACATTCCATGTTTGATAATAATCAAATATGCTATTTATAGAGTTATGATTGTTGATGCGAGACCCCAACGCGATGCCAAGCATTGTTAATTAGGCCACGAACATTCCAAACTGACGATGTAAATTCTGGTTGCGTATTATGAGCAGTGTCAGTTGCTTTACAAAGAACTTGGAATTTCTTTCCCTGAAGATCTTGGGGTATTTCAATTGTTGTTTCCCACAACGTCCAAGCCCACTGTTTATAGACTGGTCGTTTAATATTTTCAAGTTCTGCTTCTTGCCAGGTCTTTCCACCATCTATTGATACATCCACTCGCAATATACCCCGTCCACCTCCACTATAAGCATATCCTTTAAGCGTGATTTCATCATCGTCAACGACAGTATTTGGCTTTGGTTCACAAATTGCGCTCTGAACGGGATACTCTTGAATAGGTACCGCTTTCTTATAATCAAGGGTGCCCCAATCAATTGTTGGATTAAATTGTTTGTAATCATTCTGTTGCCAATGCGATCTAGAAATAAAAAAGATAAGCATAAATCTCTTTGCATATATACCCTTACTAAAAAATTTACTTAGATTCTTCATCCGATACCGTGACTTTATACAACCATTTAACTTGTCTTGCTCCGATGGTACCTGGAACAACACATCTGAGAGGATATCCATGATCTGGAGTCAAAGGTTTTCCATTCATATCCCAAGCAAGAAGTACATCTTTGTTTCCGTCGAGAGCCTGGGCTGCTGGTATAGAGGCTTCGTAGAAATTTTTGGTATCGTTGTCTAAACCCGTCAAATGAATGTGTTGAACGGAATCATCGTCTGCTGAAACACCAGCAGAAGTAAGGACATCGCTTAGTTTAACACCTGTCCACGTTGCATTGCTGATTGCAGCAATACCCCAGCTGACTCCTTTAACTGGCTTGTATTCAGATAGTTCTGCTCGGCGATTTCCAGCGCATTGGACAGCTGACGTTATTGTATGGTGTTTAAAATTTTTCTTCAAGTCATCAAGGCTTAATGTAATAGGTTTTTTGACCCCTTTCCCTTGAATCTCTAGCTTAAATTTGTTTACATCAACATTTGGAACCCCAAGATGATTTCTAACAAAAAATAATTCGGCTGGGGTTACAAAATTGTCGGCCAAGAGTTCAAATGGGGGTTCGGCTGTGAAAGGTCTTGAGGAATTCGTTCGCAGAGCTGGATGACGTGTTGGCTCATAACCAAAGGGATCATCTGGCTTTACTACTGGTCGTTTTTGCCTTTCCTTAACATCTTCTGGATGAAGATTACCAATTCTATACGATTCAAGCCAATCTAAAGTATGTTGATTCTTATGTATTGTGTACATATCCCAAAACGGTTCCAACTCTCCACCAGCAGCAAGCAGAACTTTGTCTCCTCCAGGATGCTTATCAACAAATTTTGTGATGTCGTATACGCCTTGTTTATACATAACCCAAATACCATTTTCCTTACTATTATGCTTTCTCACTTCGTTGATTCGAATGTTTCTTAAATCCAGTCTCCTTTCGCCGCCTTTATCATTAACTTTTTCAGCAGAATATACTTTGGAAGTGTAAAGCAATGTACCACCTGTTTTTTTCAAATAAAAACATAAAATTTGCCTCAAAAAGAATTAAAACAATGCAGTACAACTTTAATTATATACTCAAGATGCTTTTACGAAGAAACATCATAACAACATAATATATAATTAAACCAACAAACCAATTGCACCGGCTATAACAACTCCGAAGATTCCGAAATAGCTTGATTTTTTTTCCCAATTACCAGAGTGATGAGAGCGGATTAAAAGAGCTGATCGGAAGTCAGCCTCATTCTTTTGACAATGATTATTTAATATGGCACCAAATCCGTTTTGACGGAAAATTCCCTGATTACTACTCAAGTAACGACCTCCTTTAACAAGTTTTGCATAATTGCCTAACTGTCGTGTCATATTTAAGGAAAACATGATTAAATTTCAAAGTACCAAACTTCAAAATTGTGGTCCCCTATTCCTGGCTGAAATTTTAATGGTTGGAATGGGAAACCAGTTAGAGTTCTTCGAAATAAAACTATCAAAACTATCAATTAGCTCTAAGCAAATCAGATAACTATACATCTTACCAGAGTAGAGATTATAAATTATCCTTTTATATTATATTCAACAATTATTAAAACTTTGAAAGTTACGAAAAGTCAGTAATTACTATAAACATGGAATTATTTGCTTGAACAGATGTTGAATTAATTGAATTATATAGCCAGTAAGTTTTTATTTTATATCTCTATATGTTTATATATACTGTATATATATGGATGCATCTATTTATGTATATCTGTCAAAGAGATAAACACAAATGGTAGCATATTGAATTGACTTTTTCTTCGTTAATTATTCGCTTTAAGTAACAAGAGTATAATTATTTTCAACGAGAGAAACAAAAATCCGTTTCTTAATTGATTTCCTCGAAATTAAGAAATTAAGAAAGAGAGAAAAGGAATAAAAGAGAGTTAGAGTTTAAGAGAAAACGAGAAAAATAGACTTTCAATTTGTGCATTATTAATTACTTTGTTTTTCAACTCAACGGTAAATAATTAGACATTTAGGTCTCATTTATTATCGGAACAATGGAAGTCTTGTGAATTATTTATTATATCGCTTTTTTTTAATTCTCTTTTCTTTTGGCCGTCAAATTTTTTTTTTAAAAAAAAAATTTTCTAAAAAATAATATTTACATCACAATTCCAATTTAAAATCTATAGTTCATTTCAAAGAATGATGTCTAGTACATCGATAAACAATTCATCACACTCAAGTACTATACAAATTAACGACTCTAATTCAATAGTCTGTATTCTTTTAAACGGAATAGATCAAATTGCTGTTCATAGAGATTTAAGTACACTAGGCAAGTTTAAGAAATTCATTGTAAAGGATATCACAGGCAAAGTTTTATTCTATGCTATCGAAGGTTGTAAATTAATTTCTTCTATTTAAAAATTGGCTTGTTTTTCATTTAGCTTTTATATATATATATTATATATATATACATATATATATATATTTAGACGAAAACTCTGGAGTTGCGCAATATCGTTATCGTCTAATTAGGGTCTATGATGTTGATGGTGTTGAAGTAATTCAAATATTGAAATTAAATCGTTTATTACTATCTTATGAACCGTGGCAAATAAGATTAGCTCAGTCTGGTGAACTAATAGGTTGTATTTATCCACCAAAGTAAGCATTCTCACTCCCCTTTCATTCTTTTCCCGTCTGTCTCTATTGTTTGTTTAATACTTATACCATAATAATAACAATAAACTATACAACATTTAGATTGTCTATATATTCAAATTATACGATTGTCAACAATACAAATCAAATACTATTCAACCTAAAAAGTATTGTTTGTTGCGGATATGAGACAGCCTTTAATCTATGGGATACTAATGGAATAGAATGTGGTAAATTTCATAGGATTTATGGAGGTATTTTAAGGGAAATGAGTACAACGACAGACATATTTACGATGACGTGTAAGAGCTAGTTTACAGTTTGTAATTATTTTGTTTGAGTGTAGCTTCTTCTTTATTAAATCTTATAATATAAAATAATAACATTGAATAGTTTCATGATTAAGATACCTATTGAGCTAGGTATATTTAACAAAACGCACGTAAAGAGATAGAGAATTAGGCAGCTGTAATTATACGGAATATTTCTCCATAAAGAATACTAATTAGGCTATTAATAGAAAAAATGTCTTTATCAATGGAAACATTTCAATGTCACTTTCTATCATTTTAAGTATTTACTCAGTATAAGGTAAAAAGAAAAAAGTTATCTTTTATGTTTTTTCAGTTCCTAAGGTATTGATTGCTCCGTGGAAGAGTTTATTAATTGCAGCTTCTTTGATATATACTATCAAATAACAGAACCAAATAGTTTTCATATTTTCCTTACGTTTAAAACACTAAAGAATTTTATTTGATGTTAGTAAGAGTTAAAGTAAAGTAATTAATTGGTTCATTAGCAGAAGAGAGAACTTTTGGCTTCAAATAAAATTGGATTGAAGATTTCGTTTTTCTCTTTATTTTTATGTTTTCCACGAAATGCTACGAGAAAGAGTGAGTAAGAGAGAAAGATAGAGAGAGAGAGAGAGAGAGAGAGAGAGAGAGAGAGAGAGAGGAATAGACAGAATAAGAACAGATCTATAATCAGTTCTACCAAAAAAAACGAAACTACACTTTCTAAATTTAAGGATTGGAAAATAAATCCTATTTTATTCGTTTTTATTCCTTTGTCCTCTTTCTTATTCATTCTTTCATATCCCAGAAATCCATTGTAGGCCTTTTAACAGATCTATTTTTTTGGTAGCATTCATATTTTATAAACGATGATAAAAGATATTTTATTAATTCCAAGTGTAAATATATCATTAATATGCAAAACGTATAATATATAATAATGAAGAATATATTATTTATAAGTCAATGAAATAGCACCATCTGGTATCTATAAAAATAATATAAAGTTTATGAGCTCTTGGCAGCTTAATTATGACTGTAGTAGCACGTCCAATTCTTCAAGGCAGACGTAATAAGTCTATACAATTTACTTAGGACAAAGCATTGAATTGGATTTTTACGTAAAATTACCGTGTGCTACCTATTTAATTTACTCTCTCAATTACTTAGACAATAGACGAGGCGACTAGGCCTATAATAGTCATTCCGTTGTAATGTATTAATACATATATATATATATTTATAGAATAGTGTTTATTAATTCATTCACGAAGTTAGTTTCTCAATGAAATATTAATATTTTTCTCTATTCCTTTCTAGATGAATTAATGAATGTAAGGTTCTTAATGAATTCTATACATATCTTGATTTTTATTCAATAATCACACAATCTAGAAAGAGCATAGAGCTGTTCTTAAAAGATTTATTAGGTTGGACAGTCTATAATTATCTTTGATATCTATAGATCACGTTTTGTCTCGTATCGAATAATTCCTTTATTGAAATAAACAAACAATAATATTTTCTTTATTTCACCTCGTTATAACGTTTTACCACACCGTTCAAAAGAACAAGCAGTATTGTGTACTAAAACTAACTAAACCCTCCACTGCCCATTCGTCACCCTTTGCTCTCTATATCTTTGTACTTTTCTTCCTATTTGGGTGTCTCTCTTTCCCACTCTTCAATGTCTCTCTGTCTATTTATTGCTCTCCCTCTTTGTGTCTATTTCAGCATACTATATATCCAAGCTAGCATAATAATTTATGCATATGTATTTATATTTATACCATATTTCTTTGCCAACTAGGGACTCCATAAGTGATGAAAAGTCTTTGTAGACCTACACTTGAATAACGATGTATGATAATAGTAATAGTAAATAAATATAGTAAAATTTATTAGTATTCACAAAAACACAATAGGCCTACTTGATAAAATAGTACGGGGAATATATTTGGAAAATATCTTTTCGCTAGTAGAATCGGGCGTGTCTGTTATCGAGTTTTCGAAGCAAGTGGTAGTTGGGAATTTATATAATCCATATATATATATATATATTCTTCATATAAGGTTTATAATGAAAACATTCCATTAAGCCTTGCATTCATTCTGTTTCATTAGGTATCTTTTAGACCTATCATATATTTCCCTACTTGAACAACAACTGAAATCAATTGCTTTAAGAATTATAATCATAACTTTACATACTTTTATTAAAGAATATTGATGCATTGCATAAGAAAAGAGAAAGCGTTTCTTTCTTTTATCTGCCCCTCGCCCCCTCTCCTCTTTTTCTCACTCGCCGTATTATTCTCGTTTTCTTTATCTTTCTCTTTCAGAAATCAGCTCTTTCGTGTTTAAAACTCTGGATACCGGCTCACTTCTCTGTAAAATACTTTTAGCCAATCTCTTTTTCGTTTTCACTCGCTACCGAAAAGTCTTAATATCTCTTAGCGTGACTTTTCTTTTATTTTGCCGTTGTTTCATGTGCTATTATAGTAGCGATATTTTATAGTGAATATATCAAAACTTACATATATATACATATTGTTCACTTCTTTCAGCTAAATAACGTACCATAAATTATCTCATTTTTTTAATTGTATAACGTATGCCTTAGATTTTTTTTGACATGTATTCACCATACTTAAATCAGTTATTAAGACCTAGTTTTACAACAAAAATTCCTTTATCTATTGGCTGAGTGAGAATATGATAAGGCTTGTCGAATTCAAAGTTTTTTCATTGTAGGCCTGTATCTACTCTCTCTCTTTCTACCTCCTCCCCTACCCATATACACTATACTGTGTATATATAAATATTCTCTTTCTAGACCCCTTTGTTGATATACACAGTTATATATAAATACGTTTAATCATAATTAACTATAATCGATTTTTTTTGAGAATTGAAAAGTAAAGGGGAAAGTCAAGAAGTAGAGATGAAAAAAAAAATCGAATCTCAAATTAGAATTCGACCTTGAAGATACTTAATTATTTAAACTAAACGAGAATTAAAAAAAAAGGAGAGGTAGTGATTTTTAATAAAATAAAAAAAATCAAAACGTAAAAAACATGATAAAAAAATTGAACAAAACAACAAAAATAAGTAAAATAAATAAATGAAAAGAAACAAATATCATAGAAATTTTTTTTTTAAAAAAAAAAAATACAGAAATTTACAAAGAACTTATTTCTTTTTGTTTAAAGTGAAAGATGAAAGATAACCTGTTTAAAAGTGGTCTTGTTTTTTTTTTATTATAACATGCTGATTTATATGAAAAAATTTTGATTCTATTTCACGGATATTGTTACTGAAATTACAGGACAAAAAAGAGACGCTTTAACGCGTCCAATCAGCTACCGACGTTATCGGCGTGACGTTTAGTTGAAAAAAAAGCACTGCAGGAATGGTTAGAGGATTGGTTGGAGCTAAAGTACAAACTTTTCCCGTTGACAAACTTTTACCAAAAACGGTTTTCCAACCGGAAAAGGAATCTGAAAGTATTCGACACGTTTTATTGTATATAACACCAGTGCAAAAGAAGAAAAAGAAGAGGCATAGAGTGAAATATCCAGGTATTTCTATATAAAATGTATTTGTGTTATTACCTAATTAGGAATTGGTATAAGTGAGAGTAAATGAAAATAGGATAGGAGGAATGAAGAAATTAGCTGCACTTAACTGGGCAGAGCAATTTCTTAGAATTGAATTGGTAATCGTAGACGCCAAGAGTGCTTCGTGAAAAGACTATAAGAGGTATATTTTGTGGGTGGTAGGCTTCAATTTAGTGTTTTTATTATTATTCAATATTCTACTGTAGTGAAGTTGGAAATATCTCTATTATATCAAATACTCCAATATTTTCTGACAGAAGTGTATTGGACATTTTTCACTGAATTTTAAGAGATTAAACGTTATTAATTAGGTAAAACGGTAGAATATACTATTAATAAATTAAGCCAAGGATAAGGTGAAGAAAGCGTCTTTCAGGAAAGCTTCTCGCTCCAATGCTCCTCAATTCTGTTCGAAGAGTAATAAAATATAGTTTCACCTTTTCTCTGCAGATGCCATAAAGAATTTGAATTAATCTCCAATTGATATTTTCAATTTGTCCTAAATTAGGTCAGCTGTAATGTCTATCCTCTCCTCTGATTACATAAGATCGTAGAAAAGAAAGAAAAAAAGTAACATGTATTTTTTAGTGTTGAAGAAACAAAAAGGGTGAGACGCTTTCATTCTCCTTTAGTTTATAGGCTTAATTCCAAAAAGAACTGAGAAAATTTTGACTAATTATTTAGTTCGATTAAGATAATGATCAGTAATTTTGGTTACTTTTTCCTGTGTTCTACCCGTTTATTCTTATTTGATTGATACCTTTATATATCTATATATATATATAAATTTATATATACTGTATATTTATACTGTCAGTAAGTTAATCCATTGGGTGAACTGTCTGGCAAGTGGTCCGTTATCTTGGCCACTGCCGCAAGTGACTAGTGTGTATGAGTGTATTTGTGTGTTTGTGTGTCTGATTCAGTTCTATCTAATATAACAGTTTTTAAACTGTGATTATCACCACATCATCTTCAGTATTGTCACAATAAAGTGAAAATTGATTTGAAAATCTTTAATTATTTTGCGCGAGACAAACATGACAAACAGATGGCAAACCAAAATTTATTAGCATCAGTTTCAAATTATTGTAAAGAAGAGAAAATCTACTTAATTTCTTTCAGAATACAAATTCTGAAACTTAAAAACCTCTGCTATTGTTGTATTATTTCAAATACCACGAATATACAGCACATAAATATATAAACAACTACTTTTGCAGTTGCCTTTACATAGACAGTTTATCCATAGAGAAGTAATTTAGGTATTATCTATTTGGCTCGCAGTATGTTCCACACAATTTAAGTATTTTCTAGATATATCTTGGCGTGGTCTAGACCATTTAACTATTTACCTTGATAAATTTAGGTATCGATCACGCAGTTGGCGAAAAGTCAGATATCACTTATTGGAGAGAACACAGATGTATATACAGTATATTCTATATATAAATCTTATTAAAAGTAATAAAGAACAGTAAATTCTAAAGATATTTCCTAGGTTAATTTGCATTTTATTATCTATATTAAAAAAGTCGTAAAAATCTACAGGAATCAATAAATATAGAGAAAATATGATGCAAAGAGAGAGAAAAATATAATAACAATACTTCTATAATTAACATACATATATAAAGTATCTTATATCATTTATTACTTAAACTATGTAATTGTATATACTCCTTAAATATAATGGGGTTTATTTAATGTATAAAATGCATATGTAAAACATAATAGTCGTGGAATATCAATGCTTTTACTTGTAAAAGAGAAAGTCATATATATATATATTTATATTTACACAAACAATCCAATTATAGCTATGTACAACTTCTTTCTTATTATATATGTATAATAAATTTATTTCTTATTGTTCACTTGATATCTTCCCATATGATTCTTTGTTGAGAAAAAGTTAGCTAGTAAAAGGTGAATGAAAGGTTAGAAGGAGCAGAAAGAAACGTTTCTTTTTCAACAACAATTTATTAGTAAAAGGTTATGAAAGGATCATCTGTATGAGCTGTATATGCCCCTAGAAAAATAAGGAAAAAGCTTCTCGCTAAACTTTGTGTTCGGATATATTTATATATACAGTAAATAACTGTTTACTTACGACAATTTTGTCTTGTATATTCCATATTATATAGTTTATATTGTATATAAAAAGAAAAGAATTGGACAGGTTAATTTCATCGTATAGTTAATTTATATATCCTCACAACTTCCAATGTAAATCGACAAAAGAATAGAAGAATATGAACAACTGGATTAAGATAAGAAAAAAATTCACAATACAGTAGTATTTATAAATCAAATCCAATATTTTCTTCTTTCATTTCTAACCTTGAGAACACAGAGAAAGACGTCGCATATATTTCGATTGCTTAACTGATTCTGTTGTATAAATAAAGCCCAACATTGCCAAATAGAATCCGGATACGTGCATAAGCTATGTTCATTAATAATATCATTATTTTGTGTCAATTTATTAATAAGACTTCAATGAAAACATCTATAAAAACTTGTAATTGTAATTAAATTAACATTCATTTCTTATGTGTTATATATGCAGTATATATAAATTTATATTTGTATGTGTGTGTGTGTGTGTGTGTGCGTGTGAAACATGTGTATAGATATTTCAAACTAGCAAACGAGTTATTTTTAGTTATTGTACAAAAAAAATACAACATCCATGTATTGCAGGGATTCTCTTATTTCGTAAAAATATTTATTTTCGTTATAGGCCTAATTTCGAATTTACACCCTGTCCCTCAAGGCTATCTTATATATTTGCATTCTCACTTCAAACTTTTCTTCAAGTGCTTAAATGGTTACATTAACTCTTCGAATAATTGACTATAATTCAAGAAATAAGCTATTTTTCTCCTTCTTTCTCTCTCCCTCTCCCTCCCTTTTCATCTATGCTATATTTAAAATAACAATTACACTTACCATAACTATAAAGGATAATTCATTTGATGATATATTTCCCTGTTCTGTTATTATTAACTCTATAAAATCAACAATTAATAATAGAAACACCAAAATTGCTAACGAAACGCTTAAATATATGTAAATATCTCTTGTTCTCATTGTTTGTCAACAAACCATTTTAGACGTTTCGTGTCAAACTCTTGAATTGTCACTCTTTATACCTTTTTTTTTATTTCTTCATGCCTTTGATCGTAAAAAAGTTAGCCCCCTTTTATAGGATTTAACAATCCTATTTGTCTATTTGACAGTATTTTTTATTAGTTCTTATACCTTACTTCTCTCTAAGGAATTCTCTATTTTTTATCTATTTATAATACTGTACATATTTTCTGGTAACATATTTTATCACATTTTCTTTTCGCAATAAAAAGCTGAAGATATAGTGAAGCTAGTAGTAAAAATATAGATTTAGATAAAGCGAAAGATACGGATAACAAGAGACAAAGAGAGAATAAACTGAAAAGAAAAAAAATCATGCCTAAATGCAGCATCCATTAATTTAACAATCTATAATGTAACATATAAAGTTTGCCGTCTCTTACGTAATGCGTACTGTATATATAAAAAAGACTATATAATTATTTGTTCATCTGTATTCTCATTCAGCTTATGAAGAAAGGTCAGGAAAAATTCTTGAAGAACCCATCAATTTGAGGGCAAACTCATCAAAATATATCAATAAAAAAGAGAGAGAAAATATAAAAGACGATGATAGAAAAGACGAAAAAAGAGAAAAGTACGAAGAAGAGAAGAAATTAAAGTCTTTACATAAAAATTATCACCAGAAGGAGTATTCTTAGTAAGTATATTCTTTTATAGTATTTCGTCTTTCTCTCTGAAATTGAAATTAGTATATTATTTAAGGTAAAAATTAATATACTGAATATTGGTTAAATGGATAAACAAATAATTTAATGATATCCCTTTCTATTAACAAAGTAACAAACTAACAAAGAGAAGAAAAACGAAACATTTTTACTCTTTTGACAAATTGATTTTTCAAAGGCTACAAAGTAATACCCTTCAAAAAAAGACAAATAAATTGCATTAATAGATTCTAGACAGACTTATATTTATATCTTTACAGTCACGAAACTCACAATGAAAATCATGTAGACCCAAAATTATCCCTAGTACATCGTAATAGGCTGGGAAATGAAGGTAAGATTAACCTCTAAAGATTTTTTTTTATTATATCTTTCATATGCGTTAATCACTAAGCATATTAAGTTAATTAATCAGATGGTATATTTTACGAGTATGGATAAAAAAAAAGAAATAGCTCTCCTCTGGATAAAGTGACATTCCCTCTGGTCGACTCTCTGTACTATTATTTAAAACAAAAACAGAGAAAGAGATATGAGGAGGGAAAATGTTAGAAGATATAGCTGACTTTTGCCGGAAGAAACTACTTAATGTCTTATCAAGAAAAGTAGTTATCATTAAAAACTTTGTTGAATTAATAATATTATTAGATGTAGTGTATAAGGGAGAAAACGACGTAAGTGTTCCTTACAACTCAACTCATGCAGTCTTTCCATCGAAAAAACCTCTCGGTGTATTTTTATCCTTTCCAAAGAGTAAAGTATCGTGACAAATCTATATAATTATATACGTTTTATGGGTCTTAAAAGTATTAGGCTGTTTAAAAATATTTTAATATTCATCTTGAGCAATTTGAATAGGCTATATTGATTTTTTATCGTTCATTTTCCAAAGGCAACGAACTGGAAAGTTCTTCATTGTTAATCTCTGGCCCGGACGTCGAGCCTAATAGAGGGAATTGTTGTAAAACGACAGGTAAATTAACTGTTATAATTATAAGTATTATTAACATCATCGAAAAGATTTATTAATTCTTTTCTCCTCGTTTTTCCTGACAAAGGCGCACAAAATCAAGGCAATTATAATATTAATAAACTAATAAAGCAACGACTGCAAATAGCCCTGTTTAAAGGGTCTAATGAAGAATTTGGCTTTACAATAATCGGAGGGGATGATGATAATACCCAAGATTTCCTTCAAGTTAAATATATAGTTCCTGACGGAATAGCCGATCGTCAGGGTGATTTACGTCAAGGAGACGTGATCTTTAAGGTCAACGACGTTTACGTTTTAGGACGAACTTATCAGCAAAACATTGAAATGATAAAAAATCTAGAAGGCAAAGTTATTTTTGATATTTATAGGGGATGTCCCTTAATTTGTTCAGATAGTCATCAATTAGATGAAAGTTTTGATGTTTTCCAACCGGAAACAAATCATTTCCAGGATGTTGAAAAAAATTTGTTTATTGTTGAAATATTAAAGGGACCTGTTGGTTTTGGTTTTACTGTTGGAAATTCGCCTGCTGGACAAATTATCAAACAGATTTTCGATAATGATAGGTGCAAAGATTTAAGCGAAGGAGATATTTTAATTGCAGTTGGAGAAATCAATGTAAAAGCTTTGCCTCATTCTGAAGTTGTTACAATTCTCAAACAGCAACCCAAGGAAAATTTCACTACTTTTGTTATTGAAAGGCCTATGACATATGAGAATGCTAATAATAATAGTATCCCATATGAAGACGCTGCACCCGACTTCAATCGAAATAGGGACAACAGCGAAGAAACGAAATCCAAGACATTTAATCCGAGTATAATCCCTTCTCCTACAAGATCCGATTCTGAGATGCCCTTCACTGAGTCCGACGCAAACAGGATATTCTCAAAGAACGATACAGAGGAATGTAAGAAGGGCGAAGGACCGGACATGGAAGAGGAAGAAACAATACTCCAACTATCCAGGGAACAAACATATGGAAGAAAAAGATGCGCCGAGATTACCGCTTTTCTAAAGAGGACAGAAAATGGCTTTGGATTCAGAATTTCAGGAGGTTCTGAAGAAGGTTCCCAAGTTTCAATTGGGCAAATTGTTCCAAACGGAGCTGCCGATTTAGACCAAAAGTATTACATCAAGTTATTTGTTCTTATCTAATTGTTTTTCTTAAAAACACCTCTGAAACAGATTACAAAGAGGAGATTTAATTGTAAGTGTTGATGGAATCAACGTAATCAATGCTTCACACAGAAGGGTTGTAGAATTAATGACTATAGCTTCAAAGGCCGGTAGAGTGGCACTTGGAGTTCGGAGGCAACTTTTACAATTACCTAACAACAACTACCACCCTTATGACGTAACTCTTATTAAAGGCAACAACGAAAAAAATTTCGGTTTTATCATTTCTTCTATGGAAGGCCCTGAACCTACAATCGGTAAGTAATTTCCTTAACACCCAATTACAAATCCTATTAAAAAGATAAGATGAGCAAAACTAATCTACGAGAAATCGTGAGTTTACGATCTCAAATTACCAAAGAGATTAACAGCAGTATTTCACCCTAAAATTGGATTTTATGATTGATTTGTTTACCGACAGATTAATATTATTTACAGTTATATATCGTGAAACAATACCATTTATTTGTTTATACCAGTTATCTCTCACAAACAACAATCAAACTGTTAAAAATTTATCTCGGTCTTGTCTCTAATTAGGTTATATCATGAAAGGGAGTGCAGCCGACAAGGTAAAGGATTTACAAGTTAATGATAGAATTTTGGCAATTAATGGCACTAGGATTTCAAGTATGAGTCATGATCAAGTAATTTACAAATTATTACATAATTAAATCCTAATAAAGTATAGCAAAACTAATTGCCTTTTCCCAATTAACTAGACTATTCAACTAATTAGGGAATCAGGTCAGATTGTAACATTAACTATATTAAAACCTTTTGGTAAGTATAATAAGAAAAAGTTTTTTATTTATAAAGATGTGCTTAATGTTTTGAATTGCAGGTTACCACCTGCAATATGAAAAATGAAGAATCTGTGTAATAAATATATAGATTTTATTTCGTGTTGAGTATATATATATATCTTATACACTTCTTTTCACTTTACGTATAAATATATACAAATAAAATTCTTATATCTCAATATCAACTTTCTTTTATCTCTATGCTTCCTTAGTAATTACATAAACAATCACAGGTGGCGCCATGTATTATATGAGGATTGTCTAACGACTGCGCGTCGAGTGCGAATCACTGTTGTAAATTGTATAGATCACAAATTATAGGCTTAAGATAAATGCGTCTATTTATCCTTAATAGAGTTTTAAGAATGAAATACACGTGAACAATAGTACAAGTATAAAGTAGAGAAATATATATATATATATATAAATATATATTAATTCAATATACATTCATCTATTCTCATCTATTTAAATAAAGTCAATGAAATGTATGCTAATTAATAATTTATATAATGTGTAATTTGGAATAAAAAGAGTTAAAATTCATTATTATTCTTAACAAATTGTCGAAAATGTATGCTTTACTGAATACTAATCTAACTATTAATTTAATTACTATTATTTATCTATTCTTTTCTCTTAGTTCTAGACCTTTTCTCTGTCTCTTTTTCTTTTATTATTCTTCTGCCGTAGCTCTCTATTTCTCTCTCTCTCTCTCTTTCAAGCAGTTATTAAGTGTTGTTTATAAAAAAGAAAGAGGTACAACAAACAGTAAAGGAATTAAATAGCAATCTACTTACGCTCCAATTCTTCTCTAAATCTTAATAGAAAGTTATGTAATGCTTGATTGAAACGTTTGATCGGAAATGTCTAAATTGTTTCCACCGTTTTTAACTCTGTTTGCCTTTTTTCTTTCTACCCCCTTCCCCTCTTTTCTTTACCTCTGCCCCCGCCCCCCTCTAAGCTCTTTCCCTGTGTTTCTTTAAATTCCACCCGTTCTTCCACCCCATTTGAGCGCTTTCACAATTACTATTGGCTGATGTAATGTTTTTCTTCATAATGACTTATTGATATAAAAAGCGACAAGTGACCGGAAATAGCTTTGTTTGAGTTTGATGAATAGAAAAAGCCAATGGTCATTGATACGTGTGGTAAATTGATTGGTTATAATAAGAAGAAATGGTAGAGCATAGGATGAATATATCACATTAAATTAAACAGGTGAAAACTCATCCTCGTCGCATCATTAAATAAAAGATTAGTAGGTGAAAGTGAAGGAGGGAGAGATATAGAAAACGAGAATGAGAGTACATAGGTAAAATCCCTACAAAATTCTTTGTAGCAAGTCTGTATTATACATATCATTATATTTTAAAGCTCAAAGCGACGGTGGATTAACCTAGATGTCTACAAGTACGTTTCAATGTACTGCAAAAATAAATGCATACTCTTTTAATACAAAAAAACTCGATCAATGACAATAGAATTTTACCGCCGCTTTAACACGCCTTTTTTAACTCTTTTCTTCGAGATACGTCAGTCTGGTCAGATAAGGTTACGTTTGCGATAAAAATTCACGCCCTATAAACATTTCGTTAACTATTTTCTTCACTTAAATATTTAATGTTCTTTTGTCCCTATTCCTCCAAATAACATCTACTGTCTGTCTCTATTCAAATTTAGATAGATATCGTGAATTATATATCTATCTATTCCTCTTTCTTTCCCACGATTAAGTTAAGGTCACGTGATTGATTTTTCCTTTTACCCTCATATTTCCTCCCCTGCACCTCTATTTCGCCCTTCACCTTGCAATCTCTGACTCTACAATTGCTATTTTGTAAGTGCATTAAGGCAAAATTGTTTTATTAGCAAGAAAAAAACAATAATCTACCCTCTTTGCTCAGTTTAACTATGACGACGGGCAAAACAAACTACCGCCTCAGTTTGTCAATATTTTTTAGGCCTAAAGAGAATATAATGAATCATCAATTTTTTTTAACATCTGTTGTATTATTTATAACAAAAATTCAATATTTCCATGCAGAACAATTTTTATCGGAATGTATGAAGGCATTTTTCCCTTCTACCATTAAAAGTCACTTAGTCGTCAGAAAACTAATAAAAGCCTTTCTTATTGTTCTTTATTCTTCCCAAACTTCTCTTTTATTTAAAATAAATAAAAAAAAAACGCCTTTCTTAGAAACTTATTACGCAACCATCAAAAGAAAAAAGGAAACCGAGATGGTATCATTTCAAAGCTTAAGCATAGAAAGTGGAGGGAAATTTTATACATATTCTAATTTTTAAAATGGGAAGATCGCTGACCACTTCCTGACCCCAAGACTTGTATCAATTCACTTAATTACACTCTTTTTTTGATTATAAGAATTAGAGCGCGACTTGACGCGCCTCTAACAAATCAGTTAAAGAGTAAAAGAAGCGTTATTGGGAGAAGTTGAAAAAAGGGGTTAGAAAAAGTATATATAGAGGGGGAGGCGGGGAGGGGAGGTATGCAATAGAGAAAGGTGAAAGAAAATACAACTGAAAGAAGGGAAGGGGGTAGGAAGTTCGCCATATATATACATACTAATATATATATGGAGAGAGAGAGAGAGAAGAAAAAGAAAAGAAAACAACAAGCATAAAAACTTTTGACTATTAAATACATTGAGATTTTTAAAATTGTACAACTTATTAAAAGATCTAATCCTATATAGTAAAAACGAGAATAAATAATTGGCACGTTTTCAGTCATCTCCCTTGAACTTTGGTTTTAAAAATAAAAGCAGTAGCAATAATAAGATGAGGAAGATAACTGCCGGCTAAAGGGTATGTAAAACCCACGTGACTAGTGCCGGACATAACCCCTAGGTCAGGTAGTGGTCGGGAGAAGGGAAAAAACAGCCTCAATACTATCTAAAAAGCGTCGTAAACGATTTATCTTTTTTCTGCTTCAATTGCCTACGTCTCTTAGTTACTAGTTCCAAAATACCATCAAACACAGATTCTAGTCCATCGCCTGTAACAGCACATATTTCTAGTATATCGCAGATCTTTGATTGAGGAAGTCTATTAAGATTCAATTTTTCTCCCACTTGGTCAGCGCTTAACGCCGATGGTAAATCCTGTTTATTAGCTAGCACCATTATTGGGACGGCTAAAGATTCCTTTAAATTAGCAAATCTATGTAGTTCCATCCTAGCCTCCTCCAATCTTTCTTCATCTGCAGAATCGACAACAAAAAGAACACCGTCTGCCGACCGGCTATAACTTTTCCATAATGATCTTGTTTTTTCTTGACCACCTACATCCCAAACTTGGAAGACGGTACCCTTGGACCGTCCTGCAGAACTACGAATCTTTTCTAGATTAAATCCTACAGTTGGAACATTGTCAACGTATTGGTCAAATTTTAAGCGGTATAAAACAGTAGATTTCCCAGCTGAGTCCAAGCCGAGTATTACTAGTCGCGGATTATCTCGGGATAATCCGTTCCCCATGTCTAATCCATAACAGTTTTAATCATGGAACTGAAAATAAAACCTAACTCAAATAGCGATAGACAATAGAAAAAAAAAGATAAAATATCAGAAATGGTAAAGATGGTTTCGATCAGGTTATACAATTGATAGGTTAGAACTGATAAGAACGAATCACGAATTGGTTATTTGGGTTAAGGTTATTCACACTTACCCTAAATCATCTATGACGACTAGGAGAAGAGGAATGTTTCTCTCTCCGCCGAGATCTCTTGTCGAATGACACGTAAACAAATAATGCAATGTTTCATATAACGTACGAGCACCTGTTACAATCTATCATCAGTGTTATTCTACTACTTTATCGCTCAACATTTTAACAATTTCTTCGTTTAATATTTGTTAAATAATTTAAAGAAAAAAACTATAGTTTATTAGAAACAATATAGTTTATTCTTCTCTGATACTTTTTTTCTAAATATAAGTTTTAAAAGAGTGTTGACAAGTAATTAGGAATATGCTAACCTGTCGACGACAGATGGAGCTGAAGTATATTAATTATTTGCTTCGTCAGGTTGTTTTCTTAGGCCTATAGGAAATTGTATAACATATAGCTGTCGGGGGGGAGATATATGTAATCAAGGAACTTTTCCAAATATTTGTAATTCGTGAAACAAGTATATTGATAGAAGCCCGAATAAACGCTTCATTAGATCAAATAGACATGTGCGAAGACGTTTTTGTATCATACGGTGGATTAATGTGTTTGAATGAGCTCTTCGAAAGGTTTATGAATGAACGAATTGAATTATTACAAAAAGAATATGAAAGACACAATCCACTTGATATTAATAGTTTTCTAAGCGCCATCTATAATTTCTTAAATGTAACAAAGTAAGATTTTGTCAGTTAATCCGTCTTAATTAAAGTACAATTTTCAGATAGTTTTCTATTCTCTTTATAAAAATTCTCATGTTTTATTTTAAGGCGGCGAATGAAAGGTAAAAACTTAATTATACAATATTTTATCAAAAGGTATTATAGGCTTAAACGTGGGAAAGTAAAAATAAGGAAAGAATAAAAAGTGGTGATATAAACCAACTCTTAACGGAACATTATAAAAAAGATTTATTAATAAATTGTAATTGTTCTGACAACTATAATATTCTATTCTTTGTTCTCTGATCATTATAACAAGAGTTTTATATTCAATAAATCTGTTATAAATAAACAAATTAAGCATAAATTAAACAGTTTCCATTCTTTTCTCTATATAGAAGGAAAGTTTGGTATTTGTTAAACATAAAGGAACCGATCAGACTAAGTTTTTATAAGATATTTTAAAGGTTTACGTTTGTTTTCAAATGTCAAACTGAAAGTTTTATCAGATTTGACAAATGACACACTAACGGTTGATTTTAATGAAAAGAGAATTAGATTGGCCTATTCAACTATGTCACGCACAAATGAACAGGTTGAAACGAGGTCAAAACTATTATTATCGAATTTGAAAACATCTCTATAAGAGTAGAAAATGACCTTATTTCGAACGCAAATAAATAACACTTCAAAGTAAACGATACCTAAATAAAAAGTAGAGTCAATGTATATAAAGTTTAATCTCCCTCTTTACCTTGAAGTTAGCCCCAACATACTATCTAGAATCGGCTGTTTTGCATTTACGCTCCCTTTATATCACAGTCAATTTAAGCTGTTAATCGTCTAGTAAATTACTTTACAATGTATCCAGATACGTTGCACATGCTTAAAAGCGGCAAAATACTGCATAATTACCTCAATTTCTACCCTATTTATTAATAGTGTGCTTTTAACTATAGGCCTGTAGTTTTACATAATTTATGACCTTACAATTTTTCTGACCTACTTTTGAGTTATGAATTGGGACTCTTCGAAGAAATTGTAACTTCCCACTTTTGTTAGAAGCGCAAAACTTTCTTAACCGGAAGTCCAAATTATTTATATACAAATAGCGCGGGAAAGTAGATGACGGTTTTATCGCTCTCTTTATAGCCAGTCCAAGATCTACCCAATTTAAAATTAGTTATGCAGTTCGATTCAGGAAAGTCCAGAAGGTCTAAGATCTTTCGTAAGAATTTTAGATATTCTTCTATTTTACAATTATATGAAGAACCTCCAACTGAAAAAGTATCTTTAAGCGAATTTGAAGAGTATGCTATCGACAGAATAAAGTGTAAGTAGCTAAAGATAATTGGTCTTAAATTCATCAATTATAAAACATAATCATTTCAGTGTTAAAGATCGTAGAAAATGTTGGCTTAAAGCATGTAAAAGGAAGCGAAGAATACTGTATGGCTATCAAAAAGGAAATGGCAAACGGAAAATTGGAAGGCCTTCCACTCCGTTTAAAAGACGTAATACATAAGTCTTCCTGTTATTTTCCAAATTAATAAAAAAGTCATTTTTTTCACATAAAATAGCATAGCATAGAGGCGAACTTGGAAAAAGTCATGAAAAAAGATCACGTTTCTCATTTTATCCTAAGATTAGCGTTTTGTCGAACGTAAGATTAAATACTAATTAAACAAATATATTTTCAAGTTTTTAATACTGTTTTTGACATACAGTGAGGATTTACGAAGATGGTTTTTGGCTCAAGAACTAGACCTGTTCAAGCTTCGATGGTCTTTAATGACTGCCGATGCTCAAAAAGCATTCATGTTAGAAAATCGAATGCATTATAATCCAGTAAGAATATATTTGTTTATCGCGTAAGTTTATAATTTTTAACAATATTTCACCTTTATAGATTTCGGATAGTGAAAAGAGTGAAAAATTGACTGAATTGACTGCATCTACTTTTAGACCAAGCATTCATAAATCAAATACAACACTTGCTTTGAATACTGATTTTTATAAGGTTTTATTGATTAATAATTTTATCAATGCATATTATTCAGTTTTCGCTTTTCCTAGGTTCCTTTTACAGAAGCGATTGAGCTTGTAAGAACAAGAAAAGTTTATATTGAAAAGGGTCAAGCATATATACCCTCCAATGAAGTTATTGTTCTCATTCAAAACTATTTTAGAATGAAAATCTCGGCGGCTTTAGTGGTGTGTAATTTGTTTATATTATTTCGCAAAAAGATATTTGTAAACAAAAAACATATGTTCGCTAGCTGACTACTAAAACACTATCGCTTATGGAAGAAGATGATCGACTTGGTCCAATACTTGACGCCTGTGCTAAGCGTCATATAGGTATAGAATATGTAACTAGGAAAAATATAAAAGACGGGGAAGTAACACCGGAAATGTTGGATCAACTTTCTAAAGAATCATTTCCACCTTGTATGCAACAATTACATCATAATCTGAAAACGAACCATCATCTTAAGCACAACGGTAGAATGCAGTATGGTTTATTCTTAAAAGGAATTGGTTTGTCCATGAACGATGCAATTAGATTCTGGAAAACAGAGTTTTGCAAACAGATGGATGGAGATAAATGGGATAAACAGTACTTGTATAATATTAGACATAATTATGGCCATGAGGGTAAGAGGGCTAATTATACTCCATACTCATGCTCAAAGATATGTTCTATGACACCTGGTCCTGGTGAAAGCAACGGTACAAAATTAGTAGCGGCTGAGGCAAAATATGTAACTTTTTTTTAATTGATACTATAACAGGTTGCCCATTCAGACACACTGACGCATCTGTTCTTCGTCAACGGCTTCAAGGAATGTCACTGAATAGGGAAGGCATTGATACTGTAAGAGCTATTTTGAAATTCTTTACACCGCCTCTTATTTATTTAACTATATAGATTGTAGAATTTTCGAAAAAAGGTCACCCTCAATTAGCTTGTGGTAAATATTTTGACATGGTACATAATCAAGATATTGGCTTCACTCCAAATCACCCAAATCATTATTTCGATGAGAGTAGAAATGTTTTAAATCCTAAAGGTAACTCTCTATAAACAAATCTATTAAGTTTCTTCTTAACATACACTCTTCCAACAGTCGTTGAAGGACAGAAGGAAAGACCGGTTGTAAAACCAAAATTGGTTCCAACAACTTCTAAACAGCCTTTAAATGTAAAAAAAGAGTTAGAGAATAGTTCATTTGATGAAGATCTTATGACAATGGATATGGAGTAATTAATGAACTGAGTCGTTCAATCATGTATTTTTAATTAACAAAGTTTTCAGAATAAACAGTAATTTTTCTTATTCATCCCAATTCATCAAAAAATTGAGATACTTTTATAAACGCCAATGGATTAACAGTTAAATAAACTTCGTCATTGTTTTCATTTAATATAATGGATTCGTTAATAGAAATTTTCCTTCTTTTCGAAAATAACGTTGGTCTTTCTTGAATTTGTAAATATTTGAATTTAATTGCCCCAATTATTCTGAGGATGTCGAGTAGTTCGCTAACTTCAACAGGACATAACTTCTTTTGGAAATAATTATATATTTTTTTCTTTGTCGCACCAGGATTACAAGTTATTCTTGAGAGGACGGAAAAAAGCATTCTCTTTAACGATACTTTATTTAGCGACGCTTCGGGTGTCATCCAAGGTCTCGGAGCAAATTGAACCTGCCTATATCTTTTCGACACAACTTCTTCGTCCGTAATAATTGGTTTCATGTCAATAGAATTATCGTTATCCTTCATTTCCTCTTCAGTTGTTTTGACAGGCGGACTATCTTCCTTTTCACCAAGCAATTCCGATGCATTTAACAGCCACGGTCTCATACATTTCGTAGCAACGTATGTAATTTTATATCGGCCAGCTTGAGCAACCTATTTTAGAACGAAAAAAAGTCACAATAGCCAATTACTTCAATTGATCAAATAAACTCTTACGTAATTCAATTTAATTAAAGCATTAACTCTTTTCTGAATATCTTTAGGACTCGATTTTCTGAGATGTGCCTAAAAAGAGAGCAATAAATAATAATTAAGCTGAAATGAAGAGTCGAGATAAACGAATAAATATGAATATATTTAGATCAATCCCTAATATATCACTCACGTTAAGTTCATCTTTATCCGCTCCTATCCAATCTTTTTCTAATATAATTTTATAAATATTCCGAGATAGGCGATCTAAAGATGCTTCTTCAACGTTCGGTGGTGTTAGATTAACTCTGGGCATAAGACTTAATACTTCTGCGACCGTATCCTTATGAATTCTCAGTTTTTTATTATAGTTATACTGTGCAATGTCGTTTGTATTGGTTTCTTCGATTCGTTCATCTTCTATTGCTAATCGAACTGACCAGCTTACATAATTAGCTTTTCTTTTTCTATAAGCCCTTTCTTTTTCACGGTTCTTTAACGATACCTCTAGGTGGCTATTATCGTTCGCCATTAAGGATGTGCAAAGTGCACTTGACGCTTCATTTGTCTCGTTAAAGTTTAATTGTTTATCCCTCTTTAATTGATTGATTAAGGCAACTATTTTGGTGCATAAATCGACATCGTATTTTGAGAAAAATACATAGTCGTATCTTTGAGCCACGTGAAATTGTCCTATAGATGAATAAGTAAATAATGTGCAGCTAGACGATATTGTTCGCTGTAATAATTTTAGACAAGATTAAATAAAGAATATAAAGTAACATAGTTTTATTTACCGCTTTCTTAGCTCTTATTATCATTCCATCTTCTTTCATATCGTTGATAACTTTTCTAAGAAGAGGATCACTATATTGTTTAAATGCTTTATAAAGTTCTGTATCCCTTTTCTTCTTATCCCCAGCAACCAAAGCACTCTATTTATTATCGTAACAAACATATTAGTGAATAATAGAAGAAACAATGAAATTTAAATCATTAAATACATACGTGTATATAACTTCGTAAAACGTGATAATGAGCATCTTCCTTAGTGTTTAATGAATGATTTTCTACTACTGATTCGTTAGTATAGTTTCTATCAATTTCAAAATTCTTTTTCAAATCTTTTAAAGTTTTTAGTTGATAGTTTATAGGACAACCATTAGTTAAATATTCATTAGGCCTATGCATGAAAACAAAATACACATATTATATAAAAACAATAATAAAAATTAGTATTTTTATACCTGAATTTTTCGATTAAGAATTCAATTAAACTACTAAAAGCTGAATTTATAAATTGGAATGAAACACTGGCGGAAGTTTCCAGTGAACAATATTCTTTAACTAAATTCCTATTCATTCTAAATTCATTCACATATAGAGCAATCTTTTTATGAGTAGTTGTTCCAGTTCTACCCATATGGTGAATTCTTTTAAGACAAGCGTCAGATGTTTTATTTTTAGATATCTAGAAAGAAATACAAGTCGATTTATTGTTTACATAAAAAAAAGAAGTCTTTTAAAAAATTACTAACAGGTGAATATTTATGCAGAGCATCTCTTACAGCCTGTTTAGGTATGCTGAAAACCCAACTCTTCATTAATAAATTATTAGCTACTTTGCACATTAAGAGCTGTAGAAGAATAACAAAAAGGGTTATAGAAGCTTTTGTTTAAATTATGAAGAAAATTTACTATTTCGTCTTCTTCTTTACTCCATCGTATTCTTAAAACATCTCTCATTTTAAGTAGCATTTTGACCTTTCTATCAGTTTCATCTAAGGAAAAAGGTATTGATAATAACATGTTAAAGAGTGGTAAAAAAGACAGAATGATTAGAAAATTCACCTGTTCTTAATCTTCTATCCGGTTTAATAACTTTTTTAAGAGTTTTTCTAGCTTTTGCTTGGATAGCACTAACGACAGAATTTTGGATCCTTGGATATTTTCTTCGTTTAAGAGTTGAGAGAGATGACGATACTCTCTTAGTTGCAATAGGAGCAGGTGTTTTTACTTGTATAGGTTTTCTCTTTTTTGATTCTTTAACACAATCAGGTGGATACCAATTTCTTGTCATGTGTGTATAAAGTAGACTGTCGAATCCACCTGCTCCAGATCCGTCTCCCGGTATATTACCAACATCAATTATCTATTATTGAAGTAAACACTTCCTTATTATCAAAGAAAATTATGAAAAACAAAATACGCACCTCATTATCGCTTTTTCCCTTTTCGCTATTCTTTAAGTTATAACTAGCTACTTTCTAAAAAATAAAGTAAAAATAAGCGTAAATTATTAATTCATTTATAATAATATTTTAACGAAACATACAATTTTTTTACTTTGACCAGCACCAGCATTATTTAGATGTTTTTGAGGTTTTGTTTCCAAACATACAGTCTCAAGAAATTTCCAATAGTCAACCCAATCGTCATAAGTATTTAGCGTGAATAAATGCTCTCTGCGATTTTCGTCTCTCGTATCAATAATCTTTAGTTTTTTATGTACGTAGATAAATGTCTATAAAATGAGAATATAAATATAATATATAAAAGAATTTACAATAAAAATATTAACAACTAACCCTTTCAGCTTCGTGGTATTGTTGCCTATTACCTAGAGATATAAGACCAAGGTGGCAGAGATCGTAAAGAATCTAATAATAAAAACATAATATATACTAAATGTCAATACATACAATCAAAAAATCATAAATTTATAGAAAACTTACCTGTTTAAATGACTGTTTATATCTTTTTTTATAGCATAATTTGTTCTTTAATTCAGAAGGTAAATCTTTTAGAGGAGTAAACATTGTATTTGAATCTCTTAAATTCATTTCCAAGTCATCGATCTTTATGATAAAATTAATGTAAAACGTTGAGAATTTTCTTGCATTTGCATTATTAATTATAAATAAACTTACCTCATATCTTATCTGATAAATATTACAGAGTAAACTTAAAGGAATAAGCGTTAAAACTTCACCACTTAAACACCATCCTTCGTTTGACTTGTCCCCAGCATCTGTAAAATATTTTTTTTAAATATGAAATACTAGCATTTTATTAAATTTATAAACATACACTTTTTAACTGTTAATTTCGGTATGAAATCTCGCCATGCTGGTTCATTGTCAGCCTTTTTTCCATTATATCTGGTTAAATACCAGAGGAATTCATGAAATAGTTTATATCTAAGCATTTTTGGTTTATATCCATAAAGAACGTGAGCATTCTGTTATAAATTTAATGTGAATTGATATATTTTCTTATAATTAATACAAACGGGGGAAAATTTTGGTTCGAAACTTCTAGAACTATCATCTCCAACAATCATATCAACGTTAAAAAACGATTTATCTTTCCTATCTTCTTTTTTAATCGGCGATAGATTCGTCTTTTCCAGCATACAGGTAAAATTCTGAACAATTTCATCTTGTTCTTGAACAGTGTAATGGCAAACTAGTTTGACTTCTTTACTCTTTTCGTCATTAGTATGAATATTAATTTTCTTTAAATAACCGGAATCCTCTAGTTTATTTAATAGTCTCTGAAATGATTTTTTATCCATAGTACCAGATAAGCCGGCTTCTTTTTCAGTTTTTCTTATAGTCTAATAAATATAATAAAGTATAGAACTGTGATACTTATAGTGGTACTAAATATTATTATGAATATACCTGTATGATGGCTAATTCGTCTACCAATTTATCATTTTTAATAGCATCTAGAACTATAGATGCTCTTCTTATTGTCTTTGTTGTAGAATCGTTTAAGGCAGTTAATTTATTATATCGCGGCTTTTTTGGATCGTTTCTATTCTTTAAAAAGTTTCCAACTAAACAGTCATTCTCTTCTTTCATGTTAGCTATTGCCGGATTATTAGCTTGTTTGTCTTTATAATAAAAATAGATTTTTTCCATTTCTTCTCGTAATTCACTTACTTTCGACCCTTGTTTCGAATGCCTTTTGCTAATATACCTGAAAGAAGGTTAACTTATTAGATATATATAATCTTATTGAAACCTTAAAGTCTCCCTCTGACACAGATACTTACCGACCCTTCTTTTGTCTTCCAACTTCGATTTTAACACAATCAACTAAACCTGTCTGATGTAAACTTGAACATAATGATCTGCATTCCAATTTTGAAAATCCAAAACAAATAAAGTCTGATGTTGATACTCCTTCAGTTTCCTTGCTATCAACGTGGTCAAACATTTGTTGCAGAAGAGTTTGCCGCATAATTAGAGGTTTTTCTTCAACTATAAATACAATTTATTTAGTTGACAGTAGATTTATTACAAAACTTTAAACTAACTTGTCTCATTGTCTTCCTCGTTGTTTTTATTTTTCTCTGCTTGTTTTTCTAATAATTCTTCAACAGTAAACGGTCTTTTAAGTTCAATAATTCTTATTTCTCTATTTGGTGTACTGAAAGCCAAAAGAAACGAAAGCATTTATAATGAATTAAATATTGTATACTATATAATTTAATTTTACAAACCTGGCATTTAATTCAATGTCAGTTAGTTCACTATCTTTATATTTTATAACAGAAATGGACTTTTTATTAAAAAATTGAGAGAAATCGTTGTTTCTAAAAAAATTCTTCATATCTCTATATGAAATATCCTGCAAGTATTGATAAAAAAAACACATAATCAGGATTATAGATTATTAAGCCGTAAATTTAATTAGTTTACCAATTCATTCATAACATTTGACATTGAATCTCTTTTGTTTTTTTTTCTCAATAGGTAATCACTCATATTTTCGGCAATTCTTTGAAATTTTGACATCATAAGGCTATGAAATCTTGAAAGTTGTAGGATGGAGACCATTGTTCGTTTTTGAGAATCATGCCATACTTGAGAGTTTATAAGTCCATACGTTATTAATAGTTTTTTGACATAAAAAGTATATTTTGAATCGACTTTCATTACTTTTCCTAAATAACCAGTGTCAACACCATTCCATCGACCTCTTCCTATCAGCTCAAGAAAACAATACATTTTATCATTTATATCCAAATCATGACGCATTGTTTTTCCAAAGAGGACATTATAACGGCAAGTTTGGCTGGCAACAATAACTAAATTCCTCCCGTACGTTTTGAGAGCTTTTTCAAGGGGTATCTTTCCGGCTGCCTTAGTTATGTCTTGTCTTATTTGATACTCTTCACATGATCCAACAACATCCCCATCTCTTATAAGCTTGAAAGAGTATATGTTGTCTTCATCATCCACTTGCTAAAAGATATTGAAATATAATGAAAAGCTATTGAAAAACCTATAATATAAAACTAACTCTCTCTAAAGTTTCATCATCGTCCTCTCCGAATATTTTATATTTGATATCACTTCTTGGTTTTTTTAACTTGAAAAATTGAATATCTTCACTCTGGCCTAACAACTTCCATATAAATCTTTTACCCTTATCATCTAGAGTGAATTGAAGAGGAGGACGTCGATTTTCCAAGCGTATCCAGAGAGATGGTATTGTTATGCCTGTGCAAAAATTGAAAATTTCACCTAAAGGCTGATAATTATTAATTAACAGTAAAGTGTTACCATCTAAGCCCTCCAATGCAACTTCATCAATTGTCGAATCAAGGATATCCATCTTTCTGATGCAATTAGAATTTGAATCAAATCTTTGCTTTCATGCGTATTTCATCTTAATGATCAGTTAGTTAGTTTCATACTTTATGTGAAAGCAAAAAATTATTAGAATATAATATTTCAATTATATGTTTAAATTACTTCAGTGCACTAAAGCTGAACAAGCTTCTCCCAAAACATTCATCACGTGGCGATAACCTGGTAACGAAATAGCCAAATATTACCAGTTAATATTTTTCCACCTCTCACGTAAAATTTCTACAAGATGGCTTCTGCACTGGAAGTAAAGGTTCATCCTCTGGTTTTATTCAATATCGTAGATTCTTATGAACGTAGAAGTGAAGACCCAAAGAGGGTAATCGGAACACTCTTAGGTAATATTACTATTATAATTGAATTTATGTTATTTCCAAATATTTTATCCAACATACTTTCGGCGGCATGCTACTCATTTATCACTCATTAAACTATTACAGGAATCGTTGACAAGAATGTGGTAGAAATTACAAATTGTTTTACAGTTCCTCACAATGAATCAGCTGATGAGGTATAGTAAATCAAAATATGAATGATGTTTAATATTTATCTTAGAAATAAACTTAGACACAGTATTAATATGCTTCCTGCAATACATATAGATATACATATGTTTTAATAGATAGGAAATATTTCATACAAGGAATATGGGTTGAGGGAAACTTCAATACTTGCTATATTCTTTACTTCCTAATTTCATAATTTACCACATTTCCTCGTTTTAATTTATGTTAAATATTTATAGGTTGCAGTTGATATTGAATATGCTAAAGGAATGTTTGATTTATATAAACGAGTAACCCCTTGGGAAACTGTTGTTGGATGGTAACTAGTCTGTTATTTACTATATAGCTGAATTTTGATTGCATTGTGTTATAGGTACTCAACTGGAAATGAAGTTACTGCCCATTCCCGTTTAATTCACGAATATTACTCTTTGGAGTGTAAACAACCGATACATATAACAGTAGACACATCTCTAAAGAATAACAGAATGAACATTCAAGGCTACATTGGATCTGCTGTTGGAATATCTGGCAAAGCTCAAGGTGTTATATTTACGCCTTTAGATATTGACATTGTTGCCCAAGATGCTGAAAGAGTTGCTTTTCACACTATTTCCCAAGCGAAGAGTCTACCACGTAAAGTCGTTTCGGTTCGTAGCGATATGGAACAAGTAGCCAAGGCTTCGGAGCAGATTGAGACCATGTTAGAAAAAGTTGAGGACTATGTTGATAAAGTTACTAAAAAAGAATTAGAGGCAAACCCAAAAGTAGGCAGAAGTTTATTAGAATTAATTAACAGCGTACCAAAGTTAAGCGCTGAAGAGTTTGATACAATTGTCAATTCTAATATGAAAGATTTGTTGATGGTAGTATATTTGGCAAACTTAACGAAGACTCAACTAATGTTGAAGGAAAAATTGAGTATTTTAAAATAAAATGTCAACTTTCCGAATTTTTTGTTTTATTCTATTGAATTTGTATCATAAACAATTTAATGTACCCTCTTTGTAGTAAAATTTACATCACACTGAAATTAAGCTATATGCTTTGTACATGAACCTCATTGTTTGTTAGACATATGTAAGACAATAGAAAATACATCATATTTATTATTATAACGCAAACTATAAGTCAAAACTGCATTAGTTATTTTAAAAAAGTAGTCAGCTCACGGCCTCAACGAGCTACGAGCTTCTTGCGAAAACTGGTATAGTTTATATACCCGTATTGCTCAGTCATTCTAAATATTTTACTTTTAGAGTGATAAATAGTGAAGATGCGTGTCTTTTTTATATATCTAACCGTTCTGTGTACAGTTCATTGTTTGTACGAAGATCAAGTAGGAAAATTCGACTGGTATTTGTTATTTAATTGTTTAGCGTTTACATTTTTACGTTGTATTGGCCGCTTGCAGGCGACAGCAGTACATAGGCAAGGTCCAATTTGCAGCGTTCAACCAGGCAGGTCAGTTTGGTAAAAAAGTGATTGTTGGAAGTGAAGAAAATGTTATAGCCGCCTTAACAGTGAAAAATGGAGAATTATGTAAGTTACTGTGAATCATTTTATCAAAGTTATTTATCTGACCACGTTTTCTTATATAAATAATTAGTATTAACTCGTATAAACTATATTGAACGATTTTCAAACTTTTAAAAAAATACTAACCATATATCATTAATTTTTAATATTTTATTTTAGCTTGGCGTCAGATTCTAGAGAACGATGATCGTTTGGACACGGTACTACATCTAGAAACAGGTATAGATTATCGTCTGCTTATACAGTATATACATTGTTTAAAATAAATTTAATCCAAAAAGCTGTCGTTGCTATATCTGGGGGTGGCAAATTTGTTAGGGCATTCACTATAAATCAAGGATTTCTATTATGGGAAGTGAATTTACAAAGTGAACCTGAAGGAACGTAAGTTATTAATATTTATGTAATTTTATAAAAAAATTTACGTTTATTACCCTTTTTTCCATCTATAGAGCCACTGGTGTTATTTATGGTGGAAGAAGTGGTAAGTAGTATACTTACTAAGTTATCCTTATTCTCTCATAATTTAATAAATTAACTTTCAGAAAAAGTGGCAGTTCTTGCCAATAATCGTGTTTGGTCTGTAGACACTTCCACAGGAAGAGTTCAATGGACGAAAACTTTAACACCGTAAGTCAATTTCATTGTTATTTATATTAAAAATCTGTAATAGAAAATAACTTGCAGCCTCAAGAGCAAATTTCAAAAGCTCATAAATACGGATTCTTCTGTGACTGTATTGAGAATTCCTAGCTCAGGAGATACTGATGTTATTTCTTATAGTACTGATGGTAGTCGCGTAGCTGAGAATACAATTAAAAACCCTTGGATGAAAACAGACAGCCTAGAGTAAGAGTTTTTATATGCCAGCTTGTATTAAAGTTCTTGACAAATCGAACAATTATTTCAGATGTATTACCGTTACAACTAATGTAGTCTGCTTAGAAAGTGAAAAATCCCGATTATACTTATTAAACGCTGCTAAACCCCATTCCTATAAGGAAATAGTTCTATCTGTAAGTTTTTAAACCTCTGAATTAAAGGCAGAACTATTCAAGTTAACTTTCTTTATAGGCTTCTACATGTTCAAAAAACCTAAATGCATTATTTGAAACAAGAGAGAGTCTAGGTAGCTTATTCGGTTTTAAGAAAAGTTCAGGCTCTGGTATGGCTTTAATAAAGATTGACGGAGACAAAACAAAAGAATTATTTTATTCCGATAATGTAATTATTAATTAAATTAATGTAATAGAAAAAATCTATAAAGATACACTATTAAAATATTATAGATTGTTGCTACTTCCATCACCAAACTTAACAACGAGCTAATTATTGCCACTGCAACCGTTGAAAATCAAGAAATAAAAATAAGATTTTTTGAATATGAAACTGGAAATGAAATAACTAGCTTACAAATGAGTGACATATGGCCATCGTATAGAAAATATCCAAATGAACTCAGAGTATTAGCGTTTAAGAAAAAAGATGGCACCACTTCTGTGCGAGTTTTTATTATTTCTGATGATCTCTCTCTGTCAATGTTCATTAAGAATGGTTAGTTTTATTTAAGATACATCATTGATCTTTTCTTATCGTTATCAAATCGAAGTATTTGATAGTTGATCACTCAGATAAGCTGCATAATGAATACTAATAATATGGAAACTAGTCCCTGATTTATGTAGAATATCTAAGATAACAATTATTAATTTTTTCATCATAATTAAGATTTTCCTTATTTTATATTAAAACTGTATTTTTGTTATGAAGGAGGAATAACATGGACGAGGGAGGAAGCTCTGTCAAATATACTCTCTGTCGAAATGGTTGATTTGCCAGTGTCTCAAATTCAAGCTGAAATGGAAGATGAATTTGGCAGTTCAGGATGTAAGTATAAAAATTTTCTTAATAAGCTGATCTTTAATATTGAATAACTATGTAAACAATTGAATTAGGTTTTTATATATTTTTGTATATAAAGAATTATATGTATATATATATATATATTTAATATATACTGTATAACTATATTTTATGTCTATAATATTGACAGCTGTATTTTCAACAAGTTTAAATGGTAAATTTCTTTGTTATAACTTCACGAAGTTTTGTTTCAATTAAGATGTCATTTTTTCACTGTTCAATCGTGCATGTTATCTGGTAGTAAGAAAATCTTACTAATTGTATGTCTTTTTTAGTATAGTTTGTATTTTGAATAGCTTGTTTTTTTTTTAAGGAAAAAATTTTAGATGTAATTTTTCTCCCTCGAAAAATGACTTGAATTTTGTTCATTCTTTTAAAACTTTAATTGTTGTGTAATATTTTGCAGACAAAGTATTATTTTAATGACTTATGTGATTTCTTTCAGATAATCTGGCTAGTATGTTTGTGAAAAGGTTAATTACCCAGTTACATCAATTTGGCGTAAGTACCATTTCGAATTGTAGTATTTATAATTAAGTTTCTATATTTACATATACCATTCCAAAAATAAACTTATTTGTTTGCTTTCTATAGACTTGGATTCTTCATATATCAGCAAAATTGTCTAAAACTAGTGGATCAAATTCCGGAAGAGCTGAATTAATAAACGATCCTGATTATTTGACAAGAGATGACTTTAACTTACATAAAATGATTGTAGCAACTACAGCTTCCATGAAGGTAGTACATTCGAACATAATATACATATATATACTGTATAGAATATATGTCATTATTATAATAACTTAATATTCTTTTCGTCAATTTTTTAGCTATTTGGTATTGATAATTTAAGCGGTCAAATATTATGGCAAATTAGTATAACAAATGCTGAAGTTTTTGACCACTCTGGGAAAATAGCTCTTCCATTATATATTCAAAGGACAACGGCTCATTTTCCCCATCCTCCTGTGGCTACTGTTGTGGCAAGACATGCTGTAAGTTTACATCAATGAGACTTTTTTGAATCTCAAAATATATTGATTAGTCCTATTCTTCTCATATCAATGCATATTCACTTTTAGCATTACACTAATATGATTACCTTTTCTGTTTTCTCTTACAGACAAAAGCTCAGTCTATATTTATGACTTTCAATCCGATTACTGGTGAAATTCAAGGATCGAACGATGGTGTTCTTATGAACTACGTACCAATTCAAATTACTCAACTTCAATTTGTCCAGGAAGACTACATTGCACCATTAGTAATAATTGACAGTTCGAAAATGGTAACAGATTTTTAAAGTGAACCTATTAATGTGTTTTAAACGCTTCATTTATCATAAACAGGTACACGTTTACCCAACGGAAGGAAAAAATGTTGTGAAAGAACATGCCAATAACTTATTCACATATACGGTTGATACCACTACCAATATACTAAATGGATATGTTATTATGCAAGAAGATAGCGTAAGTATAATAAAGAGTTTTAATTAAACAAGGATATCAAATTTAATTTAAATTTGTCAATATTTCGATTTTAATGTTATCTTACTTTATTCTACTGAAGTTTAATTGCAAATGTCTTTTTTCAGTATTTAGTTGCTGCTCCATCATGGAGAGTTGATCTGATGAAAAACGAGCAGAATATAACAAACATAGTCGCAAAGAGATCAATCGGTACAAATTACTATTTAAGATATCAGGAAATACCTTTTTCCTACATGTTTACTGTCTCTTTTCTAGAACACGTTCATTCTCAAGGAGTTGTTTTGGGAGACAGAAGTGTTATGTACAAGTACTTAAACCCAAATTTATTTGCCGTAACTACCTCAGGAGTTGATCAACAGGGAAAATGTAAAACTGAACTTAAATTCTCCTCTTCTAATAAGTTTCCGATTCTCATTAGATTTATCTATCTCTTTCAACAGCTTTTATATCAGTATATCTAATTGATGGAGTAACTGGGAACGTCGTTTATTCTACAACGCACAAAAGCGCTTTGGGCCCTGTACAAATAGTTCATTCTGAAAATTGGATAGCTGTAAATATTTTCAATTTTATTCCACGTATTACAATGTTAATATTAAAATTGTTTTCTATTTTTAGTATGTTTATTATTCGGTGAAAAATAGACAAAAAAGAAGCGAAGTTGCAGTTGTTGAAATTTTTGAGGGTAAAGAACAAAACAATGCAACGGCGTTTAGCTCATTCTCCGTGAATTATCAGCCTATGTTTATGACTCAAGCTTATATATTTTCTGGTCACGTATCTGCAATGGCAGTGACAGTTACCGAGAAGGGTATTACTAACAAAGAAGTTATAAGTATGTTTATATAAGTGTATATTAATATATACAATATAAATAATTTATTAACTTTTTATTGCTTTAGTATTAACTCATCCTTTTTTATTCCTAATTTAGTGGCTTTACCAACTGGATCGATTTTAGCTTTACCAAAGATGCTTCTAGATCCTAGACGACCCTTAGTCCCAACGGCGGAGTCACAGTTCGTAAAATTTTAAACACATCTATAGTAATAATATTATTGCAATAAATGTAACATTATTTCATCTTTTAGAGAAGAAGGCGTTCTCCCCTATATCCCAGAATTACCAAAGCTATTCGAAGCGATGGTTAATTATAATCAGTCAGTATATAGAGTTAAAGGAATTCACACTGCACCAGCAGGATTGGAATCAACGTCACTTGTTCTCACCTATGGTCTAGGTAAATTGAATAGCCTTATCTTGAAGAATTAATTGAAAATATTATTATAATATTGTTACTCTCCAGATTTATTCTATACTCGTCTCATGCCATCGAAAATGTACGATGTATTAAAAGAAGATTTTGACTATTTTTTTATTAGTGCCGTTGTCACGGGAATGATTGTTGTATCTGTCGTAACGCAAAAATTTTCCTCAAGGAAAGCTCTTTCAAGAGCTTGGAAATAATATTCCATTTATAAAATAGGTTATTTTTTGTTGTTACAATAAGTCTATAAAGTAGTTTAATGTTTAATACAAATATAAATAATTTTTTTTGAACAAATTATATGTATTTATAATTCGTTTTGTTATCAATACTATTCTCTTTTTTAATGTTCAAATACATAAGTAATTGAGTAATTGATAAATATTATATATATATATATATATATATATATATTCTGTATATATGTATATATTTATACATACATTTACTTTATATATTAATACATTTTGTAATCAATTAAAATTCTGTTTTAATCACCAAAAAAAAACTTAATGAATGGTTTTATTTTCATTTTCTTCAAAAAGAAGAAAGTGATTATTATCATACTTTCAATGCAGAGTCTAATATTTCGCAAACTTTTTTCTAGTTTACCTAAAATACGGATGTATAGTTTAATACGGATATATAAAACACTCTTTTTTCTTCAATATCGCCCACTCCAATATTCAATTCACCGATGCACCCGTCATTTAATACTAACCAAGATGGCGGACTCCACCAAGGAAAGCATGGAAAATTCAGAAGAAGTATCCACTGATTTTAGGATCAAAAACAAGTTCCGACGAAGGGAACATTTCAAGAAGTTGAAAAGGGAGAAAACGAAGGTTTTTTTTTGCTAAAATCTTGAGTTTCTTTAATATATTAACAAAGTTATTTAATTTTTTCACTTTTAATACTTTCAGATGAAATTGAAAGAAAGGCAAAAAAAGAAGAGAGAGGCAAAAAAATCAGGAAAAGAGGTAAGAATATACATATTCATAGTCAGAAAGGTTCATTGATTCATTGATGATAGGTAGAAAAACAAATTCCTAAAACAATTGAAAACATGAGAGTACCCGATGAAACCATGGTTAATTTGGAAGATGAAGAAGTTATTGCTGATGAAACAACAGACGAACTAGCCTCTTATTTTAATAGAGAATCAGCGCCTAAAGTTTTGATAACAACTTCTGATAGACCTAGGATGGTAAGAGTAGCAAAATGACTTATTATGAAACATAAATGAACAACAATTTCCGACTTTTTCAGAGGAGCTACCTGTTTTGTCAACGTTTAAAAGACATTATTCCCAATTCTTTCTACTATTATAGAAGAGGATTAGATTTAAAGAAAGTAATAAAGCAAATGAAAGCTAAAGACTTCACAGACCTAATTGTCGTAAATGATGACAGGAAAATACCAAGTATTGTATACATTTTGTTTAATATTCTCTTTCCATTACCGTATTTATTTATAGATGGACTGGTTTTAAGTCACCTACCTGACGGCCCGACAGCTCATTTCCGTTTGTCTAACGTTATTTTGCCCAAAGAAATAAAGGTAATAATAGAAAAGCAGTTTATCCAACACATTTTGCTTGTTTGACAGTTTTTCTTCCAAGTGAAATTACTGCATCTTCCATTAGTAAATACATTGTCCATAAAACATAGCCGTGATCCTATAAAATTGGACAAATGTTATTACATTTCTATTTTTAATCCATCACCAAGTCACGTATTATCTGATTTGTATTCATATATATTTATATATAATATATATATATACTGGATACATTCTATATTTACACTGTATTGATAAACAAATATATAAATATAATTATAAACTAATAAAAGTAATTTTTTGTTAAAAATAGAGAGTTGGAAAAACAACCTATCATCAGCCGGAAGTTATACTTAATAACTTTAATACCCGCCTTGGTCATACAATAGGAAGAATGTTGGCCGCAATCTTTCCTCATGACCCGCAATTTCATGGGAGAAGAGTTGCGACATTTCACAATCAGCGGGATTATATATTTTTTCGTCACCATCGTTATCAATTTCGCAACCAGAAAAAAGTTGGCCTTCACGAATTGGGACCTCGATTTACCCTCAAGTTACGGTCTTTACAAAAAGGAACATTCGATTCCAAATATGGAGAATACGAATGGGTTCATAAGGTCTGGAAATTGAATTTTATACCAATCTCTATATTAAAGTAATTAAATTTCCCTTTAACAGAGACACGAAATGGATACCAGTAGAAGAAAGTTTCATCTTTAAACAAAAGAGGGCGATACTGATTTATTTTAGTATAATGTCGAATAAATTAACAAAACACTCTAAAATGACGTGATAAGATTACTCTGGTTAAAATCAGAGCTGCATAGTCTAGGCTTATTTGCATTACACTTCTTAGTACTTTTTTGCTCATAATTGTCGGCATCAGTGAAAAATAGATTAATTTTTTAGTTTAAGAGGCTAATAGTTTCAAATTGTACATGCAAGACGACATGACATCACGTGATAGCTATATCTAAATATACGCATAAAATAACTACCAGGCACTTATATGACGCAGGGGAAAAAATCGATGCTCGTGAAGGGAAATTGATTGAGACGCTTTCTATAAATAGAAAAACTGCCGAATAAGCGGAAAATTTTGAAGAAAGAAAATCGAAAGATTTACTATTGATTTATTTGTTTGTAATAAATAGGTATATAACTCTCTTAATCGATTTAAATACTTGAAGGTTCTTTATTTAATACAGGTGTAGAATAAAGAAAAAAAGTACTAAGTTTACGAGTTTCTTTAAAAAATTTCTTACAATAGCCATTAAATGCTTATCACGAACAGTCGAAGAGAGATTTTCCAAGAATTAATTTTCGTATTAATACTTGACTAATCGGTTTTTACATAATTAATAAACAGAATCGTTTAATCTTTTTATCATTTGGGAATAAGGACAATAAATATAAAGGAAAACAAACACTAAGAATATTAAAATACCGTTGTCCTTTTTGAGAAATGTTAACACGGTAGTAAATATCAATCATATGTTACTCTTTCTTAGCAAAATAAACAATTTTTAATTGAAAATTTGTAGTTTAAATCAATCCCCTTGTCTCACGATGCTTTTGGTAATCTACAGGCGAATTATTGATTATCTCCTTACAAAATTAAGTAGCTGAGCAAATAAAGCTTTGTAATTACGGTTCTTCTCCTTCCCTCTCTCATCACCTCTCCCATATCTTTACTTATAAATCATCAACATATTATAGTTATAAATATTTGAAAGAAAAGCACTATTTTTACATACTATTTTCTATAAAAAGAAACTAGCAAACTTTTCATTTTAATAGAGAATGGACAAATCATGACACTAATTAATACAAAAAAGTTGTTTAAATACTCAACTTTCCTATTATTAGGTTTAATTCTCAACGTGGGAAATATTAAACTTTAATAAGTGAAAATTATAATGTAAAGTTAGAAAAGAGGTAACTACTTCCTTCTTACAACAGATTTATCTGGAAAAGAAAAAAAAAACATGTATACATACTGAATTTATTGAAGTATGATACTAAATTTAGCAACTATATGTAGGTTATGTTCCAAATACATAATATCTTTCATAAATACAAAGAATATAAATTATGAAATGATTATAAAAGATTTTCCAGAAATATAAAAAGAGAACAATCAGTAACTTACCTGTATTCATTACTTCCGGCGCCTGTATAATTGATTTATAGAATTCAGTGAACTATAGAACTATATAAAGTCACTTTATTCCTTTTTCAATACTTCTTTAGATTTTACTGTTATTAACTGTGGAACTTTTTTATTTTGTTTTATATAAAAAAATAATTATTGAGTATTGTGGAAAGAGGATTGACTATATGTTTCCAGTTAGGATTAGCCTAGAAAATAGACAAGCATACTCGATTGATTATCAGTTTGTATAAAAGTAAGACAAACTCGATAGTGGACGTACATACCTAGCGGGAATGAAGAGGGTAAAGCGGATGTTGACCTCTTTAAAGGAGAGGGTAGCAGAAGGTTAAACCAGGGAAATGGGTTGAAAGATCATTTCTTTCCTATTCCTCATCTCTAACCCTACAGTTTCTTTCTCTATCCTGTCTGTAATCAGTTCGTTTCTCTCTCTCTATCTCCTCCCCCCTATCTGCTCTACTTTTCTTCCCCTTCGCCTCCCCCTCTTTTTTTTTCTTTTTTATTCCTTTACAATTAGCAAAACTTTTGGCACTTTGGCATAAAAATAAAAACAGTTAACTTATAAACGCCTTAGTCTAATGTTCTGGTGTATACAGTATTTTTGCGCAAATAGTTAGCCGCTAACGAAAATCAACTGGTACAAACAACCGAAATAATTTGTCTTTTTCTTTCGTTATTGCCAGAGAAATCTTCACCTTACTAAATCCTTTTCTCTAAGACTTTGAAATATCATATATATATATATATATAGAATTACATTCTGCTCACGTGTCTATTTTTTTTCCTTCTTTCTTCTCTTTTTTGTTCGAAGGGAAAAAAGTTAAATAACAGCTTAACCTAATTTTTCTAACTGTAAATTTTGAAGTTTTGAGTAAGGAACTGGTCAAATTATAGATATTTAAGGATAATCCCCACGATAACGGATATAATCATTAATCTGTATATATAGTATATATATATATTCGAATCCTAAGTAAAGATGTATTAAATGACAGAAATTTGTAAAAAAAAAGAAAATTCCTTCGTATCACTTTGTAATATAATAAATGATTATTAATTATAAAAGGTAGGTGAATACTATAGAATTTGTAGTGTAAATTACACAGCAGGTGTTTGATCTTCTTTTGATATGTAGGAAAACAAAATCAGTTATTGACCTCAAACGTCTATATATCTATAATCTTTAAATTTTCTCTTTACTTATAGTCGATTATATAGAGATAAACCTGATACTGCAAAAATACTGCAATAGAGCAACAGTTAAAAACTAACATTATTTTTTTTTCATTTCTCTATCTTTCTTTATCCATCTATCAGTCCGTCTATCTTTCAATCTTTCCTTTCCCGGCTGTTTCCCTACTGTTCTCTATATCTTTATCTTTCTATCTCTCATTAGTTTTCATTTTTCTTCTTTTCTCTTTTTCTTTTTTTCAATTCTATTTATCCGTAAAAACAGATTTCTTTGTCTCTACTTTTCCCCCTATGGTTGTTTTTTATTATTGTTACAGAATATATCTTCATTTTTCCTGAAAAATTCAAAATGGACGAAAATCGAAGAAAAATAATTTTAAATAATATTCTCAGATGTTTCAAAGTGAAAAAAGATTTGCTAGATCGATTTTCAAATTATCTACTGAAAAATCTGCAACGCGCTGCCGTCAGAGATAGTAGGCCTAGACCCAACATTGGCGCCGCTATTACTGACGTCATTCACCAGGCATTTTAGAGATGAAAGTCAGCCCGGATTGTTCGCCTCGCTCCTCTATATGCGAATCTTTGGACAATTGTAGTTTAGAAGAGCGTTATACCGTTCTACAGCATTTGGGATGTGGAACATATGGAAGAGTCGTTTTGGCAAACTGCAAAAGAACATCTACGTCAGTTGCGTTAAAAATATTGCCAAAGAAGACGACAAAGTTAAAGGACTTTTCCAGGGAATTTCAGTATAGCTATTATTTGTCGCCTCACAGTAACATCCTGAAAACATTCGACGTTGCCTTTCAAACTGATAGTTCATTTGTATTCGCTCAAGAATACGCCCCAGAAGGTGACCTCTTCGAAGCGATCGAACCGCAAAAAGGTTTCCGGGAAGAAGTTGTTAAACTAGTCGGAAAACAAATTGGTTCAGCTCTCGAGTTCATGCACAGCAAACGTCTAGCACATAGAGATGTAAAACCTGAGAACGTTCTAGTCTTCCAGTCTTTCCAAAAGTTTAAACTTGTCGACTTTGGTATGACAAGACGCAGTTCGACATGGGTAAGAAAAGTGTCAAACGGAATTCCATATACGCCACCAGAAATAGCAGAAGCTATTAAAGGCGAACGCTATGTCGTCGATTCATCCGCAGACGTTTGGGCGTTCGGAGTCTTGCTATTTTGTGCCATAACCGGTAACTTTCCATGGGAATTAGCCCACTATTCTGACGTTTTCTACAGAGAATGGGCTCAATATCAACAAAGAAAGACCAACAAATTGCCATCACAATGGAATAGGTTCGAATCAAGAGCACTAAGAATGTTCCGACGTCTCCTAGAGCCAAAATGCCAGAAAAGATCATCAATACGGGAAATTTATAAATATTTAGACGATAAATGGGTACACCATCGAGAAGAACCAATCGAAGTAGTTCTCCAATCTATAGAATCAGATGTTTCAAAATCGGCAAAAGAACAAAGAGTCTCAAATTGGTTGGGCTCAACATAACAAAACATCAGATATCAATACATACAGGATAGTATTTTAATATCTACAATATTATATAATTGAAGAACCAGCTGAAGAGAAAAAGCATATCGAATGAATTTTAAGACTATGAAAAAAAAAAGACAAAAAAAAAACAACTTTTCTAATTACTGCCGTCTTTTTATCGGTTAACAAGAGAACTTTGTAAATAGTTATAAATACAGTAAATATATATATAAACATTTTCAAAATCTCCGATTCTTATATATTTAATTATTATAAATATATAGAAATATTAGTATATATTATACGCATACAATATATTAATATATATATATATATACTGTATATTGTATGTGTATTTTAAGTAATAATTTCTTAAGCCTACACGATTTATTATAAAGAACAATAATAATAATAATTGAGTGTATGGAGGTCTTTGAAGAGAGAGTTTTCCCTCTTGCTTTATTCTCTTTCTTTAATATATAATATATAGAAGAAACTATTTATATACATGTATTCACCATATTTTACATAAAGATAATATACTGTATATACAGGTTTATATATACTGTATATATATACAACTTATTTATGATATTTATAGAATACAGAAGGTGTTAAGTATCATCTAGTCAGGTAAAATGATGAATAAAAGTCCAAGGATTTATTAATTCATCACACCGTAAAAAAGAAATCTCTGTTGATAGGGCAAATATGAGTAAGATCTTTCGGCTTACGTCAAACTTGCTCTCGTTTTCGCTTAAGCTCCCTCTCTCTCTCTCTCTCTCTTATACATGTATGAATACACTCACTCTTTTGCTATTTCAACTAAGAATCTGATTGGATGAACTTAACTATTATATAATGTTTTATTTATTTATAAACTTTTGTAAAGAAAATAATTTAGAATATAAGTAAAAAACCGAAATTTAAGAAGAGATTTGTCCTTTCAAAATGAATAGAAAACTGGTTTCTACATTATTTGTTATATATGATTCTCTTATAATTGATTTATATTCTGTTAGGTTTAAGTTAGTACTTTAATTTAATATACAACACGATCTTGACATAGAGAATATATAGAAATATATAGAGTATCTTATTATTGCATCGTTATTATACAGCTTATAATGGTTACTATACTTGAAAAGTGGGATTAATTCAAAATATACGACATCTTTAACAGATATTTTTCTATATTCCTAAATATTAGATAATTACGGCAATAATGCACTTTTATAAAGTGATGATGAAAGCGATAAACTGATATGTTCTAGTCTATAATAGCTATTCTGTGACGTAATATGTACAAATATACATTGTACTATATATGTAACGTTTTATATACATTCTAGCTTTTCAAAGCTGTAGTCATAATTTCATGTCAGTTTTCAAAGGTTGTATCCTTTGATTAAATAATGAAAAAAAAAAGAATTTCTTCGTTGGATTCATTTCACATCAAAAAGAAAGATATAGAATGCATTTTTTGTCTTCTCTGACAAACCCGATTTGTAAAGAAGACAGCGCCACCTATGGCTTTTTTCCGATAAATCGAGATACTATAACCTTGAGATGGTATACTTTTTTCAGTTTGTTAAAGTGAATAAAAGGTCAATTTTTTTTTCTTATTCGTTTGCATCTTGTTTAGAAAGTGTAATACAACTGTAACAGAAAAGAGAAAAAAAACCAATAAAAAAGCTTATTACGACGTAATTACACGTTTTATCATAATTAAAAGAAGAGAAATAAATCCTTCAAAGAGTTCTAAAATTTCCTTTTCTTTATTATATCTGGTCTCCAGTTGATAGGGTGAGTCTCCTCTGTAGCTTCATCATCTTCCTTATAGATTTTAATAGTCTTATCTGCTTCACATGTTACAAGTCTTGATCCGCTCTTATCGAATGAACTACCGTAAATTCCCGCTTCTGAATCAATGCTTCCAGGTTGTATTTGAGTTTGTAGTCTTTGAAAGTTGTATCCAGTTTTCCAATCAAAGAAAAACAGTGAGCCGTTATCTCCTCCGGAAACTAATACATTTTCTTCATTTAGAGCGAGCGTATTAACAATGGAATTGTGTCCACTTATATTTTGTAGAAAGTTTCCATCCGGGAATTTCCACAGCTTTATATTATCAGGTGATGCTGACGCAAAGGCGAATTGTCTGGGATGTAAAACTAGAGATCTAACGGATTTCTTATGATTTGTTAGCGTAACCCGAGTTTTTCCAGCAACTATATCCCATAATCTTATAGTAGAATCATGACTACCGCTGATAATTTGAGGATCTGGAGCTTGACATTTTACGTCTGCTACCGTATTTGTATGACCGGCTAAGCCGTGTATTTGGGCTTTAGTTCTCATATCCCAAACTCTAACTGTGGAATCTCGACCGGATGATACAAGGATATCTAATGTTGGATGTACGTCTAGAGCATAGACAGCAGAAAGATGCCCGTGATAGTGCCTAATGACCTTATTGTGTTCCAAATCCCAGCATTTAACTTGTTTATCTTCCCCACAAGAAAACATATAGGGGTGTCGTGAAGAAACTGCCAATCCTCTGACTGAAAGACATACATAATTATTTCCATAAGTTTAAAGCAAATATCTAATTAATACAATACGCAATTTAGTTAAAACTATAGTACTTAAAGATATTTTATCGCGCAAACTATGACCAGGTAGTGTAAATAAAAGTATATTTATCATATGTTTGCTTTAGACACTATATATCTATATATTATGTATATATACAGTACATAGCTTACACTAACTAATATATTTCATATAATTGCTTACCTGCTGAAATATGACCAGTCAGAGATAACTTCAATTGGCCCGAGGCTAGATCCCATATTTTAATGACTCGGTCGGCACTTCCAGTTGCAAACCATTCATTTCCAGGTTCGAATGCCACGCAGCGAACCCAACCAACGTGACCGCTAAGTACTCGACACAATTTCCACGGCGAATGCCACGAGGGTTTAGGCATTGTAGGGGCTCGTTTGGGTACAAGCATTTTCTCACCACCAATCGTAATCAATTGCTATAAAAAGGTGATTATTGGTTTATAATTAAGGAATTCGATAATCAACATTTTATATATTTAGCTAGATGTCTTTGATAAATATGAAAGCTTACCTTTCCCGGTGGTGGATTGGTTTTTTCAGTGGCAGAGGATGTCGGGATTTCCCTAAAGAAAGAAAATTTTTTACTAATAATGAATACATAGCTAATGAACACAAGCATACTTTAGAACTTCCTCTTTTGCTTCTTCAACAGGAGTAGAGTCAACTGCAATTTAGAACAGAGGTTAAATTTAGAAACGTTACTAGAAAAATGAATTATTTCATTACCCATTTCTGGTGCTTCTATTGCAAGAGTTCCTTTCTTCTGTAAATTTCGTTTTTGTTTTTGTTCGACTGTTTCCTTTACCGAGCCATATTCATCGTGTACTTTGCATGCTAATCGTAATTCATCGCTAAAATGACAGATGAATTATTAAGTGTAAACGCTAATAAAAACATGAAACTAGAGATGAGCACGATTATTTAAAAGCCACAAGTTTTTACGGTAAAGGATGTAAAGTTTATCAAATTTATTCAACGATCATGCTTACCTTTTAGGTTCACGAGGAACCGGATTTCCTTCTTCTGAGAGAAACATTTCGTGGGTTCTTTTTAGTGATCGAAACACCAATGTGTGAACAGAATGCTTTTGAACGTCCTGTGAACGTTTTTAAATAAACCGATATTAACATATTATCGCTCAAGAAAATGTGTTATACTAAATTCTCTAATCATTAGCATTGAAAAATTACAGATTTTTATGTCGATTCATCGACAAGTGCCAAATAATATAAACAGGGTTGCTGAGTAATTAAATTTAGATTAATTAATAAGTAAAAAAGCTTACCGAGGCCATTTCGTTCGAGATTTAGTAATCACCAGAAATATTCTCGAAAACAGCGAATTGTCGTAAAATAAATATTTTCTGTGTTAAATATTCAATTTTACATTTAAATAGATATAGATATTTCAAGTTTTTTAGTAGCCTAATTAATTAAAGAATTTTTTTTGCATTTATTATTATGGCTTTTCTTCAAGTATGTATCCTTATAAAATTTTGTCTGATTACATGTTAATTAAAAGTATTTCTGATATTTTAAAAAGAATTCTATTTACTTTGTGTAAATGTTAATAAAATGGAAAAATTCCTTTAAATCGATACAAGAACAATATATATATTTGAGTGATAAAAGGGGATACTGCGTTACTCCCCTTCTAGGATGCTAGTTTTCCCTTAAATATAAGTTTAAGATAAATTGTAAATTAAGCTAAAGATTATTATTCTAATGTTTCCGCCTTAAATTATACGAAGTCATTTTGATCAGTGAGATGTACCTTATAAATTTTAACTAAAACATGAAAAAAACTAATAATGCAATTATTTGTGGAACATGATTTTCCTTAATAAATAAATAAATAGAATTTTATGCGAAAGATCTCCGGTATAATGACTCTATCAAATAGTACAGAACCCCTTTTAAAGTTGCTTTGAGAAAGCTGCTAAACGCATTCAGAATTTTCAAAGATAGTGCTAATCAGTACCAAAAACGGAACTAATAATTAAATTTGTAATAAAATCATGAGAATTCATTGGAGATTTTACGTTAATTTACTTTCTTAGAAACGATAAAGGTTCACTTAAATGACAGGAAATGGATAATTTTACCTGCCCTAATTTAATTTGGTTTTTTTCAGTGGTCTGTATTCTCTTTCTTCGATTGTGAAGTCGCTAAAACTACAGACAGCAGGCCCTTTGATTCCTTAAAGGTACAATTTTGTCTTTGTATATTTTGAATCCATTCTCCTCCACCTAGAGTTTCTTTGTAAAGAAAATGCAAAGTTTTGTAAACTCTACACAAATAACTGTAGATAATTAATTAGTCAAATAAAAGAATTAAGAAGGTTTCCCTGCTGATAAGAGTAATACTTCTGGCTTCTAAGAGGAAATAGAAGATCCTTTCCCAAGAAATCGTCAAGATTTTTGCTTTTCAAGCAATTTTAAATTCATTGCTTCCCTCATTTTTGACAGGAAGAAAACGTTACTGCATGCACCAGTGGAAGAAGTCAAATAATAGTTGGAGGTGATCGAGGGAGTATACACTTCATTACAAGATCATTGGAAATTTCATCAGTAAAGGCCTACAATCGTACTGTTTCTCACTTATTCCATTTGAAGAAATATAGCATCCTTGTTTCTATCGGGGTAATAAAAACTGTTAGAAAAAAAAACAAATTGTAAGAGCGTATCTTCTATTTTGTTCATAGGAAGATGAAGAGGAAGATAGAGTGCCGATTGTTAAAGTATGGGATTTAGATAAGCTCGATAAAGACCGTAATAGGTTCGTTTGCAGAAGCTTTCCCTTACTATTAGATCAACAAGTCAAGAAGGTCTGCTAAAAATTTATCCCTACTTAGTTATAAATATTAAGATATTATATTTTCAACAGGTGACATGTTTGGCTGTTCATGACAGTCTATCTTATATGGCTTTTGGTTTTGAAACTGGACAAATTCTATTATACAGGGGAGATGTAACTAGAGAACGACATTCCAAACAACGTACGATTTACGAAGATGTTCATGCTATCACTGGTTTAGAGTTTTGTAATACTCAAAACGATGCAGTACTGTTTGTTACAACCGAATATCACGTGATATCTATTGCAATTGGAATAAAAGAAAAATGTGATGTGCCAGTTATTCTTGATCAACAAGGATGTGCTGTAAGATATATTAACCTATATTTTCGATATATCATATGATAAATTTTCGTTTTTCATGTCAGCCAAAATGTATGACTCTACATTACACCGAAGGCAATGCACCCAGATTAGTCGTAGCTAGACCTGAGGCACTTTACTTCTACGAAACGAAAGAAAGAGGACCATGTATTGCCGTACAGGCTAACAAACAACTGATTTATTCATTTAGAAATTATATAGTTATAGTTTCTGAGGCAGCGTATGTTTTCTTTCACTAATTTTTAATATGAATAATTAAAGGCAATTATTTAATTGCTGAAATATATAGGTCGTCCAAGGGCAGTGACATGAGTACAATATCGATTTACGATATAGAGAATAAGTTAATAGCGTTTACGTTCCCTCTACCAAAAGTTTCTGGTTTAGTGGCCGAATGGGGTTCCCTATACGCATTTTGCGGTATAGATAACAAGGTAATCCTACTCAAAATTTTTATCTAAAACGTTTTGCACTAAGGATATGAAGAAAGAAGAATATTTTCTATTAACAATTTTCTCATTTTGTTATAGATAAACCAAATTGAGGAGAAAGACACTCAAACAAAGCTAGATATACTATTTAGAAAAACTCGTTACGAGCTGGCCATACAGTAAATATAGATTTTTATTATGTACTCTACTCTAATATATCCTCTATGGACTTTAATATAGATTATGATATATTCTTAGATTTACTAATACTACTTATTATATTTAGTTAATTAAACTTTTTCTATTTTTCTTTTACAGGATAGCAGAGAATCAAAATTATGATCACGATGGAATAGTTGATATATATAGGCAATATGGAGATAACTTATATCGGTACATATATTTATTAATATAAATAATAGATTATTAATTAATTCTAATCTTAAGACAAGGAGACTATGACAATGCAATGAATCAATACTTGAAAACTATTGGTAGATTGGAAGCTTCGTACGTAATTCGAAAGGTAAAGAAACGTTTTTGATAGATTATAAATAAAGTATATGTATCTATAATATACTATGTACATACATAATATAATACTTAATATATTAAGTATGTATATAATGTATAGACTGATATATATTAAGATGTATACATATAGTTCCTAGATTCATCAAGAATACATAATCTCACTGCCTATATTGAGGAACTACACGCTAGAAAATTAGCTAATAATGATCATACAACGCTATTACTTAACTGTTATACTCGTTTACCAGACCATTCCGGTTTAGATAAATTCATAGAAGTACGTTATTTCAATTATTTTTTTTAATTAATATCTTCATTAAATTAATTCATTGAAAATAGGAACACGATGATAATTTTGATGTGGAAACAGCTATAAAAGTCTGTAGACAAGCTGGTTACTTTAAACACGCTTTAAAAATTGCTCTTCGCCATAAACGCCATAACCTCTATTTAAAAACTTTGTTAGAAGATGTAAAAGATTATAAAAGTGCTTTAGATTATTTGGGAAGGCTGCAATTTGACGACGCTTTAACAACAATGAAAGATTATGGCAAAATCCTCTTAAAAAATGTTCCAGAGCAAACCACTACGCTTTTAAAAAGGCTATGTACTGACTATAAGCCAATTGATGAACCGCTGATAAAAGATGAGAGAGGTCTAGAAGTTACTGGTATAGTAAAGGCCCTACCAGATGAATTTATTCACATATTTGTGGACGATGCCGGCCGCTTAATTGATTTCTTACAGCATATGGTAAGGATAGGAATTTTTGTTTTATCAATTAAAATTCATATATAACTAAATAAATAATGCATTTTTTGCCTATTTATTTTTGCATTAGATAAATGTGCAAGCGTGTTCTTCATTAGTTTATGGGACACTGTTAGAATTGAGATTGCAAGAATACGTTCATGAAAATGATCTAGGGGTTTGTTTTCAATTACTATATATAGAACAAAAAGTCAACTAATAAATGTCATAAAATAGGCGAAAATTGATAAGGAACGGAAGATATTGGAGCTATTGCATTGTGAAAATGTAAGATTACATCTATTTTTATTCTTGTCTCTCTTTTCTTTATCTTACCTGTACATATTAGTTATCAATGGAGTAGCTAATTAATATACTTTTCCAAAATAGTCGAAATATGATATACATCATGCTTTGGTTCTTTGCCAAATGAACAATTTTAAGGCCGGAATACTCTTTCTTTACGAAAAGGCTGGATTGTAATTATCTTTTGTTGATTTTCATAAACGCAATAATTAAATAAATTAATTTATTAATATTCGTACAGCTATCAACAGGTGGTCAGACATCATATGGAAAATAAAGAATATTCTCAGATTATTGATACTTGTAAAAAATTTGGGTACTTATTTAGAACAGAAGCAGTAGAAACGATTCTATAATTTATTAATTTCTCTTTAAATAGAAAGGAAGATCCAGGTGTTTGGGTCCAGGCACTAGCTTTCTTAGCAAAAGGAGAAGAGGATAGCTGTCGCATGCATATGAAAGAAGTCTTAGCTCACATCGATATTCATAATCTATTGCCCCCATTATTGGTTATCCAGACTTTAGCTCATAATTCTAATGCTACACTGTCGGTCGTAAAAGATTATATTGTGAAAAGATTGCAAAAAGAAAAAGAGGAGATTAACGAGGATGAGAGACTAATTAAACAATACGGAGAAGAAACGGCAAAAATGAGAGGCGATATTGAAAGTTTATCAACTTCGGCTAGAATATTTCAATCTGAGAAATGTAGTGCATGTAGTCATCCATTAGATTTGCCAACCGTCCACTTCTTATGCCAGCATTCTTTTCATGAGCACTGCTTTGAAAGTTACGCGGGTTCGAATGAGGGAAACGAATGTCCAGTTTGCTTAGCAGATAATCAGTTAGCTATTACTTTTTTTCATAACTTGTTTTAAAGTCACATCTGTTAATTAATTTCAGAAAATTTCTTCAAATGTTGGCTGCTCAAGAAAGAGATGGAAAAGACTTGTATAATAAATTTAAGCAAGAGGTACACATTACTCTTTCTTCTCTCATATAAATAAATAAATTGAATACATAAATATACATAAAATATCATATAAATACGTTGTGTAAAAGATTACTAATGACTAATGCTTTTTTTTACCTTTTCAGCTCGAAAGAGCTAAAGACGGTTTTACAGTCGTTGCAGATTACTTTGGTAAAGGAGTATTTAGTCAGGTGAGTAATATAAAAAAATATGGTCAAAAGCTCTTAATGCTTACTTTGTTACTCTTTTCCCTGACTTATTATAGAATCCTAATCCAAGTTGAACGAAGACATAGGCTTATTATGGACTTCTAGTGACATTATTTATTTTATTGACCTAATTTTATTATTAACTTTGACCAATACATTTTTTCATAGATAATAGAGAAAATATAAAAAATAAGGCAATCTAAATATTGATATTTATGTAGCTATATTTGTATATTATTGCCAAGGATTTCGCAATGGATTATTCATTAAGAATTATCCCTGTTATCATAAATTCCTCATTTTTCATTTTATTCAATTAACTTAGAAGTTTTAAATTTAAAAATATTTAACAAAGTTCTTAATTAGTCTACAGGTGATAATCTTATTTTTTATTCAATTTTCTTTCTAATAAAGAAATGTCTGGAGGCAGATGGCGCTTTCACTTGGTAAAAATCTTTCTTTAGGCTTTTAAAATAGAGGACAATGGACAGGATGAAGAAAGAGAAAGCAAAAAGCATAATTAATAAACTTTTAATCTTCTTTCGATATCGATTTTGTGTTTGTATGCAGCCTTTTAGTTTCATGAAAATCATAGGCTTTAATTATTTTTTTTAGCCTAACCTCTTCATTTTGTTCCTATAAACATAGCACAAATATATAACTATGTAATTAGGAAAAAAGCAATAAAGTAAAAAGAAACAAACTACTCCTGATCTTTCGCAATTAGGCCTAACTTTTACATTTTCAACTTTCAATCCCCTTCTTAGTCTATTCTCGTATTCTGAAGAGAGCACTGACGCCATCTCAAAGTACAATTGCTGCAGGCCGTGCATGGTATCGTCCAATAGACCTAAACTTACAAGGAATATCTCAAGCCATAATTTATTGCCGCATTTATCAGCAGTGAATACAGATGCGTTGTGTGAAAGAGTACGACCAAAATTTTCAATAAACTCTTCAACATTTTTAAATTTTCCCTTTTTTTTTCTTTCAAGAATTTGCTGATATTTTCTAAATTGCCTATGCATCAGCTCTTGTTTCCTATGTTGTACAATAGCCTTTCTTTCAGTTAATTGTTTTTTCTAAGTAGAAAAGTACAAAAGAATCACAAATATATACATATACTACATATGTTGCAGTTATAATATACATGGCGACAACTCTATTTTTATTATCATGATTATTATTATTACCTTGTATACCTCAGTAGATTGATTGATGCTCATTATAATGACGCCAATAAAGACATTAGTAAAAATAAAATTACCTATAAATATAAAAGAGATTGTAAAGAGTCTGCTAAATTTATATCCCTTCTTATCCATTGATTCTTGAATATCTGTCCAACCATCAACGCTAACGTATGTGAATAGCGACATCATCGCCTTTGATATCGAACCCCAATGTTCCTTATCAGAACCCTCGCCAGTACCGAATAAGTAATAGCCCATTATGCCAAAAATATACATTAACAAAAGTAGTAACAGTATAATATTAATTAACCATCTTTTAATAGTATCTACCAAAGCTCTTACTAGTACTTGAAGTCCTTTGATGAAAGATACTGTTCGTAAAGTTCTTAAAGTTCTAAAGGCTCTAAGTATCTTTAAACCTTCAATGTTTACAGTAGTTTTATGAGCAAGAAAACCAACAATAACTATTTCAAAATAGCTAATAAAGAGAACAGCAAAATCGAACAAATTATAATAGCTTTGCCAATAATTTTTAGGTTCTGCATACAATTTTAGAAGAAATTCAATAGCATAGATACCTTTTAATCATTAATTTATAAATATACTGTATAGAAATATAATCCTAAAATAGACCATTTAACTCCTACACATTTAGTCGTATTACCTGTAAAAATCTCATCTAATAATTGAAAGAAATAGTTATAATCGTCTCTCCATTCTATTTTTGTTTCACAACCCAAAATAATCGAATTAACTATTATTATTGTTATAATTATAGTATTAAATGATGAACTCTCGGTTACAGTTTTTATAAATTCGTGAAAATCTTTATCAAAACGTGCTCTATCCACTTTCTTTTCAATTTCGGTTGTTTGTATGAAAAAACTATTAAAATTCGAACCTCTACTATCGTCAATAAGAGGACTAGAATTTAGATATGTTGGAGAAATTCTCGACATATTCCCCTATGCAAAGCTCATGGGATAAATAGTTTTTAAAAGTTTCTATTGATGCTCTTTTTTTTGAAATAACAAAACAGTGAATTGATAAAAAAAATTGATATATTTTTAGAGTCAGGAACTGCCAAAGAGATTTAGATAATAAATAACAAAAAGACAATCCTTGAGGCTCGATAATTTCGTTTGTAAGACTAAAAAAGACAAGATAAACAAATGTTATGGAATATAAAAGGTCGTTTTAAAAATCTATGGCAAAATGATAAAGAGTTATTACTTCATACTCAATATCTATTTAACCTAAATTTCTTAAATTCGTCTGTAATAATATCACTAATAAACTTTAGAACTGGGAGGATCATACTTTCTTCAAACAACTGTTAAAAAAAACTCTATGATATTATTAGTCTTGAGTATATTTATTATATACCTTTAATCTTCCATCCGATGATATCATTATACCAGGTAGTGATATTTTTGATAGCATTAGCCTCTATATATTAAAAATATATAAGGTATATAAGGATATATCACGAATGATACTAATATAACTTACGGTTAAACGAATGTTGATATTATCTTCAAAAAATTCGTGAATAATCTTCATCAATCTGCCTACATCTTGCCGCGTAATTTCCTCTTTATTTTCTTTTATAGCGCTAAAAGATAGAGCAAAAAAATAAGGTGATATTATAAGATGAAATATTAATTTAACAAAATAATTACGTTTTAAATAGATTAAGAAAAGTTTGCCTGTCAAATTCTAATGGAATTTCTTTGACGTTTTTTGAGGGAAATTCATAACTTAGCATAATAGGCTTAGTCTTTAATCGTTTTAGTTCTGCAAATGAAGTTTTTATACAGATTATTTTATTATGTATAGTTTTAAAAATAGAACCTGGCTCTTCACTTCCAAGTAAAGCCAATAGACACGATAAATTATACGGTGAAATGTGCTGAGCTCTGATAGTGCAGTCAAATGCCGCCTGTTTTAGGTCAACCGAAAAAATAAATAAACTACAATTCATCAGATGTGTCGTTTAAATAGGTCTTACCTGAAACCATGAGATAAACTGTTCTCTAGCCCATACTAAACCTTTCACAAGTACCAAGGGATAATAAGCGAACTGTGTTTTTAAATGTCTTGGAAGGAAATGATCATTCAGAGATGAGAATATAACTTCTAATAATATTTTATTTTCTTTCTCTGTTAATGATCAACATTTTAAATTTGTTCTAAGTTTATTAAATAGTTTTGATTGTTATGTTCAACCGACCATTCTGTCCTTTGACTATGATACGGAATGCATCTTCATCATCTGTAAAAGCAACCATTTACATTCAACCATGAAGTTTTTAATAATGTATTTATTACTAATCTAACCTTTTAAGATCTTAAAGCCTAATAAACGACTAAATTGAGCCTCATCGATAACCGAACTATCCTCGTTAGCTTCTTCAGTGCTCTTTTGTGTCTCCTTTTGTAAGAAATAAAATATAATTTTTTGTTTAACACTTTAAAAATTTTCTTACGAGTTTTAAGAACGTAGTCAACGATCCTGAATACCTGTTGAAATCTTCCAAAAAAAAGTGATACAGAGGCGTAGATCTGTACACTCGCCATGTGAACTTTAACGAATCTATTAAAAAGAATTTTATGATTTTTAAAGTTGTTATTGCATATTATTCCGAAAAAAATAATCTTAACATATTAGTTTTAACAAGGTATTTTTTAAAAATAATAACAATCCGCAGATGCCAATATAAACACGGACGATATTAGACCATAAGGAATTCCTAGTTTTTTTCTTACAATATGCGTATCTTACCCTCTCTGTCGTTCGCCGAAGTTGGCTCTTCGCCAGGATCAGTTCGATGACGTTTATAAGTTGTTCGTACAGATCTCATGGTATCAATGATTCTTAAAATTGGAGCCTATATTTTCAAATTTTACCGCATAGTGGTTGTACTAAAAAACGAGAATTACGGAAACGGGTAATTTTCCGAATACGAGAAAACCGGTAAAACTATTGGCAACTTCCGGTGCACGAAATGTCGATAGATCTTGGTAGGTTTTATAGATTACCACTTTTTATACATATTTATCCCTTTTCTCTTTTGCATCTCTCCCTGTAATGTTAGATGGTAGTAATATGAAAAATTTAGGCTTAAAACCATAAAAAAAAAGCTTTCTGCTCAACTTTGAGCGATATTAGAGTTTCACGCAAATTTAGAAAGCCGGGTAACGCTGATTGATACTATTTCAGGTTATCAGATTTGGACTTCATACAAAGATTTCTTAAGGACCGTTGAATATGCTATCACTACGCGCGGCCAATCCTTTGATGCCCTCAGAACGCTGGAAGCTAGCCTGCATCAGCTTGATGCTGATCTTTTAAATCTACTGGAGAACCCAGCCCCGAATCCAATAGAAAGGCAAACTGTGGAAAAAAGTCACTCGGATGGCTTAACAGTCAAGGGAAGACCATCTAAACAATATTTTACAGAAGATTTCATACGAGAGGCTTTAATAATAAGCGACCTTTTCAAATTAAAAGAAACCCGAAGTGTTGAATTGCTCGCTGCAGCTGAATCTGAAATTTCTTATCATCCTGAGCAACCTCGGGGCCTTGTTGCTGTTGAATTGTACTATACTAGCCGATTTTGCTTGGTTAAAGGTGTTAAGGAACTAGCATGCGCACGCTCTGGAAGAACTTGGGCCCTTCCTGGTCTAGAGGCCAATCTAACTACTACAGTAACTAATTACATTCAAAAGTTGATCGACAATGGACTTGTTAGAAAAATTATTCAAAATATATCTGAGATGGATGAAGAAAAAGAGTTGGCTAAATTAGAAAAAGAAAGAGCTCTTGGGGATGCTGGTCATAGGCATAGAATTATTTCTTTATTTAGGTCGATAAAGTTATGCTTAGCCGAGATTTTATTCAGTTTAGCCATTCAACAACCATTGGAATTGGAAGATACAACAGTAATAATTAATTTTTTAAAAGGTCTCAAATGCCAATCCCAGAAATTAGATGTTACGGAAATGACAATTCTAATGGCTTTACTTACGTCTCTTGATCCAAAACCATCAGAAGAAGGAATAAAACATCCCGCAATTGATAACCAGAGCTACTTACGAACGATTCACAATCTAATTATGACCAGTAAATGGGAAAATTGTAAAATCCGAGCTATTATACAGTTAGCCTGGGCTGTAGCTCTGAGAACTTTGTCCGAGTATGTAAGCCATGATATTTGTGAGGAAGACGAGAATGTTCTAGACATTGGGATCTACGCCGACGCCTTTGAATTTCTACATAAAGCTGTTGTTGAAAATGAACGCTTTCACACTCTATCCAACGGTTTCTATGTTCGACATGTACATAATCTTCTAACGAATGCTATATCCTTATTTCCACTGAAAATCAAAGAACTACGAAATGTTGGAGATGAGAGTGCGAGGATGGCTGCCAGCCAATTGGCTCAGGGTGCTCAGCCGCCAAATGATTTACCTAGGCATTTTGAACAGTTAATGAGTCTTTTAGCAGCAATCTATGGAAAAGATCCCCTAAAGCAAGAATTAGCAAAGCATTTCTGGATTCAAGATCCGGATGAAAAGGAATGTTCTCATCACAAACACCAAAGTTTAATGAAGTTTGTGAAGCTCTCTGGCGATATGCTTCCCTCAACAATGTATATAAATTATGTAAAAATGCTAACAGGTTTAGCGACAGGTCCAAATTGTGCTGAACAAGCCTGTTTCCTCCTTGAGTCTAATGGGACAGCTGTTAGAGGGTCTGGCGTATCATTTTCACACTTCTTTGCAACTTTTGAACAATATTGGCGGGCACTTCATACACCTGATGCACGATTTCAACAACGTTCAACACCAATTGGATCAAGAACCATTTCAGGCCAAGAGTTGGAAGGCTTAGAAGCAGTACTGGATTTATTGGCTGTATTATGGAGATTTGCTGGAGCGAAGAGTTCGCAATTACTCCTACAGTATTGCTCTGGGCCAGGTGCAACTCCAGTACATGTAATGCTGGCTTTAGTTGGATGCAGTGTCCCATTACCATTGAAGGCGAGGATTGTTCGAACTATTTCGTGCTTGTGTTTTGAACCCGATATGGCAAATGTTATATGGATAGGATTATCGCATTTTCAAGTATTAACTCATATAAAACAAGAATTGGGCCAGGCTGAAAGTCGCAATGAAAAATATCCTTTAACAAAAGCTTTCTTAAAATTGTTAAGTGCGCTATCTTCCCATCAACTACCAAATGATCGTGATTTAGCAGCATATGCAACATATTTAAGACAGGATGTCTTACAACATGTTCATAATCGAGCATATGCTGATGCTAACGAGAGATGGGAGATTTGTGAAGAAGCAATGGACGTTTTAAGACAGTTCTTAACTGCCTTAAAACCAACAGATTTAGTTAAAGTAAGCGATGAACATCCTAGTGTTCAGTTGACTGTTCATATGCTGAGAGATTCAAGCTTGTTTCGTAGCGTTATGCAATTGCTATACGAAGCAGTCACAATTTTGGACAGGCACGAATTTAGAAAAACTACTTGTCTCGAAGATGCTTTGCTCAAAGCATTAAAAGTTATTGAATATGTTCTTGGAGTTCAAGATGACGTAATACAGAGTTACCGTAATTCTCAATCATCTATTTTAATGGATAGGTTAGATCAGCTTTTATTGGGTGTAAATCCAAAGACTGGAAAAGCTGATTATCTGCTTGTTATATGCAGAATCATACCTCAATGCGATAGTTTGTTATCACATGCTCAACGAGCGATTAACGTCTTGACGCTTCTTTGCAAATATCATAACGTTCATTCTGATCTTGTTCGAAATCTTCAATCTGATAATATCAATAGGAGGAAATTACAAAGTGCATTTGTTCGTATCCTCGAAGAAGATGCCTGTATTGAATGGAAAGAACCAGAGGAAGACGAAGGTGAAATGATGACTGCTGCTCAAAGTAGTTTAATGAATTTGTTGCTGAATACTGTACGATCTCCAACACCAAACTTAACTCAACTCCTATTGGATTTTGATATTCAGAATGGCGTTTCAAAGAGTAACATCGAGCAGGCTGGTATTAGAGGTTCAATTCGAACATGCTTGCATTCCTTGGTTATGAAACTTGAAGAAGAAGTTGCTAATGAAGCTATCTTGTTTTCCACCAGACCAAATTTGGCTTGCATGTATTATGAGTTTATGTATGAATTATGTACGAATATGGATACTTGTACACCAACTACAAGATTTTTGAGGTTAAACCATGACTTCTTCAACAGGCAATTACAATGCCTTCCGTTTCCAAAACCAAATGACAGCGTGAAGGAAGTTCTTAAGTGCGAGGCTTGGCTTATGAGAATGATTGCTCTAGAAATGAGAATCTTATCAGCCAACGAACATAGATCCCATTTAACTGAGTTAATTAACGAACTATTGCGTCATACAATTCAAAATTTTGATGAAACCTCCTTCCATCAGTCCATTGTTGGCAGTAAGAAGAGAAAACTATTGGCAATTCTCGATGAAATAGAAATGAATAGTGAAAACATTCTGCTGGATGACGATGTTCCTCACATTCGAGTTTTGGATAAAACAGTCGTTGAAGAAGTTATAAAGAATCGCGAAACAATTGATGACGACACATCCATAATTGATTTAAGTACACTCCAAGATGGTTTACTCAGGACCGTGGATAAAAGTCGACAAGCTGATGCCACTATGGAAGCAACTGAGATTCACAAATATTTGAAGAGAAGAAACGATAAGCATGAGTGGTTAAGTGCTCGAATGGCACTTTTAAGTGCTTGGCAACAGATAGTAGAGGTACTAATGACTTCTTGTCCAGATGAAATGTGGTCAAGTTTCACCCGACATGAGACCTCTATTGAAATGCTGGAAACACTATTAAGAAAGAGTGAGATTTGTGATGCAAAACTAAACGGTCCGGTTTCGGCAACATGCCTAGTACTTACATCAATTATTCGTCATGCATTTGTTAAGGAAGCAAAATCAGATACATTCATACCATCTCTTTTAAATATTACCTCTCTTTTGATACGAAAGTTTGTAAAGACAAGAACTTCAAAGCAAATTATTCGGGCTAACATATATGGATCACTTTTGCATTTAGTACAAGTTGCTGATAGACAATGGAGAAGTTTTTCAAGAGATTTCATTCTGTTGTTCAATGAAAATGCTGAAAATTTACTTCATACAATTTCATCCGATGCCTGTGACGGTCATAGAGTATGCAAGCTCTTGGCTTTATCTATACTAGACGAGATTTTAATCTTGGATCGAACCTCTGTTTGCTTATCTTTCCTATCAACAAATGGATTTGTAAATCATCTTGTCGAAGTTATAAATGTTGACGATCTTGCTGATCTACTCGCGCCGAAATCAGTCGGAGCATTTGGATTGAAAGCGCTATACGTATACGAATCCCAAATGGCATTGTTGATTAGATTAGTCTCGACCAACAGCAATAGCGCATTGAGCGTTCTTCAAGCTGGAATAATGGAAAAGTTTGCTGAAAGTGAACTAATAGATGCTAGACCACAAGAAGATGATAGCGAAGATATAGGAACGCTAAATGTTACAGCGATTGCTATCTACAGAAGGATACTAATGCCAATTCTTCGTCTCTGTCTAGGATCATTAACTATGCTTGGATTAAATAACAGTTTAGCCACTCAACACGTTCTCAACTTTTTATTGGCTCATTCAGATCTAATAGCATTTATTCTTAGATCTCATCCCCAAACTGAGGAGCAACTTAAAGAAATGTGTTTGGTGACAGATGTTGTTGCTCGATGCGTCTGTGTTCCAGTTGACGCACTTATCGATGAAACTATCAATCCCGTATCCGTTAACCACGCTAAGAGACTTCAACAGCTCGTTTTACTATTGTTAGCTGGTATTTGTTCATCGAAAGAAACCCCAAAATGTTGCATAAAAGATTGCCTAAGATTGAGAATAGCTGCGAATGTTATGACTCTTTGCAGGGGACTATCATGCGAATATATCGTATTAACTCCAAGTTTAACGGATGCTGTTGGAGGATCAAGTGTTACAAGTCAATTACTCGAAAGCGGAAAGAAAGCTCCTGAACTTGGCTTAGTGGTGAGAAGTCTGAAGGAGCGAACAACTCAATTGCTTACAGTTTTAGACAGAAAGAGAAATAGCGAAAGAAAATGTGGACGTGTAAGCGAATTGTCTAGTGAAGAATTAAGAGAACTAAGTGACTCTGCAGTATCTGCTGAGCAAAGATACGAAGCAGCCGCCTCCAAACTGGAAAATCTTGTAAAGATAGATGAACAACAAGCGGCTATTTTGGCGAATATTATAGAAAATTCTTTACTGGTGGTGTGGAAACATCTTGATTACTATTTAGCTACTGTACAGCCAAAACAAACTGTCACATCCGCTTTCAACCAAGGAAGAATAAGAAAGCTACAAGGTAATGCTCTAAAATCCTTCATGTTTAGTGATTCTTTATATAAATATAATATAAATAAAAAAATATTTGTCTTTTTAGATTCAACCTCAGTTATGTCTGACTCTTTCCAAAATTTCGAAGATACTATCGAAGTTGAAAGATTGTCAAGTTCTCAATTAAAACAATTGAAATCCGATGTTCAAACATGTTTAGACGATTTATTATTCCATAAAATTATGAATGTAGAAAAGGTAAGAGATATTTACAAATCCTATAACAAAAAAATTAACTTCAAACAATGACGCTAATAATTAAAAAAACAAACCATTTTAATAGGCGTATGCTGAAAGTAAAACTCGTATTGGATTTATCTCAGCGATGGTTCGTAGACTACAGCGATTAATAAAGTTTTCCTAAAAAAACTATGGACGTTATATAATATTTTCGTTTTTTTGTCTACTATAGTAAAATAAATCTATATTATATATTATTTTATTTAAAACAAAAAACAAGCGAGAAAGTTGAGTGATAGCATTGCTAAAGAGGAGTTACTTTGTCATCTATTTGTTCCATATCTTATAAACAATTCTTTTTTAAATTGGTAGGAAGCTATGCTTTTTACTATCAATAATTGCAAACATAAGTAGAATGTTATTATGAATTCATTAACATTTGATCTTATTTAAATGAATTACAACAGAATTTATACATTTAGAGACTCTTGAATATTATTACTTTTAAAGGAACAATGCCGACTAATGCAAACATCGTTTTGACTACTACAATGTATGGGAATTTCTGGATTATCGTATTGTACCTCATTACCAAAGTAAAATATACAGCCAATACCAATTGTCCACAAGAGGAAACATATATTAACCATATAAGAAAACCATTTATCACTAAAATTCTCAAACAGATGGGTTGTTAGCGGAACAATGGATGCAAAACCCAAATTAGTACCAATCGTAAATATAGATGTAAAAATGCTATTGATTCTTACATAGGTCCTAGACCAAAGTAACATAACTGTAAAGGTTGAAGAAGTAGATATAGCACAAAACCCAACTGCTATCCATATTAATATTCTATTGGAATTATCGGTGAATAAGAGGAAGATAACGGAGAAAAGCCCGGATAAGACATTAAAATACAAATAATGTTTAATTTCAACTTTTCCAATGAAGAATATCGATATAAATCTTATAGTGAAATAGATAATAAATATAGACATAACTACTTTGGACGCGTCCAATTTGGTCCATTCGTGCCTCATAACTAGATAGGGCATTATCAACTGAAGAATGATTTGCTCCCTCCCCGAATGGAAGAATGTTGTAAACATAAAAATGAGATAAATTACTATTTTATACTATTTGTTTTATAAAAAGTTATCAATTAAAATACTATTTAATATGCGTAACTTATAATTAATATTTAAAATGAATATTAATTGACAACTTTTAATAGTTGTTTGTTCTCTGTAATATCGTTAATTTCAGTATCATTAGCTTCTAGGATGAAGAAAGAGCAAGAATGTTTAACTATGCAAATTAGACAAACAATTGATAAAGTTATTGAAAATATTCCAATAGATATAAAAGGTACATGAATTCTAGTTGAATTATTATGAATATTTAGTGAATTAGTTGTAATATTTAAATTATTCAAAGATGAATTAGTATTTAAATTAGTTGTTGATAAGAATGGTTGAATAAATAAAGGTACAAATATTCCGGTAAGCGGAAATATTGAGTGTAAAAATTGAAGATATGGTCCGGCTTTTTCTTCCCAAATTTGAATTATTCGAGTGTTGGTAGCTTAGGTAACCATAAAAAAATAAACGTTAGGTTATATATTACTATGTAAATATATAAACAGTATCTAAAATATATACTATATATATATATTTAAATATAGAGTTTGAGTTGAAATCTAATTGCTTACTTATAGATATTGAACAAATACTGAATCCTTGAATAATAAAAATTACTGTCATACCTATAAAATTACGAATCCATGGTATTATACAATTGACTAACCCAACAATAAATAGGCCCAGTGACAGTACGCACAACGAATGAATAAACTTTAACACGTAACCCCATATAACTAATCCTATAATAACACCAATTCCCCTAAATAGGTAAATTGTGGCCATATCTGTTATAGATTTGCTTGCTAACTCGGCCAAGTCGATGAGACAAACTTGAAGACTCGTTATAGATGTCGTCTATATTCCTTTAACTATTTTATATGATATACAAAATTAATAAATAAATCGACATACCAATACTATCATTCCCGCCCACAAGCAATAAGTTTCGATAAATTTGAATGAACATCCGCACCAAGAACCAACTAAAGATCTTAAATTATCTTTAATCATTAGCCTTTTGTTATCATTTCCTTCTTTATTTAATTCATTCATATTGTCGTTCAATAATTGATTTTTTATATTTCAATAAGTTTAAGTATACTTTCTTAATATTTTATAAGTTTTTTAAAAGGAAAAAGGAACAATTTAATAAAGAGGCCATATTTAAATATCAATTTATCTATATATATATATATGAAATTTATATATATATATATATATTTATATTGTATATATTCATGCGTTATATATACAAAACATATATATATATATATATATATAAATTCACTTCTATAGATTGTCTGATTCTTCTTTCAAATATTCAAAATTAGTCATAGTTGTTAGTCATTTACAGGCTTCTTAATCTATTCTAGTTTTTACCACACCCCTCCTTAAACTCGGCACTTTAACTAATGAATAAGAATACCATTTATGTATTTATAAATATATATATATATATATATATATATATATATATATATATATATATATATATTTAGGCGTAAAATCACTTAGTAAAAGAAAATGAAAAGATATTCACTCCTTACTCTCTTTTGTTAGAGTATTTCTTAAAGATACAAACAAACAGTAACATACTAATTAAATAAACTCAAACTGTGAATTCTTTATTTATTTTCTTTTATCAAAGAAAAAAATTTTTGAATTTCTTTTTTTTTTTTTTTAAAAAAACAAAAGAAGAAAAAAAAAGAACATCAAATAAAAAATCAGTTTTTCATAAGTTAAAAAAAATCGTTTACATTTTTTTTTTAAAAAAAATTATCTATTTGTACTAATTAATTAATTAACTAATTAATTTTTTTATTCAAAAAAAAAACAAAAAAGAAGCTATGAGAAGCTGAAGGTATAAACAAAGAAAATAAACTAAAATATATAGATAGGACTACATAAAATAAAACTTCTGGTGTGAACCGTGCGTTAGAATATATATATATATATATATTTATATATATATATAATATTCATAAATTAATAAAACAAATAAATTAAGTTAAAAATTAACACAAAATTAAGGTGCTCGTTGGAAATATGAATACATGAATAAATTATAAATATTAAATACTTCAATAGAACGTAGACTATATATATGCAGTATATAAGGAATTCTTGAATACATTGATATTTCTATAATGTAAATTTTCTTTCTATAAATAGAAAAAGAATAATTTATAAAAGCTTTTTTTGGAAAAATAATTTACTATTTATAAAATTTTAAGAATGTGCTAATTTGCATAAAAGTATTGAATTTCTTATTATTTCTTCCCTTTGTTACAATCGACGTTCTATATACGTTTAATATAAATAATTAAAAAGAAAGAAATCAGCAATAAATTGTACATTTAATGCAGTTTTCTCTCTTTTTTGTTTTTTTGGTTTTTATGTCTTTTGCAGTAGGTTTCTTTTTTAAACTTCACAAATGTCATTCCATTTGTTGTACCAGTTGTCGTAGATTCGTATTAAATTGTATACAAATACAGAACGATAATTGAAAGATGCTATCTTATAAACGCTTTCATCCTTAAATATGAAAATTGAAGAATGATATTGAGAGTAATAAATAGAATCTATTGGTGCCGTTAGAGGTCGCTTTCTCGTTTCAAAGTGAGATCTATCGATAGGGAATTGAGATTCAAAAGAGTTTGTTGAAATGAGAGATGCTCCGGAAGAGTTTGGTTTTAGCTTGAAGACCTATAAAAAACCAAAGAGAATTTGATTGTATAATTTCAATATACGTCCGTTCTGCTTCATAAATGTAAATACTACCTTAGAGCCCCTAATCAGATAGATATTCCTATCTCTAGGGTCAAAATATCCAGCATCAATCTTATCATTTGTTATGCCTTGGAAAACTTGCGATATTAATTTAGGATAACCATTCTCAATCTTCATTCCTAAACTATCATATCTATAAACTTTATAACCAGAGATAAAGTAAACTTTTGATTTAAGGTATCCAGGATACGTCTGAATATAGGCGTCTATTTTAAAATCCTGGGGTAGACCTCTCCATTGTTTGCTGATTTTAAGGGGATCTCCGTACCTCGTCCGATAGGCACTATTCTCATACAACCAGGTTACAGTATTTCTTGTAAAGAAAGTATTATATACAATAGAACCAGACAATAATGGCCTTATCCAATCAAATACTTCATCAAATCGACCTTTGCAAACTCCATGAATATTTTGTACAGCTTGTCTATCTAACTTATGTAACTCAACATAGCCTTCAAAAGGATTAAGATAAATAGCGTACATTATGGAATCGGAATGTGCTGTATGTCGTAGACCTAATACATGACCAAATTCGTGTAATAAAACTTTTACAAGGTCTAGTGAATCTCGCCTCGCCGGATAGGAATACATCTCGTCATCGTCTAAGTGAACAGCCGCTCCATGCCAAGAATGAGCAATAGCTTGGCCATGCCCATCAAAACGAATGGGACACGCACCATGTTTACCTATCAACATTCGTATATTAGTTGTAATCGCTTAATAACTACTACAAGCAAAACAAAAACAAAGAGACAAGGGATTCATTAATTAGTTAATGAATTAATACATTTCTCAATTTTTTCACCCTATAGTACCTATCATTAATGTAATAATCATTGGAGAGAATATGTTCCCATTTTAATTCTACGATATTTTCTTAGTAAATAGTTTATTTCCCTTTTAATCAAGGAGCAAAGAAATAAAGACAGATATTAGTTTATTTTCTTTTTTCTTTTGCCTCTTAGGTCTCTCTCACTCTCCAGGTAGTGTTTCGTCAAAAAGCAATCAAAACAGTCTTAAGTACACACCAAGCCGGATTATAAGCATAAAGCAAACAGAACAACAATCATAGTACAAAAAAATATATACCTTTTCCAAAACTGATCTCAATATCAATATTCCTAATATCCGAACGAGTATCTTCACGGAAAGTTAATGGTGTAACTTCCGCCCATAACCTTAGAGCGTTATTTATCGCGAATCTGACGATGTATTCTGATATGTACTTGCTCTTTGTCACATACCTCCACTTAATAATCTTTCTATTATAAAAGACTTTTTGACCGGGTTTAATAGAACCGTTACCCATGCTCGACCTTTTAGACCTGGAAACAAGGTCTTTCACCTCGTCTTCCGTCTCCATATCCTCATCGCTGTCACCGCATCTTTTCTCCCTTATTTTCTTTAGAGTTTCGTCATCGATAATGCCGTCTTTTGAATGAATATGATATCTTCTCTGGTAGCTTTTTAGTGCATTTTTGAACGTTTCGGATTTGATATCGAGGTGGTTCGATTGAGTAAGATAGCCGTATTTTTGAAGGTAATTCTATTGAAGATTAGAGCAAAGTTAAATATTTAAAATTGAACAGAGAGGTAGAAAGAAAACAGAAAAGAAAATCTCTGGCAGAAAGAAAAGGAGGGCAGGAAGAGAATTGACAAATTCAAGTACAAAAAAAAAAGATATTAAACATTTAGACAAACGGTTAATGTCATGTATAATAGAGAAAAAAAGTGACGTTACACGTTTTAAATTATTCAAAAGCGTTACTTACCAGCGCCTCGTCCTGCTGTTCGCGAATCGGCGCCGAACTGATAAGAAAAACAAACAGCGGGCAGATAACCGTTGTCAATCGTCGATCGGTCATCAATCGTTCTTGTAGATCGATCTGTCGAGCATGTCTGTCTCCACTTGAGAGAAAAATTCCAAATGTTGACTAAACTTCTTATCAGACTATATATATAAGATTATTTCGCGATTCTCCGATTTGCATAAATCAACACCGCCTTCTCACGTTCTCATTTTGCATAATTGCATAAGACTGTTCATATATAGGGCTTTGATAAGTAACCTATACTAACCTACCATCTCTCATTCTCTCGTTTTTACATATTGTGTCGTCTTCCCACTCTCTTTCACTGTCACTTTACCCGTCGCCCTCCCCCTCCCCTATCTCTTTCTCTTGTTCCCATTCTTTTTGTTGTCTTCATTTATTCAACCCCATCTAACAATCTCTTAGTGATCTGTATCATTTTTTTCTCTTTCTCTGTCTATCCCTATCTCATTTTTTCGTGTACGCGTCTATTTCCCATTCTCTCTCTCTCTCTCTCTCTCTGTCTCTCTTTTCAGTGCCTTTTGTTACTTTCGTTGTCATCATATATAATAATTAGTAACATTAATTATCGAATAGGATCTTAATATATTATTTTTAGATTGATGTCAATTATCTGAACTAATCAATAGAAATAAATTGATAATATCTAATTACACCTGATTATGTTAATTGAATTAATTTATTTCAAATGTAAAAACAGCTACTTAACTAATTTAATTAATATAAAGAATAAATCCACTATTAATATAGAGTAGTTTGTCTACATAATTAAAACTACATCTTAATTCTTATATAAACTTTATATTGAGAATTAAAAGGACATTTCTAGGAGAAATGTAAAGAGAGAGAGAGAGAGAGAGAGAGAGAGAGAGAGACATAGAGGAAATGGGAGTGGGGACTTAACCCCACCCAATTTATACTACTAGCACCTTTTTCAAATTAGCTGCTAGATCTTATTCTAGCAAGAGATTTTATAGAAAATACTATACATAAAGTATATATAAAAACCTATAAATATAAATACAATTCATCTTTCTCAAAAGTTGAACTGTATAGGCTTATTATTCAATTTCAATCTTCCCATTATGAAAAATCACCGAAACGTTTGTTAAAGCTAAATTGTAATCTATAAAATAAGACATTCAGCCTATATAGGGGTAAAGACGGATAGAAAGTGTATTTGTATATATAAATAGATATTATTATATAATTCTTTTTCTTTCTTATTAACACAGACAGTAAATATTTATTAAGTTAAACTAAAAATTAATAATTTTAATGAAATAGATATACCTTACGATTCTTAAATTCTGTTTGTCTTTCTCTTAGTTTTCCTCTTTTCTTTTCTATTCTTATTCTCTTTTTACTAGAACGAGTTTCTTCCGTAGATGGTTGCGAACTAGCGTGATCTGTCAATAGAACGGCAGATTTAAGCCTTTAATCTGGCCGCCCCCAGCTGAGAATATTAGGCCTAGTTTTGTGGGAGGCTTATTGCTGAGTCACTGTTGCAACTGAACACCGTCTAGATCAATATTGTTTATGTTTTTCCTTGAATGAAAAAATCATCGTAGCCCTAATGCTCAAAGGTCATCAAAATTTCATGGAAGTAAGAAAGTCACGTGGCCTAAGAAAAAGAGTATTTAACAGAAAGAAGGATGAGTATGAATGACAGTAAAGGTGAATAAAATAAGAAAAAGTAATATTACAGATAGAGAAAAAGAGTAAAATGAATAGGTAGTGAGTTTAATGCAGAAAACTAACATATTCTTATAATTTGTACTATTAAACAAGAAAAAGATATTAATTAAGACCTCATTAAGAGATCTGCCACTATTTTCCAATTGTCCAATTAATAGTCTATAATGGATTAAAAACGGATGAATTTTAATACCACTGTATTATAGGCTTAAACAGTAATCTATTCTCTCATTATAATTAATAAAAAAGCTATAATAAAGATAGAATTCGTAAAATAAAAAATATGTGAAAGTAATTGAGCAGTTTTTGAGAATTGGGTAATAAAAATCTTTGTATCTCATTTAGATCATTTCTATCTAAATCTATTAGCTTTCTCACTCCCCCCCCCTCCCCCCTCTCTCTATCACTTTGAAACATTTTTATATTATTCAGCTACTATTCGTTCAAGCACCATTTAGTTTATTTTTTCAATAGAGTAAGAATTATCTTTAATTTAATCGGCCAAACTTAATAAGAAAAGTGAAAAAAAAACGGAAAGATTTCGGAAGATACGTTTCTCTTCTTTCTTTTTCACTAGGCTTAAGTAGGAATAAAATAAAATATTTTTTTGAATGAATCGAACTATTCATGAAATTCTTTTAAATCTTATTGATTCGTCTCTTAACAAGAGCAATCGTCTCTTAAAACTTTTGAATAAAAACAAAAAGAAAGTTCATTATATTTTCGGTTAATTACGTAATCTTTGGGAGCAGATGATCTTTAGCGTTAAGCTCTTGTTAACTACCAATATATATCAATACTGTGATCTGTATATATGCACTTTTATGTTGTACATACAATATATATCAATTTTAGTTTTTCTGCTGAAGTGGAACGCTTCAACGTCCGATCTATTACCTGGAAAACAGTCATTAATAAAATTACACAGTTTGTCACTGGACTATATTGATCTTTTTAGAGTTTTTTTAAAGCTAATAAATAAAAGAAATAAAGAAACAAAAGTCACATAAAAAAAGGAGAGAGAGAAAGAGAGACATAGATTTATTGGTTAGCCTTGAACTTTAAAAAAAAATAAATTCATTTTAAGAAAAAGAAGACAGTTAAATATAATAATACTATATATAAAGAAAAAGAAACGCCCACACAGATTGCATGAACGTGGTTGAATAAGATTGCCTCTTAAATCTATAATTAATAATCTATTGAAATCGCTCGTGAATTGGAAAACGAGATAAAAAGAGGGAAACTTTTCATACTTTTTCATAAAATGGAATATATGGTTTTGAACTATATATTAGCTATACTTCATTTTAAATATTGATATCTTCCATTTAATAAAGACTTATTTAATGAATTTGTTGGGTAATAGAGAAAAAAAAAATCAAATGACCTTGAACACTAAGTTGATGATCTTCAAAGGTGATTCCTAATTAAAAAATCAATATTGTCTGGTAAATCAATCAATTAAACAAGGTCAAAACTGATCGCACGATACAATGCAATAAATATTAAAGAGCCGACTTTCGAAACAATATTTTGTTAGAAAGAGCTATCAATTTTTTTAACTGATTAATTGATCTCTCTTTTTCAGCTAAAGATTAAACATTTATATAAATAAATAAATATGAAATGTATAGAATAAAGAGGGATTATATATATATATATATCAAAAAGAATACGGGAAGGAGAATGAATGAAAGAGACAGAGAGAGAAGTAATATATGCAGTATATATATATATATATATATATTTGTGTAAAAGGATGAGGATGATGAGAAGGGAGAGTGGGAGAGAAATTGAATAGACATTCATTACTATAAAATATTTGTTGATATTCTATCTATTTCAAACATTAGGCGCCTACCCGATTATCAGGTCGTTTTTAATTTCGGCTCAGCATATATTTACCGTTGTATAACTTTTATTTATTTAATTAAAACAATTTATGATTCTCATGAAGTTAGAATTCAAAAAAAATTTTTTTTTTGATTTATTTATAATATTAAAGAATAAAAAATATATTCAATGACTTTGTAATAAAACTAGAATAGTCGACATTTTCATTCCATTGTCTGCCTTGACAACGTAATTGGGAGGTTTTCTATAATGAACGAGTTTTCTTATTATTAGAATTATTATTAGTATTGGGAGATATATTAGCTAAATATATTTTTTAATATCGATAGTAGATCCATCTACTGGTATTCTTATATATGCTGTATTTCACATCTTCTTACTGTTAATTGTTTTTGTTTATACGTTTAATTTCTCTATCTAATAAAAGAACGATTAAATTTTACTATACATATGATAAAAACCTATAATCTTATGAATATACTATACGTATGTAAATAACCGTAGTATGAGTTAATAAGATAAAGGGATTAAAATTGCCGCCATAGACATTTTTCCTTACCCCGGATACCTAAGGCTAACCCTTGTCGAATTACGCTGGCAGTGCGCAAAACAAACTAAAATAAGTCATTTATTTACATAATGTTACTAAGTTTATTAATTTACATAATAAAAGGTACCAGGGTGTGAGTTTCTCCAATTTTAGTGCTTTTTTTTTATTTCCTGGAGGCTCTTTGTTTAACCAGGTTTTTTCCAGATGACTTATCGATTTCTAATTTTTGCTGTTGGAATAAAAACTTGTTCACTATTTCAAAAAACTCTACTACAATAACTATCCTTAAGAATTAAAAAGGAACTAATTATTTAAACTAGTTAATCAATCTGCTATTCTATGTTTTGACTATTCAATAATGATTATTGTCAGTATTATTGGATTATTACTATTACAAAAATAACCTCTTGGTATGGGCTCTCCTCTGTTTTATAGATCGTGTTAATGTCCTCTATCGTTCCATTTTTATTATTCTGATTCATATTATTCGAGTGTGTAGCGTCCTCGTTCTTCGCATGATCGTGTAAAATAGGATTTGCATTTTTTTTGCACCTCTTAACCTCAATTTCTTCATCAATGATATCGTTGTTACTCTAAGTGAGCAAAAAAAGACCGTTATATTTTTTACATGATTTAAAGAAATTTTTTACCCTTTTTTTTGCGAATGATTTTTTTATGGTTTTATGAACAATGGCTGCATCTTTGTTACCGTCATTAAAATCTGTATTTGCTTCAGTTATCGGATTTTCCTTTTCAGTCTTTTCTGTTATTTTATCACTTTCAACGGATATATTCATTTTACTGTCTAACTTCACTTTTTCTACTTTATCGCAAATTTTGTTAACTTGCTCATCTTCAGATGAATATCTTATGTCAATATTAATATCCTTCACATTACACTCAGAGTCTATAGGCTTTACGTTAAAAATATGTTCGTTTATATGAAATGAATTATAACTTCCATCTGATAGGAACACTTTTAATTCACCGCAAACGAAGACATAGCTTTCATTTTCAAATCGTCTTAAACATAGAGATTGAATTTCCTTCGATAAATCTTTAAAAAAAATATTCATCTTCTTGAAAATATTCAATATATTTCTCTTTTATATTCAAAGAGGGTTTATGTTATTTAATTAAGATAAATTTTGCTAACTTATACTTCTCACTTTCATTTTTAATAGTTTTATACTACCCTTTTGAGACAATATTCATTACTCAATTGAATGCCTGGTTTTTGTTTACATACTCATAAGATAGATCGTTTATTACAATTGAGGAAGTATATAAGAAAAATTTATTATATCTATCTTTTTTCAGGCTTTTTTCAATGTATTACAAAATATTTCTAGTTTATTAATTGAATATAGTAATTATTTAGTACTTGAATGCAAATAGCTCTTTCTTCGTTTTGCAAACTTTCCTCTTTTAAATTTTCCTTTAGCAAAACCATAAAAGACGAAGCCCTTCTTTATTCTCAGCTGAAATATGTATTAAAAAAACTTTAAGTATTTATTATCGCAAATATATCAAATTTCTATTTTGAAAAGTTATGAAAATATTTTCAGGATGGAAGCTTTTAAGCTTATAAAAACACTTTAATTAGTAAAGAATGTGAATATACAAAAACCTTATTTTTAACACGTAATCCATTTGAGGCCTTCTCAGAGAGTTTTAGATTCTTTACAATAGGCCCATCCATAGTTATTGCATCTGATTGTTTTCTCTTTTTCAGATTTATTCTGGATTTTTCTTTCGTCTTGTTTTTATTCAGAGTTTTTTGATGAGCTGAAGTTGCAAAATTGAATAATTCATCTACAGATTTATCCTCATTATCATCTATTCCTAAACTTTTACGTTTGGTATTGGATATCTGAAATTTAGTTTAAAGTCAATATTTTAACTTCTTAAATAAATCGTAATATTTATAAATAGCCATGAGAATAGAAAAATATTATTATCCAAAAAGAAGAAAATAGTAGTCAGCATACTTTTTCAATTTTTTCAGAATGTTCTTCAAAAGGAACATTATTTGCTTGATCACGTTCATTATTGCTTTCTTTATCTTTTTCCAATGAAAGGTTTTCTGATTGATCATCATAATCACATTCGATATTTGAATTCGATGAAAAAAAAATATGGTCATCTATTTCTAGTGAAGTATTTCTACCATTAACGTGTATATTGAGCAATCCATTTACGTGATAATATTCACTTCTTGGTAATTTCATTCTGCAAACTTCTGCTATCTTCTTACTAATTTCTAAAGCAAATAAGTCCATTATTCAAAATTCTAAAGTTTAAAGCCAATTAATTTCTTTTATAATTAAAAGAATCCAAGCAAGACTGGAGAGCGGAGGAATAATTTTTGGCACCAAATTATATTACCGCTCATATTATCGCTCATAACTTTTATCAGGAAAGTTATTTAAATATATATACACAATACGGACAATTCTTTCTAATTTTTATTAATATATAAATATATATACATATATACATTATAAATATATATAAATATATATATATATTGTCTACGTGCTAAAAGTTTTTTTTTTAAACAAGAAGATCCATCTAGCGGATGACGCTGAAAGCATTGAACTTTCAAAGTCAATAATCATATTAATTAACAAGTAACAATTATTGTTTTTATTAAAAATATATACTATTGAGCTTTTTCTTGAAATTCTACCCCAATTAATATATATTCTCTTGTTTTGGAAAGGAAAGAAGCTTTTTTACATTTAGATACATATAAAAATCAAAGGAATATCAACATTAAAATTATTAAACCTTGAATTAACTCAGATATTTTTCAATATTTTTGTTGATGTAACCCTTAAAAATGTTAAAAGTTTTAAAACAAGCATGACTTAATAACATTGGTAAGAGGAAACAGAGATGGCGCAAGTATTTTATCTTTTATTTTCAATCTACACATATTTTAGCTATACCGTTTACTCTATTCGGATCACGCTACAGCAGCGATTTGCCTCACCGTTAATAATTTTGCTTCGTTATTTCATCTTTATTATAACATAACAATGAGTTCATCATCTACTAAGTCAGGTCAAAGAAAAAACAGATGGGCTATTGATTTAAATCGTAAAGATAAGGCTATTGTATCTTCCAATGATTTGCAACTTCTCGGTTATAATGAACGCCAGCCAGGCTCCGATTCTAGTTCACGTGAAAATAACCCTGATTTAATAGCAAAGGTTTGTTCAATATTTTAAGTTATTCAACGATAATCAATAAATACGTTCACATCTTCAGAAATCATGGGATATCGCTTTGGGTCCAGTCAAACAAATACCTATGAATGTTTTTTTGATGTGGATGGCTGGTAATTCTATATCCATCTTTCCCATAATGATGGTTGGCATGATGTTCATTAGACCTATTCAAGCTATGCTAGGAGCACAACAAAGTAAGCAGTTAATAACGAATTACTTTATATGTACATTCAATACAGTGTATACATTATATTGACAATCAATTTTTTCCTCCTTATAAAAGCATTCAAAATGATCGAAGGCCAGAATGAATTGTTGCAAAAAGCAACTTACATAGTCGGGAATTTGCTTTGCTTAGGCTTAGCAGTTTATAAATGTAACAGTATGGGACTTTTACCAACTCATCCATCGGATTGGCTTGCCTTTATCCAACCTCAAGAGGTAAGAATAATAATGAAACATACAATTTATGTATAATAATCCAAAAACTTTCTTTTAACAGAGAGTTGAATATTCGAGCGGTGGAATTTTGTTATAATTTACAATTCTAGATTATTAATTGCCTTTTTTGTCAATTCGTTAATTTTCTGTACATTGTGTCTCCAAATGAAATACAATTTATATATTTTAACTAATAAATAACAAAGAATATTCAAACTTCGTCATATATATTAGCTCTTAAGTAGTTGTATAAAGTTTAGGAATTTGATTAAGTGGACTAAAGTAAAGAAATATCATTACTCTTCAGGTAACCTGCAAAGTAATTACTTACTCCGTACAACATTCAAAGATCGAATAATATTTACCATTGTATTTTTGGTCAAATTTGATTGACATACTATTTTTAATAAGTTTATTATGTTTGCCTAACGTATCAATAAAGCTTTCTAACGAATCAAGTAGCCATTCTCCTGTGTGTGAATTTGTATTTTGGAACTATTCCAATAAATACTTTCTATTTATAAAGGTAAAGTTTTATCAAAGTAGGTTAATTAAATGTTAAAATAGGACAAGATTTTATTTTCTGAAAAGATGAGTATAATAAAAAGCATAAATGAATAGAGAGAATCAGATATTAAAATATCTTAAGGAGATTCTTAATATACAATAAAAACTTTCATAGTAAACTCCATTTACTGTTATTAACTGTCATTCGGTAATCTCAATACGGTATTTATCTTAGAACAAATAGAGAAAAATTCATTTCGGCGAAAAGTTGTTTTGACAGGCATAGAAAGCTTTAGAAAAGAAGCTGTGAAAAGCTTTTTATTATATTTTAAGCATTACTAAAGAGATTTGCATAATCTACTGAACTTCATTCTATTTCTTTGATTTTAACGGCTTCTATCGCTACTGCGTTTCGTGATCTAGTTATAATTTCTTTAGTTATAGTCATATTTTAAGTTGTACTTGGTCCTTAAAAAAATTCATTACATGGGGCTGTTGATAGAAGAAACTGATTACACTCTGATGTTACCTTATTTAAAATCTTCAGAAAAGGATTCAAAGATTTTAATTGCTATTTTACTTAAGCTAAACCCTTACTATCTATTCTTTTCAATCTCATATTAGGCTTTTTCACTGATAAAAATATATCAGATAGAATGCAATATTTATGGACATCACACTATTAATATTCTGAGCGAAATCATTTCGATTTTTACGAAATATGGCAGCCTCCTTGAGACGATTTTGGCAACCGTCTCTGAATTTATTTCAAAGAATTGCAGGTCTATCTTGTTTAATATTTAATGCCATTTAATTACCTGACTCTGTCAAACTAAAAAATGCAAGTGCTAAATATTATTAATACGAATCCACCTTTTTCCTCTTATTTATATTGAACGATAATATCAAAAGTTTATAATGTGTCTTGACTCGAAGACTAACTATTTTACTTTTATAAATCTAGGAAATAGAACTATTTCCACTTCCTGCGTGAGACAACAATATTCAGAGGCACCAAAAGATCGCAAAAGTAAGCTTGCTATTGAATTCACCATCTGCCTACTTTTATAACTTTTAACTTAAATAGCAACGGTCAAACCTCAAGACATAACAACTCATGAAACACTTAAAGAGTTTGGACGATATGTTGGCTCTTGCATGCCCAAATTCGTGGAAAAAGTTGAAGTTAGTAATAAGAAATATAATATTACTTTTACTCTCATTATAACTATATATAAACAAACATCTTAAAGGTTTCAAATGGCAATGAATTAGATGTTATGATACATCCCGATGGTGTCGTTCCTGTTCTGTCCTTTTTAAAAGATCATATGAATGCCCAGTTTACAAATATTGTCGATATAGCAGGAGTTGATGTACCAACCAGTGAGTTAAAACTATGAAATATTCGGAATACTTAGACTAATACTTTTTTTTTTTTACTTTTAGGGCAGTACCGTTTTGAACTTGTGTATATGCTATTATCTCTACGTTTCAATGCAAGAATCAAGGTTAAAACTTATACGGATGAATTAACCCCAGTGGATAGTGCTGTAAGTGTATTTAATGGTGCCAATTGGTACGAAAGAGAAGTGAGTAATTTAATTCGAAAAATTATATTAGACTATATTCACAAACCTTACGAACAGATATGGGATCTATATGGTGTCTATTTCGCCAATCATCCAGATATGAGAAGAATCCTAACAGATTATGGATTCGAGGGTCATCCTTTCAGAAAAGATTTCCCAATTCAAGGCTACGTTGAGGTATTGACTTTTTATTGATTCATAGGACATTTATAAAACAAATAATAAACAATTTCAGCTACGTTATGACGATGAAGTTAAGAGAGTTGTGGCCGAGCCGGTTGAAATGGCTCAAGAATTTAGAAAATTTGAGTACAATTCCCCATGGGAATCGTTTCCAAAATTTCGAGCAGTCGAAGATGTTCCATTAGCTGAAAGTGAAACTAAGAAGATCGAGGAAAAGAAATAAAAACTGATTAAACCAGAATTTAGAAAATAAAGTTGAAATATTGTATATTAAATAAAAAAGAAATAAAGACGTGTGACACGATAAAGTTCTTTCTCTAGACAATATTATAATAATGACTAGCGCGTAAAGGAAGAATGTGGAATGCTATTATTTTAAATCGATATCGCCATCATCTTCTTCACACGGAATAGAAGAGGCCTCTTGTCCTCCGCTACTTCCGCTTGCTCCTTTCTTTGATGATCCAGGAAACTTGATTTCTCGCGATAGAATGACGTACTGAAATAGACCAAATTACTATGATATTGATCTTAAAATTAGAGGTGACTTACGTCATTGTCCATATTTCTAACTTCGTGGTGGTTAATCACCTCCAAAGCCGAGTCATAATCGCTGTTTTCATAGGCTGTAAGAAGTTTTTGGGCCAAGCAGGCCTCTAAAGATTCGGCAACAGCTTCATCTGCCCTCATACATGCTTGAAGAGCTTTGTCAGCAGCAACGGTGTCTGCTCTAGCAATATGTACAAGAACCGAATAGAAAGCAACTTTGGGTAAGAGCCCATGGTGATCGAAAGTTCCAAGAAAAGTCGCTTGTTGCGCTAGAGCTGACGACGCTTCGTCGAATCTATATAAATAACACAAGGTTAAATAATCCAAGTATTCAATAGTTCTACTTTAAGCTTTTACTTTTTTATCTTTACTGCATTTCTAGCGGCACTTCCCAACATTTCAGCGGCTACTCTATTGTTATCTTGCGCCTATTTGAAAAGAGTGAATTAATGAATTAGGCACTTGTATTTACCAAATTAAAGCATTTGGCCTATGTATCTAACCTCGGCCACGTCGCAGGCTTTCTTGAACAACTTTATTGCTCTTTCAGGTTTATTCATTTCTAACATTCTACACGATAGAAAAGGATTTACTTATTAAGTTTATAAAAAAGATTTACTTATTTATCTTTTAAGAAGAATTTTTTTTTTTTATTACTTTGCCACTTTCTCAAGTGCAATTCTTCCTGTCTCAGGACTTCCATATTCAACGTATAAACCGCAAGCTTCTTCGACTAAATCGGCCGATTTCTCCAAATTTTTTAAATCTCTATAAAGTCTTCCCGCCTCTTCTAAAGCTTTTGCGGCGTGAAACATACTACAAAAGAATAAAACATAGAAACCTTTTAGAACTTAACGGAAAAAAGTTGACAAATAGATAAATAATAAATTATTTAAAAAGAAGGAAAAAACGTTTACAAAGTAATAACTTTTTTAAAAAGGAAAAATAAAAATTTAAGGAATTAAGGTAAATAGGATTTTTTTTTATAAAAAAAAGAAATATTATTAATTTGTACTAACTCTTTGTTTTTTTTTCTTTCTTCTGAGCATTTTATATAACACGATGCTGCTTGTTCTAAAGCTTTAGCATTCCTAAAGGCTATTGCTGTTATAAAAATAGTTAATTAATATAGTTTGATTAATTCAACATAGAATTGTACCTAAACGCTATTCTCGCTAATGGATCAAATAACAAAAAACTGGGTACAGTGTAAACGCGAAATAATCGACATATCAAGTAGACATAGTGTGGTAAAGGAAAAATAGCTAAGTAAACGCCTTTGGCCAATACAGAAATCGTTTAGCTTCTTTGTACACAGCAACCACTTGGCGTCGCAGCCAGCGTTCGTCAACACTTTCAATAGATAGATTAGGCATTCTCCTTCTAGAATATGATATAATATGTTTCTTTAAAATAATCCTGCAGGTCCTTCCATGACGTCTTTATTACCTCAAGTTTTATCAATTCGGGCGGCCAATAAACACCGTCCCGTTTCCCAAGATTTGGTTCGCCGTCAAGAGATTTTTTATGGACCTCAACCGGGAACAGTTTTTACAACTGGCCGCTCGAATACATGGTTTGGCCGATGGTATCCCTCTCCCTCAGTATTGGCTAAACGAAATCCTCAAACCCCGGCAACCAGTAGATGGAGCACAAGACAAGAACCTTCAAAGTTTCCACCAGCAATTAAACAACGCCGAAAACAAAAAGAACGACCAGAATCTTCTGTTATTAAGTTAAGAATGTTGGATTCAGACGGAAATATTCAACAAGCTATAGAGGGCCGTCTACAAAGAATGGAATTAACAATGACACCATGCTACTGTATAGCTGCACCTTTTCGCCAAAGGCAGACAAATGAATTGACAAATATATTTAAAATGCCTTTTGTTCAAGAATCTAATGTTACAGTAAAACAATTTCCAGCTGATATATATTCAAGAACCGAAACTGCTAAACAAGATTTATCTACAAACTTAAGACGCCTAGAAAAGCCGCGGCCAAGAAAGTTTAGTATACCAGAAAGTCTCTTAACAAGTCGATCAAAGACGGAGTCTAACATTACTACTAAACTAGAAGGGGAAAAGAGATCAGTTCACTTTAACGTACATCATGAAATTCGCGAATATGAACCATCTAAACCTGTTGCAGTTTCTAGTTTACGCTTTTAATATTTTTATATTATTCGTTCAATTCCTTGCATGATCCTAAACGTACGATTGAAAATACACTATTCACAAACCTGCTTTTTCGTATTCTGATGACGCGCCTTCGTGATCAGGTTTCCACTTTAGTAATCCAGTTTTCAAACTGTGTTAAACAATTTCAATATAGGTTTGGATATTTATTAATTTATTATGGCAAATAGAACCACCAAATATCGCTCACAATTGTGAATTAAATATTATCTTACCGTCTAAATAATAGCAAAGTTAACCTACACCTATGATGCTTAAGTTATTTATAAGATTTTACTGACCATTTTTCGGCTTGATTAACATGCTCTATTGCTTCAGCTGTCTTTCTGTCTAAATTCGACATGATTATGATGAAATTGAAATAAACTGGTAGAATTACGAAATAGTCATGTGAGTTCAACTAATAAATTTGATAGCAGTTTCTTCAACTTGGTACTTAGCTGTTGCTTATATACACTTATTTTTTCAGTATAATAAAGTTTATTTTATATAGAACGACTTAACAAGATCATTGTAGTGTGCATAATTTTTTTTATATTATATAGGTTCAACTTCACAAAAGTTTATAGCGAAGGTCCAATTATCTTTCTGTTTTAATTGGTCTTGTCTTTTTTGCTCGATTTCAGCTTATTGTAGATCATTGGGAAAGCTTCTGTAAAAATTAGAGTTCCAGAAAAAACACAGGCCGTTCCAATCCAATGATAAAATGTGAAAGGATTCTTAAAGTAGAAAATGGAAAATATCAGAGACACAAATTTACGCAGAGTAACAACTAAAGTGACTGTCAAAGATGAACATTCAGTAGTTAATACAAAAACATTATTAATACAAATATATTGCGTAACAGCGTTTCCTAGTAAGAAGAGCAATAAACAAGGGACTCCATAGTTGACACCTGGTAACGTTATAGGTGCTGTAATAAAAGAAAAAATTAATAAGAACTTATATATTACTTATATAAATGATAGAAGAATGTTATAAGTTTACCTGATTCACTAAATTCTTTAAAATGATACACTATATCATTATAGAAGAAAAGAAATAGCGGCAGTGGTAGAGCATGCTGTAAAATGATGGTTATATTAATTCGTATAGAAATAGATAATCGTAAATTATTTACATTAAAGAATAGAGCTTCTCGTGGATGCTTTCCGTGAGTTTTATATATTTTCTCTTGGTACAAGCCCATAAGAGCTGACATGGCCAATGCAAATATTAAGAGACAAATACCAATTCCCATTGTAAAGACGTCGCCTGATTTAGTTTCGTGGATATTCGAAGCAGACATTATAGTGCACAAAACTATTCCAACAGTAATAAGGAGAACTGAAAGATATTTGCCTATTTTGTACGATTTTCCCATAATCAAAACTCCTAGAATCATATTGGCTAATAAAGAACCCTAAAATAGATTATAATAATAAAAAGTGATTGCAAAAAGTATCTTGAAACTTACAGCCCTAAATATCATATGTAATGGCATTGGTATATCATACTTTAACGCCAAATTATTAACGATTTGAACAACTCCAAACAAAGAAACTATTTTTATATAAACTCTGTAAAATTTTAAAGATTATGTAAAATTTTGAAACAGAAAAAAAGGACTCATACTTTATGGGTATAACTGGTTTCACAGTTCCAAACTTTGATGTAAAAATCAATCCTTCGAGGAAAATTAGAAAGAATTGCGCAAATGTAACAATATTTCCACAGCCTGGTTTTTCCCTATTTGAAGCATGCCGAGCGATATAACAGTAATGTAGAATTAAGTTTACATATTATGTTTACCTTGCTAACAACTCCAGGAAAACTACGTTGCTGCAGCATCCGACAAAGACAAATATAATTGCCCAAAGAGGAGACATGATTGAATGTTAGTGATCTGAAACCTTTTAGGACAAGTCGAACATGCTATTTAAGTCGACGTATTCAACTGTATTACAACGCCCTCTATAATGTTATATTGACGTCATGAAAAAAGATTCTCAACATTTACCAAGTTGTATTAAAACACAATAACAGTAAGAGTAATTCTATATTTCTAATCATTTCATCTGTCATTCATTAGTAAATGAATTTACATATCTTCAGTTGCCCATCTATATCCTATCTCTTCGTTGGCTTCCCTGGCATTTGCTTTATTGAATAATTCATTTTCAAATCCATTAGATCTATCAAGACCATCCCATCTGTACCCAGGTTGTATGCCGAAACGATTTATTGGAGGTGGGGGACCATTATACTTTGGACGAACAGGTTCTTTGTTCTTTATACGTGTTTTTTCTTTCTTCTTTTTTATAAACTTTAACATTGGGTCACCCTCTCTGTCTTGTGATTTAAGGTATTCTTCTAAATCTGCATCATTCTTATGTCTTGCAAATTCTTTTTTCGATTCATGAATGGCATCTTTAATGTTGTTATCATGTCTTTGTTGTTGCACTAATCCCTTATTCCATAAAGAATATTTCTTCTTTAATTCTTCTTCTAACTTCTTCTTAGCGTCGTCTTTTTCATTTTCTTTTGCTAAATTTCGTTTCTTTCCCTCTTTATCCCTGAATACTGTTTTTGCATTTTTTCCTAAAATATTTTCATCAGCAACATTGAATGCTGCAGTTTCTCGCTTTCGAAGATCATCCAATTCCATTCGTACATCCTTTGCAGATGATAAACCAGCTTTTGTGCCTGCTAATGTCTTTGTCATTTTAGTTTGTTGATTTCTTCTTCGGGGTGGAGAATTATCACTGTCCTCATTCACATCTCTTTTCCTCTTTGAACGAGGAGGCGATATGTCATCTTCATTATTTCTTTTGCGCCTACGAGCAGGGGATTGATCACTATCGCTGTCATATCTGTTTCGTTCAGAACGGGTATGCGATGAGTCTTCGTTTCTTCCTCGTCGTGGAGGAGACTGATCACTGTCGTGCCTTTTTCGTCCAGAGCGGACAGGTGATAAATCTTTATTGTTACCTCTTCTTGGAGGAGACTGATCGTTATCACTATCACTATCATACCTCTTTCGAGCTGCTCGAGGTGAATTATCACTATCAGAATCATATCTTCGTCTTGGAAGAGACTGATCGGAGTCACTGTCACGTCGTGTGCGCTTGACTCTCTTGCTGGAATCATTACTTTGTGATCTTCTGCGTTGTCCTAAACTAGTTTCTGTGTGTCTGGGAGGGGTTACTGGTTCTTCCTTTATTCTTATATTTGAGCTGGTGTTATCTGAAGATAATTGATTGGATGGGGATCTTGGTTCTTCTTTAATTTTTGGGCTTTGATTTGGTTCAACTTTCACAAAACTATTAGTAGCCTGATCAGTTAATCGACGCCATTTTCCACTCTTTATTCTTTCTTCAAGCTTGACGTCTTCCGGACGATCATCTATTACAGCAACAATTTGAGGAGTTTCTTCTAACGCAACTACTTCGTCTTCATGTTCATCCTCTCTGCCAACAAATTTATCCACTGAAAGAGTATTATCCACAATTTTCATTGTCGCTTCTTTCACCCCAACTTTCTTTCTCCTTTTTTTTTTCTTATCATCAGGCCCACCAGCTAAATAACGTTTTAAATACTCTTCTTTACTCACGGATTCCGCCATTTTAGGAATATTTAGGACATCGTAAAACGCAGGAGAAACGTTTTTGTTTTTTGTACAGCGCCAATACTTAATGAATATAATTGCTATAATGTACCCTCTAGCAATTAAAATATTTGCAATTATAATTATTTTCTTAAGCAACCAATTTATTCATAAGTAGACAAATTACAAACAATGAATAAGTTAAACAAGAATAAGTTTTATTTTTGTACAATAATACAATTTGCTGATGTATGAGGAATCTTTATTGTTTTGAAATTTTCATCATCAATGTTCCTAGGGGCCCAGAGGGTAATTACATTAGTAGGTAATTTAGCAGAATATTATCTTTACAATTATTCACATTTGCATTATATTGTGCAAATTGTAAATTTTCAAGATGTGGATCGGAGCTGATTACTGCAAAAAATTAAACTTTAAATTTACACATTAAAATACAATTTTATTACAAATCACGTTCAAATCTTTCAGAAACTTGTATTGCATTCTTTCCTAAACCATATATACAGTATATATATATATATATCCCTAATTGCCGAACCTCCAGCAAGATTACAAATCTTACTCCGATGCTTTACAAAATTTTCTTGAACAGTTTTCGTGAGACGATTATCATTGAATTTAATTAATGAAAAGCGATTGATTTCGATTTCACTTTAGCATTTACTTGTGACTTTAAAATATATGAAATTTAAAATATGGACATCGTTCGAGTTAAGGGCGAAGCATATTTCGTTGTATTGCAAAATAATAGCATAACGCAGATTTTTTTAAAGCCTGTTAGTAAAGTTGAAAAAAATGATTGATTTGCGCGTAGTAATATATAAATATAGATCATTCAACTTTTGAGAAAGATCTATTCTTTCACAAAAACTAAAAATATATACGATAACATGCATATTTGTAATAGAAAGAAAATCCCAAGCAATAATCAATAGTTTGTTTCTATGTAGTATAAATAATATTATGAGGTATTAGTAGCTGGCACTAGCATTTAAAAATATTCAACTACATACACGACCGACCCCGCACCTACTAAACTATTTACCTGACAGCTTTCATCAATAAACTGAATTAGTTTACTAGGTGACAACGTCTAAGTATTGGAATAATCTGGTCATTTGAAAGATGAACATTATATAAAAAAGGGTGCACTATTTGAAATAATAACCAACCTAAAAAAAGGTAAGAAGTCTATGTTTTAGAATAAATTACAAAATAGATTTTGTAAGGTTTATTGAAAAAACAATTAATGCAATAGCAAATATAAGACTTATTCCAATGTATATTTTGAGGTTTTACTAATAATCCTAGAAAGCTTTTATTTTAATATCATTTTATAGATTTTAAACATGCTTTTTATATTTATATATACTGTAGTTATTTTTAAAGACAGAAGATTTATTACTAGTAATTATTGTTCTTTCTTATCAGTGGATATTAGCAAAATTAATGATTAATATACTTATTAAGAGGCCCTCGTATTTCCCTTATAGATTTATGAAAAATGACTACCTGTAGACATGATATTGCTGAAAGAGCTTTATCAAAATTATTTAGAAAATATGCTGTTTTGGTAAGCAACTACACACTGCCATTTATCTTGGTACCGCTTGTTATCACCGGTATTTGCGGAGCTGGATTGTATAGGCTTGAGAAGGAGTCAGATAGCGAGTATTTGTATACACCTCAAAACAGTTTAGCCAAAACGGAAAGAGACAAGATAGGGAAATTGTTTCCACAAGCAGACAGCGTTTATGATTCATTACGAGCAACATATTTGGGCAGCTATGCAGGGTTAATAATAAATCATAAAAACAGAGACAATCTGTATACTAGACAAAACATTGAATACATTATGAAAATCAATAAGCAAGTTAGAGCCTTCAAAACCAAAGATGGTAAGACTAGTTATGATGATGTTTGTGAAGAAAGGAATGGAGACTGCATGCAAAACTCATTTTTAACTGCTATTCTTGACGATGATTCCTCTAATGTCAATAAATTTCCTATAACCTATCCAATTTACGAATTAGATATAGGCGGAGGCAACGACTCTGTCAATATCAACCTTTCACCAGAAATAGGTGGAGTAACAACAAACAACAATAGACAAATTACAAAAATAGAAGCTATTGAGTTGAGATTTTTCGTATCTAATTCTGAAGATTGTAATTGTGACGCCTGGTTAGCGAGTTTCCTAGATAACGTTGACGGAATAAATCATCCTGATTTAATTTTACACAAAGTTACATCGAATACAATTGAAGATGAACTAAGTAGATCGGCCACTGCTGTAGTCAGCAAATTTTCAATTCTTTTTACTTTACTTATAAGTTTCTCGATTATAACACAAATATGGTACGGTGATTCAGTTAGGAGTAAGCCATTCTTAGCCCTCGCCGGCGTTGCTTCGTCTGGTCTTGCTATTGTAACTGGCTTTGGTCTGATGTGTTGGATTGGAGTTAAATTTATCGATCTTGTTTTAACTTGCCCTTTCTTAGCTATAAGTAAGATATATACGTTATCTTTATAAAATCCACTATTTGAGATATATTTATCTCAGGTATTGGTTGCGATGATATGTTTGTTTTAATTGCTGCCTGGAGAACAACAGATCAGAAAAAAAGTACCAGCGAAAGACTAAAATCTACATTCGAAGAAGGAGGCGTATCTATTACAATAACGGTAAACTCTACTACTATAAGCTCAGACGCTAATTTACTATTTTCGCAGACTCTGACTGACGTTCTTGCCATAACAATTGGAACAATAAGTTCGTTTAGAAGTGTTCAAATCTTCTGCGGCTATTTAGCAGTTGTCCTTTTATTTGACTTTATATATCAGATAACCTTTTTTGCTGGTTTTATGGTGTATGAAGGTAGACGGGAGGAAAAAAATGGGCACTTCCTAACGCTACGTCCAGTACTATCTAAATCTGAATGCATTGAACAGGAAAAATCAACATCCTATAGTATATTTTGTAAGGGAGGAATATCGCAAGCTGAGAGGGATTCTCAGATCGACAATAATGAAAAGTTTGCAATTGACAACAAACCTCATTTTGCCTCTGAGTTTTTTAAGACTAAATTTGCGCCATTCATTAACCATCCCTTTGTACGAATCAATACATTAATTCTATATATAGCCTACCTGGGAGGAACAATTTACGGGTGTACAAGAGTGGATCTTGGAATGGAACTATCTAGATTAGCCCCAGATAATTCATACGTTATTTCGTATTACGCAGAACAAAATCGATACTTTAAAAAGTATTTCTATAGTGTAAGTATAGCCATAGAAGAGGAAATTGACTACTTGAATTTGAATAATATTAAGGAAATAAATAACGTAAGACAGAATCTGAAGAATTTAGAAAATGTTCATGATGAATATTTAGGAAATGATTGGCTACTTGATTTTGAACGATTTAAAACTAAGCATAATATTGTCATAAATTCACAAGACGCATTATATAATGTGTTGAAGAATCAATTTTTAAACCAACCAGCCTACCGAGCTTATAATTTAGATATTGCATTTAGCAACAAAAGAATACTCGCTTCAAGATTTTGGGTTACAACCAAAGACTCTGGGCCAAGCACTACTCAAGTTGAATTAATGAAAGATGCCAGAAAAATAACTGAAAATGCCAAACTGAAAATGTTCTCTTTTGCCGCTTTATATCCAATTATAGAACAATATGTAGCTGTACTACCTAACACCCTGCAGAACATTGGTATAGCAACCGCGACCATGCTTGTAATTTCCTTAGTACTAATTCCCGATGTATTCACAATTATATGGGTTACCCTTTCTATTGCATCGATTTGTGCTGGAGTTATTGGTTTCATGGCATTTTGGTCTGTGAATATTGACACAATATCGATGATTAACCTGGTTATGTGCATAGGATTTTCGGTTGATTTTACGGCTCATACCTCATACGCTTTTGTGAAATCGTCAGGAGAAACAAATTTGGAGAAGATGCAACACGCATTTGAAAAAATTGCTTTTCCAGTTCTGCTTGGGGGTCTTTCTACAATCTTAGGACTCATGGGAATGGCAGCAACAAATGTCTATATATTCCGAGTGTTTTTTAAAACAATGCTTTTAGTTATGCTATTCGGTTTATTACATGGACTACTTTTCCTACCAACCATAATGATAACACTTAATGGATTGTGCAAAAAGAGAGGTAGAAGTCCCCGAGTATCTAACTCGGAAATTAAAGCTTGAAGAAAAGATAATAGTCATTATACTAGTAAGGTATACGTAACGATCTGAAGGAACTTATACTCAGTGTTGAAAATCAAATACTTTGGTTTTCTATTTTTTCTTATATATGTGGTAATTTTTTGTGAGTGAATACACCTTTTAATATTAATGTAAAGACTTCAAAAAGAACAAAACACAAGATATATAAAATCGAATATAACTCAAAATAGACCATCCATACTATTTACTTTCCTCTGTTTTTATCTGTTCATTAGGTAAATGGACTATAGTCTCTAGTTTTCTCGCTCTCTCGCTCTCTCTTTCTCTCTCTCTCAATCTCCCTCTGTTGTTAGCTTTCTCTATATCTGTCTATCTATATATCTATCTTGAAATGAGATCAGGTCATTAAATGAGTGAAAATGAATAATTCTAAACCACTTTTTTTGTAACAAAAACGAAAGAGCATTTATAATTTACGATTTCTGAGATATTTCTTCGCATCACCGACTAGTTCCCCTATATCATCATTTCCATCATCTGGATCCCAATCGTCATCATCACTTCCACCGTAGCTCGATGAATCATCGTAGTCCACTGACGAACCGTCATCATTTATAAAACTATCATTATAATCATATGTATTGGGAAGATCACTATCATCCGACTCGCCAGCCAGAACAGTCTTAGTTTCTAAAGAAAAATTCCAAAATTAAAACTTTCTATTAACATTAATAACTTCCTATTTTTACTTTTTTTGGCATTTCGTTGCCTGATCTTTCGAAGCAGCGTTTCTTCATCGAGCTCTTCCTCTTTTTCATCAAAAGTTTCATCTCCCGGATGGCAGAACTCTTTGAAGTGCGTAGGGTTTTTTCTGTTTTTAGCATAACTTGCTTAGATCAAATTTAATTTAATTGTAATTAGTTTTACGATACCTGTAACATTTCTTGCCAAATCTACATTTCTTTCTTTTATTGTTTTTTTCTTTTTTCTTTTTATCCACAATTTCATCTTTTTCTCCTTCATCATCATCATCGACGTCATTATCTTCATCCGAGATACTTACAGTTTTTGCCTTTCTAGTATTTCTTGTTCTAGTTCTCTAGATAAAAAATCACGAAATTTTAATAATAATCCCTTTCTCTTTCTTTCTATTATTACTTTCTTTGGAATGACTTCGTCCTCTTCATCATCATCGTCATTATCAATATCCTCATCGTCTTCCTCATCTGAAATGCTGATTCTTTTTTTTTTCTAGAAATAGATCGTAATCATACAAATGATATTAGAAGTTAACAATTTATCTAATTAAATAATATTACAACGTTTCTTTTAGGGACTTTTTTCTCTATTTTTACTTGCTTTTCTTCCTCTTCGTCTGATATACTTATTCGTTTCATTCTCTGCGGCCGTTCATTTATATGAAATAAATTTAATTATTATCAAAAAATCAAATAATATCCTTACTTTTTTCTTTTCAACTTTTACAGGTGTTTTTTCCTTTCCATCAGAAAGGTTAATTCGTGTTTTCTTCACAGGTGAACCATTAGCATTGTCGGCTGTAAGATTATGAGAATTTTATCCATGTTACTCTTATCAATTATAAATAGAAAAAAATATTTTACTAACCAACTCTGGGAGTGGGAATCTTTGAAGGAGATGTTACTGTTGCAGTTGAGATTGTAGATGTGTTCATCATCCATTTAGGTAATTTTCTCTTTCTATCTACTGGAAGAGGCAAATCTTCTTCTATTTTTTTCTCTTTTACAACTTTACTAGGAAGTAGGTCACGCTTTTCTTTCTCAACTTCATCATTTCTAATTTCGTTTAAAAATTCTTCTGTAGGTGTGGGTGGACTTTCCTCTTGCGTTTCTAGAGGTTTTTTTTAACTAACGTCAATAAAATTCATTTAAGCCCTAATTAAAGTAAAATATTCATTAACACAGCTTATTCTTGGAAATATAAATAGATTGCTGATTGCAGAAACTACTTAAATCAACTTATGTCAGCTACCATATGTTAAGGTGAAATTATGTATAAATTTACTTAAAATAACCTTGACTGTCTTTTTCCGGCTTAATGTGAACCACCTCATACATCAATTCGTCGTTGGGTAATAAGCATACGACATCAGATTGGTGGAGAATCTCTGTCTGATCCTTTTTCAAGGTTTTTTGTTTCGACTTAGCCCCATTTGGTCGAATAAAGCAGGGATTTGCATGCAACTATAAGAAAAACTTATCTTTTTAATCATTGCTAAACATGATTTAAAAAAATAATACAAACGGCCTTAAGAATTAATTTATCGTCCTTGACGACAAATGATGCATGACTCCTAGATACTTTCTTGTTTGATACCTGGAAGTAAACGTAATTAGGGAATTTACTCTATTAAAATTATAGAGTGTTATCTATTTGCACCTCTAAGAAAGCTCCACGTCCAATAATTATTTCTGACGACGGTAGATCGAAAATTTTGCCGTCTTCTAAGGATTTTAACTGATACTTGGACATTATTTTTGATAGATCACGATCTCGGATAAATAAATACTAATTGTTAGTTTTTGATGATAACATGGAATTATGAAATTTTTTATCCAATTTCAAATATCAGCCGTAAATAATTGAAAATTGATGATATCAGCGAAATAATCAGTTAATTTTATAAATATTAGCAGACAGGAAGATATTGCTAGGCATAGACCGCATACATATTCCCCCCTCCTATTTATAGTGTTACCGGAAGAGGATTTAAAACCAGATCAGTAGAACAACTTCCGTTTTAAAACTATTTACCGGGTAAAAGTTTCAAAAATGTCCGTATTAGACGAGAAAAATATTTATATGGATAATGATTCGTTGGAGAATGATAGGAATAGGAAATACAAATTAGATACAGTCAAAGAAGCGAAAAAAAAAGAAAGAGAAGAGAAAAAATTAAAAAAACAACAAGACCAACTAAAGAGACAGTATGAAAGAGAAGTAAGGAAACAGACAAAGCCTGGAGAATGCCAGAAATTGCTAACAGCTTTAATTGAGCCATCAGTCATTAAATTATCATACGGTCCTGGAATTCTTGATTCTTTGACAAAACAATCGATTAAGTACGACATTCAGGAGCAACCGATAGCAGGCTTAATTACATTCGTACGTCAAATATCGAGTCTAAAACAAATAGATGGGAAATTGGATACAGATCTAAGCGAACAGTTGGAAAAAAATGCACTATACTTAATGAGTCTAGAAGAATTTTTAAATTGCGTTAGTGCCAATAATAAACCCATAGAAGGCTCCCCACAATGTAATTTAAGTCGCAGAATATTGTATCTAAACGAAATAACTCGTCATCGACAGCTAACAGTATTTGTAAAAGGCTTAGACGATCATTACAGGTTTATAAATAGATACAAAAGCCTCGTAAACACGCCCTCAATTATTTTGTTCTATTTATAGAGATCAACGTCGAAAAGAAAACAAAGCTTATAAAGCCAAGTGTCAAGGAAATCGAAAAAATGAGTATAATTCAACATTTCAAGTAACCAAAAACGAAATCGATCAAGCTTTAATCGAAATTCAAATAAAATTTAACGTTATATTTCGGTTTTTCGAAAAAGACGCCGATATTGCAACAGCAATAGCTCATTATGCAAAAGCCATCGCTGAGTACCCTTTTAAGTAAACACTAGATTTGTTTAAACTCAATACTTGCTAAGATATATTTTTTTTAATTTATAGAAAGCAACGGATGGAGTCTAACTTTTCATTTCATGCAGAGAGTAGCGGAAGCTTACGCGTAGCCGATGACGGCTCTGGAGTTTCTCACATTTGGAAGAATCAATTGCAACAGTTTAAAAACGTCAGTACGGACGTAGCCAACGCCATAGTCTCACACTATCCAACGCCATCCAATCTACTACAGGTAATTTTTTGTTTTTTGCTCGCTACTAATCCGTATAATCTGGTTGCACTTAATTAATGTAATCAGGCATATGAACGCGTACCTATTACTGAGGCGCAGCATTTATTGCAAAATATCGAAGTGAGAAGGGGAGCTGGCTTAGTATCTACGAGTCGAAAAGTTGGAAAGGAGCTATCTAAAAAACTGCATACGTTTATAACATCTCAATCGGATAATATTATAGTCCAATAGATTTATTATTTTCAGGTAAGTTACTTAGTTTAATGATTATTCTTATTTTCTATTTTTTATCATTATAATATATTGAATAAGGCTCGCCAAGGTCCTATGAATTATTGCGTGACGTTTCCTTAACATAAGGGAATAAATTATTTACAGATAGGCCTCGTCCTACGCAAATTATTATCATTGACGACATAGATATCTCTAAATATAGATAACCCTTAATTTTTTTTCTCGAAATTCCCAACATGCGTTGTATTAAGGTCATGTAATGGTTTTTAAACGTCATCGAACAGTTTTCCAGTTTTTTATTAGTTCAATGGCCTTGAAGTGGGCAAGGTAAATGAATACAATAGGAAAAATTAAAGCGCCATCTGTATTGAATATTTTATACTATTTACTGTCTGTTTATTATGATCAAAAAAAAAGAGGAAATATAAAGATTGTAGTTAACCTCCGTAGATCAAAAATATGTAACGTTTTTTATGTTATTTATAATAAATTATGGTCAAATTCTATAGATTTTAAAATCAGAATGTACTTACATTTGGCAGCTGATCAAACACATCTAAAATTTCATTTTTTTTATGTTAAATTTACAGTTAAGACAAGTCCTTGTCTTTTCCTAAGAAATAGGTTAGTTGTACGATATCGGTTAATGTGTAATCTATGTATAAAGTATACTATATGTATACTTGTATATGTATATATTGTATTTATATGCACATGTAAAAAAAAACAGACAGACAGATAGACATCCAATAAAAAGCGCGCTAAGCAAGCTCCCATAATAGCATTTTCTTGTAAGGTAACAATTTAACAGTGCCATCTTTTGATGTATTTTTGCATTACCCCATATTATGATTGTCACGAGATACAATTAATACCCACAGATTTACCTATATTTCATTTCTATTTACTAAAACATTTACGATTTAAAAAAAGCAAAGTGAACTTCAAAACGATCCAAATACACGTACTTTAATTAATTGCTTTTAGATTTATTATGCAATAAATTACATAACAACCCCCTCGGAAGAGATTTTTATTGTGATCTAAAAATAGTAAAATATATATTTATATATATTTTATGTCTATATATACATCAGCAGTATATATAAATATGCTATATATATAGATATATATAACAAAATTTGATTATTATTAAATAGCTTCTTTTTATAGAATATTCGATGGACTATTTAGCAATTAAGTGGAAAATTGTGATGAGTTTTTTTGTCACTATACAATCTATGCCCTGAAAAAAAAACTATATATATATATTATAAACTATATATATATATACGATAGATATAACGACATCCGCCTATCAATACAAAATATTTAGGACACGATTTTTTTTTATACGCGCATATACGCATTGTCCTTGTGGTCTTTGACCTCTTTAGCTGATTTCTAATTTATCTGTAAAAAACATATATTGGATTTTAAATGAAAATACACACAATTGTGTAAAAATAGGCTGTCTCATTTTTTTTTCATTTGCATATTATTATGAATTATTGAGGAATAAATACATAGGGAATTTACAGCGTTGTACTTAAAAAGCCTGAAAGATGGCATTGTTGTTCTATTAATAGGGCAAACATTTAAAACGTGGCCAACATTCTGTAATATCTCTTTGTTATCTGAAAGATGACATAGGAAGGAAGTGCGCAATACCACCAACTAATAAATACTAGAGGGTTTAGTTCGTACATCAGTGTGTATATACGTGTAAATAGGCCTACATATGCAAGAAGCATCCAAAACAGCTGGCACTAGGATTGTTTACACTCTGGATCATTGGTCGAGCGGGCAATGAAGGCGGGTTAATTGACAATTAGGCCTGTTAAAAAATAATGGAAGTAGAATGCCAACGGCAGCCCTAGCCCGATCGTTTAGTAAAGTTACTATTTTTGCTCAGCCGCTGTGTGTCGCTGTGTTTCCAAAAATAGCAGCATAATCATAGCAGTTTTGCGTTGTAACCTCTTCTATCGGTAGATTCGCCTATTTTATCGGATTTTTGCCCGTTTAACACATCGGAGCGAAAATATTTGGCTATGATCTAGGTTATAGGCAATGTCTAACGAGGAAAACGAAGGTAAGTTTGTTAGATTTTGTATACAAATTCTCGTAGAACCGACTATCGTCTGTCTCGTCCAATCTCGTCTCTTCTCGTTGTTTCTCGTGTTGTTAGGGACTCTTCATGCGTCTGATATATAATGTTTGTATGTTAAATCATTTTTCGGGCTAATTAACAAAGAAAGTGTGTCAAGTTCGACGAAACGCTAGGGCGTTGCTTGGGAAGCACTCGCGCGTTCTCTGTCAGATGCAAGAAAGAAAAATCGATCGTAATCTCGCTAAACGACGACCGCCGGACAATTTGTAACGTCATTCCACTATTGTAGCACAATGATGTAATAATCTTTGGTCGTGTGCTTCGTGATGTAATAGTTGCTCGCAAAGGAACTTGGCTTTTCTTTGCTTGTTCTATATAAATACAATACGAGTCGAACGAGTGACGGAAGTTACGTCATTCAGATGCGTTGTTTTTTATTGTCGTAAGTGCTTATAGGCGGTTAGCATCTATTTGTTTTCGGCTCAGCGTCCCAAAAGTTGCGTAACAGTGGTCCCTCACTTTCGGTACTCATAAAGCTCAGCGTGCAGTCGTCGGAAAGACGCCTCTGCCGGACCAATTTAGACGCTTACCTCCGACTTATTATGTAACCGATCGTCATCCCATTGTTCCGTCGAATAACATTCGGTGGATGTTACGTGATTCGATCGCTGATTGGTCAGACAAGGGCGTTACAGTCATAGAATGTTGTCAGTCTTCAAACTGATCAGAACTAAACATGCCTGAGAAAAGGATTTTAACGGGTGATGTTCTGAGCATAATGCATCTACGAAAGCAACAGAGAAGGATGCCAACTATTTACGGTACGAAGGAGTTCAAAAATAGAACGTTCTATTTATAAATTCTCATCCTGCTATTTTCGGACGCGGTTTTTTAATTGCGTAAAAAATGTTGGCAATTTCCCGTTTTTTAGGTGATGGTCGTAGATGGCGCCCTTTATAGTCCGAGAAAGGGGACGCTGTTTTTATTTCTATTTATGTCCCTTAGACGCTTCTCATGCAGTTTCTATTTTTATCTTGAGCCGCGTAGGCGGCGTCATGCGTTTTTTTCACATTTGATTTTATACAAAATTGTGCCACTCTGGATATTTATAGAATTGCTCCTCTTTGAAGTTCTTTCTAACCCGGAAGAAAGACGTTTATAGTAAGAATTCAAATCGAATCTGTGTCGAGCAGTATTCATTATTTTACCCTGGGACTTGCTCTAATAAAGGGACGTTAGGTGGCGCAATCGTCTTATTTCATGTAGAGTCTGTTTCTTACATCGTTTACGGTGCAAGAACATCGATTTTTTTCGACATGATACGGTACCCTATTAGACCCGCCCCATCTGGGTTTGGTAAGAGATATATAGTAAAAAATTTTTTCTATTCTAGTATAACCTTCATATAATTGATTAATATTTATTTTTATTTTTCTCAGTCTATTCATAGAACTTTATTGTATTATTTGTTATTATTTTTTTTTTCATTTAGAAAGAGGCAAGAATACAGCGCCTATAAACGACGCCGCTAACCCAAACTACTCTTTAATCGAACTGCAAAAGCTGCACGCTCATCAGCAGCAAATACTCATGGAACATTTCTCGCAAGCGCAATTGAAAATGTCGCTTGCACAGGATAGACAACGCCATGTACTGCAAATGCAACTAGCCGAATTAGAACATCATAAATCATTAGCCGCTCAGGAAGAGAATCAAAAGGCGGTTGTACTTAAGAAATTAGAAGAACTTAAAAAGAAGAATAAGGATAAAGAAAGTGCTGAAGCCTCATCGGCTGTTAAAGAAATTCTTCGGAATAAAATCCAAAGTAAACAAAAAGAAAAGGGCGGTATTGGTAGCCCGCCTTTGAAAAACCAATGGGGACAAACCCATCACGGTTCTTTGGAACAGCAATCGCCGCCAGCTCATGGTTCTTCACCTCCTTATAGGGCTGCTCATTTATATGGGCCTTACGATGATCTAGATCATCCCTTAAGGAAAGTCTGTAAGTACATTAAAGTCAACTATTTTATACTAAAAACATAAACTAGTCAAGATTACTTTGTTGAGACCATCATCTGACAATTCCGTAAACAGTATCCGAACCGGTAATGACTAAGCATCCTTCGACGTTGAACCTAAAAGAACACAGGGTAGAATTCTCCAGTCCGAGAATACACAGACGATATTTACATCGAAACAGATGTGAGTGCCGACGTCGACGGTTGCCTGCTTGTAGCTTCAACGATTAACCTATTTCGATTCTATTCATTTATCGCTCTACCTTGCTTTATTGATTATTATCTGTATAACTCTTATAATTTTTATCAATGATTATTTATTCCAATGCCTCTATTCTAAACTATTTAAAAAATGCTTTTTGTGCTATTTTTTATGCTATCTAGCATCAGAACCGAATCTGAAAGTACGCCTAGCTCTGAAACAGAAAATGTTGGAAAGACGATCGAGTCCTTTACTTCAACAACGTAGGGAAAGGCTAAAAAGGACAAATCCAATTTCCAGTGAGTCCTGTTCGCACATGATGCTCTTTTTTTTTTGTTATAAATAGAGATATATATATATATATATATACAGTATATGAACTCAAGCATCTATAAATATACAATATATATATATATTAATTTATTTATGAATGCTTTATTCTTTTCCTATCCTTACTGCTTGCTGCCTAAAGCTATCCTAAGCAATTTTATCTAAATGAATGACTATGTTGTTAAATTTATTTCTACATTTCATGTTTGAAAATCTTACTGAATCTTTTTCTTAACATTTTGCCGTTAACAGTAGAGGCTTTGCCAAATAGCAATCCAGATTCGGGCCCAAATTCCCCACACAGTTCTCAAGTATCGACTGACTCCACACCGGGTTCATGCGAAGATTCAAGTGCCGTTCAGCATCTTAACAAAATGATAAGCCTTCCGGATATGACCAGAGCTATCCCTCATCTACCGCCGCCTACTCTTTCGAACGCTCACGACAAAATCCCACATACGTTTCCAGCGCCATATATATCTGGTTTCATTCCTCCTTCATTTGGTGTACCATTTACCGTTCCCGCCGATTCGACGACGACGACGAATGCAAATGATTTAATTCGGCTACAACATCAATATGCAGCAGCAATCGCAGCAGTTTCGGTAACATTAAATAGGACGACTTCTGCTCCTATTCCGGTACCGAATGCTGTATCGAACGATAAATTATCGCTTGCCAAACAACAACTGCAGAGTAAACTTTTGCACAAATCAAAAGAACTACGTAGTAGTACTGAAGAAGAAGAAGATGTGGTCGTTGTGGGTTCCCCGAAAAATGATCAACCATTAGCGTTAGTTACAAATTCAAAGCATTTACGAAAGGCCAGAACGACGTCGAGAGATTCTCCTCCTTCGCCTCTGATAAAGGCGAAATTTTCCAGTTGTAATTCATCTGTTGACGAACGTTCGACCTCAGTAGGATTAGTCTATGATGAAGACACGTTAAAACATGATTGCGTTTGTGGCGAGCATGAAAGGCATCCAGAACATCCCGAACGTTTGAAATCGATATGGACACATATATCGGCTGCGAACTTAGTTGAAAAAAGTATTAGGATAAAATGCCGAAAGGCCTCAATGGTTGAATTACAAACATGTCATTCCGAGCCGTATTCATTGTTATACGGTACAACAGGCCCAAATCGTAATCAGCTAGATAAAATGATGTTTATTGGGACGCAAAAATTTTACACACTGCCTTGTGGAGGTATAGGTGTCGATCCTGACACAGTTTGGAACGAAGAATGGACGCCAATGGCCGCTCGAATGGCAGCAGGTGGAAGCATTGAATTAGCACATAAGGTCTTAATGGGAGAAATTTCAAGTGGGTTTGCTCTCGTCCGACCACCCGGTCATCATGCCGAGCCAACAAGACCTATGGGATTCTGCTATTTTAATAATATTGCAATTGCTACAAAATCTCTGCTTGATCGAGCAAAATTAAGAAGAATTCTTGTGGTCGATTGGGATGTTCACCATGGAAATTCAACACAGAGTATATTTTATGCCGATTCACGAGTTCTGTACATTAGCCTACACCGTCATGATGATGGTAATTTTTTCCCGGGAACGGGAGCGCCTACGGAATGTGGTATAGATATGGGTTTAGGTTTTAATGTTAACATTGCCTTTTCTGGTAAACTGAATCCGCCCATGGGGGACGCTGAATATTTAGCTGCCTTTCGTTCAGTTGTTATGCCTATTGCCTTATCTTTTGAACCGGAAATAGTTCTCGTATCGGCCGGATTCGACGGAGCTTCTGGTCATCCAGCGCCTTTGGGTGGCTACAATCTATCCCCTGCCCTTTTTGGATGGATGACAAAACAATTGAAGCAGCTGGCTCAGGGTAGACTCGTCCTTGTTTTGGAAGGTGGCTACGAGCTCAAGTCGACGGTCGAATCGTGTGAGCAATGTGTTAGAGCTCTTCTTTCGGAGCAAACGTCGATGATAAGCGACGAACAATTGCAAAAACGTCCTTTTCCGTCAGCAGTAAGTACTATTGAAGAGGTCGTGCGGCTTCAGCAGCCCTACTGGCCGTTCCTCGACCGTCACTTGAAGTACATCGATATGGCTCATGTTGAGTGGTGCGAAGATGGTGATACAGTTTCGGCCCTTGCATCACAGGCAGCATCTTTATCGATGGCGCAAAGAAGGTAATTAAATTATTAATTATTCATATTGATATTTTAATTCGACATCTTATTATTCTGCTTCTCCCAGTTAACTTAATTTATTTATGTATGTTTTTTAACAGCTCCTACGAACGTTCTTCCTCTTTCAACTCCGATAGTTCCGAACCTATGGAGGAAGCTTGACCAAAGTTGGTTCGCACAAAATTTTAAAAAATACGCCATCTACCGGCCTTCAAATCTAGTCATATCGTCTGTGTTTTTCTACCTAATCGTTTTCGTTGTATTTTTTTGTCGATTTGAAAAGAAAAGAATTTAAATTGTACATGTCGAATGTAAGGAATGTATTTTTTGTGTTTTTCATTGTGCAGAAGTATAATTGTTATACGTGAAAAAAAATACACAACTGCAGATAATTAAATCGCACAGAGCGGCGTCGTCCATAACAACATCGAACGACGTCAACATTTTTTTTATCGAACCAAAAAAAAAAAAAGAATATTTTATTCAAGCTGCCAGTATGCGTTTCTTTTTATTATTATTATTCTTCGCATTCTTCGACTTTAGTATGTCATCTATTGAGATTCTATTCGGAGGATCTTCCCTAGGTTCAACGTATAAAATTTGCGCCTCTCCAGTATCCTCTACGTCGTCTATTTCTTGTCTGCTCTGATTTTGCACTAGCCGGGGATCTACTGGAGTTCTAAAACCACTTTTGGCGGTGGCTAGGAATGTACGAGGTGGTGGGCGTTTATTCACGAAATCGTCTTCGTCGTCACCGTCGTCGGCAGGCGCTGTTTTATTATTACAAAGGGGTGGTAAGGGAGAACGTCGTCTACCCATAGTTGTTTTAGGCCGAGCTTGCGGCGTGTCTATTCTCCTCGAATCCATAGAGGAAGTAGCTCCATCTCTCCTCCGTTTTCTGGCATCTCGTAAGGCTCGCCGTAACAGGGCTGATCTCTTGACATCGTCTTTCTTTTCTTCTTCAGCTGGTGCCTCTTCGTCGTCCTTCTCATTCTTTGTCTGATTTTTGTCGCTCAATGGCTCAACAAGTACAGAGTTTCTTGAAATTGATTTTTCAAATTGCGGACTATCTTGTTTACCTTCTGGCTGTTTCCTTTCCATTTCCCCTTCTTCGTTACTTAGTTCGCTTTTGTCCAATTCTTGAGGCTTCTGATCGATATCTAAATCATCATTATTGTTATCTACCTTAGTGAGATTCTTTGGAGGAATTTCCATTAAAGCTGTTACTTGAATAGACGAACTCTTGGCTTGAGATGAAGGCCGATTGGGGGGATTATATATAATCTCAATTGGCTTTAACTCGTTTAAATCTTGCCTGTTATCTCCGGATCCACCGGAAGGTGGACGTCTATCGCGATTAAAAGCGCTAAATCTTACAACAGAGTCGTTTGATAAAGACTGTTCATTTGATAAAAGTTCTTTGCTTTTATCTTTTTGTTTTCGTTTTAGCGCTCTGCAAATTCTATGTATACCATAAACGCAACAAGATCCTCCGTAACACAATCCAAAAAGTGGCATAACTATGAAAAAAGTGACGTTCCTTGTCGTAAACCATGTTGAATCTTTCGATTGTGAATTTTCAGATGTTGTCGAGGCAGGATTCTTAGTGGTGGCTTAGTAACAAGTAAATAAACACTTATATATAATGGCATATAATACTTTATAATACTATATATATAAAAAAAAATAAGTAATGATTTACCAGTCGAAGGCGTCTCTTCACAAATAAAACCGTCTATTGTTCCGTCTGTACAGGAAACGGATTCAAGAAGATAATCAGCTATTCTAATGATAGCACATTTATTAATTGCCAAAGGTTGAGAGTTTGCCCATTTTTTAGAGTCAACAGTAGCTGTTTTATACGCGTCCACCCATTGAAAAGTTGATAACGGCTTCCAAACCCCAACCCATAATTTACCACTTGTCTTACCAGATGACTTAACACTATCTACAATAGCCTTTAACGAACTCCATCGACTCTCTGTTGACGCCGAAGATAAATCTCCTCGATGGTTTCTAATACAATACTTTCGAGCATCAGCAAAATTAACTTTATTCAGAACAAATCTGAAGGGTCTACTGGTAACTGTTGAAAGAGTAATGAAACGATCAATTGCTAATTTAAGGCTGGGAACTGGGTGTCAATAGATATGATTTGACGCTTGGAAATGAATGTAGTGGGTGTATTAAAAGAGAGGATAGATCAATTGCATTTATATGCCCTATTGATAAAACTTTTACACGTAAACATCTTTCAACCCATTACCTTCCGGAAGGGAGTAATAAACATCGCTTGAGCTCGCACCTCCGCACTTTCCGCCGCATGAGCTGCTCTCCGTGCAGGCTGTTCATAACAAACAACAAGTTAGTCGGTGTCTTGTATCAGCCATAATCGATCCGGAACATTGACACAGGTTTTTTTTTAATTATAATTACAAATTCAATAGAAGAGGAATGAACATTAAAAAGTTGTGGTAACAGTTTCAATAACAAAAGAACTTACATGAACTAGTACCAAATTTACCATATGTATATCCGCAAAGGCACTTTTCGCCATTATACATGGCGCCATAAGAGAAAGATTCACCGAAGCACCAACTTAAACATTCTGACAATTTGGTAAATGAAGAAGTTTTTCCAGACAAATCCGGAGAGGTTAAATCTTCTGTCCAACAGCCCAAGTGCTTATAAGTGTTACTTTCAGTTAAGACATTAATAAAGATAAAGACGATGACAAGCAGTTGAAGCGTCATGTTCGTCTGATGTTTGTCTAGGAACTTTTCGATTTTTCAACCGTTCAATTTCCTATTATGTCACATACTCCAATAGATGGCACATTTGTCGCCTCTTGGAATGGCAAAAGGTCGACGACCATATTAGAGTAAATTGACATTATTCAATAGAGAATTGCGGCTAAGGAGCCTACAAAGTTTTATTACGAAAAGATGACATATAAGCAGATTCGAATTGATGCCTTTACAATATAAAATGACCTATTTATAGTGAGAATTGTTCAGCTTTCTTCCCATTCCATTGACTTGAATGGGTAGAGGGTAAATAGAGGAGAAATTAATAGATAAAAAGCAGCTTTATAATTGTATTTTGCGTCGTAATTATAATATCTCTCCTTTCGTCCTTCTCTTCCCCTTAACTCCACTCGACTATATAACAGTTTAAACTACACGAGGATAATTGAGTGAAGAAAAAAGAAAAGAAGGCGGAGAAAGGGGTGGAAGAACTTTAGTCGATTGTTGTTAGTTAAAAAGCCGTAGAAAATAAATCAGTAGGGGGTAGGCGAACATTCCTGACACTTTAACTATCGATATTTATATTTATTGAATGGCTATATGAATTTTTAACATGTAATTTAAAATTAATTTAAAATTTATATAAATAAATATCTTCATAACAAGAATAAACTGTATTTTGATTTATTCTTTTTAGGTTAAAAGTTATATTACTGTCTAAAGAAATAAAGCAGATATTATTGATAAGAAACAAATCGGTAATCCAATATATCCGTTATTGTTTGTATGCAGAGACAATGCTGGAATATAAAGGAAAATACATACATGGATTCCATAGACAATATAAAGAGTATATAAATATGTATAAATTCTCCCCTACAGTGTTATTTGATAATGAGTATACGTACTGTTTGACTGAATATGGTAAATATACGTTGGGAATAAAAAGGAACTTAATAAAAAACTACCCATAATAACAATTCACAATTGAAAAAGAACAGTTGGGGGTAGAAGTTTGGAGACTTTAAACTTGAACTCCTGGGGTTTACCACTTCAAACCTCTCCTCGAGTTTTCTCTAGAAAAAGACGAGTGCTTTATTGGTCAGAGGACTCCGCGTGAAAAGGTAGAAACGATGTTATATAGATAAAATAGACAATATTCGCATGAACAGGCAAAATGATAGACAGACACAGAGAGGGTGATAGGCAAAAAATAAGAGAGAAAAGAGAAATAACGCGTTCATTTCATTTCTTATTCTTTGCTTTGCCAAAATTTAACAATAGGCTTGAAAAGACCCACAGTTCCGTTACGGCTGCTTGAACATGAAATTGATAGGTCGATCAAGTGGGAATGACATACGATTACATAACGGTCGGTCTTTATCTATTTAACATTCTATTACATAATAAACAAAGGAACTGAGACATAGAATGAGCTGTTTGCGACTTGAAAAGGAAATAGTTCAAAAATATTAAACTAACTAAATTCATTAGAGAGAGAGAGAGAGAGAGAGAGAGAAAGGATGGGGAAACAGGGAAAATAGAAATAGAGAGAGAGAGAGAGAGAGAAAGAAGGAAATAAAACATTGAAATATGTTTATACTAAAATAGTCAATATATATAAATATATAAAAAAATAGAAACATAATAGTATATGTAATTATTAACAATAAATAACAACAAAGGTTGGATAAAGAAAGAAGAAAAAAGAACCGACTTTAATCTGCTCTTTCTGAAGAATTAGAAATATTGTTTGATATTTTTTTTTTTTTATTGTCCCAATTCAATTCGTAACGGACCGTTTTTTCTTTTATTATTTCATATACGAGAATCCAATGTTGAAGGAAATAATAATAAAAAAAACACCGCCGTTAGGGAATATTGCATATAGAGAAGAAGAAAAGCAACGGAATGGTTAGGTTTAAGGGGATTGGCGTTTATCACACCCATAAAATGGCAATTAAAAGAAACTTATGGATTAATACGCGACCTTTCGCTTGTCGTGTGTAAACAGGCCTTCGTTTTTTCTTCAAAGAGCTAAGGGCCTGGATAACTGATCTTTCCTATTTTTATATAAGGAGGTTGGTTATAAAAGCGTCATTAGGTTTTAGGAGCGTCTATTTAAGTACTTAAATGATAGGGGAAAGTTTTGTTTTTGTAGTAGCGCAATTATCTCGCTATTTTTTTTTTTATACCTCCACCCACTTTCCCACCTTTTTCTTTCAATTCCCAAAATCTTCCACCTCTCACTTTACGTCATCATATACTTTTCCAATAAATAAGGTGCTCTATCTCTTTGTTCTTATCTATTTGAATACCGATGAGCTTTTACGACCCATTATTAAAACTTCAAATACTGGTGACTGTTTTTTACCTGCCGTGCATGCATAGTCATTAGGTTAGTTTAAAGCTTTGAGCTGTTTTCGTTAGAGAACGACGTATAGCTTAATAGGACTATTGTCGCTTACGAGTTTTAAACCAGTATTGAAGTCCCTCTGGTGTTATTATTGAGAATAGGGAAGCTCGGCAAACACCAACTTCGTACCGGCGCTAACGTATTGGATATGTATTTTCTACTTAATTTCTCATTCTTTTAATTAAATCTACATAAAAAACATAGACAAACGACCGTAAAAATCTGGTAAGTTATTTTAAAATAATTCCATATATATAAAGAAATCAAATAAAAAGGGGAGGAGATCTTTAAGACATTGTATAAATAAGCCTACTGCCCACTACTTAACACAAAGCGATTAATAACGAAGGGATAGGGATTTAGTATTAACGAATAGTGCTTTAAGAAGATTTATACGATTAAGAAGGCAGCTAAACAGTCCCTGGAATATTGGATAGGAAGTAAAATTGGGCAAAGAAGAAAAAGAGATGGATAGATTGAGAGAGAGAGAGAGAGAGAGAAGAGATAACCGACGGCTTTAACCTACCAAAGAGGACGTAAACACGGAGAATGAGTGGACGATTGTTTATATTTACATTAAAATATAAGAAGGAAGAATACTAGAGAAACGATAGATAGACACCTAATATACTTTTTCTCTTTCGACAAGTTTTTGTTCGTCCTCTCTCTCTCTCTCACTCTGTCAATCTCCCTTGTTTTTATCGTAGGCCTATGATTTTTTTTAAAAGTCTTCATACATCGAAGAGGTCAATTTCTAAAACAACTGCTTTCAATTGTTTCAACAATTTGTGGATTGTTTTTCTGTAATACTTAAACAGCGCCTTAGTTCTCTCTAAATAAGATAGAAAATATAGAAAATATTGAATAGAAAGGCTATTTCTTCTTTGCTGAATGAAATATTTTATATTATTAACAGAGGAGAAAAAATTATACATGGACAAAAGAAGAGAATGGCTACTCTTTCGCAAATTATCCTTTTAATCTGTTTTGGACTAGTTGCTGCTGAAGATTTATTAAAAATACCAGAAAAAGAGTTGGATCTTGGCTGGTGCGAATGTACAACAACATCGCCTTGCATTATCATGTGGAGGAAGTATGTATTAATGAATAAATTTTTTCTTGTATCTTAAGATCTTCTCTAGACTATGTAGTATTTGCATATGATAATACTTAAGTAAACTTGAAAAGAAGGGAGAGAGAGAGAAAAAAAAAGCGTCGTTTTTTTTTCTCTTTATTATCTATTTATATTCATCTTAAATGTTTATATTAAAGCTTTCTTTCTTTACTATTTATTTATTTTTAGTGTTGTTTATTAATTCAGGATTTCTTTTTTTTTTTTTTAAAAAAAAAATTAAACTAGGGATGGAGAGAGTACGTTAAGTATCGGCGGAGAATTATACGTAAATGATAATTATAGACTTCAAACTGCTGGTAATCCGATTACAAGAGTAAAATTAATAATTAAGGAGAACGTTTCTCTTAAAAATTCTACAACATTTCATTGCCGTATTGGAAATAGAATAGAGTTTACTGTTGTTGCCAATCCGGCTAGACTACCTGCTCAATTGACTATGAAACCGAATGAAGAATTTCCGTGGGAAACTGGAAAAGTGTATATGTTAATTTGCCGTTTAATAGATATTGGATATCCAATAGCTGATATTGAATGGTACAAAAACGATATTAGAATTGGTGTTAAAAGTTCAATTCTACAGTTTAAACCATTGAAAATGGATGATAATAATTCAACTTATTACTGTATGGCTTCCAATGCGTATAGTGAATTTCTTAACGTAAGACTGATGTCGGAGAGACAAACAATCCAGATTAAAAGTAAGTTGACGATATGTCGCAATCATGAATATATATATATATATATATATATATAGTATAGAATATGTGTACGTCTATTAAGCTTAACTCCTATTTCTGTACAAATCCATATCGGGTTTTGTGTACAAGAGAGAGAGAAAAAAAATACGCTTTAGGCCCAATTGCGAACTTTAAAACTATTTGTCCAAACCGAATAGTGAAGGAATTGCACCGATTTTTTTATTTCTTTTTTTTTAATAGGCCAACAAATGTGAAAATAGTAAAGTAGTAAAATATTATAGTAATGTGAATTAATTAATTCATTAATTAATTCATTAATTACCATGCAAATGAATGAATATGTACTATATATATATATATATATATATAGATATACAATTAGATTAGTAGTATACAATATATAATATATAGAATTTAAAACTTTGGCGATTTAAATGACAGACTTACTCTTGGAAAAGCCTATCTTAAATATTGAAAGTCAAACAGTATTTGTAAACAATGCAGTCAAGTTTATTTGCTCAGTTAAAACTGGTTTGTATATATTTACATATTCTATTATAATTAATTATTAATAAATTTACTTAATATCTTTTTCCTTTTCCTTAATTTATTTTTTAGAAAATTCTATGAAATTCATGTTGATTAAGAGGAATAATTCAACTTGGTCCCATTTAAGTGATACTGGATCATTTTCGTTTGTTTCTATTGATGTTACAGATACTGGATATTATTATTGTCGTTGTTTAGACAATAACGGCAATTCTCAAGATTCGGATAGTCGTTTGTTAATGATCAAAGCTCCGCCGAAAGTTTTAGAAACCTCTAAATCGGTACGCCGCCAGGGTAATAATTTTCAATTGTATTTTACCTATACGGGAATCTCTTTGGTTACTTCGGTTGTTTGGAAGTTGGGCGACTCGACAATTGATAAGGATCGTTATCAAATTAAATCTTACAATATGACGGGACAATACGAATATGGTCAAACTATGGCGAGACGATCAGAATTGAACTGGATAGTTAATTGCCCGTATGACGTCTCTTATAATGGTTTTTATCAAGGTCTTATACAAACGTCAAACGCAACTTATACTCAAGTTTTAAAAATTCAATGGTTCATTCCCGATGACCTTTGCGCCGAATCGATAACGCCATCTACCGACTCTACAACTTCCAATTCCGACGGTCAAATTGGAGAGAAGATATTGAATTCTGAAAATTCAAGTACAACAGTAATTGTAACTAGTGTATGTGTTGTATTCTTTGTCGCTCTTGCCGGGTTTTTTGTTATTATATTTTCATGGAAAAAATGGCAGTTAAAAAGTTAGTTGACCTTGAACTTGAAACTTTTCTCCTACTTAATAATAACCGTCCTATGTTCTGCTTTTTCAGAATTGCAATACAATGAGAGCAGTAGTAATGGAGACGCTTCCAACTGCAATACTGTTTGTACAACTTGCAGTGGAGAAGATAGCGAAAATAATTCTGTAACAAACGTTAGACGTAAGTAAATTGGATAAGAATAAGCAATCATTAACGATTATTATCAATGTTTGTTTTTCTATTGTCATATTACAGTAATAAGAAAAAATTCCCTGCAAAGAGGTACGAGCTTAACAAGCACGTCTAGTAGAGCCCTCCCTCCCGTTCCTCGATCGAGGATCAACTCATCTTCGTCCTCCAAAAGCGCTTTTACGCCAGTTTGCCATTTACACGCTCCGTTACCAAATCCTATCTACGGTATTTCGGGTCGCTGCTCAAGTTGCGGTCAATACAGATTACGTTCGGACGTCAGCGAATCGGCAAGCTCTCAATATGACGTCATAAACGATACATTACCAACAACTTCTGATACAGCCATTTATCAAACTCTTCAGCATAGCCGAGTCAATAATAATCAGCCTGCAACTCTCGACGATGTTTACATGTCGATGACAAACAATTTTAGCCAACAACCTTTGGAAACGCCTATAAATGCTTTTTATAGCAAAATTTTACGACGTTCACCAGAAGTTGGTGCCATCGTTAAAATACCGCGTGAATCGTTTGTTTAAGTATTGAGAAAGGAGAAGGAAAAGAAGTAATTGAAGAAGAAGAAAAAGAAGAAGATAAAGCATTGATAATGTAAAACGATCTCAAATGTGTTCCCTAGTAGTTTCATTGAATGTACAGACCACACTTCTTCCTATAGCGTTTTTTTTGTTTTTATTTTAGTGTATTACTATTTATACATGAATAAAGAAAGTGTTACTATGTCTAATTAGTATGCTGCTTGTTTAGTTCCTCAATTAATTTCTTCTTTATCTCCTCATACTCTTCCTTGTCAACCCCTTTATAGTAAATTCTAATACGCTTTTCCGAGAATTTTTGAGGTAGAAATTGACTAACCTCTTCCTTCTTTATAGTGAAGCATTCCTTGGTATTTGACTTTTCATAAAACCAACAATGATCAACCGGATTTAAATTCTTCATTCCATAGTTTAAGTTCACTGGTGCGATGATGATTTTATCTTTGTAATCTTCTAGTATCATATCAACATTTTCTTTCAACGAAATATCTCCTTGGTACATACAACGATAGATTTTCCTTTGGTCAATTCTCTCCAGCAGTTCTCGACATTCTTTCAAATTAGGATCAGTCGTATAACGTAAACCAAAAATGGTGTTGTCGGTTAATTGTTCAAAGGCCTCGGCATTGTTAACTGTTTCCTCAAGTTTTAATTCCTTATTACTTGTGATAACCTTAATATGGTCCTTGGCCGAGTATAGAGCATCCATCATCCTATTGGATAGTGAATGGTAGTACTTATTTATTAATTAATTGTTTTGTTGTGTGTTTTTTTTCTTTTGCAATAGAATATAAATACTCACATTAATTCAATAGCTTTGCATGTTTTATGCTGATACGCCCTGTCGTGTAGAACTAATCTCATATGAAAAAGTTCGTAAATATTTCTCGCTTCCTTGAAAAAATAATCAATAAAACTGTGAAGAATTTATCAATTTCTAAGGATTTTTCTCTATTTATACCTTTTCTCTGATACATATTTTATAAGAATCACCAGACTTAATGATCTTAGCCAGTTTAATATAACGGGAATGATCAAAAGTTGATTTAATTCCTAAATGATGGCAATCTCTTGCGATATAATCAAATTTATCGACGTCCACTCCACTTTCTTTGTTCGACACGATATCGTAAAGGAATCTATAGTCAGAATAGACTAGTTCTTACTATATTGGGATTTCACCAAGTGATACTACCTTTTTTTATTATCTTTTAATCCTATTAAAACATCATTTTCTTTTGGACCTCTTATCTGTTCTCTTACAAATTCTATATCAACTTCGTCGTCAAAATCGTTGAAGCGCTCTTTGAATTTCGGTATTAAGTCATTCTCCTTAAGAAGACGATCGAGCATCTCAACTGATAAATCTTCATGCTTCTTTTTTAGTTCCAATTTTTCCAGGAAAATACCATCAAAAGCGTGCGATAACGGTCCATGCCCCAAATCATGGCAAAGTGCGGCTAAAGAGACGAGAAATATATCTTTTTCCGTTATCTCAATCTCTAAATCATTGTCTAATCCGTTCTTAAGGGATTGAACCAGCTTAGACGCTAAATAGCACGTTCCTAGAGAATGTTCGAACCTATTGTGATTAGCGGATGGATAGACCCAGTAACAATTTCCTAACTGCTTAATATGTCGCAAACGTTGAAATTGAGGTGTATCAATAACCTTTATTAGAAGAGGATCAAAATCTTTTAATAGAGAAAAGAAAAAGTATAAATAATAAATATTGTATAGTCTATTAAATATTACTAACCCATATGTCCATGAATTGGATCATTAAAGATCTTACTTTCTATTGCGTCAAAACTCGATGCCATAATTATCAAGTTATCAATACCGTAAAAGTTTAAATATTAAACTAAACTACACAGATAGCCGCATTTAATATATTAGTACTATTTTTTCTTATCACATTTTTCCTATTAGGCATATATTTTAAACTTAAAGAAGATGATTAAATATACAATAAATATAACAAAATGAGGAACAGATTTTGTTTAGTGAGTTTCGTAGAAGTCAGATATGTAGAATTCGGGTTTTATAAAAGGTTCCTTTTCCAGAAAAAGTATCATATAGTGTATAAATATATATATAGATTGTTTTCAATTATCAAAGTGTTCAAGTTGAAGCACATTAAAATTGTGCAGATGAATAAATTTTAAAGATAAATTTATAGAGAGATGTTAGTTTCGAAAGACAAGTTTCTTTTTGCATATATCTCAGGACAAAGATGTAGGTAACCCATTACGTTTAAAATCGTCAATTATTGCTGACAATTCGTCAATAATGGCCTTGTCATCGTCCTCGTAATATATTCTTAGTTTTCTATCACAATAAGATACTGGCAGCAAATTACTAATATCTTCGCGGTACATTCTCACTCCTCTATCTGGGCAGGATTTTTTATAAAAATATAAAAAATTTATAGGATTTTCTTGTCCTTTTCCGTAGTCAATTTTCATTCTATCTATTATTATTTTCTTTTTGTCAATCTTTATACTCGAACGAGACATGATGTCATCCAATAGAGATTGTTTATCTGCTAAATCACCCCTGATCTCTGCTACGAATTTAAATAGTTTTCTTTCATCAATTCTCATCAGTAATTCCTTAGCCCGGTTCATATCGGAATTATTAGGATCATCATAATATTTTATACGATCAAATATATTATCAGTTAATTGTTCAAAAACTTCTATATCGTTCGTGGCTTCTAGTATGTTGTATGTCTTTTCAAGGTCAGATTGTTTGCGAAACTTCAAATGCTTTACAGAGAGATCTAGCACTTCACTTAACCTTTAAAAATTCAAGAAATTTAATATTAGTAATGTAATTCAAATTTACTCAGTTATAAAACAATAAATAGATTAGCAAGTAAGAAATGCTCTATCAGTCAGTTAAATCGTTATTCAATGAAAAATTTTTGTTTATGGCGTAATCTTTAATTTTCAAAAAGCGTTAAACAAGCAAACGTAGGAAATTATCTATTTTTCCTATGTCTTATGCTTTTCACCTACCTGTGTTCAATAATCATCTTTGTTTTATGACAATAAGCTCTCTGATACAATACAGCACGCATATGAAACAGATCATACATTACTTCGACTTCCTGAAAATCAATGACCAAAGACTTACCAAAAAATTCGCATTTAGAAAAATAAAGAGTTGTATTATTAGCAATCTTCAAAAGGATTATTGAAACGAACTACACGATCAGACTAAATGATTAAAAAACTAAATGAAGCTGAAACTTACATAATGTCTATAACTTTATTCGTTTGATGATGATATGCTCGCTCGAAAAGTTCAGCTCTTGAATAGAAAAGGGCGTACATATCGCGAGCAGCCTGTCCGAAAATGTAGTTCGCTTTTTTTTGGACGGTAGAAAATAACAAACTGTTACTTTACCTTCTCTCTCGTACAAATTTGAAAGGATTCGGATTCATTTTCATTTTGAACCTTAACAACTTTTGCGTATTGAATAAATCTTGTATGGTCAAAGCTGGAATCGATTCCTAGATAGAAGGAATCGCGGGCAATATAATCGAATTTATCTACATCGACGCCACTATGTTTATTAGAGACGATATCGTACAAAAATCTGTAAAATATTATATTTAGTTATAAAGTGATTGGCTGTATTAGAATAGAATAACCTTTTCTTTTTGTCTGTTCTTCCTTTATATTCACCCGTTTCGTCAGGTCCTCGAATCATTTCGCTGACAAATATTAAATCGTTATCGTCAAAATCTGGAAATCTTTGTTTGAAGATCTTCATTAAATCGTTTTTTTCAACCAAATGTTTAAGCATTTCAACACTCATCTCTTCGTGTCGCCGCGCATACTCTGGATATTTAGAGAGGAACCGACCATCAAACATGTGAGAGAATGGTCCATGACCTAAATCATGGCAAAGAGCAGCCAATGACACGCAAAACGCATCCTTGTCACTAATCTCAACGCCCAAATGACTATCAGCATGCAATTTTTCCCGTAGAGATTGAATCAGTAATTGGGCGAGATGGCAAGTTCCAATACTATGCTCAAAGCGATTATGACAAGCGGTTGGATAAACCCAATAGCACGCTCCTAATTGTTTAATATGACGTAATCTTTGAAATTGCCTAGTATCTATAACTCGAATCAACAAAGGATCTATATTGATGTATCCATGAATAGCATCGTTGAAACCTTTCATTTCCCTGCTTTACCCTGTTGATAAAACAAAGGCAAAGTGTTTTGTTAATCCTATCAAGATAATGATAAAACAAGCTAAGTGAATGATAGAATATCATATTATTATGTACAGTAAACTCTCTAATGAATTCAGAGAAAAATTAGTTGAAAATCTTCCAAAAAAAAAGTGTTGTGTTCTTTCATTTTCGTTAAAGATAAAATCACAGAATATCCTACGAATAAAAAACAATAAAATAAGATTAAATAAACACACTCAACTGTCAATTTTTTCCTATTAAATTTTTATTTAGGTGTTATTTACTATAAAACTTTTTAAATTGATCTTGATAGTTAGTCATTGGGGAAATTAACGGCAGCACATGTTCTAAGTTTTACAACAGTGAATGAAAAATATTAATGTAATATTCTGTCATTTTTCAAGACCAATAACGATTATTAGATACTTATGCTAAAACTGAATACTTAGTTAAACATATATTATGTTCAACGTCTAGTTTGCTTGAAAAACGCTACATATAGGTCATTGATAATTCATATATTCGTAACAACGACAAATAAATACTAAAAAATATTCCAAATTGGTCGATAACCTCATAGTTAACTATTATATAGTACATTTTCTTTATGATATTGTAATAAATAGCTCTATGACGCAAATTAGTCACTTTTTACCTTATAAGTTCTATTGGGATATTCCAGCAGAAATTTTGGAAATGGAACTAAAGTTCTGCACGTAATGATCTTTTTACGAAACGTTCAATTTCCAATACGAAGCTTTATCGTCGGAAAATTATTATTTTATTCCTATAAAATATATATTCATTTATCTACATTTTCAATATAACACAATAGCTTAACTTTCAATGTTTAGTGAAAAACGTTTTTTCTCTTTCCTTTCATTAATTAAATAAAGGATCTTTTTTTATTTACTTATATATTTATTTAAGATTGCCCATATATAATTAATTATTTCTAATGTTTATATTTCATTAGTCACAAGTAATCGATTTTTTTCACTATTTAAGTAAAATTATTTCACGAAATAATAACACGAGAAATGGAATTTATACGAAAATAACTTTGCGTATTTATTTAGTATTGAAATGTTCAAGTTCGGCTATAACTTGTATAGTTAATAATTATATAAAGATTATAGTCAGTTTACGATAAGAGATATATTTAAAATACACCCATTCTGTTATGATAATTGAAAATAAGATTTTCGATATATAGATAAATATTAGCATATATAATGCATTAAAGCTAATATGCTATTATGATATTTCATGTATTACAAAGGTTAGAATTCCATACATATCTATCTAGAAGGTAGTAATCATTTTATACTTTTCTTTAAGAAATAATTATTCATCAAATATTTCCTTTATCTGTAAAGTACTTGCTATGTGTTTTTTGTTAAGAAAAAAATGTGATAACACATAAACGATAAAATTTGTAAAATTAAACACCTTCTTTTACTTTTCAATAATGATTAAAGTATTATAATTTTCGATATTTTATCCCCAACTCAATTTCCTATTCGTTTGATATTATATTATGAAAGTGAAATGTGGGTGGACAAACTTGAGAGATTTCTAATTATACATTTATAAAAAGGACTGAATTTAATATGGATAGAATATACCGTATATATTATATAAGGGTCAGTCTAAAAGTTTTAACAGTTTTGCTGCAATTTTAAAACAGTACACTGTAGGCATATATTATCATCATAAATAGAAAGTGAATTTATGAGTTAATTATCATTAAAAATTTCACTCACTTGTGATATTTGAATGAAAAGTTTTTGAGAATTCAGGAGTGGGACAGTATCTATGATGGTACAAAACAGGGAGTAATTATTCAATTTGCTACGTCACAGCAAGATATTTTTTGTCAAAAATTGTGACAGAAGGTGAAACTTTTGTATTCTAAAACGAACCATTGACTAATATTTATGTACACAGAGGATAAAGAGAAAGGCAGCTAGGAAGAGAGAGAAAGGGGGCGGTAGATTGCAAGAGGGATGAGTATAACTATAAAATGTGCATAGAGTTAATTAATTCCCTATTTATTAAAAGAAGGTGAAAATCAAAGTAAAACTGCTTTAATATTAAAATTAAACGAGAGGAATTGCAAGCAATGATTTTGTTTTCTTTGCCTCCTTTTTCTTATAAAATATTACTTTAAAAAGCATCTAAATCTTTTCTGAAAACTTGACCTTTTCACTTTATTTGAACTATTATTGAAAAATAGCGTTAATTAAAATGTCAGTTTGTCAAATGAGCAATGAAAAGTTATATTAAATTTTGAAAATAAGATAAAAGATAAAATTAATGGATAATTGCTATTTATTTGGGAAACAGGTCCAAAAATAGTTTAAAAAAATTGGTTTTATTTAATAGATTATACGTAATTTATTTTGGGAAAGAACGCTCCATACATCAAATAACATTGCTGTGATCAACCATGACGTCTACAAATAATTAAATAACTATTTTTATTTTTTTTGTAAGCTTTAACCTAAATTCTTCCAATCTATACAAACAAACAAAAGCAAAAGTCTAGTAAAGGTAGCCATTTATATATTAAATTAAATAGATAAAAAATAAGTGATTCAACAAGTCTCAACTTTCTAGTAATATCATATACGCTATTTCTATTAATTGTCTTAAATGTAGAATAATGTAAACTTTATATATACAAACAATAACTTAATACGTTCTTCTATTTCAATTGAATTGTGATAATTGTTAGTTAATTAAGTAAATTTGTATACATTATATAATATACATATATACTACTTGTTAGTAATGAGCTTTTAAGAAAGTAAGTATGAATGAAAATCGATTTATTGGGCCTATAAACATGTACAGTTTATCAAAAACTCAATAGAACATACAAAGTATAAAATGTTTTGTTGGTAAAGAGAAAAACTTTTTTTTTATAGATAGGCCTAATTATCACGCCCTCTATAGGTTTTTATATAAATCTCATCAGCCTAAGCGGAAATATAGTCCGTTCAACTGAAAATATTTAAGGCGAATAAACGATGCATTCAGATCAACTACGTCGGAAAGCACTTCCAAAAGTCTCAAATATATCTTAACCGGGCTTGTCGATTGAATGGGAAATCGACAAGAATGACGTAGGTGGACGTCATTTCTCGTGTTCTTACGCGTTTGGCCAAAGACATTTTTACAAATATTTAGAAGAGGCGCTATCTAGCGGATGAATGATTCAACTATCGTGATTGGTTGCGGATACTTTCCTTGGTCGCTGATTGGATATACCATTCCTATAACGAAATCTACAAAAGTAATCTCGTATACACATTCTTTGGCTGAGTTACATTTTTGGAGTCACGTGATCTGCTCCTGTGACGTGGGTACTACGTGATAGCGAATCGGCGAATAATCATCCACATCGGACCACAAGCGCGCCACAAAAAATTACAAACGTGGTGACAAACATAGTGGTGAGTGACGATAATCGACCGATAGAAGCGCTGTTTTCGGCGAACATTTTCGCATAGGATGCCTATGCACTTAGCGCCATGTTTAAAAAAAGAGCGTTGGCTCGAGAACCTATTAAAAAATTGACTGTCGGCCGCTATAATCGCCGGTCAGAAAAAGCATTCGATTGCTTCCCACTTTGAAAATAGTTAACAAGAAACAACTTAAAGCTTTGAATCACTCGATCGATTGTTAAATAAAAAAATATGTTGCAGTAGGAAAATAATGATAAACGAAGTATTGATTATTTTCAATACTGATACAAATGCGCGTATCTCCAGCATTTCATTGCGAAAACCTCGGCTATATGAAGGTGTTACGTAATGTTGCCTAAAACAGTTCCGATAGATGTCGCCTTTTGAACAGGGCATTCGACTATGGAAGAAAACGAGCGGACTGATAACAGTGGAAATCCTCAACAATCAATCGTGCACGTCACCCTCAATCATCCCATACAAGTCGTAACAGCCGGTGGCCTATCCGAGAGCGAGGAACTAGAAGAGGAGCGCCGACGGCGAGAAGTTTTGGCCCGACGTCCATCTTATAGGAAGATACTGCACGAGATAGCCGGCGACGATCAACTCAAAGGAGATCATCACGACGAAGATTCAAATAGTGGTCTTAGCGATACTGGAAGTGAAACAAACCTTCAGCAGCCTGTCATTCCAGCTCACATTCAGCTGGTATCAGATACCAGTGGTGTACAAACAATTACTATGACAAATTCAACATCACCAACACCAAATGGTTCTACTATTGTTCAGTACGCCCAAAGTCCTGAAGGGCAACAATATTTCATTCCTGTTTCTGTTGCTGGAACTCCAGGTCAAACGTATCAGTTAACCACGGCAAACTCCCTCCAATCTTCACCGAACGTAACAGAAGAGGCTAGTCGCAAGAGAGAACTTAGACTTTTAAAGAATAGAGAAGCTGCTCGAGAATGTAGGCGAAAGAAGAAAGAATATGTCAAATGTCTCGAGAATAGGGTAGCAGTCCTCGAGAATCAAAATAAAGCGTTGATAGAGGAGCTAAAGAATTTAAAAGAACTGTATTGCTCCAAAGATGATGTAGCTTAACATGCGAGTTTAATGACAATTTTCCTCTCTTTGTTTTCAAGCTGGTGCTTAAAAAAATGTATATATATATATATATATTTGTATATATATATATATGTATACAGTATATATATATATTAATCTCTCTAATATGTAAATCTAATCTTTGTAAATATTGTGCGCAAATTGTAGAGCAATCTGTACAGTTTGTTGTTTCAATTGTTTTGTCTGTGATGTTTGAGAATGGTTCAATAAGTATATCTAATTTATTAAACAGCTCTTTCGAGCAGATTTTTGTCAAAATTCAACTTAGTAGGTTCAACAGCTTTACGATAGAAAAACAGTACCGTTCTCTGAACGGGATAGGTACGCCAAAATATGAAAAGTGATATTATAGCTAGGACAATATAATACTCTCTCAAAGGCAATCGACAGCTTCCTTTATCCTTTACCAAATCGTAGATGTAATTATAAGTTTCGTCCTCAGATTTCTGCACTACAGCCGGAAGAGGCTTATTTAATATTTCTTTTAGACTGGCTTCATCCTCATCATTATAGCGTTGCCGTTTCTGTTCTGGCGATTTTTTCTTGAAGGCTTGCGGTTTAGCGGCAGGTTGAATTTTTTGTATGAAGCTTTCATCTTCACGGCCTATTCTTTTGGCGTGTAGCTGAGCTTTGGGAACTGGAGCTGGAGCCCAAGAATCTTTTCTTAAACTTTCAATCGAACATGCAAGACTAATGATATATATTGATATTAGAAGCAAACTCATTTCTGTCTTGTTAACTCTAGTTGAAGTAAAGAGTAATTAGAGTATAATAAAGCTTCAAATCTCTCCCAGAGTAACGTGAATAAATTAATTTAATATTATTTTTTTGTATTGTAGGCCTAAAGCTGTATTACAACATCAACCCCTTGTTACATATTCCATCTCTCTCCCTTTTTCAAAGACCTCCTGGCTCTCTCAAAAAACTAGTTCACGTAATTTAGAGGTCTGAAAGTTCAATTGGATGAAGCATATAAGCTTCGCTGGGACAGGAAATAAATTATACTCCCAAATTAATTTAAACCTCCCAATTGAATTGACTTATATTTTTCAATTAGACTTAATAACTACTAAAGAAAATGGGTGGCAAAAAAAGGGTTGTTTAACCCATTAGAAATTAAGCGTTTACCAGGTGGCGCTCTTCTAATCGTAGTTCTAACAAGCGGACGGCTGCGGTATTAAATAAACGAACACTCTAATCTATCAGCCGACGTAATTTTCCCTTTTTCCCGCTAGCCAACTTGTTTAAAAAAAGAGGCCAACGCCCTCCATCGCTTTTTCTCTCCTGTGCAAAAAATCTCTCATTCCCATCTCCTACTCTGCAAGTCTTTCCGGTCACTTCCCTACTCAAATCCTCTTTCTGTCGATGACCGTTCTTTTTAAATATTTTGTTCTTTATATTTTATTATTCTCTTTCTAAATCCAACGACAAAAAGTCGCTACGATTATATTTCTCGTTCATTTATTTTTAGGCCGGTCGGCGTCTGAAGCGTCTAAATTCGATATTTATAGCGTCCTTTATCGTGTAACAAATTCAGTTGCTCTTTCCCGTTTTCAAGTATTATTCAATGACCTCTTTTGTATATAATGTCGCAGATTAGGTATCTCTTCCTTTCTTAACCATTCAATGCTAATCTCCTCTTCAACTACTTCTCCCCTCTCCTCCCTCCTAGCCTCGAAGCTATTTTGCAACACATAAGATACGATAATGCTGCGGATTCGAACTTGGACGAAAAGAAAACTTTGGCAGGTGTTTTCCCTCTAAATTTGTTTACTTTATCGTCGTAACGAGGGAGAAGTGAGGAAGAAACATTGATTTAGTATGGAGAAAGAGAGAGAGAGAGAGAGAAGAGATAGGCGGAACAGTAAGGGGGCAGGGAAAGGGATATGGAAAAGAGTTTTTACAAGCAATAGCAATAAAGCGCCACCTAGGATGACATACTCATCAAGTATTATTTAATAAAAGCCGATAAAGACCGATTAGTATCATAATTATGGGTGAAACGTTTTGGTTACGGTTTAATCGCTTTTTATCTCCTTTGACCTTTCTCGTCATGACTGGAAAACGACGTTCGCCGAATAGGCCTGAGACATGCTTTTAAGAATAAGCCCTTTCCCTTTTAACGGGTTTAATTATTTCTCGCCTATTGTATGGAACTGTCTTATCTTAGAAAAGCTTCTCCCGTCCAAAGGGAGGAGTTTCAACCCAAATCGGAATCCCTGGATTTAGAAAATGACAAGAAATTTAACACTAAGTACAAATTTATGAATTAATACGCAAAAAGCTAAAGGGGGAGGGAGGAGAAGAATGAGTGGTGAGTAGGACTACAAAACAATTTTCGTTGGCCTCGACGATCAATATGGGCGCGTCATTCAATACGAAAGTATTAGAAAAGAAGCTTTATTTCGTCAACGCGAAAGGGAGCGCCATACTGTTGAAAAATGAAACCCCGTGATAAAGAACGACTAATTCGTATGCGAAGCATTTTAAGCAATGATTTGCAAGTAAACGAAGTCATAAATCATATGAAAGAGAAGAGAGCATTAACCGATGCTGAAGTCGGTAAATTATCGTCAGAACACAGGAGACAAACAAAAACGGAAATGCTACTTGATATTTTAGAGAGAAAAAAAACAAGTGAATTTGAAGTTTTTCTCGAAATCTTATCATCATTGCACCCAAATTTATTCTATTTATTCACTGACGATGATGACGATACCGACTTCGGGGACAAAGTATACGGCGAAGATAATCAATATAAAGGATTTTCTAAGGATGACGAATGGACGATCCTCAGAAATACCAGACAGTATATTATCGAACAGATCGACGCTCTTCAAGTTTTGCCTATGTTACAAAAGAAATTCTTGACAGAAAGTGAGAAAGAAGACATCATTGCGGTAAGATTTATATCGAGAAATCTTTTCTCCCTGATGATAAGAAAGACAGAGAGAGAGAGAGAGAGGGAGAGGGAGAGGGAGAGAATCTAAATGTTTCCTTTATTAATTCTTTGACATTAACATCCTAAACAGGGTCAATCGGCTGGTGAGAGAACAGAAGCATTATTAGATATACTCGTCGCAAAAGAACCTGCAGTTTACGACGCTTTTCTCGACGCCCTAGGGGAGCAGTATCCTCACGTTTATCTCAGATTGACCGGTGGTTCAGACGATTTAGATGATTGATATTAATACTAATAAACGAAACTCAAGAGAACAAAAGAGTACTCACTCTGCTGTCTGCATATATAAAATAAAGATGAACCGATACAAATAATTATTCACAAGTGAGAAGGAAGGAAGGAAATGAAAAAAAGAATAAGAGAGAATTGCATGAATGTTAGTAAAAGAGAAAGAGAGAGAGAGAGAGAGAGAGAAAAGGAAGAAAGAATGTTATATAAATGAATAAAAGAAAACATAGCACAGATTTCTATCACAAATAGACGAAATAGACCTATTTATCATCTAAGCTTCAGTTTATTTTACCATATTTACTTATTTATTGTTTTTCTTTAAACAATTTCTATGACTATGATAAAAAATAATTCAAAAAGGAATTAAATAAACAAACATTAAAAGAATATTTAAAAAGATTTATAAACAATATTAATAAAGGAATTTGCAACTAAAATCTTTATTTAATATGAACCGATCCAGATCCCTTTTGAAGAATCGTCGATCCCCGAGTAAGACTAGATCGACTAGTCGCTCCAAAAATGGTATTAGCGATAAAGATCTATCGTTAAAGCGTACAGACACTTTATATAATTCTTTCCTTGAGAATCGTATGATTGTTCTGGGTTTTCTTCTTGGATTAGTTGTCTCCGTTGTTTTCTATTACTTTAGTTTATATTTCGGTTGGAACCAAGACTGTTGGGAAGGCCTTAACAAACAGGATTTTTTCGACGCAAATGCTATTACTTTGGAGGAAGAGCCTACCGAAGGTGGTTAAAGTGAAAAGATCTAAAGAAAACTTAAGAAGAAAACGACGCTTTTTACGACTGTATATAAACTTTTCTTTATAGGCCTACTATAGTACACAATGAATATAAAACTATTAATAGATACCTTTTTTTAATAAATTATATATAGTCATTGAGAATGTTGTAACGTATCATAATACAAGAGACAATTCGTGTTTGTACGTGTGTGTGTGTGTGTGTGTGTGTATGCGTGGGTGGGTGGGTGAGAGACGGGAAGAGAGAGAGAGAGAGAGAGAAATGAGGGAAATGAGGAAGGAGGGGATAGGAGGGAGGGGGTGTGTAAGAGAGGAGAGAAAAAAGAGAATGAAATAAACAGAGTAAGTGAATAGGGTATGAACTTGTGCGAGTGTTATAGTTTGTATATATGTTTGCATGTCAAGCTGAAGAAAAAAGACGAAAGTGTAAGAAAGATAGAGGAAAAAAATATTAATGTAGGAATATAATAGGAAGAGGGAATTTGGAGAAATAAAAGAGAAAAAATGATAGATATTTTTTGTTGTTGCATATAGGACAAAAGATTTTCACTGGTATTTTTTTGTTCTTTGTTATGTTTTTTTTTAAATATATACGTTGTGCTTCTAGAAAGAAAAGAACGTTTTTAGAAATATGCTTCATAACCAGTCGAGAGACAAAGGGGCTTGGAACATAATACACAAAGTAACGCCGATAGTCAGAAAAACGAAGATATATAAAAGTATCCTATCGACGACCAGCGCCACCTGTTGCCATTCGAGCTTTATGATATCACGCCTATCCTGCTCAGCCAAACGTATTTCGTTCTTCTCTATAGTTTGTTGAACCTTTTGCAGTACACGCATAAATTGACGTTCTAGATTATCCAAACTTTGGGGTGAAGAATTTTGGGGTGTTTGTCTTAGACGGCGAAGAAATCTAGGCGAAACTCCACCATTCTCTGGTAAACGATCGGCATCAAAAGTATCCCGAGTGATAGTTTGCCTTTGCGGTACAAAGTCCTTTAAGAAAAGAACGAGAGAAGAGGTGTACAATGTAAAGGGAGGAAAATTGAAATATTAGAACATGATATTGATCATAGCTAAGAAAAAACTTTATACCAGAACTGACATTCGAGTCATACTCATGTTATTATCGACCATGGAACAACCCTGATTCGATCGCTTCAACTTGATATAGCTGGACCGGCCGGAGCAGTCGTCGACGTTACTCTCTGCCGGATATTGCAGCTGAAATACAAGACAATAAAGACGTCAATCGAATACAGCATAATTCACATATTTTTATATACAATATCGCTTTCGACGTATTTTTCCGGTGTTTCCAATTGAATGCAGAGTAATCTGGCGAAAACGCTAAAGAAGATCTTCTTTATGATATTTGGCACTTCTCTACCGCGGATACCCTTATGATGTATATTCAAAGTTAATACAGTCATTGCAGTTGCTAAAGATACTATGGCAATCGTTATCCCATAGTACATTCCAATAAGTGGTAAAACGTCAGAAGTAGGTGGCATACTCTCCGTGACTAGCATAAGGAAGACCTGTTGTTAAATATTATATAATGTTCTTTGAAAAATAAACTAATCAACTTGACAAACGAATAAATGCGTACCGTCATTGATAATAGTGTAGTAATTCCCATAGTCACCTTCTCACCAGAATCAGATGGAATATAGAAGCCGAGTAAAGCAACGAGCGTGATCAGCATGCAAGGCATGATCATGTTAAAAACGTAAAATAACGGTTTCCTTCTCATTTGAATCTTATAAGTTACGTCCGGATACGGTTCTTCGCAACAGGAATACTGGAATAATAGGGAGAAAAAAAAGGGAATTGATAGTTTCCTTTGTTATAAATCTTTGAAATTCTATACTATTTCAAGGTTTAAAAAATTTGTTAAAGGTTGAAAATGAAAAAAAAAAAAGAGACGCCTAGGATTGCTTAAGGTGAGTGTATTACAATATTTATTTATATGTACTTTAACGACATTGCGCTTAGCGTGTAATTTCACCAGTGTCCATTCGCTATTCCGTATATAGTTACTTTCGTCGCCGTCGTCTCCTACTTTCATTAAATTCACCTGAGGAATATAATTAATTGATTGTAAAGAATGTGTACTCGTTTGGGAAACAATAAAAGTTTCTACCTGAAATCCGTCGTACGTCCAAGATGAAAAAAGCATACTGCAATTCTGCTCGTCAAACGGAAAATACTTGACGTTGATTGCGCAGGAACTTTTGAAAATCACCATCGACAGCCACGTGACATTTCCGAAATGATCCACTATCACATTCGTACTAATGGAAGATTTTTGAGCCGAAACATCAGCACTGAGTATGGATTGAAATGGGAATCAGAGAAAGATAAACAGGATGATTAGAAAAGGATAGACTTGATGAATCTATGTATACATCTTACTTCTTTGACGTTTATTATTATTTACTTATTTTAGTAGCTATTTGCTTTAGGGCGTCTAAATGTATAGATTTACTAACTTGTTATAAAGTAGAATATCGGGTCTCCAAATAGCGTCGTAAGGAATACGGATTACTTTGATACCACCATAGTCGTTTGGATTCCATGTTAATTTGTTATCTATCCAATTCTATATAGCCAAATTGGAATAGGATAAGTAGTCAAAAGAAATAAACGATTGGTATATATATAGTCACCTGATTAAGCCAGCTGTTAGTCGTAATGATTTGATTCTTTTCATCCTGCAACGAACCGTATTCTCCTTTTTAATACAGATAAGTTCAGTCGAGCGGTCAGATAGCGCGCTTTAATGATCAGATTACGTTACAGAGTTGGGCATTGGGTAACGAACGGGTAGCGAAAAAGAAGAAAAAGCCAAAAAAGAATGGAAAAAAACAGTAGAAAGGAAAAATATCTAAACTTTTTCTTATAGATTTTTTATACTGCAAAAAGGAAGTTTCTCTTTATCTTTCAGTATTGAAAATCATAATTCTCTATATAGAAAAGATATTATCTGTACTCATTCTCACTTTACTATCTTATATAAACAACTTAAAAGACGGTCAGAGAAATTTGACAAACAAAATATTTACTTTGCTCTCTTAGCTCTAATAGGGATTTATAGTGAAAAGCTGTTTGTTATATGTTAGAATGGAGGTGATACCTTGCAGGAAAATGTACTCGCGCGTCTGCGGCAATGAACAAAACAACTTACAACGTCTATAATTTGTGCTAGACTCAAGCCAAAAGTCACGTTTAAAGGGTCGGAGGCGTTCTTAGACGGTCGAATGCGCCGGTCGTAGTTGCGGAAAAGGTCTCTCATTAGTTTGTATTCCATTTCGTCCCCGTTGCTGCCGTTTGACGCTGCGTAAGTAATTATAAAGAAGTCATTATACAATATACACTTTTGGATAAATATAGAAGCCGATGAGCTGTAATGTAGGAATGATAACAAAAAAATAATCGTCTAATAACATCACTCAAGCCGAGCTTTCCACTTTTACGAGGAAAAAATAGATGACAATTTTTAACAGTTTTTTCTTGCTAACTCTTACCTGTCAACACAAAGACTAAGAGGATTCGCCATAAAAGATTGAGGCTATTGTCCATAGCTTTCCGAAACCTCTAGTTTAATCATCCTCTCCTCTCTTCACGGTTATTCGTCCTGTTCAAAGAGAACGGATAGAGCGACTTATCATTAACTATTATTAATTTATTAAATAAATAACTTTAATATAAGTAATAAATCAGGTAAAGAAATGAAAGAGAAAGTTGTTTTAAAGCAACAATTTGAATCTAAAACTCTAAAAAGAATCTATTAGGGCGAGATAGTAAAAAACTGACGGAGAATATCTAAGATATTTCCTGACATTTCCATACTCTTTGCTGTAGAGACGTTTCATCGACGGTCAAGTTGTATTAACCTCAGCGAAATGTCGCTGTTTTCTCCTTAGGAAGAGGAGATTAACGCGAAAAAAATCAAGGGATAATCCGCTTCAATAATAAAAAGTCAACAATTCTCGCCCTTTCTCATTGCAGTTGGTCAATACAAACAAGAAGAGTGTCTACAATACCTACTTTATATATATATTTACCTAAAAAATTTAAGGTAAGAATATTATATCTGAAAAAATTGCTTTCACTTTCCTTTTTTTTCTCCCGCTAAGATTATCTCCGTTTTTGCACCTTTTACCGTCTTCTCTCAATCTTTTCCTTATTATCTTCTCTATTCTCTCGGAGAAAGAAAAACTATTCCTTCCTTCTCGAGCAGGAAGGCTCGATTAAAAAAGTATCAGAAAAGAATGAAGCAGGCCGATATCCTCGATATCCGACGGGTCTGGCGGCACGAAAAATATTGTAAAAAATGAGAGCGATCACCGCTCTCCTCCTGACAGCTTAGCCAATCGGTGGCCTACCATCTAGTCACGTGACGATTCATATTCTAATCGCTTCGGGAGTCAGCGAAGAAGAGGGTTTCAATAGAGGGGGGTGTAATGATGAAGTTGAAAAGAGTAGGAAGAGAACATATTAAAATAATTACAAATGCGAGAAGCTTCCGAGTCTCTTCTTAATAATCTTATTTTAATATTTATGAAATTAATAACAAGTTGTTTTATCCAATATCCAAGTAAAGTATATTTATGCAATGTAAATTATACGTAGGATCCTTATACGATATAGGATTACGAATATCTTAGATAAAGAAAACGATTATTGAACAGAACGTGACGCGCTTTGAGCGTCTATTCCTACGGGATTGGGAAAAAACTGTAGGAAATGATTGATCTGGAAAGCTACATTCTCCTTACATCAAAAAACCGCTGCTAAACATATAAACGAAACTCTGCGTGTAACTTTACTCAAATGTTTGCATTAGTTTGCCGTCCCGTAAATATTTCATGAAAAGTACAAGAATAAAACAGAAAAAGAGAGAGAAAAAGCAATTTCACATAAAATACCATTTTATTCGCGCGACGCAAATCCTCGAGGATAACATTCGTATAGGATTTTTATGATAATACCATTGAAATTACACAACTGTCGGTCGAAATTCTCTTCAAAAGGTCTTTAAATACTCTTCTTAAAACCCCTCTCGTCTATCAATCACAGTCCGTTGATTTTTAAAGCGGCTTTAGAACGAAAAAAAAGCCGATACGAAACACCTGTTTTACTCGTCCACTACGAAGAGAACGCAGGCGTCAATATTTAAAAGAAAACGAACAAAATTCCAATGAATTAAAAAAAAAAGTAAAACAAGCAACTAGAAAGTTGTTGAAATATTATGTAGGTAACAGGAAGAGAAGAGGAGAAACAGAGTGAGGAGAGAGAGAGAGAGAGAGAGAGCTGGAACGACGAGAGAGTAAAGAAGGGGGGGTCTAGAGTCGACCGTATAATTAATCATCCACTTCGTCGTCCGTTTTCGCATTTATCACAATAACGCCCTGTAAATTAGGACATTGCTGCAAACGTACTTCGACGCCGTTCTGTTCACCATCCACTTTTAGGTGCTTTAAATAAGGTAGAGCAAGCTTGGATAGTCCATCTTTAGTAATAAAAGTTTTGCTCATGTTAAGCTTCGTTAGTCCATAGCAGTTGTTGATGCTACAACTGTCCAGGAATTTGTCCGTAATTGCGGTCGATGAAACGTTCAGCTGCGTGAGATCTGGCAATTCTGTGGCGGAACGAATGGAAGTCGAACGATTAATGCAAAACTAATAAAACGAAAACATAAAAATAAAAGCACTCAAGAAAAAACACGATGTTCAACGGGATAATATCTGTACAAGACTATCAATCAAATGACCAGTTAGATGTATCATATGGTGATAGTCACAGAATGAGTGCAAGTGGGAGGAGATAGAAAAGAGAGGAATGAAAAGAAGCTTCTGTCCAGTCGCATTATAGCCTCTTCATTATACGGCCGAATGGCGATCCATCAAAGACTATGTAACTGTTCCTTCCTCGCCCACTTTAATTCACTTTTGCGCTAGTGGGCGGGTTCGACAAAGACTGATACCGATACAATTGTCGACATTCCTCTTAATTTTTTCTCTTTTATTTATTCTATGAGAGCCGCTCATATTATACTCGTTTTTTTTCCAGGAATACCATGCCGTCACTCGGCAGTCGAATCAGACGTCATCAGTCAACGGATTTATCACGGTCCAAATATTTTCCCAACCGCAATTTGAAAATAAACAAGAACTAACCTCCGATAACCTTCGCCGATTCGTCGTCGATTAGAGTTCGGTTCAAGTCCAACTCCCTGAGCTTCTTTAAACCTGTTTAATAAAAACTTACTATTTATTTAACATTTTGAATTACCTAATCATAAATAAATAAATAAATAGATAGATAACTTAGACATATACATTTATATGAATAAATATATAAATGTAGGCTTCCATCGTCGTTTGTATATATGTATTACCTTTGATCAATGATAATCCGGCTGTCGTCACTTTTACATTGCTAAGCCGCAATATCCGTAGAGAAGTCATTTCAGCAATGTATACCATTGCAGAATCATCTAGATGATTGCAATTTGTTAAGTCCAATTCCTTCAAAGGTAGACCTACGGAGAAAATTAAATTGAAATCAATATAAAAAACTATAAATTGGAATATAGCAAATATTTTCAAGGAAAGGTAACTTGCAACAGCTTTCCTGCCTGAAAGTGAAGGAGAAAAAAGGCTGGTAATTGATCGACAAGCAACGAACGGGGTCGAATTTTATCGGAAACTTCAATTTAGAATAAACACTAAGGTGAAATTTACTTACCCGTCAGTGTTTGTAAAGAGTGCGAAGTAAGAGCTAATCTGTTTGGTAACTCTAATCGTTCCAGTCGAGGTAGATCTGAAAATTGAACCTAAATATATTCTATTCCAGAGAAGAATCTCACGCCCCGAAACTTTTATTGTTTACTTGCCTTTCAAATGGTTAAGGCCCACTTCTGTTTTGATGTTGGTCCCCCGCAAATTCAATGAAATCAAATGTCCGCATTGCTTCAGATGCTGAAGAGAATCCGTACTAACGGCGCAATTCGATATACTATTGGGAATATAAGATAATATACCTAACTCGCTAAAAACTTATAACAATAATAATATTAATAAAGGTAGCTATTGTGTAATAATAACTTTAAATCTTCTAAACGTTCCGCCATTTCCGCTGTACCCCACAACGCATTCACCTTAGTGCCTTCAACGTTAAGAGATGTAACCGCAGTTAAACCTAGTTTCGGAGAAGCGAAAAATAAGTTAAGACAATAAAAAATGACGTGATAACAGTAAAAGTAAAAGTATTTGATAAAAACCTGTAGCAACCAATTGAAGACATTCTTCAGTGACGTTCGTGCGGGCCATATTCAATTCCCTCAGAGCTCGTAAACCAAATCCCGCCATTTGTTCCACACCAACATCAGAGATGGATGTACCCTCAACATTCAAGCTTTCTAATTGGGTAAAATCTACTTTGATAAATACAAATGTAGGTAGTAATCAGTTAAGGATAAACTTGTTATTTCGATTTTTACTATACTTTTTAGAGTTGGAACGAAGCCGTCAGTAATTTGTTTATTGTTAGCAATGCTTAACGAACGCAGATGTTTCAAATCTGAGATAAAGCAACTTTATTAAAAAACAATTGAAAGAGAAAAATACTTGGAAATATATGAGAGAAAATGCTACATAAATTAATATTTACATGAAAGGACTTGTAACCCCACATCAGTCATATAAGCTCCTGAATTAAGGTTCAATATTTCCAGGTGGACGTGATATCTATAAATAACAAGAGATGGAAAGGTGAAAAATACTTTGAATATAAAAAATAACAAAAATAAAGTAGATAGGTGAGCTAAAGAAAGTAGAAAAGCTTAAAGAAAAAAGATAGGAAACGAGGGAGAGAGAAAAGTGGAATAGATGCAGATAGTATGAGAGCTAGAAAGGAACAGTTTAGTACAATGTTTGTTGATGCTTACTTTAACGACTGCAATAATTCGTTGGTCAAATAAGCGTAGCATTCCAAATTCAATTCTGTTAACCGACTACATAAAAAAAGAAACGATTAATACAGTGTATATAATTTACTTATTTAAAGTAGTAATCGATAAAAAAAGCGATAACTTTGATCTATTTTTTTATCATATTATATTACCAAGGAACGAATTTCTGCAGTATTTTAGCTCTAAGTAAGTTTTTTGATTTTAATTCTTCGATAAGACTCGAGGCCAAAGCTGGAGGAAGATTCTAACAAAAAAAATCTAATTAAAAACGTCAAGTACTCAAGTAATTGTTACCTGTAAAGAATATACAGAAGCATAATTTTCCACCAATCTCTTGCAAATTGTCCTTATTAACAATTTTTGATAGCTTATTGGCTGATAAAATAACTTCTTTGGACGGGCTAAACAGCTCGGTGGGGGATGTATAGTCGAGCGACTTTCAGCAGCAATGGCTTATATTTAAGAGTAAAGAATATGAATTATTTAAGGAAAATGTCTCATTTTCTATTTACCTGCTCTTTGCAAAGCAGTTTGCTCAGGGTTCGAAATTTGACCACCTGAATTTAAAACGTGACCCTCCCCCCAGTTATACTGAACAAAATGACCAATATTAACTCCAGGATTGACTATATCGTCCAACATCTCATCATTATTCGCTTGTTCATCATTAGCAGGATAATTTTCGAATTCTGGCACCTGACCTTGTTCTTCATGCTGTTCCTGTTCGGTTTCCATACTCTGAACTATAAGATGTTTAAACAATAAATAGGCTTGGTGAATCAATTAAATTTGATATAGAACAGAATGCACCTGTAGTTACGACAGCTTGTTTCGTTTCATTTCGTGAAACTTTCGTAAGAACAAGAGAACCATTTGGATAGAGACCTAGTTCAATTAAGGTTTTACTTTGATCACTGGATTCGAATTCTTTCCTCGGAAAAGGCTAATAAAAAAAAACCAATGTACCAAGCACCTATTAAGCTTTACTAAAGGTGCAATCTAAAGAAATAGAACCTGCACTAGACTATGGTCGCTAGATGAAAAGCCCAATCTTTCAACAGTTCTAATAACTTCGCGAAATATAGCATCCTTGTCAAATGTTTCCCTTTTGACAGTGTTGTCTGGAAAGCGTATCTGAATAGTAGAAGTTGCCGACTTTGATTTATTTGTATCGGTTTGAACGCATGGCTGCGGAGGTGGTACAGAGGATGTAGAAGGCGGACTTTTAGCCAATTCTTTCTTTCTTTGACGATCTTCATCAATCTGTCTTTTAATTCTTTCTCTTTCCTGTTATTTTTATAAACATAACAAAATTGTTTTTCTTAAAAGAAGTATAAACAGATACTTAGCTATTTATATATATATATAATTTATACATATATATATATAGGAGATGTCTACGTAGATGGATAAATGTATGCATAAGGTATATAATACTACCAATGACAAATATATATATAATATGTTTAAGTGAAAATGTATATATAGTATGTATATATATAGTAGACAAAATTGGCCTGTCTTAGTATTTGGCAAGCAGGACATGAACAAAGTAGATTCGATTTAATAACACATCGTCGGAATAGAAAATTTCTGAGGATTATGAAAACCATCAAATGTATGGTCGTAGGAGACTCGTAAGATCAATAGTTATTTATAATATATAAATATATATATATATATATGTATTTATAAAAATAGATATAGGAAAAATAAAAGAAAAATATATATAAAAAGCAAATATACTTAAAAGATTTATATGCTATTTGTTTTTGTCTATAGAGCTGTCGGAAAGACATCTCTACTTATTTGCTTTACTTCCAATACGTTTCCTAAAGAATATATGCCGACTGCGTAAGTAGATAAGCTAGTTGATATTTCAACATAACTGTTTAATACTACATTGACAGAGTTGACAATTATTCTTCTAACATTATCTTTGAAAATAAACACGTCAATATCGGATTATGGGATTCTAGTGGTAGTACAGAGTTAGACAGGACGAGGACTACTAATTATCCCGGAACGGTACTTATAATAAAATAGATAGTGCTTAGCTGTAATTAATTCAAGTTAATGGTTGACTTTTACACCGAAATCGTTTCAAATTTGATTATATCTTTGCTTACAACCCACTAGGACATATTTCTCATATGTTTTGCTCTCGACAACCCGAATTCTTATGAGAATATTATCAATGTATGGCATCCAGAAATTAGACGGAATAATCCAGATGTGCCAATTATATTAATTGGTACTAAAGCCGATTTACGGGATTCACCCAATGCTAAATGTATAAAACCTTATGAGGTTACTTTTCTTTCATCCTTTTTCATCCCTAAACTATCGCTATATTTATAGAATATTGAATTATACATTACACATATATATATATAAATTTATATATATATATGTTATAATATGACCCGATATATTGTTCAACTATAATTTTAGTAGCAGTATATAAGTATCTACTTGATAGATATTTTTACAAGCAATATACATTTCTAGATTGCTTTAGGATATATCCTTTCTTAAGGGGGGATAACGAAGCTTTAACAATTTTTATATTTTTGTTACTCTAATAACACTATTATCTGTAACGACTCTTTTTCGCAGGCTTTAAGTTTACAAAATAAGATACAAGCAGAACAATATATAGAATGCTCAGCTAGAGCGAAAACGAATATAAATACTGTCTTTAAGGAAGCTGTTAAAGTTGTTATGCTGCCGAAAGCGAAAATTCAGGATAAAAGGACAAAATTAAATATATTAAAATGTTGTTGCCTATAACTTAAACAGTATATAAACTATACTGATTTGTAAATTTTCTGTGTTCAGGCTTTTTATGTAATCGTCTGGCTAATGGTTAATACTGGTTGTAAGCCTATCGTTGTAAAATTTGATAAATTTACTCGATTAAAGATAAGCTAAACTTATTTTGGATGAGAAATGATTTTTTTATTGAGCATACTTACTAATCTTTTATTTCGTTTTTCCTCAACAATCTTCTTACGGGCTTCGAGGCGTTGTTTTTCTTCAAAGCGTTCTTTGATTTTTCTCTGTTCATCATTTAAATGCATGCGACTTTCCAAGGCCTCTTCTTCGGAGTCCATCTTAGTATTATCAAATGTCTCTGTATTTGGGACTGGCTTGGCAGCTGCCTCTGAAAAAGGATTACATTCCTCATTTAGACTCCCACTATTCTGGCCTAGCTTTAATGTTGCAGTAGCTGACTGTTGAATTCGTCTTGGTTTGCCAGAGAGTATCCTATTCGGATAAATGTTATATATTAGATTACGCAACAGCCTAGAAATTTTATTTCTACCAATCTATAGCGTCCTGAACTGTAAGTATACCATTCTGCCAAGCTTCGCGGGAGTCATTCACGTCAAAGCCCATTTCGCTGAGCCGCAAAATGAAGTTCTCTAGCCTTTCCATTAGTGTTATTAATATAATGCTTGAACGATCCCCTTATTCTCCTCTTCCAATTACAAACGCGAAATATTCATGTAGGAATACGAAATACCAGTTTACATTATAGAATTTTTCAGCGCATATTTCAAAATCATCATGTTAGTCATATATACAGAAAAATATACATTTATATCGAAAATTAAATTCAAATTTATTGATAATTTCATTTCGTCGAGTTTGTTAAAATTTATTTTTATCTTTTGATCAAGAAGTATCTTTTTCAAAGTAATATACATGGATACATGCATATACACTATATACAGTATATATCTGTATATATACTATATAGTAAATATACACATAAAAATAGAACTTAAATATAGATCTACATGCAGGAAGAACGACGCGTATAGAAAAAAAAATAAAGAAAAAGAATTTAATAATCATTTTCCCATTATATGTTGTTGCAGTTTCTCATACATCTCCGAGTTCATAGCTTTTGGGTTTTTTGTTGGTGGTCCTCGGTAGAACGGTTCCCTTGTTTCTAAATATTATAAGTATATTTCCGGTTAAGTTTGTATTTTTTTATTATAACAAGTTTACGATAAACAATAACATCTCTTACCGGATGAAATTTGATCGATAACCCCGTACTGCATATTCTCCTTCATATCTCGTTGTCGTAAACGATTCCTATTCTTCATTTCATCTACAACGTTTCTCTGTAAAGAAAATGACGTTGACAACGTTAAAACCCGCTTATTTTTAAGGACAATCGAGAAATTGCATGCCCAACTTTATACGCCTAAAGCATATCAAGAAAAGTAATTCAGCCGCTTAGCAAGACTCTACTCAATACCTTTTGTGGAGTGGGGGAATGTAACACAGATTTATCATCACATGTCAAGGTCGATGACTCCTGCTAATTTTACGAGATTTTTAAAGTTAACTTATTAGGATGACTTAATCAAACGATAGTTGCTTTTTTTGTAAATTAAAAGTAAGTTTAAGCAGTTAATAAAAAGTTAAAAGAGAAAAATCTTGTGATTAACATGTAAATATAACTACTAACCGAAGCTTTACTTTCTTTCTTCTTCTTTAGATTATCCAAAGCTATTCGAGCGCTCTGTTATTAAAAATTGAAGTAAAGACACAAGTAATTAACTAATAGCAATTAGCAAACCTTAAAATTCTGAATAAATCGAACGAAATGAGAAAAGAATTCTGACGGTTTGGTCCTTTGAGGATCTTCGCCAAAGTACGTCACAGCTTCTTCAAATTGTTTCTGAATTATAAAGCAAATATGAATAATTATTATTTATTGTTATTTATTAATTATAACATACCGATGCGGCATTATAGTCCGATAGAACTTTATTCATAACCCTTTCTGAATTATTGACGAATTTATTTAAAATATTAATGTGTTTCCCATCGGTATTTTCTATTTCCCTTTTAGTATTGGCCATCATCTGTTTCAATCTGGCTAACTCATCTTGATAACTTAGAGACGCTGTGTGAAATAAATAAATCACTCGTTAGAAAGTAGAGGACAGTTTCACACTAGTGTTTTAAAAATCTAACCGTGCTGAGCTCGATCAATATTGCCTAATTCATCAGCGAAAGTTAACAGATGTGGGGAAGCCTTTTTCGCCTGCTCAACAACAAACATTAACATAGTATAGTCGGTTGTTTTCGATTTATGAGTTGCGATCTTTTCCAAGGAGCTTAACTGAAATCCATAAACAGCTCCTTTTGATTTCGAGTTTACGTAGTTAATTATGGCGAGTAGAAACTGATAACGAAAGGAATTTTATTTAGTTTGTATCTTTTTCATTCATAGGAAAATATCTAAAGTAGCTTTAAAATAAATATAAGAACTCTACCTCGTATAATTCTCGGAATTTCTTGGAGTTTACAAGATTGTATGAAACGGACAGAACTGCGTTAAAATCTTGTTGCATTCTTGATTTTTCACCATAAGTTTCCTGGAACTCTGCCATGAATTGCATGATTGCTATCTTAGCCTCCAATCTACTTATAGAGAGAAGCTGTAATGATAAGAAATAATTAAAACTTATCGTCCTTCAGATACTCTCAAATGTTAACATCTATAGTAACTGGAAACCGGAGGCAATTCACTTGGGTTAGTCAGTACTCTATAGGCTTATATATAAAATAAATAAATAGGGAGTAAAATTTTTACCGCGGCTAAAAATTGATCTTCTTGTGCCAATTCTGCAGAATCACAGTTTCTTAAAGCTTGTTTCTATATAAAAGAGTAAAGAAAATCAAATGAATAGTTTCAACTTTCCAAAACAACAATTCTCATCTTACCTCTTCTTCGCTTGGAAGTACTTCCAGTAGAATAGTAAGAGTTTCCGTGGAAATTTTTTCGATATCATACTTGGTGATATATTCAATAAGATCCTTTATTGCCGGCAACCTGCGCATCGATATACCGACGTTTCGTTGTTTATCAGCCTTAAGGGTAGTGGCCTTCTTCTTCGAAATAGTGCCGTAAGGCGTTATTTCTTCGTTAACAAAATCATTAGCTTGACTGATGACACTTCGGCCTCTAGTCTCTGGTTCCTTAAACATGGTCTCGAGAATGGCAGTATCAAAGAGTTTATCATTTTTGGCAACTTTTTCATCATCCAATTGAGAAAATATAGAATTTGCAACAAGTCTCATTGGAACCGATTGAACATGTATTGTTGACAGTCTGGCTTTTGAAGTTAATGTTCTCTTTAAAGTTATATTTGCTCCTGAAAAACAATTAAATATTTCTTTTTATTCTTTTCTATGTTTGCTCAAATAGAATATCATTTTGTTTAACCTGGAAGAGGAAGCCCACCTGGTGGTGGGGGAGGTGGGGGAATACCACCACCTGGAGGCGGTGGCGGCCCTGGTGGGGGAGGGGGTGGTGGAGGTGGAGGGGCAGCAGATCTTGGAATTGGTTGAGGAGTTTGACCACTTTTATTAGAGTTTGGTTTAACATAAGTTCCAGTGTTGTTGACAGCAGTATCATTGCTTTTTGTGGACTTTGAATTAAAATCCCTAAGAGATTCTAAAAGGTAATAAAATTAATTTTTCATCAGCCTTTGCCTTTAATATACTTTACCTCTAGCTTTCAGCAATTCTTTCATACTTTCTTCATGTACACTTTGAGTTTTTCTTATTTCAGCATCCTTGTCACTCAGCAGACTTTCTAGAGCATTCAACTTGGCCTAATTAATTTTAAAAATACCAAAATTAATAATATAAATAAAACATACGAATAATAAATTAGCATTTTTGTCCTTACAGATAATGATTCTTTCTCCTTTTCAACTGTTTCCTTTTCATTTTGAGATTTTTCGAACAATTCTTGTATTCTAAGATTTTCTTCTTTCATAAATTGAATATTTTCGACTTGCTGTTTAATTAGGTAATATCGTTATTATATCAATTATTAATAGTATTTCTAAAAAATACTATCGTTAATACAACTTACAAATTCACACTTCTCTTTAAGCTCAGCGTTCTCGGCTAAAACATCCCTTTTCTCTTCAGCGTCCTTTATTAACTCTTCGACATTTACTAAATTACCTAAATAAGCTTGAGCATATTGACTTAAAGTTTCTTGATTTCCTCTTTGTAAAACATTCTAAATAGATGGAAAAGATTTCAATTAAAAAAATTCATAAGATAGCAATTATAAATAATTTAAATTTAATTAATCATGTCAGAAAGACTTACATTTAGAAAAGAATCAAAATCAACTTGAAGGAATTCGTGTTGTAAATAAATTCTAAACTGCATGTCATCGGTTGTATGTACAAATATATTGATGAATTGTACTGCTGCTTTCTAGATAAATAAAGAGAACAAATGAAAAATAACTAATTTGTTTGTAATTAATATATACATGGCATATATCGTTTTATATCAAATGAAAAATATATACCAAATACTCTAATTCATGTTCGTCGTACGTCCTCTCATGAGAGAATATATGTCTACAGGAATCGACCAATGTCTCGAAACGAAGTTTCTCCTTGAAGGTCTATTAAAAATTATCTAACGTTAATAATATAAAGGAATTATCATTTCAAATGGAAAAATAACGAAGGATTATAACTTTTTTAAAATGATCGAAAGCCTCTAGTAATTTTTCATGGCATCCATTTACTAGGCTTATAGCAGTTAATACTTCAAGGACTAAAGATTTAGCTCTACAAAAATAAAAAGTTAACAATTAATTGTATCGGAATTCTTAAAATAGCATCAGTCTGAAATTTCATACCTATGATTGTTATGCATAAGGCATTGTGTGATATTCTTCAAACAACGCTGATTATTATACACTTTAGGAAATCCTATACCACTATTCATAATAGCTCTAATACACTTAACACACCAATAAACGTCATCTTCCGGTTCTCCAACACACTGTAAAACTGTTTGGCGTTTCCTCTTTTCTGTCTTCCTCCAATCGGAGTGCCTTTTATTTGTTTATAATAGAATAATACATAAGAAGTATTTGTTATTTCATATATAAATAGTTATACATTAGATGCGATAAAGACCATTCCATAAAATCTATTAGAATACATAGACCTTGATCTCGATCCAGAAATTGCGACACCCAACTGTAGCAAACAAAATTGTATTAGAAATCAATGAATACGTTTATAATTAATCTGCTTTTCAATGTAAAATAACTTTACTTGACAGAATAAGTTCGAAGGCAAATTTCGAGTTCTTTTAGCACCGTCGTTGTTACTTTCGTTGCCGAATGTTTCCGGTTCTATTGGTAAGTTCAGTTTGGAAAGTAGAGGGGAGATAGGAAGATGAAATGAAATAAGAACCGAAATAACAACAAAAAATATTAGATATATGTCTTTTAGTAGTTGTAAAAAAAAAAATAAAAAACTAAAAAGCCATAAATAGGTGTGTATATATGATAATTAATAGGTATCATAAGGCTTCATTCAACACAGCAAAAAATATCAAAATAGAACGACGAAATTTATAGAAGATCGTCAGCCTGAAATATAGATAATCAAAGGCAAACAAAGCGAAAAATAGTGTTGTCTAGAGGCCACAACAATTAATATTATTCAAAACATCTAACATCATCAATATATTGTGACTACGCTTATAAAAAACAAACATTCTTAATCTGAATATTAATGTTATAAGTATTTTGGCAAATAGCACTAAAAGTTTTTTTTTGCTTTATTTTAATAACAATGTGGCATTTAATAAAAATCAAAAGGCAATATGACTACACTACAAAACAATTGGTTTTCTCCCATAAACAGATGGAATGAATGCAAAATAATATATATATATATATATATATATATATATATATATATATATATATATATTTATCTTTATATATATATAGATTTTATATATTAGTATACAATTGTTTCACACACACACACGAAAATTAAGCGAAAGGACGTATTTTCTAACTAATTCAAATATACATAATAATTCGACCATTAGACGAAATAGGATTGTTTGTTTTTTTTTGTTTGTACTTTTTTTTTTATAGAATTTAACTCACGTTTGATCTTGATGTACACAACAGCGAACTTTTTGTCTGCGTATGCACGTGTTTTTAATCAAAAACTGAACAAATTTAAAATAATGGTTATATTGTCTCATATATGTTTTTTTTTTTGGTTAAACTACAAGGTTATGATGGACTGCTAAAAAAAATGTTTGTTATTCTAAAGGAAATATCTAAATATCTATAATTTGCATAAAGACAACATTGCAGAGAATTGTATATAGTGTATATAAATTCTATATTTATATACATATATACATAGAGGAAAAAAAATTAAAGAGTTGGTTGATTGTTAAGGAAAAAAAATCTATGCTATCCTTTCTAGTACTTTTACAAAATAGACAAGCAGGTTGTCAAAGTGGTATTTAAAAAAAACAAAACAATGTATAAATACCTTCTTTTGTGATTCAACGTCGTAATGAGTTGCTAATTGGTCCAAATAGTATTTCGGTTGAAAAGAATCATCTTTCTCTTTTGTTTCCTGTAATTAGGCTTTAAATTTTTAACTCTGTTTTATTTTAATTTCCTTATTTACATAAATTTGTATCAATTCATATAATTTTTCTTTCTTATACATTTGTAGCATTTTTTCAACTTGATTTGGTTGAATATTCATTTTATTCTGTTGAAAAAATTTCCATTTTAATTATCTTGATAAAAAATTTGTTTCAAAATTTACTACCTGAGCCATATACTTAAACTGATTCCGGACCTCATCTTCAGCGAGATTAGACATTGCCACAGAATTTGATGTTGGTGTAGTGACATTTTGTAAAGGAGGGTCTATTGTCAATTTATTGACATCTTTGCGAGTTTTACCCGACTTCATGATCTACTCTGTAAATACTACTAAAATTATGCTCTAAGCAGGCCAAACTGGCAAAATTATATGACTAATGCAGATAGAAGGTGTTTCCTATTGTATATCAGTTTGCCCCTTCATATAATTACCTATTGATTGTGCGAAAAAGTGCTGTTTACAGTCCAGTGCCTAAGTCACGTGTAGTTTACATCAAAAGACTATAGATCCTTCTGTATGTACATATGTTGGTATTTTGTCTGTACAAAATAAACACACCGGAAGTGCTAATAGTCTATATTGTAGCCTGGTTCCGGATACTCCCCTGTATATTTGGCGGGAAAATATAATTTTTATAGCATTTTCCTTCAATTTACAAACCTACTCTATATTTCGATATTTTGACTGACCAGTGATATTTAAAAATTATTTAACAGCGTAATTTTTAATATTATTCATTTTTTTTGCCCTAAGTCTTTTCAATACTCTCCTTACTATTCTAATGCGTTTTAGATACGTTATTTTCTTCCGGGTCAGAGCCTCAGAGAATCATTCAACACTCAGATATGAGAGTTTTCTTCTAATTTATTTCGGAGGAGGATAAAATCCAAAACTGCTATTGCTTGATTATAATTCAAGAGGTAGTTTCAATTCATTTTTCTATTTAAAAGAGAGAGAACTTCAAGAGATACAAACGAAATCCTCCATATTTTATTTATATTTCGTAGGAGTTTTCTTAATATTTATCGTATCTTAAATGGATTTTATTATAACTATTATATTTGTAATTTTTTTATCATATCAGTATAATAATGTAATGACTGGCCTAAAGATTATCTTAGTTTATGTTAATCATACATTTATGATATTTTCTATAATATTCAGAAATGAAATCAATAATCCTATTTAAGTAGCTAAAAGTATACTGAATATAGATTAACGTTTTATCGGTTAGATTATAGATATTAAAAGATATTCTTTTTATCACTTATGGTTTCCGTAAATTCGATATGTAATAATTTGGCGCGAAAAGTTTCTGTTTTGTTTCTAAAATCCATCTTCTGACCTAATAACAATGACTAACGATATTTATTCTATAGATTTATATTATATTTCTATAACAGGCAACCGCATGATAAGTCTATTTCTTTAGAATTGAAAAAAAAACAGTGTCTTCAAAGTTAACATGAATTTTTTTTGTCACAAAAATATTTTCTTCCGTAATATTAAGTCTAACTCTTTCAAATGCTAACTAGCTTCTGGCAATATGAACATAGCTGAACTGATCAGGAAGAAAACTCCAGAGAACTACGTATATGAACTTTTGAAAATGGGCAAAGGTAATCTTTATTCAGTGGATAATGACTTCAGATATTGTGCTATTCATTGGTGCATAATTCGTTTCTATAACGTAATATTGAAGTTTATTTTAGAATTAGGATTTAATCCTAATTTTAAATGTACTCAAACTGGACTTCCATTTCTTCAAGTAGCTATAGTATTGCAAAATGAACAGGCTATAGAGATATTATTATCAAGGTGCGTGATCTACATAATTAAGAATTATAATTGCATAAAGTTTATATACAGAGATGCTAATGTCAACATTCTAAATGAGAATAATGATACTGCTCTACATTGTGCTAGTGTGAAAGGATTAACAAATGTCTGTAAGGTAAGGACTAGTTTAATCCCTTTTTATTAAAAAATTTTACTTGTCCGTTAACAATTTAATTTTACAGATCCTACTCAGTTACGGAGCTACTGAAAAGGAGGTGAATAATCAAGGTAGAACGCCATTAATGGAAGCTACAAAGAGAAATTATACAGATGTGATAGAAGTGCTTAAGAAAGGAAAAACAGGTTAGAGTTTCATTTTAGATATTTTCAAATTAAGAAAGTTTTATAAAGTTATAAATTATATACTACACTTTACATGATAACGAATATTGCAAGACTTTTATCTTTTCCAAGGAGTTTCAAAGTCAACGGAGACTATTCAAGGTTTTGTGAAACGTTTACACGAAGACGATGGTTCTAATGGGAATAAAGTAAAGAAAAAAGAAGTTATAAACTTTTTCTTAGGAAATATCTCCGAATTCGAAATTTTACGAAGTCCTTTTCCAAAAGAATCAATACTTAAAAATTATCAAATTATTAAGCGATATCGATTACATTCGAAAAGAGAATTCAGTAATGGAGTCGTTCTTAAAGAAAAGATAAAATTCCATAAATACATGTTTGTTTATATGGTAGGCAACAGTTATTTGATTTCATTCTTGCTTTCCTGTCTTATTGTTTGTAATTTTTTTCAATGATTTTTACAGAATGAAGAATGTAATTCACAGAGCATTCTTAGATTATCGTTCATGCGATCGTTGAACCATCAAAACGTTGAAAAATTGTATTTTTGCGATATGTTTTTACGGGACGGAAGCAAATATTTTAAAACTATTACAGACTATTATCCAGCAACCTTAGAATCTTTTGTACAGCACTATCAGTCAAAGTACTCGGATTGCATTTATTACGGAATATGTGGTTTATTGTTATTACAATATATCTATGGAATTCTATCTGCAATTGATTACTTATTAGGAAAGAAAAGTTCCCTAGAAATTTCAAAAAGTGACATTTTCATTAATCAAAATGGTATATTAACCATTCGCTGTCTCAGTACCAATACGAAATCTGAATGCACTAGTGTTAGAGATTCGAAGGATATAAATACTTTAGTATGGAATTACTATACAAACCTATTTAAGGATAATATTGATGAAGAGCTATATTTTTACAATCAGATAATCAATGAGGAAGAAAATTTAACAATTATTAGAAAGAGGTTTGTATATTATATCATCACTATACATATTTATTATATATACTTTATATCATTTAGAATACGTCTTTATGTTTATCACAAAATTCTGAAAGAGCCTTCAGCCTTCTATAAAACTTACTCTGTGTAAGGTCCTTTCTAATAGTCATCCTATAGTTAATTATATTTTCATTACCTCTTACACATGTATATATATATATCCGTGTTTATTCTTTTTATAGACCAAGTTCGCCATCGCTAGTCAAAACTGATCATACTCTTGTGGTGGAAATGTCTCAATGTCAAACGGTTAATAGTTATCTCATCTTAATGGATTTTTATTTATTAGACACTCACGATTATGAATTATAATATATAAGCGCAATATTTTAATGCATACAGTATACAGATTATATTGTTTCTATATCTTGATGAATAGTTCATAAATATAATTTCTACAATAGCGGATATTCTTGTCTAGTTAGTTTAATTGCTCTATATAAATCTTCATTCATGCACGAATATTCAATATTAGCATTGTTTAAGTTTAAGTTTTCTTCATCTTTACTCATTTCCTTTAAGTTGAATGCAATCTTTTCTAACAAATCTCTACCACTATCAGTAAACATTGGAATTACTTTTTTCGAAAATCTAATCTTGGTACCACCCAATCCAGTAGTATTCTTTAGAATCGACCTAATTAATCTATTTATTTTGTATGTTGCACCCAATTTTTTCTTTATCTTTCGGAGTTTACTTTCCTTTTTCATCGCATGAGTCATGGTTGTCTTTGATATTATTTGTTGATATAAAGTTTGAAATTGTACCATTTATTTGTTTACGTCATTAGAACATTACGTTGTAAACTTTCTAACAATGATTAGTGATAAAAATTTGCACACAAGTACGCATTTATAAAATATATATATTATATAGTATATAATCCTTTACGATAAGACTGAAACTATACTAAGAGAGAGAGAGAGAGAGAGAGAGATGCTCCACAAGAAACGAAATGTATTATTATTTCTGCGAAAGGTTGATGAACCCTTTAGCTAGAAAAAAATAAGTTGTGTTAGCCTTATAAATGATAAGCTATTTTTAGAGAACTATTCTCTCTCCTTACCTATTAATCTATGCTCAAAAAATAGAAATTAAATTTTCAAAGTAATCAAAAGCTTTACCCCGTCACGATCAGAGCGAATAATTTGATGACTCATTCTTCAACATTCATGCACAGCACTACATCATATGAATAAACCCTATTGACAATATTTTAGTAATCTAAAAATAAAATTCAAGCACAAAAAAAGTTTTGACTCATAGCATCACTTAATTTAACAATAAGATTGAGAATCCTAGACATACATAATATATCTATATATATATATATTAGTATATATAGTATGTACAGTATTCGAATTTCATTCGCTGGTTGTACAACTACTGCTAAACAGTAAAATTCCCACCTTAAAAAGGCATCCCTAATGATTTATTTAATGTATTAGGTAATATATTATACAATATTCTTATTTTGTTAAGAATCAAAAGAAGGAAAGAAAGAAAAAGAACAAAGTTAAATATTTACCGCCAAAAATTAAACAAACTCATTCTAAGATAACTTTACCAAATAGGTTACTTTTTTCTTATATTACTCTTTGTAAATATACTTCTTTATTATCATTCAATCATATTGAACCTCAAAAGTATAGTAATAAATTAAATTTAATAGTAAATTCCTTTGTTTCATGCACTTTGAACGATAATATCAGATTTGATACAAGTACATTAAAATTATTCTACAAAAAATATTAAATCTTTGCTAATTATATATTGATAAATATTCTAAACATATTATTGAGCTGACTTTGTATGATATTGAAATCACTTTTGTGATAGAACATAATAGAATTTTCCAAATGAAGGCCAGAGAAGGAATACTGGACCAGACGTCCATTATTTAAACACGTGCCCGCTCTTTTTAGAAATACCACTTTAATTTCTGTAGAATTGTTGATGAAAGGTACTAGTTTTCACTGTTAACTTTTATTTACATCTTATTAATCACTCTCGTATACTTTATTCAAAATTAATTATCAAAATGCTTCACTTATTTGGATGTTTTTTGACATTGTGTAATCTCCGCCATCTTTGAACAGGTTCTTAGTGGCTAAATAAACTGTTGCAATTTAGGATTTGTGTGGATGATTTTTAACCCTCTTTAAGACTTAAGTTTCAGTTTATTAGAAAGAGAATCTAATGGCCTTAAATAGCAATCTTCTTTTGAAGCTTAAATTGTTTTTCAGCTCATTGGAAAAATTGTTCTTTGGAAGATTAGCATGTCTCGTTCACGGTTCTTTTCCTTCAAATTCTTTACACCGTTCTTCTAATAAATTGGTTCTATTTTAGAAGAAAGTAATGAAAAAATTATTTGGGTGAGTCGTTTGTTAATCAAGATTTTTTTGTGTATGATATCATTATATAGGACTGCCAAAGGTTCATCCATGGAGCGACAAACTCACTTGAAAGGTAAATCTATATTTTAATAGTTGTAATTATCATTATTGTAGCCTTAGCCATAAATATGAATGTGTTTTAGTTAGTATTCAGCAATCAAGCATTTAAAATTAACGCCTTATTTTTAAAATGGCAGCACCAATTCCTGAACTCGGGTCAATGCCGGACGGCAGCACTTTTATTAACTTGATAAGTAGCGACGAGGATAACGATAGTGTTATTGTTATTTCCTCAGAAGACGAAAACGAAGAAGCATTAACTATGAAATCAAATTTCTCATATAAAATCTTCACAGGCTCTCCTAACTTTCACATTAATCAGAAAATTATACATATATACCCTGATATCAATGGTCGTCATGATCCGGCTTTATTCTCAAGGTTATGCCAAAACCAGAGTATAAACTTAGTTAATACAGACGAGAGTGAACCAGACGAAAAAGACAAAATTCCCAAAAATGTGCCTTTAACGACTAATATAATTGATATTGAGGAATATTCTTTGGAGGATGATTCTCAAGAATCGCCTCTCATTGAAAAAAAACAAAAGCGTGTAAAAGGTAAAAAATCTATAGTGAAAAAAGCAAGAAAATCAACAAAAGGGAGAAAATCAGAAACTGTTAAACGTCAACCTACAAAAGAGAAAAGAGCCAAAACTACTCTAGTGACAGATAATTATTCCACCTCTACTTTGTTTCCGAGCCCTGCAAACTGTATTGTAGAGGAACCTGAAATAGATAGGGTAGATAATGTAACTTTTTATTGGAATTCCAGTCTATCGGCGGCCAGCTATTGGAGTAATTATAATCTCACTAAACGGCCCCCTAAATCACTGAAAGACTTATTAAGCCCTGGTGATGCTAAAGTTCTTTTAGAGTCCTATCCCAAATTAATACCTACTCGAAGACGCAAATTGGAAAACTTAGTAGCTAAAGAATTGCCTAATTTAGAGTTTTATAAGAATCATGTCAATGAAATTGCCAATATGTATACCAAACCAAAGAAATCTAGAGCTACTACTGTTATGATAAAGATAAATAAGAATCTAGCAGCTTGTATTGCCAAAACGGCTGATCCATTTTTACCAAAGAGAAATTTACATAAAATATTCAATTCCTCTGAGGTATCCGAAACTCGTCGAATGAAAAAATCGAAATCAGCTCGTGAGGAATTTTTGCCATATGATAATGAGGATAGAAATTTTTCGATAGAGAAAGTGAATCCAGTTTGCGAAAAGAGTTTTTGTTATCTAGGTTGTATATGTAAGAGTTTAAAAACCAATAAAGAAGATATACCAAGATTAACTATACATTGTCGAAAATTAACTTGTATGTTTCATTGTGTTTGGTAAGTTTTTCAATATTTTAATTTATCACAGGTTTCTTTTATAATTCATATTAAACAGTGAGATAGAAAAAAAGAAACCTCAATTGAAAAGACATACATGCGCAATATTAAGACGGTCGAAGGCAAAAGAAGACTCTGCAAAGTCCGGAAATACCGTTGTCAAAGAGAAATGTTCGCGTAAAAGTCCTCTCATTCCAAAATTATCTAAAATATTAGAAAAACCTAAACTTGACCAAATCGAAGATATAGAAGGTCCAGTAGACAAAACAGAAGATAACTCGGCGTTATTTAAGGTTAGCGAACTAATGGAAAACGAAATTCCTGATCCAACTGTAGAACCGAATATTGTTGCTATTTTTCGAGATATTTGTATGGAATATAGAAAAGATTTTACGAAGTTTATTTATCAGATTTCATTAAATGAAATAGATAAAGCAAGAGTTTTTTCCACTGTTAAATGCGACGACAATGATTTTCAAGAATTGTTGAAAAATTTAAATGCTGCAAAAGAAGATTCTCATATTACCAAACTGTCCACTGGAAAATACGTGATGATAACACCGAAAAGTGTTTTGAATGAAAATCACTATGAAGTATTCATAAATGGTGTATCGAAAGATCTACGCCTGCGAAATTTTACAGGTAAATTTTTGAAGTGTTCCAAGCAATATCAAGCTCTGACCAAAGTCAAGTTGCCTCGAGAACTATCATCAAAAGAGGAGTGTACACTTAAACCTGAACCAAAATTGCCAGATAAATTACCGATTCCCAGTATTTCTCAAGCCAAAAGAAGTTCGGCAGTCTTCTCACCTTTACATACTGGTATCTCGAGTTTGAACAATTTCAACGTTAAATACAATAATGGTTTCACCGATAAGGAAAATGATAAATTGCCGATTAATTGTAATGTGTCGTCGAATTTTAAACTTCTCGAACAGGTAAATATAGATGGAAGGAAGAATGCTATAAGAGCTCCTCATTTTAGAGCACAAATAGTGACACCGGCAGGTATTCATCTAGCCCATTCAATGCTGAAGCCAAGGATTGCCGTTCTACCCTCAACGCATTTCGCTCAGTTTATAGCGGTGCCTCATCCGCCAAAGAAAGAAATAGCAAGAATTTCTAAGTCAGAAGTATCCTGGGAGGAAGCAATGAGCTACGTGTCTTCTTCAGAAGAAGAAGCGAATTCTTCCCAATAGGAAATGTATATTTATAAATTATAGATCGACATATTGAATATAATGATATATTAAGAGAAATTTAATGTATAGTTCGTTTATTGTTGATTAACTTTTTGGGATAAAAAGTCCTTTACGGCGTAAATTTTGAAAATTGAACCGTTTCCTACTATAAAATAACTGAAAGCACCAAAAAAAAAACTAAAATAACCACTGCTAGTTGCATAAGACAGTTGTAATTGGAATGTTAGGTAAAACAGATTATTCGATACTGAATGTACTAGTTTCTTCAACGGCAACAGTTAGTTTTTCGAATAACATTTCAAAAGAAGTATAAGGGGGCAAGTCCAATCTATTAAAGCAAGTATGTGCTCTGAAATGTAAAGCATCATGTTTAATGATAGTTGTTCACAATGTGTAAATAGTATAGTAAGTGAAATGTAAATTGTACCTAGGCAAGCTGGTAATTTTGCCCCATTTTTCTATGCAAAATTTTCTCGGTCCATTGCTTCCCCTTAACGCGGCAAAACCTTCGTACGGGATGGAGCTTGTTCCAGTCACGAATTGTAATAATCTTAGCCGTCTTTCGTTATTGTATTTTTCGACGGCCGTCCAAAACCACTCAATTATTTGATGGCTGTCGTGATAGCCTGATCTATATTCTGAATTTCTTCTCCATTCATTAACATCTATTTCCGCTGTTCCAACCATAACCAATTCTAGCTCTCTTGCATCAAAATATGTAAGCAGCTTTGGCTCGATTACTTCATATACACCTCGAATCATATAATCAGTCTGCTCACAGACTCCCCTCTCGCAACGCCATCTTGCTAATTTGTCAATGTAGTCCTTCTTGTTTTTCTCTGTCACAGGTATATTTTTACCATTTTTTATTAATTCCCGTTCAGTTACTTGACCAAAAATCTCTTCGTCTACTGCAAATACTAAGTCCAGTCCGCAGTCTGTTATATCATTATCCTTTATCCAGACTAATGACTGGTGAAACTCTGCATCCATAGATTCAAGATCGTCAAGGCTTGGAGCAATTCTTAAAAGCGATTTATAAAAGGGTCGTGTGAAAAATGCATCGATAAGATACTGATGAACTAGTGCCAAACCAATTACTCTTCCAGCAAATCGAAACCTGATTGTAAGATAAATTATTTATAATACATGAATAGTGTGTCAAGCGCATATAAAATAGGTAATTACCATTCATTGGCATTTTCAACAAAATTTGAAACTGGACTAATTTGAACTGTATAGGTATCGTTCGCCGAATATTCAAAGAGACCATAGTAAGGGTTAAATAATTCCCTCGATAATAAATAAAAGAATTCTCGAGAAGGGCCGCCATAGTCCAAACCTTCTTCTCCTTGAAAAGTTACATAAAATTTTGATTTTTGTAAATCTCTCTTTTGAATATTCATAATCTTTGAGAATGAATCTTCCAAAATATGGTCCCTTCTAACAGTCAATCTACAATGAATAAAATTAATAGACGGATTAGAGTAAAGCTAACAAAAGATTATATAGTATATCGATTAATATTTACTTCAGCTTATGAGGACCTAAACCATAACCCTTCTGTTCTAATTTTTTGTGAAAACTTCGCAATTTTGACTGAAAGTCCCGTTTAAATGGAGCTGGGACACGCCCTGTATGTCTTTGAAGTCCAGGAGATGCATGCGGTGAGCCTTGAGGAGAATCTGAGTTGACATTTCTGATGGGTGTTCCCGGCTGATAAGACATTATATCTTGATCAAACAAGCTACAAATAAAGTACAAATTAATTATAATTATTTCTGTCGGTTTAGGGAAATTAGATATACCTTAAAACCATTATTAGTTCTATGTCGTTACTTAGACGCTCCAGGGCCTCTACACCATCAGATCTAATCACATTGATCTTGTTTCGCACGTTACTTTTGTTCGCGAAAGCTGGTTGTTTCTCATGTATCAAATTAAAGATGTTAGGCTGGCGGAGAAATGAGACAACCTTATCATTGTAAGTTTCCTCCACAGGAACGTTGTACAGTCGGGACTAAAATAAAGTTCAAAAAAGAACAATAAAACACTTGTTATGGGAAAAAATAAAAGAAAGGGGTATTAAAAAACTAATATACCCTGGGTGCCGGCGCCAATCCACTTTCAACTCCCCGACCCAATACACCGGACAAAAGACTAGACGGCGTTTCAGTAGGCAGTCTTGGATCGATGAAAGTCGTCGACCGTGTCGTATGATCGATGTAGAAAGGTTTGTTATTTCGATTGTGTTTTAGCTCCCATTTTGATGGTAGAGGCTTAGAAGGATCCGCAAAATGATTTATGAACGTGACAAAATCTCTATTGTGCTGATATCTGTTGTATAGAGTAAGGTGGGGGGCGAAATGAGATTAAATAAAGATAAGCGTTCAAATGTTTTCCACTCACTTTTCAAAGTTGTTTGAATCTCTTCGAATTTTCTGTATCATATGTTTCAACGTAGAGTTTTTATTGAACTCTGATTGGGCAACCTAAAAAATTAAATATAGTAATTTAAATGTGTCATTTACACAATTGTATAACTCGTTATTTTCTTACTTGGTTGTTCTGCATGATCTGGAAAAAATCAGGACGAGTGAGAAATCGAACAGTAGGCGATATTCTTTTCCCAACGGTTCGAGGAGGCAGCGGTGGCTGTTTGGGAGTAGCTTCTACTTCCGGCCTCGTTTCCTCAACTGACGTTGTCGCGACTGGAGATGGTGACGAACTGGTAGCACCGCTCACTTCCCCAGCACTACCATTTTCCTGCATACCAACGGTTCTTCTAATACTTTGGTAACGTTTGTCCAATTCTTCCCTCTGCTCATTACTGATCGTTGGGCGTCTTTGAATACGACTAGATACTTCTGTTTGGTTGTTTGGTGTTGTAGCTGGAGCTCTCCAGGTTGTTGAGCGAGTATTATGATCTATATAAAATACTCGACCGTGTATATCAACCCGAGCTTCCCAACCTTGTGGCAAGTTCAATTCTGCAGGCTGTTCAACGCGAGCAGGCTGTTGTTCTGGCGGTGCTTCCTGAATGTTTGGCGTCGACGATCTCCTCTCCCAAACTCCCACGGAACGTGGAGGTAAATGCGGTGGTGTTTCGGTAGAATTATCGCCACTGGGCAAAGTTGGAGGCTTTGATCTCCTAATAGAATCACGAGGTGGTAATGGTGGGGCAGGTCTAGGAGATGGCGGATTGGGAGACTGCTTGTTAACCTTCTTCTCCATCCACTCGTTTAGTTTTTCGCGAATCACTTGTTTAGAATCATCAACAGAGCGAACTGTGCCAGTCGAATCAGTAGAGAGACGTCTTGGCGATGGACCACCGTCAACTGCGTCTGTGGACGTATCGAGAGCCGAGTCAGTTTCATTATTATTGTTTGCATTGTTGTTATTGTTGTTATTTTGGACGGTTGAGGCTGCAGTTGCACCTCTTTCTTGGACTTGTTGAGCACTTTGAAGGATCTGAGCTCGACTGAAAGGTACAGGATTTGACGATGTACCGGCTTGGGTATTATGACCATTTGTGCATAATGGACAATTGCTACCGAAAGAATGGGGGCTACCATTCTCTTCAGATGCCACGACGCCGCTATCGTCCAGCGAATTCGGCGCCGCAGCGGCAACCTCTTTTAAAGCAGTCGGTGGATTCTCATAGGACGGAGCAGAAACATCCTCTTGGGAGCCATTGAAAGCTTCCATCGAATCGTAACTAGTTGTCCGTTTACTAGACCTAACCGGAAGTGGGGGTGGTTGACGACGAGGCGGAAGAGGGGGAGGAACGGGTTTTTTCCTCTTAGGGTGATGAAAGCTTTGCCTTGTTTTGGGGGGTGTATTTGCGGGCTCTTCAACTTGAACGTTGAAAGTTAATAGGCCGCTGACCAAATCAGAGGGATTCCGCCTCATTAAATTCAAAGTCATAGACATGGCTGCTGATTTTCCGCGGACGCTGTTAAAGGGCGAAAAAGGAATTATACCAGATGTTATCTTCTCACAAAGAAGTATAACGATTAAACTCTCTCATTCTGTCACTCTTTCAATGTTTCACATTCTTTCTGACCGATCTCCCAATGCTGGCAATGTTTACCACAAATATACAAATTGACGCTTACTTAGAGAAATAGTGAATAAATAAAAGGCGTCGGTCCAACGAAAATGAAATATGAATAATGCAAGCGAAAACCGATGGCGTCTGACGATAGTAATCTAGCTTTACGCATACCAATAGAAAGAGGCACTATAAATGTGTATAATATAAGGGTTTCAAAAAGAGGAAGATAGTACTGAGGAATTTTTTTTAGGCTAGAATGAAAGAAACCCGAAGACATAAAAAGATGTGAATGATTATTGATCTTTTCTATATGGTAAACAAGACAACGCTAACAAAATGCGGAAACTTAATTAACCTACCATTGAGAAGACGCACGATTTTTTATGACCAGTGAATATAAACAATAGTTTCACTTCCGTTTCTTACAATTGTAAATACTTCGGAGCGTCTATTATCTCCTTTCATGGCTTATTTTTCAATTAGTCTCGGTATTTATAATCAAAAGCTATTGTTATATTAGACATAGGTAAAGAAAGAGTAGCCTCATTAAAAAGAATGGGAACTATAGAAATAAAAGCGGAAAAAGTGGAAAAGAAGTAGGGAAAAAGTCATTCTTTTGTATTTCTTGCTACTCGATAATTATCTAATATGAAAAAGCGTTCAATTATATAGAAAAAAATCATTATTGGATACAAAAAACTGACTGCGACACGAAACCGTTTTTTCGCTAATGTTTAAAATAGCTAACTTTTGCCTCATCGATTCACCTAGGGTGTGGCTTTAAGTCGTATACCTGCCGATTATTATTATTAGGAACAGCTGTGCTATGCCGTTAATTAATTATTCAAGCATAAGCTTTTCATAGGCTAAATTACAAAAAGAGGCAATACGGCAAAGCTGACAGGCTGCTCGATAAAAACTAAGTAATCGTTGTACGTAAGAGATGTCGACGCCGAAAAACTACCATACGATTGAAATAAACGACGTCCATCAACGTCTAAACGTATTACTATCACACACGCGATTTAAATCGATCGGTTACGCAAAAGTTATACCCTTACGAGTGTATACCGATTAACAAGACAGCTTGCGCAAAGCAAGATCACATATATAGAGTTTAACCCTTTCAAGCAGTTGGGGCGCTAATGTAACTCTGGCGAGCGTCTACAGAAACATATCGATTTATGTTGGAACGTACCCAGTGGAATTGGCGGTCGGGGTGGAGCACTTGTCAAGAATCTTTTGGATTGGTACTGTCAATTTTCCTAAGAATCTATTGAGGCTCGGGCGTCTCTTGGCAAATTTATCTTTAAGCTCAAATTCCAAAACGTCCGTCGATAAGGCTTCGAAGGTGAATTCCTAAAGGGAAAAATTAACCTAGGTAAAGTCGTTATACTAACAGCCCTAGAGCATCATAATCGTAATCGATTGCCGCTATAAATCGAGAGAGAGAGAGGGAAAACTCAGGATTGAAAAAAAAAATAAATGATTGGGACAAAAGGATATTTGGAGGGAAAACTAAGCATAAGAATAATAACAATAGGAACGTTTGCCGTATGTATTATGTGCACAAATTTTGTACAGTAAAAATATTCAGTATAAAGAGAATTTTCACAAAAGCACGTGCTTTTTGCAAAGATCGATAAAAGTATAAATCCAGCGCCGTTCAACTAAACAAAGGCACAATAACGTGTTCGGATGAGTAAAGTGAAAAAAAAAAATGAGTCGTAAAAGCGCTCTTTGTTTACCCTGCAGAGGTTTTAGCAGAGGAAGAAGGCTGGACGTAGGCGGGAAAGAGGGAGTGAAAGAAGGTAGTGAATTATCGCTTTTGGCTATTTTCAATATGATTAGACCACCCTACAACCAATACGACCAGCCTTTTCGGAACGAAAAGTGCCGGCGATTCATACAATTGACATATGAACAGTGACTTACGTAAGATCCTTCGACTTTCAAAGTGCCAGGTTATAAATTCACCTATATTCGATTTCACCTTGATTTGTAGGCCTTATAATTTCTTTGCCCCTTAGTCACTAAAAGCTTATCTCATCCGTTCGTCTGTTCACAAACTATACAGTAGATAACATCGATTGATAATCCGATTGAAGTCAAAATATATAGGTATATCTTCAAAGTATGCTTATTTGTTGCTTTCTAATTTTAGTTAGAAATAATTCCTAGCTGTTGCAAAATCCGAGTATGCAATCCGACTCATTAGCCTATATTTTTCCATTTGACTCTTAACAAATACCGAACGAACGACCGTCGGTAAGCGAATGAACATTCCAAAGCGACACAAGCGCTACCTGGTGATATTTTATTATTTTTGCTCTTATAACTGACGTCTACGTCATTTTCTATTTTTTTTTTACCCCGCATCATATATTAACTTTATTCTGTTCTTTTCCCCCTTGTAAAATATATATATTCACATATTGAATAATTGAAAATAAATGAAGGATAAGGGAGAGAATGGGTGGGGGGCGGTGGAAAATAAACTAGCAATAGAGTTCACGTTCTTGGCTTTTATTTGTTAGTATTTACTTACCTCGTTCGACCAGGACGGATTCTGCGTATTGTTGGCGCACCTCGTCTTTACTTTTTGCCCATGATGCTGGAGGAGGGGAAAAGACGAACGTTTTCCAGGCTGTATGGACATTTTCACGTACGGATCCGGATTAAAAAACACACCCTTCTTCAAATTCTTAGCCGCTAAATCTGTCGAGTTTAAAACAAGTTGACCCTGAGCATTTATAATCGAACCATTAATTTCTTCTTAAAGAAAGGAATTTGGCATATTTTTTTTGGCTAAGAGGTGGCCAGGTGGTATTACGAACACCCGCTTTCCCTGCCCTTTCTTTTGAGTACTCCAAGCGTTTCCTGTCGGCGACGCTGACAGGTCGAATAGTGGACTCTGGTCATACATTTATATACTTTACACTTCCTTTTGAGTGCTTCGCACACGCTCGACCTCATTTCCTGTTCTAAAACTCCTTTCGCTTATCAATTTACCCTTCCGACTTCCGGTTGGCGATCGCCTCTTTCTTAATACCCCTCCCTTTCCTCTTTCGAAAGCAGGATTAACGGTACAAGGCGTTATCGGAAGCGAAGCGAGGAAATCGATAAAGGGCGGAGGGTTGAATAAATCAAAGGGAAAAGAAGTGAGGCAAGAATTGACCCGATAAGAATCAGATTATTGATGTTTAAAGCTCACGCAACTTTAAATAAAAAAAAGCAACTAATTAAGATTTATAAGCAAGAAAACGAGAAATAGAGTATGTAAGGTGCTAAATTCCCTTTCAAATGTACATAAAAACCAATAATTTCCTGTCTCATTACATTTATAGAGCCCCCTTTCGACAGGAATAATAATAAATATATCAAATTCTTACCATATACTGTAAATTTGACAAAATTCTGTGAATCAATTAAAGGGGATGAAGCATGGTTTAAAGGGTCGGCAGCTGTCGACTGTTCATTGTTACCAGGATAATTTTCAGCCTGTTTAAATACAAAAATTATATTAGGCTACTTTCATATTAATATCTTATACGATTATTCCCCTCCTCCCCGCCCCCCTTCCCCTCCCTCTTTTATTTTACTCCTCTTATACACTCTTTTTTTATCGATATAATTCACCAAATGCTAACATAACAAAAAAAAAAACACGGTTAATTAGAATTTTATCGACTACCGGAAGGACTTCAAGAGAGGTAAGTTATTTTACAAGTTTTTTTTACAACTATATTAACCATTTAAATTAAATAAAATATACACTATTATGGATAATATGATAAGCCCATAGATGGCGTGACAACTAATAAACATCTGCCGTCACTTTTCGTCTTTCTTCCTTTGGTGAATATAACAAAGGAAGGCAGCGGGGTTAAAGGTCCCCTAGTGTCGAATTTTAGAAAATAATTTATTTACCTATTAACCTGATCAAGCTATATTTCCTTACCTTGTTATTATGGACAATAAGCACTTGACTGACCGCTTGTAAGGCACCCGTTACACCGTTGAAATACTTGAAACACACTTTAGTAACGGCTGTTGACGTAACATATATATATATAAAATATGTATTTATGTAAATAAAGGCTCTGATTCTATTAAAAAGCTTTGAGAGGTATATTTTGGTTTTGTTAAATGCCAATACTTACATTCTATAAAATGTGATTTTAAAGAATCCAAACACCAAAACACTTGACCTGACCTATCCTGCCTACTGTGTCCCCCTCTCGTCTTATGATCGATGTGTCCGCTTAGATCGGGTTCATCTAAGAATATAAAAGAGATAAGTCAAGCGGAAGAATGAAACTAAAGAAAAATAGATAAAGAAGACACCTATTAAAAACAATCCTATCCAATCGGTACTGGCAACTTCCTCTCTGATATCAAATGATACAGTGACTGTTTGTTCCAAACCAATGTGGACCTCTTCGAGGTTTACTGTTAAAGACGATGGTTCCTTATGGCAAATATGTGTTTCACTGCTAGATTTTGTTCTTGAAAAAGTACTCTCAATATCCTTATCTTCAATCGGCGATGGACTGGATAGTTGATCTGAGGAACGGCTCAATCGTAAGCCGCCATTAGGCATAGAGGCCATAATCTTGCCGTCTACTAGCAAACGTTACTCATACATTATTCAACATCAACTTGTTTCCCCTCAAATTTGTAGGGAAGCTGTATAGACTGTTCAATTTTTGTATTAATCCTAATGAGTCAGACTTGGGTGAAAATGCGGAGCAGGGCTCTGAGACTTCGAAAATTCGCCTTTTATGCAGTTAAATCAATAAAAATAAATAGAGTTAATTTAATAGCAATGGCTCTTTTCGAATAAATTGTCCCGTGGTCAGCCAACGGCCATATTATTCATAGGAATATTGAGATTTAGAAATCTTTAGACATTTCAAAATGGCTGACAGTTAGCTTCCATTTTGATTGTGTTGAAATAGTCAAGCATTTAGAGTATATCGCATTCGCTAAAAAGATTAACGTCTGCTACTAGTTAGGCCTATTTCAGCGACCACCGTAAAAAAGTTCCTTTGAAAAATTTAAAGAATGTTAGACTGCAAAAAGGCTCATTCGCGCGTTCAAAATAACAAGTTATCTCTTTATATTTTTAGATGAGGCTTAGGGAATTCAATATATTGAAAAGTATAAAAATACAATCTGATTGTTTACAAAAAAGCTTTCATGTTAATTAACGCTTCGGACGTTACGCACCAGTGTTTTTCTCAAGTGACCCAGACAAAATAAAGAGGTTTCAAAACTCTTAAGTGAAAACTTTTCAAGTGATCAATAGTCAAGTAATTAACGCAAAAAAACTAGTAAATTAGGTAGTGTATTGCAAAGTCTAAAACACATAGATAAAAATTTAGCACCTCAATTAGGCATTCCCGCTAAACGCCTGCGGAGTTAACGAAACTTTCCCTTCTCTTCCGGTTGATAACACCATTTGCGTGTTAAAGAAATTGAAGGCAGGCCGTTTTCTTTTTTATAGAATATTTCTTATACTATAAATAATCGGAAGAAAGTGAATCGAATACTCGAACTAATGGAACCAACCAAAGTTATGAATCGTGAAATTAAAAAAGATTAATTTCCCACCAGACGTTATTTACTTTTCTTGTTAAAAAATCTTAAAATGACTCCTTTTAAAGAGTCTTTCTATATTTCTATATCCCATTATGTGTTTCATTCCTTTCGTGCCAACAATAAGTTAATTGAAAGATGTAAAAGTAAAGATTTAATTAAATAAAAAGGAAATATATAAGGATGAATTGATACGTTTACAATAGTTGATTAGTTTGAGTATATTTATATATTGTTTATAATTTATATATAATATATTCTTATATTTTGTTTACCATCAATTAAATACAATCATTAAATGATAATAAGGAGAAAACAAAACTAAAAATACTGTGATAAAAACAAGGTGAAAAGAGAAAAATAGACCAATTAGTGTCTGTAACATCAAGTGTATTTTTAAGTATTTTACTTGAAATAACAGCAGTTTATACGGAATTTCATGCCCTTTAAAAAACTTAAAAGAACTTGAGGAAATATTTACAAGCATACTTAGCTTTAACATGTTTCAAATATTGGTAATTTATTTTTTACGTGATTTACGGCGTTGAGAACGCTGCGGTGCTGAAGCATCTACACTCATCGAGGAAGATCTGAGCTCTTCTTCTGTAGCTTCCTCTTTTAATTTCATTTGAGCATCTAAAGAGAACATAACATCACGGACTTGCTCTTCTAAACTTTGTATTTCAGTATCTTTCCTTTTAATTGTTTCTTCAAGTTTTGCACATTTTTTACTCCATTCGTCCTGATTTTTGCGAAGACAGAGATTATACTGCTTTTCTTCTTCAAGATCTTTTTTTGATCGATTTACTTGTGTTGAAAGACTAGCATTTTTCTGTTCTAAACTTTTCTTTTCTTTTTCTAATCTATCCATTCTATTTAAAACTTCGTGTAGTTTTCTTTCCTGGTTATTAAAAGCTTCTTTAAGGTCATCTTGATGCTTTTTACTCTCACTTTCAATCTGATCTAGTTTTTCTTGGAAGTAAAGTCTCTGAGTCTCTAATTGACTAGTTAAAATATAAGTATATTCTAATTGCAAGGCATCATTTTTATCATCAGCAGATGTCTCACTCTCATTCATGACTTGGACAATCTTTCCATCTCCAGAACTTTGCACAAGCCTATGCACGTAACTATCGCCTGCGTAATCCCAAACTCGATTTGCTCCTAATTGCATGGAATACGTGTGATGTGTCAATTTATAGTGTTCATAGGCGTGACCTTCTAAATATCTTCCACATCCTACATGACCGCATATTAAACAAATCCACAAGTCTTGTCTGGCATCGCATTGTACACACAAGCTTTCTTGATCCTGTTCTGGTGTTTGTATATATCTACAAACGGGACAGGAAGTATCAGTCCATTTCACAAGACAAGATCCATGAAAAGAGTGACTACATAATATAGTCAATATACTATCAACCGACTCGTCCATTCTTTCTAAACAAACTGGACAAGTCGGTAATTCAGTTGTACCAACAACAGGTAGACTTCCTCCTTCTGACGAAGTTAATAACTCAACAGCCGATGTATACAATAAATGAACAGCTTCGGATTCAAGTGAATTCCAAGATTTTCCATTAAAATTTTGAAAGAAATCTACCGCATATTTCTAATGAAATAGAATATTCGTGTTAAGCTAAAATTTCAAACATTTTACAATTCAATATTTACCTGATTTCTAAATTTCATTAAAACCATATATTGATTAGGAGTAGAGTCCCTAATAATTCGTATATGCTCTAACCAAAGCCTGTTGACATTATTAATAAAAAAAAGCTTAAAAAGTGACAAAAAAAAGTAAAGTATAAAATTTTATTGGGGATTTAAAGAAAATTCCAATCATAGTTTTAATACTACAGTGGGAATTTAAATATTTTTTATTCTTTTGTTAAAAATAAAGGTTTTATATCAGTAGTAAACGTACGAGACTGGTCCAAGGAATTGAAGAATATCTTGTGTTGTTTTAGTAGCTGGGACAGCAATCATTAAAATTAAAGAACTAGAACAATCTTCAGCTTTCCTGTTCAATAATATGGCTATTATTTAGAATATTGTTTTCAAAGAATATAGACGAACTGGTTATCTTTATAGATGTGTAAAACTCCCTCAAAAGTTTCCACTGAAGGGTTACCATATATGAAACGTATGGTTTGATTGATTGGACTAGTGGTGTCTATAGTCGAAGGTGTTTCCGAGACATTACCATTTCCTGTACAACTATCTTTCTCGTCTTTTTCCATACTTTCCTTAATATTTTCACCTAAACAACGTAAATTGTCATTATGGAACTGGAATCCGAAAAGTGTGAATAGCGATTACTAATTCCCAACATGATTTACAAATTACGTAAGGTTTCGTAATTTTTATGAAATAAACAACATTTCTTATTTACCTAAAATCGTTTCAATTGTGTATTGAATAGGTGTCCGATAACCCAAACAATTAGCCCTTTCTTTTTGATCAACAATTGTATTCGATGTGACTTCGGCGTAAGTTAAACCATGGAAACTTGGCGGAGGCTTATAATTCGATGCTACAAAAAGCAATTAAATTTATATTTATTTCCTTTGAAATCTCAAATAATTACCAGTATATCGAATATCTTCTAAAAGGCTTTTTTTACCCTCGGTAATTTCAAATCTGATTGAGATGGGGTAGTTCATTTGTAAACATAGCAAATTTCTTCCCCACAGAAAGAAGTTTTCATCGAAAATAAGGTTTTGCGCAAAAACTTGCAACTTCCTGTAAAGAGTTTTCAGCTAAATATGTTAAAATTGCATATTAATTGATAGCAAATAAAACATCAATTATAAAAATTTTATTGGCATAAAATTCTTGTTCGTGTGCATTTTTATTAAACTTGAGATAAAGGTTACAAAGACTAATCTTTTTTGTGCAAAATAAATAAATGCGAAACTAAAAAAACGCATTTTCGTACTTTTATAAAAAGTTTATTAAAGCTCATAATATTGTTTTATTCTTATACTCTAATTTATTAAATGTCTTTTGAATTAAAAATAATTTTTTAAACCGGTCCTTAACCGGTTGAAATTTCCAAAGAGAACTTGATTTCTCGTAAAATTAAACACAAAAGAGATTACGAATTTAGTTTTTCAACATTTCCATGAATATTTAATAAAATTTGATTATGCATTATTCAAAACAATAGTTGCTTGGAAACTATATTGCAAAACACGCCGGAAAATCTAGGGAAGCAGCAGTGGTATCGTGCCTGGAGCCCCAGGATAGTTATAAAAAGAAGAGATAAGTGTATACAGGCAATTGAGACGTGGAATAAAACAGACTGCTGTGCGAAAATGTCGAAATCTGTTACAGCGTTGAACGACGAAGACGCTAGAATTTATAAGATGGTAGTTATAGGGGACGGCGCGGTTGGTAAATCTGCTTTAACTATCCAAGTAAGTTTAGTTGGTTGTAAATAGCCAAAAAACCAGAAATAAGTGTGAACTTTTTTCTAGTTCTTCCAAAGAATGTTCGTAGAAGAGTATGATCCTACAATAGAAGATATGTATGTTAAACACGCAGTTGTTGACGGAGAAAATTGTGTCCTTGATGGTAATTAGTGTTCAATTAAGCCCGTTACTAGTTAACCTAGTTGATTTTTACAGTTCTAGACACGGCCGGCCAGGAAGAGTACTCAGCTATGAGAGAGCAATATATGAGTCAGGGGGACGGCTATTTATTGGTCTACTCAGTTACCGATGAGAGGAGTTTCCGAGCCATCAAGAGGTTTCATAGTCAGGCTCTTCGCGTTAAGGACACCGACTCATTTCCGATGATTCTAGTCGCTAATAAGATCGATTTAAATAGCTTTAGAAAAGTCTCCATCGAAGACGGCGTAGAGCTGGCCAATAAATTTTCGGTATGTAAACATTAAGTCTTCAAATTTCTTGTCATTTTCAAAATGTCTTCCAACAGATACCCTATATAGAGACTAGTGCGAAAAATCCACCTATAAACGTTGAAGAAGCCTTCTATTCTCTAGTTAGATACATCAGGTATTAATTAAAGCTATATCCGGTCAATAAAATTACTCACACCTAAACCTTTATTCTATAGAAAATGTGCCCCCGACAAAAAGAAAAAAAATAAGAAGCTTAAAAGATACCGAAAGTCGTGTAAATTGTTATAACGTGAAAGAACGTTGTAAATAGTTTATCGAAAATCTATAATTAATAACTATATTTCTATTGTTTGTTAATGAATTGATTGAATTTGTAAAAAAAGCTAAATAAAATAAAATTTAAAAAGTAAAACTTATTGAACTGTTTACTAGTGCCATCTGTCAAGGAGAATATTTATTAAAGAACATAAAAAAATTAAAAAAAAAAATTTATGACACGTGATTAGTGGCCTAACGGAATCCGGACACATTGCGGCCCCCGCTCGACAGATTCACTTATAGAATCAGTATTTAATCTCAAACGTTTAGTTTGAAGTAAGAAACGAAAACGAGAAGACTTATTCAACAATGGCAAGTCCTAGTTCAAGAAGAGCAGATAAATCAGGCATAGCAGCCGATATTCAAAGAAAGGTGGGGTTTATTGCACTTTGATTTTTTTTTAATTTGCTATACGACTTATCGTTTAATAAACGGTCGCTTTTCTCGAAAAAAAAAGAATTGCTATGCTATATAGAGAGTATGTTTCTCCCATACTTAAAATCTTGGGAGAAGAAATAGCTCAATAACACACCCCCTCCGCCCCTCCCCCGTGTCATTATATCCACACCTTTATACAGTATAATAATATTCTAATAATTATTATGAATTCTACTATATAGAATAATCGATTATACTAACAACTGACGTAGTGTCTCGTTTATAGAATTGCCTTATACATTGTGAGAACTTTATCTGGTTCGATATCTCTAATTCCATAATTTATTTTTAGCTTACCGAAAAATACGATGTTGCTGCTGCTCAAAAAGTATTAGATTGGATGCAAGAACTTATTGGGAATAATAATTCTTTTCCGGAGGCTGCAGATTCTTCATGCATTGGAAAGGCGTTCAATGATGGCACTATTCTTGTTACTTTGGCTAATGCAATTCAAGAGAATGCCATACCTGCTAAATATGCTAAACCTTCTACCATGGCTTTCAAGAAGATGGAAGCTATCAATATGTTTATACAATTTTGCAGAAATTATGGTGTCCCCGATCACGAGCTATTCGAAACTGTTGATTTGTACGAAGAACAAAATATGGTTCAAGTTATGACATGCCTTGAAAGTTTAGCAAGAAAAGCCAAAAGTAAAGGTGGACCAGGTTTTGGACCAAAAGAGGCTACAAAAAATCAAAGAAACTTTAGTCAAGAAGTTTTGGATCAAAGTAAAAGTGCTTTACCGCTGAATTCTAGTGGAACTAACAAAGGCGCAAGCCAATCGGGAATGTCATTCGGAAATCGTAGACATGTAACAAACGATGGAAAATTCTAAACAATACAAAAAGATAATTAATAAGAAGAAATAAGAAGACAAAAACATTAATAACACGAAAGATTTATATATATATACAGTATATATATATATATATTCTTTATTCTTTTTCTCTTCTTCTCTTCTCTTATTTAGATATTTACATATACCGTTTATCGCATTTGTTCTTTACAAGCTTCAAAACAAAAACAGAATCAAGTCCGTTAAGCAATTATTATTAGTTCGCTATCTACGTGAGTAGAATTCTCTCGGTTTGCTATAGAACTTAGATTAAATTGTGCTTTTCTTTTTTATTTTCTTCTTTCATTCTTTATATTTCTCTTTAAATAAAATAAAACTTTAATAAATCTTTAAAGCCTATAGTCGTTTTTTTTTATATATAGTTAATATCCTATGTAGTACTTAAGAAAGGGAAAAAAAACTATAAAGGTAATGGAATCGCATAACAATGTTATTTAGGCCTATAATAAGGAATATAGGTAAAATTTGTTCATTTCTCAATTAAGAGAAAGTATGAGAAAGTGTCGCTAAAGGATGATTAAAGGAATATTATATTATACTATCTTTATATCTTCTGTAATATGTGATAGATATGGTACTTTTCAATTCTTTTTATCTTTTTATTATACATAAGTTAACTATTAATCTCTTAGGAATTCTCTCTTGTCAATTATAACAATGCTGTAAAAACACAAACAGGCATTTTCTACAGTAATTCAACAGATATTCTCTATTCAGTTGACGATGCAACTAGTAGTAGAAGTGTCTACAAGAAGGTATGGTATATACTGTTATACAGTATATATATATCCATATATTAATAATGTATATAGTATATATATATATATATATATATATGTGGCATGAATTACGTAACAGTTGGGCGGTTTTATTATCGGCCTTGTCGTAGATCCGAAAAATAATAAATTATTCTGGTCCGATTCGGCTGTTGAACAGAAAGGAATTTACTCGGCAGATTTAAAGGTTACATCTAATCAATTAACGTTAATTAACGTTAAAAAGATAATAAGTGATGGTTTGTTGTCTAAATTTACTATTTTTTCTTTAATTATATTGCTATATATTGTACTTTATGTTTTTCATTTAATAAATGCATATACTGTATTTCAGCCTAGACAGAATAATCACCTCTCTAGTTACATAGGCATTACAGTCTACTATTTTTTCCTTTTGCACTTAACTAATTAGATTATATACTATATTATGGTTATTGTTTTTATATTTTAGTGTCAGTAGTAGAATCTATTGATGTTAACGGCAATTCAAAGAATATCTATTGGACGGATTCTGCTAGAAGAAAGATTAATGTTGCATCGTACGATGGACGTTTAAGGAGAGAATTTCCCATTTATAATCTTTTATCTCCAAGAGGTTTATTTACCGATTTAAAAGAAGGTTATTTATATTGGACCGACTCGGTTCGATCGGTAGTAGAAAGGTCTAGATTGGATGGTTCAAAAAGGGAGATCGTAGTATCATCTTTAAATATTATTAAAAATCCAAATGGGATATTTATAGCCAAGAAGTAAAATCTCTTTAATACTTTATAGTATATATTAGAATTTAATGGCCAATATTTTCATAATTTTTCAATAGATTCATTTATATTGTTAGTGGATGGTCAAATCTTCTTGTTAAACTATCAACAAGTGGAAAGATATTATCCAAAATTCTATTACCAGAGAATCCAGCTTTTGATCTAATTATTGACTCTGATTTTGCATATGTAACAGTATCAAATGTTGGTCTAATTAAAGTTGATCTATTGAAATCTACATACAGTACTGTCTCTGATCATTATGGTAGCAATTTTGGAATTACAACTCAATTACAAAAAGACGAAAGTTCCTCTCTATCGCGACTTTGTAATCCTGGAAAACATAAATGTTCACACATTTGCTTACTAACATCATCCTCCACCTATCGTTGTAGTTGCCCCTCGACAGGTGGTAAAGTATTAGACAAGAAGAAGAGCAAATGTATAGATCCAACAACAGTTCTGATATTTGCCTCAGCCGATCAGGGAGAAATTGGCTACATTGATCCTGATAATCCCCTAGAACGCTATATTATCTCTAAATCAGTCAGACCGGTTGCCCTTACTTTCGACAAGGAAGAAAAGGTAATTTTTCGCTTTTGTCACCAAGACAACTTTAATATATTTATTAATTATGAAAAACTAACTAAAAAAAGATGGTCTATTGGAGTGATATAGTCGAAAGAGTCGTTTTAAGGGCGCATCTAAGTGGTCAAAATCGAGAGGTTGTACTAACATCGGACAAACATTCCATAGGTATAGTCGATGGTAAGTGCCAATGGTTATGTTACTTTTATTGTTTAAAAACTCTTTACATTAATCCGCTATTTAAATAGGCCTAGCATTTGATAACAGTGACAAGAGATTGTACTTTACAAATAGGGCTAATATAAATATGGAAAAATATGGAAGTCGCAAATTGTACAGAATAGAATCAGTATCGACGAATGGGGATAAACAATTAACAATAAGTAGAAAGATCACCAATCCAATTGCTATATTCTTATACAAAGAGTAAGTTATCTTCCTTATCCCCTATAAAAACTTCTTTTTTATGTATATCCTACTATAGTCAGTTATACTATACCGGTCGGAATCATCAAGGTAGACTAATGAAATCGAATAAAGATGGATCTAATTCAACAACTGTCTTTTCAAATACGACTTTCAATAATCCGAATGGAATTTTTATTGAAAATTCGGGCAGGATATTCATTATCGATTCAAACTATTCTGCTACGACCAAATGGCATACAGGAAGTGTATACTTCCTAACAATTTCAAATGGAAGTAAAGCGATACTTAAAGGAATAACTAAATTAAAGTTAAAAGCGCCATTAGGATTAACTGGGAATGGTAATGGAGTTTTATACGTATCAGATTGGGATAGTCGTTCAATTGAACGTATAGAACTCGATAAAAATGGATATTTAAAGGAACAATCAACCGTACTAAAGAATATTACACAACCAATGGGTGCATTGTATATTAATATGAAATCAAAACCTATTCAAGATACATCTTGTACACTTAAGAATTGCGATATCTGCTTGAAAATTGATACAAAAAATACAAAGAGGTGTTATTGTGATGGCTACAATACTAAATTACTGTCAACTGATAAAAGTTCATGCAAAGGTAATTATATAATCAATAGACAATGCATAAGCCTACATACGGTATAATTATCATACAGAATCAGAAGATTTCATAGTTTTCGCCGATAAATCATCAATAATTTTATCATCTTTAAGAGAAACGTCTAAGCCTCACTATATCATCAGAGGGAATCCAGTACTTTCATCATATTCAGCTGTAGCCGTTGTTAAAGATACCTACTACTTTACTGACCTTCAGAGGTTAAAAAAGAACAATTCTTCCTCTTTTTGAAAACATTAAATGATTGCAATTTGAATTGGTTTGCTTTTGTTTTTTTCAGAGGTTCGCTGCAGTCAACAAACATGACTAGTAAACAATCGGAAGTACTCATTTCAAAGGGCACTTTGATTAAGCAGATTATAGTTACTGCAGATGGAAAGGGTCTATTTTGCGCCGATTCCCTTAATCATCGTATCTTATTCATTGATCTAGTTACAAAACAGAAAAAGACTTTTGTCGATCTTGTCAAGGATCCCGAAAGTCTTACTATAGATTCCAGTGGAAATTATCTGTATTATACTGAACATAGAAAAGAGAGCAATATATGGAAGGTATCATTAAAGGATGACAAACCAACGCCAACGTTAGTCTATCAAAAAGCCTTTCACGATCCTCGTGGATTGTGCTTCGACGGAGATGATCTTATATTGGTTGAAAATAATAATTTTCATAAATTCTGGAATTGCTCCAGTTCAATTAAAATTGGTTGTAGACAAGTAAAACTTACAGAGAAATTGGCTAATATAACATCTATAGCATGTATGAATCGAGAAAGTATATTATATTTCTCAACGCAAACACCTCCCTCTATTCAAAGTTTGAACCTTTCAACCGGAAAGACCAAAACTATCGTAAAATATCTAATAGGGCCTAATCAAATTTCTATAAAGGTTACGCATACTAAGTGCGGTGTGAATCATAAATGTACGGATATATGTAAAAATGTCCTAGGGGAAGAGGTTTGTTCTTGTAGAGGGGGTCGTCATCTGTTGGACGATGGTAGTACATGCGTTGATAAAGCTAATTGGGAAGAGAAACCATGGAAATTTTGCGTTAAAAATTGTACAAAACAAAATACAGTTTGTGGTCGAATTATTGATAAACAAATATCATCTTGTATTTGTAAACCGGGTTATACTTCATCCGGAAACGGAAATTGTATAAGTAAGTTATTAATTTTCTAAAAACATAACAAAAGAGACACTAAACAATAATGATTTCTATTAAAAGTTAATAATATAATAATGTAATCCTATAGTTTTCTATTAAAATAAAAAGTTTATTAAGTTTTTCCCTTTTAACAATACGAATCTTTATGATGAAAAAAAAAGAATGTCAGAAAAACGAGTTCAAGTCTAAACCAGGACCGGATGTTTGTTCTCCCTGTCCTGCAGGCAGTACCGATTCATCAGATAGAATTAGCTGTTCTTGCACGTCCGGTAAATATTGGTTAAAGGAAATCGAAGATTGTACAGGTTAGGCCTAAAGTGGAAATCACGGACTAGAACATCAATTAAATTTCCATTATTCTTCACAGATCGTATTGGGAATTGTCCGTCTGAAGGAAAAGTGAATTGTTCGAATAAAGAATGCGAGAAAGATGATGATTGTCCACCTCTTCAAAAATGCTGTTTAGGTTCATCATGCGGAAAGAGGTGCGCTGATGGAGTTAAATCAAAGTTTGGCTGCTTGCATAACGGAAATATCTATAAGCAAAGTGAAATGTTTAAAATTGATCATTGTACAATATGTACGTGTACGTCTTCCGGTCATTCTTCATACTACGAAACTAAGTGCAAAACTCAAAAATGCCTTCCGCTCAACTGCGATAAGTCTATTAAAAAAGAGGGTCAATGTTGTCCTGAATGTTTAGACGACAAAGGTAAAATGCATTTTAATACACACTTTCAAATAAAATATGATGATTTTCGTGGTATTTTAGTCAAATTTATCAATTGTCCAACGGAAACGAAAGAGATAAATACGGAAAAAGGAAAGAATTATGCGATCTTAAAAAGCTTTTTACGCGCGACATCCCTTGGTAAATCTTTGAATGTTAATGTCTCTCCGGATGTAGGTCATTTAGTATGGAATCGTAATGCCTACAGGTTCATGGCTACTTCCAACAAAGCAATATGTCATTTTCGAGTATTGGTCGTTGGTAAGCCTACCTTAAGGTTTAGGCCTTAATATACTTTAAATAAACTTCTAAAATTACCCTGTCTCTTCTCCAAAATAGATACAACTCCGCCATCTGTCGGCTGTCCAAAAGACAGATATATACCTTTGAAAGAAAATGGTACGAAACTCATTGAAACTCAGTTTGTAAATATAAAAGATAATATCGGTATTAAATCATTGACAAAACCAAACATTGACCGATTTATTATTTCACCGAAAAAGAATTATACGCTGAGCTATTCAGCCATCGATGTAACAGATTTGAAAGAAACATGTCGATATTCTATATATGGTCAATCATTTCGATTAGGATGTAAAATTCCTATAGAAATAAAAAATGGTTACTGGAGTTGTTTGGGTTCATCTTGCAAAATTAAATGTTTGAATAATTATCAATTGTTAAACGAAATACCAAAAATCTTTAACTGTTCAACTAAAGGACGTTGGAATGAACGTTTTAAGCCTATATGGTCATTTATTGCATGCATTGGTAGACAATTTATTTAATAATTCATGTATTTCAAAAGTTTAATTTCATCACCTTTCTATGCAGCTGTCAAAGATAAGAAATTTATAACGAATGGTACTTTAGAGTATACTACTACAAACTTTATAGAAAGTAATTATAGTTTAGATAGTCTAACTCTATCACTCATTGAAGATCAGCTGCAAAATTCTAAATTATATTTGAAATATCTTGAAAAATCGACTACTTTAGCCTTTCGGCTGGTCACTACGACACACTCCTCATCAACACTGTTGAATAGTTGTGAATCTTGTAAATCGATTAAAACGTTGGATGATCTAGAAATGATGTTAAAAGATTTTCAAACTAGAGTGAAAAACGGAAGTATAACATATCGTTTATGGAATGGAACGAGTTTGTTCAACATAAATATCATTAGATTTGAATATTCAATACCAATTAAGAAAACATGCGACTACGGTGAAATGGAATTATATAATACAAAAACATGCGGTAAACAAACAGTTTGCCTTTTATTATCAATTATATTAAATGAACTACGAATATTATTTATAATACTTTTTTAGTTGTTTGCCCAAGTGGAACTTTCCTAAAAGACGGACGGTGTCAATTTTGTAAAAGTAACACAAAACAAATTTATAATGGAGAGGAAAAATGTCAAATATGTAGGGGAAGTCCTGTGGGAACGTTTTGGGATTTTCCATGTCAAAGTATGAATTATTATAATAAACTCTTCTTAAAAAGAGTAGTATACAGTATAACTATTTTCATCGTTTCTTTTTTCTTTTTTCCTCCATATCCTAAAGATGAATCAAATTACGAAAACAGCTTAACGTCAGATGAAGACAAGTCACTAATTATTGGTGTATCTACTTCTAGTGGCCTAATTCTTTTATGTTTAATAGTATTAGTGGCATTCTATGCTTGGAAGAAAAAACTAAACGGACTAACAAGATCTCTTTTCTCAGAATCTGTAGGGATATTCAATCCCCTTTATCAGGAAAATGATGCTGCTATCGCATCAACATTAATTTAATCATATTTTATCTATCTCTGATATATTAAGGTAATAATAGAATTTTTACACATGCACTAATGAGTCATGGGATAACTCATAAATAATCAATACCACACCCATAGAATGACTACACAAATCAATACATCAAAAAAATACTTCAATTTTTGTTCTACCTGTAAATTTTTCTTTCATGCCATGAAGATATTTGCACTTCTTGACATAGTTCCAATAAACTAACGAAACAATATTACCACTATTTCATCTGGTTGTCATAGAAACCACCCAATAATTTCCATCAACATGTTTAATGTTCAGACAGTAGTAGTTATATTTTCTCATTTTATTATTTAAAAAATTAGATAAAACCGTTTTCTTTGATCTGTTTGACCGAATTAATGGAACCTTAATAAAGACAATCAAGATCACCTAGAAATGTATACTTCAACTCTAAAAATTCTTCATGTTAAGATTGAAAATACAAGAAAATACATCATAAATGTATCCAGACTAAAGCTATTGCTATTCTAGATTAAAGATGCATTCTCTTCAAGATCTTGAAAACTTACAATCAAACAAAACAGAAAAAAAACAAAATTTCAAAATCGTCGTCTAGTTCAAGATATTAACAAGATCATCAACGACAAAAGAGATCAACGACATATGCATCATCTGATTCGAATTATTATTTATCGACAAACGCCCACATATTTGGGCAGAACAATTTCTATAACAAATTCGTAATTCATTCCCAAAACATAGACTAACAATTAACATTTTAAGCAAAGAACAGATGCTCTGAACTGTTTGCATTTAGTTCTAAAATTTAAATATTTGCGGAATGTTTCTATATTAATTTAAAGTAGAAATATAAATTTTTTCTAACAAAACATCATCTTGAACAGAGACACTAAGCGGCAGGATTCGTCCTCATCAGTTCCAGATCACTTTTCATCATATCTTCGACTAGTCCCTATCAAAAAAAAACACATATAGTATTCAACCTTTCGCAATCCTTTACGACTTACTTCAAAATCGAACTTTGGTTTCCAGTTCAATTCTCTCCTAGCTTTTGTAGAATCACCTTGAAGGTATTCAACCTCCGTTGGTCTATAGTACTTCGGGTTTACGTTAACTCTTATTATGCCAGTTCCCTTTTCTTTTCCAACCTCATCAGCGCCCTCACCTGACCACCTAAAATATGAAAAGAGTAGAAAGAAGGTCGACTTTCCTATGTAAAACTACTGACTCAATAGATTTACCAACAAATTTGAAAGCTGCCTCAACAAATTCTCTAACACTGTGAACTTCTCCCGTCGCAATAACATAATCGTCACTATTATCTTTCTGTAACATCAACCACATAGCTTCAACATAATCCTTTGCGTGTCCCCAATCGCGCTTTGCGTTCAAATTGCCTAACGAAAATGACTCCATCAACCCCAGATGAATTTTCGCCACTGCTCTTGTTATCTTTCTCGTAACGAACGTTTCTCCTCTTCTGGGTGACTCGTGATTGAATAGGATACCATTCGAAGCGTGAATTCCATAAGCTTCTCTGTTGTTGATCACAGTCCAGAAGGCAAATTGCTTTGCTATTCCGTACGGAGACCTTGGATAGAATGGTGTGTCTTCATTTTGCGGTATTTCTCTCACTTTTCCATATAACTCACTGGAAGAAGCCTGATAGAATCTAACCTTTTGAGTCAATTTACAGGCTCTAATCGCCTCAAAAACACGTAGTACACCCATACCGTCCACGTCGGCTGTGTATTCGGCGATTTCAAAAGATACTTTAACATGACTTTGAGCGCCAAGATTGTAGATTTCGTCTGGCTGAATTTCATTAATTAGCCTCATCAAACAGGAAGTATCAGTTAAGTCACCATAATGTAACTTCATTCCTTTTTTAACGTCGAAATGGGAATTATAAATATTGAAATGATATATTTAACATTCAAGGACTTACTTCCTTCCTGGTGGATTTTAGGATCATCGTACAAATGAGTTATTCTCCCTGTATTAAATGAACTAGAACGTCGTATGATGCCATGGATCTGTGATAATGTAGATTAGCTGCATTCATTATTAGCGATGAGTAATTTTAGTTACCTCGTAGCCCTTATCGAGCAGGAATTCGGCTAAATAAGAGCCATCTTGTCCACTTATTCCCGTAATAACGGCAACTTTTGACTTAACAGCAGGACAACTATTATTGTCAGAAGAAACGCTCTTATTAGCCATTTAGACTGTGATAGTATTGCTACAGGTGCACGACTAGTTGCCACGAAGCAATCTGTCAAATGATAACGCCTATATAGGCCATTTTGAATTGAATAGTAAAGCCTACAGGTGCACGGTTAGTTTCAATAAAGCGATCAATCATTTTCGAGTATTGGCCCTAAAGAAGGCTATTTTAGGATATAGGCCTTAGAATAGTTAAAATATTACATCTAAAATTACCTTTTCCATTATGGAAAGGAATGAAACTCTGCCATCTGTTGGCTTTCCAATAGCAAAATCAATTAAATTGATAGGTAATTTAAAGATCTCTTTTTCAAACTCATTTGAAAACTGTACCAGATAATATTAACATTAAGTATTGACAAAACGGAAGTATAACGATTTTTTTTTTTACTAGAAAAACTTTTAATCGCTAAGGTATTCAGTCTTCGATGCGACAGATTTAAGCTAATCTTGTCGATATTCTATGCAAAGTTCATCATTTAGATAAGGAAGTAAAATTCCTATAGAAATAAAAAAGGACTACTGATATTATTTGGGTTTATCTTGTAATATTAAATACTTGAATAATTATCAATTGTTAGACGATACACAAAAATTCTTCAACTGTTCAAATTAGGGCGTTGGCATCAACTTTTCAAGTTCATAAGGTCATCTATTGTGTTCATTGGTAGACTCTTTAGTTCTCACTATGTGTATTTAGCAATATGGTTATTGTGTTTTTTTATTTAGATTGTAAGAAGAAGAATTTCGCAATGTTTAATAAGTCGAAATTATAATTGTAAAGTCATTAAAATTAGCCAACTTTGGCCTCTCGCTGAAGCATCTTCCCCGTACTTAAGAACAATAAGGTTGAAAAGTCGTGAATCTTGTATACTTTAAAATAGACTTTGCTGTATTTAATTTTAAAAATTCACAATAGATCTATAGTTTCAACGGGTATTTTTTAATCGTTTTCTATAGCCTATTCAGCATGATCAAATATGCTATTCATTAAAACATTTCTACGATTTTAACAATGTAACTCTTTTTTTTCAAATGTTTAAATGTAACATTTCAACTTTTTAGAATGAACTAAAGAATGGTTAGGTTGAATATTGATATGATAGCTCAAAGAATACAACCTATCTCCATTATCACAGACTATTCATGGCATCAGGCTTCATTCTAGTTCATTCCATGCAGAAAGAATAACTCCACCTGGTTTACTAATAAGTCTAGAATGCGAATTAAGTTGGAATTAGATAAACCTCTGTAATTGTCCATAGTTTTCGTTACTGAAGCCGATGAAAGATTTAAATAGCATAGATGCTTCACACTCTTTTCAAAATGTATTGCTAAGAAGAGAAAAATTACAAAATTACACCTAAACATCCAGGGATATGTTGAGGACACAAGTAACTACAAAGTCTCTAAGCCGGAACTATGCTTTATGGTTTACAAATCAACGATATCGGTACAAGAGGAAGCAAAGACATTTTTAGATATTCTACCCTAAATAACTCCTGAAGAAGCCGTGAAATGCCGTAACATCTTGAAGCATTAAAATGAGAAAAAGTACAAAACAGAAGTTTTTCTAAATTGACATTGCTCATCTTTTAATAAAGTTCCATTTGGAAATATAACTAAAATAGAATTTCAACATACATAAAATGAGAAATATTCAACCAAAGCATGTAATAAGCTTTCATATATCCTTAAAACGTTGAATTTAGCTTCCCTAAGTTGAAAATTCAGACAACTTTCAGTTTTGTTAATGACTTATTACCAATAATATCTTGTATAGTTAAAAGTCGAGTTTCAATAAGACTTTTACACTTATCTTTCAAAAGAATAGATTCAAATTTGTTGGATTCAACATGACCCACATAGGCGTTTCATCCAACTGATTGTTTGTGGTGAGTAGTACTGAATCTGAAGGCAATACTTTTACAAACTAAATCGCTAACATTAGGAACATGATTGATATAGTTACGAGAATCTATTCTTTGCCTAAAGTGATAATTATGAGCCTGTGTTTGGATATGAATTATGAATTTGTAATGCAAATAGTTTGGCCCAAATACATGGGTGTTTATCAGTAAATAGTTATTTTTGAATCAGATAATCCATATCCTGGTATTTTCAATCTTAAGAAGAACCTTCACAGTAGCTGAAAGCGTTGGTGTGTTGTCATGGCTCTCTTTATTTAACGTTTCATTGATTGGAATAAACAGAAAATAATAGACGCTACCCTCTGTTTCATTAAATAGTTAATGTGAACATAAATATTCTTTGCAGTCTGAAAATTTGCAAAGTGAACAGAAATTTATTGAGGGGTTTCCATGACAACAAGATACAACAAGGATAATAAATTTTGGTAATTTTTTTGGAACCGTACCAACTAATTAGATTATATTTTGAAGATAATTTTCGGCGTTCGATTAATCTTTTATTGTTTTACGAAAAAACACATTCCCTACGCTTGTTAAATTAAAAAGATCAATTAAGCATACGTTGGAAATTTGGATTTTTATTCATTAACTACCCAGTAATATTTGAGCGATGAATAACGGTAAGAAGTTTATTATTTTTGTCGTTATATACAATTAAATATATATAAGAATTAGTTGTTTAGTATTAAAAAATTAACAATATCTTTCCTATTTCAACGAGCATTTTCCAATCGTTTTGAACAATCGATTGAATCGTGAATCATGCAGGCTTTGTCATTAAGAGATGTATAGAATTATAGCCAGCTGTCTTTTTTTTTTCATTACATGTTCATAGTGAGTACCGATTAGGGCTATTTTTTTTAATCATTTGCATCTGACATTCGTGTATATATTAGTATGTTATCTCAGTGCTTAAATCCAAGATAATCTCACTTGCATTATTTAGATATGTTCCTTGATTCTAGTCTACTTTTGTATTCTCAAGTTGAGGAGTCTAACTATGATTAGAACGTTTATCATTACTAAAATACAGTATATAAAGGAAGGCGAATAATATGCAACCTAATTATAATTAAACGGTATAAGAGATGAGTTGATAAGGCGTTGGAGTTTACATTAACATAGGTAAATCGTTAACCTTCATAATTGAGCGAAAATTCGTTAAGGAACTTCTCATATGAAATGTTATCTCAAGTGAAAATGAAATAATCATTTATTTATCTATTTAGAAAACACTTTGAAACTATAACTTTGTTTAAATTGTTTCATTTGAAAACGATTTCTATATGTGAGATAGTCTTTAGTTATGTCAATTGCTAAGAATTATTTCAGCCAATTAGCTTTGAGGAATTAGATTTTCTATTATTTTAGAGTAGGCAACATTAAATAGTTTGATTATAAATTTCTCTTTCACACATTAAACTTTATAAAAAATGTTAAATAGATAGTTATTTTCCTTTGCTTGCAAATAGATTAGTTAAAACCAATGTCAAGCCGATATATTCGAAAATATGTCTCAGGCTTGCGCTTAGGACATCCCCAAGCTCAAGGATTGTAGACTCGTCCACTTTATAATATAAGTAACGGTCTCTCCAACATATCTCAGCGCGACTGTCTAAGACGCAAATATCTTGGCTAACCTGCCGGAGATCTTGGATAGAATGGTGTGTCTCCATTTTGTCGGACTTCTCCAACTTTTCCATATAATTCACTGGAAGGAGCTTGATATAGTCTAACTTTGTGAGTTAATTTACAGGCTTTAATTATTTCAAAACACTCATATCATCAGCCTCTTAGCCGCATAGTGGGCTATTTCAAAGGATACTTCAACACGACTCTGATATATATAGATATATTTATACATCTATATATGGTCATAGATTATAGATTAGGATTAAAATTCCTATAGAAATTAAAAAAAGGATTACAGGGATTGTTTGGATTCATCTGGTAAAATTAAATGTTTGAATAATTATCAATTGGTAGACGAGATACCAAAAGTCTTTAATTGTTCAACTAAGGGTCGTTGAAATCAACATTTTAAGGTCAAAAGGTCATATAATGCGTGCCTTGATAGTGTTTTTTCTCATTTCATATATTTGAAACTTAATTATCGATTTTTTAATTTAAATGTCACAATTAAGAGGAAAAAGCGTATCTAATTGCCATTTTAGAGTATATTACAAGCTCTTTACATAGTAATCATCGCTTAAGTATTCCATGTTTATCACTTGAAAAAAAGATTTAGAGTAAGAAACGGAAATATAATAAAACGTTTATGGGATAGAACGAGTATATTCAACATAATATATAAATAGATTTGAATATTCAATACCAAGTAGGAAAACATGCGAGTATACGGTGAAATGAACTGTTAAATTACAAAGGCTTACTGTAAAAACAGATAGTTTGCCTTTTTTCGTTAACTCCATAAAATAAACTACACATTTTATCTATAACTTTTTTTTTAGCTATATGGCCAAGTGGAACTTTCCTATATGGCAGATGTTGTTAATTTTGTAAAAGCAATACGAAACAAATTTGTAATGGAAAAGATAAATGTCAAATATGTAGGAGGGAGGGGTAAGGAAAGCTATTGGGAACATTTTTCGACTTTTCTTGGCAAATTATCGAGTTTTTACAATATCTCTTCCAACATGGAGTAGAATATATTGTTTGTCTTTTGTTTCATTTCACAAAACTCATTTAGAGCCATATCAAGATAAGCCGATAATAATTGGTATGTTTACAAGTATTGACCTAATTCTTCCATGTTTGATAGTATTATTGATGTTTTATATTTGATAGAAAAGAGTAAAGGGATTTCCAAGTTCCATTTCTCAGCATCATTTAGAATTACACAATCTCCTGTACCATGAAAAATGATGCTGCTATGGGCTTAATAGGAATGTAGTATTCTGTAACATATGTCTTATAAGATGATAAGAGCGAGATTTTTCCACGTGAATTAATGAGTCATAGATAAATGACTAAAGTATTGTAATGAATGAATATTGTACCCATGTAAATAGTAACAAGTAACAACTCCAATTAATATGAGAATATTTCAATTAGTTGTATTTTTTTCGTTTTTTATATCTTAATTTCCATAAGACAAAAATATTTCATCTTTTATGACAAAATTTGTAGACTTTTTTCTTCATATAATGAAATACTGAGACTTGTGTTTTATCCTTATACTTATTTTAATGCCTCTAGACGTTACGGCATTTCATAGCTTCTTCAGGAGTCATGTGAGGTAGAATTTTTAATAATTCTTTTACGCCATCTTGAACAGATATCGTTGATGAGTAGCCTAGAGAGCAGAGTTTCTGATAAGAGACTTCGTAATCACGTTTGTCTTTATCTTCTCCTGAGTGGTTAGGTGTAATTTTACAATTTTTCACTTCATCTTGAATGACTTTAGCGGCTTCTTCTTTAGACATATTCATTTTATCATCTCCAACGTTGTAGGCTTTCTTGCGCATGTCATTGAAATGCTCAAGAGCAAAAATAAAAGCCCTAGCAGCATCTCTAACATGAAGAAATGTACGACGGAAATGCCCTTGATAAAGATCGAATTCTTTCAATGTTAAAGCTTTGTATGTTAGGTCATTAATTAGTAAATCTAAACGAAGACGAGGAGAAACGCCAAAGACTGTAGCCAATCGCAGGGCAACGCCCCCAGCTTCAAGACATAATCTCTCACCCTCAGCTTTGGTTGATCCATACAACGTTAAAGGAGAGATTGGTGTGTCTTCGGTACATACTCCCGAGACAGCCCCATAGCATGAACCAGTGGAGGCATAAATTACTTTCCGATTGGCGAGCAATTTGGTTACGTTTCGAGTACCTTCAACATTTACCCTCTTTGCCAATTCGTGATCCTTCTCGCAAGCGGGATAACCTACGATGGCGGCCAAATGGATAACTGCATCGGCATCTTTCATAACCGCAGCTAATTCCTCTTCGTTACAGACGTCACCTTGAATCAAGCGTAGTTTTGAGTCGCCAGCCACGGGTAGTAAAGGATTAACGCCCCATGATAGTCTATCGAATACCGTGACCTCATAGCCTCGGTTTAAGAGCATTGGAACTAACGTTGATCCTAAGTAACCGGCTCCTCCGGTAACTAATACCCTTTCTCTTGGACCTTCACTTGCAGCTGTTTAACATAATACGCAGTAACGTTAAATTTTTGACGTCACGTGGAACAAGCCCAACATCATTTTAGAAAAAGCCGATTTTTTCCAAATGTTTCTTAAAGATTGCAAGAGAAATATCACTTACCACAATTTGAAGACATGATATTTTCTTAGGTTGTCGATTTGGGTCGCTTAACTCTGATATCGAAAAAGGGACGGTGTTTCTTCGAGTTAGATGAGGAATAATAGAGAGAGAGACTGCCTTTTATTATAAGGCGGACGAGTCTATAGTTTTCTTTCTGGGGGATGTCGTAGGCAAAAACCTGAGTTGTGTCTGGAAATCAATCGGTTTGACACTCTTTCTAACCAATTTATTTTCAAGCAAACGAAAACAACTGTCTATTTGACATTTTATATAATGTTTATTGTCTGGGAAAGAAATTTACGATATAATTATTTAAAGTTGCCTACTCTTTATAGTAGAAACATCGAGAGCTAATAGCTTAAGCGTGCTTATTGGCAATATATATAAGCAGAAATATTTGACATACACGCATTCTTTTCAAATAAAAACAATTTAAAAAGTATTAGTGTTTTAAAGCATTTTTTAAATAGATAAATAAATGAATATTTCATTTTAACTTGAGATGACACTACTGAATAACACTTGAGACGTTCCTCAACATATTATCGCTCAATTCAAAATTTATTTATAATCATTTAGCTATGTTACCGTCACCTCTAACACGTCTTTCAAGTTATCATTTCTTCTTTTTTGTTATCTACTTATACTTAGGTTTGGCGTTATTTTGCTATTCCTTTATATACTTTGTTTCGTATAAGATTAACGTTTTGTTTGTGGTTAGCCACCTACATTGCGAATACCAACTTAAAAAAGTAGGATAGAAACTAGGATAATATGCAAATAATACCAAAACATTTCCTAAAAAGCCTTAAACACTTTCCGTATTCCTTATACTTGTTGAATAATTCAAGTATTGACTATAAATATTGTATTTGTTAAAAAAACATTGTCTCAACAATTATTACAACGACATTATTAACATGTAAAAAATGACTGTACAAAATCAGGAATAGATATAGACTATCCCTTCTGTATTACATATTTATAATCCTTGCGAACATTAAAGTACCCTAATAAAAGGAATAGTAGACCCAATTTATGGACATAGTCATTTTCTAGTAGGGAAAAGTTTAGTTCTATTTTCATCCTCTCTATATAATAATCAGCCACTAGAAAAGTTATTTTTCAACATTCTCTAATTACAATTACAGAAACATCAAAAGGAGTTTCTTTGGACGATACCAGTTGTCCTGTTGTTAAGTCAAAAGTTGCCGTTATTACGGGAATAAGTGGACAAGATGGCTCTTATTTAGCCGAATTCCTGCTCGATAAGGGCTACGAGGTAACTAAAATTACTCATCGCTAATAATGAATGCAGCTAATCTACATTATCACAGATCCATGGCATCATACGACGTTCTAGTTCATTTAATACAGGGAGAATAACTCATTTGTACGATGATCCTAAAATCCACCAGGAAGGAAGTAAGTCCTTGAATGTTAAATATATCATTTCAATATTTATAATTCCCATTTCGACGTTAAAAAAGGAATGAAGTTACATTATGGTGACTTAACTGATACTTCCTGTTTGATGAGGCTAATTAATGAAATTCAGCCAGACGAAATCTACAATCTTGGCGCTCAAAGTCATGTTAAAGTATCTTTTGAAATCGCCGAATACACAGCCGACGTGGACGGTATGGGTGTACTACGTGTTTTTGAGGCGATTAGAGCCTGTAAATTGACTCAAAAGGTTAGATTCTATCAGGCTTCTTCCAGTGAGTTATATGGAAAAGTGAGAGAAATACCGCAAAATGAAGACACACCATTCTATCCAAGGTCTCCGTACGGAATAGCAAAGCAATTTGCCTTCTGGACTGTGATCAACAACAGAGAAGCTTATGGAATTCACGCTTCGAATGGTATCCTATTCAATCACGAGTCACCCAGAAGAGGAGAAACGTTCGTTACGAGAAAGATAACAAGAGCAGTGGCGAAAATTCATCTGGGGTTGATGGAGTCATTTTCGTTAGGCAATTTGAACGCAAAGCGCGATTGGGGACACGCAAAGGATTATGTTGAAGCTATGTGGTTGATGTTACAGAAAGATAATAGTGACGATTATGTTATTGCGACGGGAGAAGTTCACAGTGTTAGAGAATTTGTTGAGGCAGCTTTCAAATTTGTTGGTAAATCTATTGAGTCAGTAGTTTTACATAGGAAAGTCGACCTTCTTTCTACTCTTTTCATTTTTTAGGTGGTCAGGTGAGGGCGCTGATGAGGTTGGAAAAGAAAAGGGAACTGGCATAATAAGAGTTAACGTAAACCCGAAGTACTATAGACCAACGGAGGTTGAATACCTTCAAGGTGATTCTACAAAAGCTAGGAGAGAATTGAACTGGAAACCAAAGTTCGATTTTGAAGTAAGTCGTAAAGGATTGCGAAAGGTTGAATACTATATGTGTTTTTTTTTGATAGGGACTAGTCGAAGATATGATGAAAAGTGATCTGGAACTGATGAGGACGAATCCTGCCGCTTAGTGTCTCTGTTCATGATTATTATTTGTTTCAAAAAATTTATATATTTACTGTAAAATAAAAAAAAGAACATTCCATAAAATATTTTCACTTAGGAACAGGACGCATATAGTTTCGAGCATCTGTTCTTCGGCTATACGGTGAATTAGGCGTCTGTGTTTGTGGATTAATTACGAATTTGTTATACAAATAGTTCTGCCCAAAGTTCCGAGTGTCTATCGATGAATAGTGATTTGAATCAGATGATGCGTAGGTCTTTGATCTCCACTGTTGTGGATCTTCTCGTCGATACCCTGAGCCAACCGATGATGGTCCAGGATATATTGATCTCGGACGGTCGGGAGTAGTAGTTATTGTTGGAGGTGGAGGCATTACAGTAGCATCATCTGGAGCACTTTCAGAATTTTCCATCTTAATAAAGTCATCGACATGCATAGATGGCGGTCTCGAAGTATTTGGTGGCCTTGAACGAAATAGGTCGTTACGAGTACTTGCGCCTCTTGCAAATCCCCTTCCTCTCATTGGGGCAGCGAAAGCTCCTCTACTAGATCCTTGCGTTTTACTGGTATTAATCATATCCATTTGACGGCGAGGAGCACGAGCCCGAATTCTACGTGCTGTTGCAACATCTGTATCCTTCATTAGCTCCTCCTTCAGTTTGACATCAGGTAAATGCTCATTAACAATTTCAATTAAATTCACGGGAACAGTTTCTCTCTCTCCCTCTCCTCCCATGGGTGTTGCCAACCAAAAAGTGTCACTTAGTCTATTCTCATCTGATTCAGCAAACATGGAGACAGTTCTCAAGTTAAAGAGTTCGTGCAAAGGTAGCGGATTTGGAAGTTCTACTGGTTTCCATTCATTACTCATATCTTCCTCTTTTAAAATTGAAACGAGATCTTTCATTGCGTCGTGGAGAGTTCTCAAATTTTCATCTTGTTTTTCTATTTGCGCTGATAGTAGGTTTTCGAGATCGTCAAGAGGATGCATCTCTTTAGGCCAGTTTAGCATAAGTTTTAATCTGTTGATCGTTATGATATCTTTCCTTTTATTTTGAACCATCATATGGAGAACTTCCACAGCAGCTGTAAGCGTTGCTATGTGGTCATGACTGTCTTTACTAAAAGTTCCATTGATTCGGTCAAACAAAACATAAAAAACGCTACTGTCTCTTTCAGCGAGATATTCGTGTAAGAGAGATAGTCCAAAGTCATGTTCAAGTAAAATATATAAAGTCTTCAAAGATGGTATTACGCTGGTATAACTTTGATCTGGCGAACCAATATGCATAAATATACTTTCAATGATAATATAAAGGTGCTTTTTTGATGGCAAAGAATTTGATACACATTCGGCGACTGAGTGTTGATCTAACGATAGTAGAGATACCTCACAGTCACATAGACACTGGTAAACACCAATTATTGCCTCCTGAACAACGCTATGCCAACGATTTTGCTCATCAACTACATTGAGAAGTGACGCAATCTTTCTCAGAATGTTTTCGTATGTTTCCTCATTAAGTAGTGCAATTGCTGCTGCTTTAAATGATGGCTTATCAGCAAGGAAGACTAATAAATCTAGAACGCGAACTAAGTTGGAATTAGATAAACCTCCTGAATCATCTATAGTCTTTGCTACCAGATCTAAAACAATAGTTGCCATTACAGATGCAGATGGAGCAGTTAAATCTGATAGCTGCCAGCACACCCTTTTCAAAATGTGTTGTAAAGGACTACAACTGGACACTGCTAAAGTGTTTACAACATCGCGTAATTGTTCGTCCAAGGGTAGTAAATGGGCACTGCATAATTTTCTAGGTTGAATTATTAAATATTGATCATCCTTCTCGAGATTTTTCTTTGTTTGAATTGGCAATGGTAAAGGTAATAATTCGCTGAGTAATACTAATCCAGACAGAATAGTATATGGGGCTGTGAGCATCCATTTTAATAAATTTTTCAGAGTTCCAGTCCAAACAGACTGAGAAACAGCCTTGTTATCGCAAATGAGAGGTTGAGTGTAGGCTGCCAAACACGCAACTATATATTCCTGTATATCCAGCTGCTCCTTGCTCAAGTGTCCATTTGGAGTAACAGAACAGAACACTGCATGAGCGTTAAATAGACTTTCAACTGCTGTGGTATCCTTAAAGTCTAGTCCCCGAGCTTTAATCGTCTTTTGTAGTAAAGCGGTTAACGATGACAAGGCCGTCGTTAGAGTTGATATTATTAGCGTCTTCGTATTGGGTTGAAGAGGTATACATTTTAACCAAGGTGTTCTTGTGATATCTGCACATTTTTGTACAATATTTGCAAGATAATGTATTGCTCCCTGACTTTCGGCCACTGCCCTCTCATAAACAAGTTGAACTGGCCATTCGTTATTGACTGGTTGCACAAGAAATGATTGTAAAAGTCGTAAAATAGTTACTAAACCTTTTGGTATTGTACATTCAATATCATCGACTAGATGTTTCATCTGCTCTAATAGAACTGGTAAAACTTCCAAGGACGTTGGTTTATCAAGAATGCTGGATATTGGTGATAAGAATTCGGACATTTCGTGAATCTTTTCATTAATTTTTGGCATGATCGTCATTTCATTTTTCGAAAGCTTATTTAACAACAGTCCATGACGTTCAAGTAGTGATGCGGTATTGGTAGAATGTCTTAGAACGAGTAAAATTAAATTAAACACATAATGTAAAAGTATAGCTTTCTTTTTAAGTTCAACGTCTTCTTTATCTATTTCGCCAATATCGGCTAGTTGAAGGAGCGGTAAAAGGTTATCTTCCAAACCCAAAACCCGAACAACTGCATCTCTTCCAATAGGGGACAAAGTTAGAACAAAAAGATTATGTAAGACTCCTAGTACGTATCCACCCCGAGATATAGTCATTTTTAATTCATCTACATATAGAAGACTTTGCAAATGATAAACTAGGTGTAAGACAAATGAATTGCTCATCGATTCTTCACTATCGTCCCTAGATACACTTTGCAAAATACTCATAATTAGACTATTAACAGGATCCGGATTGAATGCAAGAAATAGTAATCCAGCTTGTGAGGAGCACAACTGTTCAATAAGTTTCTTTGCTGCAAGAATGATAGACGGATGTTGAGTACAGGATGGACTGGTCAGTAATACGTTGCAAGCTTTTAGAATTCCAGAACTATTGAAAATCCTTAAAATATCTGGTAGGGGATCGTGAGAGGGTAGATGAACTTCGTATAAAACTTCTCGAATTGGAATTCTTGATGGTTGAGAAAGAGTAAATCTCGCATTAATAAGAGATCTTGTCATATGTTCAAGACAGGTAACAATTTTTTGAACAACGTCGTCTTGCAGGGGCTCTATAATAAATTCTTCATCTTCTTTATCAACAACTTTTTGTAAAGCCTCCTCAGTTTGAGCTATTGTTAGTCTAACATTATCATTCAGAGCGTGGAGAGAGTCATATAAATTTAATTTGTTGCATAAAGCACTTAGAGCTTTAAGAACTCTTTGATCATGTCTATCATCAATAACTTGTTCAATTAGCTCAGCGTAAACGCATTTGTCAACTTTCTTTTGTATTGGATGACCACCAATAAACCATAAAAGACCATCTTTTACCCTTGTTGTTTGATCTAAAGAACGGAGAATTAACAATTTTATCGACGACGCCATTTCCCTTCTACCGAGTAGTTGCACAAGCTGATGTTGTACGTCGCGATGTAATAGACGGAACGCAATATCATCATGGCATGCACAAAGAGCTCCACACAATCGAATACCAGCTTTTAAATGTCGGACCATGTGAGTAACAGGTTGACGACTTGCCGAATCAGTGTCTAATCCTCTTAATGCCCATTCACACAAGCAATCCAAAACTTGATTTTTGAATTCAGTTATCATAAGATGGGCGAGTCCAGGAACTAACATATCTGTAACCTGTTCCATACGATCTACCCAATCAGCGTCAGATCCTTCAGTTTTCTGGATATATTGTAATATCCTATCAGCCTCTTGGCAGGATAATGATTTGTTGTCATTTAGCTTATGTACCGCAATTTCATGAGGAGTTAGAGCCGGATCTGAAAATGCTTCAAGGGGTACCAATTGAAATTGATAAGGGTTGAAACTAGCAACTCCATAGGTCCATCCTTCGCTATCAACAATATCTAAACCGCTTACGTCCATCTACAATTGATAGTTAAATGTCAGTATTTTTACAGATTATAATTAGTTACTTGTATGGTAACTTACATCAGTTAATTGTTTACGGGATGGAACACCATTTAAATCTGATAAATTATCTTCACCGGACGAAATAGTTTCATAGCCTTTTTGACATTCTTCATCCTTATAAATTAATTTATTATTAGAAAAACAGCAAAAAAGCGGTCTGATAATGCACTTACTGAGACCATTTCGATATCCTCAGGAATTTCTCCCGGTTCCGTATCGTCCGTTACTTCGTTTAGTGTTGGATTTGGAACAGGCTCAGTTTTACCAATGCGCATACTTGTAACAACTGTAATTGGCATAGCCTCTTCCATTCGGGCTCTAGAAGCCCTGGGATCATGAACTTGTCCAGTAGATTCGATTGGTATTGATGGTGGAGGATCATTAGGTGAAGACTGAGCATTTTGGGAGACAGCAGTGGATGCTACATGCCTTTGATCATTATTGTGTGGTGAGATGGGTCTGGTTGGGGATGGTTGAGGTGAAGGGGCCATTGAGAGCCATTCTGATACTTTTTGATTGACCCCAGGTAGATCAATGGGTGGCTTTGTTAAATTATCTGGACGATTAATTCCTCCACCAACAGGTCGAGTGGTGAGGACATCAGGGGCTCTAACCTTCGGTTGTTGAATAGGCGGTGATACGGATCGTGTTTGAATAGTCTCATTTCCGTAGACAGCCAATGTTATAGTCGTGTAAATACCCCGAATTACCAAGCCATCGGTTGGTATAGGCTAAACAGCATTAAGATCGTTTTTAAAATATAATTGTCCTAATATTCTACATTTCTAACCTCTCCATCAGCTTCGAAGAGAATATTTACATTTGCTTTATATTTGATACTGCAAAGAGGTGATAAATTTAAAGTGGTAATAAAAAGCGCACATGATAAACCTACTTTCCGAATTTTTCAAATGTTGAGGTCTGTTCCTTCAAATTATTTACAAATATATCCAAATCGAATTGAGAAGGATTCGTTGCACTGTTATAATGTCTTTTTACAATCGATTTTGAGGCTAAAAGCTTTTACTTACCCTAAACGAATGCCTCCCGGTATATCGGCTTGGACCCGAGTACCAAGCGGAATAACTCTTACTTCTTTAACTACCACCGGTCTTATGAATTGTATTAAATCCAAATTGATCGCCTGCAAAAATAAAATATCAAGTTATTTTTTTCATTTAATTGGTGCATTGAGACATACATCTGATGAGCTATGAGAAAATGTGTCGATAAACAATAATTCTGTCTTGGCCGGCGCCATATTGTTATATTTACTGCGGTTCTATTACCAAACTAAAAGTATTTTCGTACCTTGATTCGAACATATATAAAATATCAACGGACTAGTTACTATTGAAAGATTAAATTCTTATTAAAATTGCAAATAAAACATTTCGTACGGAAATATTCTCGTCATATAAGCGCCAATTAATTTTGAAACGACGGTCAGTAATAACACTAAATATTAGATAGATAATGTAGAAGTTAGCAACTTAGTTTAAACTTATCGTAAAAATATCCAAACAGGAATGATATAAAATAGAAATAGCAATATTTTTAGTTTCTAAATTAGCTGCTTCTTCGTTGTATAGACCAAATCTGAGTCTTGCAAAGAAGTAGCAATAACTTCATTTAAAAGCTGTTGATTCTATTTTTTCAATAAAATAATAAAAAGATCTTAAATAAGTTTAATGTATTAGTGAGTTTTACTCACTTTCTACTTTCAGCGGGTAATTCATTAGCAAATAAAATTTTTCTAAAAGTTTAGCTTTCTTCTCCCTTCATATTTAGTAGTTGGAGTTTAAGATTTTAAGCATAAAATCATAAGATATATGGTACTACAGTGGCAAAATATCTTAAATTGACGTCCATTCTGATACTTTGTGAGTTATGTTGAAACCGGAAATGGAATGGAGATATGTTCGTATGATTTTAAAAGTCAATACAGATGGTATGCTTAATGAACTTATTAAATAAGAATATGGCAGAAAATGGAGACAAACTAAAAGAAAGATGCGTAATTTTTGTCTGAAAGAGTTTAAACGAAATTCGTCCTTGGCATTGATGCTGACGAATCACCGGGACACATGAACACTTTTTCTTCAATAGTTGATTATTATATCACAAATTAGCAATTGCTTGTTCCTCTGGATTTTAGTAGAAGTTACGCTTTTGAAATCTTTTTAAAGGTATGGGACCAGATATATTATATAGGGATATGCTTGCTGAGCAAAGATATTGAACACGTGATAAATATTAGTGTATGGGGAAAAATCACTACTACTCTCTTTCGCCATCTCTTTGATGTCTTATGATTGATTAAGAGAAACATTTTAACCTAATAATAAGTTGAAGAATTCTCATTTTAACAAATCCGATAGATGTCACCTTTCAAAGAGTCCAAGAACCTCCTTTGATGTGACCGCTTTCCTAATTGTATTATAGCGTCCATCGCGCACTATACTCATAGAATGATTGACGGTGCGCTTACTTCGAGTTAGCTAAAGGCTGGAAATGCTATTGAAAGAATAAAAAAGCTGCGACATTCTGCGCTCATTCATTTCGTACAGATGGGACGCAATCTCAATTCGAAATTTGTAAATGAAATCGACGTCGACACAGCTGTACCCGACTTTCTCACGTCCGCACCCATAAGGGACGGTCTTGTTAATGATATGCTCTTAGTACGTCTCGTATGTGTTATAAATTCTACGGGCTTTTTCTGGGCTTTGAAGGGTGTTTGTCGTAAGGAGAAGCGTCTGTGGTCGTTTGATAAGCCTATAGTATGCGAATTCGCTCCGTTTTAGACGAATGGTGTGAAACCCTTTTTGTTCCTATTCTGCATTTGTTCACTAATTTTTTTTCTTTTGGAGCCCACTTTTGTATCCCGTTGCGTATTAATTCGCTAATCAGTTTTTGCATTTTAGCATTGGGGAAATGGCATCGAAAAAAAGAAAGGCCGGCAAACTTGTTTCTTTGAGCCCAGACAGAAGGCTACTTGATTCTAGCTTCGATGGCTATAAATTGTCATTAGAGGCTTTCCCCAAGTATAGCACGTGCTTGGAATCAGGTTTGTATTGGGAATACGAGCAAAAGCAATTCTTTAACAATACTTGTCACTTCCTACTGTTTACATTCCTAGAAATTGACCGAGTAGTGCTGAATCAAAATCAATACTCCTATCAACACCTGAAAGCTTTCGCTACGTTCAATCATCTCATTGCGGACCCATTCAATAGTAACGTCATATTTGCAATCGATAAGCTTTGGAAAGTTTACAAGATAAACGTTCAATTGGTCAGCTGTTCTTCTTTTTCTGTTTTTCATTACTGTTAGGGTTTGTATATATATGCAGTGTTCGGGCGCTTTACAAAAACCGTATTCCGTCTTCGAAATTCCGGAAAGTAGAACCAGACGGCAGATGGACGGTCGGTATCACGTAACCCTTAGTGTTTTTAGCCAAGACTGGTTGGTTTTGGCCGACGGTACAGGCTTCCTTTATATCATTAAAACCGGGCCTAGGGATAATGATATGGATCTGTGGAGGGTAATTGAAAACATTTCCCTCTCCTTAATATATAATTTATGAGTTTTGTATTTTCGCTTATCGCAGATCCATTACTCTGGTTCACCGTTAGGTGAGCAAGAATCATCGAAGGTTGAACACAGCCATACTTATGAAGAAAATGGACGAACTCTACTTAGCGTACTTCTTTTATCGGTTAAAGGCGAAGAGGAATTTCGAACTGTTTACAATTGGTTAACTTTTGAGCTAGGTATATTTAGATTAAAATAGAGTTTCCATATACACTCACTACCTACCTAAACTTTTATGGTTAAAAAAATAAAGGAAAAACTTTATAATTTGAAAATCATAAATGTGTAATACGGGTGAATATGAACAGACGAAAGAGAAAACTGGAATTTAATTAGAACTAGGAGGCTTGAAGGTCAAAGTTTTCCGGATTACTGTTGTACAGCTGGTAATTTTCTGTACGTATCGGCTGAAAGGCCACCGCAGTTTGTGTACGATTCGTTGCAACCGATTGTTGACGATAACGATGCTGCAGATGGCGCCGAAACGAGTAAGTATAATTACCGTTATTTTCACGACGTTAAGTGATTTAACACGAATTACTCGGGTTAAACAGCCGACAAAGCAATTCCGCCCTATTACTGGTATCAGAGCACTGAAGAAGTCGTCGTAACCGTCTGTGCCCCTGAGGACATAACTAAATCCGATGTAGAATGTACCATAGCAAAAAAAGATATTTTACTAAGAATAAACACGTCTACAATACTAGAAGGGAGTTTATACGAAAGCGTCTCACCGGATGAGAGCACTTGGACGCTTGTAGATAACAAGTACGTCAATTATTTAGTTTTCTTTCTCACACTTATTTTCTCCTCTTTTACTTTTGTTAACATTCTTCTTTATTCGATCATTTACGACTGTCGAATAGGTTGGAGGTGACGCTTAGCAAATGCGTCAACAATTGCTGGAATGAGGTTGTCATTGGAGATGATAGGGGAGAAAGGATTTTTTCAGCCGAACAAGCTGCCGAAATACATGAAAGGCTAGCCCATTTAACATCAAACCTACAGGTGCATTTTTTTTCTTTTGCTATCGATAAGAATCTCGAGTCTGCCCTCAATATTTTAACAAATACCCGCTTTTCATGTTAGCAATGTCATACTTTTAATTTTGGTCGATATTTACATCAATTTTTCCTAATGAATAGAACCCGGATCCTGACAAGGGGGAAAATAAACCGTTCAATTCTCAACAATTAGAAGAATGTGACTTCTTTCCGGAAGAAACGTCGGCGCTCCTTCGAATAGACGGTGATAGTCACAACATCACTCATCAGGTTTGATTAATCGCGCCGCCGCATTTTTTGCCTGTACTACAAGCTAAACTAAACAGATCTCTCTCTCACTCTCTTCCGCAGGCAAATTTAAGCAGTCATCAACACCTGTTTTCAGTTCCACCTGTCCGTAATGAACTTCCGAGCTTGTGCATTCGGCACGACGTTGATGGTCTTATTTGGCGAATCGATTCGACATTGGATATTCCTTGGCATCATGATGGCACATTTAATGCCTTGGGCTACGTGTCGGCGTCAAAGAGGAATAAAAAATACTCTTCCTGCAGCCCCAATTGCCGATATGCAGTGCTATGCGATTGTGTTCGACACATTTATATCTATAGGCAACCTACTCCAAGTACAGTTCGAAACAGGAAAGCTTCTAATTGTTCCACCGTCGCTAAACAGCATGTTATCAGTTTAGAAGAGACTGAGAATATAGAGGGAATGGTTGTATTGGATAAAGCGATCGTGTTACTGGTGGAGAATAAAATCTACGTCGTTAATATAGAAGAAGAATAGAGTCGGTGACTGCGAACTAATAATGTTGCACATCTGTGTAGGGCATCATTTAACGCCAGATGTCTAGTATACACGTCGCATTTCGTTTGGGTTTTTAATAAAGCTGAGAGCAATGTTCATTTTTTTTCTCCCTAGTTTTCCACACGTGTTTCGTATAAAGGGGAAGTTTTTAAGTTGAGTCGAACGTGTAAATATCTGACCTCCTACACGTGGTTTTCATCGGCGACTTGCGCGTTTTTTATTTAAAAAAAACGAAAATCGGTTTTGATTCGTCTGCAACCGAGTATAAATTCATAAAAGGCAATGTGTTTCTCTTTATTGTCAACATGGCGAAAAGACGAAAAACAAACTTTACACCTGTTTCTCGTCAAAAAACACGAGGATGAAAAAGCTGTTACTACCCGTCGAAAATTCCCTAAACACTTTCGAGTTCAAAATAAAATTTGCTCTTTAATTTATTAAATTTTCTTTTTAAAAAAATGATAATTTTTTCATCATAAACACATAACCTCTTATGCAATTTCTCGCGTAATTAGGCCTATGGTCGCGTGCGGATCGGCAGCTGCGACGTAGCACGTGCTAAACAAATGCCAGGAACACCACAACACGTGCGCCAAGTCTTCCGGATTTTTAGACGCATCTGCCGATTGCGTCTATCTAGCGTCGACCATTAGACGTTGGGCGGACGGGCCACCTGCACCTAATTCGCGCGTATCGGACTAGTGTGAGAACGGCGGCAGATCTTTATCGAACGTCGGAAAGGCTTGAATAATGAAATAGATGGCCACCTGGCAGGCTCCCAGTTTATGCAAGGCAGCTGAACAACAGCTGGTGGGCGGGATGGGCGTTGAGCTAGTCATGTGTCGCTTAGCACCTGTTTATGTTTGTAAAGTATGCCGCCCTTCGATTTTTTCCTCTTTTACGAGCCGAACTCCGCCAGAGTACACAGCTGGTGTTCGAATATCATATCGGCCTCCGTCCAGTCACGACGACACGCGATCAACTGCAAAATGGAAAAACTTTGCAGGCAGGCAGCGGAAGGGTGGTTCACGAAACACCTGCTTATATATTGATCTATAATACAGCTGCTTTATATCAGCCGTCTACACGTGCTCTGGTAGACGCTATCGAACGGAGGCAAGTAGACGCCTCGGGCAACGTACGCGCTTATCTCGCGCCGGCAGAATTTCACAATATTTTCATAAAGCGCCACCTGGTGGTTGCCGCCATACATGACGCGGCAGACGATTGTCGAACGCCGCTCCGTTCGAATATTTCGATTCTTTACCGGATATTGATATTCTATTCCACGAAATCGAACGCGTGTGTGTAATATACGCGTCTCAAAGTGCACGGAACGACTGTACGTATTACCTCTCTTCTTATTTTCTTAATCTTTCCTTAATCTTTCCTTTTTTTGTTTATTTTTTATACTTTGATTTCTTTTTTTCTCCGTTTTCTTCTCTCTTGTTCTATTCTTTATTCTCTTCTTAATTTGCAACCTCTTTCTCCCTCTCGTAGCCCTTGATTTGAGATTTTCGTTGTTGCTTATCGAACGTCTTTTACGCGCCCGCAGCGCCAGGCCCGCGTTTTCGAACGATGAAAATGTGGGTGGTAGCAGCTGGCTTTAATCGGCGCCCGTGTGGGTACTGGTTCGACTTATACGCACGCCTATAACGGAATGCGTCTAATCAATCGACGTCGTCCGGGAGACGTCTAGCTTTCGAAGGCTGTAAAGAAAGGAGAAAATCATTCAAGCGAGAAGAGTGTGAGAAAAGATATAACAAGAGCGATAGAGGAGAAGAAGAGAGAAAGGGTAGGAGAAAAGAAAATGAGGCTATATATATTATATATATGTATGAATATAAAAAAAGTATATATGGTGAGAGAGGGACAGAAGGAAGAAGAGAGAAGCAGAAATAGATAGGAATTAGAAGAAGCAGGGAGAGAGAGGGGAGGGAGAGTGAGTGGGAGAGTGAGCGTTTATTTTAGAGATTTACCCGCTTTCTATAAACTCTGTTTATTCAAGTCGGCCTCTTTTTATTCTTTCTTTCTTTTTTTTCTTTTCGCTATATCTTTTCATTGTAAACAGCATGCCCGAATCGCCAGCGCCCACCGCCACCGTCGTTTTGTCGTCGCCTTCTCGACCTCTTTCCAGTCCGCCTTCTCGAACTCCCACTCCGCCTCATTCGTCATCCTCTGGACAGCCGACTAGTGCTAATCAACAGCTGCCTCCCGCTTGTGGAGCTAAGCAACTCAGCAAGCTCAAGCGCTTCCTCACCACCCTTCAGCAGTTCGGAAGCGATATTTCACCGGAAATTGGAGAGCGTGTTCGATCGCTCGTTTTGGCTCTCGTTGTACGTTCTCATATGTAGGCTTATAATAGAATATATATTTATATATGCAGTAAATATATATATATATATATATATATATATATTTAGTGGATAGGACTATAGTGGCTATAATAACAAAGGTATATTTTCATCTGGATAAAAAAATATACCTGGGATAAAAAATATGATACAGTTACTAAGAAAATTTCCATAAATGGATATACGTATATATGTATACATATAACTGTATATGCATAAGAGTATATATGTGTGTAGTTATGTATAAACATCCACATTTTGTATTTACCTACTCCATACCCCCTATTATCACAGAACTCGCATCTGTCCATAGAAGAATTTCACAACAAACTACAGGAGGCTACCAATTTCCCACTAAGACCATTTGTTATACCTTTCTTAAAGGTAATTGATAGAAAAAGAAAAAGTAGAAAAGAACATTTTTGTTAATTATTTAAGCAGGCATTTTCTAATCGATTACGAAAAACAAAAACAGGCCAACCTGCCCCTACTGCAGAGGGAATTGGCGCAGTGCGCTTCCTTAGCAAAGCAGACGCCCCAGCAGTATTTTGCTCGACACCATCACGTCCTTCTCTCAGACGGTCTGGAGGGTAGTGTAGTTGAACAGTTAAACGAAAATGGCAAGCGGCCGTCGCCTGATAAGACGAAAGAAGAAGCGCCGTCGACGAAACGACACTGCAATTCATCGCCTACTTCCATCAATTTGCCTATAGGAGGAGGACCAATACGTCTAGAGGACATAAGTCTATCAAGGGAATTGCGTGAGAGAGAAATGAGCCAGATGAGAGAGCGAGTGGAACGTGAGCGTCGCATGGGTTCGTTCAGTAAGTGTCGTATAGGTGTTTGACGTCAGCGACGGAATTTCGACGGTGACGTCAGAGCATAAGGGCGCCAGGTGCTAGTAACACCTGTCCAACACCTGGCGCAGGTGCGCACCATAATGCAACTTGTTACTATGAATAAGTGATAAGCGTTTCGACATCACCCCTGTACAGATACCCTCTTCGCCAACGCCCGCCACGACATTTTCGAAGATGAGTTCAAGCATGTTGAGCACATGCTACATTGCCTCTCCGATATGGTCGATAAGACAAAACGAGCGGTCTCTGGCCTTCAAGAAAGAGTTAACAGAGAGAGAGAAGATCTCTTTGCATGGCTCCGACGATCGGATATCGATAAGAAGACGGTCGATCCTCTGATACTCAGGCAGACAGAGGAGCGAGTGGCTGATGTAAAGAAAAGAGCGGAAGAGGCCGTAAACGAAGTGAAACGTCAAGCGGTAGCGGAACTACAGAAGGCAGTGTCGGCTGCCGAAAGCAAAGCTTCAGAACTCGTTCACGCGGAAAGGGTAAAGCTGGAACGAGCTTTAGCCGACGCTCGCAAACAAGCGACGCAAGACGCACTCACCATGCTTAATCAACAAGAAGAATCTAATGAGGTAAGCGGTGAAGGTCACATCACTCAATGCAACCGATTCGATTTTCGCCAACAGTCCTGCTGGAATTGCGGAAGAAAGGCAAGTGAAACGTGCAGTGGCTGCAATGTTGCCCGTTATTGCGGTGCGTTCTGTCAACACAAAGACTGGGAATTACACCACAGAGTTTGCGGACAATCGAACGTTTCCCGACATTCGCAGGCGATCGCATCGGCAACAGCAGATTCTCAAACGCCTCGTCCTAAGTCGAGGACATCGAGTCCCACGCCATCTAGCGCTGTTGAATAACGATGGATATATCATCTTAACTTCACTCCTTCCTTCTATTTCTTCTTTATCTTCTTCTTCTTCTTCTTCTTCTTCTTCTAGTCCTTGCCCTGCCCTTCTCCCATGACGACCCTCGCCCTACCCATTTTCGGTTTGTTTTCTTTTTCTGTTGAATCTGTGATATTGTTATTATATACCGTCTCGGTTTATGTAAAGGAAAAAGGCAAGATGAATATGTATATATATATATTTATGTATATCGAAATGTTTATATATACATATGCATAGCGTATAGATGTCGCGCGGCTTGTGCTTTAGATCTGGTTTAAAAGTAACCTGATGTTTTACAATTATATAATATTTAAGTTTATATTCGTATAAGAAATATATATATATATATATATATATATATATATATAAAATTTATATATATATATATATATATATATATATATATGTAAGTATATATGTATGTTACAAAATACCTATTGACTGTGCATACATATATCCAAAATTTTCTGTACATGCATATAGTGTATATAATATATACTGTTTATATATATATATATATATATATATATATATGTACATGTAAGCATGTACTATATTCGTATAAATAACTATTTATGTGGGTATATAGTACAGATGTGCATGTATACATTTTTAAAGTACGTACTCGTGAACAAGGACGTGAATAAAAATTATAAACGTTAAATCCATATGCGAATATATTTATTTTATAGCAGAAACTATTGAATTCTTCACGCTAGGAACACACCGACCATTTGTAAAAGAAGATAGATAGATAGATAGATAGCTGGATAGCTAGAGAGATAGATAGAGGGAAAAGGACAAGAATGGTAAAACAAACCATATATACTATTTTCCGTTAAGTCGTGCGAATGACGCGCGCCGTCTACGGCAGCTGCGTTGGGGCGTCGAATCGTTTAAGCGGCGTCGTTGTCCTGTCGTGGATAACACTCGAAAACAGGCTTGTAACTCTGACGCAATTTTCATATGATAGGGCAAATTTTTAAAAGTACAACACTTGGTAATAAAAGCACTAAAAAAACTATTCTACATTAAATACATCTGTTCGGTAGTATATGATCACTGAAGTTGTTTTTGTTTACAAATTTTAATTACGCAATACCGAAGAGTGGAGCATTTACTGATAAACCTTATGTATATTTGTACGTCATTAATATATATATATATATATATGTACAATTTGTATTAATTACATATATAAATGTAGGAATATATATATATATATATATATATATATATATATATATATATACTGTATATGCATATACTGTATATATATATAGAAATAAGTATAGCTATAATATATATAAATATATATACGGAACATATTTATTACAAAAACGGACATTTGTTAAAATTCTCATCGGTTCTCTTATGATGTTAGTGTAGATGTGTGTGAATTTTTAATTGTTCACTATAAGCGACAGATGTTGCGTACTCAGCGGCGGCGAAAAAGATGCAAACTGAGCCGAACGGCGCTAACGAATGTTTGGGCGGCAGGTGGAAAGCATTAGGCGTAGAGGAGTTTGCAACATCTGGAAAAGGTTGACAACTGGCGCCTAGATAAGATTCTTCATTACTTCCAGAACGATCGCCAATCGAAAGCATTTGCTTGGCTCTCTTTGGGCCTGCTTAGACGATTGTATACTCTATTCAATTGTACGTGCATGCGTGCGTGTAATTTACATGTGTTTATTAGCCTAATCGCCAATTTCAACTACAGATGTCGTTAGATTGTAATGAGCTTAGTTTAAAAAAAGAAAAAATAGGATTGGTGTAGGGGTGGAAAAGGGTAAGGTTGGAGTTGAAAGGAAGAGATTTCAGTTGTATTATTATACACATGAGTGGCGTCACCTACGCCCTATCACTTCCCCCTGATTGATATAGGGGTACAACAAAATCACTATACCATTATTTAAAGAATATCGTTTACCCCCACCCCGTAACTCACGAAGCAGAACATTCACGCTATTCTCACGCTAACCTCGTACATTTAGCTAATCTATAGCCTCAAACTTTTTCTTTCAATAATATTCTCATGATAGCAAATACATAAATTCCTTAAGGACATCACAAAAACATTCCATTCAGAACTTTAAAATTAGAAACACACTGTGGAGACATTTGAACTTTGGGTAACTGTAAAACTGATTAATCTCGGTTTTTTACTATCCTTTTAATTCTTCTATCTATCTATCTATCTCTCTTTCTCTATTTTCTCAATTCTATCATTATAATTAATAAATAATCTATAGGTTAATTTTAAGTGGTTTTATCACTTTTACGTACTATTTGAAAAAGAGCCATACGACCTTTTGTCATAGGATATCTATAAAGATAACTTTTTCCTAAGCACTACTTTTCTGCTGACTACATAATAAGATAAAGAGAAAAGAAAGGAAAATATTTAAAACATTAGTGGACAATTTTGCCATCTGACAAGTTCACGTTTCCTCTTAGTTAAAAATAAAACAAGTGAACATTTTTTTTAAAATTATTATTATTATTAATAATAAATCATTAATAAACAAATACTTGCTTCAATATTGTAAACAATCGTGGTAGACTTATTTATGATTATGCTTCTTTTGTTTCTTAATAAGAATACAAAATTGAAAATTATAAGTTTTTTTAGCCTAGTCAAAAAAATGATTGTAATTCTCAGCATGAGTGAAATTAAGAAGGGAGGAGAGTTAGATGGATATTTTATTACGTTGTAAAATATCACAATGTATATTTGGATGGAATAAGAAAAATAAAGAAGTACTACCTTCTTTACCTCTCAATCTATCTATCAATCTCTTTCACTTCTCCCCCTTACTCTCCTTCTCTCTTAATCTCTGCCTATTAGTTTTAATTATCACTCAGCATAGTATGGAAAACAATGAATATATATATATATATAATAGCATACATATTTAAAAAAAATAACGATTAGTAATACAACTATTAAGATGGCATCTATTCCAAAGTGATGGTAACTGTGGAAGGTAAGCTATCTTGTGTAGTTTTAAATATTTCCGCCGAAACCGGATTACTATTATCATCGTGAAAATAAGTTCCCATGGTATTCTTGTATCTAAATATTTATTAAAATATTGAATTAGTAAAATAATATTTAAAGATTTTGATTAAATTAAGATGAAAAAAGAGAGAATCATAAATGATGATAAGATAAATCTTTTCTTAATTTTTTCATTAATTTCTAATAATTAAAACATATGTTTTGTTAGTAAAACTAATCTCTTGCTTATAGTTTTATCTATTTTGACAATTTTCACAACTCTTTGTTAAATTTTTCAATATTCTTTATTAAGTTTATCTAAAGGATTATTAAATTTTGTGTGTTTCTTTTTTCTTCATTCTCTCTCTCTCTCTCTCTTTCTTTATTACTTTCAATTTTATAACAATAAAAAAGTAGGGAAAAAGTGGGTCAAGTTTTTTAATGAATAGATCAAAAATAAAAAACCTTATTCTTAAGAAAAGTTTTATCTTATCTACAATTTCTTTTCTCTTTCTTTTCTTCTTTTTTTTTGAATCAAAGCAAAAAAAAGATGTATCTCTCTCTCTCTTTCTACATCCATATATATTAATATATCTATATGAACACACGTGTATATAGATATATAGATATCCATTATTATTTATATGCAATAGTACATAAAAAAGATCATAATAGTAGCAGGAGTGGTAACAAAGAGAGTAATGATGTGATAAAAAAAATCATCTTCAATCAAGCATGATTACTGGGTTTTTCATAAAATAAAAATAAGCTTTTTAAAATGATTAAAAAAACTAATTACAACGGAATTTAAAATATTTAATCCATATTTAGTGGGGGTAAAGATTTAGGCCATCTAGGTTGAGAACTTCTGTAAAAATAAGGGGGTATTTATTAAACAAAAGAGGTATAGAATAGGTAAAAAATAAAGAATTCTCTAAACAAGAAATTAAAAACAATAAACGATAAAAAGTAAAAATATACAGGAAACATCTTTTAAAAAGGCAGCAACACCTGCTCAAGCGTCAATTTGGACATCGTGGGTGGCGGAGGCTGGGGTACCAACTTGTCTGGAGTTAAAATTGAATTGTTCACTGCAAAATTGTGTTAAGTATGTTAAAGATTTGAAAAAGGAAAAGATAACAGACATGGCAATCATTTAGTGTATAAAAATAATATGAATATGTTCTATTTAAGGAAATTAAGAGTGATTAGATATTTGAAGTGAGTTCCTTTTTGTGAAAGTAAACTATTTATCTAGGTTAGAAGCAGTTTTTGTTATTAATCATGCCTTTCTTAATATTTGATATAGCACCGATTGATTGCATCACCAATATAAGTGATGAACAACAATCCAGCACCATTAACATTTATCGTAGTGAGTTTTGGCAGGATACTAAATGAAAAATGGGCTACATTTATCAGGGCTGCAAAAATATAGGCCACGCCCACTACGTAAATTATTAATTTCTTCTCTCCCTCTCCCTCTCTTTCCGGAAAGTGTTGCACATAGTCGATAAAGCAAGTATCTGAGCTTTTTTAAAGCACCAACTGATAGTCTGCTCGATTAAGCATGAGAAATACCTATAGTAATCCTAACCCTAGAGAGGAATTACAAATTACTAAAGCTTATCGTTAGATGGCGCAATGAAAGCGAGCAAAACTTGTTTCTTTTTATATATGTTGTATAATCCATAACTTTTGAGTAACTAAAACAAACCTTGGTGTATAGGCCATTTGATTTTCTTCAGATTTCAGCCTAGTGCGAGATACAGGTTGGCTGTTGGAACGTGCTAGAATTTCCTGGAATTTCGTCCGCGGAAGTGCTGTGTTGTGTTATCAATCATTTTTTTGTGTGCAAAATTTAGTGTATAAACTAGTCTATTTGCTTGGTATATAAAAAGTGATTTTTGGTAAAAGGTATTGATTTTCTTTTTGATAATTACCTGGCATCATGAAGCCAGGAACACTTTGGTGTCTTTGATAAGAAATCGGTGGAAGATCTCCATCATTAGTTCTAACAGCAGCTAAAAAAAAACATAGTAATATCATAGTTTTAACATTTTTCATTAAAGGAATAATCTATAGTATTTACTTTCTGAAAAAACGTTTCTTTTCTTATAATCCGAAAGTCTCTTCTTATCCTTTGAAGCTTGCCAATTTTTTATAAAACTCCTCGATAACGGAGTTATCTCTTTTCCATCTAAGAGTTCTATATAATTTGTAAATTTACATTATATATTAGAGATTTTCTCTTCATCAAATTATGCTAAAAGCTAAAAACCTAAATTATTGCATAATACAATAATTCTGTCTCTGTACTTTGATTTATGGCAAAGGGGATTTCCAAGTAAATCCAGTCTTGATAGATTGCGCCAGCTGTTGAGGCAATGTGCTAATTCCTGTAAAATGTAAGAGTTAAACGGTAAATAGACAGAAACGTGAAAGTTGTAAATGAAGATATTACCTGGAAATCAGATAGGTAATTGTCGGCTGCAAAAAACTGGGTCAAACCCTTTAAGCATTCCAAATCAATAATACTGGTCAAATAATTAGCCGATACGTTAAGAACTTGAAGAGTTAACTGTTGAAGTATTAATAAGTTTTCTTCAATTATAATAGTTAAAATTTGAAAACTAACGGATATTGCAACAATTGATCTTGGATCAAATAGTAATTTCTCTCCTCTTTGTAATTTTTGATTTTCAATATGAAGTTCTTGTAAATTTTCTAACTTTTCTAAACCTTCTACAACAGTAATAGAATTTCCTCCAAAATATCTAAAAGAGCGAAAAAAAGTGAAATAAGAGTTAATTTGTTTATGAAAAGAACGAAAATAATAATCTTATAGATATATAAACAACATAAAAAACTATAAATAAAGCTATTATGAAAGTCTTCTTATAATAATCAATGATTTTCATGAAAATACGTACAATTTAGTCAATTTATTCAATCCGATTAGGTTTTCAATACGCTGGATTTGATTGTTCTATAGCATAGAGAAACAAGGAGAAATATAGTTAAAAAATACAGTGATTTCCTTCTTTCTTCTTAATTCTAGAATAGATTAACATATTTTATTTATTTCGAGGACAAACCTGTAAATATAAATGAGTCAAATTAGGATTTTGTAGCAAATGTGGTACTGCTGGTAGCCGGTTATCGTAAAGATATAATACTATAAGGTTTCTGCACAAAGATAGATCGTCTCCCTAACACGAAGAAAGGAATAATTGTCAAATAAAAGATATAATCAATAGCGTGAACTATATAATTCAAAACCAATCGACTGCTTATAAAGATCAATATATTAAATAAAATGGAAAGTAAATAATTCAACTTGTTTTATAGGCTTTTTCTTAATTCGTTTTAAGGATAACTTACGACTTCGTCTATGGATCTATTCTCTAGATATAAATGTGTTAGCCTTCTTAAATACTGGTTCATGCTTTCCTCCCTCTTCTTCTTTGTATAGCCCGATGTTCCTCGGGCTATCATATCAATATTCAACCTAACCATTCTTTAATTCATTCTAAAAAGTTGAAAAGTTACATTTAAACGTTTGAAAATAAAGAGTTACATTGTTAAAATTGTAGAAATGTTTTAATGAATAGCATGTATGATCATGCCGAATAGACTATAGAAAACGATTAAAAAATACCTGTTGAAATTAGAAAGATACTATCATTTTTTTAAAAATCGAATAATAATTCTTTCATATATATAAGTATATATAACGAAAAAAATATTAAAATTCTTACCGTATACTTTAATGAAAGATTATCAAATTGTTGATAAATAAAAATTCAACTTTATGACGTATGTTTAAGTGATCCTTTTAATTTTTACTTGCGTGGGAGAATGTGTTGTTTGATAAAACAGTATTAAATTAAAAAGACGCCCAAATTACATTGAAAATACAATCTAATTCGTGTGACATAGTTCCAATAAACTACCAAAAATTATTATCTTTGTTGTATCTGGTTGTCATAGAAACCACACAATAAATTCCCACTCATTTTGCTAATTTTAAGAGGTTGGGAGAAGAGTTATTTCCACATTAATTATTTAAGAGGAAATTCTTAAAATGAATCTCTAAAATGATTAAATTAATTACCTCAAGAAAAAAATCTTTATCTCTTCACGTTCTATTTCTTTTTACACGAGAACATTATAGTATAAAAACGTTCTATAAAAAGACTAAAAAAGAACATTTTCCAATAGGCGAGAAGAATAAAAGCGAATTTTAAGCGTTTTTCTAAGAACTAATTTAGATATTTGGTAATATATTTGTATTAAACACTTTGAATTTCAAAGAACCACCTTAAGGGAGAAGTTTAATGCTATACGTTTATTAATGTTTTACTTTTAAAGGAAGAGAAATAATGAAGGGAAAGAACGTTTGGAAAAGATGAAGATAAGAGATATTTTGGTTCATATGCGTACATGAGGTATTTTTTTCTTCCCGCTATCTTGTACCCTAAACGAACGTAAATATTTTTATTATTTTAGCTGTACAATTTCTTCTGGCATTCAGACTGCAAAACGTTTATTTGCTTAACGTTTTTCTTTTTTACTTTCAATAGATTTACGGTATATATTAAGAATGTCAGTCAATCTTTCCCTCTCACTTATTCTTTATTCTTTAACCTTATAAATAATTAAATTTAGAGAAAAAGTCAATTTGATAGAGTGTTTCTTTTTTTTTCTTTCAATTTCAATTTAGAATCAAAAATAAATTTTTTAATAAAAATATTAAAATTTCAAATTAAATTAGTTTTTTAAACTTTTCAAAAATATTAATGACAAAATCTTAATGTTGAATTATCTATTTGAAATAATTATGAAATTAGGCTGGTAAAAGGGAAGCGGAAAGCATTAATAGATCTTCCAACGAGTCTGAATCTTGAGACATAGTAATTGACTGCTGTTGATGATTTTCGTTTGAAGTTATATTCGTTTCTGCTTGACTATGATGTCTCTTCATATGAATTTTTAAAGTTGAGTTTTGAGCGGTTGCATAATCGCAAAGGTTACATTTAAATGGTTTTTCACCTTAAAGAAAGAGACAAATAAAAACTAGGTTAATTAAGACTGTAATGAAAGTAATTAAATTTTATCTTACCTGTATGAATCCTGTTATGAACTTTTAAATGGCTTCGTTCGACTGTTGCATAGTTGCACTGATCGCATTTGTAGGGTTTTATTCCGGTATGCTTGCTCATGTGCTTCTTTAAATGGATGCGCTGATTGAAACCTTCACCACACACTTCGCACATAAATGCTTTATTCCCATTTAATTTCTTCTTTTTCGTACTTACACTAATAATTGAAATAATTTACTTTGTTTCATATAATTATTAATTTATTGCTCATTACTATTGCTCACCTGTTTATGTCTATTATTTGAGTATCTTTTGTAGTTAGTGATAGTTCATCATGTTCGGGAGCGGTTATTTTTATGCCCGTTGATTCCTTCTCGTTTTGCTGTCTTTCCTCTAGATGTTTCATAAAATGCCTTGGTCTTTTCTTTGGAACGATTGATGAGCAACATTTCTGCATAACCGTATCAATTTGGCATTTACCATTTTCTGAGCAGCAACACGTAACTCTCAAACAAGATACTTTTGAATTAATATCCACTTCCTCCGTTACTGATTTTGGAGACTCTGCTGTGGTAGTTACAGTATTGCTCTCGCAGCATTTACAATCAACTTTTTCTGCAGTTTTACATTTACAATTTCCACTCTCCTGAACTTTCTCCTGGTTAGTATTAGATATTGGTTGTTGAATAGTAGATGATGTAGCCACAGACGAGTTTGTTAGAGACTGTATTGAACTACTAACAGCTTCTTCAATTATATCTTTCATGGCATTATTATGAGTTTTTACAGTCTGTTGTACGTTATCCGTAGTCAGACTATCCATTCCTTCGTAATATACTTGAAGATTATGAGCATTCTGAATGTGTTTTAGTAAGGACCATGGAGATTGAAAACTTTTCAAACAAGTTGAACATTGTAGATTTTTTTGAGCGTTTTCCTTATTATCGCAATCGAAGCGTTTATGATTGATAAAATAGGCCATATCACTTAGGAAGAAGCTGGTTTGACAAACTCCGCATACGAGGTAATCTGCTAAAAGTATTATAACTTGTAGTAGTTGAAACGAAAGACCTACATTGTCAATTCAATCCTATAAAACTATAATAAAATTAAGCAAATTGCCTATTTATTTTATTAATCTCCTTAATTCGTAAAGCAGATTTAGTTATAAAAATATATATAAGATCCTACCAGTCATAATTTTTAACAGAAGAGGGTATTGTTTAAGGAAAAAACGTTAAAAACTATTATTATCTTATCTATAGTTGTTAAAAATAGAAACAAATCACACTTTGCTGAAAATGCGATTCGAATTGTGAAAACTCAGCCTACTCTATAACAAAAACTTTGCAAAAAATATAAAAATCATTTATAACATTTAATGATTTCATCAACTTTCAGTAGAGTTTGACTTTATATAATATATATGTTATGAATTACTGACCTTGTGCAGCCAAAACCTCCATAATTTGCTAAATTTTAATGAAAATAGCGACTCCTACTTATCAGGTTATAAGAAAATGTGAGTCTGATTTGCACACTTTCTACCTCACATAACGCGACACGTGAATATACATTAATGACATGTGAAAATGTGAAAATGTGAAGGGGAAATAGTAAGCGATAATTGGTTGCTAGCTATTCCCATATATTCACGTTAATTCACGTTTTTTCACGTTATTTAAGCTTCACGTTCGTTCACATAATTCCTGATAAAGTCTTTATTAAAATACGTGAAAGATAATCGGCAAAATAAAGCTAGATCCTATCGTTTCCTATTTCTATTTCACATAGAAGGTTTAAGTAATGCATTTTGTAGGCCAATATAAGCTTTGGAATCATTTTCTTTATAACAAAAGTCATTATAATTGGTTTATACAATTGAACATTACTAAGCAATATGTATTTATTATGAAAGTTAATATACTATAGCTTTTTTCATATATATACACTAATCTATAGGTTGTTTTTCTCTATTATAAACAACGGAAGTTAACGGAAGGAATCTTTTCGTTTCATGTTAAAAGAGAGCCTTTTTTTTGCTGATGAAGTAGTTTTTATTTGAAAAACATGATTATTTATAGTTTTGTATGTTTTTAACATCTATGGTGTAAATAATCTATATAATTTTTATATATACTCGACTTTATTCGGTTTGGTATATACATAATTTCCCCATATTAGTCATGCAAATAGAGACATCAAACAAAAGTTATTAATAACATCTTTCATAATAGAATTACTAAATATGGATTAAAAGAAGCGGAATTATAAAAAACAAAAGATTGTTTGAAAAAAGAGAAAATAGAGAAAAAGATCTATTAGGCAGTTTTTAAATATTACACAACTATATAGTACTCTTTTATCTACCTTTCTGCCGACTTTAATTTCTAGGTCTGATCTTTAATAAAACCTTCTAGCTTATTTGTTATGGCACTTTGTAGTCATAATGAATTTCAGTTTCTATAGTTATCTAGAAATTGATAGCTAGTAGGATTGTTTCTATTTCCTTTTTTGCATCTAGAAGAAAAATAGTTCCAGATGATCTTGATTTCTTTCGCGTGTAAGTAAATATTTCAATTTCAACAGGCTTTCAATAAAAGATCTGTTTGGGCGATGTAAGAGTATATTTTTCAGGTAAGATCTTCATATAAGTAAGTACAAATGAAAAGAACAAAAGATGCACATCTAGGATTATATCGATTGAAATTTACAAGGAAAATGCCTATAAATATAAAATCTATTGAAAGTAACAGTCATTGTTTGATTAATGAAAGCTTGTTTATCCACCTTTCTTTTTAGTATTGCATTAAAGAAATCTAACTGAAAAGAGAAAAGAATAAAGGAAGGAATGGGAGGAAAAGGGTTCAAAGAAGATTACTTGTTTCTTTTCAAGTGTATTCAATACAATACACACATTCGCTGAAAAGAGTAGGATGTTCTTTGAGAAAAGTCATAGGGAAATGTTCTATTACCCGTCTTTTGTATGAACGCATTTCACAATAAAGAGTAAACATCTGATGGATCTCATTCATTAATCTAAATGCTTTTCTTGAATTATTTATATAACAATAATAGTACGTGTTTAACATAACAGATGGCGTAGTATGTTCTCCGCCAACAAAAAAGGAAGTACAAAGAAAATAGAAAATATAATCCCTATAAAATATAAAAGAATAAGGGAAGGAATTAAATAGAAAAGTAGAAAGGGAAAGAGAAGGAGAAAGAGAGGAATGAAGGAGGCAGGGGGAGGGGAGGTAGGAACAAAGTATGGGAGAAGGTGACAAGAAAGAGAAAAAGAAAGAAAAGGGTCAGTAATTCTCTTAGCAAGTTTAATTAAACTTTGTCTGTAAAGAGAGGATTACGAAAAACTTCTAGAACTGCTAGAGAGTAATTTTAGACTTTAATGTAACGTTGTTTGAGGGGGATAATCGGTTTATATATAGAAATTAAATGAGATCAAAATAGATGTTAAGAATAGGTGAAAATTTCATCGAATTAGACGATGATAAGCGTATAATTTATTTAGTTTCAAGGTGAAGCCATAAAGAGGCTAAGCGATAATAAAATGCAGCTTATTATATTGGAGTCAATAGAAAATTTTCTTGTTATTTTTACATAAAGGAATACGCAAATACCCTGGAGATTTATGGAATCTTTGGAATCAAACAATAATAAAATCGACATGTCGAGAGAAATTTCCCTTAAAAAGTTGATGAAAGACTTTCGAGAAGGTTAAGAGTCGTACGAATTGAAGTACATATTGAATATTTGCTAGAAAATATTCCAAGCTTTAGGCAATTGTTACGTCACATAAGTTCTATTGAATTATCCAGAACCTTTTTCGAATCAGCCCAAATACATTTTATGTGTGTTTGTTTGTGTATTTGCGTGGCTGCTGTGCATGCTTTTGGAGAAGGCTTTAGAAATGTCCGTATAAAATATATACTGTATATTTTAGCCATTACATATATTTTAGAGACGCCTTTAGGTATAAATTAGCTGCCTAAAAGAGCTAGCTTTTTATTATAACAAATAGAGAAAAGAAAGAAAGAAAGAAAGAAAGAGAGAAAAAGAGAGAAAGAGAAACAACAGATACATAGAGAATGAAAGGACAAGAGAAAGAGAGAGAGAGAAAGAAAGAATTCATTCATGAAAGAAATAAGAAGATGAAATTTTCCCAATTTCTAATATTATTGCACGAGAGATGAACAAAAAACAAACTTACTTCCAATATCGTAGCATAAGGTTTCCTGACGCAAATCTCTTTATTTTGAAGCTTCCGGCAAAGACAGTTTCTAAATAAAAGCTATTATCATAATTAATAAGTTATAATTAATTTAATTAAGGATCAAGTTTCTTAGTTAAAATAATCTTCTTCTTTGATAAAAGTAAAAACAAGAAAAAACAAGAAAAAACCCATTTGCACATATATATTTATAACGTTTATAGAAAATGCTTCTTTTTTTATTAGCGGCAAACGAAAGACAAAGGAAGATAAACACTCTATTGTTCCTATTGAATATTTATATAATTATAGGCTTATATCTATTATTATTTGATAATATATATTTTTTAAAGTATAAATGTTTACATCATAAAAAGTGGAATCTATATTTAAAAGGTTATTTTCTAAACGTTAAATTTGACTTGGTAATATCAACATGGCTCTGTGGCTTAGTTGGTTAAAGCGCCTGTCTAGTAAAGTATTTACAACAAGTAAACTAGATATTGTAAACAGGAGATCGAGGGTTCGAATCCCTCCAGAGCCTTTTTGCTTTCTTATAACTGGAATTATTTTTTTTTTTTATGGTTTATAGATATTTTTTTAAAAAAAAAAACAAAGCAAGAGGTAAATTTAATAGGTTAAAATCTATCTAAATATACATAAAAGATAGATTATGTTTTGGCTAAATTCCCAAAACTAATCACCACTCTAGGGGATTCTAAAGGGATTTTATCTTTATAGTTATCCAAATTTTCTTTTATGCTGATTCACGAGGGATAATAATTATTGAAATCTTAAATGAGTTAATTTATGATTATAATGGTTCCCATTTCAAACAAGATTCCATTGGGAATCGTCAACATAGTGGGAGTAACGTAAAGAATTAAATATTATCGCTCTAATTACATTATTCTTTTGAAGTAATCGTGCCTAAAGTAGGGTTATTATCTAAATTTCGGGTAATAATTCCAAACAAATACGCTTAATATTATAATAAACATATATTCATTCTGATTTTATTGTTATGTTTTCTAAGTTAGCTTTTAGAACATTTATATTATAATTAAGATATTCATTAAAGATTCGATTTCAAAATTCAACGTTCTCTATGTACAAAGATTCCAAAAGATGATATGTGATTCTAGGATATTCGTTTTCTAATAAAAACATGGAAATGCAGTCATTTTATCGAAGGAATCAGCGAAACTAATACTTTATTCCTTTATCTCTCCGAAGAAATCAAAGCAAGCTACACGAAGATTGGTAAAGCTAAAAGTGATAGTCGGCCCGGAGTCTGTATTTTACATAGTATATAGGACAGAAAAAAAAAAAGAAATAAGTCAACTATCGGCAGCAACGTAAGAAAACGTAATTGTAACCTTTAATGGCAAGTTTATAGAAATTTTCAGCATCTCTTTCATTCTTAAATTTAAGATGGAACTCATTATCCTATTTTGTTCATAAAAAAAATATAATAATAAATATATATTTAGTTTGTATGACGCAGATATTTATATATATTTATGTAAAATATATCAAACAGAGGAGAAGGAAAACTAACTGGCATCCCAAATTTGATCAATCTATTATCCTTATCATCTTTAGTTATATGTATAGCTGACATTGCCTTAAAGAATATTTCCTCTTTTGAATCTCCAATCCTTATACAAGGCGTCAAATTAACTATGGTTTTCTCTGCAATACAATTCTCTATTTTTTGATTCCCTTTCTTATATGTTACTTTAAAAGACTGCAAATAAATTTATCTAATTAGCATAATTTCTATAGAATAAATACATAGAATAGATTTTTTATTATTAATTTAATAACATTCATAATATACTGTCTCTTTGTTTACTTATAAGTTGCTTTTTTTTTCCTTTTAGCTCCTTATCTCTATTATTTCCTGAGTGTATTGTTCTTTTATTGTTATTGTTTTGTTCTATATTGGGTAATTCAAAGTTTGAAAATATCATGACTCAGCTTAGATAATACGTCGATATGCTTATAAAACGGATGTAGAATGTCTATCTTCTTTTTTTTAAGTGAGAGTTTGGGAATAAACGATGAGGTAAAAAATGTTAATTAAATTCCATTCTTTGTATTATATAATATAGTCTAATTGAATCGTTTTCTTTAGGTGGGAGAAATTATCCTGTCATGCAAAGGCAAAGAATACGGTGATAATTTGCTTAGTCACAAAATCTTTAACGCTTTGAAATTCCAACTTGTTTTTATGAAGCAGAATGATCATTCGATGGCACTTTAGAAGGCACTCGAAGACGCCCGAATCTTGCCAAGAAGAGCATTATTAACATGCTTTCTCGAAATTTGTGCAATTTTTCTCTAAATGCTTTTTAAAACTAGATGAAAGTCGAATATAGCGGCAAGATTAGGTAATATAAAAGGTGGAAAGTGCAGTCATTAAGTTCGACATAGTTCATTAAGACCTTTCGTAACAGGATGATAACATTATTTAATGTAAAAAGGCTCTTCAATTTTCATGAAAAAAAGTGAAATAAAAAGTACAATTGGATTACATAAAGAACAATTAATTAATCATACTCAAGAGACTTCACACGATTACGAATTTGAATAGAGCAGATGTAAAAATTTTGGTTAGTACATTATGTTGAAATTGTCCAATGGTTTAATCGACAATAATGCGACACATGTGCTATTAACTTTGTTTTAAATATGCCAATGGTTAAGCAAGTTTTAAGTAAATACTAGCATACAAAATTCTATCTAGTTTATCTAAAAAATATTGTTGTTTGTAATTTATGCTGTTTCTTTTTGATAAAAAAATAAGATTACGCACCATTACGACTAGAAAATTTTAGCAAAATCTAGTTAATAATTCTTTTGTGAAAGGAAACAAAGCTCATATTTTGTCTTTTTATCTCATGAAATAAGAAGTTAAGTAGAAAAACTTTGGCACAAACATGTGAGTATTCTAATAATAAAGCCTGTTTCTAAATGGTGTAACCTAAACGTGCAACACACATCTGCTTTCGGAGTTTCATTACATGTTGAAACATTTCTGCATCTGTTTAAAGTGATAAAAAACAATTTGTTACTACTAACAATAAAAATCAAAGAAGATAAAATCTATTATATAATAAAATTTTACCTTGACTTTTCACTAGGCCCAATGTTATATAACGAATGTAAGTGTAGAAATCAGCAACGGCGGCTATCTATAAAAAAAATTAAAGATATGAATGGCTGTTAAATTGCCATCAAAATAACTATAATGACCCTATTTCTAGCCAATTTGGAAACATAATGCCATTCTTCGTTATCTCCTAACCGAACTCTGTATTTGCAAATATTATTCCTTTCAGTTAACGAACACATTCTGGGCAGGGGATTTCTGTCCGGTACTGGTTCTATTGCCATCGTGTTTTTCTTAATTGACTAAGGAGGAAAGGAAAACAAAAGTCAATTGCAATTCTACTTTTTTTTCAAATTCTCATTTAACATTCCTCTCTATAAATAATAACATACCCAGTGTATATTTTGAGATAATTTATTGTTTGCAAAATCTAAACATGGTAGAATATCTTCGTCTGCAATTCGACCGAGAAATGTGTTACGATCGTCTAATTTAGGAGATTTTTTCCAATTGTTAAACTCATCAAAGTATACTGGATCGATCTATTTAGAACAAAACACATTTTGTACTTTGATTTTTTGCTTGCTATTAATAAATATTTGAATTAGTATACTATTTTTTTTGTCTATACATAAAGTAGCTTTAGTTTATAATAATTTATTGCTAATCTTATGTCGTAACAATAAACAATTACTTACACCCCAATCTTCATTGTTACGATTTTCTTCATTGGCATTTTGTTCTCTATTTGCCTCTGAACTAGGCTTAATCAAGTTAATATTAACGGCTGACATTTCATCACGAGTAAATTGATGATGGCTTGTCGATCTTCGGTGAGTTTTGACAAAACCACTTTTCTTGGCAAATTTGTTCGGTGTAGCCTGTTTTTGAGAGGCTTGGGCTGATGCATCCAATTGAGGATGTAAGTGTTTATTTGGAGTTGCTGGAGTTGAAGTAATTACGAGGGCTTTCAAGGCGGAGACTTCGGCTTGTAACATTTCTATTTTATTGTTAGCGGCTTTTAGTTCATTTTCAGTTTGCATCCTTTTAACATTAGCTTCCTGAACCATTTTATTTGCTTGCTCGAATAGAGAGGCTGTTAACTCTGTTACTTCCCCATTCATTTGCTCTTGAACCCGTTCTAATTCTTCATTTTTCGCTATTCGTCGTTCCAATTCATGGCGAGCAGCTATAAGCTCTTCACGTAACTCAATATTGGACACTTCGCTCGCAACTTGGACGGATGAACTTCTAGCTCTGGGTCGGCGTTGTTCATGCCTGTGGATATTGAATAAAAAATTCATGCGTTAATTAATTCTTTCTGTAGAACTTACTCGGACGAAGAGTCGTTTCCACCATTCATTGCACTCGTTATGACGATGTCAGGAGCTGAGGGCGTGGTTGGCACAGAACTACGTCGATGCTTATTTACTTTTTCGAACGATTCATTATCGATTGCTAAACCAATCGGTTTCCTTTTAACGATTGAATCGTTAGGGTTTGAGGGCATATTTGTTTTGATTATTGTTTCAACAGGTGGGTTTATACAGCACACTTGCTCATTATATGTTTCATCCATCACAGAGAGCTTTACAACATGCGGGCGGGCGTGCGTTGAAAAGGCGGCATGCAATAATTAAAGCGACTGCGTTCACCTGTTGATTAAATAAAGTCGTGCGCATTGCCTAATTGCCTGTACCAAGTTTACCTTAATTTTTTTGTCTTCTTATTCTTTTTATGAGAAAAGATTTCCAGAATATTTTTGCATAGAATAGAATATGAAGAAATTATTTAAGATTAGCTAATATTCCAACGGGGCCTAGACATCTAAAGGCTATTAAGAAAATCCATTTTAAAAAATTTCGTAGGCTACCTTCCCGTTCAGCCACGCATTGCGCATGCGCTAAAAGTTATCAACATCCTGTGACGAAGTTCCGGTGTTGAAAACTGGTTACGGTTTCTGCTTGCAGACTATCTGGTTTGGTTTCCAGGACGGATCTTTAACCCGTCTACAGTAATAGCAAGCAGAACGACGATAGAAACAAAATACATTTACATAGAACAGAGTAACTATTAAAGAAAACACAGAGTGACACCATATAAAGGTAAGTTTTTTTATAACGTTTCTTCGTAAAATTCAGCTATAAGAGTTATCTGAAATGAGGTGATTACTTCGGAAGATCCTCGTGGTTGCACGCCATCTGGTGAGTGAGCGTCTCATGTCGGTCGGGCAACTTTTCGTTTGGACTAATTTGCATATTTACTACATTAGACAATTTGACGTAACTCGCTACTACATGTCCGTAAAGATAAAGTATCGATTATGAAATGTTACGAGTTTGTATTGCCGGTTGCGCAATTCTAATGCGATTGCTCGATCGCGTGATACGGAAGAGTCGAGTAGGGTGATTGACGCGCGATTTGTTCACTTTATTGCGTGTTCTCATCCACTTTTATCTAATCTATATATCTAGAAAGATATTTAGTTGCCGTAGGCTTAATTTAAAGGTAAAAGGGATCCGCCGCTAGCCACCTGTTATGGGGTCGAGCCGGCTTTTAACATTCTATTTCAATTGTTGCCCATCGACGGTGGCCTGTAATTAAGGGGCGCACGACGCTTTTCTTTATCAATTTCACGGCGGTTGGACGAAGGAGAATGAATATTTTATAAGCTTGAATGGAAAAGAAATACGACAATTTCTTTGATTTTTTTGTGTTTGAACGGATGGTGAGTGAGAAGGAACATAAACAGCCTTCGGCAGAGCACAAATACAAACGTATTCTTAATTTGGGACGATGTGTAATGAAGCGGTATGGGAAACCTATGGTAAAATGAGAAGTGGGCAGTGATTAGTGCGCGCGAAAGCTTTAAGTAATTAGCTAATGTGATGCTATTGTTCGACGACTGGTAGTTATACACCGGCTATTTATGGGCAAAGTTTATGAGGGGTCAATCTCAGACGGTGGTTGAACACACTTTTCAAGTAAATTTTTGAACATATGTAGGTAGGTGAGATTATGGCGCATTTAACGGCGTTGTTTAGTGCTAAAATGATGACTTAATGAGTACATTAGAAGCCGTTATCCATATCAAAAGAAGCGTGTATTAGACGGCTTTGATAAGCACACCTTCAAAGAACTCAAACCGGATGACTCTAGCTTTGTTCTTTTACATCATCAAGCTCTTTGTGTTCTTCAACTCTATACTCTGAATGCTTTGATCAAGCAAACTCTCATTTTTTATATTGCAAACTTTAATCTGCCAATCGATTCTTCTCCTTGTGTAACATTAGAAGGTATGCGATGAACGAAAATCCATATCATTCGGACGTAAGAAGAAAGTAGCGTCTAATTGCATATAAAACGCGGGAACGTCGGGCGTCTAGTGATTGATAGATGATTGGTGTTGATTATTTGTGACGCGCCGCGATAGACGTATACGGCAATGATGAGATGGTCAAAAGGTGACGCGGCCCTAGCCGAAAAAAACCCATCAGTAACGCTACTCGACGTCACTAGCAATCAGCGTTTTCGCTTGTTTGTAGATATGAACATTCTCCTTCGCCCTTCCATTTACTGCGTACAAGTAATTTATCTGTACGACGACCCTTCAGGCGGAAAATTATGAACTTACAAGGCGGAATTTTCTCTAAACATATTGCGGGACGGACGCCTGATATGAAAGAGTCGCATCTGTCGAAGGTGACCCTTAGGTGACAACTTTGCTACGGGATTAGCCCCCACAAACACATTATTAGATATGCGCACGTATGCTATACACAATTATTTAAATAAGCATATACTCTTGTCAAAATGTATAAAACAAACTCATCCGCTAAGATGACTTTGCTTTCGTCTTTATGATTAACTTTTTTTGTTTCGCTATTCCTCATTCATCTGCTTTGTACTTGCATTCAGTCTCTTTTCTTCTCCTTCCAAAGCTCGTAGACGCTATACGTATACTTTTTAAGAAATTAATACAATTATTAGTTTGTATATAATAAAGAAATGAAAAATGATAATTCTTATCTCTTTTTCTACGATTTCTAGATCGAATATGAGATTTTTTCCTTCATAAAAGATAAATGATATAGACTTGTAGAGAATGACATAAAGTAATGAAGTGTTTAGTTAAACAGCGTCTCCAGAGATGTTTGAGCGTCGTGACTAATGTGTCATTTTTTTCCGTAGCGACGCAAAAAAAAAAAAATTTGTTGCGCAATTTTAGAAACGTCTCTCTCACTCCCTTCTGAAATGATTATTTGCGCAATCATCTTGTCCAAATAGCAAGGTAAAATTGCGGCAGGCTGTCATGTCAAAAGATTTCCTTTCTCCTATCTCACCTTCCGTTTTTACTGGTATATATAACTTACGAAGGTCGCTCTCTCGAAGACTGAAGAATGCGTTCGAGTGATTTATTTCGGATTGTTTCAAGTTGCAATCCGTTTAAGGTTGTTTGGCTTCTCTTTTATGACGTCGTAGAGTAATTAAGGGGAAATAGTTTGTCACGCCAGCACGCGCGATTGGTATTATTCATGAACTGTGACGTCATGCCTTCTTTATCTCTTATTTACTTTTTTTTAAATGTCCTGCAGGAATTGGCAATTATTTTGGAGTTATTATGAACACGAAAAATCCGGATCCCGGTTCCGTACCGTTCACCCAGGTATAATTTAATAACGCATCTATCAGATTAATTAGAACTAAAATACAATTTGTTTTATTGAATTTGCATGCAAAGAGCAGCTCGGTATTATTGCGTTTGCTTATTGAATGCGACTATTATATGATTGCGATTCGCCCATTGTTGTAGCGTTTTGTCTGTTTGTCTGTATTGCAAGCAAAATTTATTGATTACGTTGTTGGAAAAGTTGAAGAAAACCCGTAGAATGTCGACAAAATGATGCGCATAGGGCATATTAAGGGTTAGAGGGTCACGTGGTTTCTAATTGGTCGGGCTTTCATTGAAATTATTATACAAGGCTTATATTGGACTCACGCTGTGTGAACTATTCAAAACTTTGTTGACGCTTCAATGCGACTAGGAAGTGTCAATGTTGAATGAAGGAGACGACGTACGATATATTGCTTGATATCAATATTACTATTCCGAGATTTTTTATTGTTGAAACGTTCGAAATTATTGAATTTAATAGGAGAGTTATATTTCTTTTTTTGAAAGAAAAAGGGGTTGGAAGAGGAGGATGGCAAAGAATTATTTAGGAGAAAAAAATCCGTGTTATCCGCCTCTGGCAGGTGCGTGTTGGAATTTGCAACAATATTTTGCTTTGTAAAATTTGAGGCTATTGTATTTAAACTTGACGACATTTCGCCCTTTTATTCGTCTTCTTCTAAATATCGACCTAATTGAAGAGAATTAAACACCGAGATTATAAAGCGATTAGATTCGTTTTTCGCGCCCAACGTCTCTAATTACAAATTCGTTTAGCGAAACATTGTTTCGCGTTATACTATTAATATTATTGACTTTGTATTGAGTGAGTAAATAGAGAAATGTATTTAGCTCAGAGCGTAAAATACGTATGAAATATGATCGTTATATCGCGTCGGTATGATTTCATTCTGTCTACATATCTTCTCTTAACCCCCTCAACTGGAGTCTATATTTTACTGTATGTCTTTATTTATGACATGTCCCCTCTGTTTCTGTCTGTCTGTCTCTCTTTAAAGTTCCCTTTTACTAATTCTGTTTTGCGTCCTTTATAAAAGTCTTTTTAATAGAGTTTCTGTAGATGTTTTTCTTTTCTCCCTCTTACCGTCTCTCTCTCTCTCTCTCTCACTCTTAGAGCGCGCGCGCTTTCTCTTCTCTCGCTCTCACTCGCTCTCTCTCTCTCTCTCTCTCTCTCTTATTCGTTTTCTTTCTTTCTTTCTTTCACTCCTTTTTTTCTTTTTTTCACTCTTTTTATCTGTAGAACGACAACTGTTAATTACGTTCTGTTTGCGTGCTGTTCATTACCAATCGATATTTACGGTGCAAAGAAAGAAAAATGACTGCCTATGTATAATATTTGGCTATACACGGAACAATAGTCCTAATTTCGATGCCGTACTTCAATCAGTCAACGACAAACAGCGCAATCAAACTATAAATCAATATAACTATGTACGGCTTATCGTTGGGACATTTCGCGTATTTCTATGGCAACGAGGACGTGCATTAAATCCATTTAGGCTGGACGAAATGAACGACGATGCCATCTTTCAAGATAATGGGAAGAGAGGGGCGCAACACAAATCTCATTTTGTCAGCCTAATCATAAGGCAAACAAAGGTTGTTTCCCAAATTTTTTTCTTCGTATAGTAGCGCATTTGTTGTTTGAAGTAAGTGTCCAGCTGACGGTCATCGTGACGTAACAAGATGAAAAGGGATGCGCGCGTTACCGTTAGGAACAATTTTTAGTACTATTACGTTTGATACACTCGTCGAATTTGATTGGTTGAATCATTTCGTTTAGCTCCGCCTATCGTTAGGTGGCGCTGAAGTAGCGAATCGGCAGAACCGTCAATCGTTGCGGAACAAGTGGATTTAATATATCAAAGTTATGCATTCTGTCCGTTATGAACCGTACTGTATGCCTCATCGTATGCCAGCAATGTTTCGCGATTATCAATATAGTCAACAACAGGTTCGTGTGTTCATTTAACCTTAGTATAACCTTAATTAATATTATGCACTATATGGATATCTATTAATAATGTAATATGTATATATAAATAGTAAATGCTAGTAAAGGCGATAAATTTAATATACTAATGAAATAATATCATGTTTAATAACTATATATATATATACATATAAATATATATTTGAAAATAGAGTATATTGGAATATAAGCTTATGAATATACTGATATATACATATATATATATATATATATATATATATATATATATATATACGATTTATACATCTGGTCGGTCTCACGACCTTTTTATTATTGTTTGACAAATTGCGCGCGCCTATAAAATATATATGCGGAACGTTCCACTAAAAATATTTTCTATTCGGATTATCTCCGTTAAATTCCATTACTGTTTTCTAGTTGTTAAAGGATTATCGAAGTGGCTTTATAAATTGATTGATTATCGATCGGCGACGGCTGGCGTGATTAAATAGGAAAAAAATTTTCCTTTGCCTTCTCTATTTTAGACGCACGCGAATTCTTTCAGTCGACTTCGTATTTAATTAGGTTAATCATCTCCTAACACGCTTCTGATTATCATAACAAATAAAACTTAACATATTACAGATTTATTCAATATTTATTTATGTATTTATTAGTTTATATATAAACGTATAGTTGCCATAAAAAGTGTCCTAAAAAAAACAGGCTCGGCGCCAGATTTATTGTCGGCACGAGGAATTTAATTTGTAGAGAAAACATTCAGATTAATTGCTCTTTTTTTCTCTCTTCTATCTCTTTCATTCCTCTTTTTTTTATATAACAACAGATGAACGCCGTAGTTCAGGTGGAAGATCTGCCACCGTATGGGTCTTTGGAAGAGTTGTTGCAGTCAGACTGCACCCCGCAATTTCCGCCCGCCAACCTCGACATTCCTGATATTATGACGGACAATTCGACTGTGGATTGTCAACATACCCATATACAAGTTCCGCTGAACTCTGGTTACTGTACTGATCAAGTAGCTACAGGACCTAACGTCGGCGTATCCCCAGCAACTGGCTCAATAAATGAACACAACGACGGAATTCATCCACAAATGTCGCAAGTAAGCAATTCTTACCACTATTGTACATATTATATCTTAATATATATATATAGATAGAATATATGTGTGCGTGTATGTGCGTAAAAGTGTTTTCTTTTTCCAAGAACTCTCTTATCCAGCCAGGTTTTATATATATAAAACAAGAAATTGATTTACTTTATGTATTTGTATTCATATTTATATCTACCTACAGCCATAGATTTAATGTGCTTATATATGATAAAAAAACCCTTTGACATAATAGATATTAAGTTAATCAAATGCGGTTGTTATTTCAATTTAACACAAATTTCCATGAGAAATACATATTGTTTATAATAATAAACAATAAAAATAATCTATATAAACAGTGTTAATAAGCATTGTGTATAAATAAATATGTAGTAATATATACTATATCCTTCTAAGCTGTCTTTATAAAGATATTGTGTTGTGCATATTTAATGAATTTTTGTCATATCAAAGAACACGACGTTTATCCGACATCTGACGGTCAGGATGAGCGATCGTCTTCTTTGAACCGACGCCTATTTATTCCTTATATTGCGTAACAAACAACCGCAAGGAACAGTGAGCGCGTGTGTATACAATAATAGACAAGTCACTGTACACACTAGTATATTTGTGTGTACACTGACATGGTACACTGCATTTAGATGAAGAGAGTAAAGTAAAAGGGATGTTTAAAATGATGTTAATCACGCTTGATTGGAGTGTTGCCGTAGGCTAGCCGTAAATTAAGTACACTACAGTAGCGCTCTTCTCTCTTTGTTTAGCTTCTGAACGTCAAATTATTAATCTTAGTAAAAATAATCATTATTTATGAAAAAATAAGAAAGAGAAAAATTTATCTATAAATATGCAAACCTAATTAGACTGATTATGCAAACAGATGCAACAGGGTGTTGCCGCGGTGCACAGACGTGGAACAACGACTAGTATTGTGGTAAAGAATAAAGTGAAAACGGCGAGTAAGAAGAGGAAGAAACGAGATCCAAACGAACCGCAAAAGTAAGCATCCCGCGTCCGATCGATACTATCGAAGCTTGTTGCAGACTAAAGTAGGGCACGAAATAACATTCATGGAACACTTTATCATCGAACTGAGTCAATTTACGGACGTGACAGTTATTATATACGGACTCTGCATTCTCGCATATTTATATTCTTCTATATAAAATACGCTACCATCTTTTGCATACATTTGTCTTTTATTCTTTCAGACCCGTTTCGGCTTACGCGCTTTTCTTCAGAGATTCTCAAGCGTCTATTAAAACTCGAAATCCTAACATGTCATTCGGCGAAGTTTCAAAACTAGTCGCTCATATGTGGGAGGATTTGGATGCCGATAGCAAAGCGGTTAGTGTTTGATCTCTATACAATTTTCTTTGTCACTTTGATGATAATTGTGCAAAAAGGATGACTTTATTGAAACGATGCGCGTTACTCTCCTGACCTATATACAAATTTTTATTCTTTCAGATGTACAGAAAAAGAACGGAAACTGCCAAGAAAGAATACCTGAAACAATTAGCTGCGTACAGAGCCAGCTTAGTATCGAAGGTGAGTTTTTGATTTTTGAGCGCCTTTTCCGCAGTACTTTATCTGGGTAATGCGAGAATGAATCGCCGTCTCTGTACCTCTTTGTAACTTTGCAATAAGAATTGTTTGAAGAGGCTTGTCTCTTCTTTCATGTCGTACTGGTGCGTGAAATTTTTCGAACGGATGCCTGAGGGCATTTTTAACTCTTTATTTCTTTACTATTGCCTTCATATGCTCCAATAACATCTCACTCTTCTCTACTTTTATCAGGGTCCTTTGGAAGGAGAGTCATGGTCGGGAGTAAGTAGTGGGAGCAGCGCCGACGGCAGTCCACCGCCAGTTTCCACAACTTATCTATCAACGCCGTCGATCGCCAGCCCTTTACCGAGTCCTCAGGCCTATGGGGAACAAACAGTTATGCCATCTGGCGAACTAATGTGTGTCCGACAAGGATGTAAAAATGGAGCTATACATGATCCTGCTTGGGACAGAGACTATTGTAGCAACGAATGCGTCGCAACGCATTGCCGGTAAGCGTAATAAGATTCGCTCATTACATTAATTATACATTAATTACTTTCTTCTTTTTTTTAATCCCTCTAGCGATGTTTTTACGCAGTGGGTGGCTCGTCAAAATCAAACTTCTGTCAAATAGGAACAAACCTTTTACATGTATATTACAAAGAACACGACGATCGAGAACAGTTTTGAAAAGAACATCATGCTCAGAACAATTGATTGCGTTATGAACAGCAAAACGGACAATACATTTATAATACCCAACAAAGAGACGTTTCTGCGGAGACTAACGCTACTGCAGAAAACGATTTCTTTTTTTTTCTTTTTTTTAAGAGGGAAATATACAATGTTTGTGTATAGTTTATATAATCCTTATACAATGAACATACTATATATGAATATATATATTTATATATATATATGTACGAAAATTTATATATTTATAATAGTATGTATTGAATTTACACGATAATAACTAATAAGCTCATATCGATCGTATTATATAAGCTTACAGAATTTTACCCTCTACAGTTAAACATTCCCATGTATCTTGATAAATTGCTTGTACAGATAGCTATTAAGATGTTCAAAAAAAAAAAACATGTTGTGTTCGATGGTTATTAAAACAAAAAACAAATTGTACAGATCGTTTGTTTGAATACATAGTTACAAAATTAAGGAATAATTTGTTCTTTTTATTGCTGGATTGATTATTGTTATCATGGAATTTTCAAGTATCATCATCGCTTTCTAATTTCTCTTCTGAGACTATTGTTGAGGCTTGTTCTTCTGTTGATGCTAGGAATTCATTAAGTGCTTCTGTATCATCTTCCGGACAAATATCCCCAACGTCCACTGTCAATTGATGTCCAGACAATGACGTTTCTACATAAATTATAAAATATATAAAAGGAAAATTGTAAAAGAAAAAGTTTTTGAAATAGTCTAACAACCGACCATACGCGTTTCCGTACTGTTGATATTGGCGTATTTGCTCCTCAAAAGCTAAGCCGTACTCTTCCTGTCGTTCTTTCAATACTTTCATTTGACGCTTTTCGTGTTCTTTGACGATTTTTGCGTGTCTCGTTGCCAACTGCGGGTTATAATTTATTATAAATGATATATAATTTATCCTTTGAACTAACCATTGACTTGGACCGCTCTAACTGCTGGTATTTTTTACGTTTATATGAATCCAATCTTTGTCTGTGCAGCTGTTTATTTTTCATCAATTCCTCTTCCTCGCAGATATTTTCTAATTTATTTAAAGAAGCTTCTACAGATCGAAGCGTTATGCATAAGCTTTTTGCAAGGTCAACACTTGCGGATAATTGTTCATTCAGTTCAGGCAAAACGTTTAATTCAGTATATAGATTGTCTACAGCTGTATATTCAAGTTTAACAATATCGCAAACTTGGTTTATTTGCTTTTCTATCGTCTCAGCTGACCGAACGCTTTCTTCGGTTCGTTTATGAATTGCTTCCCAGTCGTTGTGATAGCTTAAATCGAAAACGGTCAAAATAAACACGCCGCGATTGCAGTATATAATTACTATTTACCAACCGTTCGAATAGATCAGCTCCAGCATTGTAATTGATAGTCTTTTGACCAGTCGAAAAGAACGTGCGATCTTTAGTCGAATTTAGGTCTAGGTGACTGTAGATAATCAATGAATTACCTCAAAAATAAAGTGATTGATGAATCTATTACCTAGCTGATAATTCATATTTAACATTTAGAAGCCTATCTTTCACTTTATCAAACAGGTTCATTTCTCGTAAGTAAAAGCATTGCAAGATATCACATGACTGAAATGGACACTGCTCTCTCGAATTCGAATAAGGTTTTCTCTAGTGGATACCTTGGGCGATATTGTGTGCTCTTTGAACTTCTTCCATACCAATCTGTATTAAGGAGTACAAGTATTCATTTTACAATAAAGGAATAAAATTACTTATTTGAAAAAATAATAGGTTAGATCTTTTAAACTGTTCTTTTATATAAACTATTTGTTAATCATTTGAGTGGATAAAACCGCGCTAATGTAATTCGATCAGTTCTTTGCTTTCGTTTATCTGTTGGTCAACAAGATGCAATCTGTAGAAGAATTTGTTCATAAACATTTAGAACTCTTAGAAATAGAGCGAAAAGCTGAAATAGACGAAAACAAAGTATGCCAACAGCAATATTCAGTAAAAGAGCTCGAAAAAAAAGGAGTTTGTGTCCTTAAATTACGTTTATCAGCCAAAAGTAGTGGCTTATACGGCCGGATTGTTTGTCATTTTGAACCATTTTGGGCAGGAAACAATTTACCTTCTCATTCACTATCATCCGGTGATATAGTGGGATTACAGCTGTCAAATAACCCTACTAATGACACTCTAGTGAGTGGAGTGGTGACCCGTGTTACGACGAATTTGATACAGGTCGCTTTTGATGAAGATCACTCAGTAAACGATTTAGACGATGATTCTCAATATAGACTTATGAAATTAGCCAATGATGTCACTTACAAAAGACTAAAAAAATCTTTAGATCGTCTCAACAAATATCCAAGTGGAGGGCTTTGCTCAAGATTAATATCTGTTCTATTCGGAGAAGATAAACTAGGCGAACCCTATCGAGAAAATGCAAATTTTTCCATAATGGATTCTAATTTGAATAATTCGCAAAGAGAAGCAGTTGACTTTGCTCTTCGTCAGAGAGAATTGGCCATCATTCACGGACCTCCAGGGACTGGTAAATCTACAACAGTTATAGAAATCATCCGACAAGCGGTTAAAAGTGGGATGAAAGTTTTAGCTTGCGCCCCATCAAATGTTGCAGTGGATAATCTCGTTGAGAGGTTAGCCAGCCACAAATTGAATGTCGTCCGCTTGGGTCATCCTGCCAGATCATTTACACATCTTCAGAAGTATTCAATTGATGCTCAGTTGCGCAGGAGTGACGGATTCACCATTCTTAATGATGTTCGCGACGAAATAGAAAAGACGTTAAACAAACGATCAGGAAAGAAAAAATGGAGTGAGATCAAAGAACTCCGAAAAGAGTATAGGGTAAGAGAGGAGAAAGCCATAAAAGAGTTGTTGTCGAACACTGATGTAGTTTTGTCTACCCTTACTTCAGTTACACAGGAAGGCCCGCTAAAGTGCCTTGAAGAAGATCATTTTGGCTTGGTTGTTATAGATGAATGTTCTCAAGCGATTGAACCCGCTTGCTGGAGTGCTCTCTTATTCGGCAAAAAGTGTATTTTGGCTGGTGATCATCAGCAGTTGCCTCCTACAATAATTAGCAGACAAGCCGCTAAGAAGGGCTTGGAATTGACACTTATGGAAAGGCAATTAAGTCTACATCAAGATGCTTGCATGCGTATGCTTAATATTCAATATAGAATGCACGAAGATATAATGAGATGGCCCTCTGATCAGCTTTACAAATCAAAGTTAATTGCTGATAAATCAGTTAAAGAACATTTACTTTCTGATATGAAAGATGTTGAGGAGAATGAGAATACGATTATTCCTCTTTTACTTATTGACACTGCCGGTTGTAATCAGAATGAACTTGATTTACCGGAAGAAATGTCCAAAGGAAACGAAGGAGAAGCCGATTTAGTTGCTGTGCACGTGGAAACATTGATAAATTCTGGTTTAAAAACTGATCAAATTGCTGTGATAACACCCTATAATTTACAAGTTGAATTATTAAGATGTCGTCTGGCTCAAAAATACTCTAATTTAGAAATAAAAAGTGTAGACGGTTTTCAAGGGAGAGAGAAAGAAGCTGTAATTATTTCGCTTGTTAGATCGAATGATAAAGGTATTGTTGGCTTTTTAGCCGAAGATCGACGTATAAATGTGGCAATTACAAGAGCTAAGAGACATTTAGCTATTATTTGCGATACGGCAACAGTTAGTAATCATGATTTTCTTGCATCTTTGATTAATTATTTACAAGACAACGGAGAAGTAAGAACCGCTCAAACCTATTTAAACGATGGAAGTTTAGACAATATACAAACGGAAAGACCAAAATCTATCAATGAAGCCTTATCTCGAAAGCAGGATAAACAGACCAAAGGGAAACAAAAGAAAAAGAAAAACGACATAAAGTCTAATGACGAAAATAAGGCGAAAGAATATCGAAATGAGAAAGTTGATAGAAATGAAGAAATAGCCTCGAGGACCGAGAGATTTACAGATCAATTGAATAAATTTACCAATAACGAAAAAGAGATATCATTAGAATTTTCTACTGATCTAACATCTCATGATAGATTATTAGTACACGAAATTGCTGATAAACTGGGCCTAATTCATTTTAGCGAGGGTGAAAAAGCCCATAGACGGGTTATCGTGAAGAAAAAATTGACAGAAATTGTAGAAGATTATGTCAAGGGGGGCAAAGAGATGGAAGAACTTAAAGAAGATAGGGCAATAAGTGCCCCGATTGAACGGGCATCGAAACCTAATACGGCGCCTTTTGACGTGCGAAAATCAGAGAAGGAAAAGCCTCGGAAACCGAAGAAAACATCTAAGAAGAAGGAGAAAAGATCCGGAAAGGAAGAGGAAGAAGATTTTGATACCCTTATTGCACAAGCTATTAAAGAGAATACGACGTGCTTCTTCGCCGGTTGTAAAGCATATACAACAGTTTTGGGACAGCATTGCTCTTTCTGTCGCAAAATGTTCTGTCTGAGTCATCATATACCGGAAGTTCACGGTTGCGGTGATATAGCGAAACGGGAGGCTAGAAAGCAAATAGCTCGCGACGGAAAATTATTTAGTGGAAGCGGTGTACCAAGTAAAAAACCTGATCCTGTAAAAAGGGCTCATATGCAGAGGAAACTTGATAAAAAATTAACCCAACTTTCAGATTCTAGACATCGAAAAACTACAAAGCAATCTGATCAGTCGTAATTTCCGATTGTTGATATTTTTTATCCTTGTTTTATCCTTTTAAATTAAATTTATTTGTCATTTGTCAATAAAACGAAATAATTTGAATAGTTTTGTAATACATTTTGACAGATGAGCAATAGGAAAAGAAAAAGCGATAAAGTTAGCCCAAAATTATTAGGCGGTGCGGGGTTTTCTCAAATAGCGGAAGCTTTTCCCAGACAAAACGTATCGGAGAAATTAAGAAGGAAGCGTTCTAAGACCGAAGATTCATTCTTTAGGTATTCAGTGTCGAATGAAGAAGATGAAAAAGAACTCACAATTATCGAACCCCTTACCCAAACGATAAATGATACACAAGGTATTGGCAGCTTAGAAATAGTTGAGGATGATGATGATAAAATAACTCCTAGACCAAAGGAGTGTAGTGGAGGCGGCGATTATATTATATCGGAATCACCGCCGAAATCGATGCAACTATCTTTTCAAGTATCGGATACGCCAGGAAGTTTAGAGGGAAACGAGCGACCATTTACTGTTAAAATTTTAAACAAAAGAACAAAGAGTCCACACGTTGAAGCAGTTTGTCAAATTCTTAGTACAACTCTACCGATTGGATTGTCCAAGGAAGCGGACACGACACTCTGGTTTCCTATTGATATCTCAAGGAGAGTTCGTCCCGGTTCAGTTCTCAACATCATTTCCTATAAGTAAGAGAGAAGAAAAAGAGAAACGACGACCTTTTAACCCTTTCATTTTTGTTTTCCCCCCTTAGGAATTGCATCCCCTTAAAAGATTGCAGTATTTTTACAGTAACGGAATTTAATGTTATAAGCGAATTACCTCTCGAAAGCAGTTCGCAAAGAAGGAAATCGGGAAACGAATACTATACAGCAATAATACATAGAATATTTACAAAAGAGGGAGAAGAAGAAGGCCAATATAGGTCAATAAATCGTAATTTTTCTTAAGTATTCTATAATTGAAGGGAAAAAAAACTAAATAACATAATCTATTATTTATTTCTTAAAGATATTATTGTATTATTCAAACGACGGACGGGTGTTATTACTTGTTGCAGAATAATAGAGAAGATAAATCTCTTTGGGATATAATTTTACGGATAAAACTTGGTTCTAAGATACAATTCCGCAATATAAGAATTACTGGTCGGCCTTATAAAAGCGCGTAAGTAAGGAAATAGCTTAAAAATAGTAATAAGATATTTAATATTTATTTCATTTCCTTGTTACTAATTTTCTCTTTTACATCATTTTTTTTTCTTTTTCTACTTTCGCAGGAATAGAGATCTTTTCTCTCTTTTGAGATTGTTAAATCGCAATAATCATTTTCCTATAATATGTTATAAGGCTCATTTTTTACCCGAATCTAATTTGGAGACTTTAGAAGATTGTTGTAGTTTTCCATTCTTATTCCCTGTTTGGCAATGCTTCCCTTTGAAAGATTGCTTAGATTCTTTCGGACAAAGAATATCATTCGTTTGTAAACTTGTATACTCTAATGAAATTCTGGTTGGTATTTCTTTTATTGTTTTTTTTTATAAAAAAAAACGATTAATTAACTAATAATCTATTTAATTAATTACTTTCTTTACTTTTATTTTTTTATCCTTAATTTAATATTTATATTATTTTAATTATTGTGATTTATTTTTATTTATATTTCCTTTATTCCTTTCAATCTTCTCTTTTATTATTAATAATTGTAAAAGGAATGCGAAGAAGAGATGCTTTTATGGTATTTGTACGATTCCTCTTTAGAAAATGGATCAAACTTTGCCTATTTATTGCTTAAAATTAAATCATCGGCTTTGCTATCCGAAAGAGTGCAGTCTTATTGTAAACAAAAACAACAGCAGCATCGGACAATTTTTGTATTAGTAATGGACGCTTTTCA